ACAACAAAAAAAAAAAAAAAAAAAAAAAAAAAAAAAAAAAAAATTAATCTGCGAGGGATGCGTCTAAGCAAGAGCCAACCGGGCCAAGAAGCTCATGCGTCAACAGCGCGAGATCCGCAAATTTTGATGATATCCAGACTTCGACAGTTATCATCAAATTATGAGAGAAGCGATGATGGCTCCAAGCATACCAGGTGCGCGGGAGTTCACCTGTACTCGACAATAGCTTCATCACGAAACCGTCGACAATTTCCGGCTAGCGGTCCTCTATTGGCCGAATGAAGGTGTCTTTCCTTTCCCCAAGCGTCTACGAACCCTTCCATGCCTTGGAGCTGAAGGGCACAGCATACAGCCTCCACCATATCCTCAGCAGGCTCAAGTCCAGAACGTTTGAATTATGTGACTGGTTCGTTGGTTTAAACCGCTTATTTCTCGAGTCAAATGCCTTCACTCCATCTGGTCAATATTCTGTTTGATTTTCCTGAAATCCTTCGGCGCCCTACATGTCACACGTAGCATCCACTTCGGATCACGACGAGCGGATACGTATCAGAGAGTCGCCATGGTTGCTGACTGCATATGTTTGGCCTATTAAGTTCACCAAGGGCCACGTTTGTCATCGTTTACCAAAGGATAAGCTTGATGCGTGTAGCAGAAAAAATCTTGCAAACGTCAAGCTTCTTACCAACTAATACTAGTATTCATTAAGAAACGAGCCAGATCATGTCCCAGCATCTGTGTCCAGAATCTGGGGACAATAGGTCTTTTCGTCTGCGTAGACTGTTATTCCATGTCTCAACGTGTTGCCGCTTCGGTACTCTGGAATTCAATACTCCAAAAGACAAATGTAACGCCCATGGACTTCTAACCCACCTGTTGTAGCGTTTCACGAAATCTCAATGACGCCTGGGGAAGAGCTTTCCAGTATCTCCTGTTTGACATACAGCGAGGTCAAACATGGGTTGTGGCAAGGCTCAACATTTCTTGGTTCGGCCTTCTCAATCTACCAAATTCTGTCATCGAGAACCCATAAAAGGTCTAGCATAGTCGCTGACATTCGGCAACGCAGGATGGCGAAGATGTTCCTAAGAATTAACATAGTTACGTATGACGGGACTAGTACAGCCTGGCAACCCTTGGGGTCGCTACGTATACTTTGACGCTCAATCTTCATGGGATCTTGTAGATCAGAAGCACGATTGTGTGACTGGGGACATGTCACAGCCCATCGGTATTGTGATGCTTTCAAGGGACAAACAAGGCATGTTTGGACAACAGAGTCTATTTCTATTTTTCTTTTACTTGCGACACTATACAACAATACACTTACTCCACCCTCAAATTGTGATCTGATACACCAGTCTAGTAGACAACCTTCTCTGTCAAGGTGACGCCCTCGCCGACTACGCTTGCTGTGACATGTGGGTAGGAAGGTTGTAGGTAGCGTAATCCGTGTGTACGAACGCCCGATCCACGATTGGGACGCTTTCAAGAACATATTGCAAGCTCTCAGCAAGGTCGTGGCTATCTCTCAGCGGCGTGCTAGCATCAAGGACAATGTCTACCTCAACATTGAGTTTGTCGCCAGCATGGTAAGCTTGCAGCCCTTGGATCTGTCGGATGGTCTTAGCAAACCGCATGGTCAGATACAGGAGCACATTGCGCTGGTCAGCAGAGGCCGAGAATCCGCATAGGTTCTTGATGTGCTCCAAAGAAGTCTCGGACCAGTTGAAGATGACGATTAAGGAGAGAAGCAACCCGCCCAAGGCGTCAAGCCACCAGATTTTGGCATAGAACCCGACTACATTAGCGTTAGCAAGACGGGTCATAAAGAGAGAAAATGGAAGAAATGGAAGTACCTATGGGGAAGAGGATAGAGCCGGTGTTGAAGATGACATCTGTCATAGCATCCGAAGCCAACGCTTGGACGCTTGAGTTCTTCACCAAGCGACACCAGAGCCAACATAGACCCTTGACGAAGATTGTTCCAGCCATGATGCCAATTGCAGGAATTCCCAACTCGACCAATTCGTGATCGGGAGAAGCCAGTCGTTGTATGGACTGAAGCCCAACCTGGACGAATGAAGTGATCATGATGACCGAAAAGACGAGAACTCCGAGCGGCTCCAGTCTTCGTCGTCCTACAGGATACTTGTACTGGTCCTGTCGACTGATCAATAACGTAGTCACCCACACGATGACGGTGGACAGGAAATCCAGCACAGCGTCGACTAAACTGGCCAGCACCGACATAGAGGAGACGGAGAAGATGACAGCAATCTTTCCAGCCAGCAAGATGAAGTTGGCTGCAAAGTTGACGTAGATGGCGACTGTGACAATTCTGTCCCCGCTGTCCACGTCGTCGTCATCGTCTAGCCACGGGATTTCGGGCTTGGGACCTTCTCCCTCCGAAACCGCGTCATCGTCATCATTGTTAAACAATGGAGTGGTCTCCGTAGCACGATATATCGCCCGGGGCGTCCGGGTGACCTTCTTGGAAGTCGGAGTGGCAGTGCCGCTCTCGCCATTAGACCGGTCGGATGAAGTGGGCAGTTCGTTCTCGCTCCCGCTCCTATTGAGCCCGTCAATGAGGCTGCCGACTGCACTTCGCGTGGCACTGGAAGGCTCCTCTCGAATCGTAGTGGGGATCTCCACGCCTCGAAAATGGCTCGCCGGCATATCATTGTATTCATTCAGGAGATCGTGAGGCAGGCTGCTGTCGAGGAGCTTGTCGATGTACAGGTATTGCTGAATCAGATAGTTCGTCCGCTCGTAGTATCCTCGCAGGGGCTTCTTCATGGCCTTGAGCTCCTCTGCAGTCTTCCAGTATCTTTCCCACCTGTATCGTGGATTGGAGCTCCCTATAAGTCTCATACTCCGTACGGGGTGGCTCATCAGAATTGCGGACAACCGCCGCTCGTCTGACAAGGAGCGCCGCTCATCGCTATCTGTAGGATGGCCGTGAGGAAGCAATGGAGCTCCCTCAGCGCCTCCCTCGATGTCTGAGGACTCGAGCCCGCCTATGGTCCGCCATGTCGAGCCGTGTTGCAAGGACGTGTGAGAACGGTTCCGAATCAGGTGGGCGAGGGTGCCTTGATGGCGCGGTGAAAACGTCGGCGGTGCCTCATCTTGAAGCACAAGGAACGTCCCCTTGCTGCGATAAGGTCCGTTGCGATTTGGCGACTGCGAGAGCAGCGATTGGGATTCATGGGAGGACATTGTGGTGTTGCTGCCTCGGCGGCGCGCGAAGCTCCAATAGACCGCGTCAATTCCCGGGAGCTATGACGCACTGTCTGTCGCAGCCAGGATCTCCGGACTGGGTAGAGCTTGCGGGCCACGGCAACACTTGGTATGCTGCCAGTGAAGTTATATATACAAGATGCAGTTGATCGTGTGCTGTGAGTGATGGGAAAAGTTTCTGAGGGCCAAGTCCCCCAAGAGAAACTGTAGTTTGAGGACCCCAGTTAGTCACTGGAACCCACTGAGATTAGCTAAGGAGGGAGGGACCACGGCGACTAGAAAGGTGGTGCCCAAGAAACCACCTGCGCAAGCTAAAATAGTCCAACCACCACCGTAGATGCGCAGATCTTCTGCAAATGTGCTTTGACTTGCGCAGGTCGTCACCAGGCAATCTGTGATGCTATAATGTCCTTGTTTTTGTTTCTTGCCCAAGGAAATATATATCTATATTGCAACTCGTGACCTTTGCTGTCTCAATAAACATGTGTGTACAAGATTGTCGTCTTTGACAAGCTTGATAAGTTTGCACAGCTAGACTCGGCATATAAACAAAAAGTTGTCAGTGATCCGTCACGGTTACATCAAACGCTCTGACTCTTTTAGAGGGTAGACGTTCGACAGGAGCTTGAAACAAACGCTAGCGCAGCAAAGCAGCACGTGCAGTTGGAAAGATACTTATTAGTCAAAGAAGGAATTGACCAGCTAAGGCCTCTCCAATGTCAAGTTGTAGGCACATATGTTTTGGGATGTCTGGGTGTGTTGAAGTAATGAGCAGTGAAGAGGCTCTGCGGCGGAAAATCGCCTATGTACTCCTGTACTCCGTAATTCGATTATATAATTCGTCTCCCAGGCTAGTATGAACGTAGCACCCAGACATCGCTCCCGTGGCCGGTGCGGAATAGGGTTTCCCGCTGCGGTTCGCTACCGGTCTCCCGAGACATCGAGTGCCGGTAGTAGTAACTGGGACCACCTCTCTTGCATTGACCGGGCTGGCTTTCTTCATACTGGCAGCCAAAAAACAGCATTCCAACGGCTGAGATGGAATCATAGAGTGCGTACACACTAGGCATACTAGAAACAAATCAGTTCGACGAAATTGCTCTGCTTCAACGTCATCATCGACGTTTCGTGTTTTCGACCTCTTCAGCGTTGACCGAAGCTGCGCCTGGCTGCGTTCCTTGTTCAGGAGGTTCACAACTCTGAAAGTGGGGCGGGTACCATGCAACTTCAAAGGGGTGAGAAATTCTCAGCTCCCGGATCGTCTCCATTGATGTCATATGCAGGTTCAGCCACAAGATAGCATTAATGGGGAGAAGGGATGCCAAGTCAGCGCCGATCGGTTTGTTCGTATTTGTCTATAAGCCAGCCCAGGTGGCGCGATGAGACGAGTAGTGATAACCGCAGCCTTACACAATCAGCTCTGAAGATCATCCAGGATGTTGTAGATTGTCTAGGATGTCGGGATCTACAGCTGCCTCCGGACTACCGGTCTACGAGCAAAGTCCTTGGTTGCTTGGTTACCTAGCAAGCTTACGTAGTGTAATATCAGCACAACAGCGTTTGTTAAGTAGGCTAGACGAAAGAAGATTCAAATGCCTGTCTTGAGGTCTTGACAACCCAGAAGCGGACAAAATAAGGTTCGCATTTTCCCATTCGGACAGGGGTCCACGCCAGATCTGATCTTCGGGCGCTTCGGCTACACCTGCGCAGATGGCCGTAAAATATGCACACTGTAATGAACCACGGCGGGCAGACTCATTGGGGGCGCCGTTGGTGTTCTCGGCGCTAGAGTAGGCCCGTAGGCCAGGCTTCCAAGTTGTGATTGATTGATTGAGCGATTGACGGCCTTCTTGGGGACGAGACAGGGAGCGCAGTGTGACCTAACCGTCTCAGGAAAAGACCCCTGACTTAAGCGCGTAAATAGTGCAAGACGTGGTTCGTTAACTATTGATTTGTGAAGAGTAAGATGAATGCAGGTGCAGGGACTTGATGAACGAATATATTGGATCTGATGGCAGTTGCATTAAGAGATATTTCCTGCCGACTGGGTCGAAGAATGCAAACCCCTGGAAGGAATATATGAGACACGTTTCCTGTCTTGGACGGAGTAATCGGTGCTTTGATCGGGAAGGCAGTGCAAAGAGTCGACTCCATAGGAGATGGAACCTTGGACGGGAATACGAGAGCATGGCAGTCGAGGACTCCGTCGAGACTCGCCAGTCCTGGTTTTGAACCGGGCAGACCGGGGCCCTCTCAGGCTTTGCCGCTAATAACGAGTTTGATATTGATCGTTAGCCCACAACTTCCGATAATGAATCCCCACGTGGATTCGCGCCGCGCTTGAGACCGGGCGTCTTTGCCAGCTTGAGACTTGAGGTGGCAGCGCGTGGCAAGATCGTGATAACTACCTATTCGTGGTGGCTTGGTGGCGCGTTGTGACCGATAGTCTGGCAGCGGTCACCGATTGATACTATGGAAGACGGTAATTTAAGCAGTACAGCATAGTCTTGTGCAACTGGCTGTCTTGCCATCGGCTTCCACCATCGTTTTGACATCGCCGGCCCTCTGAGAACCCGAGCATGTGCTAGCGAGGCACAGGCAGTCCGACGATTTATTAGCGTCGACGCGATCAGTAGAGACATCGGACGGCGAGTCCCTTGATGAAATCCCTTGTGGGAACGTTACGAGGTCATGGTTCAAGGGATCTTTGTAGTTATTGGACTATCAGCAACCTCGTAGATGGTCTATAAGCACATGGCCGGGAGCCAGAAGAGTCACACACATCCTTCGTCTGCTGTGTCGCACCGACGACTTGGCACCCGAGCTTGTCTTTTTGCGAGCGGCGCGGACTGCTGACAAGCGCCGCCGATGGAACTCGACACGGAGCGTTGCCATGGAAAGCAGACCTTGCGCGGCCTGCATAGGAAAGTCAACCTGTTGCGAGTGGGTTAGAGTGGGCGGCCCAGGAGCGTTGGCAGTTAAATGGCAGCCGCTCGCTGTTCTCGGATGCATAAGCAGACATGAGCGCGGTCTGTATGGTTAAGCCTGGTGACCTCGATGATGTGACCTCGAGTGTGACCGAAATGGAGAATGTGCGGCGTACTGTGCTCTGTTATGGTCTTCCCAGTTTCGACGTTGTAGATTTGATCGAACCGACCCACATCTGCATGGTCAAGGAGAAGTCCATGGGCATGCGGAAAGAGTGCTTGCATAGCATAGCATACGTATGTCTACACGTGAAAGCTATCAACCTACAGAGTAGGTACATAAGAAATGCTATGGATAGAATTGGGTCCTGAAAGTTACAGACCTCACAAGCTGGCGTGCTCGATCGGCTTCGGACTTTTGGTGAAGTACATCCTCCCTGCGGCAGGCCCTCGGGCTTCTAAAGAGCCTGGAAGGTTTCGAGATCTGATTTTTCGTACTTCTCTTGCGTGACAAGACTGCATGCAGCACATGGGTCGCGCGCATGGTCGAAGGGGCTCTGCGACGGCCAACAGACAAGCAGCCCACATCGATCCCGTGCTAGCGGACTCCAGCTTCAATTGGTTCACAACCAGCGTGTGAGGAAAGATGGGCCATCAACCCATTTTGTCGTCTGTTTTTTCAGCGGGGGGGATTTTTCTCCCTCTTCCTTGCTAAGCTTCGAGAAGCGCCGATGGCCAATGGTCATCGTGAGGCTGGTGGACGTGCCCGAGGACTACGCTGCACATGGGAGAGCCGGCGAGTTATCCCTCGCTCAGACTGGTGCCTCTCGGCCTGGGTTTTTTTTAAGCTTCCCCAGCCGCGCTGATCGAGCTCCATAGCGCCATCTCTGGTCCGCAATCCTCGCAGCCACCGGACTCGGCTTCATCTGCGCAAACTCCAGAGGGTTCGTTCACTCGCAACGAGCGTTGGCCGACCGCCGCCACAGCCAGCAATGGACGGCGGGGTGCCAATCGGCCCATAGATGGTAGGCTGGTACCGTAGCCTGTGACTCTGGACATTTCTTTGAGCTCACTAGCCGACTGGTATACACAAGCGCAAGTGTCCATTATATTGCATGGATGGGTGGTTGGAAATCAAGGTTCTCCATACCACTCAGTACGAGAAGCTTGGCCGACGTGAACCGTGCCGGCGCCACGCAACGAGCCAATGCCACTCAATTTCGACATTATCGGCGGACAGATGTGCAGCAGCGCAGCACAGTGCACTGGCGGCGTCTGCGCCAACCCCGGTCCCTGGCAGGAATTCCCCCTCCCCTCCAGCCAGAGGGCCTGGGACCCTCCCAGGTACGTTGGTAAGTAACGTATGTGCCGTACCGTGGATGTGGTGACGCTCAGCGAGGGGATCCACGGATGGCGTTCGCATCTGGCCACAGTTGTATCCGGGCTATGTATCTATGTATCCAGGTATCTATCGACCTGTCTGTCTGTCCATCTGCCTATCCAAACAGCCGGCCAGCGTCTGATCGCATCCTCGTTCCACCGCGTGGACGCGTGCTAGCCTGCGTCGAGCTCGCTGCTGTGTGGGTTGCCCGTCCAGCCAGAGCCAGCGGGCTCGTGTCTGAAGCAGACAATCTCTCAGGCACACGCACCGTCGCCGGTAGCCCCGTGGCCCGTACGAGTTAGCAGCCCGGTACCTAGGTGGCCCGCTGGCTCATGCAGGCTTTTCCAGCCAGGAGAGGGTGCCAGTCCACTCGGAACTGGTGCTAGTGCCTTGGGCATTGCTGGGCCACTCCACCTAATAAAAATAGACTAGCTAAGGTGGTCTGGTCTGCCTGCTTGGGTGATGGGCCCAGGGGAGAGAGAGAGAGAAAGAGAGGGAGCGAGAGGGAGGCTGACCTTACCTTGCCTGCCTGGGCCTGAAAGTGTAAACGAAGAAAATAACATCCGATCTGGCTCTCAATCTCCGTCATAGAGCAGCCTCCTTGTCCCCTTGCCCGCTCTCTTGCTCAAAATTTCATCCTCGTCAAAGACCCGGTCGTGAGCCTCCCGTCGTCGTCGTTGGTATTCGGCCTGTGCATTCTAGGAGTCCTAGCACTTTCATGACCTGCGCGTTATTTCGTCCACTCTCTTTTACATCATCTCGTGTTAGCCCTCCAACGTCGATTGACTGGACCCCCGGTGCTTCGTTTGTCCCGATCGATCTGGCTCCAGCTGTCCGCCGCCGCATCGCCTCGACGTCTCCGAGCTCTTCGTTTTCCCAGGATCCCGCGTCCGACACCATCTTTAATTCCATCTCCTTTCTTGTATAGTAATTCAGTCCCGAACCTTGCCCTTCTCAACAAGCCTTCAGCAACCGGCAGAGACAACCGTCTTACCTACCGACAACTACATTGTGTAAGTGGCGGCGTTAGATCTCATTCACTCCGACCGGGTGTCACCACGACCTCGACTCCTCCTGTCATGCCCATTTCCCCAAACTGCCACGTCCTTCGACGCCTCCCACTGTTGGCCTTCGCCACACGCCATGTACTGCTTCAGCACTGCTGTCTACCAAGTGAAACGATAGAGAAGCGAACACGAGGCCGAACGTGCTTCTGACACACCAATTGAGTCGGTTACCGTCGCGCACTCGGGGCCTTGAACGTTGGAGCAACCTGTTACATTTTACATTCAACTACGTTCATCGTTCAAACTACGGAGTCCTGGATAGAACAACTGAACTTTCTGCCTGGCTGAACAATACTAACCTTGCGCTCTACGCATCATGCAGTTTCCCTCGAATTTGCGCCAATCCTCCAATCTCTAAGATATCTAGCTTTCGACAGCTTCTCCGTGAGGAAAACAGAGGGCTGCGACTGAACAAGGCGTTATTCGAACTGTCGGATAACGAAGAACCTGCCATTGAGACTGCAACCACAAGTCCTAACTGTATGGGCGTGCAGTGATTTCATTGACGCCCCCTTCAGCCGTTCTATATGCCTAGATTCCCGGTCAACTTTCGGCGGAAATCGACCGTAACAGACGAGCAGAATGGCCCGGTAGAACCGTCCTTCCGCGTGCTCGACAGAAGCGACGTGGGGAAGTCGTTTGATGGCGGAGTGAGGATGATGAAGGCGTCGGGAACCATGTCGAGGACAACTCTGGCCGACCCGCCCATGGACGACAATCTCTTTGCAGATATGAAGAACAACCGGTAAGTCAAAATTGCCGTCTCAGTGGTTCGTGGCGTGCTGTCTGTTGTCCTGGCGGAGACGTGACGGCACCAAGACCATGGGACGCCTCCAAATTTCACGACTCCCATCGCCCATCACCAACCCGTCCATGTCTCACAAAGCTGCGTCAGGCTTATTCTAGTGTTGACCGGACATGCTAACCAACCCAAGCGGCAGCGGCAGTTCCAATACCACGAAGGCAACCTCGGATAATTCTTCCCGCCACAGCAATGCCTCGACGGCGCCATCGTCCACAGATTACGCTGCTCAAGAAGACTGGCGAGCCTCATCCAGGAAACCTATTCCTCTGAATGACGGTGCCCACCCAGCCCCACCCAAGCCGGCTTCCAACAGTTTCTTGAAGAACGCGGGGCGGACTTTCTCGTTCGGTGGGTCCAAGAAGAACTTGCCGACGATACCGGCAGACGAACAAGAACCGGTGCCATCCGTACCTAGCCACTTCGAACCCCAAACGCCCGGCGGCCGATCACGAGCCCCGACCGCGTCGACTGTGACGACGGCGACGCCGCCACAGGTGGAGAACAGGGATTTCATGCTCGACTTGGGCGGTGATCTGAGCAACGTGTTGTCCGCATTCAGCAAGAGAACAAGTGTCGCAACAGTGAAGGATGAAAGTGGCCGGCCCGTTCTAGCCTCGCGGAACCTGACAACGAACCGAGCCTCTCAACCGTCTCCTCTGCACTTGGATCACTCGACCGCAGTGGAACCTCCGCCAAAGTCGTGGAACAGTCACCGATCTGACGAGGGCTTGCTCAACTCCCGCAGTCCAATTGCATCCCCACCTCCAATGGCCGGAGAGATACCACCTCCCGTGCCTCGGCACACCGCCAGCCCAATGCCACTGGCCAGCGCTGATGGGGAGGACGTGGGCCTGCTGAAAGATACGGTCGCCGCCACGAGATACTTGGCGCACAATCGACATGACGAGGACACCGTTCCCAGTTTGAAGGAGACATATGCCAGGCCATCTCGGCATGAGTCGAAGCACGACGAAGAGAATATGTTCGACACTTCATTTTCTCGCCCAAGGTTTGGTACGAAACAGAACACACGCCCTAACGGCCAGCCACGGAACAAGGTCATGACTCCGGCCGAATTTGAGAAGTATCGTCAGGACAAAGTTAGGCAGAGCCAGAGCAGCCCGGACAAGAACGACTCAGACAACGAAGACGACGACACTTACGAGGATGAGGAAGACGACCGGGAAAAGACTAAAGAGTTAGCCAAACAGAGGCAGAAGCAGGAGGCCCACATGACCGTGTACCGGCAACAGATGATGAAGGTCACCGGAGAGCAGTCCGGCGCGTCGTCTTCGCGTCCGGGCCTGGGCATGTCTTTGAGCACACCGAACCTGCTGTCTGACCCCCGAAAGTCACCCAACGGCTCTCAGTCACCGCGGTCCGACGGGTCGTCAGATGAAGAAGTCCCGCTCGCCATCTTGGCAGCGCACGGCTTTCCCAGCAAGAACCGCCCGCCCACACGACTGAGCAATGTCGGCTCGAACCCCAATCTCAGAGGTGTGAACCAGCCGTCCTACGTCGCCGGTCCGGGGTCCGTTTCCGGAGATACACCCAAGAACAGCGGCGGCCACCTGCCGGCCTTCGCCCGGAAACTGCCCCAGGACCCATTCCTGGGTGCTGGTTTGATTAACCAGCCTCCCCGGGAATCGTTCGCGCTTGCGGGAGGTGTCCCAGCCACGCCACGAGCGGCACCAGTAGGTGGACTTGTGGGCGTCATTGCCAACGAGGAGAGATCGAGGGCGATGCGTCGTGGTAGCCCAGCGGTTGACCATGGAAATCATGGCCTGCCACCTCAGATGCAAATGCCGATGAACGGCTTCGACCCGATGGCCCAGATCCCGCCCCAGATGATGTACCCGCCTCCGATGCCGATGCTTACCCCAGGCGATCAAGCGCAAATCCAGATGACACAGCAGATGCAGCAGTTCATGCAGATGCAGATGCAGTTCATGCAAATGATGGCCGGCCAGAACCAAGGTCAGATGCCGATGCAGGCGCCTCCGGGTATGGGTATGGGCATGGGCATGGGTATGCCGGGCCAGGCACCGTCTCGCCCTGCGAGCCACATGCCGACCCAATCTATGAGCTCAGTACCAGAGGCACCGAGAGGCTCCTTCTTGGGGGATCCGATGTCGATGGGAATGGGCAACGGGATGGGTCTGGAACCCCCGAGGGGCGATTCTCAGATGCGCACCATGAGCATGGTCCAGCCTAGTTCTGCTTCGTGGATTCAGCCTCCCCAATCTGGATACACACCGTCGATTCGGATGCAGGGTGGGGGTTATGCGCCCTCGATCGCGCCGTCAGAGCGCAGTAACATTGGGCTGCCGGGCCGGTACCGCCCTGTTTCCAGTATCAACCCGCTAGGCGGTGATATGAGGTCGAACACCATGTCCGGTGCCTTGCCAACGTTGGCGAAACTGCAGCCTGAGGTCAGGACGTCTCCGCTGTCGAACGAGAACGACGAGGATGACGACGACGAGGAAGGCTGGGAGGCAATGAAGGCGAAGCGCGCAGCCAAGAAGAGCAGCTGGCGCACGAAGAAGAACTACGGATCTGACATCGGGGCTCTCATTAGCTAAAACCCCTCTGTTTGTTTTCTGTTTTATGGTCTTACTTACCCCCCAAGGTTCCGTGGCGAGATTTCAGCATTCCTCGGCAAAGGTTATCATAAAAGCATTCGCAACTCATTGGCTGGGGCAGAGCAGGAAGGAATTTTCCGGTGCATCATCTATGAGCACACATATGTCGAGAGCAGCAGTGCACCTCACCACCTCGGGTTGCCTTCTCTCCTTTTGTTTGGCCCAAAGCATGTCAGCGTTTCGACTCGACTCAGTTTTGCATTTGGTCACGGCTGGAAAATGAGATCAAAGGGTGATCGTGCACACCGCAAATTGGGCAATGATCACATGACGTCCAAATCTGCCCCGTTTGTGTTTTTCTCTGTTGGAAGTGGGAAGTTTCGACGATGGCGCTATTTCGGAATACAGGGGAGGATTGGATCCGCGCACACAATTTTGTTTGACTTTTCTTTATTTCTGAGTTTGGAGGCGACAATAGAGGACGAGAGTAGAAGAAGAAGAGAGAGAAAGAGAGACCATCTCGGAACGTGTATGGAGGGAATCAGTGGCAGCCGTGATGGACTGCTCTGCTATATTGCTGTCGTGGACAAGCAAAAAAGATCTGCGGGAGGGCGAGATTCGCGATATAGACACAAAGCCGACCTACCCTGTCAACAAACAGCCCTACCTACATACATAGTTAATCTAATACCTAGGCCTTTGTTTTTGGAGTACTGTATCCTCTTCGTAACCAGTGGACACTCACTCTCAAGGAGGTTCAGCTTGTCTAAACTTCAGATGTGACTCAAAAATGACTATCGAGAGGGCTCAACAACGCCGACGACTCGTGAAAGCCACTAAGAAGCTGATCCTCACTGCATTCACTCTCAGACTGCATAGGACCCAGGATCGAGGCGTCTTGTCTTTTACTTTCTTTCGTTTTGCCCAACCTAGTCTATGGAGTTCTTAAATTAGGTCGTCTCCCCCAGCCTCTAAGCTGCCCACGGGGAGACAAAGACCATACATCTCTACGGCGTGCGATTGCGAATCTCCCTACTCAATCTTGCCCTTGGCCCAGGCGCCTCTCTTGACGCCCAGCTCGACGGCAGCCAGGCCCCAGTCCTCGCCGTGGTTGTGGCTGCCGGGGACGACACCGGCGCGGGCCTTGGCCTGCTCGTCGTCCAGGACCGTCAGCACACCGAAGATGACGGGCACGCTCAGGTCCAGCTGGGCGCGCATCAGGCCGTGCGACACGGCGTCGGCGATGTACTCGAAGTGCATGGTCTCGCCCTTGATCAGCACGCCGATGGCGATGATGGCGTCGAAGGGCGTCGAGGGCGCCGAGGGCAGCGCCGTCAGGTCCGTCGTCGAGGCCCCGAGCAGGTCGCCGGCCGACGAGCCCGAGCCCGACGAGCTGGCTTGGACCTGGGAGGCTGTGTAGAGGCTGTTGGCGAAAGACGCGGCAGGTCAGCAATCATGGCACATGTACAGTCTGTTCTCGCTGTCTCCCTCTTGGTCTCGTCTCTAGCGATAGAGAAGGAGTAAGGGCCGAGCTGCAAGAGCTAGTTGGCACCTCTTGACGACGCTCACACACTCTCTCTCACCCAGCGGGACACTTACGACTTGACGGCAATGGGCAGCTCCCACGAGCCGGGCACCGACTGCACGACAATGTTGCTCTCCTTGACGCCGCAGGCCAGCAGCTTGTCCTTGGTGCCCTTGAGCAGCGGCTCAATGATGGTCGTGTTCCAGCGGGCGTGGACGATGCCGATGCGGAGGGCGCTGCCGTCGTGCTCCTGCGGGGTCGGGCCTTTGAGGGAGGAAGCCATCTTGTGGTGTGCGCGGGGGAATGCGGTATGTGCGGTTGCCAATTGCGACGTTCGGCGGAATCCGTACTCGGGGTTCTCGTCGTGTGAGGTCGAGTGAAGGAGCGAGGGTTTTTCTCTGAGAGGAAGCAACTTGGGTTGGTTGGTGATCCAGCAGTCACAGCCAAGGCAAGCACTCGGTCTAACAGTAGGTGGTCCAGGGCTGCAGCTCTGGCGGGCGGTGCCCGAGAAGGGTGCGGATCGGCTACCGTCAGTCAACGTAGCTGGCCAGCGGGCACAGAGCTGGCCGGCAGGGTGCGGGGCAGTTTCCGTCGAGCATGACGAAAGCTACCAGGTAGTTGAGCTTGCCTGATGCTTGCCTCGTCGTCCTTGGGCGGGGCATCGGAGCGCCGGGGGGTATCTCAGGGGTCCGTGTCGAGCCCTGCCTTCCCCCTTCTGCAGTGTAAGTTAGGTTTACTTTGCAGCCCCCCCCCTCTGGAACGCCTTCGGGTATGCCCTATCGCATGTTGCCTTTGGACACCCGGTGGAACATTACGTACCTATGTAGGTACAGGCACCTTTGAACACTTGCCAACCAGTGCCAGACTCTCCCGCGGGCATCCTTACCACCACCAGTTGAGGACGTGGTTGCCCAAACGAACCACAGTCTGGCCCAAGCAACGGCCAAAATCCGTATAATACACGCGATTACCCAACCATTTTACCGAGAGGGAACCCCAGGAAGGTAGGTACTGAAATTAGACGTCAAATCCCCTTCTGCAAGACTCTCATCAAAGGTCTCCTCAACTCCCGAGAGTCTTCTCCTAGTCACATCAGCTACTTCTAGTATCTTTGTGAATCGAGTGTGTATATCTAGTCAACGACTACTCCCGCCTCATCGTCAACACATCTATATACCTATTTGATATGTCTACTACCTTTATAGCCTCCACTTACGCAGTCACCATCTGTCCGGACACATTTTCCACTCCTTTCAGATGGTGAATTTTCCCCTGCCATCATGCCCATCTCTGCCCTTTCCAGCACCACTATACGTCTCCTCGGATCTCCTTGTGTCATTACAACCCCTGTATCACTAGTCAAGGAGCTACTAGACAACGCAATCGATGCCAAAGCAACCTCGGTCGAGGTCCTGATCTCACCCAATACAGTTGACAAGGTCGAAGTCAGGGACAATGGAGTTGGCATACACCCTGATGACTACGACTCGTTAGGAAGACACGGGTATACGAGCAAGCTTGAGCACTTCGACGAACTACATAATCTTGTGGGGGCCTCTCTTGGCTTCCGCGGTGAAGCACTGGCATCTGCGAACTCGGTGGGTAACCTCACCATCACAACCAAGACTCCCTCAGACCCAGTGGCGGCAATCCTTCAGATCATACCCAAGGCCGGAGGAGTACTCAAACATAGATCTGGGCCAGCACCAGTCGGGACAACAGTCAGCCTTACTGCGGTCTTCGGTACTCTGCCAGTGCGAGAGCAAATCATGATCAAAGACGCACCCAAGACCCTGGACAAGATCAAGGAGTTGCTTCGCTCCTATGCGATGGCCAGACCACAGCTCAAGCTCACGTTCAAAGTACTACAGACACCCAAACAGGCCTGGTCGTATTCACCCAGGCGAGGGGCTGGAATCAATGAAGCGGTGCTCCAACTAATCGGCAAAGATTTGGCCTCCCAATGCATTGAGGAAACGGTCAGCTTCGCCGGTCCTGTTTCGGACGGCGCAGTTGATTCCCAAAGTGGAAAACCTGGAGAGTGTTTCGTCTTTGAAGCGTTCATGTTGAAATCAGACGCTGACCCTAGCCGACTGCCTAACATCAAGCATGGTTACTTTTCCGTTGATGGGAGACCCGTTACGAGCAGCAAAGGCACAATGAGGAAGATTACGTCAACCTATACGAACTACTTGAGCAGCAAACTCGGGTCAGATGGCATCAAAGAGGTCACAGGCTCTGCCTTTATTCGACTGAACATCAAGTGTCCCAAGGGCTCTTATGATGCCAACATTGAACCCTCCAAGGACGAGGTCCTGTTCGAGAACGAGACTTCCCTGACTGGCTACTTTGAGAAACTGTGCGAAGACACTTACGGGCCAATTGAAGGCCAGGAGAAGAAGCCGGCTTTCACTAGGGAATGTCTTGCCAGTTCTTCGCTGAAGACACCTGCGTCACTGCAATCTGAAGGCTCACCCAGAAGAGTCTTACCCGTTGAGGGCAATCAAGAATCTAGCGTACCGTCCAAGGGTCGTATACTAGCGCAGACCAAGGAACAGAATTGCTCAGGTGCAGGCGCTGGAGCGCAGGCCATTCCCAACGATGATCAACAGACATGTCTTCCCCTGTCCCATCGGAACAGATTGGGCTCAGCTTCAACTGGATGGACTGCAATCAACATACCATGCCTTCAACAGCGATCTGATACAATGCGCGGAGAACCAGAAAAAAGTCCCCCAACTGAAGAATCTCGGTTTGCAAGTGATATGTCACTCGACCTTAGCCAACTGGGCGGAAACCTTGGGTGGCTGAGGAAGAGAGACAACCCCTTCCAAAGGACAAAGGCCAAAGAGCAATCAACGAGTATAGTATACAATCCAACCCAGACTATCGAATATTGGCCGACTTCGACAACGGGCTCACAGTTCGAGAGCGCGGAAGATTCTACTGTACCCCAACAATCTCAACCACAGAGGTTATGGGGTGAGGAACCTACGCCTTCCATGACGCCAGAGCCAGCAATCCTGTATCACCATGCGGCACCTCCACGAGACCTTGACGTTCCACCAAGCCTGCGAAACAACCTTCTCAGCAGTAACGAGAACAGATCACCCGCTCTTGTACCTGGCGGCCCATACCGAAGCCCACTTTCCAGTCCCCCTGGACCGGTTCCTAGACAGACTAATAATTCGCGTGAGTTACGGGGACAACTACCATGGACTCCTCCTTCGTCCGCACAGAGAGATCAGGAACAGTGGGGAAAGCAACGTTATAGTAAGAACGATCAATCTCGCAACCCTTTGAAGCAGACCACGATTTCATTCGACGGCCTTGAGCGGCCACGAAAACTTCTTCCTACGAAGCATGATGGAACGCCGGAGGAAACCCACAACTTGCCTTGCGCCGCCGTGTTTTCGACAGCTAAGCAGCATCTGGCAGAAGCCACCGCCATCTCCCCGAATCGACAGCCGGCTTTAGAGCACCCAATAGGTAATAGCGGCGTGGTTACGCAGCGTCGGACAGTTCAAAACAAGAAAATTGCAGGTTTGCACGAGACAGACTCCGTCCCGCAGGATGATGCCATAGCCGATCAAGAGCCAATCCGAACAACGCTGCCAAGTGGGGATCCAAGAGCATACCTCCTTCGGCAACAGAAGTTCATGGCAACTGATGTGGGAAAGGGAAGGCCAAGGAAGTTCAGACGCGCCCAGAGCAATCTCATGCCACTGCAGAACACACCACTGGAGTCTCAGACTTATGGACTCATGCTTTTTTTCAAGGCAAGAATAGAACAGTTCCCCAAATCCATGGACCATATGAAGATATATGACAAGTACATTGTCGAGGGCGACGTTGAAGACGGTCTGGACGTTGATCTAGGAGAGGCTCGAAGAATAGAGCAAAGGCTGGACACTGTTCTAGCGGGTTGGAGTGAGCGCGTCACTGGAGAGAGACTGGATGTTGGATCTCAGTTGAGTGCCCAGCTTAGAGGTCAGAACATTGAGGTGTCAGTATGACTAATGTTCGTCTGATCGACAAAACAACCTTGTTGCCGACAAGATCGTGATGGATTTGCTCTTCACTGACAACACTACTACGACTACGCGAGGAGTGTCACTCGAGGTCTTTGCATTCTGGTGGATCTTTTGAGCAACCGACTTGCATCTTGCCCATATAATGAGCTACAGCTACCAAATGAGGAGGTTGATTAGTAAAACTCAGAAGAGAGCCTTTATAGCTTGATAAGAATGGTAAAATTTGTCTTCCACTGTGGATTTCTTTTGCGTTGCTCGGTCGCCTGCAATCAAGTCTCAACTGAGAGATCGTCCATCAACGGTTCGATCGATTGTAAATGAGTGGCTGCGTCATCCTTACTTGTTTCATGACTTCGAGCAAAAGTGAAGGCTGAGATCATTCACAGACAGTGTTGAATCGCTGAAGAAGAATTCATTCAAGGTTCTTGATCTGATCGTGCGGGCCAAGGCATAATGATCTGCAGCAAAGAACGTAGGTGGGACACCCTTCCCGAAGGCCCTTGATGTGAGCCCGAGTATCAGTGCAGGATATGATCGAGTCCATGTTTTCAGCGATTACTTGAACTTGATATAACAGTACTCGGCTGCTGTGAGCCACGAATGACAATGACAAACTCCATCTGAGCACAACCCTGTCATATTGCAGCATGGAAGCCTGGTATGAAACGCATATGCTGCATGATGACATACAGGCTTTGTTGGATATCGATTCCCCTGGAGTCAAGTGCTCTGGTATGAATACTTGATGATTAGTTTGTTGAAGATTGTCTGTTGTAATGCTGTATTGTGGCGCATCAGTCTGTATGACGAGTTCCATTGAACATGAGTTCTAATGAAATGCATGCTTCGGGGCATGTTCCGAACATCAGTTGGTTGAGTACACATGGCCATTTGGGGGGGGGAAAGGCACATAGCAATCGCACCACTTACAAACCTTAGGTAACCCTTACCTGCCTCAAGAAGGCAAAATACGGGATACGGGATATCTGTAATGTATTAACTCGCATCATTTGGAGATTTTGTAACTAGCTCCTGGTCAATTATATATGGTGGACGGAATCGCCGCGTTGGTGTTTCCGATCCTTGCCGATCATCTCGATGCATCACACGCTCCTGCTCGTCTTGGAAGGAAGAAAACAGTGGTGATCTGGCAGCCCAACAGCGCAGATCTGCCATGTCACACCTGAGGGATTCCGACGTGCAATGATCAGCGTCACCGAAGCCACTGTGGGAACCGTACGATGTTGTCCAGACAGCCGCCCCAGACAACCCGATACCAGTCGCCCATCCTGTCCCGGTGGAAGCACTAGCACTGGAATGGAGCCTGAGGGAGCTAGCAAGCAAGCCGTCGTCACCACAGCGCCATTGCAGAGGACATCAAGCCCCCTATTGCATGCCCAACGGCCACTACGGGCGCCTCATGGTCGTACCAGGGCGGCGATAAAGTTAAGTATTCGTGATCATCTAGCAACGACGTCTCATGCAGGCTTAAGTAGACTTAGCAGCCTAGTGAGAACGTGTCGTTCCTCGGAAGATTACTTAGCGCACTTTCTCGTGCCAAGCGCCAAGCGAGTTGAGGGTTCCTGCAATCGGCAGCGCAAAAATAGAACTCCCTTTACCTGTCGATCTTATGGAGTTCACGGCGACGCGAAGCCTGTTCTGGCTGTCGAATAGGGGCTATCGCAGTAACATGTCGCAAACCAAACAAGAACATCAGACGAAACACATAGCTTGTACGACGACGAGGCAGTCGCGCTGCCCAACCGACACAGGTAAAACAACAGCCAGCTGACGATAGGCAGTTGGGAGAGCGCCTGGCTGCGTTCGGCACCAGAGCTGGCAGCGTGGTTCACGAATCACACAAGTGCCCAGGTGGGACGGAGTAACCGATGCCAGCCAGATATCCACAGGCCAGCCCGGACTTGGCGGTACGTGGAGCAAGACCGTCGGGGGCTCTCTTCCACAGTACATAGTAACTAGGTGGTTCAGTTCTACTGTGCAGCTGGGGGTTTCTGATGAGTTGCGGCACGCGCTGCACATCTTATTATTATGCTGACCAGGCTGCCAGGCCAAGCAGCGAGCTGTTTGCTGGAGGCGTGGAGACAGTGGTCCGGCCAGCCGGCGCAATATGCAAGTTTATCCCAGCGGTCTGACAGCAATAAGACAAGTGATATTATGACGAAGCCCCCAATGTCTGTCGCTTGTTGCTTTTTGCCGTACGCAAGACGCAGTGGAAAGGCCATCGCCTTACAGTCAGTACCAGAGTTTCATTATTTACATATTATCGAGAAGCGAGTGCACCCAAGGACGAAGTGCAGTGGACGCCGGCATTTGCCAGCAGGTGAGTGACTGGTGAACCAGGCGTTGTAGGCAGTCCTCCGTAGTTATGCGCCGCGCGATCCCTCAGCTGCCTCGCCGGCTGGCCCTCCCCAGATGATGCAGGCGATGAGGATGATCTCCTTGCAATACCCAATCCAGCCCGCTGGTCCGGTTGACATCACTGTCCCAGCTGGCCGTCCATGACACGCGCGCTAAGCAACTCTAATAAGCAGCATAACCACAACCACAACCACAACCACGTTGGCACTTTCCAGGCAGTGCTCCGCTTCCACACCACACCACCCTCCTCCACGCCTCCATTACCCGTCGGTCGGGGCGTTTTAGCCCTCTTTCTTTTGGGCCCGTCGTCTCCCTTCCAGCTGGAACTTGATCCAGTTCAATGCAGGTATCAATTAGTCCCCCCGACCTTTGCCAACATTTCCATTCTTCCTTCTCGTATCGCACGTGCCTATCGCGAGACGTGCTGCTGCTCTTTTCAATTCTCATCGCTCGCTTCATCAGTTCCATCGTTTAGTGTCCTTACAGTGCCTCCGTCCATCCGCTCGCTGTCTCACATCAGTGCTGTGCCGCACGCTCGTCACAAGAAAGCGACTTGGCTGGGCCGCGGGAGCATCCTATCCCGTCTAGTTAAGCTCGACTTGTGCATACGAGGGTCCGTCCCTCCCCAGGTCTGCGGTCTGCCAGGGTCTCCATCCGAAAGAAAAAAGCACCGCCGCAAGCGTGCCGCCTCGTTACCGCTAGCCAGGACGTGCACTGCCCGTTCCCAATTTACGAACGAGATCTCCTTTCCTGATAATTTCGTATTGCACATCACCTCTCACCGACGAACCTGTTGAACCCGTAAGCTGCCCTGGACCGATCGCGACCGCTGTGCCTCCGTATCCGAACTTCTGTGAACCCGCCTTCGCCGCGTAGTCGCTCCTGGTCTGCCGCGTCGTTCTTCTGAGCATGATGCGGGTCTAGACACCCTCGTTTCGTTGCGCGGAAGTCCTGGCCGAGACTAGCGAATTGATCTCTCGACAACGATGCCGAACGCCTTTGACCGAATCTCGGGCCATGTCCGTGGCGGCGCTGGGCCTAGCGAAGACCACATCCGTAATTGTGAAAAGGGGCCAGCCGGCGTCCAGCAGCCACGGAACGTTGCGACAAGTAAACGATGGGCAGGCAACCATGACCTCAACGTACGGCACGCGCCGTCGTCCAGCCGTCGGTTTCGACGAAAACCCAGTTCACCTTGGAAACGCGCAGCATTGCTTGGCCCCCTTCTCTTGGCCCCGACCGTGTCAGCAGTCTTTTTGCCCTTCGACAATTGCCTACCGGATAATTACATTTGGTATAACAAAGACGACGGGACTGCTCAGCTGCAATGGGTTCCAGTTCAACTAGACGCGAAATTCGACTTGGAAGACCCGAACAACCTTCTCATTACTGTTTGGGGAAACGTGACTGGCAAGGTTGGGACCGACCCTTTGCCCCCCTGGAATAGCACCGAATGGATAAACGGGACCCAGTCGCTGCTGGGGAAGATACAGGACGAACCCATCCAGAAGAACGCGACGACCCTGCACAGCAAAGTCGATGTCGCCTCATACAAGCCGTTTTCCTCAGACCGAAGCTTCTGTGAGAACATCCAGAATGGGTCGTGTCCCTTGGGTCCTGTCTGGGATGACTCGATCACGATGTAGGTGTTCCGACACACCTAGCCCGCCCATGGCTATCCTTCACAATCCTTTACTGACGCAGACCACAGGGAGAAGCCATATGGCTTACCATATTTCAACATGTCCCACAACTTCAGCTCCACGTATGCCTTCGCATCTTTTGCCCCGACTTTCATCATTCTCTACGGCGACGAAAGCGCCACGCGCATTGGCTGCGTATCAGCAACAGTGACACCGAGTCTTGGAGGCATATCGTGGTTCCTCAGGTTCCTCCCGCTCTTCGTCCTTCTCTTGGTCGCCTTTGCGACAATATTTGCAGCCGTGTTCAGCCCGTGGGGAACGAGTGATGTTTTCCATTGGACCTCGAACTATGGGAGAGACCACGATCTTCTTCGATTGGTGACGCCAGGATTTGGTGACTGCATTCAATATATACAGTTCATTGTCTTGACGGGCGGTCTGACTCTGAACTATCCTGGTTTTTACCAGCCGGCAGTCAGCAATGCTGCATGGTCGTCACTCATGTTCAATGAGAGTTTTGTTGCAGGGGCTGATCCATGGGAAAGCTTGGTTGACGGTGTCTACGTCACCAACGGAACACTTGGAATGCAAAGACTGTCGCAATTGGTGGGCATGGCCGAAGTTGAGGATATATGGGCTGGGATGATGATCTGGCTGCTGGTCATTATCGGCGCAGTACTCGTTGCAGTCCAGCTCGGATTCGTCGCACGGTGGCTTCTGAGGTTCATCAAGGACACACCGGAAGAAGACCTACGAGCCAAGAACATGCCGTTCTCTATGGGAGTTGTTATCCGTTTGGTTTTCAACTACTTTCTTCTACCAATCGTCGCTCTATCGACGTTTCAACTAGTCGTCGCTGCGGAGTCACTCGTGGTCTTGGTAGCAATGGCTGTCGTCACTCTCGCGTTGATCATAGGCTTCGCATCATACTTGATGTATCTCATTGTTACGACCAAGCCACGCGCGCATCTGTTCGACGACCTTCCTACGGTACTTCTATACGGCCCGTTATACAACACCTACTCCGACGAGGCGGCTCCATTCGCTCTTGTGCCTATAATACTAACATTCATCCGCGGCATTGCGATCGGCGCTGTGCAGCTTTCGGGGATCGCTCAGATAGTGATACTTGCTGTGTGCGAGGTCATCCAGATGCTCACAATTCATGCATTCCGCCCATTTCACTCACCGACGAACATGAATGCATACCACACGGGCTTTTCGCTCATGCGGTTTCTCGCTGTGATTCTCATGGTTGCCTTTGCGCCGTCGATGGGCGTTACCGAGGGGCAGAGGGACTGGATTGGATACGTCATTCTCTTGTTTCACGGGGCTGTTCTTGTTTTTGGATTCTTCCTCAACGCACTGCAGACGACTATCGAGGTCATTGCGAGAATGTGCGGTGCTGGAGGTGACGATGTCCGAGGTCAGACGCGCGGTGGTCTCTCCAAGATCTTCGGCGCTCGTCAACTACAAAGGCGTGTCTCGAGGCGCGGCGCCGCCTCTCGACAGAGTCAGCTAAGCACAACAGGCATGCTGGATGCCTACAACTCCTCCAAAGGAGGATATGGCCGCGTGAGGAGCGATTCTGCAGGCACCATGGGCATTCTTCTTCATAACCAGAAGCGAAGCTCCAGTGCTCTAGACGGACGCAGCATGGATGGCTTCTCTGGCCCAATGGGAGGGAGCGTGTTTACGCCGACGACACCAGGGGCAGATGCCAGTACCTTCTCCTTTGTGCCATCACCAGGACATGCCACGCGACCACAGCCAGCTGCAGACCCCTACTATCGGCCCCCTCGAGCGCGCAGAAACACTAATGACGATATCGGTGCATCCCCACCTGGACGTGGCCGTGGTTCGATCGGTAGTATCGACCTTGCCGACAGACGCCTCAGTCAAGCGGGTGGGCCGTTCCTTGATGCTCCCGACTTCGAGAGGTCCGGCTCAGGTAGAGCGACACCTACGCCTGCCCCAGCATCTTACATGCCTGTCTTCGCCCCTAGAGCAGACTACTCGACGAGAGAGGTGGACTTCTATTATGGCGTACGAGGACCTGCGCTGAACTCTGATTCGCCAGGCCGCCGAAGAATGGGGACTGGGCCCGCAGACCCGACTAGCCCGGTCGCTACTGCAACTGGTTGGATTAAGAGCCTGTTCGGCGGAAAGACGAAAGAAAAGGGCAAAGGTTTTGAAGTGGTGCGCAGCGCGAGGATGCCACCGGCGATGAAGGCGCGAGGAGGGGACCTGAGCGACGACGGAGCTCCTGAAGGAATACCTGTCGCCATGGGAGTTTTGCGCAATGGCCCGATCGAGAGCGACGACGAAGACGATGCTCCGAAGACGAAGGTGGAAAAACAGACGACTAGGGACACCACTTCGAAAGACGGCCCGGCCATCGAGAGAGAGTCTGGCAGAGGGTCCGAGAGTGACGACGCGTCAGACGATGAAAGACCGCGTGTGTCAGAGAACCCTCCCTTGCTTCCGGATTTGGATGCTGGCGAGAGCTTCAGGTTTCCGAGTAGGATTCACTCCACGAGAACCAACCGGCAGCCGTCCCAGAGGACTGCGAAGGACGTCGAGATCATACCGCTGCCAGAAGTTCCCAGGAAGAGTTCCAAACGCAATTCGAGTGTCGATCGATTCAACAATCCCTCTTTCAACTTAGTCCCGCCAACAGAAGCCTCCAAAAACCTACAGGTTGGCATCGGCTCCTCTTCGCGGTTACCATTTGATCGCACGAACTCACAAAAGCGGCTCTCGAGTTCCTCAGTCGGCGCCACTGATACCGAGATGCCCTCCGCAAGCCTCCCTGGGGATAGCGGTGATGAACGCCCTACAAGTTTTGGCTATGTCCACCAACACAACATTAGTCGAGTTGACCCGTCGTCCGATCAACATGTTGATCTCCTCGGCAGCGCGGCAGAGGTCGTAGAGAGCTCGAGGAGGGTTAGTCCCAGCTCATCTTTTTCGGCCCGCTCACGAGACGCATAAATGCTTATTTGTGCACACGATTGTAACGAATCTCCTTTGTTGCTTGTACACGATGTATAGAAACCAGCACAGGTCGGGGGTCCAAGTCCTCGAGGAAGCTGCTTGCGGGAATATGTGGCGCAGGAGGGCAACGGACGACTCCTCCCATGGGCATTTCTCTACTATCTTGTCTTGTCTATAATAATCATTTGGGCCTTGTTTCAGCGGCGGCGTTCAAAAACGGGGGGGCAGGGTTGCGCATCGTCGCTGCGCACAGCAAGGCAAATTAGCCAACTGGGTCATGGGGAAGAAAGTGCCTTGTCTGCTTGGATAATAGAGACTCAAGGCAGCGTCAAGTTGGGTCTAGCTATCGTAGCTTAAACCAGGGTACCGAGCTAATAATATTATTGATCTGAAGCGTATATTCCTAGCCGCTCGTGTCTCTGTAGTTCATGCCATCGATGGTGTGATGTTTTTAGTGCACCGCGCAGGGCGTTTAAACGCCGACTGTCAGACAATTTCCGCCTTATCAACGCAAAACCAGTAGAACAAACATGATTTGACACATGCAGGTGCAATACATCTCGAACTGCTTATATTCGGCTGAAAACAAAGGGATAGTAGAGAATGGCTCCTCGAAGAAAGCCAGATGGAGCCCCTACTCCAGGATACCTGCTAGCCTGGCAGCTGTGCAAAATTGGGATGCTAAACTCGGTCAGCACCGGCTCAACCGCGGGGCAGCCGGATCTGCAGCCGGCGCCACTGCATCTTCTTCGCCGGGAACGGGGCAAGTTTTCCGACGACCAGGCCGCTCTTGCACCCAAGAAACCAAGAAACTAGACTCCAGCATGGCGGAAGCGCGGATCTCAGTGCTGTGCTCCGGCAATGGAAGCAACCTGCAGGCCCTGATCGACAACTGCCAGAGCGGCCGGATCCCGGGCAGGATCATCAAGGTCACGGTCAACAAGAAGGACGCCTATGCGCTCGAGCGCGCGGCCAAGGCCGGCATCCCGACCGACTACTTCAACATCGTCAGCCACGGCTTCAAGAAGGCCGGCGAGAAGGACGAGGCCAGGGTCAAGGAGGCCCGCGCAAAGTACGACGCCGCCCTGGCCGAGCGGATACTGGCCGACAAGCCCGAGCTCGTCGTCCTCGCCGGCTGGATGCACGTCTTCTCGGCCGACTTCCTGCGGCCGTTGAATGCCGCGGGCATCGATTGCATCAACCTCCACCCGGCGCTGCCAGGTCAGTTTTTCTTCCTCCCTTTTTCGCTTTTGCATTCCTCCCCAGACCTCACGTGACTGATACGTGACGTCCCCCCTGTTCAGGCATGTACGATGGTGCGGGCGCGATCGCGCGGGCACACAAGGACTTCCTGGCCGGGACGCTCGCCAACGCGACCACGGGCATCATGATCCACCACGTCGTGGAGGAGGTGGACCGGGGCGCGCCCATCCTGGTCAAGGAGATCGTGATCAAGGAGGGCGAGAGCCTCGAGGCCCTCACGGAGAGGATCCACAGCTTCGAGCACGACCTCGTCGTCGAGGCGACGGCCATCAAGGCCAAGGAGATCGTGGGCAAGCGGCAGGCGTAGCAGGTATGGACCGCCGAGTAACCGCCTCTGGGAGTGGGCTGAGATGTTGGATGTCTTATATCAAAAGACAGAGGGGCAAGGGGGCGAGGCACAGATCCAGAAAGAAAAACGGAGAGCCTGATCAGGGCTGTATGATTGATGACTACTATTCAAAGTGCGTCCCTCGAATCTAGTGGATCTTGAAGGTGAATGGACTGCTTGACGGTGGCAAATGGTCTCAAAGAAAACTACTGTGTGTAAACGTGATATCACGCGCACTCCGGGGCATCAAGAACTCCTGTTCATGACACCACCCAAGCGCGCTCTTCGTTTCGGTTGCGACTCAGTCGAACCAACTGCTAACACAGACAAATAACATGAATGACCATTTAGTCACAGATTGGTGGTTTTGATTCAGGGAACTTGAAGTCTTCTCACAACGCGCTTTCTTTCTCCCCACTATATTTCAATTTCTAACACCTTACGTGTTATACCAGCACATATAAGATGCTATACCCACTGGGATTATTTCTCCATATACCCAGGTCATGAAGACAAGGACGTCGCTCACACATCCCCTCTCCACCACCGAAAGGGCAACAAGCCTGGCCTACTTCCGGGTCTCAGCGGACTTCTGACCCTGACTTCCGCTAGACTGCTGCTGCTGTTCCTGCCCGGCGCCACTCTCGGAGCCGAGGCTGTCCGACTCGATCAGGCCGCGCGCGATTCGCCGGCCCTCCTCTTGGTCCGCGTCGCTGTGAATGCTGAGCTCGTAGCTGTTGACGAAGTGGAACTCGCCCCGGTAGTTGTCCTTTAGCCAAGCCCTCTCCTCGCGAGTATATGGTGGCGCGTCTGCCGACTTATTGTTGTCGTTGCTGCCGCCTTGGGATGCCATGGTGGTGCGTTTGTGTCAGGTTGTTTCAGGGGGCGGTGTGAGCGGGCGGTGGAGGAGGAGGAGGAGGAGGAGGAGGCTTTCAGTGAGTGCTAATTGCAGTGGAAAGGGGTGATGTAAGTGACGTTGCCCTGCGGGGGAGGATGGCAGAGCTTTATGTTCTGACATGACCCTGGCAATGCAGTCTGATACGTTTTAGTAAAGGGGGTATACACATAGATAGCTGCACAAGGAGATAAGCTAGTTGTGTGGTAACCCACCTTAGTGGGTGCCACGGATACTTGCATTCCCCATCTTTAATACATCACACATCCCACCCAATAAGGATTGCATCACAGTCCCTATTTGAGTTTCGGCAGATGAGGATTCAGGGAGAGCGCGGAAACCACCAATAGCAACCTGTCCAGCCAGTACAATCAATCGTATGACGGTCATGTAGATAGCCCTAGTCCCAAGGCGGTCATGGTCAACACTGAGAGTTTCAACAGAGACAGTTTGGGTGACGTAGCCAAAGTTCTGTAACTTGAAGAGGCAGTTGCAGCATAGTCATACTCTTTGATACTTGTTTCGTGATTTCGATGCATGGCAAACTGCATTCGTTGCCTTTTCACTGGCTGTCAAGGCCGTCTGTATCAGACACCTAAGTACCTAGATAGGTACTGATCATGGAGAATGTCTTGGAAGAAAAGTCACAGCACAAACCCAGGGTATAACAAATTTCTTGATATGTCAGTCATGATACTATGTTATGTAAATGTAACCCGCTCTATAACGCCTCAGTATGATCAAAATGACGTCTTAAAATCCCCTGGCCTTCCTCTTGACAACGGGCTTCTTGACAGCGCCCGAGGTGACGACCTTCTTGGGCCCCTTGGCGGCAACAGCAGTCGTCTTGGCAGGACCCAGCGCCTCGGCCTGCAGCCTGTCCTGCTCTTTCTGCTTATCGACGGCCATCTGAGCCTCGATCTCCATCTTGCGATTAAACTCGGTCTCAGTGATGCGCTTCTCACGGGCCGAGTAGCCCTTCTCCTTGACAGAGTAGAAGACGCCGCCCAGCTCGGCCAGCCAGTGCGGGTCGACCGATGTCACCGTAGACATGTACTCCTTGCTGGTAAGGATGAGCTCGTGGTAAACGACGTAGTCGGGCAAGAAGCCGAGGCCGTAGAGGGCACTGGTTGGGTGCAGCTGCACCGTCACCGAGGTCCGGAGGTTGACGTACTCGCCAATGCCTTTGACCTTGGCGGCCTGGTGATAGTACCCGGAGCAGATACACTTGCGAATGACGTCCCAGTCCGTGCCACAGCTAATCATCTGCATCTTCTGCATGTTCATGATGTCGAGCAGCTGGTCGCGGATCTCCTTGGCCCTCCGGAGCGACTTGGGGTGCAGGAAGTGGCGTGTGCACCAACCGTCGGAGTAGCCATTGGACTTCCATTGAGAATATACGTGCAGGTAGGTCAAATGGTCGGACTCGGGCACAAAGAACTTCTCCCGTGCTGCGTCAGACTCCTCTTGCCGCTCCTTCGGGCGGTAGAAGACGTTGGGGACGGACAGCATAGAGACGATGGTGACCATTTCCTCACTGCAACCGTATTCTTCCGACATGATGAGCAACTTGGCCAAGGGCGGATCCATGGGGAAAGCATTCATCTTGGACCCCAAGCCTGTCAACTCGCCAATATTGTCAAGGGCACCCAGCGCCCAAAGGTCGAACAAGGATGTAGTAATAACTTCCTGTGGAGGGGGGTCCATGAAATTGAAGTCCAGTAGATCACGGACTCCGAGAGACTTGATCAACAAGACGGTGTTGCTGAGGTTCGTACGCTGAATCTCGGGAATTGTGGCGATATAGAGCTCGTCCTTGTAGGCTTTCTCGGTGTATAGTCTGAAGGCTTTTCCGGGCCCGGTTCTTCCAGCTCGACCAGCGCGCTGGCCGGCGTTGGCTTGAGAGATAGGGGTAATTTGCAGGGTGTCCATGCCCATTCTCGGGTTGTACACCTTGAGCTTTGAATACCCTGCGTCCACCACATACATGATACCATCGACTGTCAAACTGGTCTCTGCAATGTTGGTTGCGACAATGCACTTCCGAACCCCCGGTGCTGCTCGATCGAAAATCTTGGCTTGGAGATCCGCTGGCATCTGACTGTAAATAGGGAGGATGCTGAGCTTCGGCGGGTCATTCAGCGCGTCTAGTCTCTCCCTCAGCAGCTCACACGTGCATTCAATGTCCTCCTGACCGGTCATGAAGACCAAGATATCCCCGGCACCCATTGAGACGTGTATTCTCAGGGCCTGCTGCACAGCTGCATCGACGTAGTCATCAACTGAAGACCCATGGAACATGACGTCAACCGGAAAGGTACGGCCTGGAATGAAGAACTCGGGTGCGCCGCCGAAGAATTCGGAGAACCTCTTGGAGTTCATGGTGGCCGACGTGACGATCAGCTTGAGGTCGGTCCGGCGTTGCAAGATCTTTTTGAAGAGACCCATCAACACGTCGGTGTTGAGCGCTCTCTCGTGTGCCTCGTCCATGATGACACAGGAGTAGCGGTCGAGGTCTTGTTCGTTCAGCGACTCTCGCAGGAGGATACCGTCCGTCATATACTTGATGACGGTGTCGTCGCTCGTGCAATCCTCGAATCGGATGGCGTAGCCCACGGTGCTGCCCAGTTTCACCTCCATCTCCTCGGCCACACGCTTGGCGACACTCATGGCTGCCACTCTCCTGGGTTGCGTGCAAGCAATCATGCCCCGGGTGCCGTAGCCATCTTCATACAAAAACTGGGTGAGCTGGGTGGTCTTGCCGGAGCCTGTCTCACCGACGACGATGGTGACCTGGTTGTCCCGGATGACGCGCATAAGGTCTTCCCTGACGGCAAAAGCAGGTAGGTACTCCCGCTGCTCCCTGAGCGTCTTGCTCTTGCTGAAGTCGGAGGCGCCCTCGCTCTTCTTCATGTGCTCGCTGAACTTGTTGCCGCCGGTCTTCGTGGCCTCTTCCTCGGCCGCGATGGGCAGCGCACTGTCGCCGTCGTCCTCCTTGACCCCCATGAGATTTCCCAGGTTGGTGCCAGCCACCTTTGTGGCCTCCTGTGCCTGGCGCTGCCTCTCTCGCTGCTGCCTCCTCTCCTTGACGACGCGGCTGCCCTTGCGACTGAAGACGGCCATGTCGCTCTGGTAATCCCTGACGGCGGGCACGGGCTCCAGCTGTTTGGTGAAGACGGTCCTCCCGTCCAGGAAGGGCGGCTTGAGGTCGTGAACCAGCAAATGCACGCGCGTGCCCTCGTCGTCGTCGTCGAAATCGTCGCCGAAGCGGCGTTGGGCGACGCCGGACGTCAGCATGCGGTTCGTCTCCCAGGCATCGTTGTCCTTCTGCCTCTGCAGCTGGCGGACGTTCAGGTGTTTCTGGCCGGCCTTCTTCTCGACCATGGCCTGCTCGCGCTGGCGCTGCTCGACCCAGGTGGTGTCGTAGGCGGCAAAGGGGTCGTGCGACTCGTCGCCAAAGGTGTGGCCGTTCTCATCGCCGAGGTACCAGTCTCTGTCCAGGGCGGCCTGGTCGCCGTCGTCCACCAGGGGCTCCGGGGTGTCGAACTCGCGCTGGCGGGGCGTGGACGCGCGAGAGGCAGTCTTGCTGGCGGCGAAGCGCGACGGGCGGTTCGGCAGGGTCGAGTACCGGTCGTCAGACCTCAGGGGGTTGAAGTCCAGCTTCCGCCGCTTGGGGCTGAAGTTGCCGCCGTCGCGATCCATAGTTTCCGAGGCCTGCAGCGGCGGTTGTGTCGTGGAGCAGCTGTTCAATGGCTGCGGCGCGGAGGAAGAGACAGACAGGAACGGACCCCGGGGTCTGCCAAGTTCGTCGTCTCCTTGGTCACCGCACCAGCGGACGGCGGACAGCGGGCTGGGAGCTTGAGGTCTCCTGTACTATGGCAATGACTGGGGTCGCGATAAGATAAGCCCCGCTAAAATTTCAAGAATTTCCCAAATTCTGTACGGAAATTTTGGAGAACGTCGTAGTGGGGGGACCTCGACGATTTATTTATTTTCTACAGCGGCGACGGTGACAGCTCGCATCTGCCGCCCACACTCTCGTTGAGCAAGCCCCCGCGCCTCGCCATGTCTTCCATGATCACCACCGCATCGTGGGTGCCGCGCGGCTTTGCGGCGCCCTTCCCGACCAAGTACAACTTCGACGAGGCCGAGTTCGAGCGCATAGCCGAGCTCGCAAAGCTGCAGCTCGACGATGCGAACGAGGACCTCGAGGAGGCGCAACAAGACGAAGACGGCGGCGCTAACGTCGCTCATGGCGGCACGGCACACGCAAAGTCGGATGCCGCAGAGGAAGAGGCAGACGGGTAAGGGAAACTCTCCCCCAGCCGGTCTTCACGGCCATGCTGCTTGCTCTCTTCTGTCTTTTAACCCTTGCTGACGAGCTTGCATAGGGGCGACGTCGACATCAACGACGACGACCTCAAGGAGTACGACCTGGAGCACTACGATGACGACGAGGACGAGAACCAGCCCGAGGGCCAGAGAATGGACATGTTTGGCAATATCAAATCGTTAGCCTACTACGAAAACAACAAGGACGACCCCTACATCACCGTGCCCGACGGCCAAGATGACGACGACGACGATCGCGAGGAGCTGCAGATCCTAGCCACCGACAACCTGCTGCTGGCTGCCAAGGTCGAGGACGAGCTGGCCCACCTCGAGGTCTACGTCTACGAGGACTCCGCCGACAACCTCTACGTCCACCACGATATCATGCTCCCCGCCATACCCCTCTGCGTCGAGTGGTTAGACATCCCCGTCTCGAAACCGAACGTGGACAAGGACTCGACCGCCAACTTCGTCGCTGTCGGAACCATGGACCCCGATATCGAGGTGTGGGACCTGGACACGGTGGACTGCATGTATCCCAACGCCATCCTCGGCCAGGGCGGCAACCCCGAGGCGGACAAGCAGAAGAAGAAGAAAAAGAAGTCAAAGAAGGCCAACGACGAGTACCACGTCGACGCTGTGCTCTCTCTCGCCGCCAACAGGCAGCACCGGAACCTCCTGGCGTCCGCGTCTGCCGACAAGACGGTCAAGCTGTGGGATCTCAACACGGCCAAGTGTGCCAAGTCCTACAGCTACCATACCGACAAGGTCTGCTCGCTGGCGTGGCACTCGGTCGAGTCCACTGTGCTGCTGAGCGGAAGTTACGACAGGACGGTCGTGGCGGCGGATATGCGAGCACCTGACGCCAAGGCACCCCGATGGGGAGTGGAGAGCGATGTTGAAAATGTGAGATGGGACCCCCACGACTCGAATTACTTTTTCGTCTCAACCGAGAACGGCATTATCCATTACCACGATATCCGCAACATTCCTTCGAACCCGGCCGCAAGTAAGCCGGTCTGGACGTTGCAGGCACACGATGAGTCGCTTTCTTCCTTTGATATCAACACCAAGATCCCCGGCTTCATGGCTACCGGATCGACCGACAAGACGGTCAAATTGTGGAACATCCAACCTACCGGGCCCACCTTGGTAGTGACTAGAAACCTGGATGTTGGCAAGGTCTTCTCAACGACGTTCGCCCCGGATTCCGAGGTGGCTTTCCGCCTTGCAGTAGCTGGAAGCAAAGGCACCATGCACGTGTGGGACACTAGCACCAACGCTTCCGTGCGACAGGCGTTTGCCCACAGAATCGCAGACACGGCTGACACCAAGGTGGAGGATCGCCTCGTTGGCGTGGCCGACGATGACTCTAGTTCAGACTCTGATGAGGGCGACGAAGATCCTGAGAACGACGGGGACTCTATGGATGAGGATTAGCCATCTGGCCTGTGGTCTGACTCTGGAACCCCGTATATCCGCTCTGAGCTTGAACTGGCAAATGGAGATAAGAGGTTAAGTAGACTAAAAACAAGATATCCCTTTGATTGGTACAGCAGTCGGCCGTTAAGACATTGTCAAACGTGATCGTACATTGTGAGGTCTTGAAGCAAGCAATCATCCGAGGAATCAAGGCTCCCGAAATGGAAGATTGAGAACCTCCCGACATTAGCTGGTTCCATCTCCCTTGCCTGGCATGGTGGTGCAAGCAGAGATGCAGCAACTTGATTGGAAATGACGTCTGAACCCAGTTAGTCTTGCAGTCTGACTCAAACTATGAGCCGATCGGTGGACGGTATAGTCTGAATCATGCTTTTCAGCCGACAGGTGATAATACTCGGCGCTCGGATAGTCGAGCTCTTATCGAGATTGAGAGATCGACATGTAGTCATGCCAACTGGTTCAGTTGATCTCGCACGGTTTGACAATTGACGTCTTGTTCATGCAATGGCCTCGAGAATAGCAACCAGCCCCTAGGCAGATAAATTGAAAGGATGTCTAGGCGAAACGCAGGTTGCGGGGCGGAAATGTTGGTGGCCCAAGCTTGTTAAAGCATCTTGATCCTTACTCTCAGAGCTCGGAGCATAGCAGTCAACAGGAGATGCAGCAGGCTCTCGTGGGCGTCGTTCATGTTGGAACCACCTGGTCGTATTGATTCGATGTGGCTCGCAGTCAGACGGAGGCTGAGCACGGAGTATGCGCTGCTTTTTTTGCGCGCGCGACAGAGGAAGGAGACCATCTGCATAGCGGCGATCCGTGTTGGCCCTGAAGCTACGGTCGACGTGCCGGCCGATCATCGAGGCCGAATCATTCCAGGATGGGGGGTTACGATGGTCCTTGCTTTTGGGTGACGGCGATGGTTCCTGAAACATCGGCCAGGTACATGGCCCAATGGTGGGCTGGAACAGTGGCCCAATCACAGGGCGGGGGAGCACGCCTCGTCCGTTTCACACTGGCACCCACCTCTGGCCATTGAGCCATTCAAGATTCTGGACCTGAGCGCGGGCTGCCCCCCTGCCATAGACCCTAGGTTGAGCATGCCCAAAGGGGCAATGATTCGTTATTGGAGGGGACCCAGGAAAGCTAAGCCGACAAGCGTTGCGCTTCTTCGGGGCAAACCCACGACAGGCAAACCACAGGACGGCCAGGAACGGGGGATCCGCCAAAGCGGAGGTGGCTTTAGGTGGGCGGTCTCGATCACCTAAGCGCATTGATGACGGGCAGGCGGCCCTAGTTTGCTAGTTGAACATGTTCGTCCTGTCAAATCATCGCAGGCCGCCCGGTGGGCAGCCTCTCGACAGCGTAACTAGTCGACGCGGCCGGCGGTCCCAGGACGCCGCCGGGAAATTCTCGAAACAGGCCACCTCATGCTGCTATTTCGAGCGTGGCCGGCACCCACGGTCGTGGTACGGTGAGAGTAAGACCACGTACTGTAATCTCTGGCCCTGCAGGATCGAGCGCGATTCGACTCCTGCTTGCAAAGCGTGTGCCCAACGATCGATTGATAGGGTCGAGCCAGTCGTGGGAAGGGGGACTGTGCCATCTGGGTAAAAATGGTCCTGCCGGGTGGCATGTACCTGCATTGGTGGCTGACAACGTGGCCCCCACCGCCAGCGAGGAAAGGGGGAAACGGGCGAGGTGATTGGGCGCAAGACAGCAAAGTCGTCACGAAGGAAGACGCTGATTCGGTCGAGTGTTGGCCACGCCGCCCGCTCGCATGCTATGGTACTGAGCGTAGATGACTTGGCCCGTTCCACCAAGGTCGTCGCTCTAGCCTGAATCGACAAAGGCGCTGAATTCGCGCAGAGACAAGCAGGGGGAGGCCCTGGCTAGTCTTGGGTCCCCTGGTGCTAAATTGGTGGAGTGCCGCCTGGAAGCGGCGGGCGCACATCGCATCGTGGGCGAAGTGGGCGAAGTGGGCTTTTTCCCGTCGTCCTGCCCCTGACATCGACGCGCGAGAGTCGGCTCGCACGCTGGCATTTGGGTCGAAGACGGTAGCACATACATTGGATGCGGGTGACGGTCGTAGCATTCGCGGCGGAGCGGCGATATTTCGTCCAGGTACGGTGTACCTGCTCCCTGGCGCCCATCTTGCCATCCTTGATGGGGTCGCGCTGTTGGCTCTGTACTGCGGTGCGAATTTTTAGTCTTGCAGAGGTTTGCAGCCGTTCCCTGCAATCAATTGTGGTTCACGGTTCACCCTCCCCAGAAGTCGGGTTCGGCCTGCGTTTGCTCTTTATTATCGCCGCTCCCCCATCCCTACGCGTGGGCGAGCCCTTCACCCACTCACTCAACCTCTTTCCTTTGGTCGGGATCTTTTTCTTCCTCTCCTGTTCAGTGTCTAGCTAGTTGAGCCTGAGATCCTCAGTCGCTACCGCGGGCTCGGATCTGGAGCAGTCCTTCCTTTCGCATCGCCATATACTTCACAACAGTCCTTTAAGGAACCCGGTCGTTTCACTGTTTTCTGTCTGGTACACACATAACCCGCCAAGTACATACAAAGAGTTCGGATCAGCTGCACGTTTGGACGTTTGGACACCCGATCAGCTGCAAACCAAGCAACCACCCACCACCACAACAACACGACACTCCTTCAGCACAGAGAGCGCTTCTGGGTCGGGAAAAATCGAAAAATACTATTGGAGCATCGCCGTCACTTCATCAGTGCGCCCGTGATCCACCACCACCATCCTCTGAGAGGACGGTGTATCCGCATTACGACACCGGAATTGTCACCTGAGTCGCGAAACTCTGATTTGACTCGACAGTCTACACTTTACGCTTCTATTCTCCGTTTCAGCATCTGAGTAAACAGATCCTGCTCCCCTTTTAACCGCCTGAATTCCGTCACCCGCCGCAGAGCCCGTCGACCAGGACCAGCAATCCAGCCATTTGGGAAACCAAGCAAATCTCGCCCCGTGCATCGCAACTCTGGGTGCATTACTTTCAATCACGCGGCATAATAGGAAATCCATCTCGCCAGCACCCAGCGCCGAACACAGGCCAAGCCAGCGCATACCCGGGGATTTAGACGCTTTTGACGATCCGAGCGACACTTGAGCGCACCCTGACGCACCCTGAGTGAGCGCCCACTCGCCACTTGCAGCTTCTGATAGGCCCGTCTTGGCGAAAGTCAGTCTGACCAATCCACCTGCCACATCCAGGTGACATCGCGTGCTACGCATAGGAGCGCACCTGCATCACAGCGCCAGCAACTCAGACAATCCAGCACAGGTGCACGAGTGGATCCTGCTGGTTGGTGACTTTTGGCAACCTACGACTATTTGGGACGATCCTGGGGTTGACACCAGCACTCTGGGAATTCTTGGTGTGCCCGCATCTTGTTCTGACTTGCTCATCAGTAAGAGTTCAAAGCTTCGCGGTTTTGCAGGCCAAGGCGGCCCAAGTACATTGCGTCGCGCAGAAACCCAGATAACTCGCCATCAACCTTATCGACACCCGGTCTGCATATATCTCGGCGGCAGCCTTTTCTATTCTTGCCCAGGCTTTCTTCAGATTTCTTTCAAGTCTCTTTCCACATTCGGCAGAGAATCGTTGAGAACCTGCTTGCAAGATGTCTCTGGCACGCGCTTTCACCACGCGGCGCGCGAAGCAGTCTATTGACCTGAAAGATTCAAACAACGTTGTTCCGCAGCGCAGCAACACCACAGTCAAGCGCCATGGATACTCTGGGTCCATCCGCAACAAGATCTCAGCACCCACAGAGCTGACCCACACGACGAATATGCTGGCATACAATGCACCAGACCTGTACCCCAAGTCAGCTTCCTCCACAACTTCATCCAAGTCCTCCGACGATGAGTCCGATGGACACCAAACCAGCGCATCATCGCCACCTACCAGTCCAGATGTCGACTCTGTAGATGGCCGTACTCCATCGCCAGAGCCTAATCACTTGTCATGTTATTTTACCGCTCCGGGTCAGAAGCTCCCCGTCACGAAGGCCCCGGCGCCAAGGATCCCGGCACGCGCTCCCTCGCATACCAAGAAGGCATCCTATGACAACCTAGCTCGACAACAGTCACTCCGGCAACTAAGTCAGTCGGGAGACTCGATCTCCTCCAAGGCTAGCTCTTCCCTGTCACGGTCTTCGTCGACTTCGACAACTGCCACGTCGGTATCCTCTGGCTCCTACCGAACCAAGCCTCAAGTGCCTTCAGTACCAACAATCCCTTCTGAGCCAAGGGTGGTCCCACCCTCGCCAGCCCGGCCAATGCCCCCCGGTAGCATCGAGATACGGGCGAGTCATCCCTTCCGCAAGGAGCTTGCTCAAGTATCAGAGATTGCTGAGGAGTTTGGCGTGAAGGACAGGCTACAAGTAGTCGATGAGGAAGAGCAAGATCTCGTTCGCAAGGGCCTCAACAGGTTCAGAGCCGAGGACTACCTAGCCGAGGTCCAAGGCCTATTCTCGACTTTCTTCGCGCCGGAAAAGACCCAGGCGCAGCCCGTCTGGATCTAAGTGGCAACGACTTGTCCACTGGAGCGGTTCGCTCCGATCTGGGGACATCATCTCTTCACGACATTTCATGTACATAATTGGACGGCAATGTGAAACCGAGATGGCGACATTGCGATAATGTTAAAGAATTCAACGGATATTAGATGGATTATCGAGGTTAATGCTTTACAAGGACGGCCTCGAGCAGGTCGGCACCGAGCAGGCGTTGGGAGACAGACTTGGGAATTTTGATACCAGCACCCCAAGATTGAGATTAGGTTGTCTAGGCAAGAGCAACAAGTTCTTTGGGGCGGTTTCTGTCACAAACTGCGTGGACATGAGTTCAGGCATATTTTTGGTCTAGCTGCGCGCTAGATGGTCAATCGTTTACACTATTTCCTCTTTGCGGGCAAAACCTTGGGGCAGTTCCCAGGGGCCACGGCACTGAGAGATCAGAAAGCATATACCTACCATTCAACCAGATACGCACTTTGGAGCGTGAATAAAGAATTTTTATGAACTACTACAAGCGTTTGCAACTCTCGATCAGTGACCGCATCACGTCATACCACATTCCTCGAGAACATCAAGCCAGAGCCCGTGCATGATGGCCTCATTTGAGGCTCTGAATACTTCCGTGAATCAGCTCCAGCACTGAGCCATATACGTCAAACGTCGTGAAAGGCAGTTTTTGTGGAGCCAAGCCCGTTCGCTGGGTCGCGGACGCTGTCCCTCCACCATGTGCTCAACGGCGACGGCCGTGGTGCGTCTTCCACCAATTGCAGGCGAAAAGGTTGGCCACCAGTCCGAGTGCACATACTGCCCAACAGCGTAAGATTCTCGAAGAAAAGCTCACAAAAAAGGGGGGGTTGCATCGAAACTCCGGCAATGGGCGGGATCTGGTAGGTTGTTGTTGACCCGGCAGTCTCAAGATCGCGGATCCCCCAGAGAATGCGGGCTGCTTGATGGGATTTTGATCGACTGCCAGACAGACCCCTGGCCTAGTTGGGACCCCGGGATCGATCCTGGGGCAGATCATGGCCGCGTCCCGCCCGCGCACCCACTCTTTTCCCCGGCGCTGGCTACCGGACACGGAGGCGCAGCCCGTCGTAGGGGCGCCCCACCTTGCCTTGCGATTAACTAGCATATCTGGTACACCGAGTGTCTGATGTACGACGGGGGACACGGCACTTGAAAGGGCTGTGTATATTCTCGCTACCTAATTCGTGGTACGCGCATCTCTGCAGTTGTTCAGCGGTGAAAAGCTCCGGATCTTGCTTTTCCCTTCGCTCAGCGTGCGTGCCTCTGCGTTCTAAGAGTTATGCGGCTGGCACAAGTTGGCTCGGCCCTCCGCAGTGACAAGAGGGGGTCCGAGAGAGAGAGAGAGAATGGGTTTGGGATCTAAACCTCATTTTCCTTGGCACCGGTTGTGCGCATGGCTGATTAAGCTCAAGGTGATTGTCAACGGGCTTTCACGGTAGTTTAGCGTCTCTTTTGACTACTGACGTCTGCGTGGTCTGCGCGCCAGGACGTGCTGCCCGCCTTGCGTGGCAGATGGATCTACGTCTGTCAATGCACTGGCGTCAATGTCGCGAAAAGGCAAATCCGCCATGACGCGTTTTTGTGCACCGCGCGCAGTATCGGTGTACTGTGGACCGGGCCCTGGGCGTGGAATTCGTCTCGGCTGGATACTAAACGGGCCCAGGTAGTTGCGCCGCGGGCAGCGAGCCGAGCATGTACGGAACCCTGCTCCTGAACTACTGTAGGCCGATGAACCCAAGTTTCCGGGATATCACAGCTTCTTCCCCCTTCTCCGCTAGTTTTCACCTTGGTTTGAAGAAAAAGCCGAAGACCAGGCCATGAGACCGTCGGATAAAATGCTGCCCGCAGCCGCAACACGGCGCTGAGACTGGTTGACACATGTGGCCTGCCGCAGCGCATTCTGCCTCAATCCACGACCCACGCGCGGTGCTCGCGAAGCTGCAGGATGCCGTCCCGGCGTTTCGGCGGGGCAAAAGCCTGGATCCTGGTTGAGGACAAGCCGAGTGCGACCCTAATCGCTGGTCCCAGGTTTCGTCCTGGCTTCCGGTTGGAGACTATAGACAAGTTGAGAAAGCTCACCCGTGCCCGCTGTAAAGCTTAAGAAAGGGCTTATAAGTAGTCTGCCGGGATTGGCCGTCATCAAGCTGTGTATTTTCCAACGCAACGCAGCTGTTCGATTTGCATAATGCTTGAAGAGTCTTCCAACAGGAAACTAGATACTTGATTATGTTAATATGATCATTCTCTTGACTGGAGATTATGGTTGTTCCGTTATAGCTCAAGTGGATTTCTTTCACATGCAATACAATTCTGGATGAAACATATTATGTCGGGTATATATCTATAGGGGTATCGTTATATGTTTATCATAAACCATTATATCCAATGAACCACAACGTCTATTTGTTGTAAACGGCAACATAATCCACCGTGAAGACACCCCCGGAAGTTGTCGTGGACAGAGGCGTCGAGGATCCGTACACACCATTGGGAAACGAGCCGCCGATAGCAAGGTCGAGCAGGATGAAGATCGGGTTATGAACCGTCTTGTTCCACACGGCAGCCGGCATGTCCGTATCAATAACTTGCCAGAAGAGTGTGCCGTCCAAGAACCACCGCACCGCCTCGGGCTTTGCGCTGCGGTCAACCTCCAGAGTGTAGGTGTGGAAGTTCCCCTGGCAGGCGCTTCCCGGGCAGGTACGGCTGCCTCCAAGGCCGTTGGCCTCGTTGCACGCGCCGCCGGGATTTGTGTCGCAGTGTAGGACACCCCTTGAAGAATGTTAACCCTCAGATACTCTATGGCCAGGATTCTTCTTACTTACCAGGCCTTGTTCAACCCGTTCACGTTCTCCATGATATCAAACTCGCCAACGCCGGGCCAGTTTCTAGTAAAGAGTCAGCAAGGTTATCTCGCCCAGAGAAATTGCACGGCGCCAAGATCGGAAAGGGTTTACTCACGTATAGTTGCCCCTATAAGCAGCGCCCAATGCCCAGAATGCAGGCCAGTAACCCACAGGCTGGCTGACGCTGGGCAGCTTCAAGCTGGCCTGGATCCGCATGACGCCACCTGCTCTAGCCATGAAGTCCTTGCGTTGCGTCTCGATGCGGCCCGACGTCCATGCGCCGCTGCTGTCCTTGAGGGCCACGATCTCAAGCGCACTTGCTCCGTTTAGTCTCAAGTTGTTGACACTGCTCGTGTACGTCTGCACCTCACCCGTGCCCCAGTTTGCGGGACCGCCGGGGTAATTCTTGCCGGTATCTGTGATCCAGTTGGCCGAGTTGGGAGGGCTATTGCGTCCGCCGTTGAAGTCATCGGTCCAAGTGACCGTGAAGCCTGCGATGCGCGGGGCGGCGGCCTGGGCTGCAGAGGCCGCCACAGCCAGACTGACAAGACTGCGGAGAAGTCCCATAGTGCTTGTCCGAAAGAGAATATGGGTGGGAGAGAAGGGCTATAGAGCACCTAAACAGCACTGTTTGATAGAAGGACTGACGACGAGCGAAATGGCAACATACTGGCCCAATGCAGCATCACCACCTAATATATAGCTTTGCCATTCATGATATCGTGCCTGGTGTTGCGGTCCAGATCCCCCATGGTTCCCCGGAATGGGAGACATGCCGGAGACACTGCTATCGAAAACCCGGTCCAGATTTCCCAAACGAGTATAACTGGCTAAATCTCAGCCGCAGCCCAGACGGGTTTTGGGTATAGTGCGAGATATAGCGCCTCTATAGCGCCTAGCGCAAGACAAGCGAGACGCATCCAGACCACGAGCGATTTTAGCTCTCGGGCCTGAAGAAGAAGCAAAGTCGCCTGGCAAATCAGACACTGTCTTTGCATTCCGTTCTGGAAGGCCGAGTCCGAAACTTGAGCGCTTGCTGTATGACATCTCAGCTGTGCGACAGGGTTCAGGCGTCTGGCAATCGAAGCCAGGAGAGGCACGCGGTGTTGTCAACGCGTGTCTACCTGGTAGTTAGCTTGTATTTGTCTAATGCCAAAGTCTAGACCCAAAATCAAGTGCTAGAAGCGCTCCAGAACTGCTTGTGTTTAGCGCTTTGGTTTCGCCGTCGCCGGCGCTCTACTCCACGCCTCTGGGCATCCGGCTCGTTTGTTTTTTCATGTGCTCTGACGGAGTAGATGTGAGGAACCTAATTTCGTGCGAGAGGATTGACTGGTAGACGTGCCTTGGATTATGCCTACCTTGTGGCGACTGATCGTTAAGTATGAATTTCACGACTGGCATGAACAGTCCAAATTTCACATTCGTATTTTCGACTTGTGGCTAGCGAGTTGACTGTCTGGAACAGAGCACTAAGTCCGGCTACAATCGTCGAAGAAATTATTGTTCGCTAGATAGCTTCAGTAGGCTTTCAGACAAGCCCGTAAAAGACCACTGTATGCACGCTTCTTGAATATACCCTCTAGAACGTGTAAATCCAGTGATTATGACGATTTGTGCCATTTTTTGACGACTTCTGTTCCATGGACATACCCAATAACTTTAATCCTGTCATTCTAACTATTCATTAAACCCAGGGATTCAAGTTACTTTGACGCGTTGGTGTAGTGACTATATGTCTGGTTGGAAATGGGATGATTCTACTAGATACGCATCGGCGGTTTAATAATGATATAAGTCACGTGGTAATTCCTGTGCCATATATCATGGTGTAAACGTGTGTTGCATTGACAAGTAGGCTAAGTATCTAAGCCTTGCAGTCGACAACGGGGAATGCAACGTCGGAGAGGCAGTAACCGCTGGTTGCTACACGCGAGGCCGCATCACAGTTGTCGGGGTCGGAAGTGTCGCTGCATTGGTGGCACAAACATGTCAGTTACGAGAAAAAAGAGTATTTGACAAAGAGACGTGGCAGCACCCTGGGGAACGACTTACCGGATGTAGTACAAGTTACACAGGTTTAACGAATCCTTGTAGTCACCATCAATCGTGATCTCGTAGTATACCTCCGGGTGCCCCTGCAAAATTTGGCCAATTAGATTTGTAGAGATAACGAGATAAATAGCAAGTGGTATGTAACTACCTCCAATTCATAGCAGCACTTCTTGACGTCCCGCTCCTGAATAGCAGGTGTGGCAATGGCCAACACGGGAAGCAGGGCCACAACAAACGAGAGCTGCATTGTGAGATATGTTTAGAGCTGAGGGTCTTGTGATGATGAGTAAGTCCAGGTAATTCAAACGGCGGATGAGTACGAGATAGAATATAGACTTGGTATTGGGATTCTGGCTTACTTTTATACTATAAGATCGGCGAATATCGTCTTTTCCCTTTCTACAAAGGTTTGCGAGACCTGGCGAGGTGGCACGATGTTCAAACCTTGAATTGTGTTCGTTGTCTTAGCAGTTGACGTAACTAAGAAGATATCGTCGTCGTGGTGGGCCGACTAGGATAACACGATGCTCGCCAAGCCAAGACGCGTCTGCCGGGTGGATCTCTCATCTCCTTAAGCTCAATCAGGCTCATGCATTGCCAAGTGGTGACAGCGTCCAAGTTGATTTGTAGCTCCCTTGTCCTCAAGCTCGTATTATATAGTTTGCCCCTTGCCTATGGCTTCCGTGTCGCGCCTCGCCCCCCGTCAAAATCATCTCAGCTCCGCTGATCACTGGCTGCAGTTGCAACGGAGCCCGCACCGCTCCGAAGGGGTTCTCCCATGCCGAGAGTCAGGACGGGCTTAATAATTCATGACCAAGCAGTGATGCTGACTTTGCCACGCTGATTCGAAATCTTAAGCTCAAAATATACGTCATTGGGCTTTCAAACAGTGATAGTATAAGACAGCACCCAACAAGACTTCGGAAGTGCTTCGAACACGTGTGTTAACTTCCACACCATAATTCGATTTCGCATTCATGCCTCATGCCTAGAGGGCTGGCTATCAGAGTATGTATTCCTCGAAGACTGATAATTCCCCTCTTTGTGATGATTAACAAAGGGCCATCGCAGCCCATGCCTCGGTTCTTTGAGCCTCTTTGCCAATATGTACAAAGAAACACACTCACAATGGTGCAATTTTTTTTTAAAGGGAAATGATTTTCTGGACAATGAATGGTCACGGTATATATGGCTCAACTCAGTTGCTTGAGATACATCATGTTGGCATACCAAACTGCTAAAACTCCTCCAACTATAACAGCGCGTTTCTTACTGGCCGAGAACCGCATCCGCTTCGTTCTTTTACAGTCGTATACTTTGTATTACAAGTTAATTCAGTTCACTTTTTGCACAGGATGCAGTTTGGTTGGGTATTCAGTTGCTGCTTCAGCCAGGAGGAAAAGAACAAGCAACTGAACGCAAGGCACCCGGCGATCCTCCGTACAGTTCGGGCACAACCGTCTCCCCAGCGTATGGAAGTACCAGCGCTCCCTAAGAGATCGCCAGAGGTGGAGCAAGGCTATGACATAATACTGAAGAGTATGCGTGCCGGCCAACAAGGGGAGACTCCCCGCGTTGAGCCCGAGACCACCATAGTTGTCCCTGGGTCCTCCAGAAGCGATGAGGAGGTCACGGCCGAGAATGTCCAGGATAAGCTGGCGGACCTCAGAGCTGACATGCAGCGGTACAACAGTGTCGTGACCTCGAACAAGGTTTCGGACTCTAATGTTGCCAGCGTAGACGAGCAGGCCAAGCAAGTTCGGGATAGCTACTATAGCGCATCGTCTTTGCCATTATACGAGAGCGATACGGAAGCAGTGATTGGCACCGCAACTGCTGTAAATGTTCGCAGTTTGACTGGTTCAGCTCGCGCACAGGTTACCGACGTGTCTAGTCCTCAGGCTACCAATGCTGAGCTCTTTGTCATTTCAGATTCTCAGGACGAGGATGAGGACGAAGATGATGATGCTGGGATGTCCGTGGATAGAAAGGCTGATGAATCCACTGAAGCACAGGGTCAGCCCAAGGCTGATGTCGGCGCTTCGTCGCACGTCTCGTCTGACTCGCTAGAGTCTATCGGTCTTAATGGACAAGCCGAGGATGTCGTCTTTGATTCTGATGAAGAGATACAGTAAGTCGCGGTAGGTCAAGGACTGGATGAAGTCTATAGACTGTTAAAAGGTTTGTGGATTCGGCTCTTAAAGGCTTGGAGTGCGATATAGAGTTGCATGGGCGTAGATGACCTAGCAGGCTAGAGCGATAACGATAATTGGTATAAGCGTAACTAATATGGAGTTGCGAGATTCTTCGCAACGTATTGCTAGAGTGAAACTATTGAAGCGAGTACGTGCGTTGGTTCGAAATAAATGTGGCGTGAAGACAGAAAGACATCAGGAGCTCAAGCTATAGCTTTCCCAATGGCTCTATTTCCAGCTACGAATACGAATTCCTCAGTTTGTTGAAGTTTGCTCGAGACCACCGGAACATTATATTATCTAGAGGTCGAACTATTGAAGAAAGTCAAAGGCAGCTGCTGCTTGCACCTTTGCGACCTGCAAGAACTCGGTGATAGACGCAGACTCATTGACTGCCGCCACTGTTTACCCACGTCAGTCCTCAAAGTTGCCAAATCAGACAACGAAGATAAAATGTCTTGACCTACTACTGAAGGGGCTGCACCCATAGACGTAGCCAGGTATGCCCGCGTAACGATAGTGTTTGCAATCCGTAGCTCCCATAGAAGGGATAGCGACCGGGTGGGTACCGGGAGCGACTGCCTTGGCGTTGTCCCCGAGGAACCCGACCATGGGATGACTGATGGACGAAAAACTGGAGGGATTGCTCGCAGCCTCCTGTACTTTAAGCTGAATGGTTGCCTCGACGTACTGTGGCCGCTCAGTGATAGAGTGAAGTTTTCCCATCACATCTTCTGCCGTCAAACCAATGGGTAGTCTGATATCAAGCTCAAACTCGCAGAGCTCTGGGATTACGTTCACTTTTATGCCACCCTTGATTGTCCCAACATTGACCGTCGGACGCGCAATAATCGTAGAGGTGCCTTCGCCCATTGCTTCGTCGACGATCTTGAGGACCTCGGGCTTCTTCAAGTGACGATCGATTTCGTCTGGTATGTCGAATTGCATGGACTCAACTGTCTCTATGGCATCTGAAATGAAGGCTGTCGCGGTTCGGATAGCTCCCTTGCTTCAAAAGTAGGTCAGCATATGAAGCCAAGAAAGGACTGTATGCTGGCTCTCAACCCAAAGGTGGAGGCCGAAAGAGGGCATCACATGGTAGAGAGAAGAATTTTAGAAACTTACCTCAAGTTCAAATATGCACCAAGCGCCCCCCTGGTTTTGATAGTACCAGACAACCTTAAAGTTCCTTTTTCTGAGAATCTGATGGTTTGGCCCGTGGGTTCCGCGCTCAGCATAACGTCACCTCCCCATCTCTCTCTGTCTTGTTGTATCAAATACTTGGTCCCCCATTTCCCACCCGTCTCTTCGTCCGAGACCGCACAGAGCGAGACGCTGCCCTTGAGGGATTCTCTTATCTCATACAGATGTGCGTATGCTACTACCAGTGATGCAGTGCCAGACTTCATATCAACGACGCCTCTGCCATGCAGGCGCCCGTCAATGATGTCACCCGACCATGGGTCTCGAGTCCAGTCGCTGCTGTCACCTGCAGGGAAGACGTCGATATGCCCATTGAGCACTACGCGTGGCCCAGGCCCCTTACCGCCGGCAAACTCGCTGACCAGGTTTGGGCACCCTGGCTTGGCGGTAATCAACTGGTAAGGAATGCCCTTCTCGGTGAGGTACTCGGTGAGAACAGCGGCAGCCGCTGTGGTATCTCCCGGAGGATTAGGAGATGGCGCTTGAACAAATCCTTGAAGCAGCCGGATCTGACTCTGCTCGGTTGATCCAAGAGCCTGAAGAAGGGCTGTCTTTGGATCCATATGTATTGCGAAATGGCGGGTCCAAGTCTGAATTGACGTGGCTGATGTACTGATTCTTGAATTATATTTGAGGTGTTAGCCAAGAAAGCTACCAATGACTGTGAATATGGGTGTTGTTACGCCAATCCATTGTTTGGGGGCCTTTATGTAGATGAACAAGAGGATTCATCTTTTACTAACATATGCATGCTGAAGGCTCGGCTTCGGCTTGCGGCGTCGGTTTGGGTTCATCTTCAGTTCGGCCCCGCATCGGCTTCAAACAGGTTAATATGTGATCGAGTTCCACCACTGCACCGAATCTACCATGACTCACGGGCCCATTTTGATGATGATACGGACACGTAGATTGTTCTAGGGTTCATAGTCATCCTTTCGTATATTATATGAGGCCAATCTTTCTTTTGCCTTGTCGGTATCGCCTCCTTCGAGGTTGTCTGGTTCCGCTGCAGAGAGAGCTCTGCTAAATCGATATATTTCAATTGCAAAATCGAAAATACCGCCGAGAATGACGTGTTAAACAAGTGTAAGCACAAAGGTCCGGGAGAGGTGCATGTCATTACTCGATGCCCCAAGTTTGAAGTATGGGAGTATTGCTATCATGAGTCTATACAACCACACAACTATAGGCGCTGGCGAAGGTGTTGGCAGGGGGTGTTCAGTAACCAATCAGCCAACTAGGTGCCTACAGGGGATGTTGGAAGGCCCCCAAATCCCAGGTGCACTAATTAACCGCACATGCAGCCCCTGAACCCCTTATCAATTAATTGGCAGCAAAGCACCATGGTGTTAGGGAGAGCTACACAAGAGCCGGAGCTTAGCTGAGCGCGTCCCGACATCACCAAGTGCAACTCCGAAAACCTGCGATCTGCTGCCCGGGCCATGAAGGTGTAACCTCATCAACGTCACACGGACGCAAAACGCCAGCGAGCCCCGCCGACCCAACGGTCCTGAAGTCGATCATTCGAATGTAGACATCGCCCTTCACAAATGGTGCGCTTCCCCGCGCTCTTCCGCCTGCCCTCGAAGCTGCGGCGCCGGGCCCGACGCCGCAGGATGAACACCCTACTGAGCCTCCTGGTCATCGTACTACTGCTCCTCATACCCTTCTACATCATCTACAAGCCACCGCGGCTGCTGATTCGGTACTTCTCGCGACGCTGGCCCGACGTGCTGTGGGAGGTGGAGACCAAGACGAAGGTGGTGGCATTGACGATTGACGACGCGCCCTCGGAGCACACGGAGCAGATACTAGGAGTTCTGAAGGCCTATGACGCGACGGCGACCTTCTTCGTGATCGGGGGCCAGGTCTCCGGTCGCGAGGAGATCCTGGCCGACGTGGTGCGCAGCGGCAATGAGCTCGGCAACCACGCCATGCACGACGAGCCGAGCCGCGCTCTGAGCGACGATGAGCTGACGGCCGAGATCGAGACTGTCCGCGACAAGATCCGAGCCGCATACAAAACCGCCGAGAAGGACATGCCGCCGCAGTACTTCCGGCCCGGGTCCGGCTTCTTCAGCGATCGCATGCGACGCCTTGTTGACAAGCTGGGGTACCGGTTGGTCTTGGGTAGCATATACCCGCACGACCCACAGATCAAGTTCTCGTGGCTCAACTCGAAACACATTCTGAGCATGCTACACCCTGGAGGCATCATTATCTGCCACGACAGGCGGAAATGGACAGCGCCCATGCTGCGGAGAGTGTTGAAAGAGGCCAAGAATAGGGGTTATCAGGTTGTCAGCGTCTCGGAACTGCTGAAAATCACAAGCGGTAATTGATAGCCCGCTATATGGGCTGATGACATATAGAACGAGCGGATCGTGTAGGAACGGGAGTGTACAACAACGGAACCAGCCTGGCTGCATCATCATTGCCAGTGGATCGACTTGAAATCTAGGATTAGACAAAAACGGGAAATGTTTGACGAAAAGATTCAATACCATTACTTAACGAAGCACAGTTGTTTTCGAACAAGATCGACTTTCATGGATTCAATTAGTTGCAGATGCACTGCTTCCACCTTAGGACTGGGTTTAATAAACAACTCTATCGACAAAATGGGAGATGCTCTCGCTTTACGCAGGCTCCGTTCTTAAGTAGCTGTCTTCTCCTGGATCAAAGCCTTGAAAGCTTGCTCTAAATCATCTCTCAAATCTTCCCATCCCTCGATGCCGACACTAACCCGAAGCAAGGTCTTCTCACAGCTCGCATCCGACATGGACCTCCACTCGATCAGGCTTTCCACGCCACCTAGGCTCGTCGCGTGGTGAAATAGGTGTAGTTTACTCGGAAGCCTCTTTGCATCAGTCTCGTCCTTCGCGCAGAGCGAGAATACTGGTCCGAATCCGTTTGGCATCTGCTTTTTCAACCAAGAATCCTTACCATCTAGGTCATCCGCTTGCAGACTCGCATGCTTGACTTCTTTCAACACCTGGTTGACCGGGCTTCCTTCCTTCTTCAGCTCAGAGACTAGCCACTGCACCAGTTTCTCCGAATCGTGGCTTTGCTTCTTCACTCTAATCTCCAGTGTTCGCAAGCTCCTGATTCCCAACCAACCCTCCATACTCCCGAGTACGGCACCAAGAACCAGCCTCTCTTCTGTCAATGGCTTGATCCAGTCGCTATGCCGCGGAGCCACTGTGACTACACCACACAGCATATCACTATGCCCTCCAAAGTATTTGGTGCCGGAATGCATCACAGCATCCGCTCCCCACAAGAACGGGTCCAGTAGCGGAGGCGGCGCAAATGTGGCATCAACTGTCAGATAGGCACCGATCCTCTTGGCCTTCTCGGCATAGAACTCAAGATTCCGCGCCTCGCCCGTAGGGTTCAGCGGTGTCTCGACGTGTATGACATCTCCACGACCAAGCTCCGAGTCTATGCAGTCCAGATCCACCATCTGGAGCCCTGTAAGTCGTGAAAGCAACCTGATGACTCCGTGGCAACCGTGATACCCTCCGCCTATAGCAATGCGCTTAGGGTTGATGCGCACCAGCAGCGCGTGGAAGGCCGACAGCCCGGAACTGTAAGTAAGAGACGGACCATGCAATATGGAGGTCAGGATGGCCTCCAGGCGCGTGGTGTTGGGTGCTGTCATGCGGGAGTACACGTGTGAGTCGTAGGGGTTGGCGGGCTGGACGGGATACGTGAGTTTGTCTCTCTCGAACGTAAGTTGATCATAGAGAGATGCATTTGGGCTACGCTACTCACATTGTTGTTTGAGAACTGCTTCAAATCGTCAGGGTTTCTATTATAGCGGAAGGTTGTCGAGACATGCATGGGGGGCGCGACAGCCTGGTGGGAGTTCAAGTAGTCATCTGCGTGGATAGTCTGAGCCGAGAGTGAGAGATGCTGTAGTCTCGTTGCTGGTGACTGGTAACTCGTGTTGATGGTGTTCGGCGGGTTCTCGTGGGCCATGCCATCGACGAGCTCTGGCTGAGCCGCCGTAGAGTCACTGGTATCCCCCATGATCCCAGATCCGTCACTCTGAGATCGAGATACAAACCTGGGGCTGAGGTTCACTCTGGTTTTCAAACAATGCAAAGAACTTCTGAGGTTCTATTCAACTCTGCCGCATCCAAAAGCCCAAAGCAGTTGGTAAAACCCGAGTACTTGAGAAATGAGAGAGTTTGGGATCAAAACCAACATCATACTCAAGTGAACGTTGGTCATTCGGCGCCTTCTGGTTTACAAGCACCCCACATCAGGACGTCGGCGGGGTAGCTAAGCGTCTCCAGCGATGTTATAATCGCGCCATTCTGCATGGGTGGACGCCAGTCGAGAGAGCTTATGACCCTTCCGCTCCGTTATCGGGCGTGCACGGTCAAATACGGCTTCGCAATGCCTCGAGCCTTTGGTGACAATGAGTAAACGACTTACCACTCAAATCTACCGCTGATACCTCTGCAAATCATTAGAGCGTGACTTCTCTCGTCCATGGAAGACTTCTAAGCTGATTGGAAGTATACAATTTGGAGAGTCTAGTTGATAATGAGACCTCTACACATGGCTTTGCATGGGTAACAGAAAAGAAAACAATACCGATCCCAAAATTCTCTTGTCATACCATTCCCTCGAAGATACATTACCTCTGCGGTAGCCATGCCACCCTACCGAGTATGCAAGTTGGTGCTTGGCTTCTTGTCTCTCACTCATTCAATAATCGTTCGAATAAAATCAAGATCTTCGCCTGCTGGGATAACAATTTTTGGTGGAGTTCCTTCGAAGAGGGCAACTCCATCTTGAGGTATAGTTTATTGGCTTCAGTGTAGCCCACATCCTGGCCTCTGCAGCTTTCCGAGTTATGCTGCAACGGTCTTTTATTTGGGAATGTGTTCAGAAGGACAGAGCGTTGATGGCAGTCCCCATTTGGGGCAGCAACAGATCTCCCCTGACATCCAAGCGCACTGCAGACGTCAAGTCTGGTAAACGGTCGTTGGCAGTTTCTGGCGATACACTTAGCATTGTACGCCTGTGCAGTATTTCGTACTGATTACCTTAGCTCTATAGCTTTGCTGAACGACTTCGAGCAAAACTCGCAGACAAAGCGCTTCTCATCTGCCAACTTCCCAAGTCCCACAGTTGCATGTCGCTTTCTTGCCACAAGTTGAATATTCGTGAAGAGAGAAGTGTCCTCCTCGTCTGAATCGTTTGTTTCATTCAAGTCCCAGGCGAGATTAGCGGAATCCCCGGATACTGGCTTTGGCATCCTCTTTGCTAGCGCGGATCTGCTCGTTTCATCATCGTTGAGCTCACTTGTTCGTTGATACATAGTGCCGCATCCAGAGCTGTTGCGCATTAGTGCAAGACTGACGACGAGCTTCTGTCCAGGTACCCACCACCGTACACTGGATTTCAATGATGACGCGGGTACCGTATGACAATTAGGGCAACTCGATAGAGCTGTGTTGGGAGTCATGCTCTCCTTGCAAATGATACTCATATAGATGGTCAGTCTGGGGCGAACGGCCATGCTCCAAGGTATGTCTCGGCGGATCAACCTGCCACTCTCTTGTTCTTGCAGCGTATATCTTTGGGCTGCAACACGCTTCGCTCCTCTCCTGTCTTTGAACCGAACAATGAGCAGTGTATTGAAGGCTTCCCAGGAGTCTATAGTGCGCAAATGGATCGGGACTACCCGACCAACCGCGTCCTCAAGCATGAAGAATTCTTCTGGAAGAGGCCGCTCTATACTTGCCAACTGGGTTGATCTAATGGCCATGACTTCTCTGTATATCAACAGATTCTGGAAGATAACCCGGCGGGAGAGACTCAGTACCTCTTTGCTCAGATTCGCAGCTTCGCTGACGTAGCTGGAAAGTGTTTGTGTCCATGTGGTATTGTCTGATTGCCTTTTCTGTTCGTTCAAATGTGCAAGCTTTCTGTGAAACCGGGTCAATTAGAACGACTTGATGTCCTGCAAAGTCACTTACATGCTGGCAGTACTAAGAATTACATCCATATTGCTTCGATGATTTGCGGTTTTCACACGGAATTTCTCCAACTCCTTGCCTTGCAACCTCCATTGTATCTTTGCAACAGACGTTCGCAGAGAACTTCCAGAGTCCTTTCCGAGACTCTCGTCGTACTTTTGGACGTGTTGCTTGAATGCATCAATTTCCCATCGACAAGCTTCGACCGAGGTGAACGCAGCGTCTTTACATTGCTGTAGTTCTGGAACTCCGAGATTCACTTGACAAACTTGGTAAATTTGTAGTAATGTATGGTCTAGTACATTCAAATCCTTCACTAGAGCTCTGTATTCTGATGTTGAGCCGCGTGCGTCATCGAGCGCAACGACAAACTCTTTGATGATGATGCTGAGAGAGACAAAATCTCCAAATGAGCCGAAAGTAGGCGAGAAGGACATGTTGAGACATGAAAAGCAGGAAGGAATCGTGAAAAGTAAGTTGGGATCCGAAGGCTATGTGAAATATATGGATAGTTTGCGAGTGAGGCTGTGTCTTCTGCACGAGTTCATTGGCTCTGAGCTGAGGCCCCATGTTGAGCCTGACAAGGTTGAACTTCGAGTGGCGGAGCGCAATCAATAACAAGATGCCAACATTCAATGACCGCCGTAACTGCATACTTGTATTGCTTCTTCTTATTTAAGCTCCAATTTGGCATGTTATCGTCGCGGACAAGGTATGAGGTTAATTTGGTAGGAAAGTTGAACCCCGATGCCGTGCCAGACTTCTACCCGAGCAGAGCCTTCTCAGATTTCAAGATCTCAGGTATCTCATCCTCGATACTCTGTCGGTGGGGCTTCCAGCCTAAAGTCTTCCTCAAGCGCTCAGCCTTGCCCCTGGAATTCAAGCCCCAGCTCACAGCTTGGAAATCTGCAATCTCGAACGCCTCGTCCCTGCTAAGCTTCTCCTCCGCAGGCTCAGCCTTCAGGTACCCAAGTTCGTATGCCTCCTTAGCCATGGCCTTCGACAGTTCACCCCACACGAACTCCCCGTTCTCGGCGAGGTGGTAGCCCTTGGCACCCCAGAGCTCCTCGGACAGGTTACCCGCTGCTGCGGCTTCCGCGAGCAAGACGAAAGCATCGCTCAGGTCGTGGACGTGCACGCTGTTCCAGCGAGCCTTGCCCTGCCCAATAATTGGGGCGTATCCCTTTTTAAGGATCAAGCTGCCAAGTTCGTATGCCTGACGGCTACGGCCCGAGACGGGGCCGCGTCCCTTACCGTAGATAGTCGGCGGGCAGACGATAGCAGTCTTGACGGCATCGCCATGTGCCGTGCCGCACTCCAGCACGATCTTGTCGACGTTGCGGTGGAACGCGGCGTCCGGAAGGTGGGTGAGTTCTGACACACCCGACCAGTCGTTGAACTCCTTCTCAGACCACTCGCCCAACTTGTTTGCCGAATCGTCAAAGTATGTCAGAATGCCTGTACCTCCCGTGTGTAGCCAGAAGCCTGGCTTTGAGGCCGAGTGGCCAGATGCCAGACCTGCCGCGATGGCCTTGGCAGCACCTTCGTGGTCCGAGGCATCTGCGGTGTCTAAGAAGTAGATAAGCATGGTGTTATGGGCTTCTTGTAAGCAGCAGATAACTCACGTAGAACGATATCTGCTTTCGATGCTTCTTCCTCGATGATTTTCGAGTTGTCAAGGTCGCCAATAACTGCTCTAACCTTCGGGTACTTGGCTTTCACCTGGTCGGCCTTCTCCTGGGTGCGAACCAGAATTGAATATTCCCAATCTGGATGAGACTGATTGAGCGCATAGAGCGCGTCACCACCGATGAATCCAGTCGATCCCGTACTATGAGGGGTTCGTCAACCATCTAAATGACACTTTCAGGCGGGGTTATACTGACATGAATACCTTTGGCGCCATGCTGCTTTACTTCAATACTTAATCTGAGTTGAATATGGTGTTTGACTGTGTTCTTGTTGTTTGATGAATTTCTGGACGTGCAAACGTAGGCCAAGAAATTTTACAGCTTGGGGGGTAATAATTTATCCTCGAACTGTCATGACGCAAGTGAAGGCTACGGCATCCATATACGTGCATGCACGTCCCCGAACCCCACACACGATTATCTCTGTTTTCTGGGTTCTATCGCCGATCTGGATTATAGTCTAACTTGTGAGTTTCTCCAGTATTCTCTTGCTTGAAAACCCTCGGGTTATCGAACGTCGATTTCTAAGCCAGGGTCCACTTGACCCCGGGTGTATAGTAGGCAGCTGTCGAGGATAGCTTGACCCCGCTTCCACGGCGCAATTCGGACCTAGATGAACTCTAGAGCTACGATGATCATCAACAGCTTCTTGGCTGCCATTGGCGGTCGCTTGACTGCTTTACGTCTTTCCACTACCGTACCAGACATGTGTGAACTGACAGAAAAACCTTATGGATGGAACTGTAGAATCGATCACAGCTGGGAACATGGATGGGATTTTACGAAGTGCCAAGCCACAGGCGTTGCTCAAGCTGAACTGAAGTCGTTGAATCTATAGCTTCTCAATGTGCATATCCTGACGGTTTACCGAGTCCTTGTTATGCTGTTTACTGCTGTAGTAGCCTCCACCAACGGGCCAGTCAGCGCGTCCCTATTGCGGTTCTGCCTCACTTGGTAATTGAGACTGTTGAACGAACGATGATCCATAACATCTTGCGTTTCTCTGACTTCTAGAAATTCCATCGCACTTCTGATGACTGAATTCAATTCTTTTTGAATAATTGTATCCAGTCTCAAGTTCAATCGACTCCCAATTCCTCGTGTCGTTGGAACCATGTTTGATACTTGCACTGCAAATTTAGCTCCTCAGCAAGACGTGGCGCGCGCCAAAGACGTCAAAGTCCCAGCTTTGTCAGCAGGGTTAGAGTCTGATATAATCCAACAGGGCAGGCTCAGTCCATACTGGACTATCCACAGATATATACGAGAGCAGGGGAAGCATCATGGTACTCAATTTCTCATGAGTCTAGCGGAAGCAACAAAACTAAATGGGAGGTCTAGCATTGAAATGGTGACAATATATGTACACAAGAAGATATTTTGAGATATGCATAGCACGAAACCACACCCTTTTGCTGCGCCCTAGATTCTCCTTCGGTATCTAGCCGCGGGAGCGCTGGTCGCACCGAAGGTGCTGCCAATCTCTCCCCACTTCAAGTTGGAAAACGTCACTTCGGGCTCCGGCTCGACCTTGAGGATGTTCTCGGGCAAGTCTTCAGAGTCGGCGCAAGGCCCGGCGCCTTGGCTCAGCCCATCCAACCACGTCATGCCGCCGTCGCTAGACCACCAGATGCTGAGCGCAACCACCATACCACGGGTCATGGCGTCACCCATGGCCTCGAGGGCACCTAGCCTCGTGAACGCGGACGCGCCGCTAGCGGTGCAGTAGGGATCGGTGATGGAATCGACGGCCGGCAGCCCTTCCTTGGCGACCGTCTCGCTGTGCACGACGACGCCGTTCTGGACGTAGATACGCACGATCTCGTCCAGCTTTCCGGTCGAGTTGTTGGCAGGGAACTGCGTGACGACAGTGAAAGGTTTGGTGGTGTCAACGTCGAAGGAGTTGCCCTGGCCGTAATAGTCTTTCTGGTCCAGCCGGTACGGGTTCCACCCGCAACCATTCTTGTCGCAGACTCCGTCTCTGCCGCAAGCATCACCGGAGCACAAGTAAACGCCAGATTCGTTACACGGGTGTGGCGCAATCTGTTGGCTTCGAGCGTTTGCCTCCCAAATATCCATCTCGTTACAGCAGGCACCGGCACCGTCGAGGTTTCCCTGGGTGAGAAATATCAGTATTCAACGTGGACAGAGTGGAGAATAATGTGGCAATAGCTATAACTTACAACACCATTGATGAAAGGTGTGGTGTAACACTGCGCATCGCAGTATCCTGTGCCTCGAGCAGCACCTCCTTGGTTCAGCTCGTTCTTTCCACCTTCTGCTTCCATCTCTGAGAGATAGAGGGCACTGTTCATGCCGCACGGGAGCTTGGTAGCATCGACATCGAAGGTGAACTCGAGGCCTGTGAACTTGACCATCTCGTACTTCTCCTCTGTGTCATCCAGGAGGTAGATACGGGGAGAGACAGAGACATTGTTCACAAGCATCTGCATACGCAGAGAAGCCCCGGTGGTCGTGATACCCACGGTACTGTAGTCGTTCAGGCCCTCTTGGATGCAGTTGGTCGCGCAAGCCTCCTTGGTTGGGCATGCCGTGGCATTTGGCGGATTGCCCCAGTCTCCACAGCCAGCTGTGCTATTGACTTGGTGAACCGAGTGGGCAAGGGAGTCCAGGACAATGTAGTTCGTCGCCTCGGTACACCCGCCGGCAACAGTACACCGGTAAGTGGTCAACTTTGGGTGAGTCTCAGTGCCGACTGGCGTTTGAGCCGAAGCAAGCCCAAGCAGGGCAAGACTGAGAGGGATTGCGCCGCGTGCCATCGTGTCTCTGTGAATTTGTCTGGGTTCGGGACAGCGAGATCTGCCTGGGACACCTCGTCACAAGCCGAGGGAACCCCCAAGTATACTTTATACACACGGCCAACATGGTGTATCTCCTCAAGGTTCGCATGCTCTTCCCCTTCCCCAATCTCCATGGTTTCATTCTCCAAACTCTCCAATTTTGGAGAATGTTTACCATAGTAGACGCCCGCGGGTTCCGCTTGCCAAGGGTGTTATTGCCGTTTTGTGATGGGTGGAAGTTGAGGTGCCGCCGCTAAAGACACCGGAAGGGGAACGCGGCCCTAGATCCCCGGCAGCAGGTCAATCTATTCGACACGGACTAGGCCGCGCTTCTCGGGTCGCACATATAATTAACTCTAGGAACGGGGAGGCTTGACCACTCCGTTACCAACTGTTCAATTAAGGAATTCTGACGAGCCGCATTGTATGGGACTCTATGCAGATCTGTCCCGAGCTGTAGCTGTACATATTAAGTGCATGATCAGATGCGAACAGTTTTCGGGGTTTCCCGAACCGACACCCGAGACTATCCTCAGTGACATGCATTCCGTCACCCGTGATGGCGGCCACAGAATACGTAGTACCTCGATGTGTCCTTGATCTTGTTGTCGCAGCTACTGCAGTTGCATACATACAAGGCATAAGACATGGCACAGTATCGCGAGAGGTCGTTATGCCCGGACCTCGAACTTAGCCTCGCCCTCCTTGACCTCCCTGTCCTCCTTGTCGAGCTGCACAACACGGGCATGAGTTGGGCCACGATCGATGTCTTTCAGGAACTGCTTTAACGCATCCGGGCTACCCTGGGCCTCGCCCTCGACCTGCGGCTGGTGTAAGTGGCGGCACGGGCTTTCTGTCGTCTCGGCTACGGAGGCCGATAACAACGCAGACTTGCCTTCTCGTTCTCGGTGTTACGCACCCATCCTGTGATGCCAGCCTCTGTCGCCTTCTTCTGCGTAAAGTAGCGGAAGTTCACGCCTGGTCGTGACGTCATCTGTCAGTGATGGCATCGCTCACGGGGGAACTCGATGATTCAGCATACCCTGGACAGTGCCATGGACGCGGAAGTAGATCTACCGTCGCATGGCTTAGATGTAGCTCTGTTGCGGTGGAAGGAGTACGACTTACTCTCTGCGACATATTGGTACCTGCTAGTGGTATATCTGATAGAGAAGGCCGTTGGCTCGTTGAGGAAATGCTTGTCTGGTGGAGGGCTGCCAGTTCGCTTTTGAGAGCCTGGGGTTAAGGTAGGTAGAGAAGCGGGTAACGCAAGGGAGCTTTAGCGGGTGCGCCAAGGCGGCCGCCATCGCCTAACCCAGGAGCTTTAGCGTGTGGAACTCATCCTACGTCCTACGTACAGACAGAACGCCAAGCTGCGAGTCTAAAACAACTAAATTTGGACGTCCAAGCCTGTCAAACGTCACGTCCAGAGGCTACCAACTCTTTCTCATTCATCAATCAAGTCGCCGGCCCTCTGCATAGAAAGCGCTATCCATGGACCCCGCCGATCAGCCCAACGCAACCCCTGAACCACCTGTCGTCTTTCGAGGCAAGAAGCGCAAGACATTCCGACAACGAGCCAGTGAAGACGAAGGCGCGAACCACGCAGGTGGCGCACCCGACTCCGGAGACCAGGACAACGCAGGCTCTTCCAGAGAGCCAGAGGCCACGGCCAGCGATCAGTTTTCGGTCGCCGAGATCATACGTCAGCGGAATGCCCGCAAGGCGCGGTTACGAGGCGTAGGCTTCGGCGCCGACGATGCGCAAGGTGCCGCGAACGGGGACGATGAATTGAGTCTGATGATTCGCGAGGAGGAGCAGAAGGCTCAACAGTTGGACCAACCCGTTGGCGGCATGACGAAGCGTTTCGCTGCCCAGACAGGCCTGTCCAGTGAGCTCGTGAACAAGCACATGTGAGTCCCTCCATGCCCCGATGACCACCCCAACTTGTGCATTGCTGATGGAGCAAGGATGGAATACATAGAGACCGAATTGGCCAAACGAAAGTCAGCAGCTTCACCAAGTCAATCCACCTCGCTAGGCCCATCATCTGAGAGCACCACCAATGCGACTGCCAACGAGGCGCCCCGCGCCCCAAGAGCAGACCAACACACTTCACTACAAGGGAATCTGATGGAGATTGACCTAGGTGAGGAGGCGCGCAACAGGAACGAGGCCATGACGGAACGCGCGAGGCGTAGACTGCAAGGCGAGGCCGTCGAGGATGAAGCGCAAGCTGCAAGGCCCAAGAAGGTCAGAATAGGGCGGGATGGCAAACCGTGGCGCTCACGAAATAGGAGGACAAGCGATGCCGTCAAGCGTGATCAGCTCGTGGAGGAGATCCTACGAGAAAACAGACGTAGGTTGCTGCGAACCCACACACGACAGCTGCTAACTCGTGTACAGTCGACGTCTACGAGACACCAACCCCGCCCCCGGCCAGTGCTGCTGGAGAGGCCGATGATGACGGCGCTGCGGATGACCGCATCGCAGAAGAGTTCAGGCGGGAGTTCATGGATGCCATGGCTCAGAGACAACAGAAGAAGAAGCCAGCCCCTGCCGCTGGAGCCAAGAAGGACGAGGAAGTACTCAAAGGACCAAAGTTGGGCGGCAGCCGCAATGCAAGAGCTGCTATGCGCGATCTGCTACTCAAGAAGGAGAAAGAGGCCAAAAAGTAGTTCGCCACATGAATTCATACCACACTGTTATGGTACATATCCTGATCTATCTCACATTGTCGTGCGAGGAAGGTAACTGCAGTCCGAATACTGTTGTGATCAGTTCCCTTGAATCCGACCAGAGTATCGATCCCGAAGCCTAGTCTGGAGCTCAGGGCTATTCAAAGAAAATTGATAGTCAGGGTGCTTGACCATGTCATACATCTCGCCCGTGATTCGCTATTATGCATGAGCAACAACAGAAATCGGCAACCACTGGATTGCCGTCTCACTTGATGCCGTGTCGGGCGAAAGGCCCAAAAGTATAGCTTGAGTCCTTGGACCCCAGACCCCAGCGGCCAAATTGCGACGCTTGGGGGCCATCTCGAGGAGGTCGACTGGTCGTCATGTCATGGATCATATCATGTAACTTTTAGCTGAAGGAGAGTTTGCCAAAGCAGATTACACAAAACTCCATCTTCGCTGTTATTTCTTACTTCTATATCGTTATAATTCAAAGCTTTGGCTCTACTCGGATGATCTTACGAATCTCACCCTCACTATATCGAATTGCTAAGTAGCTCATGACTTGTCCTGACCGATGATCAGAACCTCAGCCCTGTTGCTGGAAAGCCTTGCTATTTTGGTATTAGCAGACTACGACACCTGCTATTCTCAGACCGGCGCAATATTTGGCCTTTCGTTCCGCTGCAACAACGAGACAACAGGCCATTCGGCATGCTGCCCCGGCAATGCGTACTGCTGGAGCAATGGCGTTTGCTACAGTAACCTTACCACGAGTGACACGGCTGGGTTCTCGGATTACCAGCACTGGGGATGTGCAGATCCGACTGGGAAAGATCCGGCATGCTTCAGCCAGTGCGGAGACTGTGAGTGCCATCATTCCCTAAAGCTAGTGCTGGGAAACACGTTTCTGTGATAGATGGTGTCTAATACATTCTCCTATCCGATCCAGTCAAGCCGAAAAAGAACCTTGGTGTAAGGCCATGCGATGGGATCACTTCGGGCAGTCACTACTGCTGTGACGGCGGTTCTCATGGGCTCTTCTCCTACGCGTGTTGCGACAACGTAACCTCGCTTTTCATCGCCGGGACGGCTCTTCCAACGACGATAACATCATGCCAGGAGGGCCGCCCACAACGAGCTCCATCCTCATAGCGACTCCATCTTCTGCAGGAAACGCAGAAAGCCAATCTGCCGGCCTAGGCAAAAGCGACGATAGTGGTGGGAATACTAGCCACAGCAACGGCACCACAGTCGGCATGGGAGTTGGTCTGGGTGTCGGGCTCCCAGCTGCTGCGATGATGATTGGGGTATTCTGATCCTTTAGTAGGCGATCAAGTCTAGGAAAACCGGACGAAAATGCCAATAGCTCTCATTACGATGCGTCTTACGGAGACCCGTCGCAGTACGCCTCGACCCTCAACTCAAAGGGTTACTATTATCCTTCGCCGCAGGAATCGGCTCAACCGGACATATCCTATGACGTAGCAGTCGAACATCCTGTCCGGGAACTTGACTAAGGTCTTATATAGGCAACGAGTGAACTCTCCAGATACGACGAGTCGTTGACAACACGTTGGATAATGCGAGTTATTTTTCTGGAGTTTATGGTAAACGGTTGATTACGCTGCTGCTGCAACAGTCATTCGTGTTTCTCGAGCGGCCGCGGTGAATCATCGAGTATATGTATTGTCTATTAATCTTCCATATGAAAACACGGGGATGTGGGTGACTAACCAACATTCAGTGGTGTTGCACCAAATCCAAGTCGTAAAACGTACATGTGGCTGCTAACCAACAATTCAAACGGTCCCGTTGTTGGACTGTTTTCACATCCGCCAGCCCCCAAGTGCTGTTTGCGTTTGAACTTCCTTAGGCCATCTCAACTTTACATGGTCCAACATCTTCACTCGGTGCTACTCACACCTGATCCTTCCCTCTGACCTCACTTCACCTCCTGCAAGCCAACATGCATGCTGCCAAAGGACTCCTCGCGCTGCTCTCCGCAGTCGCGGTCACGACCATCGCCGCCACAGACCTGGCCTTCTACGAGGAATGCATCGACTGGCACACCAACGGCAGCTTCCTCATCGGCTTGTGCCCCGGCAAGATTGCTAGATGGTTGTCGGCGTTGGACCTGAACTCGTAAGTCACTCACCTACTCCTGTCACTTCTCACTCACCTACCTCTCTCACTTCTCACTCAGCTCCACGCATGTCCGCTGACCTGTCCGTGATCAGCTGCCTCATGAACGATGACGGCGAGCTCAAGGCCCATGCCAACGGCGACTTCTCCGGCTCCTGCAACGCCACTTACCTCCAGAAGCCGCAGGAAAGCCTCGTCGCCGCGTGCAAGCACCTCAACGACAGCCAGGCCCCCCACCTCAACGAGTTCCTGCTGTGTAAGTAGCCTCGAGAGCTCATCGCTGCATTTGAGAATCCCATCGCTGACAGGCGCTTTCACCCCGTAGCAAACATATACCACGACGGCAAGGGCATGCTGAAGTGCGGCGACAACGCGGGCTGCTACGTCGGCCACGGTCCGGCCTGTCTGGGCTGCGAGAGCACATACATCCGCTCCGACGACACGACCTGCTCGGTCAGCTGGGGAAAGCCCAAGACCACGAGCGCGCCTGGCACATGAGCGAGGCTGCGCATTCTTCGTGGTACCGCTCGGGGTGAACCTGTGGCCTTGAGCGGTGGATACTGGCACGCGACCCATCAAAGTCTGGCCCCGTTCCAGATCTCCGTCGTGCTTTACATGATGAGCAGGCAGTGAGTGTGCTTGCTCCCGACTCCCTGCTTTTATGGTGTCGAAAACAGTTGTAGACAGCAAAGCTTCCAAGCATGCACCCCCGCCTCATTCGGTTACAAGTGACATGAGACTTCCTCGACCTGACTCCTGCCATACCCTCAGAATTGCAATATGTTGGTGTTCACAATATGGCGCCGCCGTACTAAATCATGATTCTGCTCTTCCCAGCCAACTACCTATTTCATCATAAGTAACGAATCTTCGCACCCATGAAATCGGGCTCTGACAGGACTGTGCCCCCGAATTGCTGGAGTATCGTGACGCCGTGGGTTATGAAAATTTGACAGGAACGACTATGTACGAAAAGCGTGTTTTCCTGCAGAAACAATCAGCTGAAGGATAGGCACATCTGCCGGTAATGGAGCTCATCGTGGTCCGCTTGTCGTAAAAATCCGAGGTGGGATGGTGGAAACTTCGAAACCTGATTCTGTGATCCGTGTGATATGTTTTCATCAGCTCATATGCGGAGCAGGAAGCCTCTACCCTATTTGTGTTCCTGGAGCATGGCACGTCTCTGAAGCTGCCACTTCAACCGAATCTTCGAGGTCCTAAATTGGCCGTGATGTCCATCAAAGACACTGCAGAGCCTTGTGGCATATGAAAAGGGGAAAATGACTACTGGCACTCCGATTGGCCATGACAACTCAACCAGTAAAAATTTCATGTCCGCATTGCTATATAGCATTCATTCGTGGGTCCTTATCATTGTCCATCATACCCTTCCATGGCCGCAGTGGTTGATGCACAACTATATCCGTGCGTGATCCGATCTGGAGCAGAATGCAAAAGAAAAGACAGAGAAAAAAGAAGAAATGAACCATGTCAACCATACTCCCACGTACCGGCACGCATTCCGAACGTGCAAAATTTCCCTTATATCAGTCAGAGCCCCTGGAAACGGAGAACAGATGACTGGCTGCAAAAAATAAAACAACGCCTTACAACCTGTCCGTTTTGAACTCCCTATACCCTGGTGCCGTAGAATGGTCTTGAAAACGCAGTCTAAAATGGCGTGAAAATCGACGCCCAGAAAATGAAAGATTCGAAGAGAAGAAAGGAAAAAAGAAGGTGTGTCGTACTGTAGATGATCCACAGTCGTGCCCATGGTCAGTCAGACAGGGTTTATAAAAAATAAAGCCATTCCATGGCAGCCAGGTGTCTGCCAACGCCGTTAGGCAAGTGATGCCGATGTTTGTTCTCTCTAATAAATCCAGTTCCAGCCTCCCCAGCATTTGGTTCAACGTGCGTAATTTCGCAAGCTCGTCGATCTGTCGGGCATCTTCACCAACATTGGGGGCAGGCCACAGACTGTAAGACCTGCCCGAACCATGATGCCTGATATGATTGAGATTTTTCGCCTTTCATCTGATCCTCCAGGGCTCGAGACTATGATATAGCCTGTAGCAAGGGGTCCAAATAACGAATGACGTTCAATCGTTCGATCGAGACGGCACGTTGTGCTGGGGCGAGTTCTCATCGAATGTCTAATTGGAAAGGCTTGAACCGGCCACCAATAGTGGCACAGCGTGGGCATTTCCTGCGTGCCCCTTGCTCCTCCATCAGTATGTTCACGCATTCTCGGCAGAGCCCGCATATGCACTCGGTACATGCGTAGGACTCTCTCAGTTTGGAGCTCTTCTGGCAGGCAGCGCAGTAGATATGCACTTCCTGGGAAGAGTAGCTCGGAGAAGAGTCGGAGAGGCCGGCCGCGCCAATGTGGAAGTTCTCACCACTCTCACCACTTTCCACGGACGGGAACGGTTCAGGCATTTCTTGAGCAAACGAGGGGGGTGTGAGGGCTTGCTGCAGCGGAGATGCTTGGTAGCCTTGAAAGCTGTGGTGGTTATTGTGGGGGAAAGGGGGCAGTGAGGCCCGATGGATGGATATGGGAGATTGAGGGACCTGATATGTTAGTCTGGCAGGGTCGATCCCGAACGAGCCGAGACTCACAGGAGTTCTGTCATCCTCTATATCCTCCGTGGCAGATGCAGCAGCGTCTATCAGATCCTCCCAGCGCTTGCCATAGTCCATGGACGGTTCGACAGACTGAGCTTTGCGATCAGGACCTCCAGGCTTCAAACGGTCATCATTCTGGATCCTCCGAAGCCAATCCGCGGCGGTTCCACGAGATTTTTGCTTCTTGTGGCCCGGCTTGGTCACAGACTGCTTTCGACGCCTGTTTGGCCCGAGCGGGCGTTGTATGGGAGGGAGTGTTGAGGAGCGGCCCGGGGGCGAGTTAGATAGAATAGACGGCAGCAGATCTCGTTGCTGGTGCGGTTGTCTACCGGCGTTCATGGCAGGGTAGGGTTCACTCGTCGGTTCGAGGTGGATCGGCGGGAGTTCAATGGTGCTCCGAGGAATTCGAGGGCCGTCTGTGTCCGAATGCCAGTCCTATCAAGGTACAGTTAGCCATCAGACTGCTCTATTAAGTGTGTGGTTGATTTTGGTGGAGTTACTTCGCCAGATTCCCATCCTCTATCATTGTGAGCCTGCCCGAGCTGGGCAAGAGCGGCAGCAGCGCTTTCGGTTGGCAGCATGGCGCCGCCGGCAAAGTCGGCCAGATTTCTCGGCGTGTCGGGGGCACTCGAGTCGTCTCGGAAATATCCATGGTTCACCTGCTGGTAGCCTCTGCCCGGGCCAATGGCACTCTGCACGACATGGTTTGTAAGGGGTGGTGCCCCATTGTTCTGGGGCTGGGGTTGGTTCTGTTGTAGTTGAGATCGATCTTGGGGTGGGGTATTAATCATGAGCAGGAAACTCTCTTCGGTGGCAGGGAGTTTCGCGATGTAGTGTTCCGGGTGTGCTCGACGGATATGCTCCTGCATGGAGCGATATCTCTTTTCCTATTTGTAGAGGAGGTCATATTAGAGACTGCGGCGATGAAGTGCGATAAGAGAAGCTCCCGAGGTTAGGTCATAGCTTGCCAGAGCTGGAAGCTGAAAGCTGTCGGCCAAGACACAAAATAACGAGGGGAAATGCAGGCAATACACTGAGCAAAAGAGAGAGACTCACGCCGATGCAGCGCTTGCGACAACTCGAGCCATCTTGGTTCCGCAGCGGACAGACGACCTCGTTGTTGGTGTCGGTGATGGAGAAGGACGACGTAAGGGACGACCTGGGCGGCATCTTGGTCGAGACGACTGTCGCAGTCGCAGTCGCAGTCGCAGTCGTAGTCGTAGTTGTAGTCGTAGTCCTACGGCGGTCCTAATCCCAAGTCCTGGTCGTGGTTCCAATGTCGTCAAAAGGTCAGCCAAACCCCACCATGCGCTGGTCGAAGTCGAGGCGGGGGTTCGTGAGGCGATAAGCGTAGTGGGATGGCGATTGGGATGGATTGCAGTCGACAGTCGTTCCTGAGGGCTGGTGAGGGTTTGGCATTTGACTTTCTCCTCCGAGGCTGGGCTGATGCTCGCGGGCGTGCGGGACAGGGAATTCGAGAGGCAAAAGGGAGACGGTTGCGCAGGATGCAGCAGCTCGCAAGCTCCCAAGCAGGTGTTACAAGAGGTGTTTCGAAGAACGTGGGTGGTGGTGGACGGAGGGGGATGGAGGGAAGATTAGTGAATGCCCAGGGGGGAATGGGGGGGTTTGGGCAGCCGGATTACAGGCAGGAGGATGGAAGGACTGGAGGGGACTGGAGGGGACTGGAGGAGCTGGGCGGGTGACGGCGAGCTGCCCATACGAAGTGACCATTGGAAGTACGCAGTACGATTGGATGGCAGTAATTACTTGAGGTACCCAGAAGTTGCTGTCAAAGGGCGACTCGGGCGAGCGAGGTACATGCCTCCCAGTCAATGCCCGCAACCAGCGAATCGAAATCGGCGCGTGGGAGTGGACGTGGACGTGGACGTAGCCGTGGCCGTGGCCGTGGGCGTCGAGGTTCCAGCCCGTCAGTAAGAACCTGGGAACAAGGACCGCCTTCTTGTCATGACCCAAAGTTAACTAGGTACTTGTCACGGCAGTGGTTAGCTGGGTACCAGCCGCAGCAGCAACACCACGCACACACACATCCACCGGGCCAAGCTCGCCTTGTCAGAGGGACGACGAGCCAGCTTATCGGGTGTGGGCTGCTTCCTTCGGGTGCTTGAGGCTACAGTAGACGACCGAAGACAGCATGTGCAGGTTGTATTGATACGGTCGGTCTGTCCGCCAGCAAACGACAAGCCAGCACTACTTCTACATGCCAGCCCTTCTCGCGGTGCGGCGCTACGCCGGCTTGCGAGTGAGTATAATATGAGGACCTCGCAGATGGCCAGCCCGGGATTTCCAGGGGAGCCCCTCCAGCCCCCAGGTCATGGCGAGCGCCAGGGTTTCGTGGGACCTTTGGGACATGCCCAACAACTACCTAGCATGGACAGAGGCCGCAGCGGCAAAATCCACTTGAGGGATACCAACAGACGGCCTCCCATTGGCCCGCCGCCCTGACTTACACGACCAGCTTCCTTTCTGACTCGATCGAGGATCGGCTGAGGGGGATCAGGGCTGGTCGGGGTGGGGTGCCAGAAGGGGGGGGCCCGTGGAGGGGAGGGCAGCAGCTTCAAGACGACTGAAGGAGAAATGAGCCCCGAGGCAAGGCCTGTCTTGGGCGCGGCTCATCAGGTCCAAAAATGGCGTCGGATCAATGCATGCAGCATCCAAATTCACGGCTCCAGCCTTCTGGCTTCTCTTTGGGGAAGTGAGCTTCAAAAGCTTCGAGCTCTGAGCTTAGCTCAGCTCAGCTTAGCGTTGCTTGCGTAGCTGTCAGCAGATCTCAAATCCTGCCGCAAATTTACCTGTTAGAGCCGTGAACGCGGCCCCCGCGTTTCCAAGATAAATCAGCTGCCCGCCAGATACGACACATTGATAGCGCACGCCACCGCCAATCAGCGACACCAGCACCGCACAAGCAGGACAAGCGGCAGGGAAAAGGGTCTTCGCCAGGTCCCAAGGCAGACCCGGGCTCCTTGGGCGAGGGGCTGGCTGCAAGCAGCTAACTTGTTGGACCCCACTCTCCTCTCTGTCACAACATTTCAGAGACTGGGCATTGGTTGGTGTTGACTCCCTCCTTCTCGGGCGAGAGGGAAACGAAAGCTTTGCATGGAAGGCGCTGACGAAGGCTTGTGAGCCGGCGGGGCACCCGCTGAACCCTTGTTAAATTGAATTATTCTTCACATGCCCCTGCTGGCGAGTCAAGGTTGTCCCGCCGGCGTGGATGAATGTCCTGCCTTGTTTGAGTAAAAGGCCTTGGCGTCAGTGGGCTCCGGCTAGGAAGCCATGGCTACAAGTATTGCAACCTTGCACAATTCGGAACGGCTCGAAGATAATTACCCAAGCCGGGGCAGTTTGGTTGCGAGGAATATGCCCCGAGGAATTGCAAAGGTCAGGTCGGATTACGCACCTGCACGACCCATTTGCAAGTTGCTGCGGTCTACTGTGTACCAAACTCTGCCCAAGCTATTATTAGCGGGGCGGCCGACCCGAAAGTCTGAACACTATCAACTTAGATGCTTGGTAGGCAATGAGATACTGCAGAGTTTACGGTATGAAATGATCTGTAAACGTAGTGTCTACAACGACTGAGCTGCCGTGGTGCTAGGGCCAGGGCCAGGGATAGCATGAGAGACCGTCTGGTTGATAACACTGGAGTAGTCACCCGACACGCAAAATAAGACCATCATCTTGCGCCTGTCAACGACTATCGGCATCTCCTTAGATCGAGGTTGCTCAGTAGCATCATGCTCTAGTTACCCACTCAGCAACAAGCCAGGACTTAGTCATAGCGCCGATGCAAAATACTGTGTCACGCAAGATTGTAGCATTAACTCCACTGTTAGGACAGAATCAGCAAGATGTTGCCTTTGTAATGCCTAAAGGACTCAGAAGACACTGAATTGCTGGCCAATTACAGCAACAGGGTCCAGCATTCGGGTAACGTAGCAAAGTCATGGGGCTAATGCCGTACATGTAGTAGTCATGAAGAATCGAAATAATGGGCCGCCGCGCGAGGCGGGGAGACTACTGCAATGCTTCGTTGCGCTAGGCTTGGGCTTTGCCGACGGCCACGCGAGACTAGGAATATCTCTTGGAAATTTTGTCGGCATCCTGGTTTGTTCGAAAAATTTTCAGACCCAGCATCTTGCTCACTCAGGACAGGCAATCAAGGCGCTGGTCAGGGTTCCCAAGCAAGGTACTGGGATGCCTTCACGAAAAGTCCCTGTTCATTACGTACAGCTAAGGGAGCTATGGCAAGCTTCAGTCGAGCTTTGGCCGTTGTCGATAAGAGCTCAATCGATAATACCGGCCTAAGGTGGTTGGGCGATTGGCGAATCCTCGTCCCTTTGCCCCTCATTTTCAGGGTCCAAAAAAATGAAGAGTGACTCCACCGACGATAACGAAGCTCTTTACCAAGCTTGGGGAGCTCCTTATCGATAGATCGGTTGTGTCCAGAGAACGAATCGTATTGAGTGCTTCCTGGGTGGAAATGAACCAAGTGCGTTGTCTTAGCATCCGAAAGGTTATTAACCTTTCGGATGCTTCTTTCGAAGAGATTATGACCCTCTATCTTGAAACTGCTACAACGGGCCTCGTCACGTTTGCATAGGACTATAAGGCAAGCGATGTAGGACTGACAGGTTGGAGAGCTGACGTTTTGCGAGTTGGAGAAACCCTGGCCATGACCCTGGCCATGAAGACCGTTCCGTTCAAGTGGTTGCATTTGGCCATTGCTATTGAGCCATCGGTGCGAGTATTTTGTTTTCACCTACGTCAAACCTCGTGGTTATGGCCTGATCACTGCACAGAAAAGAGTGGATTACTTTCAGTAGGCATGGATTATTTCTCAAGCATCGAACCCCCAGAGTGCATTGCCTCGCAGGTGGTTTTGCTCGTCAAGGAGAACAGCAGTGGCCACAAGTTTGAATCTACCTGACCAGCTGCCTTAGCGAAGAAGGGATCTTCTCGACTTATCTTGGAATTAGTCACGATCCAGAATATTTTACGCGACTCTAGGTCGCTTCCACAACTCCTGAGTGAATGTTGGGCTCATTAGCGAAGAGAACAATGCCTGTGGTGGTTGTGAAGATTGTGTACCATACGTGTGGCGTTAGTGATACCTAGCATGCACTTCCTTTTCGCCACGCAATACTCTGCATGCTTGACGTCTCGACACGGTTCAGCTACTTGCGCTCAACGTTGTAGATTAAGATGAATCGTCCTGAATATACCCGTAGGCCAGTATAATTCCCGCTCTGAACTCAGCATGCTCTGCAAGTCACTAGAGCAAGTCGAAAGGATCAAGGTACAGGTATCGATGCGCCATATCGTCTCTTGCGCACACTCCCAATAAATGCCACCAGACGAGAACAAGTCTCGTTGTAGCACGGGTTGTGATACCAGCATGACGCAATTTGTATTTGAATCGGCGGTGCAGCATCAGCTGGTATGGACTTGTTTCGTGCTTCCCTTCGCGTCCTATAACATTATGTGCTTGTACGTAGTGGGTCGTATGTGTATCATTTTCGAACAAATCCTATCTCAGAAGTAAATCGATCTCCAAAAAGCTAAAGACAGGTGGGTAAGGCTCAATCGCCGTCCGATGCTGTTTTCGCGGAATCGTATATTTCTAGAAGAAAAGACATGAGATGTTACACAACGTCATCTTATTGGCCGCCGGCATGCGACCCTGGCACCTATCAAAGCTCGTAATTGGAATATTCCACGCCGAGCTGAAGTCCAGCGAGACTGACTATTTGCTGGTCTTGGCTGACCTCGCAGCTGAATCAGGTAAAGGCAGACCTTCAAGGCCCTGAAGGGCACTAAATAAATTGCCCGTTTCAAGCCACGGGACGCGTCAATGCCCCGTCCCCATCTTCCCCAGCGAAGCAGCAGTCGGATGGACGAATCACGGGCCTCCAGGCACAGCCTCTCCCTCAAAACGTCTTGTCTAGCCGGCATTGCTGGAAGCCGGCGTCAATTCAACTTGGCAGCAGCGCACGCTTGCCTCGCGTCAACTTTCCCCAGCTTGAAACATCAGGCCAAACGAAGCATCGCTTCCCGCAAGATGGCGTCCGGCTGGCACGGATCTGGACCTGCTTGGTCGGATGGGCCAAGATGTGGCCAAGATCGAGGATCTGTCGGCGAATTGTCACAAGTGTGCGCTTCACTGCTCGCAGATCATGTTGGACGTGAGCAACGTCAATCACTCTATGGACCGTGACACCCATTTCCTCCTACCTCACACAACGAACGACTCGTACGCCCATCGTACGTTCATGTCAAGACTCTGTCACCCTGTTCTCTCCTTTCTTGGTAGTCTCCTGCGTCAATCATCCAAGGTATCACATCAGGGCCAAGGACGCACTACCAAGCTAGACGTCACGACTCAAACGGACGATTACGCGTTCGCTGCTCTTCAGAAAGCGTCTAGAAGAGTCATTATCTACCGATGCAAATAGCCTCTATATCGGTCCTCTCATCGTGAGAGCGGGAAGAACTCCCAGAAGCACGTTCGCCTTAACTTTTCGTCGACATGGCGCTTACCGTCAAGCATCTCAACTCCGATGCCTCATTCATGCTCACATTCGAGCCTGTGTATGCAGATCCCATCCGGGGTCCCGCCACGGTACCTCAACCTTTCACAGTTCTACTAGATCCATGGATCACAGGGCCATCCAAGATTTTCCACTCCAGAATATCCATCTCGACCCATAAACATGCTCCATGCGTATCCTCGCTCTCTCAGCTCCCGGAGCCGGACCTGGTGATTATTAGCCAGCACAAGAGCGATCATTGCAATGAGGCTACACTGCGCCAACTGCCGGCCACTGGTACCAAGACGTTGATCCTAGCTGAGCCCGCCTCGGCCCGTTTAATAAGGAGCTGGAAGTACTTCGACCGGGACAAGATCCGGGTTATCGAGAAGTGGGAAGACCCGCGGCTGGCCGGCAAACCTGGAGCGCTCCGGATCCCAGTACCGCCTGTGACGCCGGGTGGCCAGATGGGCGAGGTCACCGTATCCTGGATACCCCAGAAGCGAGACATTGCCGGCCTCCATGGCGCCATCGGCATTACGTACCGGCCGCCTCCTACACACGCACTAACAAACTGGATAGCCGCTTCGTCCGTCCTTACGCCGCCTGCGACGCCGGTATCAAGCAAAGTGCCGGCTCCGTATGCGATGCCTCCAGCAGCGTCAACAACAGATGTTCATCTCCTGCCGGCGAGCCCACCAGTCTCGCCACATTCGCTGCGCTCGGTGCAGTCCGCATCGACGCTCCTGCCGTCTCCTACACAGCTCGGCTACCCATCTACCTTTAGCCGAAGCATGACACCGCGGCCGCCGACAGCTTCCTCGGGCTCCCGCCCTATCTCTGTGGTCTTTTCTCCACATGGAATCTCATACTCGCACCTTGCACCCTGGGCAACGAGTCATCTAGTATCGGAGGCCGCCCTCCCCCTAACGGCGCTGTTGCATTGCATGGATAGTATAACTAATCCCTGGTGGCTCGGCGGGAACATCTGCTCTGGGACACTGACGGGCGCGGAGATTGCCAATAAGCTCGGCGCACGGTGCTGGGTTAGTGCACACGATGGTGAGAAGGAGGTCCGCGGGTTGGCTACACAGTTGCTCAAGGTGAAGCAATGGCGGCGCGAGGAAATTGTCGGACTCGTGAGCCCCAGTTCCCGCGCCGAGTTCGATTCACGGGGCAGGGGGGAACTTAGGAAGGGTTTGGGCTCAGTGAGAGAGGCCGGAACCGAGGTGCTGAGACTGGGGTGTGGTGATGAGGTTGTAGTAACGGGCGATGGCACGGTGCTGTCTTCTACCGGACAAGAGGCTGGCCTTCAGAGAAAGGGGACGAAGATCGGAGACATACGCCCACACGTATTGGACGACACAACGCTACGGAGCGCGACGGTCAGTTGAGACGAAACTCGAAAAATTTGTCAAGATGCGCTTTCAGGAACTAGCGCAGGGGCTGTTCGCGATGTTTAGGAGTTTGATGGTATTTTTCCACGAGTTTGGCACTGGTATCGCGGAAGGCTACCCCGAGGACGAATTCTTTTGGCACAACAATTTTGCATTCAGCGTTCATGGAGGAAACGGCATTGGTACAGGAAACGATTAGCGAGCGTATGGGATTGGATATGATACCACAACGGCAAGAGGACTTTATGCCCATCTGTTTTAATGACACAAATCAGGGTTATTTCGAGACATTTGCCTTCGATCGAGAGTGTGTGAATATGCTCTGCAGCTTATTGATGTCCCTTGGTAGCAGAGTAGGCACATTCACAGATATGGGATATAGACGGAACGAGATGTGGCACAGGGTATCTATTGAATTTGTTCTGTCAAATCCATCATGTATACGGGTGCCCTCAGGATCGGTCGCTCCACGAAACAAGATGGTGCTCCTCCCCGTCCGCGTAAATTCGAGGGTCGAATTGCGCTTCATAATGAAAACACCTCGAGACAAGGGCTATGCAAATTGCACATTCTGGCATGAACCGGCACCCTTCGTAGTTCGCACCTGCACCCTTTGCGGTACAAGCCATGATCCATACCTTCTCACCGTCCTTATATAGTACCTCTATACAGGCCGCGAGACAGCACTCACTTCAGCTGCTTCAGAATCTCCTCGAGGAAATCCTCGAAGCTGAGGGTGATGTAGCCGTCGCGGTCCTCGTCGTATTTCTTGAAGACGTCGGTCATGCGCTTCAGGCTGATGCAGGCCTGGACGAACAGGTCGAAGCTCATGACGCCCTCGTTGCGCTTGTCGTAGGTGTCGAAGAGCAGGTTGACGAAGCGCGGGGACAGGCGGTAGCGGAAGGCGATGAGGGCGTCGCTGAACTCGTCCGGGCTGATGTTGCCGGAGCGGTCCTTGTCGAAGCGGTCGAACAGCGTCCGCCACGACGCCAGGAACGACCACAGCCCGCAGAACTCCTGGAATCCGATCGTGCCCGACCGGTCGCTGTCGAACATCCGTATCATCATGCGTACCGTGTGCGGGTCGAACGCCGTCCAGTCGCCGTTGACGAGCGCCGCGCTCAGCTCCTTCTCTGAAAGCTGCCCGGTGCCTAGAACCCAGTGGGACGATTTGTTAGCTACCAAGACCGCCCGACATACCGTCTGCCTTTTGCGGCTCGGTCACAGCTCGATCGTGGCGCACTCACCATCCTTGTCGACGGCTCGGAACAGTGGAAGCAGCGTCGGGTCAGAGCCGTCTTGCGGGGCAGGGGAAGGCGGCGGGCGGCTGCTCGGTGGCGGACGGTTGTGCGCAGTCGGGCGCGGTCCTGATGCCGGGGGCGGCGGCGACATGGGCGACGTGCCTGGGTAGTTCTGCTGAGCGGGCGACAGTCGTCGCGGGTCCGAGTTGCGATGAGGGGCGCTCTGCTGAGGGAGCGGGGGCGGCGGCTTGCTGTTGTATCTGGATGAGGAGGCCGGGGCGCCGCCCTTCTGGAAGCGCATGCTGCGTTAGCTGATGCTACAGAACGACGATGAGATGTGAGGGAGCGCATACTGGCTCGGGCTCTGCGAACCTGCGAACCGGCAAATGTCAGTATGAGAACCAAGTCATGAGAGTACCGTAGAGTACAGCGACGGTCAGCGTGAGCACTGACTGCAGCACCCGGCCGAGGCCAGTGGTCACAGTGTAGTGGCTTTGACCTCGTGAACAGGTAGGTGGTGGGGGAACTCACCTGGGCAGCTCGTCTGGGTTGTAAGATCGGTTGTAGGCCATTTTAGCTCTATAGTGGTGTGAAAGAGGGAGAAGGCGCGGAAGAAGGATGAGTCGCGGCCAGAGATTGCTTGGTCGAGGCGATGTCTAAATATGAGACTCCTCGTGACACCAAGCTGCTGATGGATTTCCGTTCGTCGCGAAAGCGGGTTCAAACAAAGAAGTTGGGAAGAGATCAGCCGCAAGGGTGGGATTCCGATGGAGGGGTGAGCGGGGTGACCCTTGATATGAGGGACCTTGAGTCTTATAGTAGTAGTACGTGCTGCGGGTTGAGGCTCAACAGCTAGCTGAAGCCAAGAATGATTGCTTTTTTATGAGAAGCTGGCAAGTCCGAATTAGTCGAGGCTGACGAGACCTTTTGGCAGATTTCCCTTCCGACGCCCTCGTACATCAATCACGCGGTTGCAGCCTCGGGTGGATTTCTACAGCACTACTACACCCGACCAACGTACATGAAGAGCTGGGCGCCAAAAGGTCTCCCAGCTCGAGGTCTTCCTCCACTGGATGACGCTACTTGGTGCACAGCGTGGGGCACTGATGAGGCAGTACAACGCAAATCAGGGGACGGCCTTGCCCTCCGCCGGTTTCCCGTCTAATTAGGGGGCCCGGGATGATATCCGCTACTCATGAGGCGGTGCAAACGCACTGGGCCCGACAATTCAGAGTACCTATGTAGTGCCTATCAACCAACCTAGGTAGGTTGGCTTGCGCGGTCAGTCGTTGATTGCGTCGCGGCATATGGGATGTTAGCGTTCAGGTTGGGTGTCAATGTAAACGGCTCCGATCAGCCGGCCTAGCTGACCCGAATCCCTCACCGAGCAGAGGCACTGCTCCCAAGACAGTCAGGACGCGAATGCGAAGCGACGAGACGGTCCTCTCTGTTCCTCGAGGGCTGTGATCTTTCAGCTCCAGACCGACATGTGTTTCAAGCGAACACCATATCGTATGCTCTTCGGCCGGGCTCTTGATGTTGATGCTGCTGAAAGCTGTGTGCCTGGCTGCCTGCGCGTTCCGTACGACAAGGCCGACAAAGGGCGAGCTGCAGGCACGCTGATAACTGTTAAGGCGGTTTTGCCGAGGGAGAAGAGTCTGTGACCTTGCTCGAATCGCTGGTTGGTTACAATCTTGAACCTCATCAACACGTAGCTTCTCCTACATGATCTGATCATTCAATGCGTATATAGATGGCGCGTGTCATACAAGGCCGGTAGCTGCTTGTTTATCAAGTGATAGACTCGATCAAGAATAATTCTGTTTTAGGTAGTCTGCGTGATTCAAGTATAAGTCTACCTTTCAAGCTGTCGCTGGCAGTGTCTGAGGGGGCTGTAGAAGAAGGTCGATAAACCCCACGGTGGCGGCAAGTCGTTTCAGCAGGGGACTCGGAAGTTTGGAAATTGTGTCTCTCAGCTCCTGCATCGCTATGGTAGACCTGATAGGCGTTCGTTCATCCGTTGGTGTCTTGTCGTGTTCCGGCAAATCAGCCGCACCGGACATCATGATGCGCTATGAACAAGCACGCTTTGAAATTGACGACTTAAAACTTGGTGCAGTTGAATGCCCTGAATGACGATTCATTGCAGCCGCTGAGGACACTGTTATGTACCCTGATCTCCAGGCAACTTACCCGCAAAAATGCAGGGCGCTTGCGTGCTACACAAGCGCGCTTAGGTGATCCCAGGGCCCGGTTCGGAGCCAGGTGACAGCACAGCAAAGCCGGCCTGCCGTCTTGGCAGCGCAATAATTGCGGCTTGATATAGACAACGTTCCCTCGCGACCCATCTAACTCTTGAGTCTAATGAGACGTCCTGGAAGTTGCCATAACCGGATCCTGGACGCTTTATTCCCGCGGCAAAGCAATAACCCCAGGCAACAAGCTCGATTCTGCGCAGCACCATGGCTGCCGTCAATGGGGAGATGGCATCAGCGGGAGCGGATGAGTTCTGGTTATTTGGCTATGGGTTTGTCTCTCTTATCTCTCCTCTACGCTTTAAATGCTCGACAACCTGGCAGATATGTATATTCAGCCATGCCATAAGACTTCTCAGACGGGTGCCGCAAGAGTCTTCGGTATCCTCGGGAAAGCCTAGAAGACACACATGTGCGACTAACTTTTTTCTGTGTAGGAGCTTGATATGGAAACCTCCGCCTCACTTTGGTAAGTAGAATTCCTACGTCATTTCAAGGCACGGGTTCAAGTTCTAACGTCTGAAAGATCGTAGGGTCCCGGGCTGGGTTACTGGGTACGTAAGACGGTTCTGGCAGGTAAGTTCAAGCTCCCATGCTTACGACCGCATAACAATTACTAATGTTACCACACAGGCAAGGTAAACATGCTCATCCACTTCACCTATAGGTGCACCATGAGGCCACAGCCCAAACTGATACCACTCACAGCCAGGACCACCGCGGAACACCCGAAGCTCCGGGCCGTGTTGTGACCCTTATCGAGCGCTCGTTCTGGGCTTCTCTGGCCGATGCACATGACAGCGCCCCCGAAAAGGTCTGGGGCACCGCCTACCGCATCGAAGCCTCCCATGTAGCCGAGGTCAAGGAATATCTAGATATCCGGGAGATCAACGGATACACGATACACTATACGCCATTCCATCCCGCCGACGGGTCTCCTTCGATCCGCACGCTGGTCTACATAGGAACACCCGATAACGACCAGTTCACGGGCCCACAGGAGCCGCAGGCATTGGCGGAGCACATCTACCGGAGCGAAGGCCCCAGCGGATTGAACCGCGACTACCTACTTGGGTTGGAAAAGGCCCTGAACGAGCTGAGTCCAGAGAGCGGAGATGCCCATGTGACGGACCTATCAGATCGGCTTAGAGAGATCGAGGCAAAGAGTAAGAAAGGGGAAACCGATATTCAGGAGCCGGTATCGCCCGTTTCGCACGAATTCCGCCGTGTCAGCAGCGTGGATGAGCAGGAAGAAACAGAGAAGGTATAGAGCACAAGACCAGAACGTTTTCAAGTAGAAATGATCGATAGATTTACTCCTCTCCTAGTTTTCCTTATTTGGCTGAACCCCCTCCCCAAAGAAGAAATCCCTCCCTCCTCCCAGTCATCTATGTCATAGAATGGCGTTGTGCCGTCAGAACCTGAGCCGGTACATCATGTTCCCGTCATGATCTCATCCCGTGTCCATCCAAGTCATACCAAATGATTGTATCCTGGTCTCCAGGCCCAGTAACGAAATGTAGGGTTCGGGGCTATAAAGGCAGAATGCCGCCCGGAAGAATGACACCCACGTCACGTCCAACTCCTACTTGACGAGGAACGGAGCTATGGATGGAAGAAGAAAGAAAAACGCAAATAAAGAAGTCGAGGCCTGGGATACGCCTCAGAGTGTGTGGTGTTGAAGTTCGAAGGATTTACCCGCGCCGCATTTTCACGATCTAGCTTAAAGTGATGGAATGCGTCCCGCGAAGCGTGCTCAGTATCGAGGAGGCCCTTGTTGCTGCTGGTCCGGGTAGCCGTAAGGGGGCTGCATTTGGTATCCTGCTATTGTTTAGCATGCTTGTACACGTTCACAGAGGGGATATGCTTACCCTGCGGTGGCGGTGTGCCGTAAGAAGGCTGCGGTGGGTAGCCCCCTCGGCCATAAGCAGGAGCATACATCTGCTGGCCCGGCATCCCGTATCCAGCGGCGGGCTGGGCGCCGTAGGCCATTGGAGACGCGCCATAAGCGGCTCCCGGGAAAGGCGATCCGCCTCGGCCGCCGAACGCAGCGCCGCCCCTCGGTCCCGTGTCGGAGGCTTTGTCAACTCGGATAGTCCGCCCGTCGAATCTGCTCTCCATTAGACCCTGACATTATCAGACGTTGAAAAGGCGCTGCGTTTGCTTACTCAACATTGTTCATTGCAGCAATAGCCTTTTGCGCATGATCCTCCTGGGTGTAGCGAACGAATCCGAACCCCCTGCTTCGGCCGGTGTCACGGTCCTTGACGACAACCTTTGCGATCACAAGTCAGCCACGCATAACTGACACAACGTCTTGTTGGGGCCGCGAGTGCAGAGCGTTCGGTCGGTTGTCCAACGATAGTAGCTGTTCTAGGGGAGAGGATTGACATACCGCTTCTTCAATGGGACCGTACTCTTCAAACTTCTGTCTCAGAGTAGCATCCTCAGTGTGCCAAGCAAGTCCTCTGAGATATTTAATCGTCAGTTGTTATGTCCTTTGAAAATGCCCAGGGGCCTTGACTCACCCGATGAATAGTTTCGACATTGTTACTTGCGTTGTAGATTTCTCAAAGCTACGATCTGCGCGATAAGGGCTCAGCAGATTGTTCACGAATTTGACGTGTTGGAAGTGGATGAGTGCTCGGATGTTGCGGGAGGCATGCGGATTGAATACGCCAGGATGAACCCCCCCGGGAGAGATCTGGTCCACGTCGTCGTCATTTTGGGCAGGGAGGCAAATACATACTCTTGTATGTAGTTCCACGTGTCGAACAAGGCTGCGCAGGGTATAGAACAAAAGTGCGGACAGATAGACAGGCGCAATCGTAAACGGCCGTTAGACAAAATCGATCAACGCGAATGGATAGAGTGATCCGGGCAAATAGCGATATAGGAAGAGGGTAGAGACGAAGGTACAAGTGTTGTTCAAATAGAAGAATCAGCGGGGTTATAAAGCCGGTATGTTAAGTGGCTAGTGAGGTGATGGGCAGTCAGGGTTCAGGGTAGTACCAATGGCGCTCCTTTTCTGTGCCTTTGATAGCTCACTGAAGTCGTGGGTGCCTGACGAGTAGAACGGATCCATGGCTTCGATCCCGTCTGATATTTATGTTCGAAGCTTCCTGTATGAGTTGCGCGATATTCTGCCAATCCATGCCAATGTTGAAGCGTGACTTCATTGTCCTGTATGGATACAATGTGTACTCGGCGTTTGGACTAGCATGAGGGTGCTGCGGGCAGGGTTACTCCTCAAAACAAGCATCAAACAGACAAGGCAAACATTGCCCCAGAAGTACGGTTGAGTAGAGTTCGATAACGTCTCCACTGGCAGCCGAGAGAGGCACAAATCATCAGGGTACTCTGCTCCTTCATTAGAGAAAGACAATTATTGCCGAGTACAAGACGTGCCAAGAAAGGTCTGACGACTTGTAATAGAGAACTCCCGGGCGACCAGGGAGGAACAGGCTCAAACATCATCGTACTCCACATAACCCGTTCAGGGCTTGAGTTTTGGAGAATTATCTGATTAGAAGACACCATTAACTAGCAGTTGACCTCAATTTGGTTCCTTGGCGCTGTGATTTCAGATTAGCAAGGATCTCGGGCCCCTGCTGGTTTAGGGCCTACATGGACATGCTGCCTTCGACGTAGCGTGGCGGTATCCTGGGAGGTATGCCTGTGCCGAGCCTGGTTTCTCCGGATTTGGCTCACCATGGCTTATACTACGTAAACCGCCAGTCATAACTTGCATGATAAGTGCAAAGGCATTGGGCTGAACTTTCTGCCGGTAGTGGCAAAAGGCATCGCTTTCATGCCGGTATGTCGTTCTACTGTGTAGGTGAATCCCATTTGACTTCGGCCCCGGTATGTCGTCGTTGGGTAGTGGGTACTCGGTCGGAACGTGACAGCTCTTTGGGTATTAGTGTGAGGCTTGGCATGCCCGAAAACATGCGCGCAGTGCGGTGTTACCCAGCATCTAACTATCCCACTTCGATTGGCGATCGCTGACATACAGAACCACTGCGACTTGACCGATGTATCTACTGTCCTATGTAATTGGTGTCCCCTGGGAGCCCCCGACATCTGCGAGCAGGGCCTTGACCCACAGACATCCCCAGGGGCATTGCCAGACCCCATTCATGATGGCATGGCTTCTTCGACGATGCGTGAGCACCCCTTGCTGCGGCCGGACGGCCAGATCGGTGCCCCTCCACCCACACCTCGCCAAAACTTCACCAAACTCTCGAGTCTCCGTAGATGAACCTCTGTATCTGGTGGCTTTGTTGGCAAATCGGGAGTGAGCGCGACGCGAGCGGCTCGAGGATCCTGGCCGATGCGAAACCTACAAGGAAGCCTACGCGACGAGCCGCTGTGAGTGGAGGTGAAACGTGGTACAGGAATCTATCATGAACCCAGAATAGAGCCGTTGAAGAAGATCCGCGGGGTATTCTTCGAGGTGAGGGCCGCCCCTGGCTGTCAAATGCAGCTTGTGATACCTGGTCGTGTGGGTCAAGCTGCTAGATCCTAACGGTCGATCCAGGTACTAACCAACTAAATCATGCCGCAGCAGGGCCATATTAGGGGATTAGCCAACCCTCACCGAGTTGGTGACTTATAGCATAGCAAGGCTGCTGCCACCTTCTATGGAGACATACAGGAAATCCCGGATAGTGAACGACCCTCAGCCCTATGCCTCCAGCCGCAAAGTAACGATCTTTCGCACTCTTCCCGCACGTCAGCAAGCTTGCAATCAAGCACCTGCCCTCGTAGACAACCAAACGCCGAAACATCTCTTAGCAAAACTATTTTAGGAAACACCAAGCAATGTACGTGGTCGTTGATCTTCCCGCCAAGGATAGACTTTAGACGGACCACGCGACATGTGTATAATCGAGGCGGGCTAACGGGTAAAATTCGACACACAAGGCGTTCCGAGCCAAAAATGGGCTTGTAGAAGCTAATCATGATACCTTCGCATGGCATCTGCGTATGGCCGATCATCCTGGGCGCGGTCTTGGTATTCAGCATGGTCGATCGGTTGAACAGGCGCAAGGCAGATTTGATTGAGACAAAGGGGGCCAAGCTTTTTGACGCACCCAGCTTGCGGGGAGCATCCCGCATCGCCGAGACCGCGAGCTGGGAGAGCTTTGAAGCTGATGTCAAGAGTTGAAACGCTTCACAGTCGATCAGCCACCAGACTCCATAGTCCCATGGATTTTATCGCAATTTGGGTAGAGAGCCTGGTGCATTTGGAGATCATTCTTGCACTAAAGCCGATCACGCGAGCGAACACGGAAAGATGACAAATAGGAGGAGAGCCCTTCGATTTCAGGTACGCATCGTTCGACCTGCCCTAGAAAGCAATGCAGCGACATGCATCAATGCTGTGTGGCTTTCTCGCAGTTGAATATCGGAGCAAAGGGCGAAGCTTGGGCCAAGGTCACCTGATTCTCAAGCACTGGGAGTGTGAGGGTGGATAGGCCCGGGGAGCAACCCCGGCATTCTCTAACACTTCGAGATTGAAGCTAAGGCGATTCTCGAGAACTGCACGACCTGCAGACAAGAAGCGGCCACTGCGCATCTCCTTGCAGCCTCGGGGGTCACATCGTGCTGAGCTCTGGCGTGCGCTTCGGACCAGAAATGCCATGGATATACAGACCGTCATCCAGCCGTGTACATACATTGTCCACCTTGCCTGAACCTACAGCAACTGCAGAATAGAAATCAGGTCTATACTGCAAGTACCGATCCCTGTAGGACCCGGCATGCAGGAGTCTGTGTGTCAGAACAGAGCCTCACGACAGCCAAGAGACCAAAGCGTGGGCATGTACGGCAAGACTTGCACGGTCACTGAAAGCCCCAGGTCTGTCTATATATAGAGCTAGGGGTGCCAAGTGTGTCAACGCCCGGCCAATAGGGCTGCATGGCGCTGGGGACGCTATCCCAAATAGGACGCCCGCGACGAGCTGCAAGGCCGGACTTACAGTCGCAACTTCGCTGGTCTGGCGGGCAGAGCACGCTGTAGCAACCTGCTTGCGTGTCTTGAGACCACCGCATCAGGTCCACGTTCGAAGCAAAGCGGGCGCCTCCTGAGGGTTGTCATCAAACGCCATCAGGCGTTGAGACTGGACGGAACGCCAATGGGAACCTTATAGCTACACACCAAGCCGGCTCGTCATATCAGTCTGGTTCTTGTTACAACGAGGTGGTTCGCCAACGCAGATCCCCAGCACTGACGGCGGCGCGAGGGGTTCGTCCATTGGGACCGTCATGCTGCAAGATGTGATGATCCCTGGCCTGCCGCAGCCGCCGCCAAGAGTTCCGAGACCCTCGGGGGATTTCCCTATACCACGGCCCACGCCCCACGGGCAGGATTCGGCCAGAGGTTACCAGGGATTGATCGTGGTTCGGCAATAGCCTTTCGGCGCACCTGCCGCCTGGAACGCTAGGCACAGGGGAAGCCACGATCCTGGGTGGCATTTAGCCGCATGTGGAGACGGCATCCCGTCCAGGACCGCCTCGACTTGCCTCGAGTGTGAGCCTGGGCGATCATTCATGTACATGGTTCCCCCCCGTTCCAGCCCTGACAGACTCTTGGGAGCTCTTCACACGTCCGTGGCATCGAGGCCACATACACACACACACCTACAGGAGAGAGACGACAAGTCGCTCTGGTTTGACATGCCAAAGCTTGACGTTGTTTCGACCCCCTCCGTTTCGGCCAGTGCGCAGTGATGGGCCACCGCAAGTCGTCTACAGCTGCCCGTCGCCGTCGTTGGCCTCACCACCACCACCGTCATGACCATGGCCAGGGGACAGTGCACCACGCTCATGATCCCTGTGACGATTCCCATGTGAAACTACGTACGCGCAGGAGGCATCGTGGCCATGCCGCAGAGGGCAACTCGAACCAAGCCACGGCAGGGCCAGCCTGTCTTGGCCTCGTGGAAAGCTGGCTCGCCAGCACCACAGACCTGGACCTCGACTCTAAGGATGGACCCACGGACGCTGCTGCATCTACGGCTGCCCACCGAAGGCGATCACTTCGGGATGGTGCCAAGGTCAGGCCGCCCGAGCTGCAGGACAATCATGCCAGACGACGGCCCCAGCCACTGCTCCTGAGAAGTGACGATACTCGCTCACCCCTGCCCGGGCCCTATCGCGATAATCACAGGCTCCCAGCCAAGAAGCGCCCCATGTCCGATGACAGCTCCCTACTCAGCTTTGACGGGCTCGAGCGAGTCTCCTCCCCCCAAGGTCCACCGCCACTGCAACAACGCGTGCGTGTCAGCCATGAAACTCCTCCAGTCCCCTCACGGGATGTCGTTGATGCAAGTGACGGCCACATGTCGTCGCAGAAATCTGCAACCCCAAAGCATCAAAGCTTTGAAAGAAGACTGCGACACCGGACGAGGCAAGACCGGTACGATACACGGAAACAAAACCCCAAGCCTGCGAAGTCGGAAGGCAAGGCTCAGAGTCAGGTGTCGAGCAGATGGAGGGAGAACGATAGAAGGAGGAATTCGCTGACGGGCAAGAATGTGATGAACAAGTATCACTCCGCTGCAGTGATGAATGATCGCATTACTGTTTGTCGAACTCTGTCGGACCATGATAGCCTCGATATTAATATGTGCTCAGATTCCATACGCTCTCAAGCCAGGGGTTTTCCAGAACGGCCGTGAGGCAGGCTCGAAACCTAGTAAGTGAATATGATAGATATTGCGCAGGCACCTCTAAACGTGGTATAGTCCCAGATCTTTCTTTTTCAGACATGACCTTTCTCCAGGACCGGAGAGACCAGCCCAAGTCAAAACCACTATCTAAAAAAAGGCTGCAGACACTTGAAAAACAAAATAAAGAGGTAGAAGAGGTGTCTTCTTTCTTCTTGCCACCGACGAAATCTGACAATCCCGCTGCCGCTGAGGGGTTCCAACAAAGCAGGCTAGATATCACAGCGGCATCTCATGCCAAGGTGTGCAGGGCAGAAACTCATAGTATCAGCCGGACTGCTTCAAATTCCTCAACGTCAGGGCCTCTTGGTGACAGTGAACATCTCAGGCCACTTCAATCTCAGGGCCAACTAAGTCATACTTCGCACTCCGATCCAGGCGATGCCATTGAAAATTGGCGAAGACCTAGCAATTCAAGCAAGGCGACCTCCTATTTTACCTGGTCAGAGAGTTCTTCGAGACCTCAGTCAGGAAAACCGAGGCAGGAGTCCGTGGATTCTTCAAGTAACGACTACCAAGATAGCCTTACGCCTGACACGATCAGGAGAGCTTTGGTTGATAGTGGAATCTATCACGGCACTGGCATCACTCGATATGATGAGACTGTCAAAGCAACCGGAAGTAGCGAAAAGGCACTCAACCAGAAGCCAAGGTCTGCCTCAAAGCCAGACCCGCTGGCGAACGGTAGCCCAGAGCTTCCTTCCACTTTAGCTGTAAAGATGCAAGACCACAGAAGGGGAGAACTCGATACGGCTAATCACCCATCGTTGAGGGCACGCTGGGAGAATCTCTTGCCAGCCGAATGGCACCTGGAACGTACGGAGCACACCGATGGGATAGCCAATTGGCAGGGAATACAAGAATGTACCTCCAGGCGAGGCAGCATTCAATCTCACACGGGCGCAGATGGAAACAGTCCCAAAGCCATGGCTGACTCGTCAGAGAACAAAGTAAGTCAGCGACAGAGAAGTGCCAAAGAAGCACGAATCCACAATGTAGACAACAGCATTGGTAGGGGGCACACAGTCTCGGAAGATGGGATTTCTATAACATCTCGAGATGCCATGCCACCTCCTCCATTCCCTCCAAACAAACCCACTTCGACCGCCGCCGTAGAAGGAGGGCCGGGATCGCAAACAACCAAATTGACTCTAGAAAATAGTCTTCTCCTTGAGAAGGACACTATTGTAACTAGGTCGCCCGATGTGCGACCGCAAGGCGAGCACAAGTCCGGAGGTGCGCGTGGCCGAGTTGAGAATATTGAAAGCAACGGCAGGGGTTTCCCCTCTGTTCGGACTGCTTCGTGGATCCCGCAGGCACAGACTCCAAGACCTACTGGCTCAATCTGCTGCACCAAAGCCCATAGTTCCGACAACAGTTATGCGCCTTTTGCGAATTCATTTGTCGGGAGTTCATCGCGAGACGCCGTAAGCCATGCTCATAGAAGCCCGGACATGGAAGAGATTGCAGACTACATCCTGAGAATAGAGCGTGAGATGCAAGATCAGTCATCAGAAACTGACGCAGAAGGTGTTGAGAGTCCAATTCAGCTCTCTGAAAAGCTTCAACCATCGCAGCATCTCTTCGATGAGCCATCCGTCGTTCAGGAGCCGCCTGTAGATACTGCGGCCGGCCAGGAATCGATCATGAATGGCTGTCCGAACTGGAATGGATGTGAGTATCAACTGGAAGGTTTCAAAGACGATCGGACGAATTACATTTACGAAATCGGTGGCAATGATGTTCCGAGAACGATATGTCAACAATTTGAGGATACTCCTGAACTCGAGGCGGAGAAGTCTGAAATGTCGTCGTTTTGGCGCCCAAACCAACTTATGCGATTTTGACGCGTGTGGTGAAGACCTGAGGAGTTGTACGGTTTACAGGCTGTTAGAATTGAATATACGCTATCAATTCAGTCGAATGCAATCATTCTGGTTCTTGGTCCTTCCACTTTTCCCGGATAGCGTTGACGTCTAGACCACATGCTTCTGCCTTCGTGACTATTGCTCTCGCCTTTCCCACCACTGGTGCATCAATCATGGCTCCATCCAGCGTCCATGCACCCCTTCCGGCCTGCGCGGCCTTCTCATCTGCAATCACAATCCGTACGGCCCATTCAACCTCTTTCTCCTCCGGCGCAAAGAGTCTTTGCACCGTCTCAACTTGCGACGGGTGGATGCATTGCTTACCATTAAAGCCCATGGCCTTGCCACCTGCACACTCTTCTTCTAGTCTCCTGATGCCCTCGTCGCCCTTGTACGATGTACAAACTAGATCTATGGTGCTGGGCAGGTTGTATGCCCTAGCCGCTGTCGCTATCGCGGAACGGGCATACAAGAATTCTGAAAGCGACGGCGTCCGTGTGATGGAGAGGTCTAACGCAAAATCTTCGGCGGCAAAGATCAGCCCGCTGAGGTAGGGAGACGCAGCGCAGATCTCGCGCAAGTTCATGATGGCCTGCGCCGACTCAATGAGCGCGATCAGCTTCACGGGGTTGCTGCCATCCCCGCCAGCGTGGCGCTCAGGCGCCAAGTGCCGCAAGGCATCGGTGGCAAAGGTGAGGTCGGAGGCCGAGTTCACCTTGGGGATCACGATGGCGTCGAGGTTGGGCAGCGGGGCGAGGCTTGTGAGGTCGTCGAGCGCGTACGGCGTCGAGACGGCGTTGATCCGCACCGCGAGCTCCGACACGGACTGCGGCCGCGCCGGCAGCGAGCGCAGGTGTTCCCGCAGAGCCTTCCGGGCTTCGGGCTTCGCCTTGGGGGTCACCGAGTCCTCCAGGTCATAGGTGATGTTGTCAGACCTCAAGCCCAGGGATTTGGTGAGCATGCGTGGTGAGGACGCCGGGACTGTGAGCGCAAAGCCGTGTTAGTCTCGGTGGACCGGCCCAGCTGTCGTACACACACAGTCGCCTCGCAGCTCTTCAATTGAGTTGCAGAAGTCCCCGTGCAGGGGGTCCGGGGGGCAGCTTCTTACCGTAGAGCAGAGCTCGCCGGAGCAGAGAGCTCGACTTAGCCGCCATGACGGATATGTCGGGCCTGGGATGTTCTATGTGACGAGTCGGGGACGTTGAGTGCCAACCTGTGAAGCTTGAACGACGTAATAACCGTTACTACCCCACGATGACGCTAAGGAGCTCGTTCCCGAGGTCCAGATTAGGTGGGCGATGGCAAGGGTCGGGTCGGCCAGGGGTCCTCGGATGCTATTTTTGTAACCTGCGCACGTCCCAAAATGGTATTTGTCCTCCCTGGGGCTACATCTCCTGGGTTGTGGTTGAATTTCATATCCGCTCTCCCGGTGTTCTATATCGACCTAGGCCTTAGAACCCGCCTTGGAGTGATTGGCTTGTGATGGCTGAGACATACTCAACTTCTGATTCTGACGTTGGGATCACATGTGATGACACCCGCCGCCAGCAACCTGTTGCCAGTATGGGTGTCTCGATGACCTCAGTAGCTTAATTGGCAGTCATCGTAGGTCTATTTACGGGGAATTCACAGTCTGTCATCTCTTATCCGTAGCAGAGAGATCCTTAAGAGCCGGGACAGTGGTCCAATCATTCAGAATGGCATGGGCAGATGCTCGCGTCCCGTCACCTGCGTTGCGTGCTCTCGGGATACAGTGACGCACCTACGCGGCTCAACGGCAAGAGGAGGCACCTCCGTGGCCCAACGAATCTTGTGATGTATCATGTCGTATGACCTTGGACCCCTGTACTGGAACCCGGGCAACGGTAACCACTCATCCAAACTCCCGTGCTCTTATAAATAAGACTAATGACGCTGACCATGGTTTGGTCCTTGACATGAATGGTGTCGCCTTACGCTAATAGCAAAAACTATCGTTGCAGGATGATAGAAATTATTTCAGTACGTGCACTGGTCAAGACGCTGAGGTACTGATTTGTATTCACCGTCCGAAGTCACTGGTTATTCGCGCACCAACTTACAGCTGAAGATGGAGACAGGTGATAGCCTCGTGCGACCAACCTACTGACAATCACAATTAAGGCAACACCTAATGTAACGCAGTGATCAGAAAAACACCCAAAAATAGCATATGCTGAACCAAACATAAGTACAGCCCGGAGTCTGGCTTGTTCGTATGCTTTAACCTGGGGAATCGAAAGACTAGAAGCGGCCATTTTTCGCCTCCATGATATGGCACAAGCCAAGAGATGCAACCTTATTTCTTTGCCTTATTAATACAGCTGCTATTGCCTGTCGCGATTGGGCGAGATAGGGAAGGCAAACCGTCTCAGTGGTTCGCTGAGAGACTTGCCCCGGATAATCAATCCGGGTAATCCACCAGCGCCGCTGAATTGTGCCGTGGTTCATATATCCCATATTAAGTGTAAATGAGCCTTTACCTAGATTTCCTGTTATCAACACAGAGACCTTGATGTTGGCGTCGCTAAGAAGGCGGGAGGGCCGCTTGAAATATTCTATAAATATGTCGATGACGAACGACGACGATCATGCTTGTTGGAAAGACAACCTGGTATCAAACAAAGACCACAGCCGCAACTCATCGCCAGTACCTTTTGCTGCAGTCCAGTCACTCGTCTTCCGCTCCATGAGCGATCGTTCACACCACTTCTCTGCATAGCTGACTCCGCGGAGACAGCCACCGTCCGCCATGTTTCGGGCTGGAACCATTGCCCTGGCGCTGGCAGCGCTTGCACATGGCGCACCTATATCTGATGACAACAAAGTTGTCGAGGAGAGGCAGTGGCAGATAGGGGATCCATGGACAACCATCATATGGGGAAACCAACCACCCCCAACTGCACTTCCCACCAGCGGCCCTGGTCTCCTTCCCCCCATCACGGGCGGGTTCAATCCTCCTCCAAAGGAGAAGAGACAGGACAACATTGGCCCAGTGCTTGGCGGTAGCGACCCGAGTGCACTGAAGGCACACATCATCGACCTTGAACTGGAATACGAAAGACTCCGCCAGCAGTACGGAACGCATGCGCCGCCATCCGTCGTGAGGCGCCAGAAGGAGATTGAAAATGAGCTCAAAAAGTACGGTATTACCATCGTCGCTACCCCGGATGGTACCTCAACAACCATAACCTTTGGAAAAGCGAAGAGACAAGAGAACATTGGACCCTTCCTTGGAGGAAGTGACCCCAGTGCCCTGAAAGAGCATCTGGTAGCTCTTGAGTTGGAGTATGAGTTTCTGGTCCAGCAGTACGGGAAACACGCGCCACCGTCTGTCTTAAGGCGCAAGGAGGAAATCGAGCACGAGCTCAAGAAATATGGGATCACCATTGTCGCTAGCCCGGATGGGACTTCGACAACCATTACTCCAGGAAAGGCCAGGAGGCAGGAGTCGTTCATTGGAGATGGATCATATGGCAATGCTGCTTTCAATCTGGAGGGTCTGGAGAGGACCCTGGAAGCATTAATGCAACAATACGGTCCCAACCCTCCACATGATGTCTACATCATTGAGGAGAACATCAAGCACATTCTCCTTGCTTATGGAATCAAGATCATCCAGTCTCCTGACGGCACCTCGACGACTATATACCCATCTACCAAGCGGTCAGCACCAGACTATGACATCGAAAAACTGGAGATTGTCCTTGAGTCCCTAATTCAGAAGTACAACGGGGAACGTCCACCGTTGGCTGACTGGCTGGTTATCCAACACATTGCAGCCGTCCTCAAATCATACGGAATTACTGTTCAACAATCACCCGAAGGCACCGTCACCATTATCAAGCCAAGCGACAAGCGCCAAAGCACCATCTCACTGGGTGACAGCGTCAACACGGTTGCACTTCAGGCTTTGTTCGCCATGCTCGAGGCCACATACGGTTCCAACCCACCCCGTGATATTTACCTCATTGAGCAGACTATCGCCACGATCCTAAGCATTAAGGGAATCATCATCCCGGGCTTCACTATTCCTGGTGGTCCGTTGACCCCTGAGAAACCCATCCCAGGAGGTGGCATGATTCCTGACCCAACTGTGCCGGGTGGTAGTATCACTCCGGACCCGACAGTTCCAGGAGGCTCTCTGAACCCAAGCACGAAGCGCGACGGACCTGGCTTCTCGGTAGAGGGACTTCAAGCCGCATTAGCCCAGCTGGAGGCACAGTATGGGGGGTACGGGTCGGGCAAGATTCCCGTCTCGGTGTTCATCATAATGCAGAACATCGTCACGATTCTCCAGGCCGAGGGGGTTACCGTACCAGGATGGCCAACGTTGGGCGGAGGGTCAACTATCATAGGCCCATCCACCTAGATCTGCTGTGTTGGCAAGAGCAGCAAGAGAAGCAAGCGAGTACAAGCTTGCATACAAGGGTGGCTATGGGTTGATGATTCTATCAACGTTTCAAGTCTTTCCCTGACCTGATTACAACCATTATGTTTTCTTCCTCAGCTTTCATAGGTCGCTATCTCTATGTCCCCAAAATTTCAGGCTTGATTGAGTTATACCCCTTTACAAACCATCGTCTCACATGCGGTGATCGGTTATTGTAGAAGTCTTTGGGGCAGGTACTGCAGTTGAAATGAAATGATGAGTTTCACCTAAGTCTACAGGCACGCTATATTATGGATACAACCGTATACAGCAACCATGGAATACCAGCCGCATAGTTGCGGATCGGTAGCGCGCCAGAGAGCCCAATGACCTAAGATCCACGACCGAACAAAGTCCGGACGATACGGACGTATCGCAAACCTAACACTTGACGGAACTTCCACATACTTCTCGTAGAACAGACCACGTCGAATTACAGTTATACGACCCCGGAATGCTCTAGTCATGCCTTAACATAAAAACCAGCCGAGTAACAGGACCTTGCTGGCTGCTGGCTGAAGTATACTCAATGCTATAATGCCAAGAAAGCCAAATCTGTACACCGGAGACATATACGCTGTATCCGTCGGAACACGGCAAGTGGAAGGCAAAGCCATCTCGGTATAGACATGTCCGTGGGTCCGCTATGCCGGCGCCGTCCGCCTCCATCCACTCGGTGGCCACGGGTTTTACTGGGCACAGATATTACACACGAAGGCATACCGAGTCAGAATAGACTGACAATCCGCTTTTCTGGGTTTTACCAAAATCCCCAAACTCAATTCGATGCAAGCAACCTAACACGTCAGGCGACAGATGTGATAAACCAGGAGGGCGGAAAGGTGAAGACAGCCTTTCTTGATCGCACAGCTGACAAAGCTTGCATGCGTCCATCGGCATCCGGTGCTTCCCTCGTGTCCCTCCGGCGGGCGACGATGGCCGCCTCATCCGAGGCTAGTGGAAGTCAAATATTAACGTTCCTCGAAGCAGCAACCCCCTGGGCGGCGCTGCTGTGTGACGGCGTTCCGCACTGCAGCTGATGTGCTGGCCAGACCTTCATTCCCGTACCTAGTGGCGGGGAAAGCGGGTCTCTTTATAGGTATAATCTCGGTGAGATAGCAAATGGGGACGCTCTCGATTGAGCTATGGGGCCACCTGTAGATCAAGGTGGACCGCAATTGCGGTGACGATGTGTCCTTAACGAGTTGCGTTGTGCTGGGTAGAGAAGCTGGACGAATACAGACGGAATGCCATCAAGGTCTACGCCAGGTACGTCAAACCAGAGGCTTATACTCGCGACATGACCTGTCAGCCAGCCCGAATGTTCCAGAGTACTGCCTTTTGCACTCAAGGCTTTTCATGGTGGCATGGGAGCTTGAGTTCAAGCTTGGATCTAAGATTTGGTTCCTCGTGGCCTTCCAGCGGCGCTTTCTATCGACACCCCGTTGTGATGTGATGCTGACCAACTCTGACCAGCGCTACCCTGCGAGTCAGGGTGTTGCAGAAGGGAAGAGCCTCAAGATGCTATGTCGAAGCCGCCCATAACCCAGCTCTTTAGAGTTTGCGCCTGCGGTAATGCTCGCTTTGACCCAGTATCACGGACGACCTGGGGGAGGTCGGCGCAAAGTAAGCGACACGAAGTGCCGTCCCACCTCACCTGATTCGGTGGCAGGCTTCGAGATGACAGCCTGGGGCAGAACGGGAATGGGACGGTTGGTACAGGGCTGGCCGGAGCCACGCGCCGGCCGTGCACGCTCACAGCTGGAGGGTTTGACTACGCCCGAGACAGCTAGCCAAACGTTAAGTGAGCGTACTATCTATATCAGAAGCCAATAGTAAAGGATGGATGGCGTGAGCACGGATATCCGGGTGACGATGCCCAGGCCAATGTAGGAGAGGACAGCAACGCAATGCCGGAATGATGTTATAGTCCCTCAGCCAGCGGAACCTAGAGGCGATCACTGGACATTCTGGCTTAGTTTTGTCAGAGCCACAGCACCCGGCACTTCCGCGCTGGATTGGAGCACCTGAGCAAGAATGAGAAGGTAGACCTTGGAGATACAACCTGAGCTAGTTAGGGATTGGATAATGCTGGTTGCATCTGTGGTTGGAAGGCGTGCAGGAACGACGGCTTGCCAAGACCCGTCAGAGCCTCAACAATGGATTACATGCTAAAGAGTGAGCAAGGCAGAGCCAATGGAGATTGATAATAGTCAATCTCGCCAGTCTCCTTGAATAGAGGGTCTCAAGGGGCTGGCGTCTCGCCTTGCTGTGGGTATTCACCACATGGAAGCCACCTGGGCCACGTATATCGCAAGGTTATAAGTGCCGTTTGAAGAACGCCATTGGCTAGGCTGCACTTTGCCCCTTGGGCACAGCCTGCACAAGTGGCTTCAGGCTACCCATTCGCGATCTGGTCGGTGGGTCTTCCTGCAGGTATACCTCCCCTCCATGCCTTGGACTGCATAATACTCCGCCGCCTCCGAGAAGCAAGAACGCTGGGCTGTGCCGGCAGACCGTTAGGTCTAGTGCACGCCGCAACCTGCTGTGTTCACCTTGGCTTCTGGAAGGTGGCGAGCCAACCACATGCTGCCTTCAGCGTTGTTCATTACAACGGGTCTGAACTCATGCCTCGGGTTCCGTGTCTGGGGAATGAAAATAGGATGAATATGAGGTAATAACTAGCTTCTTCGAGACCGTGCAGTGGGCGAGCTGTTATGGGTACGGATATACCAGAATCTTTTTGCTGTCAAAGTAGTTTCAATGATTTAAACTGCACTACTATGTGTGCATACCAGAGTAGAGCGGGCTTAGTGCGCACGATCAACGCCAAAGTCGAGGAACGATCAAAGCTGCTAAAGAAGTGTTGCCCGCGAAGTCGATGCCAAGATCAGCCATGCAGGAGATGAGCTAGGCAGGCGTCTTGGTTTACCACAGTAGGAGCAGCGCACGACTGCTGGCATGTACTGTAGAATACGCTTCGGGCTAGGCAATCGAGATGACACGCAGTCGCTAGCAATCAGCTGTTCCATCGCGGATGCCTCTGTAGTACGCTATGATAGAACTAGACATGGGAAGGTCGAGGATCTCTCCAGTGCGCTGCGTCCACATCGACGACGGCTCCTTAACGAGCAGACCACGTCACTGCAGCACACCTTTCCCCCATAACCGTGTGCAGCCTCATCCACTCAGAGGGCATGGCGATGTGCATCCATGACTTTGCACAGCTGCCAAGAGGAACAGATGATAGTTCGCAATTGAGACTGTGAGTGCGTGCTCGTCTGCACCCTTCTCCATTCCCAGCCACGAACACATTTCCAGAGTAATATTGGCCACCAAGGCTGCCGAGCACGAGCAGCAGCAGCCTCGATCAAGCTTTCAATGAGGAATCGATATCGTACGCACACCGGGGCACACCATTCCGCCTGGTGGGCTGGGTCGCTGAAACACCCAGTTCATATGGATCGTGATGCATGCCACCATGGCTCTGTCCACATATGTAGGTACTGTAGGACGATCAACGAAGCACGGCATAGCACAGAGTAGAGCGAACGGAGATAGGCGTGTGGTTCTGGAAGGCCGTTCTCGAGAAATGCAAGACCAACAGCCGACACATTATGCTGACGTTCACCGCCATGTGCGTGCATGGCATCGGCCCAATCAGCGGCCGCAGCTGTAAGGGGGGAGAGCCACCAACCCCCAAAGCATCACTTCGCATAGGACCAGGCTGGCTTGGAGGATGCTGATTCGCCAGTGGGCGGGACCAAAAGCAAGAAATGCGCAATCTAGTTAGCCAGATACTGATCAACCATCCACTCATCTGGGTTCGTCACCTCACCACGGCCAAATGCGCCATGGATGCGCTGCAACGTCAGATAGACAGACGGACAAGTCTGCTCCTCCTCGCTGTAACGCTTAGTCCCGCAGGCCCAGAGCCGGCGTTCCGAGCTACTGCGGCACTACTGTGAATGCGTAGCAGGGCATACAGACCGGCCGAGGTTGGGTTGCTGCCACGCTTTGCCGTGGGGCCCCCATCTGGGCTGGGAGGATCGGCAGAGCCAATAAGAGAAGCAAAGAGGGCTATCGACAAGAGTTGCCCACTGTCCAGTCTAGTCTCCAGCTAGCTCCGCACGTTGGCTAATTGGGCTTTTCTGTAGACAGGGGAAGAAGAAAGTTTGGGTAACAAAATGAAACCAAAAAGAAAAGATATGGGAGGGAAAGATAGGCAGAGACCCCGGTGTCATGGCGGTTTGGGAATAAGCAAACCGACCTACCCTGATGTTAATGGCGGACCCACGGAAGGCGATGCAAGACTTCAGAGGCATTTCGCATTGCCTATGCTGGTCGTGACACGCAGAGCAGGGTGGGTAGGGTGGATTGACTATAACCACGTAGCCAATCAAAGTTTCAAGTCGGCCTGCCTACTTTGTAGACCGTTCGTTGCTTTCAGATTGCTGGACTTTCACTTGAGCGAGATCATGAGAGATTAAGACAGTGATGTGGTTTGAGCATTTTGCTTGCTCCAATGGTGTATTTGGGCCATGTAGACTCTATCAATGATGAATCCATTCCCAAGGGGACAGCCAGGTGCTGGTGTCCACCAGGTAGAAACGTATGTTGCGCAGGCCCTTGGACCTGGAGCGCAGTGGGCTGTTGACCCTGTCTCCTCTAATGATGTTCGTATCCCATGAACGGACGCTCTCCTCCGTCTTTTGTTTTGCAGGCTTCTCAAGCAGAATCGTAGAACTCCTCCAAACCCTGTGTCCCAAGAAAAAAAGATATGGTATCATCCAAGCGAAAGTCTTCGGGTAATCTCCTCCTCTAGATGCAACCCGCGCACAGGAACGATTAAAACAAGTAATAAACAGAAGCCTCCCCATGTAAACCGTTGTATGTCCTGCGCCATTGAACAATGCTGTGACCGGTCCGCTCCAGGTACAGTCGAATCCAGTCCGTTGGCCCTAGGTCTCCGTGGATTATGTTCCTTTCTTGAAACCATTCAACTCCACGCTCAGTAAAAACAAAAGAGAAGACAAAATTTCCCCCAAAGTAGATACAGCTGAAGTTCAACCAGTTCCAGACTTTTCTTTTCTTTTTCTCTCGAGGCATGCGCATTCTTGGACCTGATCCCGGTAGTATTCCTGGCAGACCTGGTGCAGCGCATATGATAATATGTCGACAAATATTAAAAAAAGGTAGCGAGTGTATAATATTGTTTAGTAGCAGCCTTGCATGTTGGCAAAGATTGGTGCCTGATGATGGAAAGCCAGAGGGTGGTGCAGCGGTGCTGGTTGCGTGTACTTGTTGAACATGTCCCAGATGTACGGAAGCTGTGGGAGTTTCGAAACGTAGCTAGGCTGTACGGGAACCGAGATGGGAACCTGACATGGCTGACACGGTTCGACCACAGACCCTTGGTATTGTTGGGCATAGTCCTGGGCAAACACCTTGGATTCCTCTGGGTCAAATAACATCGGCTCCAACATCTCTTGTACTGGCATCTCCTCATCCTGGATAAAGTCGTCGTCATCCAAGTCCTCGATTGTAGAGGCGCTTGAGGTCAAGGATCCATCGTCAGACGAGCATGTGGACTCTCCATCCGAGTCCGAGGCGGCAGGTGAAAGTGGTGCGTCATAAGTAAAGTCGCCCGAAGCTGCATCTTGATAAACGTAATCAATGGGTTCCGGTGATGCAGGGGGCGATGGAAGTGATTGAGCTGCGTTCATCACTGGAATAGTGAATCGCGCGCATGCGAGGATGCTGTTTCGAAGCTCCGATAACGTAATTCTTTGTTCTGGGTTGCGAGCGAAAATCCTTGCCAAGATGTCGTTCAGTTCATCCGACAATGGAAGAATGGTTTTAAGGAAATCAGGACTCCGGGTGAAGGCACGATAGGTGGAATCATCAAACGATGCCTGCTTCCATGGGTTGCGGCCACAGGTCAGGTTGACCAGAATGACACCCAGACTCCATACGTCGTTGGGGGCGCAATAGTAAAACGGCCTCCGAGATGATGGATCTAAGCACTCTGCAGCGAACAGTGTCAGTGAATATTCCCAGGGGTGATGGTAGAGGCAACTGAGGTCGTACCTGGCGACATGTAGAAAGTGGAGCCACATCCATAATCCTCGGAGCGGTCAGATGAAGTAGCCAGTCCAAAGTCGGCAAGCTTGACGGTTTCTCCCCGGTTCGAAACGAGGATGTTTTCCGGCTTGAGGTCTCTGTGGTAAACTCCCAACGTATGGCAGTGCTCCACGGCATCCAGAATTTGAAGGAAGACGCTCTTGGCCAGGTCATCCTTACCGACATACTGGCCGCACTCGGTGATGTTGTAGAACAGATCCCCTTCCGGGCAGAACTCTAGCACAACATACGTGCAGTCCGGGTCGTCCACAATCTTCAACATGGAAACAACATTGGGGTGTGCCGACGCGAGGTAATGAAGCCGTAACTCCCGTTGCTGGAAAGCAATCTGTCGACGGTCCAATGGCGTTCCATCCACGTTAAATTTGCTCAGGGTCTTGACGGCATACTGAATTCCGGTCTTGACATCTATCGCTGAATAAACCACGCCATAGGCTCCGGTACCTAGGATCCCAACCAGGCGGAGGCTGTCGCCAAGAAACTTCCCTATTCTGCTTTCCGGGGCGACTGGCATATAACGAGGCTGGCAGACGGCCGGTACTGCAAAGGGCTGTTGGAAGGCACAGTTCTGGTCATCGTATGATGGCGAAGCCGGGGGCGAGGGATATCCGTATACTGGCACATTATGCATGTTATGCGGTAACCACGGGGTTTCCAAAAGGCAATCCAAGGCTCGAACTCTGGAAAAAAGAGAAAGATAGGCAAGAAAGAGGAGCTGGCCTGCTTTCAGACGAGATCCTCAAAACCCAAAGAAAAGTTGGCGATATGTCCGGGAATAGTCCTGGGTGTTCCTTTTGGTTCGAAATAAATATGCCCTGGTTCGCACTACAATGACGTCGAGTCAACGAGTCGGGTAGTCCTGGTGGGCTGTCGCCGGTGAGGTGAGGTGGTGGTCGGGTGAGTAGACGGAAAGGCGACGAGGGCGATGAGGGTGACGACCTCAAGGACTGTGATGCGGTTCGGACGACAACGTTGGACAATGAATGTAGTGTGGTGAGGTGAGGTTGAAGGACACCGGCTGGGTAGATTGATGTAGATATTGAAGATAACCGTTCTAATGTCAAGGGTGCCGGATTGCGTGTTTGAGTGGCTCGACAGACCCCGGTCGCCTTGGCTCGATATCCACCAGGCCTCAGTCATTACTAGCCGGTCTACCCTTGTCGGCGCTATTCGTCCCACTCTCACACGTATGCGCTATTCTTAAATTTCGATGGCACCGCTAAGCAGGAGGGCGCCGGGCTGGCACGGTGGAACTCGCAGAAGTAGGGAGGTGTGGGTAAGGAATGGATCCAAGTGCTTCTGGGGCGTCCACTAGAGTGGTAAGGATGCGCAGCAGCCTGAACGTGGACCGAGATTCGTGACGCTTAGCAATATACGAGAGCAGGGATTGTCTGACACACGAAAATATCTGCTCCACTGCATTCGAGGGTGTGTCACTGATGCCCACCCCCCAGCCGGTCATTCTGTCCAATCCAGACTATGGCCACACCCACAGAAACATCAGGGACCCCTGTCAGAGAAAACGGACGGAAGAAAGGGGGCGTGCGTGTGATCTTGCACGTCCTGCCGGTGGGGATTGGTGTGGCTGCTCATTCTCCGCTCGTATCGTTTTGTTGGTTCGCCCGCTATGCAAGCTGGTTGGGCAAATCGTCATTATTGACAGGCCCGTGACTCGTATGCTTTTGCTTCTTGCCTTTCTGGTGCACCTTGTGCCGCCGGGCGATTTTGAGACCTCTGATCACATCTAACGAAGGTCTTCAGCGTGTACAACGGCGGTCCCACCCCTCCCAGCCTGCCCTCCAAGCCTTCCAAGCCCTCCGTCGTCCTGTAGCGTTGGGAGGAACACCACTTGAGCTATGCTATGACTGCATGACGGCAGGGATCTGAGAACTTCGTCAAGTATACCAGCCGGAGTGAAATTATACAAGCCGGGTGATGGTTTTCATTAGCGTTTTAGCAGGGCTAGGCAAAGTGAGAGAGGTGACTGAACCCTTGGCAAAACTCTCGTCTGGGACCAGTATGCGGCAGTTCTGAAGTCAAGATTGCCCCCTAGGGAGACCGCCGCCGAGAGATCTGTGGGTACCGTACTCCGTGGAACATGACATCTCGACGGACGAGCTTCTGGTCCGTGTCATTGTTTGTGGGCTTTAAGCTTTTGCAAACAGAGTGCATGAAATTGCTCGAGGTAAGGCGAAGTTTGAGACCGTGGCCACTGTCAGTCAGTCGCCTTCGCCAGCCTTCTGTCACAAAAGCTGTGTCGTGCCCTGTTGGGGGGTCAATGCGACGGCCAGGCTGTGCTTTGTCTGGTGCAGTCTGCGTCTGCTGTGCAAGATCGCTGTCTCCGTACTTGTCTCAAATCAGACGATGATTGGATCATTTCTTTCTAATGCCTGAGGATCTGCCAGTCTGTAGCTTTGATTCGGCGCTAGCTCGTCTCGTCGAATCGCTCGCCTGGAGCGTTCCCTTGGGAATCCGTCAACCCAGAAGATCATTGCCACTAAATTGGAAGGCAGGATTTCTGCGGTAAGCCCGCATTACAGCGGTTGGCAGGGCGTACAAGGCGGCTTTGCCTCTTGTTGCAGGATCACCAAGCATTTCAGTGACATTGACCATACCAGAGCGTTGACCAACACCCAGTTGCTATCTGGCACCACGCAGCCGCTGAACATCGGGTAATGAACTTTTCCCGAGTTCTTGTGATCCAACGGCAGTTACAGTCAAATCGCTCTTGAGGCAAGTCGGTGCGAAGCGAAATGAACCCAACAGCAACCTGGTAACCTTGCGCAAGTGAAAGCCACTTTGTACGTATCCAGTTTCTAATATGATGGTCCTGTGATAGGCAATCTGTTGCTTGAGTCCTTGCAAGCAAAGAGTCAGATTCACTGACTGTTGACTGAGCCACGGTTGACGGGCTCCGGCTCCAGCAGCAGGGGGGGGGGAAGCTCCAGGCCTTTCTTTGAGTCTCGACATAGTAGGTAGAAAAACACCGCTTACGAGCAGAAAGTCGCGATGACTGCAGTGCATCTGCATTGCATTGCAGGGCCAGGACTGCGGGTATGTGGCCAATCTGATCGGGTCTCCAGGGTCGCTCGCGAACCTGATTTGCTGAGGGCGGCGAATGAAGGCAGACGCCAGCTTTCGAGGCTGCAGACCCGTGATGGGCTCTCTGCTCAAAGCTGCTCGACCGCAGGACAGGGCCCCGTTCAGGCCCGTCTGATTGGGCTGGGGTGATTCATCGCAGCTTGGTGTGGGTGGTAGTAAATTTCAGCGACGCATGCAGCAGCCTCGTAAAGGATTCATCAGACCCGTCGCCCGTGTCCTGCCGCGTCAGAGAAGTGAGGCTGTCTGGTCCCCAGGATCTCGCCCATGGGTTGCAGTTGCAGGGGGCCTCGCTTGGCACGAGCAAGGCAGGGGACGTTTTCTGCCGACGCGAAATTGCCCCGTGCATGTCAAGGGCTGATCTAGCCGCCCAATAGGCAACATGGCCCGCCCGCTGTCACATAACCTGTGGCTCTCGACGGCTGTTTCGGTGATAATGATCATTATTTGCATCGACTAGCGTCCCTATGATCCTCAGGATTATGCAGGTCACGGTTACCGTTTGATTGATCACAATAGAAACCAAATTGGATAAACTTGGATCCCAGCTTCTGGCTTCTGGTCGGATCATTATCTTGCCGACTGTGGCCCTTCGGAGCCATTGCAGGCCACCATCTCGTCCTGCGATGCGATGCCACAGCGTTTACACGATGCAGACAGAGGCATGGTGGCTCCTCAGGATGCCCTCCCCGAGCACGGTAGGTAGGCGCCCATGTTGCTGCAAAATAAGAAACTTGCTGGTCGCGACCTGTATGTACAGATGATGCTTGGCAAACTTGGGTCCTCGTAGGCATCCGGATCGTGCGGGTTTACCGGGAAAATATTCCTGTTCCTCGTCGTACATCAATCCAACCGCCGCGGTGATCACACAGCAGGCTCTCCGAAGCATTTGGCTAATCAATTTTTAGCAGCTCCATGGCAAGCATGGAGATCACTGCATCTCAAAAAAATGGGCAACACGCTTCAGACCGCTAATCCTTCTTCTCCCCGAGGGCCTGAAACCCTCCATTTACAGATCTTCCTCCGAAAGATGGGACGACAAAACTTTGAGTCGATAGTAGCCACCCAGACAAGCCAGATACATACTCACCGCATGTTGCGCGATACTTCCGGAGTTTGGCGGGTCCACTATGGTTGCAACCAAACCCATCTCTGTCTTCAACAGCCTCTAGGTTGCTGAACTTGTGCACTACTATATGCCGCACCAAGCTAGTATATGGACGTTGCATTGGGGGCTTCAGCTCGCATAGTATCTCATCTACTCTACGAGTGCTTCCTTGATCCGACACGCTTGCGCAAGACTCCTTGATTGGGTGCCTGACAGCACAATAGTTTGTAGATTGCCATACTCTGACAATATCCCGCCGGCTTGCAATGGACTGGTCTCGAATGACGCCGGCGCTCTGACGGGTCTCGTGAGACAACGACGATAAGATAAACTAGGCTGAGATTCCGAAACATTGGCCCAGGTCCTAATGCCTCCCTCACTTTCTCAAGCCTCGCTTGGAGCATTGACTATCGGATGGGTTTCCCTTGCCTCGCCTGTAAGGGTGGCCACGTTCCCGGAGACCCTTACCTCAAACACTGAAAACGGGGCAAGCCCATGGCTTATTGCTATAGCGTCCCGTGGTAATGGACCCTAGATTACTGGGCTCCGGCAGCGAATAACACCTGGGGTAAATAAAGTGCCCGGCAGCACGTCTCACCTGGTGGTCGTAACTTCATGGAGTAGAAGCCTTACCTTGTCGCCGTCTGCATCCTAGCGCAAGCCAAGAAAACGTTTTATCGTGCTCATGACGAAACGGCTCGGCCGTGGATTCAATGCATACATTGGGCCCTACATGCGAATACACATGATCGACTGTCTGGGCTCTTCCCTTTATTGGTCAATAGTGTCGCCTGCTTGTTCTCGCTTGGTAGGCGATGCTCTTGATATCCAGCTATCTATCAGATGAGGCAAGTTACCCGGCCGGTGCTCCGGATGGCGGTCTGGGTTGGGTATGTGCTATAGTATATACACCGGTACTATATTCTGCTCTATGCTTGTCTGATGTCAGCAATCCTATGGATCCCTCGCGAGTTGATCGACTGAAGTGCTGAGCGCTCCTCAGCAAAGCGAGGCGTGCGAGGAATCCGACTCCTGCACTAGGACAAAGAAAGGTTAGCCTACCCGTAACGGCTCCAAGCCCCGATAACCAGCGCTGGAACCGTTCTGTCGGAAACGCCCCGGTGTTTCGACGAAACACCACACTCGTCAGACCCCGTCCTCAGAGGGCTCCCACAAGAGACAGCGTGTCGTGTTAGTGAGAGTCTCTGTGGACACGAGCATTAAGCATCGTAACGGTTCTGACTGATCTGCGATGACGCAGGCACACGGATCTGAGGCTTGCGAAGGGCGCATAACAGGCCTCGCGCGACTGGCTGGCCCTACATTTCATCAATATGCATCCAAGTGGACGCGCAAGACTTGATACAACGGTGTCGAGCTTCGGCCTCATCGACCCGCTCCTCCCCAGATGTTTAGCTTTTTCCTATTTCACTCCTGATTATCTTTGCTTCCAGCGCCTATCAGACTGTGAGGATCTACGCGATGATGCAACTCCGTATGTAGCGTCTCTCGGGCGATCAGTATTGGGCGTGCGACCCCCACCAAACAAGCCCCCACCAGCCCGTCAATCTGAAGCACAGCCGCGAGGATGATGTCAAGCCCGGGATGCACGTGCGAGATCAGCATCCATTCCAACCGCAGAGACATCCAATTGCTGGACGGGCGTAAGACAAGCTTGACACTCAGATACTACGATAATCGAACCTGCAGCTATCGGGAAGACCCACTGCAATGCAGCTCTCAACGGGAGCTTTACAGTGCTGCTACAGGGTGTAATATAAGTTGGTCCGGAAGATAAGCTTTCCCATATATTTCGGCCGATGAACAACACGGGACGTGTGGAAACCCTATACCACAACGGCATATCGCCAGGATTCTAGCATGGTATAGCTACCCGCCAACCGCCGTACACATGGGCCGGTATCAGATTGCCTGAAAACATCCCATCATTCCTTCCGCCTACCATACATAAAAACAGGGCTTATGATCTGATGCTTACATATCGGCGCCGCAATGTGTCGTAGCATTGGTAATATGTGATAGGTTTCCTGCCTAATTGATCTTCACGTTAAGATGTGGCCTCGTGTGCTCACGGCAATGTGGCAAGTTTCCAGAACTTATGCTACGGGCATGAGCCGTGCAGCGTAGATCGGATGATGAAATTCGCCGGCTGGTTCGATCACCATACAGGGGCTGGCATAAACGTCTTGTGTTGCGATAATGCCTCCAGACGAGGCCATTGACCGTCACAACGGTACAAATCGATCTGTATCTACATGGCTAACTCGGGTGCGAAGAAGCCTGCTTGCGTAACAAGAGCCTAGAGTGAGCTCGACGGGAAGAGGCTGAGCATTTCGTCACTCCCGCCGTTGGGGTTCTTTCATAAGTGGTTACATGCCAGCTTTTCGTCCGCCACGAGCGCAACACATCAGTAAAGCTTCTGACTGGGGCATCGAGGGGGTGTCCCTAAGCCGACACTTCAAGAGGAACATGGTTCTCTCCTTACCAGACATAGCCGCTCGCCATCAAACTCTAGGACTACAGATAGTTTACACAGAGGCCGCGTGTCGAACCAGAACCGCAGGTCGCAGATCTGACATGTTGCGCGCCACCTCGGCAAGCTGCATTTACCGTCGGGAAGCCATCGATCAAATGGGGGCTGAGTTGCACAGTTAAGCGCCGGTATCCGAAATACAAGCAGACGTCAGCCCAAGCAACGGCACGGGAACATGGGTGTGGAGGAATCAGTCATCTTCAGGTAAGAGAGCGATTCTTGGCCTAGCTTGTGAATGTCACTCATGTTTCTGGGCTTCAGCTTTAAATCTGCCAAATAAGGGAATTCGCTTTGGAACGAGGCTACCTACACATACATATGGAAGTTCAATGCAGGGCAACATGGTGATACCAATCTGCTGTACCGATGTCGCGATATGGGGAGGCGCGAAAAGCCGCGCCTATCGGACTCAGTATAGGGGTTCGCGGGCACGTCGATATTGTTCATCCACTTGCTTTTTCAGTCAATATGCGTTGCCAATACACTCTTTGCCGTTTGGCCGTAGTTTACCGGTACGTGAGAATATTGGCCGGCAGTAACCATACCTGCGCCTTTAAATTTATTGATGGGCTACAAATTTATCTTAGAAGTGATACATCTTTGGCCTCCACACCACTGAAGTGACGGCGCTCTCTTCCTGATCAAACCAATAGTCAGGATGGATACACGATCCTGTCGCACAGCAGAATCCTTCCCGGCGGCGCAGTGACTTGCGCCGTGGCCCTTCTGCAGGTTTCCAGCCCAAATGTCCAACTGCCCAACACGTATCACAATCCTACTGATGTTGCAGGGTCGGGATCGGTTAGTGTCTCACTACATCGCGAGGGATTGGAAACTGTAATAACCGCCCATGCGTATACGCCACAGTAAGCTCCCGGTGCAAGACAGAAGGGGCGAAAAAAGAATTGGTCAGCCGGTAGTCAAGTGATCTCGTGACCGACGTGGCCTCATCCCGACGTCAAAGGCCGCATTACTCGTTTTTGATGTTTGGCGCGCGGAAATTTTTGTTTTATCATGCGCAGGCGGTAGAGCAACAAACTGCCGGTCTAGACCATAAGACGTGTTGCAAAAGAATCAATTCGTGACTATAGATGGATAACAAGTCAGGAATTAAACGGTCAGGAGAACACCCATAATGCTTCTCTTCTCACTGTTCATGTCATGCGCATTCTTCGTTCACGATTCTGGCATGTATCACTGCTAACTTGCACGCGTCTGGCTTTCTATACTCTGGCTTTTGTTGGTTCAGAGTCTCACTCCGAGCATCAAGGGAGACAGTGTCTTTCCGCGTCGTCGTAACCATCCTGCCATATGTAAGTGTTTGCATGACCGCCCGCAAACATCGGGTGCTTGCGTTTCCATGGGTACTCCCGTGAAGGCTCCCCCGGGCGGCTTAACATGTCTCACTCTAGGCCGCGACTTCCGTCACGCGTGCTGGTAAAGAGACGGGCGACATCCCCTGTGGAATTGACGCGTAGTGCGGATCAAAGTTCTACGCAAGCTTCCCGGGGCGCGGGCGCGCCCGTAAACAGGCCACGAGACATCGTGGATCTCAACAAGCGTGGGAACAAGCGCGGGCGCGCGTTGAGACATCTCGATCTCGTGACTCATAAGACCCGGGTACGCGTCCAAGAAACGCCTGCTCCCGGGGGGTCCAAAAAGCAAACAGCCCGGGCTCGATGGAGCAAACCCAAACCCCAGATGGGGCAGTGGGATGCAATCAGTGCGCAGAGACATGTTGAACATACTTTCCCATCTAGGAAATTGAGGGTCTTGTTGGAGGCATCCAAGACATTCCCATAGGAAAGCATCAGCAAACGCAGCCAAAAGGGCTATAGGCATGAAAGTGACGTCTGTTTGTTCTTGGGTCATGTGGCACAGTGTCTTCGGACGTCACGAAGCCTGCGAAGGTTGCCGGGTTTGGCGGACGACCACGCGCTGAAACGGGAGTAGTGAGGGATGCGTAAGTGGAAAACTCAAGTCTTAGCCACATAATTGTTCCATCGTGGAACAAAAAAAAAATCTCGAGTGCGGCGCGCCTGACACCGCGTAGGATCTCGCATGAAGAGAGCCGGGGCCCGCAGGAGAGACTACGCCACGATGCTAACGTCTGCACGAACGGCGAGGATGCGGATCCCGGTGTCAGCTCCAACGGTCGTTGCCCGGACCGAGGCCTTGCATGTGCCGTGCACTGCATTCTCACTCCCATCTCCACAGGGGATGGCGGATTAAACGACGAATACAAGCCTTGATCCTGCAATCCACAAACCAAGGAACGAATGCCTTCGCCTGGCTCGTAAGCTATACTAGGTCCAGGTAAGGTCCCCGAGAGTGGGCGATCTAGAATATCACATCATATTATGGTACACAATTTGTGAGTTGTCAGTATTGGGCTCGTCCACGATTGCTAAAACAGTATCAAAACCCAGGAGCTTGCTCAAGCTGGATACCACTTCACCGCTAGGTGATAATGCTGGAGGGCTCTTACGTGACTGGTGTTTGATGCTATTTTCTATATCATCCTTCAAGCGTGATCCTGCTCCAGTGAACCTGGATGGGAGTGATAACAATTGCGACAGTCACATTTGATTTGCACAAGCGAGATTTGTCCAGGCGCAACAAAATTCGCCCATTGCAGTATTAGTGTTGATATTTACATTGGTGCTTGCCTTCTGGAGTCGAAGAGGACTAAGTAACGGGGATAATCGTGTGACTCGAGTATCAAGACCCGCTTCTGTATGTGACGCGCTGGAAGCTCCAGTGATTTCTCAATATGCTGAAAATAGATTCGCGAGACAGCACCGGAAACGACTTTGGCCCAACGTTCGGCACTATTTACAGACGCCAGCCCCTGAAACACAAGTCTTGATTCCTCTCTTTGGCCGCACGTATGTTGTACAGGGCGCTATCTAACAGATACACTGGCTTTTAGGAAGAAAGGATGCTTCAGCGCTTCAGAGGGAGTAATCCTCTTCTCCGGGTTGAGCGTCAAGCATCTTTCCAGTAAATCAATGAAATGATTTAGATCCCTGGCCTCAGCATCGTTCATACCCCCAGAAGCGGCAGTGAGGCGGGTTCGAAGGTCGCGGGTCGGCTTCACGACGGCCAAGGTCCTGACATTTGTCTGCATGTAAAGGGTGTGTCAGTAACAAGACTCTTAAAATGGAGGCATAACGTGAAGGAGTGAAATGCAATGTGGTGTAGATTAGCTCCCTCCAGTTGACCCACTGGGCCAAATGCTACGCGCCCGGCATATGTCAGCTCTAATGCAGGCCTTGATCATGGGCCGGATGGTTTGGTTGAACGGCCTGAAGCCGGCGAATATGCAAGGTGCTCGGAGATTTCTTTCAAGTCGCTGAAGCAACCATGCAAGACCGTGCCGTTTCATCGGATGCAGTAATTTGCGGTGGAGGCCTATAAACAACGAACGTGTAACCGACACTCCTGCGCCAGAATGCTGCATACTTGCTAGGGCCCACTCTCAAGGTCGGGCCCAGCGCTTCACAACCGCCGCACAGTTCTCGAAATAGGCGATCCACCACGAATCCTTCCAGTCGTATAAATAGAAACGACCGATGATTCGCAGAAGCAAAAGCAATGAATGCGGGGAAGAAGACGCCGAGGAAGGATTATGCAGGCAGGCAAGAAATAGAGTAAGATAGGAAGTAGGAGAATATGCATCGTACCTTTGCAAGGAGCTTGTCCTTTTCGATGCTGATGAAGTTACCTAGATCATCGAAATGCATTTGCCAGAGCTGACCTCGCTTGTACAACTTGGCGCTGAACTTGCCACGGATCTCCATGATAGCCTTGAGCATCTGGTTATTGCTATCACCTGTAAATAGAATCTTTCCCGTGTATAGCTCATAGAGGGTGCAACCAATGGACCACATGTCCACGGCATAATCGTAAGGCATCCCAAGAATAATCTCCGGGGCTCGATAGAAGCGACTGATCAGGTAGGGCGTGATTTCGTTGTGTGCTGTTGCAGCATCCGATCTATCAATAGCCGTGCCCAAATCACAGATTTTGAGAACATTGCGAGACTCGTTGACCTGAGCGCAGTCAGCGAAGTGCACAAGTGGTTTGAGATCACAGACGAAGAACTTACCAGTATGTTGTCGGGTTTCAGATCGGCGTGAATAATGGTGCATTTGCGCATGTGAGCCAAGGCCACAAACATCTGATGGGCATACGATCGGGTTGCCCCGAGGTTGATACCAACGTTGTTGCCGAACTTTCTGAGCACCTCTCGTAGGTTGAGACTGAGGTTCTCGAACGCCAGGCACAGATGACCCTTGTGCTCAAAGTGACGCTCAAACTTGACAATGTGCTTCCGGTTCTCTGGATCGGCATCATTGAGTTTCTGTAGAATGGCGATCTCGACGTAGCCTCCCTTTCGGAGCGCATCGTTGTTACGCATCATCTTGACGGCGACCAGCTGCTTATTCGTGATATCCACGGCACGAGCGACCCCCGAAAACATTCCCTTTCCCAGCGTCGACTGAACCTGATATCGACCGTTCATAATCTCGCCAATGCGAATCTTATAGTAGCCTTCCTTGTCGTCGCCTTCGAGGATACCACCGGCAGCTGGATGAGCTAGGGCAAGATCATCCGTATCATTTTCTGGCTGGACAGCACTCTTTGGTGCCGCAAACTTGTCCTCGTCGAAATCCTCCGCAAACATATCCAGATCGTCGTCGTCTTCCTCTGTTGACTTCTTTGGCTGGGCAGCCTCTTTAGGGACAATCTCTGCTTTTTGATCGGAGGGGAGTATCTCCCCGTGAGGACCGACGTGGCCGTGACGGAGCTCATCTCGCATTTCGTCCTCTCTCATATCCGCTGTGGGGTCATAGTCTGCAGCTGAGGGGCCATCGTCATCATCATCACGAGACTTGCCATGAATGTTAATCAGATCCTGATCATTGATAATATCCAGGGCAGCAGGTGACATTCCTTCCTGCATCCCTCGTGCTGGGGAGGAGGGAGACGAGACAGCTGCGTTTCTGTTAGCGACACTATTGGTGTGAGAAACAGATAGCAACTCACCAGAGCGAGGCGTGTTGGGTTCGGTCGCAAGAGGCGTGCTGTTCTGGGACTGGGAAGCTTTTTCTGATGCCTGTAACGCTTGGACGAGCATAGGAGTTGGCCCACGAGACTTGGCGAGAAGCTCTTCGCGGCGGCGGCGTCGACGTTCAATCTCGGCATCCACATCTATGGGCTGTTCCTCCGACTCTGGTTCAGGATTGGGAACTGAGACTCGCGCGCTCCCCGAGGGGGCTCCTTCAGAATGTCCTTTCGCAGATTTAGCATCATGTCTACCATTTACCGGCGCCTGAGCCTGTGAATGCTGCGGGCTGTTCAGGTTGTTCCGCCCGGGAGTGCCCCTTCCCTGGTCTCTGTCGAGAGGACGTCGGTGTCGGTCGTCATCCCTTCTGGGCCGATCCCCTGCTCGATCTCTCCCCCCAGCTCGGGAAGGTTGGTAGGGAGACCGCGTCCGATTTCTGGGGCGCTTATCGGGGTAGCCGTCGCGGTCGCGGCTGTGCTCGCGTGATCGATCATAGTCTCTGGCACGGTCTCTATCATCGTAGCGAAGGCCCGAGGCCGATGAATGAGAGGGAGGCCGGTCGTCATCGTCGTAGGCGTACCGCGAGCGGCGCGTGTCACTTCGGGCATCCTCGTAGTGGACGCGGAAGTGTCGCGGGTCTCCGTTCAGGCGGGCCGAGTGAGCATCTCGATCGCGATCGATGTGTGAGCGCTTGTAGCCCCTGGGAGAACGACTACGGCGGTCTGAGTGGTTGGGGGCGTGTCTCGAGCTGGCGGCACGGGGGTTGTCATGATCAGGCGATCTAGATCTCGAGTATCTGGCTCGAATTCTGTCCTTCCGGTCAACACCAGTTCCATGAATCTGAGGTAGTGCAGTTGCCTTGGAGTCTCGAGCACCAACCCCGTTTTCCACGATCTCGCCCTCGTCGGAGCTAGTCGAGGCCATTGCGAGACGATGCGACGCTCTCTCTACCTCTTGTTGCAGTATTCCAGCAGAAAGAGCAGGAAAAGCAGCAGGGAAATGAGATCCCTATCTTTGGAAAGGGTGCGGCAGCGTCAGCAAGTATGTTAGGCAGGTGTTGAGATCAAGAAGATGTGCCGAACCGGGATATCTCTGCTCAGCGTTCACGCATCACGTCAAGGCACGTCACGTCACGTCGCGGCGTCGTTTGGCGGGCCGACAGCGGTCGGGAACAGGCAAGGACACAAGGAGAATGAGTCGAGGTTGGCAGGCGAGGCAGCGCTTGCGGTGTCTAAACCAGACACAAGGCGATGAATTGCTGTGCAGGAGATGCTGACCGAGGGGACGGCTGTGTGATTGAGGCTGGCAGCCTTGACAAAAAAGCGCTGGCCAGCGGCCGACACCGACTGGCTCCGATCCGGGTGAAGCAGCAGGGAGTGGGGGCCGCCGATGGGCCCGGATATACTCTGGAGGTTTAGATTACAGCCAGGCGGGGCCCTGACGGGACCTTGCTGGACGGTACAGAGTGACAGAGTACAGTACAGTGGAGACTTGCAGTGAACTTCGCCGTACGGTACTGTTACTGGAGGCAAGTCGCACGTCTCGCATCGCTGGGCAGCCGTCCGTCAGCTGCCGCCCTCACCTCGCCCCGCGGTCTCGGCCTGCTCCTTGGGTCGACCCTTCGAGACCCTGAATCTGACCCGACCGAGTCGCGAAGATTTCTGAGGCAGCCTTCAGACCTGCCTTCTTCTTCTTTGTACGGCGCATACACCTCCGAGTCGACCGCCGCTGCCCGCCACTTCTACCCGCGACATACACAACAGCCTCCAACCTACAAGATGGGTGGTGCCAACAGAGAAGGCAAGTCCAGTCCATCCCATCCAGCTGCCCCGCCAAAACCCGCAAATAAAGATGGCGAACTAACTTTTTGCCCTCCAACACAGGCGGCAAGGTCAAGCCCCTCAAGGCCGCCAAGAAGGAGAAGAAGGACCTTGACGAGGACGACTTGGCTTACCTCGAGAAGAAGAGGGCCGGTACGCGCCCCATAACCAATCGCCGAGACTCACCGACCCGGCACCGCTAACAGGCCACAGATGAGAAGGCACGCGCCGAGATGGCAAAGAACGCCAAGGGCAAGGGACCGCTGAACACCGGCACCCAGGGCATCAAGAAGAGTGGCAAGAAATAGATGCGATACTTGCAGTGTTGCCTGCCCGCTGCGGTGGGCGAGGCGTAGGCGCCGCCCCCTACCTTGACAGATCCAGCCCTCTGTGCTGTAGGTTTTGGTTTCAGCGACGTGGGGATGGATACCTTATATGCGATATGGCTAGACGCATCATGATACGATGAACATTAACTCTTGCAATTTCCTGACTGAATGCTGACTTGCTTCTGCTGCTTCTGCTGCTGCTGCTGCTGCTCCTGCTATTCCTGCTGTTGCATACGTCCTCCTCGGTTGGTTTCTATTGACACGCGCCGGGACTCATTGCGCGGGTGCGAAGTGCTCTGAAAGGACAATGAAAAGCGATGGCGAATGTGCGCGTTCACTCACTTCAGCTGTAAATGGTTACCACAAACGTGGAGAGATCGGGTGTCAATGCCGCCGAAGAGACCCCTCATAGTAACCCCCAGGCATGAGACTAATAATAAACACTACTATTATTTTGATTTAGTGGTATCATCCTAGGGTTGCTCTTTAGAGAAGACGGGTTGGTTGATCTTACGTTGGGTACTGAACCGTCTGCCTCGGTGTCTGAGACGTTGAGGATGCTTCTTTTACACGTGCGAATGATGCCGGACCTCGAAATCCCAACAAAACCTCCGGATCGGTTGCCTAGCTCAAACACGTCAAAGTGGGCCACTGCCTGACTCTTCAAATTGACCGTAAGAAGAGAACTCAATCTTTTACAGGAATGGAAGCAGTATAGCTGTTGTGCATCCTGTTGAAGATCGTGCAAGTACTGCACAAGCGTCCCACGCCAGCCGCTGTCTCACACACGCCATGGCCGAAACCAACAGCCGCAGCGCCGGGCCAGACTCCGGCGCAGCCACAACGCAACCCCGGCAGCGCCGGCGCTCGATCGCGGGCGCAGCGGCCGAGACGGTGGTCTCCAAGGCCAAAGCCGCCGAGTCGGCGCTGGAGTCGGCGCTGTTGGTCCTGTGGGACGACCTGCCGCACTGGCGGCGCGACAACGCCTACATCCTGTCCGGGTACCGCGCCGACAGCAACAGCTACGCCAAGTCGCTGCGGTCGCTCTTCTACGTGCACAACGAGTCGGTCAACGTCTGGACGCACCTCGTGGGCGCCGTCGTCTTCCCGGCCGTCGGCTGGTGGCTGTACCGCGAGATCGCCCCGCGCCTGTACGCCGCGACGAGCAGCGCCTCGCCCTCGGACGTCCTCGTCTTCGCCTGCTTCTTCGCCGGGGCCGCCTGCTGCCTCGGCATGAGCGCTACCTACCACCTGCTGTCGAACCACAGCCCGGAGGTCGCCAAGTGGGGCAACAAGCTGGACTATTCCGGCATTGTCTTCCTGATCGTTGGTAGCTACGTCCCGGCGCTGTATTATGGCCTGTTCTGTCTGCCGCAGCTGATGACGGTGTACCTGTACGGGGTAAGTTGATGCAAGCAGTGATGGCCCTTGGATATTACATTGGCCATACTTTGGATTGAGGAAAATAGCCGCTAACGATGAGGTAGATCTTCTTGCTAGGCCTTGGGTGTGGCATCGTCAGCTGGGTTGAGCGGTTCCGGACGCCTCGATGGAGGCCATACCGGGCGATGATGTTTGTCGGCCTCGGAGTCTCGGGTGTGCTGCCAGTCTGCCACGGCATCACCATCTATGGGTATCACGACCTTGAGGCGCGGATGGGTCTCAACTGGGTGCTTTTCCAAGGCTTTCTGTACATCTTCGGGGCATTCTTATACGCCGTGAGTTCTGAATTCTCCAGTGATCCTCATCGTGGTCTAACTTTGATTCCTAGGTACGATGGCCAGAGAGGAGTGCTCCTGGTACTTTCGACATCTGGGGGAGCTCACATCAGCTCTTCCATATTCTTATTTTGTTTGCTGCTGCGGCACATCTAAAGGGCATGTTGAAAGCATATGACTACCACCATAGCATAATGGGTGCTCAGTGTTAAGTACGGAAGATTTTCTTGGGAGCACATTATGTAAAAATGCGGCATAGAGAGATCATAATGGCACTACAGGTATAATCGAACCGCAATTCTTGTGGGGGCATGTAGAGTCAACCCATCAGATATAGAGGTCCAAAAGCCATCTAGACGAAGGGGCGAAAGACAAGATTGTTGTTGACAGACTTTATTCCGCTTATGTTTCATAGGTGAAACCCCATAACCCAAGAGGGTTGAGACAGGAATTTGTTGCAATTTGACCAGATTATTCCCAGCAGTTCACCATTTCGGGTCGACTAAAGGAGACAGAAACTGATCATGTAAATGTGATTGTTCCAGATGACGCCCCTGCTTGAGGCATCACTCCCACAGCTGACTTGCTCTTCGACAGAGATTTCCATGAGTCGTTCCTCAAAGTGAAAGAACCATCCTAGCGGGTTCGGACTGCTCCGTTGTGTTGAGCCTCGCATCTCCAATGTCTTGGTGTAAGGCTAAATGCGTAAAGATCGACTTCGTCCGAAACCGAATGCCCTAATCCTAACCCCATCGCAATGCCGCCTAGTAGTAAAACTGCTTTTTCTATCTTCCGCCACTTCTCGTAACTGTGATTTGCCGGAGGCTGTGATCGTGCTTGCCGTCGGCAAATTCTCGTTCATCGGTGAGATGACGGCGATATCTATCCCTTTCTAGATCGCTGTCAAACGACCCACGTCCCGTGTCTGGATTGTTGCCGGGCATGATAAGGCCAGCCCTGCTCATCATCCTCCGTACAAACCAGATAATGGCTATCAGAAGTCCTGAGACGAGGGGTATACCGAGCCCGAGAGCCAACCCGAGCATTGGGCCATTGCTTGTACCGGTATTGTTGCTCATATCTGCTGCACTCGACGTTCTGGGTCAGCTGATGGCCCCAAGTCACCTGGAGGTACGACTATGTGAGTTGACAGATAAGGCCGTGTAGTTCTTGTTGAACTGCTGGGCGGTAATCGGCTAGAATCTTGCCCGAAGAATTTAAGAAAGCAGACTTCAGCTTCCTACGTCAACTCTGAACAGATGGGATCGGGGTTAAAGGGTATGAATGGTCAAAACCCTATCGTACGTCTGGCATGACGCTGGGATTTGGTGTGTGATCTAAGAAAAAGAGTGAGAATACATGAATGTGAGCAGCGAAAGAGGTGGCAGTATTGGACGAATCGAAAAATAACATTTCCATTATGCCAGCCCTGATTATAGTCAAGGGTGGGCAAGCTTGGAATCCAGGGGTCCCAGTTGCATTCATTGGCCGCAGCTGTGAATGATTCAGTGAACCAAAGAGCAGTAAAGCTTCCGAGCCAGCCAGGTTGGTTCGCTCTATTAGCCGGTCTGAGCCAACAGGGCTTTGCCGCCCGCAATGCAACAGTACGATGTGCGCTGTATAAGCGATATTGGCTCCGTGCGCAACCGAGCATGGCGGGAGTTGAAAGCCATCAGCCCACAAATTGGAGAAGTCATCTCTCATGGCCCGACCGTATGGATGTCGCGCCAGGTACAGCCAACACTCTCGCTATCCTTGTAAGCCCGGGCTAGATCAACGAATGGTATCCTGTGCTAGTGATGCGAGGGAACCGACATAGACAATGGTCCGAGCGGGCCGCAAATGATGGCAACACATTGCCTGGTTCGTCCCTCTCCCGCGAGCAATATATGACATGAAACCACTCTTGCAGCCCATGGTAACAAGCACATGCACGATGCTCGCATTGCACCTTGGCACAAGGTACCGCTTACAGGAGTTTCTGCAGGCAGTGATATGTAGGTAAAATCGAAAACGGCACGAAGGAGAAAGCCGCTTCTCTCATCATTTATAACTTTGGTAAAAAGACGAATGGAAGCAGAAATGTCGGCGAAATGCAATGATGAAAGATGCCCAAGTCGGCGTTCATCTTGTTCGCAGAGCTTTCAAGTTCTCAATGAGTTGCAAACGCCTTAAAGCGGAGGATCAGCTCTGCGGCCGGCCTCCGGATTTGCAGGTACCCCACCAGTTTCCTTGGGGCATTGACCAACCAGATTAGGGCAGCGACAGGCGAGACAGGTGCCAATCGAGCAATTCACTACGTCCAAACTCCGTCGGTACAGCAAATCTGCCTACAGCCTGACGTGAATCAACAACGTGACTGCCAAGGAAAATCTGGGCATCAACACGATCCAGTGGGGGTTTGCGGCACCCAAATCACATATCGCAATCGTGCAATGCTTAAGCTTTCTTGCGAAGCTACGGCAGTCGCGCGCTGTGGAGGACGATGAAAGCCGATATTCACGTTCTGCTTCACCAACTGCACGGCACACAAAGTTCATGAGGCAACCCGTGGAGTTCTGGTTCCGAAGTGACAATGAGACTTCGGGCCTCCAACAAGGGAAAGCGGTTTCATCCGCACAACTATTTCCCAGAGCTCGATTCATCCGACGAGGACCAGCAGGTACCCGCAGACAAGCACGATGACTCGGACGACGGCTTTGTTGGCGACGATCACGCAGAAGATGACTTTGATAAGGACGACGAAGTAGAGCTTGAAGCTTCGTCAGCGGAAGAGGATGAGGTGGCAAGCGAGCCAGCTTCAGAACTTGAACCTACTTCGCACTTTCCAGTCAGCAGGCGCAAGCAGATTGTCGACGCAGAGGCCCTTGACGAGGATGGGATCAAGATAGCTTGCGGACAAGTCCAGCCGTACCCCACTGATTCTTCGGCAAAGTGGACGAGATCCTACGCTGGCCCTGTCACCAGATACGCCCGGCTTCCAGACCTGTGCAAGTACTGGTACGGTGACAGGGCTGGATACGCGAGGATCATCAATGGTCTGGTAAAGTTGTGGGCGAGGTACGAAATCTATCCGCCCAAGCTCCTCCTGAGCAAAGATCAGAACCTCGCAAAGTCTCCGTGGGTGTCGAGCAATTTTTGGGAAGCACAACAACAGAAGTTTCTAGACTGGTATGTGAACTATCTGTCAGCACGTCAGAAGCCATCGGTATATGCGCCCCTCTCCGAGGCTACAGCATCTAGGTGGTATCTCCCACAAGCCGAGACAGGACTTACCGCCCTACTCGGCCCACATGACGATCAAAAGGAACACGTGCTCAAACAAGGCGACGCCATCGCTCTTTTGCCTGATGGCGGTCCTGCAGAAGAAGCAACAGAAGACGACAAGGTTGGAGGGTGGATGTTTGATGTTGGGGGAATCGTGTTATCCATGGACTGGGCCCCTCGAATTGGCGAGGTTGATCAGTTACTGGCTATGACGGTGATACCATACGCAGACCAAGCCTTCTACCAGAACCCTGAGGAGACGCCACATGAAGCCACATTGAAGCAAGGTAGCGTGCAGGTATGGAGTGTGCCATTGAAAAGGAGTTCGAAAGGACTCATGGCATTCTCCAGCTCTCGACCTCGCCTAGCCTCAGCGCTATGTACCGAATCCGGGCGGGTACTGCGTATGCAGTGGTGCCCAGTCGCTCTTACAGTTGGTGGTGTCATCGGCCTCCTGGCCGTGCTGATGGCCGACGGAAAAGTGAGGGTGCTAGAAGTTAGGCAGTCCCCCAGTAAGAACATGCGAGGAACATTCGGTAAGTACCAGCTTTGAGAAGAAATGGCCTTCGCGACTGCACTAACCCAACTATAGAAGAAATCCAGGAGCCTCTAGCCACTATTGAGTTGAAAAGCGAGTACAATGTGAAGATAACGTCGTTCGCTTGGTTGAACGTCAACCGCGTAGCTGTTGGTCACTCCGATGGCTCGGTGGCAGTTTGGTCTTTGTACCCATGCATGATGCTTCAACGCCATCCTATCCATTCAAGCCCCGTCGTGGATATCAAATCAGGCTATCCGTCCCACCCCTTCATTGTGGCAACAGTTCCTACTGGTGGAGTAGTGACAGTCACAGATTTGAACAGGCCGAATGCTGAGCTTGTCTACTGTGCCAACCTCAGTATTTCACTACAGCCGAATCTTCTAGCATGGTGTGAGCACATGCGTGGCTTCGTCTCACTCTGGCCATCGTCAAGTCCGGCAAATAATTCCGTGTCGTTCATGGCAATACGTACTTGGCCACAGACACGATTCGCCGCTGCCGCCAATGGCCAGGTGACATGTCTGGACGTTGGGACCCACCATCCGTATCTCCTGGTGGGCTCTACAGAGGGCACACTATGGCTCTCTAATCCCTTCCGGAGGATATTCTTCTTCAAGAACAAGCACAAGAAGCTCAGAATATTCCAGCACGACTATCAAGCTTTGAATGTGCAGGATAAGGACGACCAGGACACGGACCAGGAGGTTCCTAGAGGTGTCTGCAGGATCCTCCATGGCTTTCAGCCTGAACATAATGCCCATCCAAAGCATGAGAAAAGCAATGCGATGGCCAAGAGACACGGTGGACAGAAGAAGAAGGCGAAGAAGGGGAAGTCAAAGAAGAAGGCGCCTGTCATTGAAGCAGAAGAAGCTGATGAAGATCTTGAGGATGAAGGTGATGGGAGCGCCATGCCAGCTGGGGACATAACTATCCATGATCCGCTGACCCGAATCTCCGCTGTCACCTGGAATCCGAACATCCAGTTCAGTTGGTGGGCTGCCGCCGCCACGGCATCGGGACTGGTCAGGATCATGGATCTAGGCACGGAACAGGTAGGGAGGAACAAGGAAGATGACGATGACGACACGGTTGATGATGTCGACGAGCAGCTTGGGGAAGGGTCGAGTGAAGAGGAAGAGGATTTTGTTGATGAGGACTCGGATATCGTCATGGGCGGGTAGCTACCAGAGATGTGATATACCAGGAGATCATGATACCCAGATTTCAGACCCGGATGTTCATCTCCGTAGTATTAGAGCCTCGCAATGCGCAATAATGTGGGCAACTGAGCTTGGAGAGTGATATAAGCTGAATCTCGTCATGTTCAAAAGTAAAGAAACCTTCGCAAGGTCAAATACGCGCTTGAAAACGGCCTGTTAACAATCAAACTGGCTCGTTGCGGCATCCCTGGCACCGGCACGACGCCGACTCAACAACGACGGAATATGGACTCCTCAGCTCGAGGATCAAGGTGGATGTCGAGCTCGTAGTTCCCATTCGCTCGAAAATTCAGAGCTGATGTTCAAGTATCCCATCCCAGCCGACTTGGACGCCAGGTCAGCCATGATCGAGCTGCGCCTATACCTTGAAGAGGTTGTCATGAAGCATCTCGAAGCAGTGACTCCGGGCCTGCTGCGTAGAGTCCTGTTTCGGACTGTGATGAAGGCTGGTACAATCGTGATAGTAAGCCGAGTGCTGACAGCTAAGTCATCGTGGAAAATGCGAGGTCGCTTCTCCGGTTGAACACGGGCTACCATGAGCCATGGTTGCTTCTAGCGGACCAGCACTTTCGCGCCGTCTTCCCCAGCTCGATGGGGTGGCCGGGCCCACGGCAAGGCATGGTGATTGAGTATACATCCAGAAAGCTGGGTATTTTCTGCGTGCTGGTGGGGAGCGCGGTGCTCTGCCTCAGCCTGGCTGCCGTTGCCAGTCATGTCTGTGGAAGCTTCAGCACTGGTGTCGCGTGCCTGGGGCCGCTGATTGCCTTGGTCGGCATCTTGGACCATGACTCTACAAGCGCAGCATGACCACGGCGCAGAGACCCAGGCTGGTGGCCAAAAGGGATATGAGAGGTATTGTTATGTATAGCCATGGTGGCGTATGAGACGGCCGTGGCAGTCCATAGACTTGTACTACTGTACTCACGGTATACCTACTGCAGATGGGAGTTTGATTATACCAGCACTGGCGGCGCAGATCTGTGGTCTAACTTGATTCACCAGGTTCCTGGGCTTGGCGATCTGGATCATTGCCCGGACCCCTATCCAGTCGTGCGCGTCTATATGCTACTGTACCTGCCTGCGTAGGTACCTGCTTCCCGACCAAAGTTCTTCAATTGATGATCCCTGTATAGAGAGATGCATGCTGGTGTTTCCACGGGCTCGTTGGGAGAGGGGACCAGCGCATACGGCTTGGGAACTCCCCAAACCATGGCGACTTGTTACCTCACTTAACTAGGTACACTCAGATAGGCTTGGCTTTCCCCAGCTTTTTCCGCAACTCTCCCTTAACCTTGTCAAGGTTGACCCCTGCCCGCGCCCTGCCCGGGCAGCACCTGACTGGGCCCACGAAGCCACCCGGGCACAAAGGCGCATGCAGTCGGGGGTCCCTAACTTGGCGAGAGTTACCGCTCTCGGGGGGCCATCTGCCCCTCTGGTGCAGCGCTGCAGCCAAAAGCCCACTGGGACGGTCGGCACTCGGCCTTTACCTTGTGGCTCTGGCCCTCTGGCCCTCCGGCTCTGGCTCTGGCTCTGGCTCTGACAGGGGGGCCAGGGGTGGGCTCAATCTCGGTACAGTGCATACAGTAGTGGCATGAGGCGGCGGCGGCAGTATCGGTAGCACCAGCACGAGCACCAGCACAAGCACGAGAGCACAAGCTTCCAGGTTGTGTGCATTGCCAAATGCGACTGCAACTCTCAGCCCATGATTCTCCTTTGCAGAGTTGGGTCACCATCGTGAACTGCATCCAGCTCTTCACTCTCATCATCATCCCTGCCGTCGCGCTCTCTCCGAGTCTATTCTGACGTCTTGCATTGTCGACGCACCCTTTTTCTTTGGCCGCAACGAGGCCCGCTTGTACCTTACCTCACGTCCCATCCCGTCCCCTCTTGTCTCGGGTTCAATCCACCGCTTGCCATCGTTCCACGCCTACCCAGAGCCGGATATCGGTTTCGTAGCTGCCACCCATCTGTCTGTACGTAAACGATCCCTTCCAATGCAGCCCTGCAGTGCCCGTCCGACCGTCCTTCCCAGACTGACCGACTGACTGACTGGTCCATTGGCGCAGAAACCCTCTCCCACCCCGTCCAACGAGCATCTCCCCTGCAGGTGGCAAAGACATGTTTGCATTACCTGTTAGATGAGTGCATACGAGACCTACCATCCATCTACCAGCTCCTCGATTCCGAGGCCATCATCGCCGTCGCCGTCGTGTATTCGCGCCACGAGTTTGAGACCTGGCTGAACTCCTTTCCGCCCACCCGGCACGGCGCCTACCCGACCAACCGACATACCGCAGTCCCGCGGCCAACTAAGCTACTCTTCAACCGTTGCTGATCCTTGACGATCCACCCCTTCCATCCCTTCGCCCAAGATGCCTTCGGCACGGAGACTGCGCGCCTTGCTGCTGCTGGCGCTGGCCGTCGTCATCACCATCCTCTTCTTCACCTCACAATACCAAGCGACCCACGAGCGCGATACCCGGACCATCCAGGACTTCTATCACAAGACGGTAAATGCCATGGACAACAAGAGGGGCAGCGGCGGTGCGCAGATCATTATGAGCGGCAAGGGTGCGCAGGTCAACCACGAGGCGAAAGACAAGGACGGCGACGGATCTGTCGACGAGGACGACGAGCAGATGGCCGAGGAGATGGCCGACCGCCTGCGCGCCGCCGAACAGAAAGCCAAGGACCTCGCAAACGCCAAGGCGCCCTTGAAGCCCGACTCGCCCGGCAAGGTTGTCGGCGTCGGAAGCTCAGCTGGCGGCCAGGGCAAGAAGGGCAAGCCCGCGCCCGAGGATGTGGACGACAAGGAGGAGACGGACGAGGAGCATGAGATTGAGGTTGTTCTCAACGAAATTCTAAAGAAATCCCCCAGTACGTTTGGCCACGTCCCTTCCTCTGGCACCCGAACTAACCCAACAAATAGCAATCATCTTCTCCAAATCGTACTGTCAGTTTTCGAAAAGGGCAAAGGCATTGCTGCTGGAGAAATACTCCATCGACCCCGAGCCTCATGTGGTCGAGCTGGACTTACACCCGCTCGGCAAGAAGCTTCAGGAAAAGCTTGGCGAGATGACGGGGAGAAGGACCGTCCCCAACATCATGATCAACGGCAAGAGCATTGGCGGCAGTGATGATATTGCCGAGCTAGACCGGATCGGCACCCTCATCGACAAGATCAAGTCCATGGGAGGGAAGCGTGTATCTATGAAGGAGCGATTTGTCGGCAACTCCAACAAGGCATAGAACTACTTGAACGAAGTCTTGTACTGACGCCTCGCGGGTTTTTGGATGTAATGGTGATTGATTTGTGCATTGGCGGCGTTGGTGGCTTATATTCTAGCTGGACACTGCCACGGTTTACTTGGGACTGGTTCAGCCCAAGGTAGGGCACAGAGCGCAAGGATCCAGCCTCTTGCTACATCTGCACAGTGGTAGTGCAGATGTGTACCATATCTCCATCGAACATATCGATATTGCTGGCCGCTAGGAAGCCGTCAGCATTGGGAACAGCTTCCCTTGTGCTTATATTTCAATTTCAAGATTTTCATACTGTGGAACTTCCAGAGTCGGACCAGACTATGTGCTGTGTGAATTGACGTCAGTCCAAACAAATCTGCACCATCGTCTGCGGTGATGTGATTATAGCTGTCTGAAGACTAACATATAGCTTTGAGGCGAATTAAAAGGCTTATCGTTAGCAATGAGTTCCAAGTAGTGTAACTTGCCAGAGAAAGAGGCTGATCACTGCACACCAGAATAGTGGAAGGAAGATCTCACTTGGCTACCTAGCACAAGGCTGGGGCTCCTTGCAGACAAGGATACCCAGCCTTCCTGGGCAGCCCTCGGCAGGGTGTATGAGAAAGCAAATACCGCTGAAATATCACTTCCTCCCTCCGCTGAAAGTATTCATGGTGTGAAAAGCAGATGAGTGACCTTATACTATCCTTGAATACCAGCTTTGGAGCTGGTTTAGCCGCAGCTTTTGTGTAATGTCACATCTTTTGTGTCTCTGCTTGATTTCACTGATCCCGTATGGACAAGCCAGCTTGGGTTAGGGTGAGGCATGCCAGATACGCGAATCCTCGTCGCAGTAACGTGCTACGAGGTCACACATGTGAGCGCGGGACAGATCTGCCACATGGTTGGTTGCTGCACAGACTTCCCGGCCCAGATCAACTTGGATCCCGCGGGGGTTCAAGGGGTGGTTAGCCGTTTGCAGTATGATAAGATGGGGACGCAAGTTGAATTGGCGTAGTAATTGGTCGAAAGCATTTGGTTCTCAAATGCGTTCCCAAAGAGCATTCAGACCTTTAGGAAGCATCGCAGCTGTGGCTAGCAGAACGTGGCCGCCAGACACGAACGTCATGATCACTTGTATCAAGCCTCTGCCCTATTGGCACCTGTCCAAAGATGGTGCTCAAGATATGACTATTCTTCAAGCGTCCAACTTCAGAGGCATAAGTCCACTGTGAGATGGCGAGGCTAGTGTCCACATTGCTGCCGCATGACAGCCCGGTACAGGGGATCGGCCCAGTGACGGGAGCCGTCTTCACACAAACCAGATAGCTTGCTACACTTTCTGAAGAGAGTGTGCCGGGTTCTTTGACTCTCGGCCCATAGGCAGTCTTCATCCACTCAGATAATCAGGATCGACTGACCAAGCAGTGGCATGGAGCCCAGACTGAATAGTCGTTGGCTCTACGGACAAGCTCAGGCTGAAATCTAAATAGTCAGTCTACATGATGAAAAGTAGAAGCTTCAGACAGTCATTGCTGCCATACCATCTCTTCATATCCGGATGATTCCTCTCCCAGAAAAACAGTGCTCCTCCCGCGCAGCGCACGTACTGCTTGCGTTCGATTTGCTCGAGCACCTAAGCGGCAAGGTTCGGATTGGATGTTGCAGATATCACCAACAAATGGGTTTGCCGTGTTGGCCACCCGGTGCACCCACCTGTTGCTCCTGCATACACAGCGCAAGACCAACGCCATAGGGTCACGACCTCTCCGTAACTTCCTATTGCAGCGGGCTGCAGGCCCATTGCCGAAGCCAACTGATGTGCCATTCGCCTAGCAGCGGCCCTGGGCCAACAGGACAAGTGAAATGATCGCAGCCAAAAGACCATGGTCACATTCTGCGTACCTCGCAAACCTGAAGGCCAGCTCCATCTTGCCCAATGCCTCGAACCCTGTCTTGTCCTGAGAAGATGGAGACATGCAAACGTCGTGTATGGCTTTGGGCGGGAGTTTGCCCATATCATAGTCTGGACTGGCTCTGGAGTATACCCGAGAACCCAATCACAAGTGTTCCGCAAGATACGCCTCGAGCCAATGGCGAGTTTCGCCAGACACCGGAAACGTGTTTGCGGTACTTTTGCTGCACTAAGTGGAGATGAGATGGACTTTGCGAAAAGTACACTGCATTTTGAAAGTACCATGCATATTGACAGGGCTTGGCATCAAAGTACCGGTATAAGAGCTCTGGCGCCCGCACCGTCCCAAAAAGAGACCTCCCTCGAACTTTTCTTCTAGTTTTCATGGGAAAGTCCCGTGCATGAAGTTTTGCATGTCGCCCGGTCCTTCTTGCTTGGGGTGTCGGGATCCCGAATGAACGGTCCACGCGGAAGGCCCCTTCCGAGTCTCGTATAGCTCGTATAAGACCCAGCTCCACCCATGGAGATGCCGTGTTAGGCGTGTTGGCTGCGGTTTTAAATAATGAACGAATTCCCAGAAAACTCTTCCCTTGGAGCCATCTGAAGTGCGGTCGACGTGTGACACATCGCCACCCGAGGCCCAACGTGTCTGGAAATGCTTTGCTCAAGCCGGCTGAGTGAACGATATTCTGGACCACTTTTCGACTCAGATCAAGAGAAGGAAAGCATCGTTTGAGGTGAACAATGGTTAAACGAACCCGTGGACTGCGACAAGAACTATCGACGATCAAAGTCAATCGAGCATGCGAGCCGAGTCGACACGACATGCCTGCTTTCCCGATGGAATGGATTAATCCTAAAGGCGCATGGCACCACTGAACTGCAGGGCCTTCAGCTTCAGTACACAGGACAACACATTCTCTAGAGATGCGACTTACTTGTGGTAAAGATAACCGCTCTGCAGCTGGTGTATACCATGAGACACTTGTTGTCGGAGGAGGTAGTTGAAAAGCCTCGGGATTGATCCTGCAATATGCTGTTCAGTGTTACTACTAATGCTCCGCCTGTTGACATGCCATTCTGGTACCAGTGCCATCATTCTGGTGTCTAATTGTTATGTTATATATGTTTGGACGTTGTTTTTCGCAGGCCACGTGCCTGGGTTATAGAACGCAACGACTCACCGACCATTCGCCCAACCTGAGCATGATGTGGTCCAGAATGAGCAGCGAGCACCTCGTTGCTACTGCATGTGATCTTCTCCACTGGCTTCCCATAATGACGAAAGGAGACGCTCAGGAATGTAGATACCGAATATGTGGGTGATCCTGGCACACGCTCGCTCGCATTAATGCGGGAGCGAGACAAACGCAGCGTGTAGCTTAGGTATCGTAAATCGTGTAGCCCTCGAAGTCCATGGCATTGTCATTGAAACAACCACGAAGCCATGAGTCCAGCCACTTCATGCCGTTCCAAGTTGCTTGTTGGCGCACGTCTCAAGTGGGACATGTAGACGGCAGTGACAGCTTGATGGTGTAGCTTATGTTGATCTGAGACCAGAAAGGCAAGCACAAGTCTTTCGAATACTTCCAACAGCTGTGTGCAACGGCAATGCAGGCCATGGACCCTCTTGCAGTGGAGGATCACTCTGATTGGGCCTGCCGGGCAGTTCAATTAGACGGACTTTTGGAGCTCTCCGGCACTCGATCGTGCACGCGCTAGGCCTGGCTACATGCCAAGGAGCGTGTAACTCAACCTGATAACCAGACAACTCATCACGTATCATATGCAATATATCTGATGGTTGTTAAAATTTATATTAGGAAAACTCTAATGCCAAGACGGGAACCAAAAATGGTTGTCAATCTGTCTCATCTAATAGGTATCATTCCAAAACCCAAAAAACTCCGGAACAACGCGTATAGAAAGACGGTGTGCGCCATACCTTTTTGCTAACCCGTTCCCTCGTTTTTCCCGAGCCAACTTGTGCTGCAATATATGCCCTGTAGCTAGCTAGAACTTAGCTAACCTTGACCACCTGCGTTGGCGACCTAAAGCTAGATGCCAATCGCCGCCAGTCCTAACAGAGCGCGAAAGGAGAGCCGTGTAATCCAGCAGAATACCTTCTGGGAACCCAATTCATTCACCAAATCCGTGCTTCAAATCAGAATCACTCTGGGTGGGATGATCCGTTCTATTCCGTCATGCGGTGTTGAGCATGTGGCGGCTGGTCGTAAAGAGAATCGAGTTTCCAGGGACCCTGATGGGGACCCCGACCCATTCTCTGGCCCATTCTGGGGTGTGTCGTAAGAGCGTTATAAGCAGTGCTTCAGAAGAAGCACCGAAGCATGCCGCCTTGCTTAGATCCTCGACGGGCCTGGGAACGAAGGGCTGTAGATGGGTTTTGACGGAAGGCCGTTCTTGCGCTCGTAGCGGGCCGTCGGGTGCTCGCCAATGCTGGAGAGCGCACTCTTGACACGCGAGCCAAAGCTGCGCTTCGATGTGGAGGAGGACTGGCTGTTCTTCTGTGCGTCGATAGAATATGTCGTCGAGTCCGAGTAGGTGGACGAGGCGTATGATGGGCGAGAAGACATGGTGATGGATGTGTTGTTGTTGACTTGTGAGACGCTTGTGTTGTTGCTCATAAGAGTGGACGATGTGTTTATAAGTGATGTGCTTTGGTATGCGGCAGCCAGAACTGTTGCGGTTGGTATGGCAAGTAAGCTGGTTCAATGTGCTTGATGAGTAGCTGTGATGATGATCTGAGAGAATAGATACCTGAAAGTCGAGGAATGTAGCAATGGTTTTATACTTTGGCCCGTTCGGCTCCCTTCTTGGGGGCCGACTTAGCATGATGCCAGGGAGCACAGCATGCTTACAACGGCTTGAAGTGCCTTACATCGTTGCCTACCTAAGCAATGCCGATGCGTACGTACATAGCTGCGCATCGTTGTTCGGACTAACTGACAGGACCTTGTTAGACAGCCTTGGTCCACATCTGGGGTTGCATACAGTAGGGCTGTGGGACGTGCTCCGTGACTCACGGGCCGGGGACTCTGTCCTATGACAGTCCTAGCCGGTCCTAGACGGGGCGCAGTAATTTGGGTGCCTGACGCACCCGGGGAGCCAAACTCTGTCGAAGCTATGCTGTTCTGAGCCTCGCCGTCCCAATTCCCAAGCCTATGTGCGCCATGGCGCAGCCAGGAGCCAATTGCTCGGGAAACAAGATGCGTCACCAAGCGGCGGTGTTCGTGGAACCACCATTGGCACTTTTGATAACGTCTGGACTTCTGTGGGTCGTCTGCCTCTTGTCTTGAAGATAGAGTTAACTTGCGGGGAGTCAACTAAAGTCCACATGGCTAGTTGCCCTTCCCATTGACCATTGACCAATGACGCCTAAAGTTCCCGAATGGACGCGAAGCGCTCGTTCATTCTTTCTGCCTTGGTGATATGCAGCAGCCTTAAATTTCGGAGTAGACGCCGACGCACTTGGTGCTTCTGCGCTGCGTGATCACAGCAGCCTGGCGGTCCCAAACGGACGAAGACGCCTTAATTTCTCTGCCTTGAGTCGTCACAGCGGCCTGACAAGGCACACGTAAGCCTCCGTTGCATTTCGTTCGACCCAGATGTTTGGTACTTTTGGCGTGAACTTGTTTAGAATCGCACACATTGGGGCTGCGCATCATATTTTCCCTTACAGACAGTTTAGCCCCCACCCGGACTGCCCACTTGGCGATGAGACACCATGAGTCATCCGCAACTAGCAATTAAAGAGTAATAGTCGACAACAACAATGCAGTGATCCTGCTAGCCAAGCGAGGCGGCTCCGTCGGGACCCCATTCACGAAAGATCAAGCTTTTTCCAAGCTGAGAGGTGAATAGCCCATGTCCGTATCCTTGTCGAACCCCTGCCATCTGCTGTGCTGGGTGACTGGAGTACGCAGAAAATTTTTGTAGCACAGGATCATAGTCCAATAGATACCTATGCAGACAATCGACTGACTCGACTGGCAGGTTTACTCGAATTAGCTTGTCGGGCCCTGTGCGGTCGTGTTGCTTGTTTCTTTGCCGGGTGGTGGATACTCCATCAGCGTTCGGAGCTCGGAATTCAACGCCGGCTGCCTGGACTCCGTGACGGCTACGTGTGATCACTGTTGACAAGTCAATTTCAACAATTCCGACAACCCCGAGTTGACTTGCCATTAGTTAACAGATCCATTGAGTAGATGAAGTCCACCTCATATTTCAAATGGGAAAATTGCTAGAGCCGGTCACCTACCCGGTCATGGCTTGGACTGTATTTGTCTTACAACGTCGAGATATCCCAGTAGGGTAACAATAATCCCAGCTTAATTGAGAGTAGATGGCCAGTAGTTGATGCCCCAAACCAGAAAGCAGAGGCGAGCAACTCTTAAGACTGTCTCAACTTGTCGATCATGGTTCCCAACTCTACGTAACTCATTGGAGCATATTGCACGTCACGAAGCAGGCAACTGTTCGACTGGCTTAGAAGGTGATGTATGTCGCATTGAGAATGATATGGTCCCCTCGAAACAGGTCAATACTGGAGAGGTATAGGGCTTCTCTAAAACATATCTGATGCAGGCTCACTGCTCGGTTGTGCAACAGAGCCCAGAAGCCTCACGGTGCTAACCAGCCCCCCGTGAAACATAACTCAACCATCGCAGATGCTGAAATCCGATTCGCAAAGAGAAAGAGGAAAACAATGCGCCACGGGCTCCGACATCCGTACCTCAACCAACGCCTACTCCAATGCACATTATCCTACCTAGTTCTTGTCCTTGGCCGTGTCCATGTCAGTATCCTTGCTCTTGCCCTTTGCCGTGTCCTTGTCCGTGTCCTTGCCCTTGATCAGCTCATTGAGCAACTTGAACATCTTCAAGACGACGGGCTGGTGTTCGTCGGTCCCAAAGTGGCGTCTAGCCGCCTCGAGAAGACTCATACGCAAGCCCGGTCGCACGCTCTTCACCCCAGTCTCCCACTGGACGAGCTCGCCGAAGCCCGCCAGCAGCATGTGGTTCGCCATCTCGCCCTGCTCCCCGTCGCACTTCTTGACGATCTGGGGGAAGAGGATCCAGGTGCCGTGGCGCAGGATGCACTCCTCGCACGTCGTGATGCGCTCGGCGAAGTTGGGGTCGTGCTGCAGGTGCGGCTTGGTGCGGATCCGGCCCGAGCTGACCGACGTGATCATGAGGTAGAGGCCGGCGAGGTCGGCGATCGGCAGGCCCTGGAGGTAGGCGATCTGGCTGTCTCGGGCGCGCACGTTCTGGAACGGGTCTCGCACGCGGAGATGGTCCGGCAGGATTATCGCCAGGTTCCACCTGCCCTCCAGTATCTGGCGGTACGACTTCTCCGGCATGTGCGCGTCCGCGAGGTTGGCGGCGATGTCCGCGATGCGGTCGCAGTGGTACATCGACTTCTTGAGAATGCTGACGAAGCGGTTCTGCTGGCGCGGTGTCAGGGGATCGAGACCCGGAGGACCAGCAAAGTCGATAAAGCCGCTCTCGAGAATGGCCTCGATACGAGACTCGCGCAACTCCAGCTCAGCAATGGACGAGAAACTACCGGCAGGACGAGCATAACGCACAAGCCCTTGCGAAGAGAGCAAGTTGCCAATGGGCGGGAGGGCGAACTGCTTAGCAAGGGTTTTGCAGATGGACTGCTCGTGCGACTTGATGATGGCATAGATGCTCTTGCGAGATGTCAGAATACCATCTTGGAACGTCGCGAGCGTCGCTTGAAATCTTCCTTACCTTGTTCGTTGCCATGAAGTTCAAGGTCGTCGCGATATCCATGTGCTCCGCCAAGTCTATAGCAAGCTCCACCGGGAGCTCGGAGATAGCCATGTGGACTGAATATGCCCTAGTAGACGGCGTGGTGCATGCAAATAATCTGTTTCTGCGATGTCGATGCTGAGTAGCAATGCTCCTGTGAGTAATCCCGCAACTTGCTTCGGGTTCTCGTCCTCGACGATCGGTTGTGGGTGAAATGGAGTTGTCGAAGTTGTGAGAGCGAACCTTGATGGCAGGCTGCACTTGGCGGGTTTTGTTCTCCCCCGAGTCCATCAAGGTAGTAAGTTCTACACGCGCTTGCATTGTTTGCTCATGGCGCATGACGCACAAAGATGCGATGGGATCGAGCCTCCCGTGATGCAAACCCACATGGGTAATGTTCCGGAATCGACGGGTGGTGGAAGGCGCACTTCAGATGAATGATCCGGACCATAGAAGACTTGGTGCCTAGGCCGGCGATGTGACAAGACTAGAACAAGGCATCGCCTGTTGTACTACGACGAAACTGTTACAAGATCTTGCTAGTATTTCCTGTTGCTATGCCGGCGGTAGTCGGCGCATCGTCTACCGGATCATGTCGCAAGGTCCTATCATCCCCCGCCAAGACAGGACAGCGGTCTTGAGTTCAACCCCTGGCATGCTTAAACGCGCAAGTCAATGTCAATATCCCAAAAGTTATACAGCATGCCATATTTGCGTTCGCTGCCTAGCGATAAGAACACGCAAGAGTCATCGCCAGTTCTGCATCGCCGTCCGGACAAGCAGAATCGACGCAACGGACAAAGAGGGGCAAGTGACTCGGAAGAGTTCCCCGCGATCTCGCCCGAAACGGTGGGGCTGAATCCGGATCCGGCAACAAAGGTCTGCCGGCGCCATGCCGTTTTGCTCCGGTCGCTACCTATCGCACGCACCCATTGTTCAACCTACCCAGTCAACGGGGCTGGGACAAGTGAATACATGGTAATGAATACTAGGTACCCAGGTACCTAGATAGGTATCAGCGATCATGGTTAGATTGGATTCGGGTGTGGGCCATATTCACTTACTCTGAATGCCGTGATTCACTTCCCAATTTTTCCCAATCGCCCTGCAGGCACCATATTTTCCGTAGTGTCTCCATTGGTCACATCTGTATCAGTAAATTTTGTGCTTGTCGTATAAGCGAGAAGTCCAATTTGTCTTAATTACAAAAACTGACCGCCAAGTGGCCAAATGCTATGCCGACTCTCAAACCGCAGCCCCAGTCCATCGGGGTGAATAACAATGGGGTATCTCATCTCATGTCTCATCAAATCGCTTCTACAAAACGCTCGAACCATACCGTAGCGCTCATAGCCCAAAGAGTGTTGTAACGAACAACCCCAATCAACCGCCCGACTCAGGATTTACATTCCAATACGAGGATCCAAGCGTAGGGGCAGTGCTTGGTCCTAGTTCCCGGTGTACAGCTCCATCAACCCGGCCTTCATCTTCCTTCTCGCATCCGCGTCGAGCTTCCTCTTGTTCTCCAGATCTGCGACCCGCATCTGCAGCTGCGCGATTCGTGCATCGGCGTTCTTGACCGCCTTCCGGCTGGCATCCCTCCCGAGCTCGATGCCTTTCGCCTTTGCTGCGTACTTCTCCAGCGCCATCTTCACCTGCCGTAACACCTTCTCGTCAACAGCTTGACCTTTCAGCAACTCCATGATCTCCCCAGTGATATTTCCAAGAGAGGCGCCTGGTGTCCCAGGCGTGTTTGGAGATGAGGAAGGCATGGCAGCGTCCTGTGATGACGACGGCGTAGACGGGACACCTACATTGGCGTACCCTCCGGAATCGTCTACGCGTTGTCGCTTGTGGGTGCCAATGTTGGCCGGTGTCTCAGAGTCTGCGAACAATACGCGCCTGACCGGCTTGTCCGTGAGCGACGGTGTCGGCATCCCGGCCGCAATGTCAGTCGATCTGCGCGCCGCCGGCGTTGTGAATGCATGCCTCGTGCGCTCGCGACCCTGACTAGAGGAATCCGTGATAGCGGCTAGCTGCCGCTCCTCATCGGAGTCCGTCTCCCCAAACAAATCATCGTTATCCTCGCCAAAGATGGGTCGCTTTCGCTTCGAGCCCATCGCTGCTGATGGCGTCTGGTCCTGTGCGGTTGGCGTCTTACCAGGCAGGCTTGCAGCTTTGCTCGCCGACTCCGCAATCATGTTCACCCCCTCGTCATCTGTATCGAGATCGCTCTCGTTAAAGTCGTGGTCCAGCGTTCGCGAGCTCGCGGTAGTCTTACTGCCGCTCGCAGCCGTACCCTGCTGCAGGGTTCTGCTGCTCTGTGCTGTGTCACCAGTGCCAGCACTGGTGCCGCCGCCGATTTGTTTCTCCAGCTCCGCAATGGGCGTGACATCGGTTCGATGTGTCCAGTGCCGCGGCCCTTCTTCGCGAGGGGTTACGCTGGCGCTCAGTGTTGTCTGTACGAGCTTCTTTGGGGTCCGAAGGCTGCCGGCTTGGGTACCGCCGGGTTCGGTGGTCGAGTTGCCGAGTACGGCACCCTCCTCGCGTTGGCGCGCATTTTCTGCCCAAAGAAAGAAGCCGCAGTTCTGGGGCTCGCCCGTCTTGCCCTTTGTCTTGTCGACCTGGCAGGTGTAGAACCAGCGGCCCTTGTTTTTGGTCTTCTTCTTGACCTGGAATTGGATCGCGGGCAGGCGGGGTTGGCAATTGCCTGTAAACAAGCTGGGTGAGTTTGCGGCCGATGCACAGAAACGGACACAAAGAAAAGCGTAACATACAGTACCATTGACCGTTGGTGAAGAGCCCGTCCAGTGGCTGCTTGGTCGGGCTGTCCGACGTCCCGAACGTGGTGGTCTTCCTTCGAGGCATGGTGAAGCTGCCGCGGGGAGCAGATCGTGAGATCGTCTCAGCCCAAGCTTCGCATCGAGTGTTGTGCGCAGATGGTCGCCCGAGAGGGTATCCGAGGCGCAGATGTTTTTGATTATTCTGGTGCGCACCGGACAGCGGCGGTCGATGTTCTGCAATTCGGCTGCGTATCGTGTAACCGTGGAAACAAAGGAATGATCGCAGGGTTGCATGGCACGACGTTCCCAACGGGCGGCCACTCTAAACTGTGGGGGGTCCGTCGGGTGGTTGGGAGGCTGTGGGGACTCGCTTATTTTAGAGACGGGAGCTGCCGTCCCCCCACCCAGCCATAGATACGACCCTGCGCATACCTACTGCCTACGGTAACATGTGTGTGTGTGTATAAGTACAGCAAGTGGAATGCTCTCAGGTCCGAGTTATCTCTTACACAATGACTCGGAGCTATCACAACGCATTCTCTATGTTCAGTCTACAGAATCTATGTCTAGGTCTTCACAAAGTCACCAAGGGATCGAAGATGACACACGAGCATTGACAAATCTTGCATTCCTTCTGTCTATATCAGTAAAGTTCGGCCAGCTCCTGCCACGATGACCAACGATATATCGTGGGTGCTAGTCCCTCACTGCTTAGAAAGAAGCCTACGTCCGCGTTGGGGTATATTCTAAACGCTCAGATGTACCGTACTTGTACACAAACAATCAAATAAAATCCAGGATTGGCCCGTCCCCCCTCGATAGCTTAGACTTCGTACCAATAGTCATCGTCCAGCCCCTCTCTGCTGGGCACTACACCTGCTCCCGCCGGCGGACCGCTGTAGGCGGCCTCCATCCGTACGTTCAAGAGCCTGATCTTGAGGCCGTAGTCTCCCACCAGTGAGACGAGCTTGTTAGACTCGGCAGTGATCGGCTTCTGATCCAGAAGCATCAACAGGCCGTCAAGCCATTCCGACGCGACACTGTGGTTTAGGGGATACAGCGTGAGTACTGGCTGCTCCTTGCCATCCCCGCCTGGCTTTGCCGCCTCCTCAGGGCTTGTGAAGCTGAAAATAGTGATCTTGGTGGTGGATTTGGAGTTGGTGTTGACGGCTCCCTGAGACTTGCTCGATTCGCTCCTCGCATCCTCATTGGCAACCGACACGTTCGACACGACGGAACTGACCTTGCTCAAGTCGATCTTTTCATTCAGCGAATCCAAACCTGGCTCCTGTGCCGTCCGCAACGCAAAGTCGGCGTAGTGTAGGTAGCGACGATTGTGCGAGAGTTTTACGTACCGCCACAGGGTTCCATTCGTGTTCCGCCGGTTATTGGGGTGGCTATTGCCTTGGCTCTCCTTACGTGGCGCTGGTTTCGAAAACCACGCACCTCGGAGCAGGCACCGAATCCGTTGTTCCTTGACAAAAGAGAGGGACTCTTGTCTCAGGTCATCTCGCACCTGGTAGAGATGCTGCCCCCAGTTGTCCTCGAAAGACAGCTCGAGAAGGTCCATTTGCAGGTCGCGCAGCCGACCACAATCGTATTCGGCAAGGTCCTCCTCGACTTCGACGACGTCTTTCATGCGGCCCGCGTGCCCAATGACCTGATCCACTAGTATGCGCACGAGTTCTGCGGCTTTATCAAAGTCGCTTTGCTCAGCACCCGTAGCTTTCCACAGTCGGAAGAAGGAGGCCAGCGCCGCAGTATGTAGCCTCGACCATTGGAGCAGAAGGGGGCGGTATAGCTTGTCCTGCTGCTTCCCGTCCGATAGCTGGTAGCCTCTCAGATCTTCCATCTCGGTCTTGTCACACTCGAACTGATCGTACAATATCAATGTTACAGCCAAGCTGGCGCGTGCAACCGGGCATCGCTGTGCCATGGGCCTCGAAGACTGCTCCAGGAGTAGCTTCTGGAAGCCATCTTCGTTCTTCCGGACAAAATCCGTCAAGTCCATCATGCCAAGGAACCCAGCTTCCTGAAATTCAGCAGCCGGGCTCTCGGTCTCAAATCCTAACCTCCTCCACTTCTCAGGGTTGTGCTTCTTGCTTCCTTTCCTGCCAACAGACTGCCCGTCCTCTGACTTTTCAACGCCGTTGGCGTGGTCCCGGCTCGGTGCACTTGCAAGATGCAATCCCTTCAGTGCCCTCCGATGTTCTGGCCGTTCGAGGTCTACGTGCACCTCTCTCCATTTCCGGAGCAGCAGCTTGGTCAGGCTTTGGAACTCAAGCAGCGGGTGGGCGAGATCCTGCAACGCCGAGCTTTGCATCAGGTTGTACACGGCCTTGATCAAGCCCAGGTCCTGCAGGCGCTTGATGAACTTGGGCCACTCTTCTCCAGCGGTGCTGGCCTTGCCATTGGCGGCGGCCGGGTCGGCTGACACGGCATCTCTAATGAGGGCGTTGATGAGCATGAGTGCGTTGGCGCAGAGTGCATGATCTGCCGACTGCAGCTGTTGTATTACCAGATCGAAGAACTGAGGGTACACAGCGACGGCTGGCTTCAGCGCCCGGAAACCGAAAGTACCGGGTACGCGATTCTGACCGCGTGGCGTCGACTGCGAGTGGCTCACGAGCGCAACCAGTATCGACATGGCACCTCGCAGGATATTGACCAGGGGGTTTGTCACTATCAGCTCGACGACGCGCTCGACAAGGTCGCCAGCGGTTGGGCCCTCGAATATGTCCCAGCCCATATCCACCTCGAGGAGCCTCGTCAGACTCTGCAGCGAGTAGGCAAGCGTATTGCCGCCGGTGCCCATGATGAGCCGGCGCAAAATAATCAGGCCGCCGGAGGAGATGAAGACGTCGGCGAAGGCGGGGTCGTTGATGGATGACTGCAGTTTGAAGACGGCCATCTTGCGCGCTGCGTCCTCGTCGCTAGCGAGGCGCGACAGCAGCGCCGGGATGTCTGCCTGGTCCATGGTTGCTACTCGATTTGTGGACTGTCGGCGCGGACGCCGGTGAGATGGTGCGCCGTGTCGTGAGGCTGCGTATCGGGGGGGCTTCCGCAAACGCGCGTATAACTTGCTACAACGCGCTCGTGTCAAGGTCGTATCTTCATAATGCGTGACTCCGTGGACTTGGGCTCCGGTACGTTACCCGATCCAGACGTCGTCGGGAGCACAGATGCTCTTGTCGACCAGCAATGCTTGGAGGGGAGAGGGGAAAAAATGCTGTACGTCCCCAAGTCTGGCAGCCGCGAGAAGTCGCTGTGCCTGGGCCTTTGCGACAGGGGCCCGACCGCTGGGCAACTGGGGGTTCCAGGGGGTGCACGGACAAAACTGGTGAAGATCGACTTTGGACTTATTTCCCCAGTTCGCTCCACTGCGCATGCACCGTTCGGTGTCTCGGTCTCCTGGGCCTGCTTGGGAATTCTTCTCACAGAAATTAAACTCTCGAGTCTATTGCTCATGTCGCAAAGAGTTGTTTTCCGGCCCAAGCTCTTCACGCGTCGGATTGACGTGAGAGTCAATTTTCTTGACAACCAACGGCCTTTAGTGCTCGGTCCCTCTGGTCGAAAACCGTTGCGCACCAGAAGTCCCAGAAAAGGGGGCACACGCGCAGGCCGCTAGAGCCCTTCTAGATAAGTAGACTCGATTCCTCGGTAGCTGTGAATTTGGGGTGCATGGACTCACTCCAACGCCTGCACAAGCGGAAGCCAGAGCGGTTCCGTCTTTAGGTTCCTACGTCTACAGTCAGTGGCGGAGCAAGTACCGACACGCGACCTCTCAGTTCGTAGATCGGGGACCTCGAGAGGTTTCCATTAACCATAAAGCTGCATATAGGTGCGGCGAGTATTCGAAACTCTTTATGAGAAGGCGGAAAGAATCTCAAAAGGGGAATTCAAGTTCATTTGTTTTTGAGAACGGCATATTGTTGCTCGGTATTGTATAAGTTTATATATATGGTGACTGCAATCCGCCACCATACGCAAGGATCCCACTGTCCTTTTGCACATGGTTCTCATCAGCACATTTACTTGTTCTCGATCATGTCATGATGCATCACAGAATGGACTCTTGAAGCTGGCTTCTCATTGTCTATATATCCAGTACTATGATAAGTACTGGATTTTTCTATAGAAAGGAAGATGATGGAGCAGATACTGCCATGGTGATGCCGGAACTAGGGAACACTGGAAACTCCCTATACTCACGGGGCCAATCACATGGCACGTTGCACAGGAGGCAAGGCTTCCGGCCCAAAGGACAATGGCAACAGCTAATTACTTCAGGTCAGCACTGACGGGTCCCAATGTTTGGTGACCACCAATGGACGAACCTCTTCCAATTGGAGCACAACGTAGTCGTCGTTCTTGTCGAACATGAGGATGGGGATATGGAGGTCGCAGAATTCGCGTATACTGCAAGGCGTATATTAGATGCGTTGACTACTCACCAATCGGCCAATCAGCTTCGTATTGCACTTACAACTGCCGGCACATCCCACAAGGGCTGGCCGGGGGGGCTATATCAGTGGCGACCGCCACCGCTCGGAACTTCTTATGCCCCTCCGTGACCGCCTTGCCGAAGGCCACGCGCTCCGCGCATGTGCCCACGGGGTAGGCGGCATTCTCAACGTTGGCGCCGCTGATATAGGTGCCGTCCGCGGAGAGGATCGTAGCGCCGACCCGGAACTGGCTGTAAGGGCAATAGGCCGTCGCCTTGGCTGCTACACTTCCCTTGCGGAGCTCTAAGAATTCCTCCTTACTGAGGCCGTACTTCTGGCACGTTGCCTCCACATCCGCCACGTTGGAACTCGAGTAGCTTGGGACCGAGGCTGGCATCTTGGGGAATCTGTATTGGTGAAGATCAAGGAGAGGTGCAAAATATGGCAAGCTGGTGGGATGGGACGCGCTCCAATTATCTTGGACTCTATCGACGGATGCGGGGCGGTAGCGTGGGTTGGAATGCGCCGCTATCCTATCACTGGAGGGGTCATGCAGCCCACCGAGAGTAATCTGCATGGACCCACGATACAACATTGCTTTTTGCACTATTACAATGCCCAAAGTATCGTGCAGAACAAGAGCACCTCAACAGAACATCCTTGATTTGAATACTCAAGACTAATTTGCTGTTTCCAATGTCCTCTCAATCCACCAGGCAAGGCTATCAGATAGGAACGAGGAGCGGGTTCATGACGCTGAAGAAAGTATTGTCAGAAGTGGCTTGTGGCTTCCGGAAACCGTCGGTTACTTACGAGGCGCCACCATCAACTATCATATTCGCTCCCGTGACATAAGAGGAGAAGCCAGAGGCAAGAAAGCCCGCTACGCGTGCAACCTCCTGCGTAGTCCCAGCTCTCTCCAACCCAATCGTCGTCTTCTGGACCTGAAACATGTGAGCGCAGAGCCGAAGGTGCCCGGGACGGCAAGCTTACTTCTGGTCTCTGAAGGCTAGCCGGGGGAAACTGTGAGGTCATGCCTCGCATGTCGAACTGCACAGGGTGTCGATCGTCAGCAGGAGGCTACCTTGTGTGATTTTGTTGGAATCGACATTACCCCTTCAAGATCAACACCGACATCGATCTGACCCGGCGATATACAATTGATGCGTACCCCCGTTCCCTTCAAAGTCGCAACACCGGCCTTGACAACGCCCAGGGCGGCGTGGCTTGCGAGCGTATAGCATGGGCCCCAGCACCCTCCCTGGATCGATGCCACGCTGCTGATGACGATGATCGAACCATACTTCTGGCTCTTGGGCGCAGCATTGGGATACGAACCCTTCTCAGTCAGTTTCGCCATTGCCGCAGGCGCGTACTTGAGTGCGAAGAAGGGTGCCATTGAATGGGCCTCGAAGCATTTCTGAAGATCGTTCGGGGTGGTTGCCTCGATAGACGGGGGACCCAGGAGTCCCGAGGAGCAAACCCAGACGTCCAGCCTCCCAAAGTTGTTGAGGACCTCATCTATCAGGACCAGCGTTTCGTCCTCTCGCGCAACGTTGAACGGGAACGGAATCACTTTGCTGTTTGGATACTCCTTACCAACGTCCTCGGCCAATTTGCTAAAAGAATTGGCCGCATTAGGCTTATCACAAGCTATGTCTTGTCAGTCCATGGTCCTATTTCCCTACTGTTCGTCATGATGCTCACCGTAGATCGATGCAGCACCGTGGGCTACACGACTGTTAACCTGCAGCCGCTGCGAACCAGTAAGTATTCACAGACCTGCGAGCTCACGGACTATAGCCTGGCCAACAGGCTGGGCTGCTCCTGTCACGACACATACGAATCCATACTAGGTTGTGTTAGTCTCTGACACAAAGATCTAGGGGAGCGTGCCTCACAAGCTTGCCGTCCGCTCGATACGGGCTGAAATCCTCGGTCGTGTCCATTGTAGATCGTAGATGGTTCCGCCTAAGTCGTTCCAAGTGCCAGTAAGTCGTTGTTACTAGGTGAGAAGCAATGAGCACAAAATCATGGCATCGTGTACTCTAGAGGGATCACACGCAGTAACGGAGCCTCAGGGGCCCGAAGCTATCAGAATAGGCCCTCGAATTTACTATTTCCGATGAGCCCAACAATGTCTTCCCATAACCAATCACATTTCGCGTAATTGTGTGCAACTCGCTGCTATCGCTATGGATGGCGCGACGCTATCAGACCTGCAGGTGGTGCTTTTCCGAGGGGCTCGCCCAACCGACGAATTCAATTGATAAGAGAAGCCACAGCTACTATGTTGCAAACCTGCGCTCGCAGACTTGAGGGGCCAGCACCGGAACAGAACAGGCGTTTCCATTGATTATAGAGGGACGTATCTTTTGAATTGAACAGTCTCTATGTAGGTGCTGCGTTCGTCGTTGCTCGCAGGCTGAGGGCCGAGACTCGACATGACTGTTCTCTACCCAAGGTAGCGTCACTCGGGAGTCTCCGCGGGGCACACTAGGAGAATACCCCGCGAAACTCAGGCGACGTCATATTTCAGTGGCTCCAAATGCCCACTGTGCGGTCCATAAACACAACTGCAGCCAAAGATTTTCACCTTGTCCACTCCAGATTATATTAGAATCGTTCCGTTTTTATTTTATTTTAAAAAGAACGACAGACATTTGTGTTGGCTTCAACTTCATGCCCGGTGCTAAGGTGACTAATTCCCCAAGATTACTTGCAGCAATATTTCTGGGTGGCAGGACCCCGAAGTAGAAGCAAATGTATCCAACGCAGAAGGAGTTCAACGAGATTCAAAACGATGGAGATTTATGCAAATATTTGAAAACTCAACTCTCGTTTGTTCATCTTATTTAGATTGACCGTCTTGTCTCTGTTTCTTTGACGAGCGATGATAACACGCTGTAGTGGGTGGTCCACCAGACAATGATTCGTGCAAGCCCACGATGTCCGGACTATGCCGCTCGTCAAGTCCGCTGAAGACGTTGGCAGGTCACGATCGGCCCACCGCTGACGTTCGATTCTTTGAGATTACTTAAGAATGCCGTTAGGAAGTATATTGTGCAGTGGTCTGGTGGAGGATGGCTCTGAAACTTGGACATGCAGGCCCTGCGAAACAAGTATTTCGGGAGGCCGTGACGTCACACTCAGATCCGGCCCCGTATCCGAGCATCCTTATACAGCCTCAGTCTCAGCTCTGCGCTTGCGGGTTAGTTCCCGTACGCTGCTACTGTTATTATAATAGTCTGATGCTTGCGAGTGTAACGGGTTTTGAAGATCAATTTCCCCTGCTACACGAATTGCCCGGTCGCTTCTTCAAGTCGCTTGTCCCAAGACAGAATTCACAATGCCTCACCCGTTCAGCCCCGAGGACTTCCCCATCGACGAGGACCGCGAGTTCAACCCGACCAAGACCTTTTACCTGAAGGGCACGATACACTTCAAGAACGATGCCTCGATCTTGGACCTGACGGGCAAGATCCGCCGGCACTTCGACGACTTCTCCAACCCCTTCATGCAGAGCGTGGAAAAGGTGGTCGACAAGATGAAGGACGAGCAGCCCAAGTACTCGTTTGCGAGCAGCGGCAACATGATGCGCACCCTCAAGACCATGAAGAACAGCAAGGGCGACAAGGTCTGCGACCTCAACATGACCTTTGTCTCGTTCGACAACTCGAGCGTGCGCTTCCCGTCCGGCAGCGAGCACTGCCGGCACGAGATCGAGCTGGCGCCCGTCGGCGACGGCAAGACCGAGAAGCACGAGTGCTTCATCCGCCACAGCATCCCGTACTTCTGGGACATGACCAACGGCCAGTACGGAACCCTGTACAAGTGCATCAACCAGAAGCAGGTCGAGATCGGCATGGTGACTGGGTTCGGCTTCAAGAAGGATGCGGTAATGGTGCTCGACGGCGACGAGTTGGACGAGGTTGTGGCTCTGTCGACATGTGTCATGCTCCTCAACGGCCGGGACGCCATTGATTACTAAATGTAGACGCCTACGAATGTATGATTATATGAGGGTTTTGGGGGCCGGCGTTTCGAAGCATTAATTACTTGTATTAGGATCTTATGAATTGGATGCATTCTACCTTGAAACTTGCGAAACCCATCTCTATGGCTAAAACGTGAAATGTGTATATCTGGTGCGAGATACTCTATACCGTTCTTCAAACTCCATCGCAAATCCTCAAATCTATACGGCCAAGAAATCACCAGGCAGGTCTCAGAATGGAATTTGAGGGCCCTATGTCTACATTCCCCAAAATTCATATATAGCCTCCAGCGCCTCTCTGGAGTTGGTGAAGGGGAAATTGTGGCCGCCGGGCACGATCCGCCAAAACACGTTCTCTTTGCCCCCGACTAGGGGAAGCGCGTCCTCGGCATAGTCGTGCTTCTGGATCAGCTCGTCGGTGCGTCCGAGGATGATCGCAGTGGTGCCGGGTCGCCGCTTCGCCAGCTCGCGCCAGTGCTCGTGCTGGCCCATCAGAGGCGCAAAGCGGATGGTACTCATGAACGCAGGGACGAAACCCTCGTGCCCGTCGAGCATCCAATGCACGTAGGCCGCGATCTTGGCCTCGATCGGGCTGACGGGCGCCTCCGCCGTGCCGTTGCCGGACGGGTCAACGGCCTCCTGCACGGCAGCGTCGACGAACCCCTCCTTCCTCTCGCCAAGGACCGCATCCTCGGCGACACTCATGCGGCGCCGGGACACGGCGTTGCCGATGGGCGTGCGCAGGCGCCGCTTGGTGAGGGTCTCGAGCAGGCGCTCGGGAACCACGCCCGAGGTGAAGACGAGGCGGCTGGCGCGGCCGATGTTCTCGGGGCGGATCAGGCCTGCGGGCGCCAGCAGCACGAGCGACGCGACCATGTGGGGGAAGGCGGCGGCGAAGTTGACGGCAATGCCGCCGCCGAGCGAGTAGCCTACGATGCTGATGGCGTCGGTGCCGGTCCAGGACAGGGGCGAGGACGCAAGTACGAGCAAGATCTGCGCGGTGAAGAGGCGCGTGTCAAAGGGGAGATCCCCGATGCCGTCGCTGTAGCCACGACCGAAGAGATCCTGGTTCTGTCTCAGTATGCTGCTGGAACACTGGCGTTCGCAACCCGGGGTATACGCACGTAAAGCATCACTCTGCAGCCCTTTGCTGCGAGGCCATGGGCGATATCCGAGAGGGTCATGCACGACGTGGAAATGCCGTGCAAGAAGAGCACCTTTCTCCCATCCTCAGGACCAAACTCGTAAACTCGGGTGTTGCCATACTGCTCTTAGCATCAGTGAATGATTCCTCAAGGGAGTAGACCAGCTGTAATTTCCATACCGGAGTCACCACATCTCTTGCACCTGGGAAGTGGTCGGGTTGGTAAGGCACCTGGGCCAACTCTTCGCGAGATAGCTTTGGAATCGTGGTCGTGAGTGGGCCGGCGATGATGGGCTTGCGCTGCGGGTAGAGCGTCCAGCGAGCCAGCCACCACAATGTGATCGTAGTTGCGATGGTCGTTGCGATGACGGCCGTGGATTGCGAGTCCGAGGGTTTACGACAAAGATCCGACATGGAGTCCATGGCACAGGCCGACAGTCCCTTGATTGCCGGGGCGGTCTTGAAGATTCAGAACGTATTCACCGGTTGCCCTCGCCGCCTATGCCTGTTCTGCTGAGCGAGGAGTGGATATGTAGATACACCCGACCTTTCTGGTGAATCAATTCCTATGTCATTCCAGTTGGGTTTCCACCATGCGCTGCCTGTTGGCACCTGGAATTTGGAGTCCAATGTTCGTGGGTCATATCGCGTGGTTGGCGAGCGAGACACCACCAGTGCTGCCCCACGTGGCCGGAGCGCCAGCGTGCAACACTGCACCAACTGACGCAGCCATCGCCAGACATGAAGCCAGAGGAAAACCAGCATCGACCATGGACGTTGCGCGCTGAAGCGTTTGGTATCTATTGAGCATACTCAAGTGAACGATGATTGCGCAAGACCTTGCGATACCCGAATACAACGTAACATGCACCGTGGAGATGAAAGGGTTCCAAGAAAGCTTCCTCGGATGTCGGCATCAAAAGCACTTAGTACACACGTAGGAATTGGATGGTATATTGACCAGGTTTGACCGGTCTTCAAGACTAGTACTTTTCTATTCCCCTTTAACTCCTTTATTCGCGAAGAATCCCAAATCCGAAGAGCACGATCAGCTCACCATCACGCGTGTCAAGTCTTAGCTCAGCCCAACTGCCCAGGCGGCACCGCCGAGCTGTTTGACAAGATTGCAGATGTTCTCGACGATAGGAGGCGGAACATCGCCTTTAACAAAGTTGCTTCTGAAGATGCCTTCCACAATGTTCATACAGGCCCTCGGGTCATCGAGAGGCTCTATTCGGTGGTCGTCCTTGGTCCGAATACCGGGACGCCCATGCCCAAAACCAATGAAACGCTGGACCTGGTTCGAATCCGACGTGTCAACGAGCACCATATCCTGATGCTCGTTTGGTGTCGCCTGGTGCCTAGTTGCCTTGATGACCACACCATATGCCCACAGTGCTAATGCTGCGTGATGTACTCCCACGGCATAGAAATCCTTCAGGTGGCCGTGGGGGAACAACTTGGCCTGTCGGAGGATTTGGCCAGCATGCCAGACCACCTGTCTCGCCTCCGTGTTTTCGGACCACTGTTGAAGAACCGGATATACCCGTCGAGCTTGTTCCTCCCCTTCCTTGCCAGCAAACAATTGCAGATCATCCATCGAAACATGCAGGTTCATCAATAACAAGTTCAGGAGGAGACTCTCCTGAGCGGATAAAGAGGCGTGCCAGTCTGACGTTACAAGTTGGAAATCCTGAAGCGACCTACAGAGGTCCTGGTGTCTGGAGTTAAGTATCAGATGTGGTCCGGCCTGGTAGCCACTCCCGAAGGAGTTTGACTGATGGACCGCACAAAGGTGTCGCCACTCCAGGATCAAGGTCCAGAAGCAATGCAAGTAGATGGATATTGCAAACTGGGCGTCGAGCCGCTGGTAATTCGTGGTCAACAAATTGATATCGCGCATTATATCGGGCAAAGATGGTGGTCTCTTGGTATAGCCCGCCGACCTAGTCAGAAAATGGCGTTTCCATTCTAAGGCACTCCTAGCAAACCACAGGTCTTTTGAGTCTGGAAGTGGCAACGTGAGCTCGGAATATGAGATAGTCGGTGGCGCCAACGTGGTTATTGACGTTTCTGCATCGCGCAGGTAACAGTGGAAGATCAATCTAACTATGTTGTTAGCTGATGCGTGGGTAGGGAAGTCAATTGTGGCACCTCACCTCTTCCAGCTTTCCTGTTCATGCCACCGGCGCCATTTATCCTCGAGAACTTCGCCTTCGTCTGTAGGTTCAACCGTGATTTGCTGATATGACGATCGTTGAAATTTCCCCCGATATCGCATCATTGTAATGGGGATTAATAAATGACATTCGGATATTTCCATCTTGCGTCGACTGCCGCTCCAAAGTCCAACATCCTGTATGAGTACTAATGTCTGGACCAGGCCAAGGTTACCAGTTCTAGTGTTATTCTCTTCGAATCTGTTCGGTATGGCTATCCGCATGGCCTCCTGTATGGCAAAGCCAAACTTTCTAAGCGTAGCCACAGGAGTCAAAACGCCACCAGCTGCCGCGACTATCCCCAACCACTCGGGCCATTGGCTATTTAGAGCAAGGGTTCCCACATGTATCCAGCTGCTAACAGTGCATAAGTGAGCTGCCAGGTATATGTGAGTTAACGTGTCCATAACGTCAGCACTTGGGAACGACGAGGCAATACGAAGCCTCATCGCATCCGTCTTCATAGTTTGGAGCACGACACTGAGGACCTTGTCTCTACTTGACGAATCCAGTTTATCTTTGATGACACGATCCACCTGTCTTTGTGTTTCCTGAAGACGTTGGCTGGTCGTATCACGCTGCGAAATAGGTAGGTTCCCATACTCTGTGTAGACCGAATCCCGATCGATTGGGATCCACCGCCATGGCGAGTTTGTCCATATTTTGACAAGATTCTTCCTCATCTGTGACATGTCGACGGTTGGATCGTCCGTTTGGGGTGTGACTGCTTGGGTCACTGTTTGCGTATTGTTTGTCTCATCAAGGTTCCAGTGATCCAGCAAGCCAAAGTCGATATCCGTAAGCTCGTAGTTTGTGTCATCGCAGAAATCAAGAACAGAAAGACCCTGGACCACATCAGGCCGCGCTGGATCGACTGATTGATCGTACAAGACATCCCGCAAGAAATCGGTGAAAGGCATCTTGGCCATATCGACCATATTACCTTGGGCATATGGGTTGGCAAAAACCTGTAGTTGGTTCGTCTGGTCTGCCATTGCCTCGGGCGTTGGCACCTGGCCTGTTTCGGGCTTCACCGAAACGCTCCCAGTATTCATTGGAATTATTCCTAACGGTTGGCCAGGATTTGCATCTTGTTGATTCAGATAGCTGGGTGACCCTGATTCAACTGTTCCCGAGTGTGCATTTGTGGATAGATGAAGCAGGTGCAGGGCGGCTGCTGAGCCAGCCTCGGCTGCGTTATACTCGCAGGTCAAGTTACGGTTGCGGCATCGCGTACACGGCTTGTTTTCCTCGCATTTGACCCGGGCTGTTGCGCAAGCCTTACAGGCATGCGACACGCGCCCGGCATTGGGTGCTGTATCAGTGCGCCTGCGCTTCTTTGATGGGTCGTTGTCGTTGTCATGATTCGCAGCATGACGTTTGAGTAGATCGGCCCGAGCAAATGCCTTGCCGCATACCTGGCAGAAGAAACGTTTCCCAAGGGTGCTATGGAGGTTTCGAGGTCAGCGAGGAGTACTCGTCGCCATGCAGTAGGAAACATCCACATCTCAAGCCCTGCCGTCCAGCTAAAGTATCTACATGCACGATACAGAAACGAACAGCGGAACGGGTACGAGCACGTTGCTATTTGTGAATACTGACTGTGTTTGAATATGTCGAGCGAGGTGCTCGGGGCGCGAATAACGCCGCTGGCAGTCAGCGCATTGGTACAAGCTCTGCGTGAGACTATGACTACGTCCTGCTGAAGCCTGAGGGGGGAGACCACCTTGCTGAACAGTTGACGCTTGTACAGCAGTGGTCAACGGAGGAGGTTGCGGGACCGAGGGAGACGGTAGCAGTGGGGGTGGCGGCACTGGACTGTAGGAGTCCGGTATGTGACCGCTGAAGGTGAGCTGCTGCTGCTGCTGTTGTTGTTGATGGCGGTGGTGGTGGTGGTGGTGCTGCTGCTGCTGAGGCTGGGCAGGTGGAGCATTGGACACAGCTGGAGGTGTCGTTATCGTGAAGCTGGCGTCTGGTCCGGTGGGTGATCGGTGGGCTTCCGGACCGGCAGTTGCATGGAGCAAGTGACTCAGGGAGTTGGCCGACATCATTGGACTCTCCGGCGACCCTGTCCCCAGCCGAGCGGGACCATGCCCAGCCACTGTAGTTAGACCAAGACCGACACTGGCGCCGTGGGCTGGCACGGGTCCTGGATTCGTTTGGGATTCAGGATGAACCCGAAGTGGGTGGGTGAGGCTTCGCGGAAGGGGAAATGTGGAAAGCAAACACGAAGGTTTTCGGGGTGGCAGGGGGCTGTTCTTTTGCTGCTGGGGACGCGACGCTCGGCGACGTCTAGTTAGCACGGTTGCAGCGGCCTGTGTCCAATTGCGTCTGGCTGCATGTGATGTGGTCCGCAGCCGTCGTCGACGGTGACGTCCCGAATGACCAAGCTGCCGGAGGCTCACGAACTGCGTATCCACGACCCGTGCCCATTGAAACATGCGAAACGACGATCCCTACAGTAGTTGCCGTGTACTGTACTTTCGCAGAGACTGGCGGCGATGCGTGGTGTGTGTCCCGGCCTCGCCCGTCTCTGCATGGCATGCAACATGGATATGATGGATGGGTTCCAAGATGGGCGATGAGCGATGGGTACATTGTACTTGCTTTAGAAATCAGTTAGAAGCTGCGCTAAAAAGGAGCTATCTACAACTAGGACCCTTGGCTACCATGGTACAGTAATTGCGCTCCGACGAGTCTTGCGAAATCGCGGCGGTGGAGGAAGCTCACTGGGCGAATGGCAAGAAGTCGGCTCCCAGTGGAGGGGGAGCCTGAAGTCGAGCCTTCTGGGGACAGCACTTAATTTGGCGTTTCGACACCATACGCTGCCTACAGACAGACACTGGCACTCGACTGGCTGTAACCCCGTGCACATGTGCTTCCTGGTTCACGCCAGCCCGCTGCCAGTCTTGCGTTGAACGAAAAACGAAAGTTACTGAGCTCACATGCTCGCGACAACATCGAGCCTCGAGCATAGATACCATCCGCCAAGTCGTTGGAGATAGCTTGCCGTGAGGATTGACCACTTGACTGGCGAGTTTTTCACATGAGGTCGGACTGTTCTCAAGAGAGAAGGAGACGTCATAAGTCCCTGGGTACTCATGACGCGTCCTCTCCCTTGTGTTCTGCGGCTCAGACGGGGGTGTGTGGGCTGCCAAACTTTGCCAAGAACACATGTTGAGTGGGCAATTTGATAGGTACCCAGTACAATGCTTTCTATAAACAAACACAAAGTGTATGCGATGTCTCTCTTGTCTTTCTCAAAAAGGTAAAGATGGGACAAGGTGGCATAGGTATGCCTATGCAACTGCCCACCCTACTGTACATGTATGCTTATCAGGCTTTATCTCCAGAGTATAGCCCTGATGCGATTCTCTTTCCTCCCAGCCATTAGGGGCAGGGAAGTATGGTTAAAGTAATGAGAGAGTTTATATCGTTATCATTGCCATTCACCATGAAATATAACATGGCAGATACCAACAGTTCGGAATTGCTGTGAGGATTCTCTCTGGGTTAGGAACGCGCTATAGTCCAGTATCGTTCAGTCCGGTCCCTACGTTGGTTCTCTGCCCTTGTACAGCTTGCCGACATCTCCTGCAGACTTAGGTAGCATTGCATCATGCAGAGGAGCTTCGTTACCCAAGAATCCCTCGTTGAAATCCATCTCTCAGTGAACGGCAGGGAGAGACGGCCATGTGCAGATGGTGTTACACCATGTGATTTCCTCGGAATATTGAGACAGAGGGACCGTCCGATACCGTCCAATACCGCGCAGTTGGTACCCGGTGGTAAGTATGGACTCGCCTCTTAATCTCACTCTGTACTACTGAAGATCTCAAAGTCGAGGACCCGCTATCTCAGATACAAAGCTTCTCGGGTAAAAATATGGTGTCTCCCTACTGCGCGGCTTGACAAGATGTGTGCAGGGTTGTGGGGGATATGAAACGTCGGTGGAGAGAGTTACCGAATGCATCATCTTTTTTCTCTCTTTGCAACTAACAAGTTTCAGTGGCAATGGCCACGAGACAGTAGGACAATCAGATTAAGCAGATGTCATTTCCTAGTGCGATTGTCTGGACCGGGTTATTGTATTCTGGACCATGCTTAGAGGCACAGCTTGCGAAACTTGTCTGTTTTCGCCAGGTCTGGTTTTACCCCACGATTCTGGAGTGAAATTTGCGGCTGACGTTGGCGTGGTTCGGAGCTGCCAAGGCCCTCGTGTCAGAGCCGGCCTGCTGACTTTTCCTTGAGGCTTACTGTGAGTAGGTTAGTTCAAAAGCCGCCCTCGTATGAGAGAGTATTGTGTCGGAGTCCTCGTAGAGCCGTCAGAAAATCTCATTAGAAACAACCCCCGTGATTCTGGTCCAAACACAGCGGCCTCAAATAAGGTTTCCGACTACAGGGCACCTTCAGCGCTCACCTCTCTCCTTGTCTCCCCTAACAGGGTTGTCTGTCATTGACCATGACCGTGAACACAGGCAATATCTCCACAGGCTCCATAGTCAAGACTTCCGCTGCAGAGTGTACCCGTGATACCACCGATTGATCTACCGGCTCTGCCGTCTTGCAACCTCATCGTGGCAAGTCGCTCCACCTGGGTAGGACGGTAGGAGCTGGACAGAGCTCTGTACCTACCACCTAGCCACGCAGGAGTCCATTGCGGTAACGTGCGTATCTATTGATGTTACCTATTGTGGGTAGCTCGCATTGCCGAACCCCACACTCCGCGAGACTCAGGGGGGCTGTACTGGAGCTTTCCCCACTGATTGAGAATCTGGAGACCCTGATTTCGGACCAAGGCGACCACTTGGGAACGAACCCGGCCAATATGACAGGGTACGCTCGGCGTTGCCAAACAGGTCTTGTCGGTCCACGCCCAGACCCTGCCCAGATTTGCTCCAGAGTGCTTGTTGAGTCGTCTCTGCGGCTGCCCGCAGATTGCCAGGTCTCGCCGGGCGGGAACTGGACAGGCACAGAAGCGGCTTGGTCTACAGGAGTCAGTTGAATGGCATCGCAACATGTCACGTCAAGCTCTTGCTGAGGGCGATTTGTTGATCTGCTAGCAAGTAGACGCAGGCTCAGCGTTGCAACTGCATTCGCAATGATGTTGGTCATGCATATGAACGGCATGGCATGCCTGGCATTTCATGCCGCGCTTCCAGTGGTTACGGCCCCCGGCTCCATCAGTGGCCTAACCCCCAGTCTCCCCCCAGCAAATCGTGTCCGTCCCGCTGTATTATTTCCACCCTGAGTGGCCTCCGGCTGCCCTCCATCCAATGTTAACTGTATAGGTACTAGTTTACCTCCCTGATACCAATGCTGTCAGGAATGGCAACTATGCTCTCCTTCCCCCCCTCGTAGATCTCCCGGACTTGCTGGAGTCCATTTCGGCCCCACCTGCCCGTGGTATACAGGATTTGTTTTGAGATTATGAACTACCGGCCTAAGGCTGTGGATATATTGCCCCAGATTCCCCAGATTCTTCTATCATTAGCACACTCACCATTGAAGCTTCTGGTCCTTCTTGAATCCTCACATCCAGAGTCAGTGACGCTAAACCAAACATCATGGCCGACATCGACGTCACGCCAACCAAGAGCCTGGGCCAGGACCCTGTGGTTGATGAGAAAAGAATGAACGCTCTGGGGACAGTTCGCTTACGGCACCATGAGACGAACGAGATCATCTTGATCCCAACGCCTTCTAATGACCCGAACGACCCCTTGAACTGGTATTGAGCCTCCAATCTTTGGCTTCGTCGACACTCTGAATTAACTGTCTTATCCAGGTCCAAGACCTACAAATGGTATATGGCGACGGTCATCTGCTTGGCCATGCTGATGTGTAACTTCCTGGCTGCGGGTAAGGCAAAATGGACCTGTACACGGACAACGTGAGGCTGATAACATCGCAGGGCCTAGCATTGCCATCGCAGAAACCGCCATGGACTTTTTCCCTGGACCCCCCGCAGGAATACCCGCCGCGATCAGCAAAGTGGCTTACTTCTTTACGACGACAGCATTGCTTCAGGGCACGAGTAACTTCTTCTGGGTGCCCTTCATCAACAAGTTTGGACGTCGACCCGGCTACGTGACAAGTTATGCCCTATACTTTGCCTGCTCTGTCTGGCTTATCTTTGAGAAGAGATACGGTGGTTTCCTTGCCGGCCGAATCCTTATGGGAGTAGGTGCTGGTGCTGCCGAGACTATTGCACCTGTTTCCATCGCAGACGTGTTCTTCTTGCACGAACGTGGCTTCGTCATGTCGTAAGTTGACCATTGCCATTACTGAATTTGCCATTTGAGTCTTACATTTCAACAGGCTATACACGTGTTTCCTATCAGTAGGAGTCGCAGCCGGTGTCCTCATTGATGGGTAAGTCTGCCAACTGTTTGCACACATTCTAGCAACGTCTAATCTAGATCAGCTTGATTGTCATGAACCACGACTGGCGCGTTATCTACCAAGTTGCATCCGGCCTGATTGGACTTGTCTTGCTTCTTGCATTCTTCACATTCCCCGAGACAGCCTACATTCGCGATACGTCCTCCCTGGACGCAGGCGAAATGACATCGGGCAGCCTTGCCAAGCAGAACTCTGGCTCCGAAGTCGAAGCCGCGAACCCGAGTATCCCGCCGAGGGAGACATACTTGCAACGCCTCAAGATTTACCACCGCGTTTGGACCAACGAAAGCTTGTTCAAGATGTTCGTGCGACCTCTTGGGCTCATCCTGCTCCCTCCGGTACTATGGGCTGCTCTGGTCCAGTCTGTCACGATCGGTTTCGTCGTTGCCGTGACCTCCAATGTAGCTCCTGCTTACTCGACTGCGTACGGCTTCGAGCCTTACCAGGTCGGTCTCTGCTTCATTGCCGCAATCATCGGCTCGCTTCTTGGTATACCCGCTGGAGGACACCTTGCCGACATGACTGCGGATTACTTCACGAAGCGAAATGGAGGCATCAGAGATCCGGAAATGCGTTTGCCAGCAATGATGCTTTCCCTCGTTACTGCGCCCCTCGCTCTGGTGCTGTTTGGCGTCGGCATTGAGAAGCAATTGCACTGGATCTGCCCTACCATTGGCCTTGGTCTACGTATGTCTCAAATGCGATAACTGTTGAAGGAATAAAGCTAATGACACCAGTCAACTTCTCCATCTCGCAAGGTACAAACGTGTGTCTTGTGTATGTCATCGATGCATACCGACCGGTGGCTGGAGAGATCACTCTCGCAGTCATGGGATTTAAATGTCAGTCAACAACCCTATGCTTATATAACCTGTCCACAATACTGACATTTCCTAGCTTTGTTCGGATTTCTGCTGTCTTTCTACACCAACCCTTGGGTTGAGGCATCAGGCTACTTGAATGCCTACGGTGCCATGGCTGGCATCGCTGCCATCGTAATGTTGATGTGGATCCCTCTCTACATTTGGGGCAAGGCTATCCGTCACACGACCTGGAACTGGCCAATGCTTTCTTACCTCCACTGGGATGAGGATAGAGAGGTGGGTGGCGAGTAAAATCGGTACTCCTTGGGGTCAGAATCTGCCAGCATATAGGAGGTTATTGGGGCTGTTGCCTGAAGTTCCTATATTGGTCGGAACTCTAAACCTTATCAATACAACAAAGAAATATGACCGAAACTTATGAAATCAAATTTGAACTACTCTCTAGATGATGATTTATGCCGTACCATGTCATGAATCACGCATTGAACAAAGATGTTCATGCTAGCCAAGTTCATTCTCTCCGCTAAAAATAAATTATGTTTATTCACACTTTTAGTGCGTTCTATGGGATTCGCAAGCAAAAGTTCGACCTACAGCAACTACAAATTAAGGGTCCCAGTGTGCTATAGAGGATGGAGGGTGGTGTGATTCTTTTGAAAGGGTAGAATTGGGGACCTTTGGTACTATTCATCATCGCAGGAGTTCTGAACAACCAATCCATATCTGGCTACTCTAGTTAATGACTGAACAAAACTTTGTGCATAATCATACTAGGTAAACATGTACAGCATAGAGTATTATACAATATGTTCATCGCTTCAATTAAAGATGCTCGAGCTATCAGCGTTGTTTTATTTCTAGGCAGAGCCTACCACCGATATATATAGACCATATCATTCTATAAACTGAATCCAGCATCAAGGACCGAGTTTACGCCAGTCATGCTTCTGTTCCTTGCCAACGTGAGCACCTGCTCCGCCACATCCTGCAGAAGATCACGCGAGTTAGCAATCAAGACCAGCCGCGGGTTATCATGGTGGCTTACCTCAACAGTCGCCATACGCTTGAGCTTCGTCTTCTGCCTATGCGCCTCCTTGGCTTCGTCGGCAAATTTGTTACCCCATTCCTATGACATGGTCAGTGGCAGATTCCCCTTCTCGGCGTGGATGGCCTATAGAACTTACAGTAAGAAGCAAGCCTGGTGATACGCTGTTCACTCTGATCTTGGGTGCTGCCATAATGGCTAGACCCCTAACCATATGGATCTGGGCGGCTTTGGTCACAGAATAGGCCTACTCAAGTTACTAAAGATGTCCACAGCAGAGCGGTAGGATGGGGCCACGAACGAAGGAGCTGCCGCTATGGCCTACACCGGCTACTGATGCTGTTGTGATGAAAGCTCCCTCGGTTTCCTCGAGGTGCTTTTTCGCTGCATGCATGAGCCACAAGTGTGACTTGACGTTCATGTTGAAACACCGGTCCCAGTCATCCTCGACTACATTATCTGTTTACACACAACACACGTTAACTCTATCAGGACATACAGCAAGTGGGACAAAGGGCAAGGCGAATTTACCATCGATGCTCGTAATGTCCCGGATTTGAGTCCAACCACCATTCGAAAATACGACATCTAATCGGCCCATCTTCTCTACCGTCTGATCCACAAGTCGGCTGATGTCGTTGCGGTCGGCCAGGTCGGCCTTGATGGCAGCAAAGGCATTGCCGCGCTGGTCCGAAGGTAGCGTCGAGAGCTTCGAGAATTCTGCAAGCAGATTATTGGCTCTCTCGGCGTTGCTGCTGTAGTTGATCACCACCCGGTAGCTGCTCTTGCAGAACAGCCGCGCGGTGGCAGCGCCCAAGCCGGCACTGCCAGCACTGATCAGAACAACAGGGGTGGTAGTCGCCATGGCACGATTTCTGTGACGGATTGAGACACTCGTCTCGAGGTTTGGGTTCTGGAAAGGGACCAACCCAACTATAGAGGCCGGGGGTTGCAGGAAGCGGGCGGCTTGTCGGAGCGTGCAGCGATCTTGCGCGGGGGTCCAATAGCCGCCGCGGATAGGCGTCTCGGGACTTATGCGCCCACATCCCTTGAGGGCTTGCAGCGCCAATGGGCAATTGCAGAGTACCACAACCAGACATATTATTGGGGAACCCGTTGTTTCTGCAAGTGTCGCCCCCGATGATTTCGAGGGGTTGTTGAGATGCGTTCACCTCAGCATTCCCTAGCACGTATTACCGGCTAGTTACAGGGTCGAGAGTGCCTGAGCGGAATTGGCTGTCTTTCCTGAGCGAAGACGCACCATACCCTGCGTCTATGCCGCAAGACTTGCGCCAAACCATTCCAGATACACAACGGCGGGCTGCTTTGGACTGCACCACTTCCCGGACTGCCAGACTACGTGGTAGACTAGTACCAAGCAACCTGGAGCCTCCAGGGTCCAGATGTTGTTCTCCGCATTCCAGAATCCACAGGGGCCCAATGCAAGCCTAGTCTGCAAGCCATTGGACTCACGTGCGCGTTCTGGTTTTCGGCCACTTCTGCGACGTTGATGAGCTCGGGGGCCGAACGCCACCGGCAACCCCATTCGCTACTGCTCCATAACCCGGGACAACGCTCCAGGTAGTTGAGTCGAGCTTGCGACAAGAGACAAACTTGGGTGGATCTCGACGGAACCTGCGGTACCCCACCCCCGGAATCGTTTTCACTGAGTCGTTACGCAGAGAGTAGGCTTAAGCCAGCGGCAGTTGGGGCGTTGCCAACGCACCAGATGGTCGCCATTGAGGTCCATTGGGATCCACCAAGAGAGCAGCCGCCGTCAAGTCAGGAATAGACCCAGGCATGATGTTCACTCAGCGCGGGCGGGCGGTAGGCGTAATATTGGCTAAAGTGGTGCTGTACATAGTGGTAGCTGGCTTAGATCAGAGGACGCACTGCCTGCTGCCCTCCTCCATGCCGTGGGTGCACCCTGAAGGCGCGGTACCTCCACATCTCCCGGTAGAATGAGGGCGGCCCCGTAACGATTGGATCTGCGCGTGTGGGGTCAAGCTGGTCCAGTTCTCATCGGCCACTGAGATGCAATCGGACGCCTCGATCATGTACCTTCTTCGGCAGGGGCCAATGGGTATTCACCATCGGAATCCGGAATCCACACTCTCGGTTTAGTTATGTCACTGATCATGCTGTGTCATATACATAGGACTCGTTCCCCAATGGCGGTGCCACGCCTCCTGTGCCCTCAAGTGCAGAACACCCTCATCCCTTGACGTCCTGCCACCGCACCAAGCCTCTCCAACCACACAGTCTCTTGGAGAAAGTATCTCGTAAAACGAGACTGGTGCAACAAGTCTCTTCTATATTGTCTCAGCGGAGCCATTCATCATGGCTACTAACGGGGTGCACAATGGCGTGAATGGAACAGCGCGCAATCCGCTGAACCATGATTATCCCAAGCCACTGAAAGTGGTTATCGTAGGAGGTGGCCTGGGTGGCCTTTCGGCGGCCGTGGCTCTCCGCCGCCAGGGTCACGAAGTGCATGTAAGCCTTCTTCCCTGCCCATGCCTGCATCCAATTTTGACTTGTCCAGATTTATGAACAATCCGCGTTGGCCAGTGAGACTGGCGCGGCTGTCCATTTGGCACCCAACGCGAATGGCGTCCTTCGTCGGTGGGGCATCTACGCCGAGGAGTTCGGCGGCACAGTCATGAACCATCTGACAGAATACCAATATTCCGGCGGAGTGGTCAAGGAGGTTGACATGCTCGAGATGAACAAGATGTGGCAACACCCGTGGCACCTTGTCCACAGAGTTTCTCTGCACGACACTCTAAAGAAGGCCGCAACCACCAAGGATGGACCAGGTATTCCCCCCGTGCTTCAGACCTCCACCAAAGTCGTCGAGGTCGATGCCGAGGCAGGAAAAGTCGTTTTCCAGGACGGTTCAGTGGTTGAAGCTGATGTGATCGTTGGCGCCGATGGTATCTACGTAGGTGCCTCTTTATTGCGAGCTTGTGGACCTCGCTGACCCCTCTATAGTCAAAGACCAGAAAGGCAATCGACGGTGGCAGTTCGAAATTGTTCGGCTCTGGGAAGGCTGCCTTTCGCTTCCTGATTCCCAGGGAGGTCGCTATGAATGATCCTATCACGCGGCCTTTGGTGGAGAAGAACAACAACCTGTGCATTTGGTATGGCTCTGATCGCAGAGCTGTCATGTACCCATGCAACGACAATGAAACCCTGAACTTCGTTTTGATACACCCAGACACTGAGTCGCACGCAACACAATCAGACGGTTCGTACGCGCCCACGTTGTTGGAATTCTTAGCTGACACAGTGTACAGAGTGGAATAAGACAGGAACTGTGGAGCAGGTACTCAAAGTTTACGAGGAGTTTGATCCGGCTCTTAAGCACTTGGTCAGCAAAGTCGACCCGGCCGAGCTGAAGGTATGGCAGCTACTTGACATGGATAAGCTTCCAACATGGACCAAGGGGAAGCTGGCTTTGATTGGAGATGCCGCTCACCCGTTCACACCTCGTGAGTTCTCTCTCTCCGGAGGCTCAACAAACACTAACAGGGCACAGACCAGGGGCAAGGCGCTGGACAGGCAATGGAAGATGCCGCCGCCCTGGCGGCGGTGCTGCCATCTGGAACTTACCCTGAGGATGTCGCCGAGCGTCTTAAGGTGTACGAGAAGATCAGGTATGACAGAGGCCACCTGATCCAAGAGTATTCGAGACAAGCCGGTAAGGATTGGATCGATGGCAAGCCACAAATCGACAGTGAGTATAATCCAGTGACGGCGTAGCATATGATCGGGTACTAATAATCAACAAGTGATGAACTATACTGCTCACAACTTCGGCCACGACGAGATCGACAACGCCAACAACGTATTCAAGAGGTGGCTGTGGTCCAAGAAGCCTGACATGTATTACCGAATGCCCATCGGCTTTGGACCATTCCCTGGTCCACGACAGGACCACCTCGGAAATCCTCGTAGGGGACAGTCTGAGCGCACTTTCGTCACTGCCTCGATCAAGTTCAAGACGTCAAGAACCTACCTGGAGACACTGTTCCCTACATCGTCATACAGTTTTGCTAGCCCTGCAACAGTCTGCCAGGCGAGTATATCCATTACCACTCTTGGTAACATGTCATGGCTGGGGGGCAAAGGGTATAGTCACATGGGCCTCTACATCCACGGAGTAAAATACACCAAGAAGGACGGTAGTTCCATCGTTGGCACACACCTTCCTGTCCTATTTGAGAGTCTTACGGATCCGATTGTGTCGGGCCGCGACGAACTGGGCATGAATAAGGTGTTCTGCGATGTCGACATCCAACGGACGCCCGACTCATACCGTGCTCAGTGTTCGTGGAGGGGGGCAAAGTTCCTTGATTTCGACCTGAATGAGTTGAAGGCCGATGACCCCAAGTCTGAGTCTGGCACGATCGGTGGCGAGGCTGACTACGGTATCTTGGCCTACAAGTATATTCCTGCTGTCGGTGAGCCAGGCAAAGCCGACATCGAGTATCCGGTGGTGGTCCCCCATGAGGAGGAAGCAAAGGTTGCACCGGCCAACGTCCAAGGCGTGGCACGCTCGGCGAAGCCCTCTCTGAAGTTTGAAGCCAAGGACTGGGAGAGCCTACCAACGCTGCACCACATTACCTCCGGACTGGCCGAAATTCCGATCTATGAGATCGTGAGTGCCAAGGTAGTGGAAGGCTTTGGGGTGCCAGATGTATCCTCTTGCAGGAGGATAGAGTAAATGTTTGAAGGTTTCGAAGTCTTGTACACTGTTGATCGAGCGCAAAGACCGTTGATATCCCACCTGTTATAGAAAGTCGTGTAACGGTCTTAGTAAAATAGTTTCAATTGAGAGATCTCTTTGAAAGAACCACATCTTCACGTTGCTTAATGACCCAAATTTCAGAGTATACTGGCACGACTATGAAACACTGCCATACCAAACATGCCTCGTGAAGTGATTCTCATTGAAATTGTAGTTGGCTTGCAAGGTGATGACATGGATGCATGTGTCATCTCTGCGAAATACTTACTATACGCTACCTAAGCCCCCAACCCTCACTCGTATCAAAGTCACTGGAATAACATCCCTTTGGTCAGAGCAATCATGAGCCTGTCTCGGTCCCTGCTGAAGAGACCGGGCTCTCATGCCTGTAACACGAGTCTACTGTATTCTCAGATGATAGCTGGCTGACGGCGCGGATTGATCTGCAGGGGCCGTTATCGTAACGCGCCCCGCCATGCTAGCAGACTAGCACATGATCATGTCCCACTATATGCCGAAGCGTTTGGGCAACCCCTCCGGCTCCTCCCCCACTTACCGGATACTATAGTCACGAGCAGATAGGACCGAGATGACCGAGCCTCAAGGGACTCAGTGTTCCCCGGTAGACCGCGGGGTGCGGGGTGCGGGAGGGAACTGCGGGAGAGCTCTCGGTGATGGCATCTAAAAGTTGTTCCTGGCTTTACGGGTTCTTCCCGACAAAACCTTCGTCGCGACTGCAAATCAAACCATACTGGTACCTAAGCAACTCAACTAATCCCCTCAAGAACATTGCGGGCCAACTTCAACCTTCAGACCTCATAACACATTCGCGAACGAATTCAGAACCGCTCCTTTGCAACTCATAATTCATAATGTCTTCCGGAGAAGCGCCCCCCCACAAAGCCAATGACATGCGTCAGGTCAACCGTGTCATTACCGACCACAATGAGAAAGGCGAAGCCATCTTCTCGTCCCAAATCCCAGAGCCTCTACCGGGTGTGACGATTTACAATGGTGCTGTGTTCAGTCTCGGATACGCCACCAACGAGCGACCCGTCGGCCTGTCCAACAACAAGGACATCGAGACATACAAGCCGCTGCTGGCCAACCCGCCCGGCATTGTGATCCCCGGTGGCACCGTGGCTCGATTCGTGGACACACCGCCCAACGCCCTCAGCCCCATGCACCGCACCGTCAGTCTCGACTACGGCGTCGTGCTCGAGGGCGAGGTTGAGCTGATCTTGGACTCGGGCGAGGTGCGGTTGCTGAAGCGCGGCGATCTCGCCATCCAGCGCGGCACCATGCACGCGTGGCGGAATCCCAGCAAGACCGAGTGGAACCGTATGCTGTACTTCCTGCAGGAGAGCGAGCCTGTCATTGTGAATGGTAAGGCTCTGGAGGAGGACTACGGTGACATGAAGGGCCACGTCGAGGACAGCAGTGCGAAATAATGGATTGGAGGAGAATTGCCGGGGAAGGAAAGGGTGAAACGTTGTCATCCTGAAGCTGCTACGGGCTGATTTCCGAATTTACCTCTTAACATAGAGCATCGCATTGCATTAAGGAAATAGAATCGTTGAACCATCTGATTGACACTTAAAAAACAATACTGGTCGTTGGGGTGATTGACTGAGGAAGAGATACCTCGACACGGGTATGTTGAGGTCAATGTCCATTAGACAACGGCCCGGTGCCCTAGCACTTTACTTAGGAGCTTACAACCATCTGGAAACCAAGTATCTTGCAAAGGGAGGGAAGAAGAACATACAAGAATAAGAAGCAAAACATACAGCACTAGGTACTTGCTGGTGATTGCCCACACAGCTACTCGTCCGGAGCTATCATTATCTGTATTAACTATAATTGCGGTCGAGTACCTCCGGAGAACTTTCTATACCCCGACGACGCTCGGCCACAATCATGTGATGATACGAGCCATATGGCTCTCTACCATAGGATTTGCGTTTTTTTTTTCTCAATATGATAGGTGAACTCATCCTGTATAACGGAAATGTAGCACTCCATGAGTACCCTGGGTAACATGTGGTTGATGGCCATTGATCCTACACAAAATGCAACCTAAGTACCTATTTAGTAGGTTGGTGGATTTTTACCGAACTTTGGAGGAGTTGAGGCTATGAAAGGTAAACGCAATAGCAGAGATTCGCTGACGACGACTGATATTCTTCGAAGCCGGACCCCACAAAGCTTTAGAAGCAGAGTTGCACCTCGCAATACAGTCTTCCCTGTAAGTAATTACGTGGTCTTGGGGCTAAGTCAAGAACTCGCTATGAGCTAAGACAAAGGGACGGCCGGCGAGTGGAAGGGTGATATAATACACCATCAAACCACGATGGACCCATTTATCCCGCGTACCAGCCATCGTTCTTGCTGCAAGCTAATATTGGGAGTGTGCATACGTAGGGTGAATTAGTGAATAGTATCTAGTTGTTTTCACGAATGGGGGCCACAAATCCTCATTACATTGCGCTACAAGGACCAATCACACGTGCAGTTGCGTCTTCGGTGCCCCCAAGACAATTTGGATCTGCAGCTATGCCAGGGTGAGATGCCTGCAAGGCTGAGGGGGCTTGTATGACAAAACCGGAATGATTTGTCTTGATTCCAAAGACCAAAAGACCGACACTGCCGCTGCTGGAATCCAGAGCATGTCAGGTATCTTGTACGTCTACCAACGGGGAAGCCTCCTCAGCTGTGCCCAAGAATTGCAGCAGTGCGGCGGATTCGGTGCAATGGCCCCTGCATGGAGGCATAGCTGTAGTTCGTAAGGCTAAGAATAAGTCTCGCAGAGAAATTGAGAACTGTGGCTGTGGTGAATTTAGCCGAAAGCAAACCATTAAGAGACGTGGCCTGCAGTATTTAATTCAGCAAAGACTAGACTTTGTGCTTCAAATTAAAGCGAGCTCTATGTATTAGGATTTTTCAAACCACTCAAACCCAGATTCAGCGCCTTTTTTATGGAACCGGAACTATGAAAGCAAAGGGAGCGAGAAAGTTGCTCGTTGAGACAACGCTCAATTATAAGCCCGTGCCATTAAGACAATGGTTCTTGGTGGCAATACTTACCTTTACAACATTGCTTCTGGGCTTAATGGAACTAGCTATACATGTTCTACCTAATGGCGTCGATACCAATAGCTCAATTCCTTATAGTGCTTCGGTCATTCAGGCAAGGTTTCCGGCCGGTGCCAAACGTGTATTCCCAAGCAAGCACCTTCAAGCCATCACGCCAGTGCTGCCTTTTTTTACTGGATCAATCTCAAGCAGGTTACGGTTATCACCAGAAAGTATTTCAAACCGAACCGGAGTCAATAGATTGAGAGGATCATGTATATCAACAGAATGGTGCACAGGCATGGTTACAATGGGTATGCTCAAAACTGCGGCCACGACAGAAACCCTAGTAACACCTGGCCCGTTCCATATTCAGCCTGGACCATCAGCTAAAGCAGAATATATTATGTCGGTAACCTCCATGTTTTACTCTAGCCTAAATTCGACTGGAGAACCGGCAAATGTAAATTTAGTTAGTGCAGCGAATAAATTCATCAGTCTTGGATCCAACACCATCACGGAAGCAACCGGCCAAGCTGCACCAACAACTAAAGCAGGCAGCTTTAGCACCACGCCTGACTATAAGTTTAGAAAAATGTCAAAGGCCTTGGGGAACGAGAAAACTGCTACGGAACTTTATTCCCAGTGTTCAAAACCCATCACAACCTTCGACGGAGCACTGCCGTCTCAGCTTACCTTGGGAACCATTTACCGCCAGACTCCCAAAATATCAGGTTACAGCCAAACAAATTTCATGAAACTAAGTGCTAGCGGGACAAGCGTGAGTATACAGAAGACGTTTGAGGAGGGAACCCGAAAATCAGCTGGCGTTGATGAGGGTCATTCCCAAAGTCTCACAGCTACATACAGGGCCTCGGCCGGCTTTACTGGTCTGTCCACAACAACTGCTGGGGCATCAGCGCCTACGGAAACCGAAAAGGCTCACAGCACTTCTGGACAGGATGTGCTGCACATATATGAAATTTCAGAAGGCCAATATTTCATCGGGTTGGTTTTACCGACACTGCTTGCCACTTTTCTAGGTATACTACTCCGTATTCTCGATCAGAATACGAAGCTGTATCAGCCTTTTCATAATTTAGTTGTGTCGCAGCACTGTACTTCTGCCTTGGATTCCCTATTTCTACGAACGAAAGGCATCATGACAACCTTGAAAAGCTTTGGATCTTTCTACAAGGGTCAAGGCCTCTTATTCCTGACAGGGTCTTTGTGGTTACTGAGCTCGGCTCTTGTGCCAGTGAGTGCTGAGGCTATTCGTATTGTACTCATAGGCGAAAACTGTCACAAGGGCCAAGGCAATGCAGATAACTGCGCCATTGCAGTAGGTGTATTTTATACGCCTGCGAAAGTGGTGATCGCCATCCTAGTAGCGATGGCAGCGCTTCTGATAGTAACAGCATCCACCCTGCGAAAACACCAAACTGGCGTGAGCCAAAAGCCATGGAATATTTACGATATGGCAGAAATGGCATTAGACCCAGCCCTAGGGATGTCGGCCACTGGGGTTACGAAGGCTGATACGACAACTACAGCAGATGAGGCTTTGAGTCGACTGAAAGTCTTGAGATACAGGCTTGGGCACTGGAACCATGGGGAGGAGGGAAGATACGGCGTTTTGGTTTGTATCGAGAACGATTGCCAGATCCCGAAGGGTACTTCTCCACATAACTTCGCGACAGCGAAAAAGGGCGGACGAAGTCATCCAATAACACCCTTCGTTCTCAGTAAATTATCGCGCCTCGTCTCCATATCCATATTACTTGGACTTGCTATTCTGATTGTCGTTTATAATCTTGAACAGAATAATGGGTCCGATTTTATCCGGTTTATGGACAGCGAGACTTTGAGTGTCCGACTGATTTTCACTACTGTCGGTGTCGCTATCACGTTGTTTTGGACGTCTTATTTCCAATGTAAGTCTTGGGCATCTTTTTAGGGACTGCTTGTGTCGTCGCTAACTAGAACCAGATGTATCGCTGGTCAGTCCATATATGCTTCTGCAATTTACGAAGTTTCCTGCGTCGGAAGCCTTATATATCAACCCTCCGACGAGCCATATCAGCAGTTTATACAAGTTCATCACGGGCAGTCATCGCGACATTTATCTTTGTCTTGTAGCAATTACATCAGTCATGTCGGAGTTTTTGCCTACATTGCTTACGAACGTACCCTATCGGGTCGTTGAGACATATTTGGCACATACGTTATGCACTTGGCTAGCCGTCACTGTACTACTAGTCATGGTCTTTACCATCGCCATCTCGTTCTTTATTCGTTGGCCACAAATTTCAGCAGATATAAGTACTATTGCCGGAGCGATGTACTGTGCCACAAAAGTACACTCAAGAGCGTAAGACCGGACAGAGAATGCGTTGTAAAGCAAGGATAGATTGCGTCGGATGGTTTAAGGCACCTCACCAATGCCGACCGTTGCGAAAACCTTATGGCCTCGAGTTGTCATTGTAGGTGGTTTTTGTCAAGTCGGGACCGGAGAGTCACTAAAGAATGACTAGATAGTGAAGCTAACTGATACGTTTTGGTATGGGGGTATACACATAGATAGCTCCGCCAGCTGGCTGTGGAAAGTCAGCTGGTGGCAGCTGGTTTGTCGATAAGGAGATAAGCCAGTTGTGTGTTAACCGGCCTTAGTGGGTGCCACGGATACTTGCATTCTCCATCTTTAATACATCACACATCGCACCCCATAAGGATCGCATCACTAACAAAGACACATACGCTTCATCAAAATTGGCAGTATTTAATATTTCAGAGGCCGTGGCGTGTAAGATGGTGAGATTCATGTTCTCCAACACGTGAGTTGCCGCCGAGTGGCGTATATGGGGGGTACCTTGCAACCTTCAAGGCATATTAGGTCAGTATAGGAATAGTGGCTTTTGAAATGATAGAATAACTGGGAACGAATGATTGGATGCAGAAATCCTAACACAGAGTAGGCAGATGGTGCTGGAAATGATAAAGCTCCAGTCTAGATCTCATTCATGACATTAGAGCAACTGTATGCTTCGGCCACAATAAATAGTCTAGGAACCAATGAGAGAAAACTAATTACATATCAAGAGACGTACAAATTGGTTGCTTAAATCCAAGCATCAATTGTAAAGGAGCCATGCCAGGTGTACTGGTACGAAGATTAGATGCAAAGGCATCTATGGACCGAGGACGATAGGTTTTCCGAATAGCCTGTCCCGCTTCATGCATAATCCAGCGACTAGCATAACAGCTCCAGCGATAGGTACGGTAATGAAGGTCGTTTGCATAGCCTGGGTAATAGCAAGAATTGCCTTGTTACGAAGCTCTCCTTCCAGCTTCTGGAATAGGGCATTCTGCACCCCTGCCATCGCCCCATGGATCTCAGAGTCTGTGAAACCCTTGCCAGCCAATACCTCCTCCAGATTCTTGACGCCCACTGACTTATTGATTTGACCTGCAACCGCGAGAGCAATGACCTGACCGCCGATCTGGACTACATTCTGCATGCTAATTCCAGCGGCTGCTTGCTCAGGTTCTAGAGTCAACGTGGCTATCGTGTAGCTTATCGTCATAGTTAGACCGGCACCGATAGCAACGAGAACTGTCAAGCCGTAGATGGTGCCTGTCGATGTGCTTGGGCTAAGGTATACTACTAATGGTCCTCCGCCAGCGACCGTGAAGGCGCCAGCTACCAGGTAGAGGACCATGTAGACCTTGATCAAATGGAGGAATGTGCCTGACACAAGGTTGATCGCAACTGCGAACACGACAAAAGGCATCAGACGTACTGCAGCCATTAAGGCCGCATCATTATTGACGAACTGGAAGTAGATAGGAATATAATAGACAACCACAAAGAGTATTGTGGTACCGGCTGCAGTCGCGATAGCGAGCAGGACCTGCGTACGGTCTCGCAGTAGATGACCAGGGAAGAGGCGCAGGGTAGTGGTTGTTAAGAAGGCGAAATATTGTTGTAGGATGTAAAGAGTTAGGACGGCACCGAACACGACAAATAGGGCAATCGTGCGTCCATCGTTCCAAGGCCATTGGCCTCCAGCCATTGTGAAGGCCAACAAGAAGGTGACCCAGGTACAAGTGCCGAGCATGAAGCCGGCCCAGTCGATACTCGCGATTCTGTCACGAGTGCTCACCCCCTGAGTTGGGTGGATATCTGGCAGATAGAGAATGAAGCCTGGCGCCGAGATGGCGCCGATGACCAGGTTGATATAGAAAGCCCAGCGCCAGGTCGCTGATGATACAGCAAAGGCGCCCCCAATCACTGGTCCTAACACTGCACCCGCGCCCCATGCCGCGCCGACGAAGGACATATACATACCGCGCTCCTTCTCGGCTGTCATGATGGCTAGGTAATGCAACGAACCAAGGTAGATACCACTGCCTCCAGCACCGGCGATGACACGACCGATGATCAGAGCATTCATTGTTGGAGCAGCACCACATATAGCTGAGCCAATCTCAAAGAGAAGTACTGTGAGAATGAAGCTCCACTTGAGGTTGAACAACTCGTAGAGCCTGCCGAGGATGAGAATCACGCAAACAGAGCCCAAAGGGAAGCCTGCTCCAACCCAGGTAAGCTGCTCGATGTGGCCCAAGGCTGCGATCACAGGGCCCTGAACATCGGCCGCAATGGTCGTGTCGAGGCCATACAATAAGCAGGTGATGTAGAGGGAAGCGCAGATGACAAACCACCGGAAGCCCCGTATCGTACGGCCATTTTCGACCAGTTTTGGGCTGGATGTGCCTTCGGTTTTATCCTTTATTGCCTTTGTATCGAAATTTTGAGAGGTATCATAGGCTGTGTGCCCATTTTGTCTGGGCTGGGTTCCTGGCGCTGGGCGCGTCGACTCGTCCGGAAGGGTTGACATTTTGAGTCGTGAGAAGGACAACTTGGCTTGCTGGTCATGTATTCGTTCTGGTTCTGTGATTTTGAAGAGGGAATTGAAACTCTTGAGCACTAGACATCAAGATATCAGTGTATTTATAAGAGAGCCACCGGAACAAACAACATTCAATAATAACGGGGACTAAGCCGACAATAATTCGACATTATTAAGCACGCGGAAGGTGGACTGTCACTGTGCTACATGGAAAGCCCAATTGATGTGTCAAACGAAGACCTTTACTAAGTGTTTCTTGGCTTGTTGTTCGCTATGGGGTCTGGCATGGGTATGCTCCGCCGGTCGGTGGTCGCTGGGCAAGGTTTCCCATTATACCTACGCCCCATATTCCCCTCGCAGAACGGTAGTGGACTCTCACCCTTGTGGCATCCTCACTTTTCCCCGAAATGTCACTTATGCAATCACATCAAATAGAAATGTACAAGCTACAAGTAAGTAATTGTGTATTGGTCAAAATTCTCGGCAATCAGGGCTTGAAAATGAGAGTCATACTGGACTCTTTTGTGGATTGTAGTAAGGTGAGTGGATTGGCTGTTTTGTTCACCTCCATTCTTGAGGCCTACTATCCAACCATGTAAAAGAACTCTGTGTGAGAAGCGATCGACTGTTCTACTCAAGTCCCACTATTCTGCCAGTCGAGCACATTTGCGTGAAAATTTGCACTATTTGCATCACCGCTCGCCAGGCTCTCGAAAAATGCCATATCTACACCCTGAAACGTCCAATCATTAACGCCAGCGGCGATGTCTGGAAGATAGGGGGCGTAGGAGCAATCCAGTGAATGCGAGCGTACGGAAGTGTAGTTCATGTCCTCGATGGCAGTCTGAACATTAGGCATAGCTTGGTTCCGTGACTGGTCCTGCGCCAGGGCAGACAACCTATTTGGGCTGTACGAGTTACCCAAGTCGGTTGCCTGGCTGGAAAAGGCGGACTGCGAAGGCTGAGGTGTAAGCTGCGTATAAATTTTCTGTGCACTGGCGGGGTTGTTGACTCCCATCGTTTCTGGTGTCGGCGCCTGTCGGTCTTGTGCCGCCGCAGGCTTATCTGGTAGTTCGAGAATCTCCTTCGACATGATCCCCCCTCGTGCAATCTTGATAATGCCAAAGTATGGGATGCTTACGCGCACAACGCCATTGCCATGATCATTCTCGTTGTGATAGGGGGCTTCCACCTCCTGTGGTTGTATGCTGACGTGCTCTGTACGTCCCTTATGACCGTCGGAAGCTTCAGCTTCTATAACCAGCAAGCGGCGTAATAAATCAGCACTCTCGGTACTGAGTGAGTCGCCATTTCTACGGCTGAGCTCTTCCATACTTTGCTGAGCTTGTTCCATCATTGCGCGGTCGCTGAGGTACTGATGTACAAGTAGACTGCTTGCATCACGATGACTGTCTAAATGCGCCAGAACCAATGTCATGGCGGCCATGAGTGCCATGAAGTCGGGCGACCGACAGCAAAAGGCGACTCAATTGAAGTTGCGCAATATGAGAAACCTTGAAAGTATCTCTCGCGAGGCGTTCACGCAGGCAATCTGAGAGTATTGATAAGTGTGATCAATGGAGGCGCGGAGCATGTAGGGCAAATGCAGCCGGTTCAGAATATTGTAATGAGATATTTGAACAAGAAGTCGTTTGACGTCCCAGAAAAGTCCCTCATCATCTTTTCCCGTATTGGACAGATTTGGCGGGAGCCACCACCTGCTAGGCAGCCGCCTGGCTTCTACCTGAAGCTCATGATCAAGCTCTTGGGTGATGGTGAAGTCCTGGCACCTTGATTCATTACGGCCCAGTATCCGGGATGTAGTGGTGCAATGGATGCGTTCCAGGCGACCCAGAGATGTATCGTTATCAAGAAGATCTTGGGTAGCAATATCATTACCCTGGAACCCTCGAGGAAGTCCTAAGAGTAGAGACAAGGAGCAATCATATTGTACGATACGAAGCCACATGGTCTGCGGATCAGCCTGCGTTCTGGGATCAATTTTCTGATAGCGTAGCCGACTATCAATTCGGTGTAGTCCCATCAATTGCGCAAAATGCAAAGCCCTTCGATTCGCGGCCCAGCTGAGTCGAAGGTTTCCACCATTGGCATAGTACGTAGTCTCCAACATGACACATTCAAGGCTTTCAATACTGCCGAGGAACCGGTCTTGAGTTGTTACCTGACTGATGGCGATATCTGCCAAGCGCTCGAGCATTTCTGCTGGTAACTCAGACAATCCTGCCAGCTCCTCGTAGTTTGGATGAAATTGCTGCAGAAGGTGCACAAGCTGTAACATGTGCTTGGCTAACAACACAGGATGTGACTTAGGCCCGGGCCTATCAATATGGCTGTGGTGAGAGCCCGAGTCACTTTGCCCCAAACTCTTATATGGTACAGTCAGAACTTGATTGAACATGCAGAAACTGCGATAGCTAGCTCTGCATATTTTATCGCTGTCTTCATGAGTAGGAAATGCCTCATACAAGGTCTGGGACAGCCTTGCAACCTTGGCAAGGCTGGGGAGCAGAACTCCAGATGTTCGCAGGCGGACAAATCCTGAATCACCGGAACAACCATCGGTGGCAGCTGAGGCCTGATCTTGACGAGTGGGTCGAGGAGTTGTCGTATTTGACACCCAAGCGGAGGTAGGGGGATGTGAAGGACTGAGAGAAGTCGGATTGTGTGCATAATTTAGCTCATTTGTTACTGGCGTAGGGATTTCACAGTCGAGGTTTGTTGTGCTGTCAACATTGCTTCGTGTTGAGTGAGCAGGATTCTCATGTTTGCCGATTTTCTTGACCAGTTGCTCCACAATGGCCTCAGCCCATCCTGTTCTGTCCGCTATCTGGCGCATCCCAGCCAGAGGCTCTGCGAAGTTATCTGGAAACTCTTGGCTCACACATGGTGTACCACGTCGTTTACAGGCAAGGCAGACTGCAGTTTGACCGCGGGACATCGGCCGGTTGGGTTCGAAAATGCATTTTTCTTTCCGCCTCTTACATGCCCAGCAGCTGTTCGTACCTTTACGCGTTTTCCTTCGCTTCATGGTCGGGCCAGCCGGGGTATGGGCGTCTGCATTCGCATTGGGATCGTTATCCCCATGGTGAACGACATTAGGCTGGGCAGAGCGAGTGGCTGGCATGGTCGCACTACTCTCACCGGAAATCCGAAAAGTGAATGATGTTTCTTGCTCTACGAAGTGGCAGTAAATCAGGCACCTATTCACTCCGACGGGACTGAAGTCCTGGTGGTTGATTACCAAGACGAATGAGACGTCATTTGTTCCGCCATTTGTTCCGCCGGGCGGCGGAACAAATGTCTTGGCATTCTCACCCTTCGAACGTGCATGAGCTCCACCATGCATAGCGATAGGTGGATGGCCCCACACTTAAGGTTCAAGTTTCAGAAAAGCAACTGCTGCTCGCGTCTCTTCACAACACCTACTAACTAGACATACGCAAAGACAAATGGCGGGTTGGATTTCAGATCGGCCTCGCGTACATGGGGCCTACTCGATGTGTAGAAACACTTGATTTTATACCGCATCAAGCTTACTTAAAATGGCACAATGAGTCAAGTTATATTACCACTTTGTTTTTGGAGTTACTCGGTTGAGAGCATCAATGCCTAACTGTCATGGCTTTGAGCTTCTTTACCCCAAACAGTCAATTTCAGTAAGAACCATTTCGCAGTTCCTCATCGGACCGAACTCGAACTCGTTGGCGTTGTCACCACTCGCGGTAGCTTTGCTGGCATTGCTGGTGTGCGCAGCCTGTGGATGAAATCGATGTGGTGAGTATCATTTCAACATCAGCACTCAGCAAGCAACTAGCCAAGGACGCGAAATCTTGCACAGAAGGGATGTTCAAGAAGATATCGGAGGTTAGAAAAGGCTTCTTCAACAATATATTCTGCCCAAATCTGTCTTATCATCACGCAATATTTCAAATCCCACAGAGACAAGGGTCTTGGTTAGGCTAGCCTTAATGCAAAAGTGTACGATAATAAGCTTGTACTGACTGTGCGAGGCGCTCTAAAGACGTAGGCAGATGATATCGTCGCAGATTTCCAGTTACAGTTGGACGTTCATCTTGCGAATATGAAGTCCAATATGCTGCGAGTTAAAGTATGGCACGAGGCAAAGAGAGCAATTTACAAAGACATTTAATGCGATCAAGAGTGGCTGGTTGAAGTGCCGCCACAGATAGGTGGTTGACGGCTACCTGAGCCGGGTTGTCCAGGGCTATTGTCGAGACTAGACTATGATTCACCCGGGTACCCGTCCCGTGTCATAATTGGTACTGCATGCAAGCTGAAAACCAACCCTGGCTACCTTGCTTCATATTCTTCTGGTACATAATCCTGCCAAGAGCTCGATAATCTTTCCGCCACTTTTTCCTTTCTACTAAGTACTCTCGCTTTTCTAGGTCAGCGTGTGACTGCTTAAGTGTCTTGTCTTTTAATCGACCCAGCTCCACCACTATGCCTTCAGTAACGTCACTGTCGCAGCAGTTGTTCCGCAACGTTGGACCGTTGACGACAACTTTCACCGCTCCAGCATCATGCGCCACCCAAAGTGCAGTAGCTCTGGCGCCTGTAGACCAGCCTGCCATCGCAGCTTGGCTTGATGGGTGCGGGATTCGGAGTGTCGGAGATTGTCTCCCCAATGGTCAGACAGTAGACAACGTTTATGCGTCAGACCTCGCAACCTATAGCGCCAATGACTTCCTTTATTACTCTCCGGGAGTCATTTGCCCTGCATCCTGGACAACAGTGGGTGTCGCAGTCAAAGATGACAAGGGTTCAGTCTCTGTCACTGGGATATATGAACCAGCTGCCCAGGTTACCGCGACACCGGGTGCCACCTCCCTGGTAACTCCCGCACAAAACCCACCTCCCAACATATTTGTGGAGGGCCTCGATCTTGGTGAAACTGCAATAGCATGTTGCCCTGAGTAAGTTGGCACATCCTAAAATGTAGTCAAGAAACAGGAGCCAGTGGCTAACGTTGCAAAGGTCGTTCGCCCCGGATGGTTTTGGGGCTTGCTTTAGCAATGTTCCAGTCACAAGATACACTGCAACGACTGGATGCCAGCGGAGTCCATTTAGCGATATATATACCTTCGCGCCGGCCACATTCATCTGGAATGGGACCACAGTTACTGCAACAGTGTTCACGGTCACATCAGCTGATGGAAATGGATTTTCCTCGAGCACCACGACTTTCCAGTCAAAGGATCTCACCGCGTACACTGGCTTGTGGCAGTATCCAATGGTAACTCTTGTGCATAAGAGTAACGACCCGACCCCCACTGCAGCTGGCACCTCGGCTACTACAAAGTCAAGCGCTGCCACTAGATCGAAGTTTGATTTGCAGTATGGAAACACTTGCATTTTGATTCTAACATGGACACTTGTTAGCTACTTTATCGGGATTGGCCCTTTCTTTTAATCTAGTTTACCGGGTTTAAAATTTGTCTTTCAAGTCCGTGGATTTGCACGGCGTTTCTAAGCACAAATACTACCGAGGGGGGAAGGGGTAGGAGCAAGGGAATCGGCAAACGGTCCACCCACTATCGTCTTAGCCCACGCCTAGCAATTTCACGTTTCTCCGCCACTGATCGTGCTTAATTATATCTCGATAAAGCATTCACGCTTAAATTAATAAAGTTTTGCTTATTCATGTGTTCGTTACAATGAAATTTCTTCTGGATGCCAAGATCCGTATACTGCAGATTAAGGACACTAGTATCCCAACTTCGTGCTTGGTATGTTTCGCTATGAAAATTAGAAAGTGAACTTTCCATGTCAATTAGCCGTCCTGCCTGTGCTTCAATTCGTCACAATGCATATGTCGTGGATGGAAGACCAGGTAGGGCCCATCATGATAGGCTCCAAAGATGTCATAAGTCTGATATTCTCCCACTCTTCCTCTCCCGTCTGTCTTTCCAGGAGTTCCCCCTCCAATATCACCTAGGTATCCCGGGGCAGGCTCAAAGTCAAAATACCAGAGTGTCTTAGCCAGGGCTAGGCTTATCTCTTGGTAAGCAAGAGGTTTTCCGGCGCAGGTCCGAGGCCCGACCGAGAACGGGGCAAAAGCCGCTCGCGCCTTATCGGCACCGTCGTCCAGCCACCTTTCAGGGCGAAATGTGAAGGGGTCGGGAAAGTAGTCTTCGTTGTGGTGAAGGCTGTAGATGTTGACGCCCACAAGAGTGCCATGAGGTATGGAGTGTCCGTCCACAACCAGAGGACCCCGTCCAGCTTCCTGAGAGTCTAACTCGCGCCATAGTGTCGTGCCGACAGGTGAAGCCATGCGAAGTGATTCGTCTATGCAGGCTCGGAGGTATCGACAGCCTGCAAGTTGTGGTCCGCCTCGGATCTCGCCAGCGGAATTGAACGTAGTACGGATCTCTGTAGCAAGTTGCTGGTAGCAGTCAGAGTTACGTGATAGGTAGAAAAAGGCGCCTGCCATTGCAGTCGCAGTCGTGTCACCCCCTACATGGGCACATAGAGTTTAGCGCGATGGAAGATAATGTAAGCACATCACATCTACATACCTGCTCCAAAGAAGAACACGGCCTCTGGCCATAGCTCTCCACTTTGGATGTCTTTCAAGTCAGTTTGAAGTTTAGGAGTAATGAAAGACAGTAGGTCATGTTTAGCATTAACGGGCTGAGCAAGCCGGGTAGCGATCATCTTTTCCACCACGGCGAGGAGGCGCTTGCGAATGCTGTTAGGAAGATAGGAGGCAATAAGATCAGGACGGAAGTTGATCAATGCCGGCAGTTGGAGAGCAAGATTGATACGAAAGTTGGTAAACACAATTGCCTTCTTTAAGAACCTATGTTCTTCCTCAGATTGGATTTTGAGATCATAGCCAAAGCCTAGTTGTCCGATGGTATCGAGGCCGAGGTGGCGACAAGATGGTGTCATGTCCACGGCACGGGAGACATCGGATGCTTTATAGAGGATTCTGATGAAAGTATCAACTTGTTCAAGTAGAGTAGGCTCGAACCGTCGAAGTGATTGGTCCGAAAGTGCCTGACCCACAAGTCTTCGTTTGGCACTGTGTATCTTCTTGTCTCTCGAGTTGAAGACATTGTTTTGGCCAGGCCGTACCTCGGAGGCACGATAGATGGATGGCTTGACTAACCTCTCATTTTGGTAGATATCTCCCTTGGTCAGCTAGGGGGTCGATCGTGGTGGAAACTGTCAGACGAACCCTTTAGTGCTGTAGGCGAATTGAAGAGCAGCCTGTTGGGACCATGCCGTACAACCGGGCCTTGCCGATTGATTAGGAAACAAAACTTTGGTAAGAGCGGATTTGTGCGCCGCACCGTATTGAAGATGATCTTGGTAGGTTCTCAAATGCAGTCGGCGTGCGGCAGCAAAATAACCGCCGTAGACATCTGAAAGCTTGGCGAAAAACGGTCCTGGGTATTTTCGAAGTGGGTGCAGGAGGAGACGATAGCCGAAGAGAAAAAGAGCCTAGAACGAAGCCCAAATATGTCAGAAGCAGAATCTCAAGCTAGTGATGAATACGATATACTTACACAGACGATGAAAGCTGACGTAAAGTGCTTAGAAAATAAGGCGAGTGGCGCCATTGTTGGGGTGGACGCTTGTGCGTTGTGGTTTTCCTGGAGAATGAACTGTGGTGATGATAGTGGACGTCATGGGTACGGAGCGCACTCCATATCATGGCGTATTTATAAGTATGGAAGCTGAACCAGGTTTATGCAAGGGAGTGCGCTCGGGTTCCAACAGACATATGGTCGCCCTCTTGGCGAATTCTTGTCATAACCGGACCACCTGGCAACAAGTCGCCAAGCGCGACCTGTCCTAGTCGAATACACACACACGTATATATATAACATATCGGTCCGGTTCAATGATAGCCTTGCACGCTCTCTCACCTGCGAGCGACAGGCGTTTCTGTGAACTACTATCATAATATTCTTTTATTGGCGTTCACGGAGCTGGGGAGCCTTGCAGCTTTGTATTTCACTTCTTGACACCCTATGTTCTACATTGTAGGATACCAATGCCAAATCGCTATTAATACAGCAGGTTTCGTGAGTGTTTTTCATTGCAGACCAACATCCATGCGCGGGAGCATTTGGTACAATACAAGGCCATCAGCCGCTGAATGGTCATCCTACAAGCCCTATGTTCAACTCTCGTTCCTCTCTCAAGCTCTTTTGCCGGAGCTTTTTGCTCGCAAATGTCCCAGTTGCACCACAATAACTTGTCTCTGGAGAGTTCGGGCTTCGGGACTTGCAAGCCAAATGTTGAAACTCGCTGGCAGAAAGACTATCGCAGAGTCAGTTGCATTGTTGACATTTAGGTGCGCGGCCCAGGAGTTGATGGTGATGACCACACCCTCAGGGTCTAAAGCATAGGGCATGAACCACCTATCCAAAGCACCGTATTCAAATGCCTAGTCTAGCCCTCCGTGCATGTCCGCCAATTGCTCTGCTATCCTCTTCCCTAATGCCTCTAGAGTTCCCATAGCTAACATCTCCAGTACACTAATATCAACGGCAAATACCCGTTTACACCAGGCGCGTAGTTCCACTGCGACCAACGAGTCCAGTCCGAGCTCAGTGAGACCTAACCCGATATTAGGCTCATCTTCCGGCTTTAGAAGCAAAGCGCATAACTTCTTCCCGATTTCACGAGCAAACATGGCCGTAGTTTCAGGCGTCACGAATATACGTGGATTACTCTTAGCCTCAACCATGAAGCGGTGCAAATGGCCACTGTTATTATTCGCAGTGTCGGTGGTCGGGCGACGTCTCGTATTAAGGAACGCTGCCATACGAACATCTCTCTGCATGCGGGTACCATCATCGGCACCGTCAAGAGAGTTGTCTGGTGAAATGCCAATGAGTATCTTGTTTCTTTCGACCACAGGCAACCAGAGGTCATCGATTTGCCGTATTTTTTGAGCTTCTCTCTGGCCACGGGGTGTCATAGCCGCATTCAAGGCTTCAAGGAGTTGCTCCTCCTTGACCGTGTGCCAGCCCATACCGCGCATCTTGTTCAGCAGTGCTTCGTTTTGGGACAAATACCCTACACCTTCCATGGCTCCGATGTCAAGTGATGTGCAGGGAAGCCCCAGACTGTTGCGATACTGCGCAAATGAGTCTAGGAAAGTGTTTGCGGCCGCGTAGTTGGCCTGTCCCGGCTGACCTAGCAGCCCGGATAGTGAACTGAACAAGATGAAAAAGTCAAGATCTGCCCCTATCTGTTCATGTAGATTCCATGTCCCAGTGATCTTTGGCTTGATAGTAGTATTCCAGTCGTCAAACGACATGCGCTGGAAGGATTGGTCGCGAAGAACCATCGCCATGTGGACAACTCCTTTGAATGGCCTAGGAGATTCATTGATGACACCTGCCACATCAGCAGCATCTGTGACACTTCCGCGAACGAGCCGTATGGTACAACCCATGCTTCCAAGCACGCGAGCAAAATCACGCTCTTGCGAGTCATCGCTGCCTATGGTGCGCGACAACAAGGTTAGGTGCTGAGCGCCATGTTGAACCATCCATATGCAGACAGAGCGGCCGAGCCCTCCGAAACCTCCTACGAGGAGATAAGAAGCCGACGGGTCCAGTTTAGCTACAGGTTTGAGCGCATTAGGAATATCTCGAAGCGCGGATGTTCCGTCAGGACAGCGCATCGTCATGACAATCTTCCCAACATGGGTTCCTTGCTGCATGTACCGAAGCGCATCCTGATAATCGCGGGCGTTTGAAATAGGAGAAACGCGAGCCAAGGATATTGGCCGAATCAGACACTTTTCATAGTACTTCATCAAAGATTGAAGTGTGCTACAGAAGACGAACGTTAGCCAACGAAGCAAGCAACACAAAAAGTGGGGCAAGAGATGGATTACCGGTGAACCATGAGCGGCCGCTCTTCAATCATTTGACGCAAGTCGAAACAGGTATAGCTACGATTGCCAAGAAATACATCCATATCGAGCTTGCCAGCTCCCAAGAGATCAATCTTACCGATTTCAATCATCGTTCCCCATTTTCCGATACAACGCCATGTGGCATGTAAGAGGTCACCAGATAGGGAATTCAGGGCCAAGTCCACCCCTTTGCCCTTGGTCTCACGCATTAGGTCGACAAGGAAGGAAGGTGACCGCGAACTGAATATGCGGCTTCGAGGTATCCCAAACGTATCCGTGAGGTATTGGGCCTTCTGGTCACTACCGACGGTTGTATATATCTCAGCGCCTACCATCTGAGCGATCTGGATGGCTGCAAGGCCCACACCACCACAGCCACTATGAATAAGAATTGTCTGTAATTTTTTAGGTTAGTAAATGCAATACGATGAACTCATGGCTATACTGTGACTAGCAGATATACTTTATTACTTACCTGACCCTGGCCCAGACGCCCAATTTCGATGAGAGAGTAGATAGCAGTCACAAACACAATGGGTAGTGACGCGGCATGAGCAAAATCTAGATCATCGGGGACCTTTGCGCATAAGAGTTCTGTTGTAACAAGTAATGTCGAGCAGGCTCCACGTCCGATAGCCATCACTCGATCTCCGACGTGGAAATTCGTGACATTATGGCCAACTTTTCGGATAATGCCACTGGCCTCCGTCGCAGCTATGCGACCTGGATCAGCGCATTCGATAGACCCCATAGCCTCGAGGACGTCCTATATTTTATTTCATAAATTAGCCCATGGTCCACTTAGAAGTAGCCAATGGAAGAAGTCATTGATGATACACTGGGCGCTTTTTGACTTACCCGGAAATTCAATGCTACTGCGTGGACCTCAATTTCTACTTCATCCCCTTTCAAATCCGCCATAGGCCGTGTCACCAAATTCAGTGAGTCAAGCCGTCCAAGACGATCAATTCTAATAGCTGCGCCTTCAACATGCTTTTGAGTAGCTTCCATGCTCTCACTCAAAGTGGAAGGGAAGATGCGATGAACCCGTGTTAGGTCTCTGGTGCAAGCATACTCAAAATCAGGTCTTGTGTCCATACTCCGTGCCTGAAACCTTCGAAAAACGTCGACAACAGCTGCAGCTCCATCTACAGATGCAATATCGTCAACCTCACACGTGGAAAAGTCGATATCAAGCTCGACACGGAGTGTACGTGCCAGGCCTATGACTGGAGAATATCTCGGGTCGACACAGTATGCCTGTACTGGTTTCGTGACCCAGAGAATCCCAGATCCGGAATTGTTGGCGCGGAAGACGAGCTGCTTGAAATCATTAAAGGCTGACTCGTCAACGCATTCAAAGAATGGTTCCGCAATGTCCAAGAGAGCGATGATGTCTTGGTCCGATGGGAGTGAGTCTTCGAGTGTGCAACACGAAATTTCGAAACCTTGCGCTTCCAGTGCATTCTTAAACCCTTTCAGGCCAGAATGCCCGTTCGAGTCATGAAGCAGAGTGACTCTATCTTTTCTGGCCTCGAAATGCTGCTGTTGCGGCTTCGCAAGCATGACGGTGTTGAAGTGACATGAATCAGGGGCTTCTGGCACGGCACCAGCCAATCCGCAGAACCCGGCCGCCTTGAGTTCCTCATCCCATCTACTACACTCAATGTATGGCTCATTATCTCGGCCATCTGCGGAGCCGCTCCACCAAGATGGGAGGGTGGCTTGGACGAACTTGGCCCATGACAACCCGGTTCGCGGCTGTTGAAAAAGTAAGTGTCCACTGCTGTGAAGTAGCTTGTGAACGTTTGCTAGGCTTTGATGGATGTATCTTGTCCATTGAATGGCTTCGCCGCCAACGATCAGATCGAAATGGCAGTTTTGGAAACCTTGATCTACTGGGTCTTTGGAAATATCGAGTGTGGAGAACTCGAGGTTTTCTTGTTGTTGAAAGCGACTTTGAGCTAGGTGTAGCAGGCCCGTGGATCTTTCCGTGTAGACGTACTGTGAGTAAAGTAGTTGGCCATCTGGTCGCTTCATGTCTTCAAGGTTACTGATGGTCGGCCCAAGGCCCGTTCCTATCTCAAGGATGCGAAGGCCCGGTTTGTTGTTGGAAAGACATCTCAAAAATCCAGATACGTTGTGTCTGCTCAGAAACCGAAGAAAGTTACCCAGACTTTCGTCTTTATGAAGCACCTCCAACGCCCCTATTTTCTCCGACAGAATTGATGATGTGTGTGTGCAAAGCTTAGATATCGCAGAGGCGATGGGTGCTGCGGGCCCCTCATTGAGGGAAGCACAAACAGAATCGATCCTAGCAGCGAGTGCTGTATCTTCAACGTCCTCCACAGATTTGTACTTTTGTTGGCGAAGCCACTCAACATACCTCCGTATATGAGTGCTTGAAGATTCTGTTGTGAGATCTAACGACCTACGGCGGTAGAGCTCAATAGCCAACTGGCCAAGCTGCTCTAATGTGTGGAAGTAGGTACTGTTGTCCCGTAATGGTGCGACGAGAACATTGAAAGGTGTGAGATCAATATGCGGAACCCACTCGGATCTGGCAGTATTAATGAGTCCTGTATTATTTATGTCGTCTTCTGTAGAGTCAAGGGGGGAAAATTGTGCCCCTGAGATCTTCAGACATGGCGTCGATGTCGGGCCTGCCACGCCGAACCCATTTCCCATAAACTTGTCTGCGACAAAGTCACAGCTGGCACACAGAGCGAATTTGTCAGCGGAGGAACGACTCAAGGCTATGTAGTCCGCGCTCGAAGGAACTGCTTGTTTATAGGCATGGGTGAAACCATGATGAGCCGCAGCACCGGCTAATTGGAAATATGTGTCCAATATGACGGGATGTAAATGGTACTGGCTGGTCTCGTTTGCGGGCCAATTTATTTCCATATCTGTGATGCCAGAGCCTCTTTGGCCGGTTGTGGTTGTCTTGAGCTCTTTCATCGTCTGGAAATGTGGTCCATAGCGGAGACCTCCGCGACTTACACGGTCATACCACTGCCGAACATTGACCTTGTGTGGGGTTTCGTCCTCGCCTAGGACGTGACAGTCGTCAATCGGAAATTTCTTTATGGCACGAACTTGCCCAAAGCAGTGTTTCGTCCATACGTGTCCGTTGTGTGATGTCACTGTAAACTCCCACCAATGACTATCGATCGAGTCAGTGAGACGATGTCGACGAAGCGTGGTCACGAGTTCAGTCGGTGCGTGATCATATACCACCAATGCGGTGCTGACTACTATATGCCGCAGCTCTACCGCCTCTTGAATGCCTGTCACCTGACGTGCGGCTTCAGCAGCCATGGCTATATAGCCGGCGAAAGGGAACACGATGTCATCTCTGATCTTGTGGTCGCGGATCCAAGGCGCGTTCTCAAGATGAAGTAGGTTCCTCCAGGCGGGCTCAACTCCCGAGCTTTCGACAATTCTTTCACCGAGGAGGTCATGATAAGAATGTTCACGAAATCTCCATTCCCTTGTAGTCCTAGATTCCTTCCAAAAGCTACGCTGATGGTTCCACGGGTAACGAGGAAGATCCGGAAGACATTTGCCGTCAGGTATTAGTGCTTTGAAATCGACTTTGACACCAAGTGTCCAGAGCTTCCCGACAGCTGCTAGGAAACTTTCTGAGTTATTCTGACGTCGGGTCATGCTAGGAACATATGAAGGTGGTGTTTTAGTAATGTTCGAACGGCCACCGAATATTTGTCTTAATGGCCCCGCGAGTGCTGCGTGGGGGCCAATTTCCAGAAAACTCATGTTGTCCGAAGTGGAAAGCATGCTGTCAAGTAGACTAGACACAGCAGCGTTGAAAAGCACCGGCGATTCCAAGTTCCTTTTCCAGTATTCTGGTCCGAATTTGTCGTTTTCGCTTGCTCCAGGTTCTCCGCCGCTCGTTATTGGTCTACCTAGTACACTGGAGAAGAAAGGGATCGAGGGGTTGGTTCCGACCACCCCCGAGTTGGTCATTCTGTCGCGATATTCGTCGCCTAGTTCTACCATGTGATGGGAGTGATAGGCCTTTTCCACCTTCAAAATTGCTGTCAGTACGGCAGGCAAATGTCGTTTGATTTCATCCAAGACAATCTGTAACTTGTCGGTGTCTCCCGATATCGTGACGCTATTAGGCGAGTTGTCGCATGCCATCACGACACCCGGCACCAGGAACCTCTCTACTTCTTTGCAGCCTATACCCACGGCAGCCATACCTCCTGGTCTAGTCTGCGATTTCGAAATCAACCCGCGGAAGAAAGCTATCAAAATAGCCTCTCTTGCAGTAAGCGCATTAGCTGCATACGCTGCTGCGATCTCGCCGCTCGAGTGACCAACCACCGCTGCAGGCTTGATCCCGATTGAATCAAACATATGAACCAAGGCAATCTGAAGAGCCGTACAAAGGGGCTGAGCAAACTCAGCCTCGTTAACTCTACTACTGCGGGATGATTTAAGTAGTTCATCCTCAAGCTTCCAGTCCGGCGAGTCCAGTCCCAAGGTTTGGAGTTGATCGTCTAGGGACTTGATGGTGCGCTTGAACACCGCATTAGTTCGCAGCAATTCGCGGCCCATCTGAGGCCACTGTGACCCTTGACCCGTAAATATCATTATTACAGAGGTGGGTCCCTTGCTCTGCTGCGGTGCAGAAGTGACACCGGGCGAATCCCTCGTGCGAACCGTGAACGAACGTACTGACAGATGTTCCCTCCTATTCGCAAGAGTGTATGCCAGATCTGTGATGTTAATGGTGTCCTGGGAGTTTTCAATAAAGTCTGTATATCTCTCGGCCATGGAAGTCAAGGAATGAATCGATTGGGCTGAGTAAACCAGTAACTGATGTGAACCCGACGCCGTTTTCTTGCTCATAGTAGTTGCATGCTGCTCGAATCTGGCGGGCGATTCAATAATGACATGCGCGTTCGCACCGCCTATCCCGAAGGAATTGACGCTAACGCGCTTCTCGCGATCCTTTGGCCATGGCGTCGCTTCCTGGGGAATGATAAACCCATATCTGTCGAACGGGATGTTGGGGTTCAGAGGCAAGCACTTGATATTCGGTGGTATCGTCTGGTTTTCAAGGGACAGAACAGCTTTCAGCACTGCCGTCAATCCAGAAGCGCCCTCGCCGTGGCCTAGATTTGGTTTGACTGACCCAATGTGGAGGAAATCTGTAGCACCAAAGACCTTGGCAACGGCCGAGGTTTCAATCGTGTCCCCACGCTGGGTCCCTGTTCCGTGCAATTCAAAAAAGCCAGTCTTCGGGATGTCAGATTCAAGGATGCCGGCGACTTTGTATGTGTGCCGTATCAATGCCTCCTGGGCATCTGGATTTGGAACTGTAAAACCAGGGGTCTTTCCATCACAATTTGTAGCCGCACCAGAGATCACAGCACGGACAGGGTTGCCATCACGGAGAGCGTCGCTGAGTGGCTTGATATAGAGGGTTACAATACCTTCACCGCGGCCATAGCCATTCGCCTCCGATGAGAAGGTTTTGCAAGAGCCGTCGGGACTGAGAGCTCCTTGGTTGGACTCGTCTATGCTCAGCGATGGAGCTACGATAATACTGGTACCTCCGACGATAGCGGATGGGCAATCGCCTCTAGAAATGGCGGCGCAAGCTTCACTCAACGCAACAAGACTGGAAGAGCAAGCTGTGCGAATAGTGATACTATTTGCCAACACATGTAAGTTAGCCGACAGCCCAAGTTGCATATTAGAATGGAAGAGATCCCAATACCTAGGTCCATGCAGATCCAGCTCGTATGACACCCGGTTCGAGAGTGCGAAATCGTAAGAGTGAGAGATGTGGTAGGTGCCATATCTTTGAGACTCTTTTTGAATCACGTCGTACCACTCGTTACCAAAGCTGCCCACATAGACGCCGATATTACTCCCTTTCCACCCCACTTCCCCTGCGTCGTCAAGAGACTCTTTTGTTACCTCAAAAAGCAGTCTCTGCTGTGGATCAAGGACCTCGAGCTCACTGCGAGGCATCGGAAAGACATTTGTATCAAGGGCGCCTAAGTCGACGGTATCGTCCAGGAAATACCCATACTCGCTAATAACATGGCCAGGCTTCTTCGTTGGCCAATGGAATGCCGAGACATTGTATCGTGTCTTAGGAACTCGCATCCGGGCATCGCTCTTGGATAGAAGAAGATCCCACAGCTCCGGTGGAGAGGTTATCCCTCCTGGTAGACGACAGGCCATGCCGCATATGGCAATCGGAGTAAATTTCCCCTCCAGACCGCATTCACCACCTGTGGTGTCGTTTGATCCCAAGCCACTATCAGCAGAAACGTTCTCATTGATGTGTGGTGAATATTCAGAGCCGCCGTTTGCCATGCCCTGTTCATTACGGGCGTCACCATCAAGTGTAGCGACGGTGTCAGACCGCCATTCACCGTTATCACCTGCTAGAGTTAGGTTCGGCGAAGCTTTTATCAATCGGTTGCCAGAACGGCGGAACTTGCCCATCTTTTTGTTTTCGGCGTACGAGCAATAATAAATATTACTCTGGTCCGAGACTTTTACTAGGAAGAATCTATTCTAGTCTCAAGAAACATCTGTTATGGATTGAGCTTGCAGGAGGTATATGGGACTAATAGAACTGCGCGGAGTTCAAGTCATACGAAGAAGATCAGTGCCATGGATGTTGCAAGAAGGTGGAGACATTCGTGTTGTTCGAGGAACTTGATACGCGTGCGAGAGATCACGTACTGTAAGTCGGTGGCGGCGCAATGCAGGCCAGGCATGTGTTCACCAACGTTGCTTCTTAGATACCATATTTCAACCAATAAAGAATGTGCGGAATTATGATAGACAGTGCAGATAGCCGAGGCAAAAGATGGCCGTGTCAGAAACCATTTTCACTATCCGGGCCCGCACTCGTCGACGCGTCAACGGGCATTACACACGCCAAGCATTTTGATCAACGATGATACTCAATTTGGCAGTCAAGTCTATTCCCAGCTGGTGAGACCTCCGGGCGTACCAGGAACCATTCAACGACTTGAGATCTGAATCTGCCTTGCTGGTGTCTACCATGACGCGACCACTGCTGCAGAATTGCGGCGAGGCACAAAGAAATCCCTGCTTGAGCGCCGTTTTAGGCGTTGTCGGCTTTGGCTCTCCGGCAGTTGCCGACCACACTATAGGCGCCTAATGCAACCTAATGGATCCTCCAACGGCCCTTGACAGCTCACTCCACTATGTTTGGTCTCAGGTTCGATGCGACTAGTTACCTAGGTAGTGGCTTAAATGCTACTATGGTATCTAGCCCCCGGCCGTCGCAACTGCATGCTTGCATGTTGCAGGCCAGCTTGTACATGAAGGGCAGGTACCGCACCATCCAAGATACATCGAATTCCAAGTACATGCGATCACCGTCTAATCCGTTTGTCGGGCAGATCCCTCCCAAAGCAGGGCTTATCTTGCAAGAGCTTACGCGCTGTAGCTACAATTGGGGTTGCTGACGCTTGATGACGGCGTCCTGAGCGCAAGACATCAGAAGTTCACCAGTTGCAGCGTTCCAAAACCGTTGGTAGATGGTGATTCGTCCACCTGCGGCCCACGACGTACCGCTCTCGCATACCATCCACTCATCAATCTTGGCCGTCGGAGCATGAAAGGAAATCTGACTGTTTAATGTCGTACTCATAGCCAAAGCTTGTATCTCCTCATGCACTGACTCCCAATTAGCAAATAGTGACAGTTCCAGGACGGAAATGTCCGACAAGAGAGCCATCGCGGGCAAGTGGGAAGCATGGCGTGTAGACATTAGTTCAGCACGCACAAAAGCGTGGGTACGGATCTGTGCAGGGTCGCGCACAGACTTGAACGGGAGCAGCCGCCAGTCGAAGGGGGGCGACACTTCGAGGTCCTCTTCGCCCACATGGAACCCGATCTGCTGGAAGTCTTGCTTGGCGATATCGTAGGGGCGGACCCCACCAAGGTCAGGTAAGGGATCGGCATACTTCAGGGTGCTGTCATTGTCCCGGGCCAAGCTGCGCTTTTGGAAAGAGATGGTAGCCACATAAAGGCAGGGACCGCCTTGGGTTGCTCGCACGGCGCGAGTGCAAAAGGTACGGCCATCAGCGGTGCGTTCGACGTGATAGTTGACCTTGCTCTTGGCCGTAACGGGGCGGAGGAAAGAGGACTGCGATGAGTAGACATCAAACTCCGGCTGCACAGTGGCGTAGGCTGCCGAGATGGCTTGGCTAAGAATAGAGCCACCAAAGGCAGCTTCTCCGACAGGCTGCCTAATCAAAGATCTACCTCAAGTCCAAGCTAACGTGAGCACTGCATGTGCGTAGCTGGATCAGGAAGATGAGGGAGCACTTACCCTTCGTTGGTGTAGATGTCAGGCTTCGATCCGGGTGCTGGAGTCACGGAAGTGAGCACACCCAAGAGAGAGTGCGTAGCCATGCTGTACACTGCTGCAGGGAGGTCCAATCACGCTGCTTTGTTCGAACAATAAATTCAGTTGAGCTTTGCTAACAACATTGCGGTTGACAGCGAGGCGGGCATGGGGAAACCGTGGCTCAGCGCTTATATGTATGTAGCCCGGCCGTTGGAACCAGCTAATCCTCGGATGCGCCGCCAGTCTTCCCCGCTTGAGCTCGGCCTTGGTACCCCAGGCCACGTACCTCTCTGTAGGCCAGTCAAACAAGACGCGGCACCACACTCCAAACGCCTTGTCCGCCTGTACCTGTGTCTCTCCGAAGTGAAAACTAGTGCTAAGTTAGTAGGATCGGCCATTATTATGATTCAAGGACACGCCTCCTGTATAGTCCCTCTGAAATAGGCGGCCGCTTAGGATTTTCAACCAACCAACTACCTCCCCAACACATCTGCCGGCCTCTACAAGACATGGCGGAAGGGAAAGGCCAGTCTGGCGATGGTTTGCCGTCGCAGATGATCGCAGACTCACCACCCCAGCCCCAAAAGCCATTTTCTTTCTACGTGTCGGTTTTCGGTCTCGCGCTTGTCGCTTTGATCACGTCCTGGGACGCAACTTCTCTGGCGATTGCCTTGCCCGTGAGTCTGCCTTTCAGATGCTTCGTGGCCTTGAGTAATTGCTTGTGAATTTGTCCTTGCTGACTGCCCACCAACTACCAGGTCATTGCAGAACAGCTGCACGGTACTACATTAGAGTCCTTATGGGCTAGCATCTCGTTCATCCTCGGGGTTGCCTTAACACAGCCTATCTACGTGAGCTTATCTGATGTCCTCGGCCGCAAGCCGCCGCTGTACTCTTCGGCAGTCCTGTTTGCCATCGGTGCCATTGTATTTGCCCTTGCGAACGACATGTCTGCCCTCATCGCAGGGCGCCTGATTCAGGGCCTGGGCGGAGGCGGGCTTTACGTGCTCCAGGATATCATCTTGGCGGATATAACAAGCCTCAAGGAGAGGCCACTCTACCTAGGCTTGATCTCACTGGCCATGGCCATGGGAACAATTTTGGGGCCTGTCATCGGTGCCGTTTTCAGTTCTTTCAATTGGAGATGGATTGGTTGGATCAATTTACCCATCATTGGCCTCGGCTTGCTCACCTTCGTATTCTTCCTCCATCTCCGCGCTATTTCGCAACCGTTAGCCGCTAGGCTCCGCCGGTTGGATCTGGCCGGCATGGCTTTATTTGGGTTTGGCGCCACCGCAACAGCACTACCTATCAGCTGGGCAGGAGCGTTATACTCCTGGTCTTCGTGGAGGACGATCGTCCCATTGACTATCGGATTAGTTGTTCTTGTACTGTTCGGTGTTTTTGAGCGAAGGGTACCTGCGGAACCGATACTACCCTTTCGCGTTCTATCCAACATCACGGCGAGCACTTCGTTAATTACCGGATTCATGCACGGATCAATCTTATACACGGCGTTACTGTATATCCCCCTCTATTTCCAGGCAATTCTACTCGAAACCCCCCTGGAGGCAGCCAAATCGACTCTCCCAATCTGTTGCCTTACAGTGGCCTTCAGCTTCATCGCCCCAGTTATTATAGAGCTTACGCGCCGGTATCGCGTATTGCTTTGGGTGGGATGGGTTATAATGACATTGTTCCTAGGCCTTTGGTGCCTGGTAGGCCCAAGTACTCCACGTGTTGAGGTTTATGTCTTTCAGGCTTTTCTCGGCGTCGGCCTGGGTACCGTGTTTACCGGATCACAGGTTCCTATGCAGGCCAGTGTGTCCCATGTTGACGACACTGGTCTCGCAGTTGGGACGCTCATCGTGGTGCGACTATTCGGCGCACTCATCGGCCTTTCGATCAGTTCGACGATTTTCAGCTCTGTATTCTCAAAATCGATTGCAGCCTTAGGGCGATTACCCGAACCCGTGAAGAAGCTTGAGGATTCAACCGAGGCGATTAACTTTATCCCTCTCCTCAGACTGGTGGATATTCCAGATAAATCAAGTATTATCGAGGCATATCGACAACCATTTCAAGCCATATGGATCATGATGACATGTTTTTCTGGTGTAGGACTAATGGCTTGTTTATTCATTAAAGAGCATACTTTGGAAAAAGAAGAAGTTGGGAGACAGGGTTTTGCTCGTGAACCAAGCCAGGGTGGAACTATAATACAAAGAAGCCTTCAGACCTGAGTGATCGCTTTCAAATTAGTTATACAGAGATTCGCCAATTAAACAGGAGTGGAATGATCCTGATTCATCGCCGCTCTTGACTAACCGGATCTCCCATCACCTTAGTCCGTGGATGAAATACTAACACTGGCCCATCGTGCACAGCGGACGCAACATCGTAGAGTTGATATTCGTTCTCCCTCTCTCGTCCTTCGCCCAGCCGACTGTTCCCGCCACCCAATTTCCCAAGCTCACCCGGAGCAACCTCAAAGTCGAAGTACCACAGAATACTCGCAAGCACCAAACTAGACTGCGCGTACGCCATGGCTTTCCCGGCGCAGCCACGTGTGCCGATAGAAAATGGGACGAAAGCATTATGCATGATCTGTTTTCGGGAGGCTGATATTCCCGTATCTTCAAGCCAACGCTCTGGTTGGAATGAGAACGGGTCGGGAAAGTAATCCTCATCATGGTGAATGGCGTAAGTGTTAACTCCTACCTGCACTCCTGAGGGTATCACGTGCCCGTCGATGACAAGAGGTGTGTTCTTGCTTTCTTCCGAAGTGGGAAGCTCTCGCCATAATGTTCCCGAGGCAGGTGGGGATATTCGAAGAGTTTCGTCGATTGTTGCCCGTAGAAACTTGCAGCCAGATAATTTAGGGCCAGTCTTTATGTCATTCCCAGATTCAAAGCTCGAGCGGATCTCGGAGGCTAGTTTTGCGTAGGCGTTTGGGTTTCTGGATAGATAGAACAAACTGGCGCATAGCAACCCCGATATAGTATCAGCGCCCGCGGGGAGAAAGAAGGCCGCCTCGGCCCAGATCTCGCTATCCTTTAGATACTCGCCGTTGGGGTTCATCTCATCGACAATAAGGGAATACAAGTCGTGCCGCACGTGTTTAGCTTCGGCCACACGCATCGCGATCATCTTCTCGATTGCGTTGTAGTATGCCATGACCTGGTCCGACGCAAAGAGCTCGAGAAACGAGAAGATCTTGGTCTTGTACAAAAAAGGGTACTGCAAAAATATATTACTGCGATGATTTCCCGCAGCTTGTGCGCTGATTAGTGAGCGGTAAGTGGGATCTGTCTGTGTTTTGAGATTGTTTCCGAAAGCAAGTAAGCCAACAATGTCAAAGGTGAGGCGCTTCACAAGCACTGTCAAATTTATGGGGGATCCATTTGATCCTGAAGCCGATGACAGCAATTGGAGGAATGTTTCGATCTGCTCTCTCATTACCGGCTCGAACTTTCGCATCGAGAGCTCCGAAATGGCCTGGCCAACAAGCTTGCGTTTGAAGCGATGAGCCGACTTGTCGATAACATTGAAGACGCCATAGACACCAGGAGTAGCGGCAGTATACATATAGGAGGATGACTTAGTCACTCTCTCATTGAGATATATATCTTTGGAGTATCAGCCCAATAAAGTAATAAGAAAGAGACTCAAATGAAGTCGCCATTACCTTGGACTGCCTTGAGCGAGCTGAACACAAGCTTGTTTGGCCCCAGCCGTAGTACAGGGCCTATGCGACGCGTTAGTTGCCAAACCGATGTAGACAACTAAGAAGGTTTACTTGCCATATTTCAGATGGTCTTGCCGTGTTCGGACGTGAAGGCTCATCGACAAAGCGTAGAAACCTGAGTAGGCATCGGATAGCTTTGCAAACAAAGGCCCGGGGTATCCTCTCAATGGATGCAATACTAATCGATAGCCGAATAGCAGTAATAGCTGCTCTAATAGTGAGACACAACGTGATTGGACCGTTACTGTCAGCTACTGCACTTACATAGGTAAAAACCGAGGCAGTGGTATATCTTACTACCACGAAAAAGAGGCCAAAGAGTCCCATTTTGATAGTCATGTGTCGCGTTCTGCTGAATGAGGCGGAGTATGTAACACTTAGGCTTATGTACCGATCGTGAACACTTTACTCTCTCGCGTAACGATGGGTAATCAGAGCACTAAAGATCGATACAATGTTCTGATGTGGATATCACTCTCGCCCTGCGACAGGCAAGGCTGCACTGTGAGGCGATGGGGCCATGCTGCGAAAGGCACGTGAAGGAAAGGTAGTATCGGTCCTGAGTCTGGCAATATTTTACGACTGGGACAAACATCAGCTGGAAGCTGTCCCCGGTAAGCCGCCGTCATCTCATATCACCCCATTTTTGGATAGATCTGCATCAAGTCATCAGGTTTCGCTTGCAAGCAGTGCAAGGGATCCTTCCTTTGTCCTCCGCCGCCCCCCCAATGGCGTTGATTGATAACATCGGCATCATGCACGACCGGAATTGCCCCGCAGCTGATGCTATGCGTCTGCCTCCCTATTGTAGGTATGTCCGTAATTTGCCGACGAGCAAGTGCGCTAAATCGTATGATAACGATCGCTTAAGTAGACCACCTTGCATCTTGGCATGCTTTTGAAGGCCGAACTTGGTTGCAACATGTCGCATGAATATGTGCGAGTCGTGTATGTTACAAAATATACTCTGTAGGCAAGATTACTACCCTTGCAGGTATGCAGCTTCATATTCTACACTGCGACATTTTACCCTTGTGTGCGAAGGTTCCTGCAGGATTTCATTTGCCACTAGCGGTCTTTCTTTGGACATGGAAGGGTGACATTGCATTCCTCATATATGAGGTAGCGCTAGACAGCGTAACCCAATCGTAAGTTCCCAAACCAGCATAAGATCTCTAAAGATAGGCCATGCGCCATCATGCATCCTGCAGAGCCTAGACAATGAGCGAGGAGATGGGTTTCACAACGTATGCGCACTGTATACACCCATCGCAGATTTCCTGCTTTTGGCGGGCCGTGCCGGCGGGGTACATCTCCCCACGCCATGCCTTGGGCATGGGCCAGTCTGAATAGTAAGTTGGACCGCTCAGGGTGCTACAATACCAGTATACCATGGGCTTGTGCCGTAGATGTCGTGAGCATTCAGCTATTTGAGTGTCAATGCTAAACTCGGTTTAAAGAGTTGTTGAGGTGATGGATGCCTCATCCAAGTATTTCTATGACGCGAGGCAGATGAAAGCACATACTTCTTCGTAAAGGCGCCTAGAGTACCAGACACAATTTTTTGCTTTTGACTCAAGGTACAAAGTATCAGTGTAGGTCATACAAAAAGGGCCCCCACTGGACGCCATCGTACGAAAGCACGCTGCTTATGAAAAAGAACATTTCACGAAATTCTATATTATATCTTTGCCAACGACAACCTTAATTGGTCCATGGGATACTGTACTCGTTTGCCTTGGAGGTGCTTGATCCGTCTCGATATTCCTCGGTGGTCTCGAACCGGGTAGTACGAAGGATACGCTCCGGGTGTGCGATTGGTTGGAGAGTATACTCGTGTGGCTGTATTCCTCCAGCCTTGTTGTGAGGCGCATCATGCATACTTATGACATTATCGCCGATTCTTTCATATCCTGTAAGTTCTGTCTCCGATGCAGTTCGTTTCGACGTATCGTGATTTCTTGATCGTCGAACAGACCATGATCTCCAAGAATCCAGGAGTCTGCTGTAGACCTTCGTCTCTCGGAGGACCTTGGGGAATGCGGGAACACAGAACACGAGCACCACGAAAGCTAGCTCTGTAGCACACCAAAACGCCATATCACATACCCAATATGTAGTATCTGTCGTCCGGCTGTACCTGATGGTTGCAACCAGACGGAGCGAGGCGGCAACGCAAACACTAAAGATGGTGACAACCCAATATTAGCCAATATTACCATTGAGCGAAAGTGGGAAGCCACCAATAACTCACAATAGACCGACCGCGAAGACCAGCGAAACCCCCACTTTAGTTTTCCACTGCATATTAAGCTTCCATATAACAGCGTGTGGAAGGATCAAAACCGCAACATGTGAAATGATGTTGAGGATAGCGTTGGAGACATCTAGATCTTTCCTGTTCATGCAGGTTCCCGGGATTGCCTTGTCCCAAATTCGCGCATACGGTTTACAAGTGAGATTTCCTACGATCAAGGCCGCGCAATAGAATATGATGTTTATCCACATCAGAGCCTGGCAAGCCCACTGATGAAAACCACACGAGTCAGTGTTCGGAGTCTCTTCAAAGGTATCGATATTATGTTGGATTGGATGGGCATAACTAGACTTAAGCTATTACTTACGAAGAAAGCACCACGCGCTCCTCGTGGAGAGAACGTCCGTATCCAGTCTGTAAGAATGGCGACTTTCAAGCAGCCCATAGATGCTGCATATACGCTCGAGGCAACGTTGACAGCCTGATGCCATATAAGTAGACAGCTTCAATGTCTTGAACCGGTGACGCCAGCACAAGGTGTCGGGTTGACTGGTGTGACGAGCCATTGTGTGCATGTCGAATAGAACTCACATAGTAGACCACGGGTAGATCCCCCACGCGTATGTCCCATTGGTGCACGTACATTCCAGTGGTTGTGGTCAACTGAAGACCTAACGAACAGAAAGCAACGAAAAGAGCCTTTCAAATGGTCAGCATGATGCAATACGTATGAGCAGGAGCTCTTTGGAGGCGTTATACATATCCGCTCAGGCCAAAATCTAGGCTTTTTCAGCACCAGACGCGGCAATCCGGAACCGATGGTCGGAATTTTGGACAATCAATCTTACAATCTTCTAACTGTATCTTCCGAGCAACGACAAACTTGCAATATACTCGTAACGCCACTGCTACTGTAGCCATCAACAAGTAAAATGCGAAGACACCATATATCATAGTATTTTGATTCGGCGGATCGTCTAAGTTCGACTCCAAGCCAGGCGGAGGGTCGAGAGCCGGGCGATTCAGATACGCCTCTCGCTGCTCCGGCGTAAGAGGCGCTAAGATCTGGTCGAGGTAATCAGTCGACATCTCGATGCATGAATAAAAGAAAATTGCCCATGAGGGCAGAGTGTCAACAAGAAGAGAAGTGTTCTTTGTCCGTTTTAGTTTCCCTACGGTCATGGACAGTGTGAAAATGCAGGGCGTCTTGAACACCTGGCACATGGGGTGGCACAAGATCCGCGGCAATCGACTGCGGATATGTGCTGTGTCTTGGCGAAGGATTTGGTGTGTTGCATGCATATTCTAATCATACCGCACTCTATGGCTTACTGGGGTACTTCTCGGGCTCGTCACTTTGGCTGGGTGGTACATGCAGTATGGTATATGTGGGGGTGGGGCAGTGTGTGTTCCTGAATTTGACGAACGTGTGGTCTTCAACGTAGTAGGGCACATCTGGAACGCCACGCGCCTATCTTATGCTATCTTACGTGATGCTAGTCGCAGATCCTTACGTACCGGGGAATATTCCGCTCTCAAGCAGTCCTTCAGAGAGCCGTTTCACGTCATTCCCTATTTTGAAGTTTCAAGTCTCGACAGTCCACCATGTATTCCGATACGATACTCAAGCAGTGGTGTGACGAGCACCGTTTAAGAGGTCCGTCTGTGAAGAATGAACCTGCATTCTATCAGAATCTCGAGCGAGCCCTAGATTCTCGTCGCCAGGCGCACAATTTGGTTTCTCTGAAGCCGCGATGGGACGAGACCGTAGCGGACTTCACCAGTGCGGATTTTCTCTCCCTCACGCGCACTGGCCGACTTCGCGAGGCCTTTCTGGCCGAGCTTGCTCTCCATCCTGATTTTGAACTGGGCGCGTCAGGATCTCGGGCCCAATATGGCAATTATACTTACATCAACCAGGTGGAGCAAGAAATTGCAGATTTCCATGGCGCCGAAACGGCATTTATCACCCCTTCGACCTACGCAGCCAACCTGGGCGTCCTATCCAGCGTTCCGCTGCCGGGGGATGCAATCGTATACGATGAGCTGATACACGCAAGCAGTCACGAAGGCTTCCGCCTTAGCCTAGCAGAGCAGACCGTGCCATTCAGCCATAATGACCCGGAGGGGCTGCGTGAGGTTCTGGTGCGGCTTAAGAAGGAACAGCCGGCCTTCGAGGCGGGATCGAGATCTGTGTTGATATGTGTTGAGTCCATTTACAGTATGGATGGTGACATCTGCCAGCTCCAAGACCTTGTTCGAACAGCGGAGGAGGAATTTCCTCTTGGAAACGCGCAGTTCATTATGGACGAAGCTCACAGCATCGGAGTAATTGGTGACAAAGGCAGGGGCTTGGTATCTATGCTCGGCCTGGAAAAGTCAATAGCCATTAGAATTCATGCGGTAAGCAAGGCCATAGGTGCGCTCGGAGGTAAGCCTTTCATCATCACCGCCATCGATTACGGACCAAGCAATCATACAGGCTAACTGACTGCTGCCCGCTCGCAAGGCGTAATAATGGGCAACAAAACTGTGAGGGCCATGATAGTGAACAACGCACGTTCTTTGACCTACAGCTGTGCACCTTCATTCCCAATGGTGGCTTCTATTCGCGCTGGCTATCGGCTACTGATTAGCGGAGAAACACAGCAGGTAAGATTTCTTGTAATCAAGTTGCCTGGCTCTGAGTCTTACACGTTTTCCACTTTTTCAAGCCACAAGAAAGAATACAGCAGAACGTGAAGCATTTGCTCGAGCTGCTCACGTCAGATCCCATTATCGACGACGCCAGAGATGAGGGAATACTGTGGATACCACACATCGAAGATTGGGAGCAGCGCGATGTGCAGACTCATATCGTGCCCTTGTGCACGCGATCTCGCCACGAGCTGTTCCTGTTTTTTCACTTGTTGACGAATAACTTTAATGCCTATCCCTTCTCGTTCCCCGTTGTGCCTAAAGGCCAAAGCCGAGTGAGACTGGTAATTCACGCGCATAATACGGTCGAGCAAATTGAGAAGCTAGCTTCCGTGATAAGCGACTGGGCCGCCGAGATGCTAGACATAGAAAACGGCGAGTCAGACAAGCAGCTTCCTGATGCGGCTCGTCAACTTTACGCAATGCAGGATGCTCTGACGGTCTGATGCATAACCTCTCTCTCTTCTGGTCTAATGATCTGCATCTGCAATGGAAGTCAGGGAAGAGGACTTGAACGCAGTTTAGGCGAACATTTTCTCATGCATCTAGGCTGAGGCGCGCAGGTTCAAACAATACATATAGCCTGGTGTTTCCCTGTACATGTATCGCAGCGTTTAGCGAACGTTAAAAAATAAACGTTTCAAAGTAAAACAGGGCTATAGGCTGTTTCACAACGTTACGGGTCGAATGTTTACTAAGCGGCGCTTGGTGGGAGCATACACCATGCACCACCTCATCTTCCAGAGCGGCCAAGCGGTGAACCTCCAGTTCGGCAACATCAGCGGCGCGAGTCTCGGTCTTTTTTTTATTTTTTTCTTCTTGTTTGGGCCTGCCAGACCTTTCCACTCCTTCTCGAACTCGAGGTGCTTCTTCATGGCGGCCTGCCAGCTAGGTGCCGGCGAATAACTAGCGAGGTCGATGGGGCGGAATCCTTAAGAACGCCGAGGCTCAGAATTCACTGGTTTGAGTGATTAAATTATATGACTGACATAAGGGTAGAACTGCTACAAAATTTTCCTTCTTTTCAAGTATCTGGCGTATACCTCAGTTTCCCAAGAGGCCTAATTTCCAGTGGTTGCACTGTTATAGGTAGCAGTGTTCTTCATAAGCGTGAAGAGCGATGTCGGCCCAGTAAATCCGAGTCGCCGTCAACATGATATTTTGTGTGTAAAGATGAAGAGCCGGAACCTATATCTTGGTGTGTTTGGCTAGGAAGCGAGAGCTGCGAACGGAAGTGCGACTTATTACTCTCCAACTCTCAATGGGAGTAGGCAAATACAGTGCAAAGAGATCTGTGCTGTCCGCCAGCCCGCCAGGGCTGCTGCCACGCTCCTGTGGGGCTGCCAGCCGGCCGCGCCGCCCCAGTGTTACCTTTCGCAAATGCTGAACGAGATGAAAATAAACCGGCAGACCAGACGGATTGCATTGGAACGGAATCATCAATGTGCCGCAACAGTCCTTGTAGGAATATCTTCCAAGCTGCGTCTTACTCCTAGGCCACGTTCGTCTCTTCGCAAATCGCTGTGAAATCCAGCCATCCCGACGTTGGACCTTCAACTCCTTTGCAGCCAGCAGTTGCCAAGGCTTTGAAGACTGCAGAGGCCATGACCTCTAGGAGGCCACCGGCGAGAACTCGGCGAACCCTGCGAGGTGTTCCGAGCGACGACGTGTCTGGAGACCTATCAGCTATCAGGACTTACCTAGAAAACAGACAAGGGCTCGACCAGCAGCAAAACGCATCCCTGGAGGTTTTGGACAGAAAATTCAGTGCTTTCAGCGAGATTGTGAGCTCAAATCATGATGACCTCAGAGACGATCACATATTGTTACACGACACCATAGACCTCAGTGTCTCCAAGTTGCGTCGAGAGCTGCGGTCATGTCACAGAGAGATAGATTCTCTACGCAGGCTCCTGGGCAGCAATGGGCCACCCAGGTTTCCGTTGTTCATTAAGCTGCCCACCGAAATAAGGGCCAGTGAGTCCGCTATGTGGCCAGATGCCTGCTCTTTTGATTGCTAATTGTGACTCTGCAGTGATCTGGGATTATGCCTCGCCCCGGAGAGTAGTAACGGTCGAGGAAGTCGAGTCTGGCGGGGACGATGGTGCAGAACAGTGGTCAACCTACCTTTTCAAACCTCGTCGCTCACCCCCTGCCGTTGCTCACGTTTGCCAGGAGTCACGAGCAATAGTCTGCAGGGCTGCTAGGATCTTTCCAATTAGGAACTCGTTGGCACCATTGCTGCACCGTCTTGGCGCTCCCGACTTGAGCTTTGAGACCGCGTATCCTGAGACCCAGTGGAGTTGGTTCGATTCTTCCAGGGACACTCTACATTTGAAGATGAAGCTCCGTGGTTTCCGTTCACCGATCAACATGAAGGAGATTCTCCGAGCCGCAGAATCCATCGCAATCGATTCACCCAGATACACTGATTCGCGGTTTCTAAGGCATCTGTTTAATCCACTCGTGACACCTAACTTGGCGTCAGTAGATTTGGTTGATAGAGTAATGACTCTCCCGGAGAACAGTGATCCATATATTGAGAGCCACCTCTTTGGAACAGACAGGACTGGTCCGATTGCAGTCAACAACGATCACCCGCAAGCTCTGACGAGCTTCTTATACCGCCTCTCAAAAACAAGGAACAACTTCGCAGAGAACTTGCACAAATTTAGGTCGCCTAACTCTGGGCCTGAGCCCACGGATGTCGCTGAACGTGAGGCTCACTGGGGGAATGTATGCCTTGCCATGTCCGAGACCTGGCACGAAGTGCGTCATCGTTCCCTTACCGAGCGAAGCGAGGCTGACCGTGAGGCAATTCCTGTATCCGAGGAGACGTTTGAAATGAGCTCAAGCTCAGTAAACCGAGAAACACCTCGCTTTCAGAGAGTATGCTTATTCCGTCTAGGTAAATGGGATGAGGCGTTCCGGGCATTCCCACAAGGCCCGGCCGATAATTTCATAACATAATACGAGAGGGATTCAGAGTCAGAGCCAGCGCCAGCGTGAATGTGTAACAGCATTACTTACCCGAGGGGAGTATATTTTTTATTTACAGGTTACTCTCTATCCGATAATCAACCGGAAGCCGCAACTTGCTGGGTATGTCGCTTCGAGAACACATGCTGAAGGAGCACAGAATGGCACTCATTCCTGCATCTTGACCTCTGCTCGAGCCCTAGCAACAATTTCGATCCAAGACCCAATCCACGCTGGAGAGTTCGCCAACCAGAGACACTAAGTGCATTATCTTTGGAGCTTGCCCCTTGAAATATGTTTTCCCGATACGCTGTATCGAGAGCAACTTGAGACAAAGTCCCAGCAGCGAGGAGCTCCCTCTCATTTTTTCCTTTGAAGTTCTACAAGCATGGCTTCACATATTATTGCGTACCCTAATGTAATATCAAAACAAACGCGTGGCAGGTATTCAGATCCTATCTATCCCCATGTGCACTTTGCTCTGTCAGACATCCCAACCGCACCCAGGTTTATAAGGACCGCCGAGCCCAGGCCGACATCATCTCACCGTGGCATATAGCCTAGCATGATAAGGACGGCCACCTAGCCGGTCCTCTCAAGTTCCCTCTTCATGGCATAGTAGTGGCGCCGGAGCGTCTCGACCACGTCGTGCGGCACGTCGCGGCGCTCGACGAACAGGCCGTTGGGCGCGAGCACGGGCAGCGCGGAGGCGTCGGCGGCCATGCCGCGCAGGCGCTTGGAGCGGCGGACGCCCGTGGGCGGGACGACGGTGTCGCGGCGCACGCGGGCGAGGATCTCGTCTTGCCGGCGGTTCTCGGCGTCCGTGTCGTGGCCGGCGGCGCGGCGGTCGGCCTCGGCGTAGGCCGCCCGCCGCATGCGCGTCTCGGTGCGCAGGAACTGCCGGTACCGCCGCTCCACCGTGTGCTCCGTCACGGCCTCGCCGTCGCGCGCGTCCGTCTCGCCCCGCAGCTCCTGCACCATGGCCCGTCCCAGCCGCGCGATGCGCTTGATGATGTGGATCCGCTGCCGGCGCGTCAGGAAGCACAGGTTGGTGCGGTTGATCTCGTGCCGGTAGACGGCTTGGGTCTCGGTGATGCGAGCCCGGAGGTCCCGGATGCACCAGGCGCTACATCTGGGATTCGCGCTCTTGTTGCTCGCCATTTTCTGCACTAAGTTTTCGGCTCTGTCTGGAGTGTATTGAGAACTGGGGGCAGATATCTGTGCAAGTTGGCAGAGCTTCACGCACTTTAGCTGTAGGCCATCTTGAGCAGGCTCTTGTAGCCTGGTGGTGCCTTTTATCTGGTAACAATGACCATCGTGGGTGTCTTTGTCCGACTTCCTGTTACATTGCCTTTGCTCTTTCGGAGGTTGAAGAGGGTGTTCTCACCGGAGCGCTTTGAGTACATCATAGCCCTTGTTCCATTGCTCTTTCTGGTTCACTTTGTCCAAGACGAGGTAATGGCATTCGTCAACCCTAGAAACTTGGATAGGGTCTGAGGGTTTTCATCATCGAACCGCAAGGTCCAGCAAGCATTGGCTGCTTACGTGGACGTTTGTTATTAAACGAGGTATACAAGCATCTGATACGATTACATACGTCGGCGACGACTTGCTAATTTGGGTTCTTCAATTTCGTGAACTCGAATGCATTCTTCCTTTATACACATAGTAACATATGGACGCCTAAGGTACAAGTCCAGACTCCAGCAGCTAAAACTGGGTGGATTAGCTTATGACACTTCCTCTTCTCTCCAAAAACCCCTTGCTTCTCCCGCACGTATGGAACGACGATGGTGATGGCCACCATCCATACCACGTATCTGGCATTAGTCTACTTGATACATCACTTGCGGACAGCCCCCTACTCTTTTTTCCCACATTCCCAGCCGTTTAGTAGGTACGCTTGAAGGGAGGAACAGCTGCGCACTCCTTCTCATCCAGAGTCGTGCCAATGACACGTCTGTAGCCCAGCTCGATGTTGCCTTGGGGCTTCTTCTGGAAAGTCAGAGTGTGCTTCATCCAGTTCTCGTCATCTCTGTCGGGATAGTCCTCGCGGGCGTGAGCACCACGAGACTCCTTTCGGTTGGCGGCAGCGATGGTGGTTTGGGTACTAATACAAATCAGCGACAAGATCCCAATAGTAAAGATCACGAATACTCACGCGCAAGTCAGCAGATTCCTCAGCTCGAGGGTCTCGACGAGATCCGAGTTCCAGATCATGCTGCGATCCTTGATACCAACCTGGGGGAACATCTGGTCGACCTCGGTAATCTTCTTGACACCCTCATCCAAAGATTCCTGAGTTCTGAACACGCTGACATCAGTCTGCATAGTCTTCTGCATGGCAAGTCTGATCTCGGCGGTGCTCTTGGGGCCATCCGAGTTGCGAACCTGGTCCAGAACCTCGATGGACTCGGCACCGGCGTCGGCAGCGATAGGCTTGGGCTTCTGACCCGGGGTGAAGTTGTCACGGATGGTGTGAGAAACAGCACGGCCGAAGACAACCAGATCCAGAAGAGAGTTGGCACCAAGACGGTTAGCACCGTGGACGGAGACACAGGCAGCTTCACCACAAGCAAAGAGACCAGGGACGACCTTGTCGTTACCAGCCTCGTCAACAGTGAGGACCTCACCGGTGTACCTGGTAGGGATACCACCCATGTTGTAGTGGACAGTGGGCAACACGGGGATGGGCTGCTTTCGGACGTCGACGCCGGCGAAAATGGCAGCAGTCTCCGAGATACCAGGCAGACGCTCGGCCAGGATCTCGGCGGGCAGATGGCTCAGCTGCAGGTAGACGTGGTCCTTCTCGGGGCCGACACCGCGGCCCTCGCGGATCTCCATGGTCATGGATCGAGAGACGACATCACGCGAGGCAAGATCCTTGGCAGTCGGGGCGTAACGCTCCATGAATCGCTCGCCCTCCGAGTTGAGCAGGTAGCCACCCTCACCACGGGATCCCTCGGTGATCAGGCAACCAGCTCCGTAGATACCAGTGGGGTGGAACTGGACGAACTCCAGATCCTGGTTGGGGAGACCGGCACGGGCGACCATGGCCATACCATCACCAGTACAGGTGTGTGCAGACGTGCAGCTGAAGTAGGCACGGCCGTAACCACCGGTGGCCAGGACGGTGTTCTGGGCGAGGAATCTGTGCAGAGTACCGTCCTCCTGGTTGTAGGCGAGGACACCGCGGCACTCACCATCCTGCATGATCAGGTCGAGGGCGAAGAACTCGATGAAGTAGTTGGTGCTGTGGCGGAGAGATTGACCGTAGAGAGTGTGGAGAAGAGCGTGGCCGGTACGGTCGGCGGCAGCGCAGCATCGGTATGCCTGGCCACCCTTTCCGTACTTCTGAGACTGACCACCGAAAGCACGCTGGTAACTGCGGACACGGGTCAGTAGCCGCAACGGTTGCTGGGCACCGCGAGTGACTTACATCTTGCCGTCCTCCGTTCTCGAGAAGGGGCAGCCGTAGTTTTCTAACTCGATGATGGACGCGGGGGCCTCTCGGGTCATGTAGTGAATAGCGTCCTGGTCACCCAACCAATCCGAACCCTTGACGGTATCGTACATGTGCCATCTCCAGTCGTCCTCGTGCATGTTTCCGAGCGCGGCGTTGATACCGCCCTGGGCGGCGACGGTGTGACTCCGGGTAGGGAAAAGCTTGGATATGCAGGCAGTGTTGAAGCCGGCCTCAGCAAGACCGAAGGCAGCTCGCAGACCGGCACCGCCGGCACCGACGACGATGGCATCGTACTCGTGGTCCTGCGACGGAGTATGTCAGTGGGCCAATGCGGCTATATGGACGACGAGATGGGACATGGCAGAACGTACGATGACGGGGTATTTGCTGCTAACGTGTGCCGAAGCCTCCTTGGCCCGTAGCGGCTGGTTGGCGAAGATGCGAGCTGTAAACACGTGCGGTTAGACGACGGGTCCGGGTCGGCAGCGGGCGAGAGCTGGAGATGGATGGATGCGGAGAGGCGAGGGAGACGTACAAACCGGGCGCGTCGAAGAAAACGTCCGCGCCTGACATCTTGCTGCGCGCGAGAACTGTGCGTTCGAGAATGGTCAGCCAGGGCGTCGACCGTCGACCGTGGAACGTGAGGCCAGCCAGGAGAGCCGAGGCAGCGCGAAAGACCTCACCGAGCTGGCACGCAGATCGGCTCGGGGGGAGAATGGGGAATGGGGGATGCACTTACGGCTGAGCCCGAGGCCAGTCTCCTCAGAGCCATTGAGGAAGCCATTGTGGAAGCACCGGGGGCGGACAGCACGGAGAGGGAGACGGAGACAAAGGGATGAGGGGAGATGGGGTGCGCGGTGGTGGTTTTCGAGGCTCTTGTCCTGCAAGTTCAAGCCGGGGATGGCGACGGCGATGGGATTTGGGCTTGGGCGTTCGGGGGCCTCTGCTGCGAAAAGAAGTGTATGATGCTCTCGAATTGGGCGACCGCCTGGATTAATTCCGATGGGCGGCGCCGGCCAATCAGAGGCCTGCTGATTATTCTAGCTCTGGTGAATTAGCCGAGACTTGGGGGGGCCTGGGGGCACTTGGAGCCGGCTACCGCTCGACCACGCTCCAGCATCCTGCCACGCCGAGCGAGGGAAGAAAACGGCGCTACAGAGTTGCCGACACGTGATGAATGCCGTGGTATAACCTTTTCTTTCGTCCTCTCTTTCCATCCTTGGACACCCTCGGCGCCTCAATCTGCTACTATGAACATGAGCCACATCCAATTCCCTAGACGCATAGTTTGCCGCATCTCTGCAAGCATACTATGATGGCTCTGTCGTTGACGCTTACAACCCGACACCAAAGCCTTCTCTGGGCTTGAGTGGGCTTGAGTGGGCCTCCTCGGTTCGGGCAAACCCGGCTTTCGTCCTCAAGTCGGCTGGCGTCACACTACCAATTGACTATTCTGCTTCTCTAACTTGGAACGAGTATACCCAACAGAGCACAACTCGATGCAAGCTAGCCCGTTGTGCGGCTTGCTCAAGTACTTGGCCAATCAGCCAGCTATAGGCACCTCTTTGCTCAATATCAGGGCCTGCTCGAAGCATCCTTACGCCAAAGAAAAATCCCCGTGCTGTATTATTGACCTTAATCCGCTGTATCTACCAGAGAAAACCTCAAACTACCAGTCAATGCCCACGAAGTATGCATGCATGCAGTCCACCGTCTATCGCCCCCCTGATTTTGACCCCAAAGTCTATGCTCACCGGTCTGTATGCCACGTTTCCCACGCCTGGGTTCCGGAATCCCGCCATCCCTACCCTCAGTATGCTATGCGTCTTGGTCTCTAGTCCGCCAGAACCTGGCGCAGCATCTCTAGAAAGTTGTCCTTCAAGTGGTGGACCTCGCTTACGGCCGGCTTGGTCGGCTCGCCCGCGCTCCGTCTCAGCCGGTCTTGACGCTTGGCCCTCCTACGCCTCTCTGCCTCGATGGGGTCCATCTCGTCTTCTATCTCCTCGTCGGCTTCCTCTTCCGAGTCGTCTTCGTAGGCCATATCTTCCAGGTCCATCTCGTTGAGTCCAAAATCGCTGCCTTTCAGGTGAACCCCTGGCAGTGGCGCATCCACGCTCGCGTTGCCCTCTGCCGCCATCTTTTGTCTCGTCTTATCGTGATGCCATTTCTTGCGTGCTTCTTGCCATGATATGAGCTGATTGATCTCGTCTATAGCCTTTTCTTTGTCCACAACGCCAGATGCAACACCACCTTCGAACAGTGCATTGACGTCCAGGGCTCCACCGGCAGGACCGTGCCGCAAGAACTCCAGGATTCCCTCTATCCAGCCCATCAGCTGTGTGAAGAGCCCATTGTCGTGAGTGTGGACTTCGTGCACGAATTTGTAGAAGTTGTGTTCATGACGCGCGCAGAGATCGATAAATGCTTGCACAGTCTGGTTGGGATCTGCCGAAGCGTCCTCCTCTCTGCACTTCTCAACCACCTATTAGATCATTAGCCAGAGAACTTTTTTCGCAGCTCTGAGAAGACATCTATCCGGCTAACTTACCTGAATCATATCATCAATGAAGACTGAAAAGTCCGTGATACTGTTGTAGACATTGGCAGATTTATACACGCGAACGAGCGGTTCGTAGAAGATGGTGAAGAGGTCCTTGAGGAGCTTCAGGGTGACCGGTTCTTCTATCATCTGCAACATCATCTGCTTGTCGCGCTGTCTGATCAGGAGCTTCAGCATCTGCTTGAGGTATGAGAAGAGCTGGGCTCCCTGCTTGAACTCTTCGTCGACATTTTCCACCGCGTTGTTGAAGGCGACGTAGGCATTGTACAGTCGCTGGATTTGCGAAGACACGAGAGGCGGCTCGATCAACGGAGAACGCAGTATAGCAACAATAATGTCGACGTCGTCAGCGATTGCCTCTTCCCTTATGGCTACTTTGACAGGCTCGTCCGAGTCGATGAATTGCTTCATCTTGTCCACAAACACATCGTCGCCGATCTTGACAGACACAGCATCGATATTCTTCTGGAATGTACGGATGCCGTCGTTGAGCGCAGCTGAGAAGATCCGTTGCATCAAAGAACGAGACCCGAATGGCTGCGCCAAGAAAAGGTCGAGGACACTAGCCATGACAGCCGCGGGGTTCGCCAGTCGTATCGCGTTCTTCAACAAGGTATACGGTATCAGCGAGTGTATCCTTTTGGCCTGGGCGAACAGTTCGGGTGAATTGTCCTCAGCAAGGAAGAGGTGATAAACAGTGGCGGCCACCTCGATCCGCAGCCATTCAGCGAACTTTTGGTATTGCACACTGAGATCCTGGATGGTCTCCTTCTCCTTGATTTCCTGGAAGAGTTTGGTCAGTCCGTTCGACTCGACGATATCCTGACGGAACTGTTCCATGTAGACGTCAAGCTCCGCGGCTCGTTTCCTGGCAATCTCATAGAATTGCTTCTGCTCCTCTATACGCCTTTCGTCAACGGCTTGACGACGCGCTATGTCCTCAACATCCTCATCGGTGGGCGTTATGGGATCATTGGTGAGAAATTCATGCATGGCCTTGGTCTGCGCAATTTGTGAGTTGTGCAGGAGGTACCGCAGGAATGCTCTGAGTGATATCCGCTGGTTCTCGCGCCAGAGGATGGCAGTCTGGTTGGTGTGAGCACTAATTTGGGAGAATCGACTTGCGCATGGGAAGTACTCACCTCTGGCTGCGGGCTACCTGGGACGGGGCTCTTCGGCCCATCCGTGCTCGGGCGTGGAGATGCGTTCCTGGAAGACGTCGATATGTTTCGACGGTGGTCTCGCACTGTCAAGTTCTTCATAGAGTCCCTGAGCCCGCCAGGTTCAACGGGAGGCATAGTCGAGATGCTGGAAACCGATGACGCATCGGAATCATTTCCTTCGCCTGTCACCCTTCCCAGCAGCCCGGTCGCTGAGCTATTCGACTTGTTCTTCTTGGGCAGCGGAGGCAGAACCTTGCCGGGAAGTTCTATGCGCAACTGCCGATGTAAGCGGGCAAAGTCTCCATACCGACGCCCAACGAAGTACTCGAGCTCCCCTTTTCTCTTGACACGCAATAAAAATTCCTGGTTGAAGTAAGTTTCACGCTCCAATAATCAAATCTTCGTCTACGCTTACCGCATGCTTATGCGTCCGTATCCTCTTCTTGACGGCCGATATCCTCACACCGGCGACGTTGACATCCCAGCCATTCATGTAATGACCCTGGGGTAGGGTATTGAGCACACCGGTATCGATGGCGTTGGCATCGACGATCTCCATCTCGGCAAATCTTATACGCTCTTCGAACCCGGAGGCGGTGGGGACGCCAGAGACCATCATCAGCTCGACCAGCTTCCGACATTTTACAGCCAGTTTCCGCCGCTTGGTCTCTTCTAAACGGTCTTCGGAGGAGGATATGTTCTTGCTGGCGAACGATTCGAGAAACTAGCAGGGCGAGGGGGGCCAGTTAGCATGCATCTCCTCCGGTGAATGAGAGCGACATACCACTTGAAGCTTGTCCTGCCAAAACTCCTTCTCCTTTGCCTTGTCCAGGAACGGGAACTCGCGAACATGATGCACGAAGATGAACCGTAGGATCGGCAGTTCCGAGTCGAGGGGGGAGACCTCCCCAAATTCGGACTTGAAGGGGGCACCGAACCTGCGCAGGGCGGTGGGAGAGTTGAGCTCCGAGATCTCCCAGTTGACCTGCTCCGCTACGAGCTCTCGCTTGAGGTCTGGAGTTGCACAGAGGTCAGATTAGCAGCGGCTCACAGGCGCAGCGGGCACGGCTGGCCGATTTCCCCCGGGCGGTACTGACAATGTTCTTGTTTCCCGGTCAGCGTCTGGCCCGGCGGCGGTATGGACTGGTTGCTCTTGGTCCGCGCAGGGCCCGCGGCGGGAGGCGCATCGTGCGTCTGGTTCGCGGGCGTCGAGGAGGCCATTTGTGCAAGAGAGGCGCGAATCCTGGCTTTGCTCTGTCTGTCCGTGGAACGAGCACAGAGACAAGGCAGAGGGAATGCAGACGGCCAGGAGGCGGGCGTGGGATGGGTGACGTTTCCAAGGGAAGCTTATTATTACCTAACGTCAGGTCGGTATTAGTTTGGGGTGGGAGGGCAGTGTAATGCTAAGGTACCTAGGCAGATAGTGATGTGCTGTAGATTGGCGGGGTTCTACCCGTTCCTATCCAATGCGGGCGAGCACCTTGAGTTAAGATAGCTCTACTTGGAGGCACTAAGCACTGCGCTGCAGCTACCTTTGAGTCACTAAGGCAACTCGCGCGCAATGCGATAAGTTGCCGGCAGTCGATGCAGAAAACAACGGCGATGGCCAGAGTATATCGAATGTCGGCCGTCTCTCTGCTTCTTCTTTTGGAGATACAAGCCAAGCTAGCAACTATCTGCAGGTAAAGCTCAATGGCAATCTGGCCAGAGGAGACAGGAATGAGACGGGGCTTTGGAGGATCCAGTGCTGGAGGCGGTTATGCCGTCCACCCGTGGGCCACGGCACTCGACGCTCACGCGCTGCTGCTAAGCCAGGATGACCTACGAATGTCTGGGCTAGCGTCGTGATGACAAGCAAGGAAACCGTGTGCCGCGATGCCGGGTTGGCCCAAGTCAGCTTTTTTTTGGGCCGCTGCAGGAGCAATCCGTGCCATATGCCGTGGATCTTACTATGTATGCGCCCAGCGCTCCAGCGCACAATGGTTCGCAGTCGTTCGTCCTGGCCTGCCACAGGCCTGCTTGTCGCTCCAGTAACGCCACTGCGGCTAATGATGACGACGATCTACGGATAGTGTTGTTGATTTGGAGGGCACCTGGTTCACTTGATGGAGGGGCAGCTGAACCACAGGCATGACGTCGCAGCTGAAACGAACACTGGGAACTTGTTCCCATAGCTGCAATCCATGCCAAGATCTAGCAAGGCTGTGCGCGGGTGTCCAATTTTCCTCTCCAGTTTCAACACAGCTGGGCTGTGGAGTGCCATACATGATCAAGAGGCAACTGAATCATCTATCCCGGGGTCTTCAATAGTTGACCATATTGAGAGGTCGATGTAAGCAGCCGGGAACCCAAGTCTGCAAGGATATGGAATGTCAGGCCGTGCCCTCAGCAGAACTTTGATGAATATACCTCATTTGGCAGCCACCAATCCGCTTGTCAGCCTCGTCCTTGGAAATTAGCAATATGAAGGAGACACCCGAAGAGTACGAGCGCCAAAGAAACATTAAAGCATCATTAGCAAACCCGGGCTGAATTATCTTGTTGACTGTTTTCATAAAAAAGGGGAATATCATAATCTACGATCTTATAACGCCTGGGTATAATGCTCTCTATCGCCATATGCAACTGTGAAATACACAAAGTCATCTGGACCGATGGCCCCGCGTCAGACCATGACGCTTCATAACTCGTCAAAGGCACGCAGTACCTGCTCGTCGACAGAGGGGCCATCGCCTCTCGTCCGGTTCAGGGCCGCCCGGACGTCCTCGCCCAGGTGCTCGGACAGTCTGCTGCTGTTCGCAGCCCCAGCTTCCTCGAGTTGGCTGCTGTTGTTGCTCGACATCATCTCGCTGAGCTTGCCCCCCAAGGTCCCGACTTCGTCTGGTGCGTACTGAGAACCCAGGAGAATCGCGATGACGACCAGGGCCAGGACGGAGGTAATGATCCAGAGCGTCTTGAGCCGCCTGCGGGTCTTCTCCTGCCACTCCCTGTCTGCTCTTTCCCAGCCTTCGACACGGCCCCGGACGATGTCGACTCGGTCGCTGAGTTTTTGTGCCTTCTGTCGCCCGACATGGATCCTTTCTTGTAGCGACTCAATACGCTTCTGTTGCTCGTCAAACTGGCCGAGGCCATCCAGCTGTGTTTCGATCTCAGTGACTAGACCGCGGGAATCGACCTTGAAGATTTCGTTCGTCTCTTGTGACATGGCTGCCACCTCCTTGATGCCCACGATCGTGTTCTGTAGCATGCTGAGCCTCTCGAGAACGGCGTAATATGCGTCGTCTAACCGTCTTGTCGTCGACAGCGAGAACTCGCTCAAGCCCGTAAGCGATTTCTTGAGACCACTGGGAGTCTGCATTAGTTCACAAATGACGGATTAGGTGGGCAGGGCTGCATACGCAGTCCTCGAAGCAGCCTTTTCCCTTCTCCTCTGGGCCTGCATCTCTGTGTTCATGTGCGCGGCATCTGGGGCGTTCGCACCGATCTCCTCGGCGCCAGGGGGGAGCGCACTCGCCCGACGGCTCTGTTCGGCGCTGCTGACCAGGTAGGGGGTTACCCCTTCGGAGCGCGGGAGATCGAGAGAGCCTCGCATCGGTAATTGCAGTGCTGGGACGGCAGATTGAGGCAGTCGGTCAGCGGTGCGATCCTGGTGTCGGCGTTGGGGCAGTAGGTTGTGGTGACGGTGCAGCCTCGGCGCTGAGGTCTCGGTCACAGAACGGCTCATCCGATGTCGAGGTCGCAGCGGATGAGCCGGCCTCGACGTGTCGGCGCCATGGTTAGACATTATTCATGCAAATGCTGCTAAGAACCGCTGGAACACGGTACAGAACTTTGGTGGCTAAAGCCGGGAACATGGCAATACTGGACAGTACCCAGCGCCCCGGGCGCGCGAGCTCCCCACTCTGTCGAGGCTAAGGTTGGCTTGCCGGCAGTGACGCCCCACTGTCTCCTGGGCCCGTGTCCCGGATGTGACATGTGAAGCTTCAAAGCCAACGCAACCGTCCGAGATTCAAACGACTCCAAAGGACGACTTGAACAATGAAACACGCTTCATCCATCTACGGCAATGTACTTATTTGAGGAACAGGAAACACTTGCGAGGTGCACAAAGCATTATATTGGGTAGGACACAGGTTGCGTCGATCTGCCTAGCTGCCATCATCTCAGTTTACAACAGGTCCGCCTCTACAGGGATATCTCTTTGATGATGGATGGATGAAGATCATGGGAGAAACTCTCTGATCTATCTGTGCACGAATGGCACGCTGGCTCGGGTGGAAGATGAATGTCCAAGCCTTCAAGGGGCAAGCAGTGCCCAGACCCCCATATCAGGGGGGCCTCTCGACTACCACGTCCAGCGTTCACGGGCTGGGGGTGTCGGCCGACTTCTTCTTGGCGGCAATGAGCGTCCAAGATGTGATATCCAGCCGAAGATATCACGGGCGTGACTGAGAGCCAAGGGTGTTCCTGCGTGGCCGCTACCCCACGATCGCTACAGCTTGGTAGGTAGCTCATCAATTCCCCAGTGTCCCGCAGCCTCTCGCCAGTACTTCTCGCCATCTCGTAAACATTGCAAGACCGCCATGTAGCCGATCAGGAGTTGATGAGCTTGTTACGCTTCTCTTTCCTCTTCAGTCGCTCGACTCGCTTCTTGTGCATCTTCTCGGCCATCTTCTCGTATCTCTCTCGCTCTTCCTTGGCAGCCCGCTTGTCCTTGATGGCCTGAACACGTCTCTGCATTAAATGTTAGCCGGTGTGCAAGCATGACTGCGTCCCCATGTAGGCGTGTCTAACCTGTCGCTCTGCTTCCTTCTCATCCTTCATCTCCTTCTCCTTGGCCTTCATGGCCGCCTTGGCGATGCGTTCTTCTGCCCGCCGCTCATACGACTGGAGACCAGAGCCGGGGCGGAACGCCTTCTTTGGTGCAATCCATTGCTTGCCTGTACGCATCATTAGCTGCTCCGTTCGTGGACGTCGAGGCTGAGCTGATGCCATACCATTTCGGCGCATGCCTACAGGCTGCGGCGCCTTCTTCGTCGATGCCTCAATCGTGGTAGACATGATCGCAGGGGCTCTCGCAAAGAATGCCGACGACCTAGCCTCGTGTATGCGGATCAGCGCGATAGGTTGTTTTACTGAGTGGTGTCGTCTCGGCGGCGGCTCTGATCAATCAATGTCGGGGCTATTCGGCGTATCTGCCTCTACAACTTTCTCAACGGACGGAGAAAAAAAATTTAGGCAAAGCAATTATGGAGTCCGTGCTTTCAGGGTCCTTAATTGCTCCACATCTCCAGAGCCAGACATGCGCCTTGATGCTCTGATTGGCTACTATATTGGCAGCCTTAATCTTTCGTCTAACAGCGATATCCTCGATAGCAGCAGCCCAGTTCCCGGCACTTTTAATTGAGTTCATGGCGTCTAATTCGACATATTCTCACGGCAATTACTTGCGCCCGGTCCAGAACAGATGCGCCAGATCCCAGACACGAAGCTGAAGTTGGAGATTGTCCGGGCCAAGAATAGCTGCGGCTTCATTCTTGATCACCGTGCACCCCCTGTGCCCCAAAAGCTCCTCGGGAGCACGGCGCCAGGTAATCACAGGCCAAGTGTTGATCGACAGTGGTCCGTTTTCCAGGCGAACGCATCAAAAGCAGAGTTGGCGCAGTAGCGTCGGAGTGAATCTGGTTTAGCATCATCCGCCAGCATCATTGTCTGCCCGCCGTCTGGAGCAGGTAGGTAGACAGCTTCGCAGGTGGTTAGTCTTCTCTACATGTTTCCTGTTGCTACGGACCGATTCCGCAACGAAACATCCAACATGCAATAGCAGCCGCCCCCGCGATCCAATACGGCCTCATGGCTTCCGAGAAGGAAACCTTTTCGTCATGGGCTTTCACCCATCAAGCTAGCGTCGCACTTTAGGTTGTGACCATCGACAATGTGACCATAGCCCTGGAAGAATCCTGGACGGCCACTCCGCAATCCGTCACTTGACCATTGAAACCACGGAGCAAGGAGTGGATTCCTCCCAAACATAGGTACTTGGAACTCACGTTGGGGGTCGGGCCTTGTGGGGAGACGAGAGAGGCTGAGCATACGAAGTCGCCAGCGCGTCGCTCATGGAAATGTTTCCTTTGATTTGTTTCATGCCCGCCCGCGGCTGTTGATCATTCTCGCCGGCCGGCGCAGGCGAGATTACTGCCTCGCTTGCAGCCGGCCTGATGCTGCGAGGCTGGCCGCACCATTGGAGACGCCTATAACGGCCGTGTGCTATGGCTGTTACCTGGTAATAATACTACTAATGACTGAAGTAGCCACATTGCACCTGGCACTGAGTAGGCGGGCGGCATGGCTCGCTCGGCTCAACCGGGTTGGCGAGCTGCTCTCGCGCTCTGCTTGCAGCTCGCCGTGGGATTCCCACCGTTGCAGGTTACGGGGTCACCTAGCAGAAAGTGCCCGCAAGCCCACTTGAGTGCGTCGTCCCGAGGTCGTGATCAACGTCCACCGCTATCGCGTTCCTGATGGACCCGCATTCTAATGCGACTTTAAGATATGCGAGATGCTATTCACCCGGCCGGTCCCCAGTGTCGTTATGCAGCGGCGTCTGGGCACGCCCAATCAGCTGGCTTTGGTTGGCTATGAGGAGTACGATCAATCTGATGGGCGCCCTTGGGTTCGTTCCCCTAATCCCAAGATGGCTACGGCCAACCTCCCGCTGCAGGCCTCAGGGTGAACTCGCGCCCCATGTGCCCTATCTATCAGCTTGGCTTGCTTGGTGGGCTTGCAGTCTGCAGCTGGATGCACGACGATGCTGTTGTCCAGGCCCGCCTGATCCGTTGCCCGAGTCAAGAAGCACATGAAACAAAAGAATTGTCATGCTCGGCCGGCGAGAGGAAAAACAAAAAGCAACGGGAAGCCAATACATTACCTCATTTGCTTGGACCGGCTACAGCATGGTCCATCCTCGTAAAGCTCGTGAAACAGGTCTTGAACGGGAAATGTCCTATTTAATAATCCGCGTAAGCATCGACGCGAGTGGGCAATGGCGCCCCCATTGTCTATTCAACGTCTGGATTGGGAAATCGGCATAATTTCAGACTGGCAGCTTCGAACCGGGTTGGGTTGCCAAGGGCCTCCAGGAACCAAGGACTGCGCGCTGGCGGCCGGCGGATAGCTCTATCTGGCCACTACCGCAATGCAGAATTGCGGGATGAAATGAGTGCAGCCGCACGGCAACTGGTACCTGGGTGAGACGCATATTGTAGGCTGCAGTTTCAAGTAACTGGCTATGGCAGCGTTCACGCGGGCTGAGGTGTGTTACCTCGTTTACGTGCTTACATAGTCGTAGGGCCGCTCGCACCTCTGTGTGTCTTGTGCTTATTAGAGCGACATTTGTAACCACTCGATAATAAACGCCTCATGCGATCAATAGAAAGAGCAAAAACTACACGACGACGCCGTTGTTGAAATTCCGATTGAAGGTCTGCCAAAGGCACATTCTGACGATGACGGCCTGGAAATGCAACGGCGCCGCTGGCCTCTCGAACAGATGACTGCTTCTCGCCCAGTCCGGATCGCGGTCTAGAATATTCAGCCGCGGTTTCGTCCGCAAGATCACCACATCAAAACCAAGCAACGGGAGAGGTGATGACACCCCCAACCCTGCGCAATTCTGGAGGAGGGCCTGTTTTCTCTCGGTAACGAATGGTTGGAAATAACTTGGGAGACATACCGTTTCTTCCGTATTGTTTCCATATTTAAAATACTCCGGACACGAGATGGTTCAAGCACAGCAGGTGTGTCGCGGGTGGGCATGAATAAATCGGCCCATATTACGGGCCAAGTATTGCGTGTTAAGATTGTCTCCCCACGACGGCTAAGCGAACAATCTTCAGGGGCAAGCTGCAGGGGCGCCAAATGAGGTGTGGCCTCCCAACGGGCGAGTCTGAGGAGAAGACGGCCGGCTGGGGGAGCTAGGCGTCTGGCGTCTGACACTAACAACTCTACTTGATCCATGGCCGCGTTTGCTTGTTCTTCAGTGCCGTGCCATCTGTGCATTACGGATCTGAGATTGAAATGAACACGGGCCTGCTAGCGAGCCCTCTCGAGTCTTCAATGACGCTGGCCGGTCCTCTTTCCCAGATCCTGCAAGCATGCCAAAGATGGGGCCGCGAGTGAGAGTCCACTTATACGCATCTATGTACATATGTAGCTAGTACTGTATATCCCCCAAGTCCAATGCCACCCAAGGTTGGCAGGTCACAAGACTGGGGAAGAGCCGGTCAAAATATGCGGGCGGGCAAAGGTTGTATGTGCATCATAGGTGCATAGGGAAATAAGAAAAGAGTCCGAGAGGGCACACATGCTGCCATGGTGATGAGATTAAAGCGCATCCTGTTTGCTGGACGGAGGTACAGTGCTCCGTGCGGGCGTGTGCGTGCTAAGTGATGTAGGTACCTGGCGAGCTAGTCTCCGCTGGCACTTAAGTCGCAGCGAGCAGGGGGGGTGGCCGGGTGGCCGTGGGCTAGCGGCCTAGGACGCGCAGAGCAGCGCCGAAGGGCCCAGTCGGGCCCAGCACGGCCAGCAGGCAGACAAGCAGCCAGGCAGCCAGGGGCCGATCAGCGGGTGCTAGAGCGTGCCCAGCAAGCACTGGACCTGGCAGAGGGCGTGCTCGCCAGGTCGTCTGCGCTGCGGCTGCCAGGTGCCCAGGTGGGTTCCAATGCTGGCGACCACGGCCGCCTATCGACGACTATCCCAACCTAGGAACCAAAGCCAATGGGACCCCCCTGCCCACCCCCGGCTCCATCGCCCATCTCCCATCTCCCATCTCACCCATCTCCATGTCCATCCTCTCCCATCCCATCCCATCCCATCCCAAACAGAGGCCCACTGGACTGGACGCTGCCCACGCTGCCCACGCTGCCACACCCTGCCTGCCACACACGCCCCAGCGCCCAGCGCCCAGCGCCCGGCCGCTCCTCATCTCCAGGGCCCGTCTCCCCCCAAACCTGGGACTGAACTCCCGTCTCGTCTCTCCCCATCCCACTCCTCCGTCCGACAACAACCCGCCCTCGTCAACATCCTCACCGTCGACCACGAGGCAGACCCTCTGGCTTCAATTCCGGTCGCGCGAATCTGCTCCCCAGATTTGCCCTGGTCTTGGCCGTCCGCTCCTTTCCTTCAGAGTCGCCTTTCCGCCTTTTATTTTATTTTATTTTTCTATTTTCCTTCGAAGCCGCATTTGCCGCATTTTGATGCATTTCCGCACCGTATCGACTGCTTGGTGGGAAACAGCAACGCATTGCATCGACAGCCACGACGACTTCAGGCAGCAAATACCACTCAGAAAATAGATCCCATTAGACCAGCGCTCGACTCGCCGCTGGATCACGAGGTAATACACGCACCGTCATTCGTTTGGTCTGCGATTCTCCACCCGTATCCTTCTGCGACACCATCACTTGCCTGTCCGTCCCGCGTGCGGTTGTCTGCTCTTCGGCCTGCCTGCCTGCCTGCCAGCTCTGCGCCAGAATATCCAATTGTGCAGAGAAACACAGCACACGCGCGCGCACGCCTCTCAGTCTCCTCCCAGTCGTCTTGTTCTTGCTCACATATCTCGTCACCATTCCTCGCCATACTGCACACACCTAACGCCGTTTCAGGTCTCGCCTAATAACATCCTAGAGACTGCGATTCGACCGGAAAACACAACCAACACAGATTCATGATATCCCGCCACCTCTAGGCTCGTTTCTGTTTTGTGCCGCAGCGCGGCCTGGCTGGAGCATGGCAACCGTATACGCCGCTTCCAAGAGCCCCGTGGAGTCTGCCATGGCGGGCGTGGGCGGCGTGGATATGGGCATCGACGAACCCCGAGCACGACACTTATCAATTCCTGTGCCCATATCTATCGAGGCTCCGTTGGATGATAATTCGCCCTATTCGAGCCCTCAGCCATCTCCTCGCACGAGACAGCCTCTTCCGAATCCTCACTTCGTATTCCCAGCTCGCCAATCTCCCTCTTCGGCACCATCGTCCTTCTCGAGAGCAACTGGGCAACGGTCGAAATCGGTTGCAAATGTTCAGGATGCGACTAGCGGTAGTGGCAGCTTGGGTCCTTCCAGCGCTCGAGCACGTCGTTCTCCTGCGCTCCCGGACTTCAGCTTCAACCCGGGTGCTCAGCTGAAGCCCGAAGGTGCAGATGCGGATCGCCCACAAAGGTCTCCGGCTCTCCCTGCTTTCAGCTTCAATCCCGGCGGTCCTTCGGATGCCTCCGAGTCTCTGATGAGCCCCCCTCTTTCGCCTTCATCGCCACGCATGATACCCAATCGTGGCAGCCACAGACGGGGCGGTAGCGAATTTGTCGGAGGGAAGCTGAAGGAGGGGGAGTCCATCACACTCATGAGTACCAGTCCGACGAGGTCAGATAGTGGTTTTGCGTCGCCGTCGCTGGCGCCCGTGGACATGTCGGCACGCCGTGGAAGGCACCAGCATCGTCGGTCTGCAGCAATTTCAAGCCACGATCTCTCCTTGATACTCAAGCCGCCGGGCAGCCCCAATCCATCAAGAGGCAGCAGTGCTCCCACGACTCCAAGAGACTTCGAGGAAGACGTCCAGCCGTTTCCCGAGGCCGTCGTCGAGCCCACAAGCTCTTCTGAACCCGAGGTTAAGGAGGCGCAGGGTGAAGATAGGACGGAAGAGTCCCTCCCCCTCGACAACAGCGGAGCTGAAGATGCACCTACGAAGCCCAGCCGGGCGAAGGTTGGCTTTTCCGATACGCTTGAATACATTCCGCGACCTCTTTCCATGGTTTCCACAGACACTGCAAGTACAGTTACTGGCTACCCAGGTCACTCTGTCTCTGGTAGTATATCATCCATTATCTCACTGGGCAATTCGACGATTGCAGATCGCGAACGGCCCGGCATTCTGTCATCTCCGGCATCCGCTTCCGACAAGAAGAGCGATTCACGACCTAGTACCGCCGGCGCTGTACTGGAGCGCACCCCCAGTTTGCATGCCATCACCATGGATGAGAACTCGGCATCGCCCCGCAGACGCAATTCCATCCCACTCCTCCCTGGAATTGCCTCTGATTCGCCAACATCACCAGCGCTTCCGAGTCCCACGAAGACACCAAAACGCTGGTCCTTCTTTGGTTTCGACTCTTTTTCATCGTCTGGGTCGCCATCTAAGCCACGACCACATAGCTCAAGCTCATCCGAGACGGTTCCTCAAACCGCCGAGCGCTCCGCTGACGCGTCATTGGGCATCGAAACAGATGATGTTGCACATGAGGCGGAGCCGCAACCCGCACCGAGCAAGTCTAGCAAGAAAAAGAAGCAGAAGAAAGTGAAATCGTGGGCTGGCTCCATTTTAACACGCAAAACTAAGTCACGGTCGCAGAAATCTAAGGCTGCCCGCAGGCGTTCGCAAACACCACCTCCACCGAAAGACGGCCTGGATGATGAGCTTGACGAAGATGAGATGGAACTGGCGGGGCCATTGACAGCGCCAATGGTCATGGTGACAGAGCATGGTTTTGACGACAGCATGACTGGACCCATCAAACCCCGGCGAAAGTCGGAGGACGATGCATCATATCCCATGATCGACCTCGATGCTGCGCTCGGCCCATTCAACACTCCCTCGGCCCGTGATCCAGCATGGGATGCTGCCCAAAGGGCAGGAGCACCACCAAAGCGGCAATTACATAGTGCTGCGGGCTTGAGAGGGTTTTCGGGTCCCGGTATGCACTACCACCGTCGTGCTGAGAGTGCCCCCGAGATGCCACCTTTTGAAGCAGCCAGGTTCGGTATTCACAGATTTGGTAGCTCATCCACCATGGCCGACGTTTTTGAAGAGGATGAGGAGGAGGAGGATGAAGATGATGACGAGGATGATGCAGATAGTTCCAGCTCCAAGGCTTCTTCCGACGAATCGACACCGGATGCCAGCGCAGCCCTTGAGGCTAACATCGATGCCAAATCTACAAGCGGCGACTCAGCAACCACACCAACACAGGAAATTGATTTCGGCACCAAAGGTGTCATGTCTCATCCTGCTTCGGTCAAACGCAAAGGCAGCGGGTCTAGTCTAGATCTGCAGCCCCCCGGGTCGAGGATGCGTACCGAAGCTTCTGTAAGCTCACTACACGAAGAGGTCATTGTCGAAGAAGGCCCTGTGCATACCGCTGTTGACCAAGAACGCATCTACGAAACCTATCAGGAATCTGACTCTGCTGCACCCTCACCTCGGCGGATCATTACGAGTAAGGAACTGGCTCCGGTCGAGATACACCCGAACCTCCCAGGGCCCTCGATAGCATCAGTCAGCCCATACTCGATGAGCCACTCGTCCTCCTTCCCCTCACCGAGGTCACCAATGTCATATGAGGCGGCTCACAGAGTCTCAACCGCGCCGTCTTCCGTGACAGAAGAGAACAACTTCCAGTCACTGTTGATGGGTGAGCCTGGCCCTGAGGTTGTTCGCATTTCTGTCGATGTACCCTCATTGACGAGCAGCAACTCGACAATGACCCGCGAGAGCCAATTCCCTGGGGTGCGTCCTCGAAATATGCCATTTCACGAGCAACGTCCCGCGTCGTTTACCGCGACGGCTTTCGGGCGAAGACGGTCCAGCTTGGCGAGTATCAGCCGTCTCATTAGCACGTCACACGGTGAACGAAGCAAGCTGAGCATGGAGGTCCCTCATGACACCCAACCCGACAAGAAAGCACGAATAAGTACCGCCAAAAGATTAAGTCGGATGATGCAGTTTTGGAAGCCGAAGGAGTCACCAGCATCCTAGCGAGTGTTTCGGACCTACTTTTGGGCTACTATACTGCACCGGCGGGCATCCATTGACCAGCAAGTGAAGAGAGGGGCGTCTGCGGAATAATAAGCAAATCATACTCGCCTATCATTGAAGTCTCCGACAACCCTCTTCGCGACACATCACCTCCTACAGCTGTAGTGGCACCTGAAGTGACTGGACTCCAGAATACTGTTTTGCAGTAACTGGCATGCCCCTTCTCCGTCATACATCACTGCAACGTCCGAGGCTTTTTCCTCCCCGAAAGGGTTTACTATTTTATTACACATTTGGCGTTTTACGAGAGCATGAAGACCGGTTACCTGCGGAATGATCATGGACGATCTTCTAGATCCTAGTGAATTTGCTGTTGCTATTTCAGGCGAATCAGCAAAGCCCAGAAATAGTTAGGTCTCTCGCTGGGTTTGATTGCATGAATATAGCATAAGGAAGGAAATGACATGACGTTGGAGGTCGCGGATGATTCTGAGATATTCCCGCACTGAACAAGGGAGAGATAGGGCAGACAGACTTTTACCGCCTTGGTCAGGGTTCCGCTCTCGTTTGCCCAGTAAATTTTGGGACGAAGTGATGATGGGCCCTTATGTAGAAATAATAATGAACATTACCGTAGTACACCTGCGTCCTGCACTTCCTGATTTGTGAATGCCTCAATATCTCTTAGACTATCTTATTATATATGTTGCTGGCAGCTAATAGCTCAATTTGACCGTGCTTTTCCCAACGTTGGTCTCACGAAATCATACGAAGGTCACCCCACGCGGCGGCCCAGGTGGCGGTAGCAACGCGCGTACTGTGGCTCTCGAGAAAACTTGCAGGCGACGGTCATCGCTATTCGCACTCTTCTATGTGCTCGGATTGTCAATCTCGTCGTTTCTGCAACCTAATTCATATCTGCCCCTCTGGCATATTGTATACATAACAAGTCAACTACCTAATAATTACGCCGCCAGAGGACCTTAGAACATCCCATGCGTGCTTCTCCGAACTTGTGTCACCCGTATCGGAAACGAACCCGCGGAAGAAGAAGGCATGTGGTTAGTATCGTGCGTTACTAGCCGGCCTTCACTTATGTGGGGTCGTGCTTGCCCAGCAGGACAGGTATAGCGGGGTGTCTGACACCCATGTAAGCAGTAGCACTGATACAAGCACGATTTGCAACCAATTTTGTAAAGAATGTGCAGTATTCGGTGAGGCGGCAGCATGGCGCCACATACTGGTTTGCTTTCCGAGGAGTTGGGCCAATAGCAGTTGCATCTGAATTTCTAGTTTACTATGGCTTGAGCTGGCTCCGTTCGGGTGCCTCTCCGTTGGAGTAAAGCCAATGGAGACGAAGAGACCCTTTCATCAGGGGTTTCAGGGACCAACAGGGTATCCCGTCAGAAGGTCTCCATCAAATAAGATGCATTTGACATACTCTTTGGTGCGACGTGAAGGGCAAGTGGACAAGGCAGCTAAGGCGACCTGAAGGATAATCAAACATTCATGTCTCTCAAGGCATCGAGCGCGGACGGGGTCGATCTAGCTTGGTCTGAACTCGCCATGTGCAGTAGTTTAGTAGTAATAGATCAGGCCTTTCCCAGGAATTGCAGTGACTGCTTCATGTCTGACGACGGGGATCGGCCAGCTTCGGGTAGATGAAAGATCCCCTGGAGAACCGCTGTCGCTAGTGATCTCGATTTCAACCGCAACCCGTGCAACAGCTTGAACAGGAGTGGAGAAGGGCGGTGGTGGTAGATTAGGAGAGCACTGCCGGGTCTAGGCTGCGCAGGCAACACTCATGGGCCAGCGTCCCTGGTCAAGCTTGCTGTCGAAAGATACGTGATAGGCAGGCGGCCGAGTAGTTCTCACGCTTTACCAGTTCGACTTCTCCAAGAGCCCCGGTCCTCACGACATGCCGGCTCGCCAAGAGAGCGCCTCTCCAACTTCACAACGATCAGGGAAACCTACTTTCGTGGCCAAGAGAGCCTGAGGGGGGCTTTGGAGCTTATTTTTGGGGTTCCTTGTAAGCCTACCACAGGACGGCGAAGGCGTTGGATCCCGGCTTATGTGTGAACAACAGCAAGCGAATTGCCCCTCACTGCAACACTGATTTTACCCTCGGTGTGCATTTCGCAAGCATCTAGGCCTCACGAGCGCAACCCGTCTGCCAGGGATGGGTGCTACTGAGAGTGAAGTAACTAACTGGGCTTTAGCTTTTCCCCGCCTCCACGAGACACTTTCTGGGCAACCCTTTCGAAGGGTGCTCTCGTTAGTTATTAGCATTCTCCGGATGTTGGCAGTGATTCGCAGGATGTGGTCCGACTGCCTTCATTGGTCAATTGTGATTAGGGCACTCGGGTCTTCGCTAGGCACATGGATTATATGCATGTCCTATCTACGGGGCTTGACGCAATAAGACCAATTCGGCCAATGACCTGCTGGGGAGGACTCCTCCGACCGCGATGATTGGCCAGTACTGCTCAGACGCTGCCCCGAGCAACCAGCCAATTGCACATGTGCGCATTTCTTTGTCCCGTTATGCTTCTGCTGGACAGCAATGGACGAAGAACTGCTTGCGTCTACTGACCAAGGGATGCGTGGTTCTCGCCACGTCTTGTCTGTCGACAGGAGCGGCGAGACCCCATTTCAATGGAAGGGCCCCGTGTGATCTCAGCTCAGGATCGAGGCCTGGCCCAGGAATCACACCCGGCAATTGTATACCGGCGCTCGCATCTTAAGTAGAACCTGGCGTAGATGGAGCGCCCGAGTAGTTAGAGTCTAGTCCCCTACGCCGGTAAATGGCGTGCCCCGGAACTCAACGGGGTAGAACTACTGCTACTGCCACTGCCATTGCCACTGCTGTAGCTGCAGAACTCACACAACTTCAACCACCTACTTTTGTTGAGCATACACCCCATCTCAATGTGTATTGTTAACCAAACACTGAATAATCTTTTGTCACTCTCTTGAATTTACTCTGAAGCAACCATCGTATCCAAGACCTTGAGGGCAACTGATCTCGGATTGAAGACTGGGTCTGTCGGGGACAGACCCTCTACACCACTAGCTTCGATGGATGCTACTATTTCATGGAGATCTCCATGGTCCGATGGTAATGGACTTGACCAGAACTACGGGTTCACCGACCTTGGCCCATCCACCATGTCCTCCGGCGGATCTCTCGATGAACCGCATGGTTTCGATTTTACTAGCTCGTCAAGCTGCGATCCCCTCCAATCTTTGTCGTACCCAAACCTCGAGGTTGCAGATGGCTTGAAGGCATCTAATGGATTCAGTAGTCATCTCAACTTTCCCGTTACTGTGAGTTGTTGTTCTTCACTATCGCTGGACCTGGTGGCGGCCGATGCTTCTCGGATTCCCACTGGATACTCACCCTTGCTATGGAAGAAAGAGCACTCATCTTGTCACGAATAGTACGGGACCCAGCCCTTTAATCAAGCTGACTGGCACTCGCAGCAGCTGCAACAACAACAACATGACTACCATCCAATGGAACGGTATTTGCAAGTAAACCCGGTCGAAGGCCCTGTCCGTGTCCAGACGCAAGGATTGGCGGCCACCCCATCGAGCCCAGTATACAACAATTCTCCTCAGCTGTTCACACCACCTGATACGTATGATGATTCGGCTGTTCGGCACGACTCAATATCGCATCAGTTCCGTCGCCCGAGCAGGGTAAGCGTTCCGAGCTCGATCCTCTCCCCCGAATCAATGCGATCTCCCAACGACGATGAAGATGGCGCCGGCCGCAGGGCCTCGCACGCAGAACCGCAGGGTCGTAACCGCGAGAAGAACCGCATGGCCGCCAGCAGGTGTCGCGAAAAGTCTAAGAAGTTGGTCGACGACTTGAAGAAGCGTGAGCGAGACCTGACTGCCGAGAAAAAAGTGCTCAAGGATTGCGTGGCCGGCCTCAAAGACGAGGTCCTGTCGCTCAAACATGAGATCCTCAGGCACGGCAATTGCAACTGCAAGTATATCGAGAACTACCTCAACACCGCCGCAGCGAAGCAGATGGCCTGATCTCACACACGTGCGGCGTTCCTGCTCGTATTCTCCGCCCCCGGATGCGACGGGATAGTGGGCGAATGTGATTGATGGACCTGAAAACAACCTGAAAACCTGCTGCCGCCGATGCGATAAGTATCAAGAATAATTCAAGAGGAGGTTTCTTTGAAAGGTGCGGCATCTCCAATCGCTATTGCGACGAGTTTTTAGACTCGGGATTAATGCCAATCATTGTTCGTAACTGTGGATGGGAAGCCAGAAGATCGCTGAATGTAGAGCTACCAGCTCATCGGTAATATGGTGTGGTCGGCGCTATGTAACGGTCAGCACAGAGAAAGCACCGAGAAGGGATTCTTGACATCTCCAGACGAGTTACGAGTTACGATGCTACGACTGCACAGAAGGGGCGTTCGCGAAAAAGGCGTTTTGAGGGGTTATGCGTGTTTGCGTCGTGTTGTGCCTTGGGGCTCATTCTATTAGTCGGGAGCATCAAGTTTGTTTCTGGTATCCAACTTACGGGCGACGAGACGGGTATGTTCTGGCGCAGATATGAATAAGCGCATAGGATCCCAGATGGGATAGAGAGGCATGATGAGCTGCCGATGAACTATGTAGCAAATCTGAATAGTGGTATTCGGGGGTACGAAGAATGTGTAGGAGACATTGTGATGGCAAACAATCAAGGCCGTCCTGTGGAATTTCCATTTGGAAGGAATCGATGACCTGAAAAGGCGAAACAAACGATGAAGAAAGAAGCAAAACCTGACAAGCGAAGAGGAGTCTTCGCTCACGGTTGTTATATGTCGTTTGTCGTAATGACATCTTACGTATTGTGCGGTAACCACGTAGGATCAGATGCTTGTAGCCAATAGACCTTGCAGAATTCCTTGCTTCCGGAGCTGCGGCTGCGTGCATCCATGGTCTCTATATGTTCGCTTCCCCATGATACTCCTGACTCCGTAACTGATATCCACCGAAACCTCGAGGTTTGACCTATCACTAATCTCTAAGACAACCATGAATCTCCCGTGCATGAGATCAGCAGACGAACGAACCCCCGCTTGAGAAAGGCTTCTCCTACCGAGAGACAGATGCCCAGCATATTGGGCTCTGCGACGTTCACAATCACTCAGGCATGGTCCGTGTAGGATGACGTTCAAAACACGTTACGATTACGGCCAATCGCCAGCTGGGCACCGAAACCACTGCAGGGGGCAGATGGCCGAACGAATGGCCTAACGGCCTGTATGTGGCTCTCATGAAGTGGATATAGAGTCTAGCATTTCTTGGTATTGCGGCATTTTAGTGTAATACACCTGCTATTCCTGTTTCCAGTTGAGTGGTGTAGGACTTGTCTGATGATGGCTCATCTTGCAGTTGTTTGACAGGTACCACCATGGTCTCACAGAGAAAAAAAATATAACTTGACCTTCAGAATAGTATAGCATAATGATCATGCGAGGTCGAAACCTTTGCCTACAACTGTACCATGCCTTGCTCTCAGTGGGAGTTCAAGTCTTGCTAAGTAGAATCGGCATATTAAGGATGCAAGATACTTATGCATGGACCTAGGTGAAGCCACAGCAGAACATGATGCCGAGTATCACTTGATCAAAAGAACCACAATATGACACGCCATAGCTGCAGTTAATATTGTTCTCCTCAGACGATCTGTCTCGGACGTCCACCATCTACTCTTCTGCTCGGCCATCCCCCCACCACCCAACAAGCCAGGGAGCTAACAGCAGTTCCATTGGAGACCGAGATGGAGGTATTGCTTACCGCAAACTACACTAAAAGATACCAGTGCTGTAGTCAACGACAATGGCTTTCTCTATGATCGACCCTGCGCTCTGCACGAAAGCCTGGTGGGTTGGGTCCGTAGAGACATAGTAGTCCCTGTCGGCTAAAGATTCGAACTCTACGACAAAAGCATACTGGATGCCATTCTTCCCATTAAGGGTTAGCAAATATGGGACGTACTCTTAACTTTACCAAGATAAATACCGTACTTGAAGGCCTTCGGGGGAGTTATCCTTGCCTCCCGTTAGGGACTTGATGTAAGGCCTCTGCGACTCGGGATGAACGCACTCGTCCTTCAAGGACAGCATGCGCGTGACTGCCTGATGAGTCGAATTAGTTAGGAGCTTCCGGGCAGTCCTGGGGACAGTCTCGCCTGTTGAATATCCCCGGGGCTCGCATCAGCCTTGAATTGGAACAGAACAATGTGGACCACGACCATGGTGAAGTGTGAAGAGGTGGAAACCGTGCGGAGGAATGCTAGGAGACTGATCTCAAAGACAAGACAGCCCGCGTAGCTGATACGGCGCGTTGCGATATACGACGAAGATTGCGAAGTGGGCAGAGTTATCTTAACCATGCTGGAACTGACACAGGCGACGTACCTCCGAGGGGTTGTATTGCAGCGGCGTGGAGGCCCGGTCATAGGCTGTTCACCACTTGATGGCAGCTGCTGGGTTTTGGCAGGGATAGAGGATGGCCTGGAGGGCAGGTTGTGACCCTGAGAGTGCAATATACAAGCATAAAGTCTGATGAATTTCCCCATGCTTGACATGTATACCTATGTAATCATGTCCTGGTAGACAGCTGGCCAATAACCCATGTTTCCCAGAATGGGCGGTTAGCCACAGCAAAGGCAACTGCGACAGCAGCGTCTGCCTGAGGTGCTTGCTCATTGAGTTCTTCGAACCTAACAATACCAACAAGCATATAAACGATTGAATATAGACGTATGAACATTCAAGCTCCTCCATGTTGATATCCCTTAGGACATCGGTAAACTACCCATCAAGTCTTGGCCACACCTATACACATTTCTATATCTACTCACACCCGTGACCTTCGTTCACACTCGTTCGTGATGGCTCCTCGACTTGTTTCTACATTCCGTCTTTCGAGTAACAATCTGAATCGGCCGAGTAGCCTCAGAATCTATTCAATATGATATCTAGAGACTGTACCGCGATGTAACTTCGCCCGACCTCCGAACCAGAGCCGACCGGGGGGCCTGGGCCTGGTCACACCCCACCAACCTCGGCAGCTACCGAGACCCACAGCCAGCCGAACCTGGAGTTGGAAGCTGGAGAGATCTGGAGAGCTTTCAGCTTCGGCCGGGGGCCCGCGTCGTGGTGCGTAACAATACCTGTCCGGCATCACCATCACCCGATCACGACCCAAACGCGTACCTCGTCCAAGCTTCTGCAAGGGCACAGGTTAGTGCCAGAGAGTTGAAACCAGCCCGAATTCCCCGTAGTAGCCGACTCAAGCACGCGTGGCCTGCCGCAGCTCTAGCGTTCGCGCTCCCCGTATCGACGAAAGCCCGAGAGCTCACCACCTACGCCGTCAGCCGACTGTCCCGGGCCGCTGCCACCAATGCCGTCCTCCAAAGTGTCCTCGGCTTCGGCCACGTCATCATCGTCGTCGCGGAACGCGAGCAAGCGCCTGCTGCGCGAGCTGGCCAGCTGGGAGAAGGAGGCGGCCGCCGAGACGGGCATCGAGCGGCTCGGCCCCGTGAGCGAGGATGAGCTGTTCCACTGGGAGGCGGTCATCAACGGGCGGGGCATCGGCGGCGGGTACGACGGTGCGTAGCTGAATCTGCCCCTTTTCGGTTTCTTTGGGTTCCCACCAATTCTTCTAACACGGGTGGAAAAACAAACAGACGGCCGCTGGCTGCTCCAGATCCGGCTCCCGCCGACGTACCCGCTGCAGCCGCCGCAGATGACGTTCGCGACGCCCGTGGTGCACGCCAACGTGGCGCTGGCGACGGGCGAGATCTGCCTGGACCTGCTCAAGGACGCGTGGACGCCGGCCTACGGCGTGCTCGAGTCGGTGCGCGCCGTGCGCATGCTGCTGGGCTGCCCCGAGACCGACTCCCCGCTCAACGTCGACGTCGCCGCCCTCGTGCGCGCCGGCGACCACCTCGGCGCCCGCCGCCTCGTCGAGTTCTGGGTCCGCGACGAGGGCGGCCGCTACGAGGGGCGCTGATGACGGGGGAGCGAATGGATGCTGGTTGAGCGGTACAAGAAGAGAAGTGAAGAGATACTATCAAGGGGCAGGTGGACAGCAAAGAGCGCGGATGGGTTGACGAGTCTTCTCCCGCTGGGCTTTGGGCAGTGCAATATGTGCAGGTTGAATTCATTCAGGCAATACGCCAGGGGGGAAGTGTTCATCTGTCGTTCTGCTTGGCTTCCGTGTACGGACCGTTGACTTTTGGGAGTTATGGCGTTTACGAGGAACATTGGACAATAAGCGACGGCTCGACTCCGATGAATAGCACATAAATTGAATTTGGACATTTTCCATTCGTTGTGTTTGTTCAAATGATCGCATTCGCCTACCGCAAATCATCCAGCGGTCTTGGGGGGAGGAAAATAATAACACCTGTCTATGCTGCCTAGGTCAATGGGCGTCCGTCCAGTCGTGGGGCGAACTTGTACTCGTACAGCTGCCTCGCCCGCGAGCCCAATACACCGCTTCCTGCTTTTCCCTTACAGCAAACAAACCAATGGAGGGCCCTGGGCTAACGCCCGCCTGTTGCTATCAGGCAAACTCCCCAACCACCTGAGGTGTGCCGGGTTTGGCGGCCCGGATGTGGAAAACGTGTCCAACGCGAATGCCAGATCAGATATCTGTCTGTAATGGCGGCCGGGTAGGCACCAGAATATTCTACTAATGCATGCTCTACTTATTCATTGTAATGATAAACCTATAATGTCGATTAGTGCCGGTTCAGGTTTAGGACCGAGGACTGCGATTGTTCTCGCGAAACACGTACCTTGTAGTTTGGCAGTCCTGTCGACTGGTAGCCCAGGCGCTTGGCCATCTTTGCGAAGCCCTCAGTTTCAATCAGGTGGTAGAAGGGGAAAGGCGGGAACATGGCTCCATCTCGGTGAACCTCTGCCCGTACCATCAGAGCCGTGCCGCCGACTCCATCCAGAGGCACTTCTGCGCGCGTGTCGGTCGGGTCCTCCATCTCCATGTACGCCATCAGAGTGCGGTATGTGGGTAATTCAGCGTACCCCTCGAGCAGGAGATCGTCGTTGCCCATCTTGGCCGCCATCTCCTGGGCCGTCACGCTATCCTGCCAGCTGTTGAAGTCGTAGGCCCGCTCGGCGGCCTTTCCATCATCGCCGGTGTAGCGCTGGAAGCAGTTGGGCACGACCACCGGCTTATCGTGCGACGCGAGATCCTGGATCAAGGTACGTGGCGTCTCGACAATATCGGCATCGAGCCAGAGCACCCATGACGTGTCGGGACCCAAGGTAGTGAAGAGCAGGGAATTCCGTGCTCGGGACATCGAGGCACGTCGCTCCTTCTGGTTCTGCAGCTTGTGGCGTTCCGACTCGTCCTGAGACGACAATGGCGGCTCGAAGTCCTGTCGCTCGATGATGACCCTCCTAAAGCGCTCCTTGGCCGGGCCCTTCTGTGCTTTTGTGATAGCCGCCTGCAGGGCCGAAGTCGCAGCATTGCCCTCCTTGTTCTTGGGCAGGATGAAGCCCAGGGTGATGAGTTCATGAGGGTAGTTGAGCTTCATGAGATTGTCCCAGTAGTCCTGGTAGAAGCGGGCCATGGGAGTCAGGATAAGGATTTTCTCGCGGTTCGCGACGGGGTCGCCGGTGATGGTGACCTGGTTGAGATTGAAGCGCTGGACATCGCGGCGGATGTGCTGGACGGTGGACTTGGGGGCGGGCCTCGCGGGGCGATGCTTGTGGGTGGAGGAATGCGAGCCGGTGCTGGAGCCGGACTGCGAGAGGAAGTAGATGATGAAGAGACAGAGGACCGCGCCGATGAACAGGGTCACGTAGTTGGTCCTCCTCATGCGGACAGGCCCCAGGGGGCGCGCCATGGCTCGCTGGGGGGGTGTGCTGGCGCTCGTGGGTGTCGCGATGTCGTCGATGACCAGTGAGGGCGAGGCGAAGGGCAGCTCACGACGGGGTGCCGGCCATCGGGGAAAAGGGGGTCCAGATGCCGGTGATGGCTGCTTCGCGTTCAATCGGGGGGCTCAATGCCCGAGCGAGAAGGACGCGTATGGGCGACAGAGGCGTATGCGCTGGGACCGTTGTCGCCGTCGGGGTCGTCGTGTGTTGTCGATGGCCGGTCGTCGTGGTCGTCGTGTCGATACAGATGACAGCCAAGGCAGGCAGTCCAAAGGGACACACTTCGAAAATAATGCTCCAAACCAGCGGCCAAACCAGCGGCCAGCATGCAGCGCAGCGCTGATGAGGCTGACTGATGTTAACCCAAATGCGGCTTAGCCCGCGCGCCGTACAGCTGCTGAAGACCCGGAATTAGGTCCCTTGCCAAGCCTCCGACAAGGGGGCGTCTTTTTATTTTAAATTCAGAACCCTCGGGGTACTGATCAAGCACTTAATAAGAGCACGTCAATAAGGGTCTAATATCAGACGAGGACGCGCACGATCTAGTCAGACGACCGGCTTAGTGAGTGTTTCTTTTTGGTGCAAAGAGCAAGAAATAAACAATTAGAAAAACCTGTGTTCTTGCGATTACTGCTGGCAGTGGTTATTAGTCCATCAAATGCTCCAAGACGGAGGTTGTCGTCTAGCGTGTGGTGCTGTTTCCTCGCTACTAGACCTCGTATTCACGACTTTGATCAACACATTGAGCCGAGCCACCGAGCGCGCATGCGGCAAGAACGTCGGCTGAGCTCATCTCCAAGGAATTCGGCATGCGTTCAACGCGTTTGGTCCTTGGACCTCACATTGCCGTCGTGTTGACATATCCAAGATGACCTGATCCTCGCTCCTGAGCATCCACAGTGCCCCTAGTTATCTGAGCCTCGAGAACGGGACTGCTTCTCATGAACACTCATACGTCGTTACAAGGTTTTCGCAATTTACGCCTTTGACACCGCTGTAGAGGTAACGAGGATTTCCTGCATGCGGCTACAGTCATTGCATACGTCGATGTAGTAATTATAGGACAGCACAAGTCTGGTATCGTACTGAAGCAGTGAGTGCATGGCGAGAAATAGTTAGCGTGCAAACGACCTGGGAGGCTGCATCAATACAAGAAAAAGGCCCAGATGCCGTCGAATACCCAGAGTTTATTTTCATGCGCATGACAGAGACACACAGCCTCGCCGAGGGGTTAGGTTCCTGTCCGCATTATAACCCATATGAGAATCCTCATCCCAACCTTGCCGATGGGTAGGCCTTCAGGGATGCTTGCTGTGCTGGCCCCAGCCGCGCCCCGGCTCGAAAAGTGGCGTCTTAAGTCCACATCCGTCTTCACCGACTTGGACCTTCTGGAGACGCGAGATTGGGACCCGTAGCTGGACGTCAATGCGACGGGACTGCTGGTCGCCGCAAAAGCAAGAGGCAATCAGCTCGCATTTGAGGATTCGGAGCTGGTCAGCGGCCCTCGGTTCCAGTTCCAGTGCAGACGCCAGCGCAATGAGGAAACACACTACTCAGCATGACGTGCAGCAGGTTACGAGATGTTACATGGCCGCTCCATGCCAAGCTTTCTTCATAGTCCTGTAGGTTACCTGGGCATGCCGGGGGGGCTCGGCGAACAGACTCACGGGGTTGGCCCAGCGGTTGCGTGCATGCATTGAGACGGGGCCCCACGGCTTTTCGGGACCTGGACTGTTTCTGCGGGTGACTTGAGGGGGCCTAGGAAGCAAGCAAGCGGTTGGAAGCGTTTCCTGAATCGTCTCTTGTAAGTTGGGCACATCAAATACTCGTGGCTGGTAATGAACCGAATGCAAACCGATCCGTGGCTTGCGTACCTACAGTAGGCACCGTTAAGGGGGGGGCATCATTTGACAGGCGCATCATGTAGTAGCGCAGGCCAGCGTGACTAGCCGACAGCAGTCAAGAGACTTAAATAGGAGTAGCACATGCTGGGGGGAGGTCAGCAGTCTGGATCAGCCAGTAGTGCCCTCAGTGCCCAGAGGCTGGAAACGCGGCGTGTCAGCGCTGCGAGATCTCCCGTTTGAGGGGTGGTCCAATGAGACTCCCGGTCGGTGTTCCAGCCAGCACCTCGGGCACGCGGTCCCGTCACCCGAGTCATGCCTCCCTGAGGCTCGAGTAAGCCATTGAATGGGTGCTCCCGTTTTGTAAGGTGTTTCTGATTCAGGCCTCTTGGTCGCCGTTTCGGGGCGCCCAAGGTGAAGGCGACATGCATCAGGTGGTACTGTGATATGTATACATGTGTACAAATTTAGATTCTCCAAGACGGCCCAGGCAGTCTAGGGCGCTGGCTGTCTGTCACCTGCACAAACAAGGACAGAGAGGGAGAGGGGGAAGAAGGACGAGTGGCAAGCAGTCTTGGGGCAGGAGAACGGGTTGGGCAAGCGCATGGATGGATGGCAGCTATCCCGGAGTGACGACTTCAATTCAGGAGGCTGAACTCATCAAATAGCTAACTTATTAGACACTGGAACGGGCCCGGAAAGGAAATGTCCCAGGAACTTGAGTGCTCAGGGTCCCGTCTGGCTCAGGCATTAGTGGGGCCAAGGGCATGGATCAGCGGTTAGGTCCACTGAATCGAGTGCCTTCTGGGGTTGTGACAGGCCGCTGATTCGCCTAACAGCATTCCTGCTAATTACCCGGCGGGATCTGGTCGAGGCGAATGCATTCCACATAAAGAAGAACCCCAGTATTGCCCAGTGACCCAGGTCGGTCTCCAGAGCCCCTCAACCCAAGTCTCCGTCTCCGCCTGAAGGTGCTGGCATACCCTCGTCCTCCATCTGGATCCCGTCGACAACATAAGCAGCGTGCGTCCGACAACGCCGCCTCTCTGGACCTGTCACCCAAGTCCACAGCACCTCTACTCGCCTCCTCGCCCTCCCTCCTCGCCCTCTCGCCTCGTCCTGGGCCCAACCTACTGTACAGCACGCCTGCTGCTGCTGCCACCACCTGCTGTGTCTCGGATCTCCCCCTGCCCGTCGATTCCGTCAGCTTTCGGCGCTCGAGGCCTGCAGTCTCACTTGCACTTGTCCGTCCATGGATACGCCTCGGTAGCATTGTGTTTTGTGGCTGCTGATGGAGGACGGCACCAAGGACCACCAAATCTAAACGGCCATCAGACCGACGTCTACGAACCTTGTACAAATTTGGTTTCTCGCACCCGTCAGGAGTCTCATCTATCGGATCAGATCATCTTGAGTTCAGCCGAAGCCTGCTACAGACAACCTATCGATTCCCGAGCTACCTAGCCATACGTACTGCCAGCTCGATTCGCGGCCGCTTTCCAGATTGCCGTGTGTCGCCCGTGTCTATGTGACGGCGCGCCCTTCGCAGCGTCCGTCGAGTCACCTTTCTGCAAACCTGGATCACACCTCTTCCGAATAAGACCTGTCGCCTACCACTGTCCGGCGCGCTCGATTATAAACTCTGGGACCTGCATCCTAGCTAGTTGCGGCTGCTCGACCACTACTGATCGAGTCCTTCAGGCATCCCCAGGGTTCCCTGCGACGACTAGGCTCGAATATTCGAAACAACCCCCCTCAAGTGTTCCGCCTCATCCTGGCGTCACTCTCCCATCCTGAAGGCACTACCACGGCGCCATAGCCACTCCTCGTCATTCCGAGCGAGACACAAACGCCCCGCGGGTGGCCACCTCATGCGTACCCCACGGCACGGTCCCTATTCTCAATAGAAATAGACGCGACAACCAGACATCATGGAGCCAGTCCCCGAGACCGAGAGCCTGGAAAACTTCCAGTCCTCTCCCCTGCCCACGTTACGGCTTCAGCAGCCTAGGGCCATTTCTACACGCGACTTCGAGTTCAATCGCAAGCCTCCGACAGTCAGACGGTCTACTGAACCGACGTCGCCGAGCTCGCCGGCTTGGGCCACCCCGCCGGCGTTGTCTCTGCCATATCGGCCGAGGACAACGTCGCCGCTGTCAGGTACCCACACGAGATCCAAGTCCGCTGCGAGTCTTGCTCCTCCCAGCATGTCGCGCACGAGATCTATGCCCGGCTTTGATGTTGCCGGTCGCTTGTCATCACCTCTGCTCCGTCCAGAAAGCCCGTCGGGATCCCCTAATAGAACGAGACAGCGTCGAAAGCCCGCTGATGAGGCGTTCCCGCCCACGTCGCCTATCCGTTCGTCAGTCCTGGAGAGCAGCGAGAGGTTACAGCACGAAGGGGCAGCCCTCGGTCATCGGCGGACCGAGTCCCCTCTGCGACACGCCATACCCATCCCTCCCGCTTCGCAGGCAACTACGTCTCTGCCCTCGACGCCGTCGTCCGTTGCCACGTCACCGTCGTACCGGTACGATATGAATTCCGGTGGCTACAATTTTCCGTCTTATTATCCGCCATCCTCGGTGCCATCCACTCCTACGTCGATCAGATCTCGGAGCCCCAGTATCTCTAGCTTGGAAACTATTCCAGACTCTCCAGACGCTGAAGAGGCTGCATTGGAAGATGAGCGGATGGCAAAGCTGCGAGCAGCGGCCGAAGGCTCAGACGGGGAGGACTCTTCTGGTGAATCCAAGGGTAGGAACAGTGCAGACCTGCAACCGCGCGGCAGAACACTGGGTCTGGGTTCCAGAGACAAGCGGAAGCGGTGGAGTGTTTGCGGTGCCGAGAGGAGAGGCGACATTGACCTCGAGACGATTTGGGAGGACTGAATGGCCAGACGAGCCTACGGCTCTTGTGATTGGAGTTGAGAAGGCGCGCGACAAGTATCACGATACAGGCATAAGGCGGCTTTCGATCGGTTCAGAGCATTTGCATTTCGGTTTTGTTAAGGGACACAAGGAGGCGTTTCTGTTACAAGCTGCTCGATACCCTGCTGCATTTGCATTTTAACACACGAAAGGCATCGTGGACATAGGCAATCCTCACACACTGTATAGCGAATCTATTGGCTGTTTTTTTTGCAAGGGATCAAGATTGTCATCAAGCTTCCCTGTGATATTGTTATCTCGGGTTCCAAGTGCGCGGCGTATGAGATTGCGATTGGGTACCCAAAACTCAGGGAACCCATTGTCTTAATGTGACCAATCCTCAATGCCCCTTTCCTGGTAGCCTGGCCGCATCTCGAGGCTAGCAAACTACACTCAATGCGAGGCTGATATCGCTGAGCATTATTGTAATGTGAGTATCTATGCAACCTAAGGGCCCGTATGGCTGCTTCTTATACGAGTGCAAAACACAAATGCTTCCCTGCAAGATCGTTCTGCCTTAGGAGACATAAATCTCTAACAACGAAAGGCCCATGTCGGGTACGTGTTTGCTGTTCTCGAATAGTTACTGGAACATTGATGACCTCGGTCTACACTGCGTTGTCACGAGCACTGCACGCACGCATCTTGGACAACTCGATGCCTCTTGCCGAACATGCTGAAGCGAGTTGCTAGGTTGTCATTCTGAGCTGGTTGCCCGATCGAGACAATTACCGCTGTTGAATCGTAGCCTTCATCTTGCCTGCAGCCTTGCGGAGTACTGCATCGAAATCTATGTCGGGCTGCGGCAACAGTAGGTTCGTGCGCTTCTTCTGTACAGGGTCCAATCAGCTTTATGGGCCTTGACATCCAGAAAGCTATGTGTTGACAGTTGGGCACATTGAGTCTGGGATATAAGTAGTAACAGACGAGTTCCTTAAGCTCGGGATAGCAAACCGGTTGCTTACTTCCAAGCGTTTGACTCTTTTGAACATAATCCCAACCAGCCAAGAGAGGCCCGCTGAAGGTTTACATGAACTGCAGCCCAGGCGGAAAGGAAACTGATCCTCTCAGTTTCCCAAGTCGTTGTGTATTTACTGCACAGGCCTCTAACGTCCGATCATGCGCCTTCGTTTTGCTACTACGACTTATCCGTGGACTATCCTTCAGAAACACTCAAGTGTACCATCATCATCAAAGAAACGTCATCTCCAGTATGGGTTATGTGAGGCTAGCGCGCGATGACAGATATGGTGGGTTGACGTGGATTCCACCTCAAGATACGCGGCTTTGTTCTGGTCCTCTGCTGACAGATACCGATCCTACAGATTCTGATGGTGGACTGTTGCCAGAGAATACAACCAGGTCGGCTTGTGTTTCTGATGCTAGAGCGCCAGCTCTGTCAAGACTCATGGTCAAGCCTCGAAAGGTCGTACCTAAACCTGACTTGAAGGGTCCAGGGAGCACAACTCCCATGGTGGTGGAAGCTCCCGTAACAACAATTTCGTTGTGGAGAAACCAGGCTAGATCCGACTTGATCTTTCCAAGTAGAGTCCTGGCCGAGACTAGGCTATAGGGTCTCCCATGAAGCTCGCACATTCCATGGACTAGTTATAGTCCAAAGTTCTGAAGAGATTGAGGCCACCGGAAGACGGGTGTACAGGCGCAGATACTAAAATTTAAGAAGCTCCAATGACAGACGATTATATCAGCTAAGCCAACGCCTAAAGCACTGGATTGAGCGAAGGGTCTGTCGTTTCTGGCTTTCTGAAGCGACAATCCGTTCAGCCAATACCCAACAGGACGGCGGCATTATGCGTGTCGTGCTTCACCCGCCGCTAGCCTTGACGGTACATCGTATCCTGACCAAATAACCTGCGGTGGTGGGGCAGTCGAGCGTGTAAGCGAGGGCGTTCTAGCGCAAGCCTCAGCCTCCCAGGATCATCCTCCAGTGCCTTACCTTGTTAAGCTTATTGCCTATTTAGGCCATTACCTATTCAAGCCAGTTGAGCCAGCCGCCTTGTGCGAAAAACATGACGAACCGGCCTTCATACGAAAGCACCCCGAGTCTTTTCCCTCAAACTCATCCTGTAGGTAATAAAGTGGCTATTGTAATTTTGTCACCGTTTTTTACCTGTCAAAGTCGACGCATTCCTCGGCCACCACCAAACGCATCAGCTACCACGTCCGAAAAACACGATGCCGACGACCGCCAACTTGAGTCACAGGGGTACTCGCCATCGATGCCCCGGCGATTCTCCTTATCTTCGCTTTTATCATTATGTTTTGCACTGACAACTCCAACCAAAGCTTGAAGCAGACTGGGGCGACTGGGTCGCGTCTTACGGCAGTCTCGTACTCACCAGGCCACTCTGAAGTTGATTTGCCATTATCGAGTATATTGTACGATAACATCTATCACAAGTTTGAGCCTGTTCTCGAAATATGTACGGGAATCCCACTCCTCTCTCTGATGTTATTATCTGACAAAGTCTCAGACAACCAGGAGTTTTGCAAAATCCCTTTAACTTTGGACCTCCAGATCAATCCGTTCCGATACGGTACACGCCTTAATCTGGAACCTCTATTTTTGGTTCACGCTGTAATGGCATTAGCTGGCCATCATGTAGAAAGTACCCGGAGCCAGCAGCGTTGCCATACCGCACTTCGATTGCTCCGTGAACGTCTAAGGACGCCCCTTGAACCAGAAGATGCATACAGTATGCTTGCTGCAATTATAAGTCTCTTCTCGTTAGATGTAAGCAACCTTACCGGCGCTCCAGCATATTGCTGAATCTAGCTTATAACCGCTTCCAGGAGACCCAATCCGCCCTTGGAAATTGGAGAATACACCTTTCGGGCGCCTACGCCCTCCTCGAGGCATGCGGCGGCATCAGACGATGGGCTATATCTGCCCGGGTACTTGCACAAGTAGGAATGCTGACGTGGTACGTTGCCGATAACCTTGCCAAGATGACTAGTTCCAAGCTGACTGTCCCAGGTGGGATGCCATCACCAGTCTGGTATCTCGAGAGGACTGTGTGTTTCCGTACGCATATTTCGAAGCCGTGTTATCAAACCGTAACGAAGACGACTTGGACTACTACAGCCTATGTGGATGCCCTCAAAAGCTCGTGGAGACAGTTATGCGATTAGCACGCCTAAGTGCAGAGAAGAGGAAGTCATCATCGATACACGACGCCACATTTGACAATACTATAATCTCAGACATCGCGAAGGTTCTCCACTCGTGGCATCATTTCCCTCCCCCGTCCGCTTATTAAGACAAAGAATCTTTGCAACACGATCAGGATGCCATGCACTGCTCTGAAGCATGGAGGTATGGCCTCCTTCTCTACATAGATAAGGTGTTTTCGTGGAAGCCTGGAAGTCAAATGCCGACATCCGTCTTGTTGCGCGCCAGGGTCGTGACAGATCACATATTCGCATGCCGCGACGACCGCATGATCGCCAGGCAGGTCTTATTACCACTGTTTTTTGCTGGCTGCAAGCTGGGCGATGAATCAATACGCAGGAAAATCCTCAACACTGCGGCATTTGGAACGACAGAACAAGATATCACATGTTCAATAGCACAGTGCCTTTACTAGAAGAAGTATGGGCAGAACAAGAGCAATTGGGGGCCGAGAATGTGTGGTGGGGCCGGGTTGTGGATGGAAGGCACACGGCCGAGTCAAATTATCACTTGCAGATGCGGCTCTGTTTTGGCTAATCAAATGGATATATAATGACATCACTCTTGATAGATTGGGATAAGATAAGGCGAGGAATTGAACCGAATTGTGATAAGTAATACTGAAGGGAGAGCGGTGGCATAAAGTGTGGTGTCGATTTGCTGCAGTGGAACTTTCTCTACTGGTGATAGGTACTGTAGGAGGACGCGCCAGCGATCGCAATATCTCAAGTACGTGAGTCTTGGGTGGCAAAGCATCGCACATAGCAAAGGGATCAAGTATGTGGACGGAAGAGTCCTGTTCTGACGTGCTCCTTCACAGCGATTGTAGGACATTCAGGTCCTATCGGCATTCCAAATTATTGGGGACAGGCGTACTGGTTACGAGCGTGATCCAGGGTTCGAGCGTGAAGCAGCTCCGCTAGATTCGTTCACAGCTAGACTAGATTAATTGTTGATTTCCACCTACAGTGATTTCACGTTTGTCATTGTGGAAATTTGGCACGTACTCCAAAATCTCATGTCTTTTCGTTGGGTGCACGGACGGCTTCCTGTATCCATATGATCGACATGCCCATTGCCTGTACGGATTGCTGCGCCGCAGGAATTCCAGGTTAATTCTGCAGCAAATGCTGACCAGATAGCCGCACCGACGTCACTCCATATCCTAATTTAGATTTTCTGCAAGGGTCCAAGTGCCACTGCTGGAGATCTTCAGGATGCAGCTCGATCATCCCTTTTCTGAAGTCGTAAGCATTTCATGATACACAGCATCCTCACTTTAGTGCCTGAAGTAATTCATGCGCAACATGTCGTGAAGACCAGCACCCGAGCATCATGGCCTCGCATATCACTTCTGCTTCAAAGCCAACGCCTGAGACACACATCAATGTCGATAACCATGCACGGGATTATGTGCACCTCGCGCCGCCTCATTGGGAGAGCGAGTCTCCAGGTGCCTCCAAGGTTCCTATAGTTGATCCGCATCACACAGCCACGGAAGGATGGCATGCGCCTTACCTTCGACGAAGAACCCTTACGCTATTTATCATTATATTTTTGATATGCATCATTATTCTTCAAGGACTGGTCGTTGCCTCTGATAAGCAAATAGGCCTGGGCACAAGCCAAGAGCGGCTCCATTACTTATGGACGTACGGCCCGACTGCGTTCCTTACGCTGCTGGCATCGTTCTGGGCGAGAGTTGCTTGCCAGGCCAAGCTCGCTGCACCATGGAGCCGAATGTCTCGAGGTCCAGGCGGGGCCAAGCAAACTGTCCTACTGGACTACTTATCCATGTGGCTTCCCATCTCAATTTTTCAAGCCGTCCGAAACATGGATTTTTCTGTGGTGGCTGCGTCAGCAAATCTCATAATCATCAGAGTGCTGATTGTCATATCGACGGCATTAATTACCCTGTCTCCTGTTCAGGTGCTTCGTTCAGAGGTCCCGTTGGTTCTCAAAAGCAGATTCGCCGAGAACTCAACTGGGATCAGGAACTCGCCCTTGGCATATTATACGCTCGAGGGCCTAATCCGCTTCAACAGCACGGCATCTGACGGGTTTACGTCAGACTGGGCTTATCAACTTGTGGAGTCCATGACACCCAAAACCAACCACTTCAGTGCAACTGTAGATGGCTTTTCCGCCGGGTTAGACTGCGAAAGCGCAAAGATTAGCCTGGTGGACTCAAACCGGGCTGTCATAAACAAGACGGACTACACCCGAGTGAGAATGACCCTTGAGTCTGCCGAATGCAGTATGTTTCTGCCGATGTTTGGCCCATCTGCTGCACGGCAAATCGGTACTCCTTCGACTTTCCTTCGGTTCCTGCAGGGAGGGTGTAACGGGTCGACCCTCAATGAAGATCTTTATCGGGTTGGAATCATCTCGTCGACTATAAACTATACAGACATGGTATTTGCGCAGCACGTCGAGCGCCCCGCCGTCCAGGATGTCTACAATGTTTCCAGCACCCTAATAAGATCAACGGGGCTGATATGCAAGCCTACTTACGGCGTCAGGCCCATCGATCTCATCAAAAACGATACGAAAACATACATTTCGATCCCCAGCGAGTCAGCACCTCGACAGCTGAACCAGGTTCGCTCTTGGGATATTATGACCGCTTTTTTTGGTAGCTTCCTGAATTTGTTATGGACAGATTTGCAGACAGAGTACACCAAAACGTCCTTGATAGACGTTCGCGACGTGCAAGTGGATGTCGACCAGCCAATGCGCGCAGCTCTGGAGCTCTCGAATGTGACGACAGGCTTACCTTCTGTTGAGTCTTTCTTCGACGAATCAAGTCTCCTCCACTTCGTTCAAACCTACTATCAACAATATGGAGCCATTATTGCTCATAACTTATTGACTGAGGTCGCCACAACCCCTATCGAAGGTTCCGCTTGGGTAGAACAGGACCGCTTGGTTGTACGAAGCTTGGCTGCCCATCTAATGACGGGTTTCCTTATACTTGCTATTGGGTTGGTATTTGTCATCTGGTGCATGACAGTTCGCCAACCTGTGCTCCCTCGGAGTCCTAGCAGTCTCATCGGCACTGCTGCGCTACTAGCAAACAGCCGAGTGTTCCTGAACTCACTGCATGGCATGGGAGCTGCAAGCCTGGATAGCCTTCGGGATCTCATGGACTGCTGGGAGTACGAAACGAAAACCGAGAATGGGTGCTTTGCCGTCCATAACCATCAGAGACTGCCCACGAATGACGACTTGGAAGTACGGGGGAGTGAAAGGCATAATTCTCACCCTAGGACGCTTCGTCCGATACTACGGATTGGTGTCTATGCCATACTGATCGCTATCATTGTTGTGCTGGAGGTCACGCTCAAGATTTCCCAGTCAGACAAGGGACTTGGCGATGCAGGAGATGAGACTTATGTTCATTATCTATGGACTACAATCCCAGCCGTGGTGCTTACTCTATTTGGCATGTATTTTGCCGGGGTTGACTTCGACACCAGAGCCCTGACACCTTACGTGAACCTCAGCCGGGGCGCCACTTTTGAAACTTCTGTTGGCCTCGACCTCGTCGACCGCTTTACCCTTCCTACCATCGTCAAAGAAATTACCACAAAAAGCTACGCGGCGTTAGCATCTACAACTACTGTGGCACTCACGTCCCTGCTCACCATCTTTACCGCGTCTCTGTTCTATACGACCTCGGTCCCAACGGTGTTCCCAGCCGCTTTGAATACAAAAAGCCTGATATATACAGGAAAGCTTGAATCAGGAGCGGTACCGGATGGAGAAGGGATCCTGGCTTCATCGTTAATATTCCTAAGTAACCTTTCGTATCCCGCCTTCACTTATGAAGACCTTGTGTTCCCAGAAGTTGAGCTCACAGGCATTGACTCAGATGGTTCAAACAATCACAACTCGTCCAACTTTATGATCAATGCCACAGTATCGGCCATGAGGTCGCACCTCTCTTGCAAAATATATGACCAATCAGAGATACAGGCCAACATCACTCTTGGCACCAACGTTACACGTTATTACAGAGACGCAAGCCATAATTCCACAGCCAAGTACAACTATCTGAATCCTCTCAGAGTAGTGATAAAGGGAGAAAGCTGCAACATGGACCCGGATATTGGCACCAACCTACTCTTGGGCACGGACGTGAACGCAACCAGCGGATATTTTGGATATGGAGATGCCGCGATGGCCGGGAGTTTTGTGACCGGCTGTAGTGATTTTCTATATATGTGGGGTAGCTGGTCAAGGCCCTCCGAGGGTAACACCGGCGCTGTTGTATCCGCGTCTGCTATGGGCTGTAACGAATCTTACGAAAGCGTCGATGTTTCGACAACATTCTTAGGGCCTGACCTACGCATAGATCCGGCGTACCCTCCCAGACCCGACGAGGCAACAATGCGAGCCATGGCGATCCCGCAAGAACACAAGGACAACTATATCTATTATCGACTGGTTCCAATGACTGGTGTAATGAACCTGGATACCTTTTTCACCCTTGCCACAACAAGCCGTTATGGCATGCCGCTGGCGCTGCTTGAGGACCCATCAAATGCTCATATTGTGGCAGATGTGATAAAATTTCACCATGGCATTATCCGAGCTCAGGTCGCAAGCAGCAGCTACCGCGGTTCGGTCCGTCCATCCTCAACAGACATACCTGCCGGTATCTCAGTTGTTGGCCAAATGAACCAGACAACAAGCAACCCCGCCATCGTTGATGATACTTCGACTCGTCGTCGGGTCGTGCAGGACCCTGCCTCAACACATGTCATCGAGGCTCTCCTGGTGGCGACACTGGTGTGCTCCATGGTCGGCTGGTTCCTCATGCGGAATACGGATGTACTTCCACGGAGCCCGACCAGCATTGCAAGCGTGGCGGCACTGCTGTCAGACGGCAACTTATTGCAATACTTGCCGGCCGGTGCAGAATGGACTGGTACTGGAGATTTGGCTGGGATGTTTGATAAGCTTGCAGTGTTCTGTCTGGGATGGCAACCGTCCACTGATGCTTGCGGAGATCGATATGCAATCTGTGTTATGCCAGGCGCTTCACAAAACGAGAAGGCTTTCTCTATAAATGAAGAAAGACCAGTGCAAGCGACCACGCCTGAAACAAGTCCTCCAGAGCACCAGCGTGAGGAATCGTTGAGTGGTATAGGATACTTGCGTGTTTCTCAACGAACCACATTACTGCACAGGAATGTATCTGACAGCTCGAGCTTTCACCGAGGCGAGGAGATGGAAGAAATACCCGTGTCGCCTGTCAGCTCTATGCTTCCTATCCAAACCTGGGATGATGCCTGGGATCAGACGTCAGGTCGTCACCATTAGTCAGAAATGAGTAGTTGCTAGATGTACTCAAAAATGAATTAATCCAACTTCCCGTACTAGACGGATCCAAAACTCTGGGTCGCCTGCAGTAATTGTCATCGGCTCCCACTTGGGACATTTTGTAGCTGACCTTCAACGTTCAGTACAGTCTAGGCGTCAGAGTGAATTGAGATGAATACATAGGTAAATGTGAACTACAGTACGGTCTAATTAGCCGTGTTTCACAGGGCACTCAATATCCCCAAACCTCTCATGTCCGCTCTAGATCGCCTGCGACCTGTTTCTTCTTGGCTTGGATTCTTTCTGGAGATGCCTTAAGAAGGAACTGAGGCAAGAAGAGTATTCCCGGGCTGATATTCTGCAAGAACCAGTACAGGTCCGACAACGGCTCGATGCCTGGCATCATGTCTACAGGCCGTTGTACACCTGCAGCAACAAAAGCCTCGTCGATGAGCATCGCGAGTTCCCAGTCTATCCACCCACTAATTTCGCTCTCTGTCTTCTTCTCACCGAAGCCATGGAGTAGCTGTTCTCGGAGAAGATCAACCGCCCCTCGCGGGACGAGCAGGCTGTGGAGCTGATCAAACAAATAGAATAACTCGTCGGCACGAGACGCGATATGACTGAAGTTGAAATCCAGAAGGGCAGTAAATAGTATTAGTTTCCGGGTCAAATAGGAGGTTGTGTAAATCTGCAATATACATAACTTTGTGAGTATTGGTGTAACCAGGTGGAAGTGGCTTGTAGTGATGAATAACGAAAAGAGGCTGACCGAAATCTCCATGCACCAGGGTTGGACGAGGTTTTGCGTCCGTGCTTGCTTCCAGTAGCGACATGAATCCATTCTTTACGAATGCCTCGATCCGTTCGCGCAAGTTGAACTCGAGTTCCTTCCAACCGCCGATAATATCACTTACATCCAGGAGCTTGAGCTGCGTCTCCAAACACCTGGCGATTGCTGATGAGTATACCTACAGCATAGGATAATGGACAAACATACTGACGATACAATTCGTAATATATCTTGCATACCCCTCTAGCGCCATAAATTGGCGTTGCTCCGACAACAATGCTCCCATCGTTGGCAAACGCAAGGCCACCGTATCCCTGGACGGAAGCCGGAAGGTCATACTGCTGAATAGACCGAAATATCTTGGCAATCTGCGCTAGGACCTCACGTTTTGTTTCGCGGTCCTTCTTCTTGAGTGCCTCGGCTTGTTAGACGACACCGGGCAGGTACTCCATCAGAATCCACCCAACCTCTTGGCCCCGCGTGGATGCCTGTTTCCATCCGTACACTCGCGGGACGATGGGACGGGCCAGCGAAGTCAGAGCCGCACGGGCGAGCGCCATGCTAGCAACTTCACTCTCGACAAGGACATCATTATTCAGATTGGCAGCTGGATCGGTAAAACGCAGGATCAATTTGGTGGTGCCTGCGGCTAGAGGATCCGTTCCTGCTTGTCCAGACGCCTGCGTGAGCTCTTCGGATTCTTCTACTTTGACGGTGATGTGATATACTCTGCTGTTGTTGGAATTCGGAAGAGAAACTGGGAAATAACAAGACGTATCTGTTAATCCCTGGCCGGTGGGTTAGGAGATTCAGCATGAGAGGAATTCCAAGGCTGCCAGAATGCGAGCCGGGAGCTTCGGGCGGCGACCAAATTGATTACCAACTAACCAGGATACTACCTCCCTTGCAGCGCCCATTGTGCAGCCCACGATCTAAAAAGGCGATTAAGCTGTGAATTTATCAAGCAATATGCACTATGTACATAAGACCGGGCCCTGACGCATCGTATTTCTATCAACATGGTTTCACACCATAACAGTCGGAAGGGATTCGGTACGACCGTCCCTGAACTGACCTCGAAGCCGTGTATCAAAGCCTTTTGCAGTGCCACACGGCCGCAGGCTGATGCCCCAAATTTTCCCTCTCGTGTTGGAACACAACCACCGGAGAGATTCCATGATGTTAACAAGTCACTTGGATGTAACATCGTTGTCTGGTCTCCCGATTTTTCTCCTTTCCCTTCAGTACTACACTAATCCTCACCCGCATCGGTCACAGAGTATGCATACTTTCGATAACCGACAAGATGACAGGGCCGTGGGACGGAAACTGTGAACGAAAGACATAGGCCAGACATCGGCAATTTGTGGTATGCGTTGCCGAAGAAGGGGTGGATATCTCGCGGGGCTCACTTTGAGTTGGACTCGGATGAAGTGATCGTGTTCTTACATTGATAGCCTGGTTAAAGTTCATGTATTTACGTGTGTGTCTGATGCCGCTGCATCCATACAAAGAGGAATGAGCGATAAAGATCAAATCAGGGGGTGACGCGGGCTGATACTTCAAGGCGTGCCATTCGTTTCTCTATTTCCTTCTTCCGGTGCAGATACGCTTAAGGCCATCTACTTGGTAGCTAGGAGAACATAGGCCTCGAATCTAACCCCCCCAAATTGCTCTATCTCTTCCTTCACGGACTGTCTGACGGAGTCAATCCATCTAAGTTCCTCTTCCTCTGTGTACCCCTCCCGCGCCTTACTCATCATAGGACCCGACATGAGCATGGTGAGCCCAGCTATATTTTCGTCCTCAGTAATAACTAGTACCTTGTCGACCATTGTTATGTATTCCTTAGCAAAACCACTCTCCTCAGCCACATTTTGTAGCACGCCTTCTTTGTAGAACTCTGGACTTGGGGTAGGCATGAGTGGCAGGTCCGGGCGAATCTTCTTCTGGGCGGCATGTACGATAAACATGGGCGCGAAGCGACGCCAGCAGGTAACGACAGCGAGGCCGCCAGGCCGGAGCGTGCGGTACACCTCGCGGAGGGCACCAATGGGGCGAACAAAGGTAAATATGCTAAAGTTGTTGATCGAATGGGTAAAGTAGTTGTCAGGTACCGACGACGACAGGTCCTGCGAGTCGAGCTCCTTGCAATCGACGTGGGGTAGTGGAGAGGCGATGAGGGACTCGCGTGCGGCCGACACCATCATAGCGACATTATCTGAGACCAGCATCTCTTTTGGCAAGTCGCTACTGGGGAGGCGGGCGACGATTGCCGCGGCACCTATACCAGGCCCAGCCGCCGTGTCATGCACGACCGAGTCCTTGCCAATAGGGTTGGCAGAAGTCTGCACATTCTCGGTGATAACCTCGACGAGAATGTTGAATGTCGCGTTACCGGTCTAGCGAACGTAGTTGCTGGCAAACTTGGAGAAGTAGTCAGGTAGAGGGAGATGCGGATGTTGTGAAGTCATCTTGGAGGTGACGACTAAATAAGTTAATGGTGGATTGAGTAAGGGCTGATTGTTGGAGAAACTTACGCAAAAAGCAAGAACGGGGTTAAAAATAGGTTAGAAAGTCACAGAGATGGTTATGGTAAGAATTGAGAGTGAAGATTTGTTGTATTAGAGAGAGGGTATTAGCTAAGCAGAGCCGAGCTCCAGCTCTCCTCGATCCGCGTTCAAGCCCACCTCTACCCAGCAAGCGTCGTATGTTCCACAGGCAGCAAACCACTAAGCAGGCGTACCAGTCTCTAGCATAGCCGACGCGGTTGGAACTAGTTCTTTCTCAAATCTTGGCACTTGCGCTTTACGGCCCTTGCATGGCTCCGTGGACGGCGGGTGACCAATAGCGCCGCCTCAATCCCGTGGTCCATCAGGCACATGTGTGAATACATGTGAAGAGACACATCAGAGTCGGCACACTCTGTAGGCGTGGCTTGGTGCTCCGACCTCGCCGATGCAATGCTGAACCTGGGTCCAACTGAATGGATGTTATCCTAGTACTCTAGACCCCGTAATGCCCCCAAGTGCTGATTATAGCACTAACTTAGTGTGCTCCGCACTCATAGTGGCCCGCGGCTGCGCTGTGCCATCTCTGCTGGTTAGCCCGGTTGCGGCGCCTTCACGAATTCCACACTTATTCTACTCGGTACTATGGTACGCTTCGGGGAGTTAAGGCTTACACTTGACTTTACTCAAGCAACTACGTGCCATCGCAGTAAGAGATTAGAAATAATGAGCCCCCATTGTACACCTATGCGGAGGATATATGTAGCCTCTTTAGGTTGACATTCTTGTAGCAGGTTTGGTAGGCACCAGTCCATTGCATGAAAGACCAGGCCGTGAGGCTGATCCGGTAGAAAACGTGAGCCAGCTGGTCCGCAAGGACGAGATATCTTTAAGTATTCGAATCTGTATTTCTTCCCGTTCGCTTGGACAAATTTGCTCAAAGTCGACTTGAATGGCAATTTCGACTAGATGCAACCCTGAGAGCGTCTGCTTCGGCAGCGTGAGGATGCAACCAAGACTGAGACAAGCAAACCGCCCGGAGAAATTCTTATGCTATAGTTCAGTGTTGAATCATATCGGCCAAGCTGCCAAAGGTTAGCGAATCTTACACATAGTCGTCAAATATGACATACAATATCAAGACTTATCAAAATTTCGACTTCCAGATAATGCTGAGATACAGGCCCAAGATTGCCCAGGCTTAAGTGAAGTTTGGCCAACTTCTACTATACGGTATGTGATACGCCACCGAGTCGCTGGTAGGCCATTGTAACTGGAATTACAGCCTCCTGTGAATCTGTCCCATAGGTAAGGCCTACAAACCATGAAACCTCACCACAACAAAAAGGCAGAAATATTATGCATCTTATTCCTACATGTTCTAGGTTTCCGTGTTATTCCATGAGTTATTGAGCGCGGTCGTAAGGTTGACCCATCAAGAACCTCATCCTTGATGTGACCATGGGGGAGCGTCGCTCTTGGCGCACCTACTTCGCTATAGAAGTAAGTCCGTAGAAGCTGAAGGACGGGCACTGATAAAGTGCGATGCCATACATCATGTACATATTGAAGTACCGAATTATGTGTGCGGGGCGGGTGGAGCCGCTCCCGCGAAACCGGCCGGTACATAACGGTACCTAGCTGACTAGCTTGTCTGCCAAAACAAAAGCTCAAGCTGAGTTTCTGCCCAATCGAGGTGGACGGCTGCTTTCAATCTCAACCACATGCATCTTTGTCCTTCAACATCCATCAAACTGACTTCCATCGTCGATATGGAAAGACTTCCGGAAGAGCTTATTGCCATGGTTGCGGGCTACCTGCCAAAAAAGGGCCTCGCTCCCTACGCCACGCTATCAACACGGTGGCAGCGAGTAATCGAACGGCGCACATTTTCTAAACTTCATGTCAAAAGCACCAATGAAGATATGGAGATTCTAAGACTTCTCTTGAATTCTCACCGACTCACATACCTTAATGAGCTTTACTTTACGGTTGTTGTCTCTTTCAATGAAGCCAGCATCAAACAGCGCAACCAACAAGAGGCGCAATTTAGTGCTGCCTTCACGGAGGCTTTGCGGCACCTGTTCCTAGTCCTATCTCAAGATGTTTATCCTGCTACCAGCGGGAGCAAGAGTAAAATGCTCCTGCAGATTTCCGGGGTGAAGTCGGTACTGGATACCTGGGACCAGCCGTCCAAATACCTTGCACAACACATCGGACTGGTAGGAGTTGAGTCGTTGCCAACTGTCGGATGCATATCTCGATTGGGACTCTGTGATAGCGACCGCAAGGTGGCCCTCCGAGCGGGTATCGAGCTTTCTACACGACTGCCAAACGTTCGCAGCATTGATCTGGAAACAGTTGAGCAGGACTTGGCAAGGATTACAAAGAATGCTGTATCACTTCGGGAAAACCGCCGTAACCTCGCAGAAGCCCTTGCCAAAACCAAACTTATCGCGAGATTAATTCAAGGCCAATTCAGCTTGAAGACGGACGATATTGAGGCAACAGACTTGTTATTCAAACCTCGCTTTGCGTTTCCTAATTGCCATGCAAATCCGGCAGCACCATCGTACGATCCTCTAGGTGTGGCAATACGTACCTTGTCCCAGAATCTTACCTCTCTCAACCTTTGCGGAACATTTGATGCCGCTCTCTTTTGGCCTTCTGAAGCCGAACCCGGTGATACCATCGCAACAACATCGTCAATATCTGCGCTGTGGCCTCACTTAAAGCACATGACTGTGAAGCTGGGCATCTGCACTCCAGATGGAGGCTGGCACTTTAAGGCGAAACCCGGCGCAATGACTCGGAGAGGCTCCTGGCCCCCGCCCCTGAACATTCCCTGTGAGGAGACAATGCAACCTTTGTTTGCCTCCTGGTCGAAGGCACTTTCCCAGATGCCCGTTCTTCAATCAGCCACAATATGGTTCCACGTGGAAATGATGATGCCAACTCCTGGCTTCGACCCACCCGAGCAGCGCGCCGTCGACAAATGGATTGTCGGGTTTCAGGCTCCTGGTGTCATTCCTGACCCAACAATCTATAGCTTTCCCAGAAGAAGAGTCACTATGTCAGAGTTACAGAGCCCGAGACTCATCTTTGAGCGGACTAACAGCTGGAGACCAATGAAAGCAACGATGATGGACTTGTATGAGATGGCAAAGCAGAAATTCCCAAGCAAAACCATGGTAGAGTTCGATGTGAACATCTCAAACAGGGTTATTCGGAGATGATATGCCACTATGGAACCGTCCCGTACCATCTTAAAAAAAGATTTTCCATCCGTTTCTTCCATGAATCCTATCATTTTCGCCAGGCCATACAGCGCGATCGTGTCAAGCTAGGTGGCGTTCTTGAACAAAGTCCTCATTTTGAATTTCAGAACCAGCCTGGTTAGTGGTATGCCTACTCTACGTAAGTTTCGCCAGGCAGCGGCCCACAGAGCCGCGCAAAATTTTCATCTAGCCAGCCATCGGGCCTCTTGTGATAGCCTAGACGTAGCACTGCCTTCTTTCCAGCGTGTGGTCGGTCCAAGCCGGGCTCGAACGCATCTATATACCAGCCAATAGCCATGGTGGCGAGTTTGGGTCTAGCTCACAGGAATCGTCCCTCAGAGAATTGAATCCGTTGTGGTACATGGACTGGTTGACTTCCTTTTCAATCCAGACAGCCCTCCCTGGGTGCCAACATTCGTGAGGCGAAGTAATAGTGATCCGCGAGTGGGGAATGCGATCTTAGTTAAATACCAAACACTGCTAAGTAAGGCCTTAAAGTTGCTTCAAAAGAAATCGGGGAAGTTAAGCTTAATATTATAGACAGTTCATTCAAGCCTGGTCCTTAAGCAGCCAAAGATCATATTAATGAATTTGATTATCCTGCAGGAGAAACAAGTGTTGGTTGTATTCTTTCAATCTTGAGGCTGGTTCTCCTCATCTTTTTTTACAAAGCCCCATTTCGTCTTCAAGTCCTCCAACCATCTGGACGTGGACACCAGCGTGCCGCCCACACGTAGCGAATCCACGATCCGACCGCCCACCATGACGTTTCCCTTTAGGCTTTGCAAGTACGTCTCCTTATCCCATTTTGGGAGATATAGCCACTCGTGCGTCCGATTTCACGCAAGAGCAGCGACAGTCTGCGGGCGCCGCGGCTCGCCCTCCTGGAGGATGCGGAAACAACTCTGGCAAAATGAAACATCGTAACAGAACTTACAGGCTTGCATAGAATTTTCGAAGTTCCAAGCAGCACCGCACCCATCGCAAAAACTATACGTGGGGATGTAAGTTATGGAATCGGACCAGTACTCCAAGCGCGCTTTGATTTTTGCATATGCTTTGCTCAGTTCTGAAGCTGGCTCTGAGCGTTCCGGCAATAGGTTCTCTATGCCACTAGGTACATTCGAGTTGGAGGCTTCGAAGCTAGTCTGCGCTTGATGGTCTGTTTCGATCCAGTCGTGCTGGCGAGTGTCTTCAGATAGGCGCTTCTCGATTTCATGGAGAACATAATCGATCTGATCCGGTTTAAGAGCGACCCGTTCACTGCACTCTTTCTCCATGGTGGCAATAAGACTTGAGGTCAAGCTTCGCACCAAGTCGTCATCGTCCTCTCCGTCAAATTCAAGTAACCATGACATGACGTTCCCCTTGTCTGGGTAAGGTACACGTTGACTTAAAGCTGAGAGAGCATCCACGTCTTCGCCACAGTGAAGCAGTGATGTAGCGAGATATATGTAGCCAAGAGAATCATTATCTTTGTCCTGGTCGGATAGTATGTCAAACGCTGAGTCCATACAAGCGCGCAGTGATGCTCGAGCACTCTGTGCATCATTCTTGATGAGATGGTAAGCAGCAATGTGTACCCTAGCTGCTGATGGCATAAAGGGGCTAGGAGTCGCGAAAGAAGTCATTGCTGCCATTCGATCAAAATGGGCCCGCAGGTTGGTGGACTCTTCAGGATTTCTGCTTTGTTCGAAATGGTGAGCGCTTATCAGCCGAGCTGCCAGAGCTGCCAACTGTGGAGGGTGTGACATCGTCTGCCGGATTTCTTGGGCAAGGTCCAAGCACTGCTGCCAAGAACGAAGAGCCGTAATGCGTAGAATCGGTTTGTTGTTGGCGCAGAAGTAGTATGCGGCCAAGCCCTTGTAAAAGTGTGAGGCCATTCGGGCATAGTCATCGTCTTCTGTAAGTCTCTCAGCTATCGAAGAGATCTCATTGATGATACGAGTCAGCACGGTTTGCTGGCTCTGAAGTATCGAGCAGAGCCTCAGGAACAGTGAGTCTTCCACGCCAGGCTGCAGCATTCGCTCAAGGACTTGACTAAGGACGCCGGACTGATTCGTGCCTGAGGTTTGAAAAATACCATGGGCGAAGTTGAAGGCCTCTTCAACGCGATCGTTGACCAAATAAATTTCCAAAAGACGGAACTGAGCCTCATGGTTCTCCGGTTCGATATCGACAGCCTTCTTTGTTGCGGTGATAGCTTCAGACGGATCATCAAGCTCGCTAAGCCAAAGCCCCAAATCAACATATACGCTGCTGAGATCAGCCTTCTTCAGTTCTGTCTCTTTCTCAAATAACTCTATTGCTTGATAAAGGACTTGGCAGGCTTCCTGGTGCTGCTCATCGTCGGCATACGCTCTCGCTAGTTTGTGCAATAGCTTCGGGTCAGGGTCCTTCAACTCGATAGCTTTCTGGAATGCTTTGATAGCCTCGTCAAATTGGCTCTGGGAACTGAAAGTCTCCCCGAGGCGTTGGAACCAGGTCGAGTCCTCATTTCTCACTTGTAATACATCCTTACACCAGCTTGCAACCCTGCCAATGTTTATTTCCTGGCTTGGAGAGTCGACGTTCTCCGTATTGGGGACCGTTTGTCCTTCACCTTGTTTCACCGAAGCAGGAGCATCGGAACTTGGCTACAAATGATCGATCGAAGTTAGATACTTGGATTGGGAAAAGAGCGTCTCCTTCAAAGGCAAAGTGGGACCCAAGGAAAAAGCTTCTATCTTACCATCGTCAGATATCCGCGAAGCCACTCAAACAGCCTTTCTACTGGCCACTCTGTGTCTTGTAGCCAACGACGAGCCACCATTTCCATAATGGGTCTCAATAGAGCTTGATTCGGGTTTGAATCTTTTTCGACTTCCTCCAGCCATTTGCGATCCTTTGTGCCGAGTTTGCTCCTTATGTTAGGGTTGCAGAGCCATCGTCGCATTATTGTGACTTCAGCCGCATCTCTATACCAAATTACCCAGTCAACCACATCCCAGTGGCGCTTCACTACGTCGCCGGACTCAAAGACAGCATAAAGGCCTTCTCCGATGTCTCTTATTTCCTGCGCGTCAAGCGTGTTTGTGTCTTCAAGGGCTTCCAGATGTTGAGGTAGATAGGCAAGGACGTATGAACCAAGGCCCTGTGTTTTCTTGTCTGGGGTGTTTCCAAGAATTTTGAAAGAGGCTCTCAGTATCGAAATAAGTGAGTCGATCTTGTTTACTTGAAGGCTTTCTCTAACATTGCCTGCTTCTACAGCCTTGTCGAAGTCGAAGCTGATCTGGGCCACTTTCTTGGAGAGATCCCAACAGAATGATTGTATGCTCTTCATATCTCCCTTGGTGATCTCTATCTTGGCGGTGATCTGAGGTGCGTTGTCTGTGGCTCCGAACTGCCTGTCTTTCCGTTGTAGCAGATTTGCAATGCCCTCATCGACGCTAACTTCTTTGTCTTCATCAAAGGCCAATATGCTGGAATATTTTCCCCCTTCCTCTACTTTTCTTTGCAGTCGGACGATTGATTTTGTTCCAAATTTGAGAAACTGGTCACAATGTAGATTAGTTCAGAGTCATCAAAAGTTTGGATCTCAGGATCGTCGCACAAGTGCACCATTTAGCTCATCTAGCGACCAGAATGTGTACTCGCCATATATAATCCATCTCAGTAATTCCTGTAGTTCTTTGATCTCTCCAATGTTCAACTTGGATTCGAGTTTGTTAATGACACTCAGTGAGGTAGCTTTCTCATCGTTAGAATCGTCGAGTATTCGATCGACCTCGGTATCTGGACCGTTGGAATCGAAGACGGCATTGATTTGTTCTATGACAGTGTTTATCTTGTTGAAATCCCCGCCCACCTTTGCTGTAAGCCTTTTCTCGGTTTCTTGTCTTCGCTTGTCGTCATCGTCGTCCTGGAAGATATCGTTCTTGCGCAGCTGCTGGGTAACGTATTCGCGCACGTCTGCCGCATTGGCTCGCACTATGTCCACGTTGGTAGAAATCCGCGACATCTCTGTAGATATCATATCCGGTCTCACCGAGATCAATATCCTTAAAGATGATTTGGATGGGCCTACTGACTCCAGAATGTCCCAAATCTGAGTGAAGTGGTCGGCCTTTTCCTTTTGTAAGGAGACAAGTCCGTCCATCACGATATAATGAACGGTGTTTCCTTTGGGCTCTGCTATTTCGAGAAAGTCCCAAAGGTCTTGGCACGAACCGTCTCTGATTCTAGCGTCTATATCAGTTTCCTTTTCGCATCTTTGGGACAAAGCCTTTGCGAATGCGTTATCGCGCTCTGCAAGCTGTACGGCGAGAGATTTGAGTGCTGTTTTCGCCGGGTTTTCTTCTCTTCTTTCCGCCACAGAGGGGAAAAAGTATGACGCAATCAGTGTTCGTGGCGAGAGCCTTGCAGGAGACGTGTACGTTAACTGAAGATGGCGTCGCATGTTGGACATGATGATAGATTTCCCCGTATTTTGGGGACCAACCACAAGGAAGATTGGTTTGGAGTCCTGACTGTTCCTTTCAGCCCAAGTATGGAACTCCGCATAGTCTTGTTTGTTCTTGAACCAATTGCCTGTTCCTGACATGGTATCCTTTAGCAGTCTTTCACAGGTAGTTTCACTACAAAATTCGGCATTAGCAGCTACAACTGAAGGTATGTCACAAAAGTTGAATTAATCTTCTTAATGTTCTGCAACCTAGATCGCGATGTCCTAGCCGTGGAAGAAGCGTGCCTCTTGCTCAAGAGGGGCTTGAGAATAGGTAAGATAAAGAAAAGGAATTTACTCACGATTGCTTCGTTGCCACTTCATCCCATCCAATCTTTTCCTTAATGACCTTGAGATATTTCTGCTTGTTATCTTCGAATGTCCGCTTATCATTTGAAGCCCTCAAAACGGCAACATCGCTAACTATTATGTCGGTCTTGCGGCCTATTTCTGCATTCTGGTATAGAATGGTCTTGAGATGGCTGTCGCTTTCCAGCACCACCTTGAGTGTCTGCGTTGCTTGAACCGTCGCGTGGGCCTGGGTCAGCCTCTTGAAGTTTTCAATCTCACCCGCAACGCCCGAATCTTTGTCCAGAAGCGCAGCCTTGGCATCCTTCCAGAATTTGCGCCATTTAGATCCATTGCGAAGCTGAACGGATAAGGCGCAGATGTCAACGAAGCTGATCATGAGGTCGTGTACGGCTCGGTTGAGCTCAGGCTCGACGTCTTTGAAGTTTTCTATCCTTTCATAAACCCTGAAAGCACTCAAGCTAGGACCCAGCGTTTCAAACATCCCAGCAATTGCTTGGTGGAATTTGTGGACATTTCCGGGAATATCCAGGAGAATGGCTAGCGCATTGAAGCACATACTCGACGGCGCGAAAACCTTCACAGAGTGAGCCCTGGTCTGAATAACCTATTCTGCAGATTGAAATCTTACATTACTGGCAGCCTGCGCAGCGACGCCCCCAAGAAGCTTGATGTAGTACAAGGTGTCGATACCAAGCTCTTTCGCTTTCTGGAGACCTTGATCGTCGTCTTGGCCGCTTGCGTCGTCTGTGCCACCCATCTTGTCGATCTTTTCGATACATGCATTCAATGTAGCCGCAGGCTTCATGTGTAGTGATGACCCCGTCAGTTGCTGGAATCTAGCCTCAGCTTTGCGCCAGAGTTCGTCCATCGGTGTAGGTTGCTGCTTGTTATGGGCCATCTTCGACTGGGCATTTAAGACCTTGGTGAGAGAGGAAATCCCGAATGTTCAGGATACGGCAAGGCTTCAGAGACTTTATTCGATTGATGATGAGGGCGAAAACTGCGCACTTTGTCAGACTCTGTCAGGCAACCATGCAAGTAAGCGGACCGGTGAAAATATGACGAATCAGCTTGCCGATTGTTGGCAATAGGTTGTGACACCGACAGCCTTATTGACCCTACTCGGAACTCGCATCCAATTAAGCGCTTGGTCCACAAACTGGGCAGGAAACGTAAGGCACGACTAATTTATGAGAGGATTTTAAATGTGGTGATGTCTTGTTCCAATCTAATGATTGCAATTGTGTCTGGCTTGGAATGGCTGTGAAATTACCACATCACGGATAGCCTGGCCTTCTGTTTCGCAGGCATGTGTCGCAAAAGCGTTTGTGATACGACATTTATTGAACGCTTATACTAAACGTTTGTTGATATGCTACCGCAGCCCTTTGATTATTGCCTTTTGTCAGAAGACATGGTGTATCAGAGGGCAATCCGACAGTCCGTATTGTGCGGGCAAGTGGGGCCTGCATTGGCATAGCAATATTTGCTACGTACTTCAGGGAACCCCGACAGGAGGAACAGGACCAATATAAACATCAACATACAAATTAGAAGCAATGCACTCAAGTATTGCAAGATCTGAACATCTAAGTCGCAAGGAGCTAGCTGTGCGTAAGCCACTGACCTGGTTAACTGCTTTACGCCTGTTACATTATAGTGCTTCTGCTCACGCGCGAGGAGATCACCCGGCAGCTTGTAGCTAGCGTATGAAGATTGCTTTTACAAGTTAGTGCTTTGGAATTCAGTTTTCAAAGTAGGACGCGGTTGGTATTGCTACTAGGTTTTCATAGTAGCGCTCAGTCTATACTCGGCAACCTAGCTAGTTATGTAGACTCTGTCTTTTTATACTCGTAAACTAAAGACCATTTTGAGCTTCGGTGTCCCTCGCAGCCAAGACACACAGAAGCATCTCGACTTTTTGCGGGGCTGGTGTCAACGATCCAGAGCGCTAAGACTGGTTTAGGCCTCACCAAACTCCATTCCACTAACCAGTAACCGTCCTATTCCCCGCGCGCTATCTTGGCTTAATCACACGATGAGACAATCGAATGGTTAGTCATGACCTAGAATCTTATCTCCAGCACGAACCAGTCGCAATCATCCTATGCATGTAGCAACCAGCATGAGCGAGATTTCGGGGCCAAGAGCTGGCACCCCTGATGGAAATGCCTCCGATGTGCACTGGTCCGATATTTCTACATGTCTGTTCCTCACCCCAGCTCTGCCCATTTCGCTGCAATCTCACTACACCCGTTGACCAGCTACTTGCCCATCGGACACAGTGATGGAGCACAGGGACGAGAAGACGCCGAAGATCATTTCTGATCTCGGCCAAGATACTACGGCGCCAACAGCAGTGGCGTCGCAAGAGCTTGTGAACGCTTCCGGCCACACTCAAGAACTCGAGCGAAACTTCAGCCTCCTTTCGTTGGCTGGTGTCGGAATCGTCGTCGGAAATGTTTGGCCAGCTGTAGGGGGTAGCATTCTCGTCGCGCTGTACAATGGAGGCCCTCCTGGTAAGCCACCTGGGTGACAATGACACTAACGCGCTAATCTTGACTCCTTCCTAGGCGTCTTGTACGAGTTCATCACGGTCTCGGTCTTTTACTGGATCGTTGCTCTGAGCATTGCTGAGCTAGCATCTGCCATTCCGTCCTCAGCCGGCGTCTACCACTGGGCCTCCGTCACCCCAGGGAAGCGATGGGGGAGGGTCATTGGCTACTTTGCCGGCTGGTGGAATTACCTGGCTTGGGTTTTCGGCGCGGCCTCTATGTCGTCGATTCTTGCCAACACTATTGTCCAGATGTATAGCTTGAACCACCCTGACTTCGTTGCTGAGAACTGGCATGTCTTCATTGTTTACATCATCGCCACTTGGATGGCTTGCCTGTCCGTCTGCTTCTTCAACCGAGCCATGCCATATCTCAACAACATCGGTATCTTCTTCATTCTTGCCGGATTCTTGATAACAGTCATTGTCCTTGCGGTTATGCCCGGGCGAGATGGGCGACCACCATCTGCGACCAATTCGTTCGTATGGACGGAATGGTCAGCCGATATCGGATACCCCTCTGGTTTCGTGTTTGTCTCTGGGATGCTGAATGGCGCATTCTCTGTCGGTGTTCCCGATGTTGTGTCTCATCTTGCTGAAGAGATACCCAACCCTGCAAGGAATGTTCCGATAGCGATTGGCCTTCAAATGGGCATCGGCTTCATCACCGGTCTTGCATACCTCATCAGTATCATGTATGCGATCAATGACTTCGACGCGCTTTTCGAGGTTGCCTATCCGATCGCCGAGATCTACCGACAGGGCACAGGTTCGGCCGCTGGGGCTACTGGTCTTCTATTCTTGGTGCTAGTCTGCATCATTATCTGTTTGGTCGGACTTTATATCACCTCCGGAAGGACACTCTGGACTCTGGCAAGAGACAAAGCAACCCCTTTCCCGAATCAGCTCTCGAAGGTCCATTCTACACTTCACGTGCCCATTACCACGACTATCCTCACAGCAATTCTGGTCACGATTCTCGGCTGCATCTACGTTGGCAGCACCACAGCTTTCAATGCCTTTGCAGGCAGTTTCGTGATCATGTCTTCATCGTCGTATATCGCAGCCATCTTGCCTCATCTGTTGACAGGACGAAAGAACATCTCCTTCGGTCCGTTCAATTTGAATAAAGGGCCATTGGGCTATATTCTCAACGCCATCGCATGTGGCTACATGATCGTATGGTTTGTCATCTATTGCTTTCCCTATGCTTTGCCAGTTGAGGCTGCCTCAATGAATTATGCGTCTCTGCTCTGGGGAGGATTCACCATTCTCTTGCTTATATGGTGGGTCGTTGGAGCTCGGAAGGGATACGAAGGTCCGAAGACCACGGGTGGCATGACAGTCGTGGATTTATCCAAGGATCCCAGAAAGGTTGTTGCGGCAGCCTCAGTGTGAAGGAAGCTGGCTAGGGGTTCATTCAGAATACAATGAGCTGCTTAAAGGCAGAATGATTTAACTTCACACGAAACTCATCAATGTTCACATTTGTGGTAATCTCGTTGAGATGAAAAGAAAATATACCCAAAAAAAACGCTTGCCCCGACGCTAGATGCTCATGCTATGCCAATACCCATGCAATGATCTACCACATCTCACACACGGGCTGCTTTTTCTTACAGTTGAAGGCCTTCTTGAACTCCGCAGAATTCTCCGTCATTCCCCGGTTTCGGGACTGGTTTGGCGCGTGTACATCCGTCGACACCTGGGTAATGAGACCCTTGGCATCCTGACGATGGCACCAGAGCTGCCCGAAAGAGACGAAGAACAGCTGCTCGGGTGTGAAGTTATCGAGTCCGGGGAGCTTGGGGTTGTTCTGCGGTTCGCTCTCCCTCCGTTTCAGCCACGCGGTGTAGGCTGTCGCCACACCACCGGCGTCAGCAATGTTCTCGTTCAGAGTCTTCTCCCCATTCACGTGAAGAGTGCTGTTCGTCTTAGGGTCTCGGATTGGCGATCCTTGAATGGGGAAATCGGCGTGGAGCGAGTGGTTGCTGTACTGCTCAATGAAGCATTTTGTCCGTTGAAGGAAGCCTTGGGTTGTCTTGTTATCATACTGTGCCTCGACTAGCAGCCCGTTCTTGTCAAAAAGAGAACCCTGCGCGTCAAAGCCGTGTGTGATTTCGTGACCGCTGATAGCCCCAAAGCCTCCATACGCTAGATACTGAGGGATGCCGGTGCTGAAGAAGGGATTCTGCAAGATCCCCGCCGGAAAGAACATGCTGTTCAGCAGCGGGTTGTATTGAGCGTTGACAATGTAGGCGTGGTTACTGGAATCCCACTCAGGAGTGGGTTTCACAAGCTGGTTCCAGTTACGCTTATTCTTCAGCTGGCGATACTGCATGGTGTTGTTGAAATGCGAGTCGCTGACTGTGTATCCCTCATAAAACTCCAGTAGATCAGTCGCATTCTTGACATTTGGAACCTGCAGGGGCTTGTTAGACTCCAGTACACAGAAAGTATGCTTAATAGCGTTGGGGCGTACCTCTTTGGGGTAAGCAATGTTCTTCTTGATCGCTTTGGCCTTCTCCTTTGCAATCTTCTTCGCTGCATCAGTCATCCACTTGTTGGCATCAATTCGAGCCATGAAGGCTGATCTCAGATCTTCAACAATGGTATCGACAAAGCTGGTTAATCCGTCGCTATATGCGGCGTCCACAAAGACCTTGCTGGCAATCCAGCCCATGGTCTTGTCAATATGTGCAGAGCACACCTTTTCAAAGCGCTGTATATCAGTTTGCGTATCCTATTTAAGTCTGAGTCAGCACATTGTCAAGAACGCTAGCTGAAAGCAACCCACATCAACCAGTAAAACTGATGAGAGACTAGACTCGGCCAGTAAAAGTGAATAAGCTTGGATAGTGGCCTTGGGGGTGGCTTTGAGGATGGCGGAAATGTTGGCGAAGTATTTCTGGTCAGGAATGATGGCTTTCTCCAACTTGAACGCTGCGGGTGCTAGGTCTTTCATGACTGTGGAGACTGAAAGTTCGACGGGTAGCGATGAGATATTGTCTGATCCAGCTAGGAAGCCATATTCCTTCAAATTTGTCAGGTTCTAGCTCCCAATACCATCTGCGATATTTACATACGCTGGTGATTAACTGGATTGCAGACTGCAATTGAGCCTCCAAGTTTACAACGCCTTGTGCTATTTCATCAGAAGCATTTCTAGCAGTGTCACTGACGAAGATGGCTTGTAGCTTCGAAGAAAGTTGCGTGGCGTTTTGACTCCCGAGCGAGGTGGCGCTGCGTGGGTCGATGCTTGGGACATATGTAGTCTGATTGCATGTCAGCTCTACCAATCACATGGTTCGGGCGCATTAGAGATCTTACAGTGTTCTCAAAGTAATTGTTCAATGGGGAATATTTATAGAGAACGTGGATGTCGATGAAGCTGAGGTAGGCTTGGAGGCTCGACCAAGCTTCGTAGTCATTGACTGAGTAAGTTGCATTTGGGATATATTCAGAGTCTGACACAGGGAAAAGACCCATGATATCACTGAAGATGGCTCTTGCTGAACTCTCTGTCTCGGCCTCGATTGCCGAGGCATCCATACAGGCACGGTAGTTGTCCTGAAGGAGTTGGAATACATCACGGTCTGCTTTCGAGGACTGTACAGAAGTTAGATTGCGATAACGCCAAGGTGTGATTTTTTTTTTGGGGTGCCGGAGGAACATACCTTGTTCGAGTCTCCATGATACTCTGCATCCAGCACTGTCTTTATGATGAATGCATTATCGATGGTTTTCTCGTCCAGCGGAGCGGAGCTCTCTCTTTCAGGAAACCGGCTAGGATAACCCCCGCATACGTCTTGTATCTGGATTAGAGGAATGGTCAAATCTCTATCTCGGGACGGACATACATTGATCGAAGTCTTCGCAAGGATCAAGCGCCTGGTAATTGGGTGCCATATACTGCAGGATAGTCGACGCTGTTTGTACACATTCCGGCGTGAGGCACAATGAGGTGTTGAAATACCCCATGGCGGGTAATTATATACAAGAACTAAGGCTGATACAAGAGAATAAGTTTAATCAGAGATACAAATAGAAACCAGCTGGCTTACAGATTGCAACTGTAGTCAATGTGGCGATCTGGCTATAATGCTGCAGAGAGTTGCAGAGCAGTCCGAAGGGCATGTGTATTTATCATAGTTCGCTCTTCAAAGTCCTTGGCGTAAGAAACAGCTGTCGCATACGCACCCTATCATAAAGATGCTGGAGGGGAGGCGGTGCATTTTGCACGTCTGACAGGCCCTAGCATGGCAAATTGCTGCTTCGAGGGTCATTGAGGAGAGCACTGAGCCTGAGCCCGATCCTTCAGACATGTTCGTAGAGTAAGCAAACCACACAGCTGACAGTGGGTAAGGCTGATGTTTGGAACTTGCCGTGCTCAGCCTTCTGGGGCTTCTAGAGCTTGCTTGTGCAGTAGTTGCAGGTTAGGCTTGCCGGAAAACCCCAGAGCTCACAGCTGATAGAGCTTGGGGCTCGGTGAAGGCGCGTGATTGGCTCGTATGTACGATCGTAAGGCGGGATGAGATAAAAATACAAGTAGGTCCATTGTGCTGCGGCGCAGCGAGCACTAATTTAGCGGCTGATTTCGTACCTAGCCATGGCCCGGGGTTGCCTGGGGCCCGCTAACGAAGGTCCCGTTCCTTCAAGTCGAAAACGCCAGCCCACGCATGGTTTCAGACTTATTTTCCCACGAGAACCAGCCGTCAGAAGCGCCTCATCCTCACTGTGGCTTGCCCTCTGAAATTTTTATGTCTATCGCGAGATCATAACTAGAGAAGAAGTGCGCTCCTGATGTCAGCCCGAGGCATAGCCTTTCGGTAGAGCAAAGTGCCGCTTCTTCCCCTTGTTACCTGCTCGCCCTAAAACCACATTTGAGTAGGCATCAGCAGTAGAAGGGTAGGGACCGACGAACTCCCCAACATCGTCAGTTCACCGCCGGTGTGCTGATTACACTGAGACCTAGGGAGTGACACTTGTACTAGCCCCCGCCTTCATGTGTATCATAATTGCCAAGTTCCTTCGGAGTTCACTCCGTCTCGCGAATGGCGTGCAACACAAGGACGACTTCAGGTTGATAAACTAAGTGCAGTGTATGCTCTTGAATGAAGCGTCTCGTTCTGGGGGAGCAATGGATTCAGAGGATCTAACAGTTGTGCATCAGCTGCGTAAGCAGCGAGGTCCCCTTCATTCTGGTGTTGTTCCGACCGAGGCATGCAACCCATATCCACTGTTGCAATGTAGGCCACCCAGCGCGTGTAGGATTCTGGCCATAGAGGCTCAATTATGACTGGTCCGCCCCGGTCTGTGCATTATCCCGTGCGACGGGCTCCACAAAGAGTGCCTAAGCTGCTTGATAGAGGACGATTGTCATAAGAATCAGCATAAGTCCTACCAACACTGGTAATCCAAGAGAGCTCTTCTTTGCAAGTGCACCCTGCTGGATCTTCCTTTCCCGCATGGCGTGTATACTCTAATGGATGCATCTGTTTGTCTTCACATGCATTTCAAGCCATCTGAACCAGTCTTTCCATATGCTCAGTCTTGATGACATTGAACGCTTCAGCCAGTTTGTCAGTCGCGACCGTGTCGCCCACCTCTCGAACATAGGCGTCCAGGTGCTTCCAACATGCCGTGGCACTGTATTCACTGCACATGAGCTCGACCACGGCATAATTCGCTAGTCCCTCAGCGAGCCAATCCAGCACCTTAGCGTTACGCATAGACGAGTCTAGGAGGGACTTGTCTTCTGCAGTAACATCTTCAACCTGCTCCAGTGGTTTGCCATTCCATTCTTTGTCGTTGACTACGTCCGGCTGACGGAAGCAGACGACTGCATGGCGCAAGCCAGTCTTCGTGTTCCGCATGTCAGCCAACATATGTTCCCCTTCTGGTCCATTCCGGAGCCTCCAAATAACGTGCCGAATAGTGACTTCATCCACGCTCAAAGATATGATGTTCCGGCGAGGCATCTTCTCATATATACTAACCAGCGTCTGCATGGTAAGCATATCGACGGCCGGCGTGTAGGTCCCCATTAGCTCAAGGAAGCACTCAAGTGTACGTATCGCATGATGTCCGACGTTCGAGGAGCCTGACTGCTTCAATATAGAAAACAACCTGTGTAGGGGGTGTGGGGTAGTGATGTCGAGGCTTGCCATCTGGTAGACATAACGAATGAAAACGTCGGCTAGACGTAGATCGGACTTGGCCAAGTCAAAGGCGGCGAGATATGTTTTGAATATCAACCAAGGATCTCGTTTAAGTACGGAATCCTTGTATTGATCAAAACAGAGGTCGATGACGCCAAAACCCTGGGCGAACCGGCCGCTGGTGACAAGCTGGCGGCCTAGTCCAACCTGATTGACCCAAAGGAGACTCTGTGCAGCTGCGGGACTTAGTAGTGTATTCCACAGGGGAATCTGGGAAGTGACATCAATGTATCCATGAATGATATACATGCATTCTTCGGGTAGTTTGAGGCAATCTGGGGCCTCTATGCGCTGGGGATACCGATAATCTCGCTTTCCTCCCCGTGGATTACTCGTGACCACCAAGTCATGGTTGCTTGGTTCCCTTGATCTCGCCACTAACGAGCCTTTCCGAAGCTCATTATCTGCATCACCTGGCGAGTCACGGCTCTGCCGAAGTGGCAACCCTTCAAACTCCCTTGCTTTGGGCTCCGAGCTACCCTTGAAGCTTTTGGCAAATGCCGACTCTCGGTGGCTCATGTATTTTCGCAGACCCCATTTCTATTCTCGATCTGTCAGAATCATCTGTACATCCACGGCGAATTGTACTGACCTTCAACTGAGTTTTATACATCCGATGTCTATGTACCTGTTAGCCGTACTGACGCGACAAGTGCTTCTGAAACATACGTAGCACGGAAATTGTGCTCCTCCCGCATGACCCGGTCGACCTCTTTCAGGTGAAGGTTCTGGCGAATGTATAGATCGGTGATCTGAGCCCTCAGGCGAGCCCAGTCGTTTGGTGAAGCCCATGCTTCCATCCTCGGTGCGGCGTCAACCGTCATGCTCTGGAAGCTGGACCCGAAGCCGACTAGGGGTTGAGGCGACGTTCTTATACCTTAGTCATTCTTCGTGTGTGGTGGGTGTGTTTCATCCGCAGGATGCTGGCTGTGCGGCACGGACGCTTTCTGGAACGATTGCGTCGCGGCCTGATTGGCGAGCCAAGAAGTAAATCTGGGTCCTGGAAGATGAATCCTGGCGGAACCTTCGCGTTTTCATTCGACCGAGAGACGAAAGCGATGTAAAATGCAAAGTCTATTCAAGACATGCCGAAAGTACCCTGTCGCCAACTCGTGAAAATGCCTAGGTGGGTTGAGGCTGACCGCCGGCATCCGATTGACTTAGTCAGATTCTAAATCATGTGCCGAAGCCCCCTCCCTCAGTCGGCAATGTTCCGAACTAGGCTCGCTGTTTGCAAGCAATGACAATGGGCATATGAAACTTGAGCACACGGGAATCCAAGAATTTCCCAGAGGTCTTAAGCGCAATCGGACTTCCGAAAGGGGGTGCGAAACTATTGCTTGCAACAGCTGATGCGCTGGGGTGAGCAGGACGAGTAAGGATATGCCTGCCTGCCGGCGACAGCTGTGGGGACCTCACCACAGCTTTGCTGCCGCGGACCGCTTCGCACCCGGGAGGAGGGGGGGAAGGGGGAGGGTACTCAAGACCAGACCAAAGTTGCTTGGGCCAATGGACTAACAGCGCGTTCGTCTATACTCTGCTCAAGCTTCTGTCTATGTAATCTTTAGGCCTTATAGGAACACAGTATAAGGAGGCGTCTTTGCAGAGACATCATGAATGCTACCGCTACTGCGCCCCGCAACATTACTCAAGTACTGTGCTCTATGGTGTCCAGCTATTGGTAGTTTCTGTATGTGGTTACGCTCCAGGATAAAGCCCTTTGATGCACCAGTTGTTACCTGCAGTCTTGATGTCCAAAAAAAGAAAAAGATGTCTCTATAACCGCACGCGACACGCGCAACGCGTTTTCAGTTCACTGCCAGCAAATATCTCTGCAATGGCGAGGCAGCAAGGCTGCACGGGGCCGCACTGGCGGGACGAGCCTGGCTGGTTCCCTGAGGTGCGGCACTAAACTACCCCACAAAACGAAGAAGCTACCCCCATGTCAGCGATCAGAAGCCTAACTATAAACCGCATAGCGCAGGTAGATGACATGGCCGTCTGGGCTACATGACGTAGCCGGAGCATTTGGTCCTCCCCTTTTTCCTTGCTTGCTGTGGAAGATGTGCTGTGGTGCAGGCTTCGATGGCATTGGGGCATTGCTGCTGTGAAACAAACCCCCTTTGCAGGACCGCGATCGAGATTCCCAGCGATCAACTCGTCTTTATGCAGAGGTTCACATAACTCTAGCGGCGCCTATGCTCTTTTTCGAGTCCTGGCCAACATGCATAGTGCCCAAGAAGCCAACTGCTGCCGACGTCATAGTTACCCCAAAATGTGTAAAGTCAGCCAGTCGTTTACCACGGAGCGGCGCTTGAGCTCCCTGATTCCGCGTCTGACGTTCTGCTAACCAGGGTAGGCCCATCGGCGCACAAGAATTGTTCACGGAGAGGAGTGCTCTGTACGGGTTTCATGTGATGGGCGCCCAGGTTGCCAGGCGCTCGCTCAGCGTTCTGTGGCTCGCACAAGCTTTCGCTGGCGACCCGGGCCTGGCCCGCCAGGGAGCTGGAGAAGGCGTAAAGTGACGTGACGAGCCTGGCCGGCCTGGGGCCTTGTGACGGCGTAAACAAAGGCAGCAGTGACGTGATGCATTTCTGAGCCAGCCAAAGCCCAAGCCCAAGCCCAAGCCCAAGCCTGAGCTTTCCACCTGGACCGTCCCCAGCTCCATTCAGCATTCAGCCCAGCTGCAAACAAGCTCCCTTGCAAACAAAACCACCCGCATTCCTCTGCCCTCACTGCTCCTCCTCTTCTTCCTCATACACCTGGTTCTGCATCCGATTGCAGCAACAGAAATCAAATCAATCCCCGGCAGATACCACCTCACCCCATCATCCACCACATACCGTTGACATCGATCAGCCGGCATCATGAGGTTGACAACCATCCTCTCGCTTGCCCTGGCGACCAACGTCGCTGTTGGCAGCAGCTGGTTCCCCGGCAGCAAAGCAGGTACGTCTTCAGCCAACAGGCCGTTGCAGCCCTTGATTCCCTCGGCAACACTGTAGTTTATCGAACAGCTGAAAAGCCACCCATACTGACCCACACCTTCGCAGCTTACAACAAATGGCACGAGACCGAGCTCGAGCGTTGGCTCTCCGACCACGACCTTCCATATCCTACCCCCGCGGATCGCAAGGACCTCGAAGACCTGATCCAGAAGAACTGGGACTCGTATGCCGTGGCTCCCTACAAGAGCTGGGACACGCAGAAGCTGGGCTCCTATCTGAAGCAGAAAGGTATCGAGGCCAAGGAAGGCACGGAAGCCAACAAGGACTCTCTCATCTCCCAAGTTCAGGGCTCCTGGTACGAGACCGAGGAGAAGGCCCAGAACGCCTGGGGCAGCGCTAAGGACTGGATTTTGGATACTTGGACCGACAGCCAGCTCAAGGCGTTTGCTGACAAGAACGGCATTCCTGGTACGTTCCTGGGACTCTGACTGACCTGAGCAACACTGACAGTCCATTCCACAGTGCCCCAACCCCGAAAGCGCGACACTCTGCTTCAGCAGGCCCGTTCTAGCTACGAGGCTGTTGCGAAGAAGGTTGGCGAGACCGCTTCCTACCCCGGTAACTGGCTCTACGAGACTTGGTCAGAGTCCGATCTGAAGGAGTGGCTTGATACTCATGGCTTCCCTGCCCCCCAGCCCAGCTCTGTAGGTCTGCCCAATTGTTTCCAGCGTTGCTCTCTGCTAACGTCATTTGCAGCGTGATAAACTCATTGCTTCCGTTCGACGCAACTCTCGTATCGCCTACTTGAAAGCTCAGGACCAGGCTGCTTCCGCCTCAGCCAGCGCCAATGCCGCTTACGCCACCTTAACCGACAAGATTATTGACGCTTGGGGTGAATCCCAGCTCAAGGAGTTCGCCGACAAGAACAACATCCCTGGTGAGTGGTTTCCACTGATTTAGCCGTCATCAAAACCCAGTCTAACACACTAGCAGTTCCTCAAGGCTCCAAACTCAACGAGCTCCGTGCTCTTGTCCGCAAGCATCGCGCTCAGATTCTCGGTGATTCCATGTCTGCATCCGCTGCCAGTGCCTTCGGTGCTGCTACCAGTAATGCTGGAAACCAGTACGCCAAGGCTACCAATGATGCTAGCCTCGCCGCGCAGGAAGCATTCAATGAGGCTGTTGGTACTTGGTCAGACAGCCGTCTCAAGGGCTATCTGGATGCTCGTGGTGTCCCTGTACCCCATGGTTCCAAGTCCGATGAACTCCGCGCCATCGTCCGCAAAAACTCCCACAAGGCGGCATCTGGTTACAATGCTTGGACCTGGGATGATCTCTCCGTCCAAAACCTCAAGGATTACCTCGCCAACTCTGGCGACGCCGCTGCGAAGAGCGCAGCTAACAAGGCTGGTGCTACACGTGATGATCTTGTCTCTGCCGCTCAGTCTGCCTACTCGTCTGCATCAACTGCCGGTGGCGATACCTATGCCTCTGCCACCAGCTACCTCAGCAAAGCCACGGCTGCTGCCAAGCAGAACACCTTTGAGACCTGGAGCGAGAGTGAATTGAAGTCGTATCTCGACAGCTATGGTGTTCCTGCTCCTCAGGGATCCAAGATCAACGAACTCCGTGCCTACGCTCGCAAGCAAGCCACCTACTACAAGTACGGTACCTCCGGACCGGCTGGTACTGCCTTTGCGAAGATCAGCGAGGCCGTTAAGGACGGTTATCAATGGGTTATGAGCCAAGTTGGTGCTGGATCTGACGCTGCCATGCACAAGGCCCAAAAGGCGAAGCAGGAGTTGTAAATCAACCGCAAGGCTGTCTACTCTAGGTGCCACCAATCTTGATTGGCACCAATGGATTCAGTACTTTCACAGAAGCACGACGGGAAACGAATGTTACGACTAAAAAATAAGTATTACTGTACTCTAGTATCCGAGGGACGGATGAGCACGGCTTGGCCTTGACACCTTGTTGAGGTGTCGGACATGATACCAGCTCGCAATGCTTTCCATTTTTACTTGCTTTGAGTTGGTGTTTCAGGACTGCCTTGTACTGGCTAATATGACTACAATTCATGAAAGTGTTCTTGTTACGCAAATAATTTCCCAGTGACGATGTGGAAAATTAATGGCGGTATGGTAAGACGGGTAGATTTGCACCTTACTGTTCTGTATTTGACGGGATCCTTCGCTTTGTTGCTCAAGCCACCAAGTGGCGTTGGCTCATTCGGTACTTCGTTTGAGAAGCCTCTGCGAGAGCCCGGGCCAGCAGCGTTGAAAATGCTATCACGTAGCTATTGTTGTCCACAGGATCATATCATGACCTCTCATGGCACTTTGCCCAGGGGTTTGGTGCTGTGGAGATCTCGCCGTGTCATGAGCGAAGGCGTCTTGGCGAGTCCAGTCTGCGCAGTTTATCCCAGGGAACGCCGGCTTCGTAGACATGTGCAGAGAGCTGAGCAACCAGGAGACGTACGCAATCAACTACGTCTCAAAATAGAGGTCGTAGTGCTTGGAACATCCGGGGTTGAACGCAGCACCACAGCGCGGGCAGGCGTTATCGCACGCCAGGTACTCGGCAACCGTCAGCTCGTGGCAGCAGCTCCCGCACAGGACGGCCTTGGCGCTGTCGCGTTCCGCCTTCGGCCAGACCTGGGGCTCGTGCCCGGCCAGCGCCTCGTGGCAGCTGATGCAGGCATAGTAGTCGCCGCAGCACCTGTGCCGGATCGCGATGATATCCCGTGGCGAGTGCCAATGGGCACACTGCGTGAGCGGCGTCACCTGCAGGCCTTTGACCGGAGGCGGGTCTTTGCTGGTCATGGCGGGCTCTGAGGGACACGCCAGCGATATTGCGCGGGAGGGTGGATGTTGGTAAAACAAGTGCTTGGGTTACGTGTGGATGAGGCTTCGAGACTGCATGTCGAAGTTTCCTTCGTACATGATATAATCAAATCAGGTGAACTTTTGTGAGTTCGCAATTGGGAAAATCAGGACCTGGAGATATGCATATATCGAAGTTCACTGGTCAGTCTTGATTACTGCTTAGTGGCATAGCTTTCGGGAGTCGCAGAAGATGTGATGGCTTAGCAGAATGCATGGAGGGGAGGTGTCAAACAGGTGAACATCTATTGCCTGCCGATTTATGTTGCAGGTTCCACAAAACATGACTATTTTTATTAATACCAAGCCTCCCTAGCAGTCGACAAAACGTAAGAGTTTGTAGTGATGCAGAAACGCATCATGGAGCTAATGTGTGAATTGCAAGATACCAAGGTATGAAGTAGCATGTTCCACCAGTCCCCATCGCCATGGGCAAATCTCATTAGTATATTGTACAGGAATCATCACAGTACAGTATTCGACGGTGTAATAACCCATACTGATATGAACCGGAGCAGAAGATATGCTTCAAACCGTGGCATGTTTGTTGCCTATTGTAAGAAATTCCCTGGCTGTCTGGGATACGGCGTACTCTGAAATCTTCCTTCATAAGAATGGACCATGTGCGTAGCTGGCTGAAGAAAATGTAGAGGCAACACGATATACGGCACTGGTGCAGGTAAGGCGAACCTTTGCGGTGGAAGCCGTGCTTCGTACTCGACAGGGATCATATGACCGCCGGGTACCTCTTGCCAGCTGAGAGGAGAAACATACTGATTGCGACCTCCGGCCGGCTCTGGCCAGAATGGTAAACGCCGCTGTCGCCCAATGTGATCTTCCTGTCCTTCTATCCACTCCGTCGCCGGCCCAAACTCCGGCCCAAGCTGCGAGGTGCGGCCATCCGCACTCTGCGAGTACTCAGTGTGTTGAGGGGAGTACCCTCGCTGGACCGATCCAGGAGCAAGCTTTCCTGGCTGTGCTCCGAGTCCCGTATCCTCGAGGTTAGGGGAAGCATGTTTCTTCCCACTGGTACCTCTGGACCGTGGCCGGAACTCGGTCGCGCCGGGGTTCAGTGCCTCGCTTTGTGAGATCGCACTGTTTCGACCGATACTATGTTCCTCAAACTGGTCAATAAGAACGGAGATGCCTTGGTTGCCCAACGGAATATCACTATAGGCATCTGTTCCTGGTTGTTCGGCGCTAGCTTTGAGAGCTGCGCCTTCTCCCTCGCGGGCAGACTCTGTAGTTGTCGCACTTCCACTCTGATTTCCGGCGGGGAAAAGACGTCCTTGTTCATCATGGGCCTTCTCGGGTTCTTTGTTCGGTCTAAATGGCGTAGGTGGTATTACCGTTGCAGTGTCTGACTCATCAGAAACTTGGCTCTCCCCGATACCAGGGCCACTAGGCACACCTGTCTGAGTGGCCTTCGTGGTAGCGGTTGACGTTCCCGGTGGCCTTCTACCACCCTGCTGAAGATTGCGAAATGCTGGAGTCTGGCGGGCATCCATCGTGTCTTGAACATGATAGGCAGTCCCTGCAGGGCCGTAGCTGGGGTGGAGCGGACCGAACTGCTGCAACCGAGGATCAGGCTCGTAGTAGCCCACGCTTGGAAAAGAATTCTGTCGACTCGCATTAGACATTGCTTCGTAGAAGCCCGCCGAAGTCCGAGAGGCATCACGTGGCAGACCAGGTGTTCTGCTGAGGTTTGGCTGGTCAGTAAACCTCCGAGATCTGGAGTGATCCCCGTGGCCCTGGTCCTGTCCAAGGATTTCGGCCTTGATCTCGTCCTTAAGCTGCTGGAGCATCTGCCTGAGCTGTCTTTCCTGCCCTTCGCTACCTTGCTTAGCCTCACGTTCTGCTGTGAGCTTCTTCTCGGTCTCTTGAAGAGCATGGACTGCTTCCTCTACCTGTCGCTTTAACCGTGCCTCTTCCACGGCTCTATCGGCCTCGATCTGAGCAAGGGCCTCTCTCTTTCCGCGTTCCTCGGCTGCTTTCTCTACCTTTTGGCGTTCCTCAAGAGCCAGCTTCTCCGCTCTACGGGCATCTTCTGCGGCCCTTTCCGCGTCCCTTTTGGCCTCTTCAAAAGCCAGCCGCTTCTCTTCCGCGGCCTTTTTTACAGCTTCCTCCGTCTCGCGCTTAACCTTTTCCTCCAATTCCTGCCGCTTTTTTAGTTCCTCTTCTCGCAGCTGTATGGCCCGTCTCATCTCAAGCTCGCGCTTAAGCGCTTGTACCTCTGCAGAGGCCTCACTTTCGGCCTTCGTAGCTTCCATCTGCCCCACGGGGGCCGGCGCTGGGGTTCGCGCCGGAACTTCTGTCGGTGGCGGCGGCGGCGGTGACCACTGATACTGTTGCATACCAAGCGGCGTAGGATATCCGCCAGCATACCCGCCAGCATAGGGATGGCCAACATAGCTACCTCCAACAGCTGGCGGCGAGAAAGGGTTATGGCCATAAGGAAGCATATTTCCCGCTACTGCGCCATAGTAGCCCGAACCCGATCTTGGAATATAGGGGTCCATATCACTGTCTGGGTAGCCTAGCATAGAATCTCTCCTCTCGTGTCGTACTGGGAACGAAGAACGATGAGGTAGCCCCGAAATTGAGTGCTTTCCGTAGCGGACGCGGATATCCCGATCACTGTCAGAAGCCTCACTATAAGATCCCCTCTCCCTCGGTCTCGCTGTATGACGTGCCTTCCAAGACGAACGGCGAGATGGCCCCTTACCCGGTGGATTCAATCGTTCATTGGTCCCCGTTCTACTAGGACCGTCGAAGTCTACCCTGTATCGTGGTTGTGTAGAGCGTTTTGTCCTGTATCCTCCCGAGGTTCGTGGACGAGGATCATCCGAGCCAGATCCAGATGGGGAAGAATGAATTCTAGGCTCCCGGAATGACTCTCCTTCGTCTTCTTCATCAACATTGGAGAGATAAGGGCGTTGCCTGCGGTTTGAGTCGTTGTTGCGTCCCGCTGACCTGTCCATTCTCGATGTAGCAGGTATATGGATCAACGCTCTGCAAGGGTTTTCTGTCATGGGCATCAAGCTCTCATGTACTCATGCGTGCGACATGAGGAGAGCCCAAGATCACATACGCCCAGCAGTCAACGAAAAATGGCATGGTCTCTTCACGACTAAGGCAAAACAGGCAGTGTGGAAAGGACGAGGCTGGGGCACGCTTAAAACCGTTTTGCGTTCTGCAGCTTACATTTTTGGGTCGCTGCATAAGCGCCTAGTCTAGACTGGGGTATAGCGAAGCGGGACGGTGTGCATCTCAGCCGCATCGTGGATCGACGTGGCATGTTACTATTGGCCTTCATCGCCAGGGTCACCTCCGACGAGGGCAGGCCTATCCATAGTAAAGTTGTCTTCAAATTACCTCGTTTCGGCCCCCAAATGCTGACCCGAGTGGCGGTCGTGGGGGATCCACCCAATCGCGTACCCACCGCCAGAAAAGGTGGTCGTGGCTCTGGACGAGGCTCTGGAGATTGTTGAGGATTACTTGAAGTTGAATAGTATCCAGCCGTGCAATTCGATGATATCCAAGGAAATCATGAAAAATGGAGTCATCCGTTCCCAATAACTCTTCCTTTGGGAACCATGGGGATGGCGCTCAGACTTTGCACACGGGACAAGGCTCGCAGGCCATCGTCCAAAATGGCCATCAGTACAACATTGAGAACCTGATACAAAACTTTCGTAAGCAGCATAATAGTGAACCGACTGAGGGATCTCGTTTGCTCACACGGCACATAAGACCAGCCCGAAATGGCCGAACTCCTGATGAAAGTGTGGAAAAAGGATAACGAAGGTTTGAGCTCAATATAGGGTCATCAGTATTGATGGAAGGTTAATGTCAATTTGCATCACGAAGGCGGGCTACAGGATGGAAACAGTAGCTCTGTTCTATCACTAGGTGAGTTCTTTGGTCTTGAACTCTCTTACCCTCTTGAAAACTGAATGGTGTTCTAGTAGATGATCTCCTTGAGTGGCTCGAACCTCAGCCGAAGTTTGGGTATATTGAGAGGCAACGTCTACTATTTGCACAAAGAACGCCGGGCACTGGCCAGTGGCTATTAGAGGCTACTGAGTTTCTAGAATGGAAAAGAACAGCCAATGGGTTTCTGTGGCTTGATGGTATAAGTAAGTTTAGCCCATGCGAATGTGATTTCCTAGTAGTCTAAAAGATTCTAGTCGGAGCTGGAAAGAGTACTTTGATGTAAGTATACTGACCAAGATCTATCACGCCACCAAGAACCAAGGCCTTATTATTTACAGGTCGGTTGTCATTGATGATTTGCAGAAGATGGCGTCCAATAAGCAGGCAAATGTCTGTCTTATATACATCTATTTTCAGGAAGAGAGTGATATCAATCCCACCATGGAGTCTCTCCTCGCAAATCTACTACGTCAGCTACTACAGCAAAACAGGCCACGATTCAACGTTTCCCAGAGTCTTCAGCAAGCCTACGAAGAATGTCAATCCCATGGAATCTTGCCAAGTTCGGACGAATTACTCAACCTCCTTGTTATCGAATCCGAGGCCTATTCGAAGGTGTATCTGATCATTGACGCCTTAGATGCATGTACCAATACCTCCGATTACATGATACAGGACAAGTTCGTCCGTTCCATCCGCAAACTACCCGAAAATTGGAATATAATGGCAAGTTCCCGATTGGGGACATTGCTTGGAAGCAGAATAGAATCAGATTTGGCGTTCCATATCGAGGCTCAAGCATGTGATATCAAGCTTTACGTCGAGATGCGCATACGAGAAAGCAATGCCATGACGCGTTTTACCGAGGAAGCTATCAGGACTGACTCTTCTTTTCGGGAAACTATCTGCGATACTGTGATTCAAAAGGCTCAAGGAATGTAAGTACTTCGCCCAATTACTTCTGTGCCGCGAGGGAGGGCTCACGTTGGCATTGACTAGATTTTTACTTGCAAAGTTGCACTTGGACACACTTGAAGTCCAAGGCACACTAGGTCATTTCAGGGAAATGCTGAGAAAACTTCCTGAAGATCTCACAGAAACATTTGAAGCAGCCTTGTTGCGCATTGACAAACAGACTGATTTTGAGAGGAAAGTAGCCAAGCACGTGCTATCATGGCTGCTATTTTCCATGCGACCTCCGACGGTTGAAGAGGTGAGATACGCATACGCAGTCGATTGGAGAACAAGATCCTTCGATTCCGAGAAGATTTTAGGGGAGAATCATCTGACTTCATATTGTGCTGGCCTCGTCGTGGTCGACCAGGATCGGCGCATTCTACGACCTGTGCATGACACGATCTTGGGATACCTGCGAAATTGGAACTCTATGCCTGACGATCTCAACTCGCACATGGCGCTTCAGTGCATGACGTACATCTCTATGAAAGACTTCTCACAGGAGCCGTCGTCGAAGACCGAACACCAAGAAATCGTACTTGAATATCCCTTGATGAAATACGCCACAGATCATTGGTTCAACCACGTGCGTCGAGTAGAGAAGGGGGATGACCTGGAGAAAGACTTGGAAACGCGTATTCCGGAGTTCCTCAAGGATGCAAGAACACTACCCGCATCTATCGGTCTGGGTCGATATCGACCAATTACCGGATTGCACACTTGCGCATACTTCGGCACAGAGCACTGGGCAAAATCATTGATTGCCACCGGGGTAGAAGTGGACCTTGCCGGAGAAGACGGACGATCACCTCTGCATTGGGCCGTGTTTTACAATCACCCAAGCATTGTCAGTGTGCTCGTCCACCATCGAGCAGATGCAAATATCAAAGACAAGAAGGGAAGCACGCCTCTACATCTTGCTGTACAGGGCGATAATGGACCCGTCGTGTCGCAGCTTATCAAAGCCGGGGCTAGGCTAAGTTGCCGAGATAATCAAGGGCGAACGCCTTTAATATGTGCAATAAGACTGTGAGTTCTTCTGAAAGCAGTGATTCATTAAGCCAAGCACCAATTTCTGACCGAAGAAACATAGTGGTTTCACAAGCATCGCAAAACTACTTCTCGGGCGTACCGATGATATCGACGAGGTGGATGCCGATGGGTTTACACCATTCAGAGAGGCAGTGACGTACTCTACCCTAGATATTGTCCAGGTCCTATTGGAGAGTGGATGCGACGTAAACCAACGGTCGAAAGACGGGTGGACAGCATTGCGACATGCATCTCAATATGGGAATGAACAGCTAGCTCTGCTGTTACTCAGAAAGGGTGCCGAAGTTGATCTAAGAGACGAAAAAGGAGGGTTGACTCCTTTGAGATGGGCAATCTGTAAGTCTGAACTCTGCCGCTTAAATACCACCATCCCTTATTTACTGAGGTATCTTCTAACCTGGAGTTCAATAGTACATGGCCATGCTTTAATGGTAAAATTGCTCTGTAAGTTGCCAAAGCAATCTTGCTGTAACCTATCACGGCACCTAACATAAATCTGACAAGTGGACTGGGGAGCGGACCCCAATGTTACTCATAAAGACGGCCTGACTCCGTTGATCCAAGCAGCCAAAGGTGGAAACGAGTCGGCAACGTGGTTGTTAGTGAGCCACAGAGTTAAGGGTAAGAAAGTGGAGCTGGACGACACGGATCACAGCGGATCCACGCCCTTACATTATGCTGTGAAGAATGGATATGCATCCATAATGTGGCTTCTGGTCATTGCAGGGGCCGACCTTGATATAATGGACGATGAAGGCAGAACTGCACTGCACTTGGCGATCCAAAACGGCGATTCTCCTACTGTCTGGTTGCTTATCGAGAAGGGTGCAGCATTGTCAGTGGCCGACATTAACGGCATACAGCCCTTACATCTTGCAGCTCGACTAGGGCAAGCCCCGATTTTGCAGCTATTGGCAAAAAAGGGCGTTGACTTGAATCAGCAGGACAAAAAAGGGCTGACAGCTCTGCACCACGCAGCCAACGCAGGGAAAGAAGAATGTGTCCTGATACTAATAGACTCTGATGCAAATTCGAACATAGCAGACACCGAGGGGCTTACATGTCTCCATCATGCTGTTCTCGGCAAGGAGATTGAGACGATAATGAAACTGGGCTCACTGAAGCCTTCGATACTTGACTGTCAGGATAAGGGTGGCCGGACAGCCTTGATGTAGTAAGTCTATGCCCTGCAACAGAAGAAGATGTACTAACTGCATATGCGTCAGTGCTGCTCAGCGAGGCAACGATCTGGCTGCTCTTGGCTTGTTCAAGAAAGGGGCAAATATCAGTATTCAGGACGCGGATAGTTGGACAGCGCGAGATCACGCAGCGAATGGGAACCACACGTTTATGATTTCATTTTTAAATGTTGCCGGAACCTGATATCTGTCGATCTGTATGGCGATCGCACCAATTTCGTCACTTCAAGGCAAAGTTGTAACCACCAGCGTATTGCAACTAGATAGTAACCTATCAAGACCTAGTGTTCGACAATCTTGAGAATTGTAGCAAGCTGACTAACCCCCCGTCAACAATTCGCAGGAGACGAGAAAGTGAACGGCCCCGTGAAATTTCCATTGAATTGGGCACCTGACCCGATATTGACGTTCTGATCGCCATTACCAGTGTGAATGCTCTGGGGCCCTGTCCCGTAATTTCCAATGAAGGGGGACTGCTTGTCCTCCAGGCCTTTTTCTGATATGTTCTTACTCTCTTCAACCAAACTGCGCAGCTGAGTCCTAGTTGCTGCCCTGACGGCACAACTTGCCGATAAGGTCTGCAGGTCGCCTAGAACACCATCCATGAGATCTTCAACCTTGCGCCCCTTGCCAAGGGTTCGTACTGCTGCGGCATAGCGTTCCGCTCTCGTGGCATCTTGGTCAACCATGACGCGGCGGAAAATCTTCTCGAGAGCATCGGCTTTCTCTCCACATGCCTCAAGAACGCCCTTCAGTGCAGCGAAGTATACTTCGCTTTCCGTCTCATCCAATCCTCCCGCCGCGGTTTCCAAAGTATCCTTTATCAGTGGTAATCTTCTGACCACTACACGGAATGAACTCGGAAGTCCAGTTGCATCTTTCGCTGCCCCGTATACCTTGATAATTACGTCGACTATGCCTATAATTCCAGAAATAAGTCCGATGACCTCGGCGCCAGACATTGGAGGAACTACTCTTGTCAATCCAGATACTCTCGATCCTTAGGAGGCAGATTAGTCGCACCTTGGTAGAACAATGCCTGGAATATGGTTGGTGCTGATCCTTTTGGAGCGCGGAGGTAAAGAGTCAAGCCTTGCAACTCGAAAATTGGGGGGATGAGCTCAGGGCTCCGCCAGTAATCCGAGGCACGCTGAGGCGATGCATTATTAAATGCGTGTGGCACGAGTCTACTTTGCAGCCTGATCGGTGGGGGCTATGCAAGCTTCTACCAATAGTCGCTTATCACCGATGGGCTTGCGCAAAGCGTCACTGCAGCTTGCAGGGGACTGCAGGACACAGCCCGCCAGCTCACAGCGGTCGAGCTGATCAAAGTCATATAAGCCTGCTGATGGCGTGCGGCAATCGCCGCCAAGTTGTCAAGAATCGTCGCTCCAGACAAATTGGAGATCGAGCAACATATTCACAACACACGGGGAGCTCAAGCAAGATCCTCTCATAGTCTCAGTGTCTCACACACCATTGCACCTTCATTTCCCAGCCCAGCAATCCGCCCCATTGCAAGAATGTCGGGCTCTACAGCACCCCAAATCGCGAGGTGTGTTCGCGACACGATCGGATCGCTTGACAAAATCACGGACGTTTATGAGGCAATTGATGATGCCGATGATCTTCCACCAGCCTTCGAAGAGGTCTTTAAAGCGGTGTCTCCTGCGACGACGGCTTTGAAAAGCATTAAGGCGTACCTTGCCAAGAAAAAGCCTGAAGGCGACATGGATGCCGATAAAAACACAGCCCAGAAGGAAAAGGCTGCAGCTGAAAAGTTTCAAGCCGCCGCGGCGCACCTGTATGACATTTACGACAGAGTCGTGCCGGCTGGAGATGGTCCACGGATGGCGCGCTATCGGTCAGCAGCGGGGAAAAGTGGCCGTATTGAGGTACTTATGAAGGGGATTCTTGACGGTATCCTCGTTCTCGCGAAGGAACCTATATTCAGCAAGGATCAAATCGCCGCTATAAAGAAGGCGTTGGAAGAGGTACTCAAAATACCGAAGTCCTTGACAGATGAGACAGGTCAGGGAGTATACAATTATGGAAGCGGCCCACAGACTGTCCATTATGGCCAAGGTGACCAGAATATTAACACCGGCCCAAGCCCTCAGTTGAATGGGAAGTTTATGAGAGAGATCAACGTCAACCCTGTGATGCCGAAGCCGGACACTTTAGACCATAAAAGCCGGACACATTAGACCATTGATCCGATCTACAACAGCGCTTCAGGTTACAGTTCAGATATATATCGCAAGGCTACGTTGAATGTAAAGAGAACGTCAGTTAACTATATATATATCCTACATTCGCATGAGAGAAAGCGCTCAAATGTTGATATTCATCCAATAACCCAATACTACTGCCATGTCTGTACCCACACCCAGGGTTGGTCATCGAACAAAACGGGCAGCATTTCCTTGATCCTTGAGTTGTTGTATCAGTTCCAATTTTTCACAAACAACCTGATATCAGCTGTAAGACATTATAACAAATCCGAAGTCACAATCCTTCGACAGTAGTCTCAACGTCTTGAGGTTCAGGTATAAGACTCAGTGTTCATGGCGGTGAGCGATGTGCCATGTTTTGAGCTATGGCCTCGGCTCCTTGGGTCTGAAGGCTGAAGACTGCTCCGGTATCTCCTTTGAGGACGAATTCGAGGTCATACATGGTCTTAGTACTAGGAAGAGGGAATTGGCCTAATTGGGGCACCTGTCTGTAGCCCCCTTGCAGCCAACGTCGAGTAGATCGATGAAGCTGATTGAAGAGGCAGATCTCGCGCAAGAAGACCTTTGTTATTATATATTAGATCTGTCGTCAAGCTTGAGCTGCTCCGTGCAAACGATTGGGTTGATGCGCAGGTCTTTTGTCGGCACCATCCAACAGTAGCCCTTCCTTTCGCTACACGGCGGACATGGGGCTTACTTTGCCATACGTGGCTATCGCGTGCACGGCCACAGCTTTTTCTAAAACATGGGAACCCTTCACGGCAGACAATTTCGGTAGGTACAAGCCCCATACATTGGGCAGCAGCCAGAACCTGGTCCATATATTTTCAGTTGTGTTGCTGCAAAGCTCTAGGCCATCGGTTTGTCCATCGAGCTCATTGCGTCGCCGCAGCAACTACTCCCCCGTCAGCGCCTCGCTGAGGATACTTTGCAATAACTTTAATTAGGTAATAGCAAAGCATAACCATTATCATTATGGAAAATTGGAAATAATCCTGGTGGGCTGATTATGAAATCTATAATATATATCATAATCGAATTGTGCATGATAAGCCCATGCTCTTCTGGCCAGAGTCCCCGCGATATCCTATGCGCTCTGCCTGGTATCCTTGATCCTTTGCTCGGACACGCCAAGAACGCCATTGTATCTATATTCTACCCATACCATGAAGAAAAACAAAGGAATTACATTCACCTATATTGTTGAACAGCACTCACATCTCTACCTTGGGACGTGCGAGCCTGAGACTTTTTGTTCTTCCTCTCCACTGCTCTGAGCAGGCGAGCTTTTTGGCCGTACGTTACCACTCTTCCCAGTGATATGTTCCATACCCTGGAAGCACAAGTTCGGATGCCAAACATTCAAGACCAGCACCGCCACCACTACCATGACGCCCTCGAACCCAATGAACATACCCTGCTTCCGCATTAGGGGGCCTGTCCAGCCCTCGCTCAACTCGGCAACTCTGTAAACACTCCTCCAGAAAATGCAGATTGTGCTCAATGACAAGGCGCCAAGGAAAAGGCGGAAGGACCAACTGGCACGAAGTCGTACAAGGGCTGGATCGTGGTCGAGCGCGGCGGGGCCACGCCGGAGCGTGCGGATCGCAAAGTCGACGGCGAAAATAATAAACACTAGCAAAGTGAAGACCTGAAAAGCAAGGCCCGCGATCATAATGTTATTCCCTGGGTCGATGTCGGTGCGGTTATGCGAGGCGACGCTGGCCATGCCGCCGCCAACGGCTTGGAGAATGAGAGATATCACATCGCACGGGATGAACTGCAATGCGCTAATGAGCTACTGTGTGGTCGGATTTTGGATCGGCGACTTACAATTCGAGGGTACCACAAGGGGTTGAGGCGTGAGTTTTCGGCTCCGAAAGTAATGATAATACTTCGGAGGCAGAAGTAGATGCCCGCAGCCATGAAGGCAGGACCGATGGTGAGACAGCATATTTGGATCAAGAAGCCGTTCTCGGACCACTGGTCCTGCCAGCTCATTATGCGACCCATGTAGCCCAAGACCTCACAGAGAACACCCAGCAGGAGGGCAACGGTGAAGCCGACATTTCGGAAGCGTGTGAGGACGAAGACCGCTGCAAATCCCAGAAAGGAGAGGGCGAATAGTCCAGCAAAGACAGCATTGGGAACGACTTCGATTCGATAAAGATAGTACGACTCGTCGTATTTGCAGTATTGAGGGAAAACATCCACGTAGTCCCTGCAATTGCGGAAGCTGAACCCCTGTGGCAGCTCGGTGCCGTCTGAAGTCGCCATGGCGGCTGGCGTTTGTGGTCGAGGGCCCCGGTCCTGAGAGAGAGGTCTTATGCTGGAATTGAACACAAACAGGTTGGATGATCGTTTCCCGCACGTCGTTGACTTGACAGACGCAAGCGCGAAGATGGATCTACTTTCGCTGTATACTACTAGCCTGCTAAACCTTCCTGAAGTGAGTTGGTATCCAGATGTGGAAATGCAAGAGACGGGGCTGGGTCCCATATAAAGAAAGCGAATCTGCTCGCAGTCCGAGCTGCCCGTCACCCGGGATTGGTGTTCCAACCCGTAACTTGGCAGCCTGGGCGAGCGCTGCGCCTCGCCAGCTGAAGGATCAAACGTGCAAAAATCGAAACACGGTTTTCGGCGCTTTAGGGCCTGGTACGGAGTACTAGCGTACGATTTGGTGTCCACTAGCGGCCCGCGCCTAATGAGGAGTTTGCCTGATTGGGCTTAATGTACGATTTTGCGGCGCAGGATCTTCGAGGCCCTGGTCGCGACATTGGGTGGCCGAAGCCCGAACACCACGTTCTCGGAGCTCGGTTGCCAAGAATTCAACAACGGGACACTCTGACGATGTTGACTTTCGGCCACGCGTCGGCGTGCTAGCGCCAGTCTCTCATTAGCTGATAAGGCATTGCGGGTAGCAAAGCCTCCGTGTGGCGTTTAGGCAGAAACCAGAGTCACCATTGAGATTGGGCGAGTCGTAACTTACTTAGGTACGCAGTTCTCAGCTGTGGCTGCTTAGCACCAGCCAAAGTCGCATTGTGGTACAGAAAATGATCCAAGAATGTCAAGACCCCATCACATCATATAGCGTACCATATGATCTATTTTGCAATTAATTAAAATCCCTTCAAGTTTTGCTCCAAAGAGTTATAGATTGATTTATCAAAGAAGGAGCAAATATTACAACGATAGCCACATGCCGACGGGCCAATACAAAGTGCACAACGTGAAGTTTTGCTATTCTGCTCTATCTACAGCTCCTGGCCATCGCGCCTCCTTTCTCTTCTTCAGCGGGTGTCGGCTGTGCCGTGATTGAAGAGATATACTGTGTAACCGACGCTCAATTCCATGGGTAACAGCCGGCTATATCAGCGGACTGCGTTGACAGACTGGCGCCAGTGAGCCCTACTGCATTGGTGTGCCATTTAGAATACCCGAGCCCTCTAGCCTAACCGAGTAGGACACCCTGAGCGCAGCCGCCAAGATTAACAGCAGCGAGCAGGTGCCTGTATCTTTGTTGTTATGCCTCAGTGTGGCCTGCCAATCGTAACCCATATCGAATGGACAGAGGACTGTGACGACGAAAGAGGAACAACTCGAACACTGCCCAAGCACGATCACTAGTGCAGTGAACGCGTGGTCCCTTGCTCTACGCGCCCATTATTGGAAGATTCTTGTATCATGGCCTATTGTTTAATGCATACTACAATAGAATTGGACCGGGCTTGTGGAAGAGACGGCTGATATCAACGTGCCAAGAAGTGTCAAACGTTGTATTAAGTAAACAGTACGCAGACTTGAAAACTATCTAATTTGCCAACCATCGCAGGTCACTGAGCCAAGCCAAAGAAGCTCCAACATGCCAGCCCTGCCCGAAAACTTAGTACGCCATGTACCCAACTACCACGGCTGCTGCTCCGAGCAAGTATTCCTTCTTCACTGCTGCGGTTGGCCCTGCAATGTTGCCGGTAGCCGAGGGAGTGCCGGTAGTTGGACTTGGACTCGGGCTCGGGCTGGCGCTGGCCGACGGAACACTCGCACGCACACAGCTTACAGAGCGAGATGATTTTCCTGTCTTATAATTACTCCACTCAAAGGTGATTGGGAAAACTGAGCTGGCCAACATGTTGACTAGCGTCTTGTTATTAATGTCGTGAGGCGACATATAGAGCTGCGCCCAGCTGTCGTCGTTTACCATTGATGTCGCGGTGCTGTCTAAAGAAAGAGTTAACATGATGATTCTGATGAACTGGAAGGTGCGTAGCAATGGGAGGCTGACTCAATCCATAAGCACCAGAGCTTGGTGACGGGCACTCCTCTGGCCAGCCTTGACGGGTAGATCTCAGCGATTTCTCTGTGAGCTTTCTCAGGCATGCGTCGGAAAATGCCGTCCTGCAGTCGCCACTATCCGAGCGATCGAACAGATCGATCCAAGTTTGGTTATAATCGGGGACGACGACTTCATACAACAGTTCCCAATCAGCGAGGTCTACGCCAGCCGGCGCCGTAAGAGAGAGCAAGGCAAAAGGCCGGGCCGTTGTGTCGTTGATCTTGGAATCGACCACGGTGATTGTGTGGGTGTAGTCCGATGTGCCATTTGGACCCTTAGTAGTCCAGTTGTGACTTGCGAAAGGGTTTGTGAGAAGTGCCTTCGCAGCTTCAGTCAAGTTAGTCCCCCCGAGCGTTGCAGAGATCTGAGCATCTGGGACGACTAGTGCGGCAACGGTGGATTGAAAGGCCACGAGGCCGACGAGTGCCAGTGCCTGTGCCTTGGCTCTTGTAGGCATTGTGGAGATCATGTGACGACTTTGATCCTGTATAGGTTTTGTCCAAGGAGAGGGTAGCGGAACGTAGCTGAAGCTGTCGCAATTTGTAAGGAAAAGGGCGTGTTGTCGAGTTATAGAATGATCAAAGTTCGCGGTCAAGCATATAAGTTAAATACAGGCCTCATTCGTCAGAAGATGTGCTCTAAATCTTATAATTCCCACAACATTGTCCTCGCGGGTTGAGGCTGCGATCCTCGTGAAACAGTAAGGCGCAGTCATTAATTGGGTGGATCGCTTTCCGAAAATAAATCAAAAGTAGTTCGTTGTAAACCCCAAAACGGTTGTCAAGAGTGGGGCTCAGAACATGGCTGTGATCGTGTGAGCCACCGCGCTCACCGGTACATACGAATTTGCAGTGCGCTTGTTTGCTTGGCTTCACCAATCCCCTCTTTTGTCTTCAGCTCTAATCCCACGATACAGGTCGTTCCGGGCAACTTCAATGGTCATGGCTGCGCCAATGAATCCATATGACCGCGTGAGTGAGATTGCTTCCCCGCCCCTCAAGCTGCGGAACGGGGAGCGAGCAGGGCTCAGATCTCACGGGATACGTTGCTGACTATGTGGTGTGCGGTCTCCAACGGCAGCGTACTCGGGGGAGCATCGACTAAGCTTGCTATGCGAAGCTGCTCAGGTGTACTTCCATGCCATCTCACGTGGACTGTACCAGATGGTTGTCAGCAACATCACTGCAATAGGTGCAGACGAGACGATGGAGTCACTGACAATCTGGTTCTACGGACACCCTATTGGATATTGGAAAGTGTATTCTCGACCTTAGAGACGGGGTCAGGTGAAAAACAGGTGCCCACTCGCTCCCAATAACATTGACAGACTGAAGACACAATAAATGCTTGAACGCTTCATAAGGGATATTTGCTGATACCTGTTCTTCATATATAAGCTATCTGCTCAGACATGTCTACCAAATTGTTTGACTAGGATAGGAGTCACAGGGTGTTAACCAACAGAATCACTGAATAAACTTTTAAGGAACGTCGGGTAGGTATTCGAACTTCCCAGTTGGAGCTTGTGTAAAAAGTCTCATCTTGAAGGAATGGCTGGCTGACAAGATCTTTGATCCTCTCACAGAGGTTCTGTGTTAACAGTGCTGTAAAAAGCAGCACTGTTTACGGAGAGCTGTTCGTTTTGCTAATCGCTCTACTTTGTTGTTGCTGCATTCCTAGACTTGGACTCATCTATGGGTCTCGAGAGCGATGAATATCTCCATGTTAATGGCTGTAGCATTACTGAGCTACTATGTTAGTGTTTTTCCATGCCGACAAAAGCTAGTACTTAGAGCGACTTCGGCTGAGGCGAAATTAATTGCGGTACGGGTCGTCACTGTGATGGAGGTGCCAGCCTCGGCCTTCACAGCAGCCTTTCCTAGTTATCCTTATTCATCAAAGCAATGTCAAAAGCGTAGTACAGTAAGAGTATACTATTGGAGAGTGTGAGTGCTTCTGACAGCGTTAACAGGTTATTGATCGTATGCTAGATGCTCACCGTAGATACTGGCATCATACTCTACACATTCTTCGTTGACAACGGGCATGTGCAAACAAAAATCACATTAATTCTGATGCTATTGTATCCATGCGGTTTAAGACCTCCTCGCAAGAAGCTGGGGTATATTTTCATGTAGCATGTCACAACACGCCAGGCGACACTAGGCAACTAGCTCCTTCCACTATCTTAATAATCAGAACACGACACTAATGCTGCCACCAGAGGAATCAAGGCGTCCCGTTACTAAACGATCAACCGCACTACACTGTGCTCGATGAATGATGCGATTTTCGCTCCTTCTTTCCATAACCCTCGGCATCCCCAGCGACAGCATTGCTGTCGAGGCGATCAGCCTCTCTACGATCAGCCTTTCTATGGTCGCGCACCTGATGGAAAAGTGCTGTCAAAAAGTGAAGGATACTTAAGATACCAAATTAGCATATGTTCAGAGAGACAAGTCTAGGATATACTCACGTGCTGATAATGGCCAGGATGAAAGTACCCCAAGGCAAGTTGCAGTTATGCCGGCGCCTGAATTCTGCTGAGACAATGCCAGCCGCAAACGTGTCGTTCTGACATTCGCTTCCATGCGGTCCAGCTGGGCCATGATTGGGACGTGTAAGTGCCGCGACAGCAATAAAGGCGCCCATAAACAGTATATCACCCAGCACCAGCAGCCAGCGGAGTATCTTCGGGCCTCCGTTCTTGAGACAGCAGTTGAGTATCATAGCAACGGCAGTGTACACCACAGCTGCTGCAAGCATGCCTTCGACAGCACCGTCTGCAGCATTGTACGCTCGTCGCGCAAATCGGTACATGGTGGCAAGGCGCGAGGAGAACAGCCCGAGCGATATGATAGACGATAGGAATTGCATCACGCGCAATAAGCGCTGAATCCACCGATTAATCGCAGACGCTCGGAATCTCTCCATGAAAGACATGATTGCGAGCGACACAAGCAACGTATTTCTCAACTGGGTAAATGGGTTTTGGGAGCAGTGTAATGTATGGATAGATTTCCATATAAAGGGGCAATGGGATAGAAAATCCGGAGCCAAGGTGTCCTTGAGCAGAGCAGGTAATTATATAATCCCGTAAGAGCGGAGGTGCATCGGTCGATTGCGCCAAACTTAGACCATCTTGCACCGTCAATTATGCATACAGTAACTTTGGTTACTTGAACTCAGGCTCTCGCCGGTCAAAAAACCTGTTCCCTCTTTGTAATCAGCATCATCGTGACGCGAAGCCAACGCTAAATGCAGGTCACCATTAGTCAAGACCGTAGTATCCATCTTCTCGGTTCTCTTTGACTGGGAATGCAGAAAACTCTATGAAATTGACCATTCGCGTTGGGTAGGAAGCTCCAAATCCACCTTTGTTGTCAAGGCACGAATTGGGCTTTGTGCGCGCAAGAGCTAGGTCATTGGCTATGACGATGTCAGGGGCTCCAGTCACAATACAGTTCAAGCTACCATGCATGCGCGGGAAAGTTGATGCAACGGCTGCTTGCCGCACGTGTTGCTTGCTTTTGGGGTGCAGCCTGAGTAACAACATTAGCTAGATAGATAGATAGAGTTGGCCGACGAGATAGGACCAATGAATCTAGCAAGAAAATCGCAAGCTTTGCCTAGTATGACTCGCATGGATGACGCCCTGAAGTCAAGTAGTCTCTACAATTGCTAAACCGTAAAGGCTACTTGCAGGACTAGCCGAAGTACATACAGCCGCTTGCCACTTCTCATAGCGCTTCTAATCTGGTGCACAAATGTGACGGAGGGCCGCCTAGGTTTAACGTTACCTGCTGCCTACCGCAACTGCGTGATGACGAATTGCTTAACCTGGCCCGAATAAATAAGATGTATTATCGTGCTCTGCGCTTCGAGTTGTCCATTTGGAGGGGCTCTTATGATAGCATGACCAAGACAAGCGTACCGGTTAGAATTTACAGGATAGACAATCGCTGTGCGCGAGATGGAAATAAACAGCTTTAGTACCTAGCGAAAGGCGAGCGGCATTGAGAGAGTGTGTCTTTATTGATTAAATTCGGTCTATTCGCTTTTATAAGCCTAAGCATACTGTGTGATCTAGAAGCGGTTATAATGCCTCTGTCCACATCTAGTCGCACCTAGCACTAGTATCGTTACTATATCGCCTGCCCACTACTACTCGCGACAAATAAAGCATGATATCGGCCCTTCGAATTCATCAGATCCGCATGCGTACCGGATTCTACGATCGTGCCCTGGTCCAGAACGTAAATTCGGTCTGCCTTGACGATAGTGCTCAATCTATGGGCAATGGTGATAGTCGTTCGTCCTTTCTTGGCCTTTTCCAAAGCATCACGAATCAGAGACTCGGACTGCGAGTCCAGAGACGATGTGGCCTCGTCAAGAAGAAGTATACTTGGCTGGCGGATCAGCGCTCTGGCGAGGGCGATGCGTTGCTTCTGGCCTACGCTCAATTGGGTTCCTCGGTTCCCGACAGTCGTCTCAAACTCTTTCCTATAATGAAAATGGGTATCAGCAAACCTTGGTACAAGGCTTCCTTGAATGAATAGCAGGAGGAAATTCAAGGCACATTGCAGACCAAGACTTACGGTAAACTCTTGATGAATTCGAATATGTTCGCTTGTCTACAGGCATCTTCAACGGCCTCCTTTGATGGCCTAATACCTTCGTCTTCTAGTCCAACCAAAAGATTCATATGAATTGTTCCGTTGTATAACGTTGGATCTTGGTTGACGAGACCAATGTGTTGTCTGTATTTAGCCACCTGTAGTGAAGAAAGAGGTTGATTATCGATTCGGATTGCTCCTCGTGTAGGATCGTAGAAGCGTTCAATCATGGAAATAATGGTACTCTTGCCGGAACCTGTCGGTCCTACGAAGGCTATGTTCGACCCCACAGGAATGGTAAACGACAGGTCTCTCAATGCAGCATGATCTTGGCGGGAAGGGTAAGAGAATGTTACAGCATCAAACTCAATGCGGCCTTTTGGGACGCCTGGATCAATACCAGCCGAGGGGTCTAAGGGATCAATCGAAGACTTCTGGCGCAGCAGATGTTGCAGCATAGCTGAAGCTCGTTTGGCCTTTCCCATGCTGGGAGTCCACGAGAAAACGAGGCCAGCCGAATAGGCACTCATCAACATAGAAGATTGGACAACAATAAACTGGTCGAGAGTGTACTCGTGCTGCATGATCAGGCGGCTGCCATACCAGAAGGTTAAGGCCATTCCCGCATAGTAAATGGCTTGTGCTAGGGCATAGAGAAATGATGTCTGCAAGTTCGCTCTCAATGCACGGCTTGACGTCGCTTTGAGCGTCCCTTTGAATTGACTCAACGCCTTTTCCTCCCTAGCCATGGTTGCCACGGTTCGGATGCCCAACAAGGTCTCGTTGGCGTGCTCGGCTGCTTCGTTATTAAACGCTTCGGTATGTCGCTCGAATTCACCAACGAGCCAAACACCAAAATAGCCCGACGCGAGCAGCAGTGGAAATAGTGCCAAGCATACAAGAGCAAGCTTCCACCCGTATGCGAGTGCGACGACAATACCGCAGATTGCAGTAGATGCACATATGAGAATGACGCTGAGAGCGGCACCACTAACGCCGGCAAGGTCATTCGTTGAGGTAGAAAGAAAGCTTGCCAATGCGCCCGATGAGTTTTTCTTCTTGTCGAAGAATGCAACTTCCATTCTCAGCATCTTTTCGAGGGCCATGCTGCGTGCTCGATTGCTCATTTTCTCAGAGCACCACGCGAATACGATACCCTCAACGGCGAGGACCACTAGCATTACCATGGCTAGTAAAAAGAACATCCAAGAGTAGAAGCCGGTTTCAGAGCGGATCTTTTCAGCCTCGGACAATGGCTGCGAGATGGACACAATCGCTTTCCCGAAGAGTATGGCAGATCCTGGCTCCTCAAAGCCAGCAATGGCAGCGCAAATGAGACCAAGTATTACCCACCACAACTCGGGTCGATTGAGGTTCCACCCAAATCGGATCAATGACCACAATGATGAAGATCGCTTCCCAGTGTCTAGCTCCTCGCTGATCAAAAACGAAGCATCATCTCCATCGCTAGTGCCGTCTTTGGAGGCCCTGGAGACAAAATCTTTGGTACTTTCCTCAACTTTCCCGGTTAACAGAGGCGATGTCTGTGTTTCTCTATGCTCGCTCAGATCTTGGGCTTTGACGAGATCGAAATACACCGAACGACTAGCCATGAGATCTGTGTGAGTGCCCTCCTCGACCACATGACCCGCACGGAGTACAACGATCTTGTCCGCATCTCGGATGGTCGAAAGACGGTGTGCAATCACAATCTTGTTGCAACTGGGATGACTCTCGCTCATGGCTGCCAAGACTCTGGCTTCCGTCTCGCTATCAAGTGCTGATGTCGCCTCATCAAGTATGAGAATCCGCGGCTGGCCCACCAATGCCCGTGCTATAGCCACGCGCTGAGCCTGCCCACCCGAGAGCCTCGAGCCCTTGGCTCCAACCATGGTATCGTAACCTTCAGGTAGTTTTGTGATGAAATCGTGGGCCTGCGCAACTTTGGCTGCATTGACCACAAGACGGCGCTTCTCGTCTTCGGAGGTGTTGTCCCACTGTGGACCAGTCAGGCCAAACTCAATATTCTCATACACAGTCTTATTGAACAAAAATGGTTCCTGTTGTACGACATGAATCTGCTGCCGCAACCATCGCAAACGAAAGGATGTTAAGTTGCTGCCATCAAGAAAGATACCTCCAGAAACAGGATCATAGAAGCGCAATATCAGGCTGGCGATCGAACTCTTTCCAGAACCCGACGGGCCCACAATGGCTGTGATTTTACCAGCTGGGAACAGTATATTTACATCATCCAAAACTCGAACGCTTTGGCGACTGGGGTAGATGTGTTTGATATTCCGGAGCTCTATGGTGCCATCGACGTATTGAGGGACAGTGCCTTTGTCAGAAGATGAGTCGATCGGCGATTCGCGATGGCTCATCCTGTAAATGCGGCTGGCTGCTGCAACTGCCATGTTGAAGGCCTCGAGATTGGAGCCGACGTTCAAAACACAGAACGCCGCTGACTTAAGGACTAGGGTGATGGCCACGACATGTGTAAACGGCGTGATGCCGTCCGTTAAGCGTCTCGAGCCCTGCCAAAATCCGAGCGCAACGTTGATGTAGCCACTAGCAACGCAGAGGCTGATCATTGAGGAATTCAATGTTTTGAGGACAAAACCGTGCTTGGATGCCTTCTTTAAGTAGTCCGTATAAGTGCGATGGACAAATTTTTGCATACCCAAGGCTGTGGTACTCTTGATTGAGCCAAGGGCCTCTTCAACAACGGCAGTGCCCGCCGAAGATGCATCGAGAGATCGGCCACTGTAGCGAACTGTGGCCTTGCCGCTAAGGATCAGTACTGAGGTGCCCAATATGAATGACCACGAAAGGATGAAAGTTAAGATCCAGTCCAATGCGAAACACACAATGACCGTGCCCGTCAGATTGCCAATGGCTGCGATGCTGATAGCAAGTTTGGACCCCAGAGCCTCCTGAATCATGTTCGTGTCGGATGTAAGGTGTGATAGGATCGAGCCAGTGCCTACTTCATCAAAGACAGCCATGTTCTGCTTGAGAACAGCGGCGAAGTATTTGGTCTTTATTCTGCGCGCGATCCTGGCTGCGGTGTGGATGAAGCCAGCGGTAGCGACTGTCCAGGATACCAGAGAAACGATAAAGAAGTAAACATAGTACAATGTGAACTGGTTGATTATCGCAGTCAATGTATCGCCCTCCGTTCCAGCACGTGCAAAGAATTGGACTAAATAAGCGTTGACGATCTGGATCGTTTACAATTAGAGCATGTTCCGCGCCGTTAGAAGATCAAATCGAATAGAACTCACAGGGGCAGTTGGATGCAGTGCTCCTGCAGCGATGGCAGCGAGAGTGCTGACAAGAACTATAACTATGTCGACCCAAGTTGCATGGCTGTAAAGACCGAAGAAAGATGCTTTGACATCTTGGAAGTCCAATTGCCTTTCCAAAATCTCCTTCTCAAGTGTATTTGGTAATGCTCTATTCGACTCGGGTTTCTCGCTGCAATCCGCCGTGTGGGTGCAGTCTCCATTACATGAGCTCACTGAAGTCAAAGATGATTCGGGCACTATCTCACCTGGCATGGTCTTCTTGTCCGTACTGCCCATATTGAATCATATGATAACCAGTGTCAATAGGTACAGATCAAGCGTTGTCTTTTATTCCATGCCAGAAATGAGAATCGAGGTATTCGGGAGGAGGAAACAGCAAAAAGGCAAAATAAGGAAGTGTACAATGAACTTTCCCTAACCATTGGACCTCATCAATTCGACTCTCACTAGTTGGCGGCACGACGACACGATGCGGTGACAAGTGGCAGGGTCCCTGCTGGTGACAGGTATGCCGGCGAGCCGGATTTGGAAAGTCCTGGACGTGTAACATTACCTAGGCGCCTAAGATTGACGCTGCAATAGGGCATGTGGCGCCCAAGGCACACCTGTCAGCATGATGAGTGTGCATGCATGTGAAGCAGCTAGGGCTCTCTGCAATACAACTATGCCCCACACATAAGCTCTTTGTAGTCAGCATTCTTGTGGCAACGTCCAAGCGCAGGCCACGATAAGCCCAGAAGAAAGAGTCGTAGTCAGTCTGTCTAATTTGGGGACGTCTGGTGTTCCAGCAAGCTTGTAATCAAGTGCACGAGCAATGAGGGTAGCGCTATCAGCAAAAGTTGAGTATTGCAGCACAGGTTCGAGATGACAAAAAGTAATGTAGGAGATTATATATCATTTGACCAGAGCCACGTAAAAACAAACGGGTCGCCTTTGAATGGTGTGCAAGACTTGCAGTTGAAGAAGTGGCACCGTTTGTAAGCCAGCTATGGGTTCTCAAGTCGACCCATCACCGTCATGGGAGAACTGGGATAGCTGTCATGTCTTTACAGCAAAGGAGTACAGTTCCAAGAGTTCTGGTGGAAAGAATTTTGAAACCATTATAGTTGACGAATCGATTGACTATGAAGTCGTTCTTGCATTTTGTCAAGACCGGCAGGTCTCAGAGATGTCGCTCTTTAAACTGGCCTGGGGCATTGTCGTTGGGACTTATGCTGGCGTAGAGGACGTGTGTTTTGGCATCAAGACAAGCCGAGGCCAAAGCATACTACGCTGTCGATTAGATGCCAAACAAACCACGGGCAGTCTTCTATCATCGATGGAGGAAGTGTCGTTGGTAGTTGATGGCGAGAAGCACGGTCTGTCCGCACTCGCCAGCTCAACGGGACTATTTGACACGATACTGTCAATCCAAGACCACAGTTCCACCATGGTGACCGACGCCATACAGACAAACGGCGGCATTTCAGCTGTGAGAAAGCTATGCCTTTTTTTTCACAGATAATGATGTTTACTAATTCTTCTCACAGGATTCCCCAAATGTGATTCTTGAAGCCCAGGTCCACCTGCAAAAAGGCCCTATCGTCATCCGCTACCCACAGCACATCTTTAGCGAGTTGCGGGCATCACGAATTGCTAGGTGCTTTTCGACTTGCATTCTCGCAATTGTGGCAAATGCCGATGAACATCTTCAAGATCTGGACATATTGCCACCCACCGATGCTGTGGATATTCAGACGTGGAACGGCAAGGATCTAGGAACCTACAAAAACTGTCTTCATGAAGTAATCCGCGAAAGAATGAAAGAAGACCCAGAGGCCCCTGCCGTGTCAGCATGGGATGGAGATCTGACCTACGGCGAGCTCGATGTTCTCTCTTCGCGTCTCGCATCAAAGCTTTACAACCTCGGCGTACATGTCGGGTCTAGTGTTGCTTTCTTGTTTCAGAAGTCTAAATGGACGGTGGTGTCCATACTGGCCATTCTCAAAGCGGGGGGTGCTGCAGTGGCACTCAATCCAGAATTTCCAGTAGAGAGACTGAAAAACATACTCGAGTTTACGCAAGCCCCGGTACTACTAGTCGACTGTGCGCTAGAAGGCATGTTATGCATGTCACAGAAAGGCGTGGTAGAGCTCATCGTCAACGAATCGTTCTTTCACCAAGCGTCTGACTCCCCAAGTGAGACGTCCGAGTACGTATGCTCGACAGTAAAACCGGACGATGTGGCGTATATTCAGTTTACGTCTGGAAGCACGGGTCAACCGAAGGGTATCGTGATCGAGCATTGCACATATCTGGCCAATGCCGTCTCACAACACGAGGCATGCCACGTGAACAGATGTTCCCGGGTACTGCAGTTCGCAAGCCACAGTTTTGACGCAATTTTGGTTGAGATCCTGACTCCGCTGTTGGTTGGTGCCTGCATCTGCATCCCATCAGAAGAGCGCCGTCTGAATGATTTGGCCGGCGCCATGAGAGATTTGCGAGTTAACTGGATGGGCGTCACGCCTACTCTGGCAAAAATAATCAGTCCCAAGGATGTACCGGCTCTTAAAACTCTGTGCACTTGGGGAGAAGCGGCAAGTAGCGACATGATAGAAACTTGGGCTGACTCAGTTGAACTCATCAACATATATGGACCCTCCGAGAACTCAGTCGAGGCAACCTCCCATTCTTGGTCCAGAGGAATCCGAGATCCATCGCATATGGGCAAAGGCATGAAAGCCGTCAACACGTGGGTTGTTCGCATCGACAATCGGGAAAAGCTGACTCCGATTGGAGCAATTGGAGAATTGGTCCTTCAAGGCCCAACGGTGGCCCGTGGCTACCTTCATGATGAAGCTCGAAATGCAGTCGCGTTCAAGGCCGAGGTGCCGTGGATACCGCCTACTACCAACAGTTATCGTATGTACTACACAGGAGATCTTGTGCGGTACACGCCAGATGGATCCTTAGAATTTTGTGGCCGACGTGATACTCAAGTCAAGATCAGAGGACATCGCGTTGAACTGGGTGAGATTGAGCATCACATCAACCAAAGCAACTCAGGCAACTATTTGCAATCGGTTGCAGAAGTAGTTCGGCCTATCTACCGGCCGACCCAGAAGATACTCATTGCTTTCATTTGCGAAAGCCGGAATGCTGCAGCATCGATCGAGTCTCTACTCCAACCTACGTCCGACGCATTCAGGATTAAAGCGATGTCTATCAAGAGTTATCTGACGAAATACCTCCCATCACATTTCATTCCTTCCATATTCCTACCGCTCACTTACATACCAACTGCTGCTTCAGGGAAAGCGGACAGACACAGGCTGAGGACAATGGTCGAGTCCTTGTCTGAAGTTGAACTCATGGAATACTCGTCCCATGAACTCCCAGCGAAGGAAAAGGGGTCCGAGAAAGAGATCTTGATTGCGCGTCTCTGGGCTCAAATTCTCGGGGTAGATGAAAACGCTATCACACCTGGCGACAACTTCTTCTGGCTCGGAGGCAATTCCATTCTTGCCATGAGACTCGCTGTTGCAGCTCGCGAGAAAGGGATTGCAATAACAGTAGCACAGGTCCTCCAACACCCGCGACTTCAAGATATTGCTTCTACGGTTAAGATCGAGAAAATTAAAGAGGCCGTGGTAAAACAGCATTACGGGTATAACCATTTTTCTACGTTATACAACGTGTTTGCTGAAGATTTCGTCAAGAGGGTGGTAGCTCCAGAGTTGGGGATTGCAGCCTCTAACATCAAGGACATAGCGTTGGCCACTGACTATCAGATTGAAAACCTGGCGTGGTCCTCATTGAAGTCCAGAGGTGGCACTAACTATGTTACTTTCGATTTCGACGTCGCGCTCGAGCCTGATAGGGTACAGGCTGCAATAGAGCGGCTTGTGTCCTACCATGCTATTTTGCGGACAGTCTACTGTGTCTACCGTCAACGGGTGTACCAAGTTGCTGTAAATCAACTAGCGTTTGATATCGTCCATTCGCTGCACGTGGAAAATGTGGACAAAACAACTGCGTCTGTGATGGAATGCGATGCTCGACAGCGCCTGGATATCACTGCGGCGCTCGTCAAGTTCTGGTTACTTCGGGGCGCACACGGTCGAGTTATGCGGCTCATTATCCGGGCCTCGCACTTACAGTACGACGGAGTAACGCTTATAAGATGGTGCAATGAGTTTGGCCTGGCTTACAGCGGGTCCAATCTCCTGCCAAAGACATCTTTTCCAGAATACATGAATTTTGCAGCAAACCACAACGCAAATGACGCTTGCCACTACTGGAGAAAACTTCTGGATGGGTCGTCCATGACTAACGTGTTTCAGCACTCCAGTATTCCTTGGAAACACGTGCTGAATGGCCAAGTGGAGACGCTCATTGACACCTCTTTGGTTCACTCCCACTCCGATATCACAATTGGCACTACTATCAAAGCTGCATGGGCCCTAGTACTCGCTGAGATGGCGAGCAGCGGTGATGTTGTTTTCGGTTCCGTAGTCTGGGGCCGAAATGCCATGTTTCCGGGAGTGGAGCAAGTAGTTGGTGCGTGCATCGACAACATTCCCGTTCGAGTCCGCCTCGGTCCTGGTATGACACGCCTTCAACTACTGCAGCAGATTCAAGAGCAATACTTTGAAGCAGTCAGTTTTGAAAACTTTCAGTACAAGCGAATCGTCAAAGAATGCACCGATTGGCGACCTTGGGAGCGCTTGAGCACTCTCGTCGAGTACGAGAACCTGGGAGAGGAGAGTTCACGGTTCAAACTTGGCCGAGAGTACGGCAGCTTCACCGTAGATGAAATCAGACCTCCAGCAGATCGTCACGATGTAACTATATACAGTATGCCCATGGGCGAGAAGCAGACGTTCATTGCACTCGACTTCTGCAGGGATATTGTTCCTATAACAGTGGCACAGCGAATGCTGGATCGCATGGTGGAGCATATCCGGGCGTTTCACGACGACCACCATGTGCAAGTCGTCCTATCCCCCCCAGACGAGATTGGGTTGCCCCACATACCGATGTCACTAGGACCCTCTGCCGGAGGAAATTCGAACAAGCTCAATGAGGGTGGTCAGCGGAAAAAGGCTTGCGATCGTCTCATTCCTGAGGACGAAACGAACCATACTCGGGTACGACAGCTTGTAGAGAAGGCCTGGAGCTCCGTGTTGGGATGTCAGCAAGCGGACCTTGCCACCTGCTGGGCCAATCGGGTCCCTTTCTACAACGTGTGGGGAAATCTCATCGCCTCTTACGCCCTGGCTAGGTATTACGAAAGGGAAGGTAGTCTAGTAGCTGCAGAGGATCTTTTACAGAACGTTGATATGCAGTCTCAGGTGGCGCTATTGTTCGGTCAAGCCAAGCCCATGTACTATACAGACTAAGCATAGTGGCATTCGGGAGAGACTTGATGCTGCCGAGACAATTCGACAGAAGAGTACCATGCATCGCATAGGATATTACGACTGTAATTATATCATATATCAAGGTACTTTTAGTGCGAACTCTTGGTATATAAACGCCATCAAGACGTGTTTGAAGTTTCCCCGACGAGCTCGCCGGCGTTCCCAGCCATGGCTGACTCAACTGAGCCACAGGCTGTCGAACGTCGACGCGAGCAGAACAGGCTTGCTCAACGCAAGAGACGTAAGTCAACTACGTGTACCAGCACGGCTATAATCATGGAGACTGAGGCATCAAACGCAGGTGACACCGTGAGATCGCAGCTGCAACAGCTTCAAGCAGACAATGAAGAGTTACGCGCCTTTAAGGAGCAGATAGTGAAAGCAACCCAGGCAGGGCGAGTGCCTCGCAGCACCATGGATATTTCGGCGGGGTTTCTCAGATCTCCAAGCAGTTCTGCCCGAAGTCCTGCAGTGACGGCCGAGACATTCTCACTCATGAGTAGCGACGAGGAGTTTGCACCAGACATGAAGGCCCTGGAGCCGTTCCTAGCAAATTTCAGCACCGGGGGCGTCGGCCTTCGGCATGGTGACCATACCCAGGTGCTGTCGCCAGCAGGTTCGATAACGTACCACACAACGTCTGACACTCTCCGTACCCCAGAGCCGGCGGACGATCTAGGCTACGTACATCTTGGTCATGGCCTCGGCCCTGGTCCTGAATCCTTCTGCAACCGCAGCAGTGGAGATGGCAGGCATGATGCGCTTCGGATCGCTGTGGCGAATGGCCATCTCTCGATGGTACAGCTCCTATTGAAGCACGGAGCGGACGTGAACGCGCCAGCGGGGGAGCTGGAGCGGACCTCACTGCATGATGCCGCTGCAGCAGATGATGCAAAGATGGTGGAACTGCTGCTCGACCATGGGGCTGACGTTAGCGCTGTCGACAAATCGGGCATGACGGCTCTGCAAGTAGCAGCGTCGTTGGGCAATGTGGAGGTTGCCGGGATTTTCCTGCAGTGGAAAGGCTGACTCGATGGGTTCGACCCAACGCCAAGATGTATAACGAACGACGCAGTGTCCAATAGCTGTGGCCTTGCTTACCCCACACATGGCCACTGCAAAGCTGACAGCCTTGCCGTGAGAAGAAATACGAAAAGAAATCTCCGTCAGCTCTCCGCGCTGCAACATCCTCTTGTTAATTGTGTATTGTTCCTGCTGCTCCTTGCCACGTTTCTCTGCATTTCACAACCCTTCTTTGTAGGCTCTGCAGAGCCTCGTTCCGGCGACCAGTAATATCCCACCGTTCATGACCAAAACAAGCGGAGACGAAGTCGCATCGCTGCGGGACCAGAAAAAAAGTACACTGCATGCACCTGCAATCCTCCCATATAGCCCAGGCGTCCCGCGTGCAGCACCGTCTCATCAGCTGAATCATATGCGGGGCTTCTGAATACTTGGGGTCATACCCAATGCCAATGTTTCCAGGGGACGAACGTTGATTGGCCAGTCAATCATGCAGTGTCCTCCTCCATGCTGTCCGTGTCCATCAATCAGTGTAAGGGTGCAAACATACGTGACAATCAGCACACGACGCGCCATTTCCAGGATATACATTGCACCTTGTCGACGTAGTTGGACTTCCATCGCAACCGGCTCATCCATAGGCTGTCCGAGGACATCTCACGAGAGAAAGCGCGACTGCTGTTAGGGCAAGGCAAGTTAAGCACGCAGCAGCGGCAATGCATCAAAATGGACGAAATCGACATTCTGCACTTCAATGATGTGGTGAGTAACATGGTGCTCATTGCGGTACCTTGTATCCGAGAGGTGGTAACGAGGACTTACACGATCTGGCCCGTAGTATCACACATCGGACGTGGAATTAGTTCCGCGTTTTGCAAGTACTCTGTCAAAGCCCAACCATGTTCTCGATGGGTTTACTCCAGCCCGTCATCAACTGCGCGTCTTCAGTGGCGATGCGTTCTCTCCCTCCCTGGAGGCTTCTGTGCTCCACGGTGGTCATATGATTGATCTGCTTAATGCCCTCAATATCGACGTTGCCTGTTATGGGAACCACGACTTCGACTTCGGCGAAGCCCGCTTGTCCCATCTCTCGAGGCAAAATAATTTCCCTTGGACTTTAGCCAATGCCGTCCGCAAGCATTGTGTCGGAGATCAAAGACGGTACTTGGCTCAAGCTCAAAAATTCGTCACCCGGGAAGTCGCGGGGTACAGGTTGGGATTCTTCGGACTTGCTGGCACGTGAGGGCCCCTCTTCCTCCTCCCCTTCCCTGGGGTTACCGTCGATGTGTGCCTTACAGACTGACTGATAGTCAGAGATTGGCCGTCAAACTGTCAACACCTACCGGACTGTGAGATTCATGATCCAGCATCAGACGGCAGGAGACTTGCAGCACACCTCCGGAACTCCGAAAGGTGCGACTTCGTCATTGCGGTGACGCACATGCGTCTTGCTGAGGATCTGAAGCTGTCTCAAGCCACTTTATCGGGAGATGGAAAGATTGATCTCATCCTTGGAGGGCACGATCACTATGTGCTCCGAAGAACACATACTGACACGAACTTCGACCCCTCTATCATCCAGCCGGGAGTTTACGACATTGCCGGGCCTGTCACCCAATTCAATGGCTTTGCCCATATCATCAAGAGTGGGACTGACTGGAGAGGCCTTTCAATTGTCCGTTTGAGGGTTGAGAGGCTGTCAGATGGAAGCGCTTCCATATCTGACATGAATCGTAAGTATATCCGTTTTCTCACCAGTCACTAGGCTTATGCTTTTCAGTGAAACAAATCGTCGACCTCACCAAAATGCCAAAGTACCATCAAATACCGCCGTGCCCCAAGGCGCTTGCAGCCATTGCCAAAAGTCTAGAAAGCATTGACAAACTTGTTCAACAACCTCTTGTCTATGCCGACATTTCTCTCGAAGGACGCTCGACACTGATCCGTAGTCAGGAGTCCAATCTTGGTAATATGGTCGCTGATGCTGTCAGGGCTTTTTATAACTCGGATATTGCGCTAGTCAACAGCGGCGGTATCCGATGCGATCGCGTAATTGAGCGTAGCAAGGACGTACCGCTGTGCATACGTGATATCCTAGACATCAGTCCATTCGACAATGCGATGGTGGTAAAGCGCGTGAGTGGCAGCACCATTGCCCTAAGCCTGGAGAACTCTGTCTCCGATGCGCACACGGACGGGCGTTTCATGCAAGTCTCTGGACTTAGCATTTCAGTCAACTGGCACCACGAGGAAGGTGATCGCATCTTAAGCATATTCCATCATTCACGACAGAACCCGGCGCCTTACCCTCTCCAGCACGATCGTATGTACACTGTGGCCATGACTAACTTCATAGCGGCGGGATTCGATGGTTACTCTTGCTTCGAGAGTACTGAAACAATGATCGACGTCGAGGGTGCCATGACGGACACCAATCTCCTTTTAGAGGTGTTCGGCGGCGCGTTTACGTCTCGCGATCGTGTTGACGGCGAATTGAATGACAATACTACAGCGGGTTTAATGAGGGCTAGAAAGGAAATCGTTATAGCATACAATGAAAGCGATGGACTGCCAGTCATCAGACCACGGCTGGAAGGTAGAATTAAGGTTATAAGTGGCGTGAATCTCTAAGAGAGCCATTGCATCACGCAATACGCCACCTCAAAGGCGTTTCTTCATATTGCAGCACGTTGCATATATAGATTGTCACACTGCCTTGCCATGCACATTGCAACCTGTAACCGGTGCAAGCCATGAGTCAATGTAGTACACGTGACCATACACGGGACACTGCAATCAGTATATAACCTTCTGCAGATACCTTCGTTGCCATAAGCTTGGAGGAATGGTACTATTCTGGAACAGTTTACTGGGAGTTTTGAATGCCAAGACAGAGTTCACACTTGCCAGCTTTAGCGAAAGATGCTGAACTGTCCAAGCACCACTTAATTCGAGGAGAGCAAAACCAGGGCAATGCAACTTCTTTCTGAAAAGTGGCCCACTGCCACACAATAACAAACTCGATTCAACCGTCAACAGCCGCAGATGAGCGATGGCAACGGCTTGGACCGAGGGTGCCGCTTCTGTATGCAGGATCCTTCAGGCCTCGGGGAGGAAGGTGGTATTGAAGGTTCTTTGGACCCTGCGCCCCATATGAATTCGTAGGAATAATGCAACAAGCAATTCTAGATGGGTTTCACGTCGGTGGCCTGATGCATTGCGCCATTGCTGGTCTGGGCATATGCACTACATTGGCTACCCATGTTAATTCGGTCCTAGGTGGATCTACGTGTAGACACTGCACTAACAACGACTTACTCGCTGGCGAATGAGCGGGAAAGGGGCGTCAGCGCTACTGTGTGTATTCTGATGGGAAGGGCGCTATGTAACATCAGTAGGAATTTCCCTATCATGAAGAAAGTCCCCACAGACAAGCCAGGATGAGGTAGTAGGTGGTCAGCTGTAGTCAGCAATCCGCAACACTAAGGCGCTGCGAGGTCAATATGACTCAGTATCCAACGCCAGGTCCTTGATTTGATACCTTCAAAGGTTACTGCCACGATGTAGCACGAGAAACATGGTGGCGAGCTTCCAGTGATTGGAAAGATAGAAAGTTGGCTAGACAGTTCGACGCAGGACACGTACATCAGCATTTAGGCGTATAAATGTAAGGAATTTTAATCTAGCAAAAGGACCAGAGTATCATCAAGTCAAAATGGGGAGTGAACTAAGAATCCAGGCGATTGGTTCGATCAATCACGCGCTTTTCCGAATATCATTTCAGTTTTTATTCGTTTCAACCGCTAATTTCTAAGTTCCTCGAGAACAGTCCAGGGGCTTCTGAATCTGCTGCACATCTGTGAAGCATTGCAAGTGTTTCACTTTGGTCACATTCCCCCTGTTCCAATAATAAAAATGCATCAGCCTCTTGACACAGCAATAAAGTAGTTTTTAATGAGATCGATTTGACGAAACAAGCCCCTAAACATACTCAAAAATAGGCTTTGTTGACATGAATAGGGTCAACTAATAGAGACTTGCAACTGTGGAAATACGACATTTTCACTTGAAATGCAAATCAAAGTGTGTGGTCTAATCTCCCATCATTTCGATCTATAGTTATTCATTGTTTGCTGTTGTGAACTCTTTGGCTGATGAGAGACATCACGCTGATGGACCTCTGGGAGATGGATTCATAATTGCACACATGCGTATTCATCACACAAAAGATCATTTTGAACTTTGAAAGATCATTACATTATTCTCGCCATGTGTGGATACATGGTACCAATGATGACATGCATACTCTGGCCTCCCGTGTCATGTTGGCGATACCACTGTCTATCGCTGTCGCTAAGCAATTGAGTACGCTGAGAAGGCATATCTTCTGAGTGCTGTCTGACTATGCCTAGTTTAAGACCACCTGCGGACCAAGAAAGGACACTAACAGTTGTTCAGTTGCCGCTCAAAATACAACATCGGCAGAAGCCGGAGGCCACCAGACAGAGTACGACGTTGAAGCAAGGTAGAATAACCGACTGCAGGCCCTTTTACTTAGCATAGACTCGACTAATCCTAACGTCGGCGTCTTGCCACAACAGCAACTGAGCTAAGGAAGCGAACTATCTGGCGATCATGGATAACCATGTCAGATACCCCTTAAACGTTGCCATAATTGGCATTGGCCATCGCGGTTATAACACACATTTCTTGACTTTGCTAGAGAACCCGAGGCTGTGGTGTGTCAAGGCTGTCTGCGACGTCAACCCAGCAACGCGTACTGTTTTCGCCAGCAACCATCCCAAAATTCCCATTCTCAACTCTATATCTGCACTGCTAGATCAGCATGGTCATCAGCTGGACTTGGCGATAGTCTGCGTCCCGCATCAGTTTCATCTGGAATGCTGTCAGGCACTCGCAAAGGCCGGGATAAACATCCTCAAGGAGAAGCCAGTCGCAGAGTCGAGAGAAGAATATGATCAGCTCCTGAAATTACCTGTGAAAGCAGGTATTACTTTCCAAAAGCGGTTTGAGCCTCGATATCTGGTGATAAAGGACCTCTTGAAACAGGTTGGGCAGGTCGCATCATTCAGAGCGGTGTTAACTGCGAGCATTGACGCATTAGATTCCGGTTGGAGAGCTAAAAGTGATGTCGGAGTTACTGTATGCTCTGCAAGCTTCTTTCCCGGATACCAGATCTGACAGTATCTACAGGAAGACCTCGGTTGCCACATGCTCGACATGATCGTCTCCCTTTTTGGCAAGCCAACGTCCGTCACTGCTCAGAATGCCTTAGGAGTGAGGATTGAGCAGACATACGGTGGCGATGATATTGCCAACGTAATCATGAACTTCGGAGAGTCAGCGAAGCGCAATATTGGCCATGTGCACCTTTCACGTGTAGCTCACCGCTCCGAAGAATCACTGGTAGTCACTGGAACAAATGGCACCTTCGTGTTGGAAGGGAAAGAGGTGGTTCTGCGCGACAATTCCGGTAGCGAGACATTTCGTTTCAATGACTCTTCCTCCAAGAGATTCGCTGTAAAGTCGATGCTACAGCAATTCTCAGCGTGGATCACTGGGGCCGAACCTCAGTTCGCAGCTTCTTTGGCCAATGTCAGCGACACCGTGAGCGTTATGGAGGCCATCCAGCGTTCTTACGGTAACCCGCATGCCACAGAGAGTCTTGCATCCCGGCATCGTCAAATTGGCAAGCCTTTCCTTGAGGCTTCCCTCGGGGGTGAGCACCATGTATGGCCGCTCCTCACCGCCGAATCGGAGGATGCAGTTGTTCGACAAATGCACTCATCACTGTCTATCTACAATAGGTCAGATATATACGAAGTCTTTGAAGATCGATGGCGTAAGATGCACAATTTGAAGCATGCACTTGTCTGCAGTTCCGGCACAATCGCCATCTTACATATGTTCGAAGCACTAGATCTGCGACCAGGCGATCAAGTTCTATGTCCTGTATACACGTTCTTTGCCACAGCTTCGCCGTTGCTACAGTATGGGGCAGTGCCTGTATTCTGCGACTCGTTGGGGGATGGAAACATGGACCCTGAAGAAATTTTGAAAAGATCCACCCCGAAAACGAAGGCAGTGATTGTCACGCATATGTGGGGCTTGCCCTGCCGTATGCGCAGGATCGTCGACAATGCCGAAAAGATGGGCATCAAAGTTCTGGAAGACTGTTCACACGCGCATGGTGCTGTCGTCGACGGCAAGATTGTGGGTTCATGGGGAGACATGGCAGCTTGGTCACTTCAAGCAAAGAAGAATGTCATGGGTGGCCAGGCAGGAGTCATGGCTACTAACTCAACCGATTACTATTCTCGTGCGATCCTCCATGGTCACTTCAATAAGCGAGCAAAGCAGGAAGTCTCAGAAAGTCATCCACTGCGCAAATTTTGGTGTAAGTCTTGGACCTTACTGCAGCTTCTACATGAGTGACTGCTGACCACTCCCCTCAGTGACTGGCATTGGCCTCAACTTGCGAGCCCACCCGTTGGCTATCGCGTTAGCAAACCAGCAGCTTGATCGACTTCCATCCCATGATCGCCGCAGGCAAGCTTACGCATCGTACGTTGCGAGAGAACTTGACAAAATCCCGTTCCTCAAGATGCCCACCCTTCAAAACAACAGACGGGACAAACATGCTTGGTACGCATTTGTGATACAATTCGATCCTTCCCGTGCACCCAAAGGTTTGACCCGCGATGAGTTTGTTCGTCGACTCGAGAAGCGCGGTGTCAACGAAGTTGACATACCACGCTCTACTGGCCTTCTAAATGGGTTGCCATTGTTCACACACGCGCACGAGGCAGTGCCAAGATTTGGGCCCACAGCTTGGTGCAAGCCGCAAGCGACAGTGGAATTCCCTAATGCTGAGAGCTTTTATAACCATGCCATCAAGCTGCCCATGTGGACGACGGATGGTGACAAGACGATTGTGGAGCATTACGTGAGAGAGTTTTTGGCTGTTGCAGACGAGGTCATGGGGAATACTCACGGTCAATGGGGCGAACAGAATAGGAGACAGGGGACCGAAAACCCCCAAGCCAGGTTGTAATTTAGAATGGAAAGTCTCCTTGATCTTTGCTACACATTCATTGCATATTAGCCTCATTATCACAAATGCGGAGAAGTCGTTGCTTTGCTAATCGTGATGCCCTCACTGAAGCTCCATGGCCAAACCATCTGGATGCGACAGAAACTGAGCGTCATGAAGAACTAACATTAAGGGCAATTTCAGATAGTAGTAATATGACTTATAAATGTGACATAGTAGTCTCGACCGAATATCAAGGCCGCATAATTTGCTTTGCTGAGCAGAAGTCACATTCCGTGGTCGGTGCCTTGTATGTATTACTTATGCTTCAGCCCTTGAATACGATAAGTCCGTTTATAATAGGGCTCATTCATAGCATACATATACTCTAATACTAATCGAGTGGTTTTAGACTGTTTCCATGCATGTACATGAGACAATTGCAGTGGCTTTTAGGTTTGTATATGATAGAGATGCCTATCAACTATTTGGGACTATCTCATACGCAACTTCCTCAGATGTGGCTTCCATTCGAACCATCTTTCCAAATCTCTCGTCAAGCGGCAGCTGACACAGCCTTAGTAGCCTTGACGACAGCCATACTAGGATCATCCAGAAAAGTCTGCCAGAAAGCTGTGTCGTCGCGCACGGTCTTGGCGCTCATAAAGTCAACTTCCTGGACGTCTGTCAAGCCAAACTTCTCGATGATCTCCTTGTTGCCCTTCCAGCTCAAGTCTAGCGAGCTCGCCTCAAATTCGATCGGCTCGTTTAGGTGGATGCGATATCGGTAGCGAACACCTCCAGGAATATCTTCGAAATCTTTATACGTAACGCCGTATTTGCCATCAGCGCACGCCTTGCTCTTCATGTTGCCTACTCGGGCGCCAACGAAGCGGCCGCCGGGCTTCAAACGGGATACAGCATTGCGCCACATAGTCTCGAGCTGCTCTTGCGAGGTTGCATGGTCGAAACAGAAATTGGACATGACAATATCGTACTGGTCCCGTAGACCTTTTTCGAGGAGATGATCAATGGGCTTCGTCACGTCTGCCTCAAAGGTACGAATTTTTCCAGTGCGGCCGAGTTGCTTCTCAGTGTCCTCAGCAACTCGCAACATTTCGGTGGACAGATCTATAATGTCGACAGTGGCTGCTCCTGCGTCTACAGCTTGGCGTGAGTGAATGCCAGAGCCACCGCCGAAGTCGAGAACATGGAGCCCAGTGCAATCCCCGAGGGCTGCACCAAGAAGTTCCGTTTGGAGTATGCTGCAGGGCAGGTGCGTAATATCGTTGTAGCCCTGGGCTTGATGGTCGTATTCACTTTTGACTTGCTCAAAACTAGCCATGATGAAATGATTTGTTATGTATTCAGGATAGAGTGGTTGTAGTTAAGATCTTTATGGCAGTCAGTGATATTATTTTTACTCTCCTAGTGAAGATATGTACTTATTACTCAAAGTCGAGAGCATTGCTTGGGATAATCAATGATGTGGTATAGTGGACCTGATAGCCCTTAATGATGAATACAGTTTTTCCCCACCCTAATCACGCACGCTCTGTAGAGCTCAGACATGATTTTCTTGGGCATTCAATCGCATCTCACATATGAATGGCATGCGTAGTTTGATGACTCACCCAATCCGCGCAAGTGTGTTGCTGCAGTACCCTTCCCCAATTGCTGACGCAGCATGCTACCGCACTGGGCTTCATCATCAGGGGATATACTCTAGGCACGACACATCAGGTCCGAAATTGCGTGTGCATTGTCATGTCTCTTACTGCTTGCCATACTGTGTTCTACTTGATTTCAAGTATTCAGACGTGAGTGTGTTTATTCTACATTATACATGTTGGCAAGCGGTTCATGTTTTTGATTTGCTAGTTGTAACACAAGAGGGACAAGTTGAATGATTTATTCATTCTCATCGACCTTCTTCAGTAAATGGTGTTTTCATTCGTAGATAGACACAAAAACGAATATTGGCAATACGCTTTGGTTGGACCATGGATGCTTTAATATGGGATAACAACCCTGACGCTCATCGATTCGCCGAAGCTGCTGTGAAGGCCCTTTTGGCTTCTTTTCCAGGTGTCGGTAATCAGAATGTACGGAAAGACCGTAAAAGGCAAGGCAAAGGTCCGTGTTCATTCATAGATGTGTATTCCTAGCTGTCTAGCTGGTCGTGTGCTCACCATATCACAGGACCTTCAGTGCTGGAAATTGGTTGCGGTACTGGCGTCTTCAGTCTCCGACTGCTTCCTTACGTGGGCTCAATTTTGGCCGTGGATGTTTCGCATCCTATGATTCAAGTACTTCGACTCAAAATTGCAGAAATGTGTAACCCAACAGAGCGAAAGCATATCGCACCTCTCTGCTTGTCTGTAGAGGACCCAGAAGATCCTGCATTGCCACCAGGCCAAGGTGGAAAGCGCAAGAAGTTTGATCTAGTGACAGGACATTTGTTGCTACATCATGTGGCAGATCACAAAGCTCTTCTGGAGACTATGTTTGGTTGCTTGAAACCTGGTGGTCGCTTGGCATTGACGGATTTTGCAGACTTCGGCCCTGAAGCGCGGCTATTTCACCCCGAAGGTAAAATGGGTGATGTCGAGCACGATCAAGGGGTGAATCCCAAGGCAATTGAAAAGTTAATGCGGCAGGTTGGATTCGAAGAAACGAACGTATCAGTTGCTTGGACGTCAGAGAAAGAGGTCGAGCGATTCCCCGGGGAGTGGGGCCCCAAAGGACTGCAAAAACCTGAGTCGGTTCGGACGATGGAGTTCTCCTTTGTGTTGTGCAGTGGGAGGAAGCCCAAAGATTCGAGCAAGTACAGTGACTATTCTAGCGGAAGTGAGCCAGTCTTGTATCATGATCGTACAAGAACACAGTAGTCCAGGTGTCGAGCCTTATCAATGGCTACAAACCACAACAATCAGCTCAAGAAACTCGAAGTGAGCCGGTATCAGGAACTCATAATACCCTGCAAGTCGAGGCCATTGGGAAATCCCTACTAGTACATTAGGTTGTATCTTAAAAGGTTCCATTACTTTCAAAACCTAATAAGAAAAACTAATTAACTATTAGATTTGAATGACTCCGTTGTTTCACTCTCTCGTCTTCGCCAGGGCGCACTCCTTCGTGCTCTAGTTACCTGCTATTTCTTTCGAGCAATTCGTGGTTAATGTTCGGTCTTGTTCACTTGGCAAAGCTATCCCCACCCTTATGATGACTCCGAGGTTGCTGGTGCCTCTCATATCCGCATGTTACGCACAGTCAGCTGACAGCATCTGTCTTGGCTCATGCAGTTCAATCCCGAATCTATCCCAGGTTAGTCCAATAGATACTGTCAGGCGAGGTCATGGGGCAGGTGGGTTTCGGTGGGTCACTGCGGCACATAGTGAACTCGATAGCAGTTTCTTGTAAGACGACACGCGACCTGCGTGAAGTTGAGCCATACACATTGCTCGCTCTATCATAGGCAGGCCAAGGGCTATTAATCCAAACTTTTACGGTTTAACTGTGAATAGTCTCGCGGCACCGGCCTACCAAACCCGATGCCTTCACACTGGCTACTTTTCGTCCTCATTGGTGGTGGCAACCTGTTTACAAGGTATAGCTGTGCCAAGCCCACCACTGAACCTACAACATTTCCCCGGTTCAGATTTGAGACGGATGTTCTAACAACCGAAACGCTCAAAAAGTATCGCAGCAAGAATGCGCATCTACTCGCGTTCAACACTAGTGGACCAATTACTGCTAGCGGAGGATGCAAGGTATTCCCGGGTGATGCCGCTTGGCCGTCGTCCGAAGAGTGGAATGCTCTCGACGATGCTCTTGGCGGTGCGTTGATAAAAACCGTTCCTCTAGCCGCACCATGTTATCGTGAATGGGAGGTTTATAACGCTGCGAAGTGCGAAGCAATAGTCGCCAACTGGACCAACCCTCATACGCAGTCAGTCACGAGCAATCAATTTTTTTCTCTCTATATCCACTAACAGTAACGGTAGCATGGAAGATCCAACGTCAGTGATGTGGCCAGTATGGGAAGGATTGACTTGTTTACCGGTGGATGGCACCGGCAACTCAAGCTGTACTATTGGTGGCTATCCGACTTACGCTGTGAATGCGACGACAGTTGCTCATATACAGCTCGCGATCAATTTTGCGCGCAATTCTGGTCTTCGAATCGTTATCAAGAACACCGGCCATGATTACCTTGGAAAATCGTCCGGAGCTGGTGCTTTAAGTATATGGACGCATAACTTGAAGAGCATTGAGTACTTGCCTAACTTTGGACGATCATCTGTCAAGACTATCCACGCTGGGGCTGGAGTTACGTCCCTCGAGGTTTCTCAAATCGCCTATGGCCACGATGCATCTGTAGTTGCGGGAATGTGCGCTGTAAGTATACCATATCTTCCATAATTCTAAGTTGACTGACTTGGCCATAAGAGTGTTGGCTTTGCCGGAGGCTACTTCACTGGAGGAGGGCTTTCGCCGTTGTCTAGCCTTTTCGGTATGGCAGCCGACCACATCCTTGCCGCCGGCGTTGTGACAGCAGATGGTCAATATGTGATTGCTTCTCCAGAGTCTCATCCGGATCTTTTCTGGGCTATCCGTGGAGGTGGAGGTAGCACTTGGGGAGTGGTAACATCAGGTACGTCCAGCATTCGCGCTAATACTAGTTTCTCTTACTAAATTCTAGTTCACAGTCGTCGTAAGGCTTCATCCCACAATTCCATTAACGACATCCGCTATCTCCTTCCAAACTTCAGCCAATGTGAGCAACGAGACGTTCTGGGAGGGCGCTCGTTCTTATTTTGAGAACATCGAACGCTTCACCAGTGCTGGCTTTTATGGATTCTCTAATACCCGGCGACTAAGCTCCTTCTACAACAACTCCGATTTCAGTTTTGCACTTGAGCCTATGGTAAGTAGTTGACTATCTATCGGCGATGCTCCTTCATAGCTAAACCTTGCGCATCAATAGCTAGCACCAAATACTACTATCGAAGCATTTAACAGGGTCACAAAACCTTTCTTCGACCGATTGAAAGAGCTTGGCATCCCCTACACCAACGAGCAAAAGTTCTACGAATCCTTCCACGAAGGATGGATAGCAACATGGCCAGATGAAGACCTTGTCGTCACTGTGCCCACTATCACTGAGGGAAGCCGCCTCTTTCCTCGCGAATTGTTCGCCAACCCTGAGGGCATAGAGAATTCCCTTCAGGCTATTCGTACTGTTAGCGAGCGCGGATATGACATTACAGGGTTCGCCCTGGCGCCGCGTAACCCCTTCCACGTTGATAACTCGGTTAATCCCGCCCTGCGCAACGCTCTCGGGCACTTCAGCTCAGGTGTTGTGTTTGCCGAACACTCCACATCGGAGCAAATGGCTGATACTCAAGCGGAGCTTATGAATAATATTCTTGACGTCTGGCGTGAAGTAGCCCCATCAGAGAAGATGGGAGGCTCTTACCTTAACGAAGCGAATATAATGGAACCCAACTGGCAAGATGACTTTTATGGTCTAAATTATCCGGAGCTGCTGAGAATCAAGCGTACGTATGACCCTTACAGCGTCTTTTACGCTACAACTGGAGTCGGTAGCGAAGACTGGGAGGTACGAAGTATGGAGCAAGGTATTCGAACACAAAATGGGCGCTTGTGCCGCCTGTAAATCCTGGCCAAACCAGATTATTTCGCTCAGAGTCGTAGACACTATACGTTAGAAGTATGCTGGACAATGTTACTACCACTTTCAGTGCGTTGACAAATAATGAAATGAAACTACTGATACATTAATACGTAAATGTACTCCTAGAAAAATGGAATGTGCAATTACGTGATTACATCAATTGGCCGACTTTCCCAGGCGCTGGTACTGGGAATGAGGATCGAGACATGGCTACGTTAGACGCTGCAATTCCTCCTTGATGAGGTGAGAGGGACTGGCTACAGACCATTGGGCGCTTTTTGCATTTGATGCCCATCACTTGGCGAACTGGGATTCGTACTCCACAGCGGGCGAATGGTCCGTTATGGCCTAAGTTAGGTTATGCGCTTATCCAAAGCGGCAACTTGACCGCCGGTTTCCGGGTTGCCTGATTGATCCCAAGCCGATAGGAATTAGTCATCTAAGGTTACAGATGCAGGTAAGCGGCACATGCCCACCGCTTTCTTGATTGCTATTTCCCAAGTCAACAAGAGTTCTTACTACGCCCGAATGGACTCAAATGCGCTTCAACATTCCCTCATGTACCAGTAAAATCCAGCAAGAATGGAGGCTATTAAGATCACGCCCACAGCGGCGCCAGCGCCCGGCGCAACCCCAAGCGCCGGTGATGTCGCCGACCTACGCAATGATGATGGGTGGAAGCCCACCAAGCGTTTCCTCCTGGCTTTCATGTCTCTTCTCACTATCGTGGCAGCCGTGGCGATTGAATCAACCAGCTTACCAACTGCTCTCCCCATCATGAGCGCAGAATTAGGGGGTACCGCTCTGGAAGCATTCTGGTCTGGCACTAGTTTCCTCCTAGCTTCGACCATTATCCAGCCCACAGTCGCGTCAATGTCGCATATTCTGGGTCGAAGAATCGTAAGTCCACAGGTCGCACAACGGCGAAATGACTCGCTCATCAAACTCGCAGATGCTCTATGTTAGCAGCGTTGGATTTGCAAGTGGTTCGCTCATTGCTGCCCTCGCACGTAATTTTAAACTTGTGCTCGTCGGTAGGACTATTCAGGTATGTATCGACCTATCACATGTTCTCTAACGTAGTCTGACAAATATATATTTAGGGAGCAGGAGGTATGCTGTCTAATCCCATTCAAGTCTTGAATTGCATGCTTATCAAATTATCAGGAGGGGGGCTGATTGTCCTTCTGGAGGTGCGCCTTGCCCACACCTAAATCACTGTAGAATTCTGCAGAGAACTGAACTGACGCATCTACCAGATTCTCATATCCGATCTGGTCCCCCTTGCACACCGCGGTACTTGGTTCAGTATCATTTCCGCCATGTGGGGTATCGGCACTGCCACTGGGCCCTTGATCGGAGCTGGATTCGCTCAAGATGTTGTACGTATCACAACTGCAAATTCTCAATGCTGGAACTAAATTCATGAAGACATGGAGGTGGATATTCTGGATCAACCTGCCAATCGTCGGTGTGGGCATGCTTTTCGTTACGCTATTTTTGAAACAAGCGCAGATACCAGGGCAAATTATTGAGAAGCTCAAGAGATTTGACTGGCTTGGTTCCGTACTGTTTTCAGTCAGTTCTGCAGGGTTTTTGTTTGGTATTACTACCGGAGGTGTCAGATTTCCTTGGTAAGCAAGAGACATATACTGCTTGAGACCAGGCGTATTGACAAGACGCAGGTCATCCTACCAAGCACTGGTACCACTAGTCATCGGATTTCTAGGCATGCTCTCCTTTGTCTATTGGGAGTTCAACTTTGCTTCAGAGCCAATCGTGGACAAGCGAATCTTTAAAACATGGACAGCAATCTCCGCTTATATCCAAACGATGCTGCATGGCCTCGTCCTGTGGGCGGCTATTTATTTCCTGAGTAAGATTACCCCGCCTGCACAAATCTACGACTGTGAGCTGATCATCTTTTGTAGCTTTATACTACCAGGCTGTGAAGTTGTACTCGCCAGTTACTTCAGCCATAGCACTCCTCCCCGAGACAGTAGGACTCTCCCTCTCGAGCATTGCGGTAGGTGCCCTTACAGGGCGGTGGAAAAGATATCGATGGGCCCTGTGGGGAGGATGGTCTCTGACTACTCTTGGCGCTGGCCTTTTGTACCTTCTTGGTACAAACACCAGTATCACTCAATGGGTTTTCTTGAACATTCCTTTCGGTATCGGAACTGGCATGCTTTTCACGGCAGAGATCCTAGCCATCCAAGCCGCAACTGAGTACGTACCCGTGACCGGGCTGAAGTGTTCTTCATGCCTCTTTTCTGCCATATGCTGACGCTCTGCAGACCTCATCTCAACGGCGAAGCCGCAGGTTTCTTCTCGTTCATCCGAATCTTTGGCCAAGCTCTTGGCGTAGCTATATCGGGAGTTATCTTCCAGAACTCACTGAAACAAACACTGCTTCGAATTCCGGGTTTCGCTTCTCTCGCGGACGAGTACTCGCGTGATGCCACCGCCATAGTCACTCTGATCCAGGATATGGACGACGGCGATACGAAGGCGCGAATGATACAAGCTTTCTCAGATGCTCTAAGCTCAATTTGGCTCTCTCTGTTGGCGTTTTCAGCTGCAGGATTGCTGCTTAGTTTCACAGTGAAAGGATACTCCATGACGCAGGAGCATGTTACTGCGCAACATCTAGTTCAAGAGAAGGAGGGGTCTGGAAATGAAGAGGCTGGACTCTCGGAAAATACTCAGACTGCGGAAAAATCTTGAGCAAAAGGCCCGCCATTGGGACTCCTCTGTTCCCGTGTTACAGTCGGATCGAGCTATCTTCGATGGCTCAAGACAGGGAGAACCAGAGTCCAGGAACTTGACATGTTCAAAGAAGAGGTCATATACCGCCGTAGATCATGTATTAGAGAAGCCAATCTAACTATAGATCAGAGAGTGTTCCGCTAGACCACACCTTGGCGACTCGTCACTTAGCTATGTTCATTATGCACAAATAAAGTGAACATGTTGCAGATGAGTACCGAAAAAAGTAATCTGAGACTATTCGCAAATGGTCTGGTAGGCGTGTATCTTCGACTTATGCGCAGTTAAATAAATCCTGCTAAACCGTCGATCGCGCATGTCATTGGCCTAGCGGAAATTGTGGCTGTGTAGTAATCACGAAACGTATCCATTACCAACTTCCAGACTCGTCAAGTCTTTTCCATATACTTTTGCCTAATAGCACCAATCAACGCAACAATCTGCCCGACTATTGACAGGAATACTGTTTGCGCGCAATGCTAAGTTTATAACAGCAACATAAAACAAGGTTCTGCTAACTCGTGACTGAGGACCTAAAATATACTGATCTGGCCATGGCTGTGTCGACATTGCCCGCTTCCAATCTGGACGAAGCGGCCGTGGCTGACTTCCACGAGACCCTCCTCCAGTCCAAGCGCATTGTGGCCGTCCTCGGTGCTGGACTCTCAGCCGCCTCCGGCTTGCCCACTTACCGTGGTGTTGGCTCTGGAGGTCTCTGGCGCAATTACGACGCCACCCAAATCGCGACACCGGCTGCGTTCCGCCACGACCCGGGCCTCGTCTGGCAGTACACAAGCCATTTGCGCAGACTAGCGCTGGGCGCAGCTCCAAATCCCGCACATTATGCACTTGCAGAGTTGGCGCGCCGGGTTCCAGGTTTCATGGCACTGACGCAAAACGTCGATAACCTGTCTCCAAGAGCTGAGCACCCAGCAGCGCAGCTGAACCAGCTCCACGGAAACTTGTTTGACATGCGGTGCAGCGACGAGGCAAATTGCGGCTACATCGAAAGAGGGAATTTCAAAGACCCTCTCACTCCTGCCCTGGCGGCTTCACCTGAGGAGCAGGATGCAACTGTGTCAAACAACGAAAGCGTGAAGAGACCAAAAGCCACAGCCTGGCTGCTGGAAGGCATAGCACGGAAGAACAGGCAGATCCTGGGTCATGATTACCAAGAAGCAGCACCTTTGCGGACAGACCAGGCGGCCTTAAAGTCAGGCGATGACGAGAGCACCGAGTCGCGACTGGCAGTTGTGCCGGAGCCGTCCAATATCCCGCCTGCAGATCTGCCTCAGTGTCCCAAGTGCTCAACGAACCTGCTTCGGCCTAATATCGTGTGGTTCGGCGAAGCCCTACCTGCAGATATCGTGGCAGAGGTCGATAACATGTTTAATGATTCACAGCCTATCGATCTGTGCATTGTCATCGGCACATCTGGAAGCGTCTGGCCTGCAGCGGGCTTTGCTGACGTCGCGCGGAAGAAGGGCGCAAGAATCGCAGTTGTGAATCTCGATGTGTCTGATGTGAAGAATATGCGGCCCGGGACCGATTGGGTGTTTGCTGGTGATGCTGCAGTGGTGGTGCCGGAATTACTGAAGCCTGTGATGGGGAGCTTGAGTGGATGAGGATGGGTCGGTATCTTTTGGCGACGTTGAGTAGATCTGGAGGCAAGTACAAGCAATAATTCCGGGTCAACCCCATCCAGAGCCGGTATTCTTCTATCTTTATACTTCCGCGGACCGATAATGAGACGCGAATGCAGGTGTTAGTTGCCCAGTCAGAATGGCGTGAGCGCAAGGAGGCAAAAGATACAACCTGGGCGCTGCGGAAATTGACTATAGAGAAGATATATCCGAGACATTGTACGGTCTGTTCCGGACTCAGGATGTGCTAACAAACTAAATTGTATGAGTTGGTTATGGCTACCTAACTCTAGTATAGTCTTGAAAAGTGGGGTGCCACCCGGAACCGTTCCGCACTGCCCCTTCGCGGGGCCAAAATTTTTGTACTCCGGGGAAGGCGACAGCACCAAAACGCAGTGAACTGCATCATCCCTCCAACCAGATAGCGACGACCAAGCGATTCCATTTCTTCTATCGAGCCAGCGGCCTGTCACGGCGATTGACACTTGCGGTCTTCCAGCGCCCTTCTGTCTCAGCGACATTTCACCTCCAAAACGCCACGTCCTGCTCAGCCAGCCAAGATGGCAGCCGACGAGAAGAGCATGCCGTTCTTAAAGAACCTCGCATCCAGCGGTATGTCCACATGCGGCCTTCACGCCTAACCCCTCGGCCCAAAGGTATAATCGCTGACCGTTCTCCTTGAGTGTCCAGACCGCAAAATCCGCACTTCGGCCCTCGGCACGCTTCGCACGTTCCTCAGCGCCAGCACGACCTCGCGGGCGCTGACGCCGCTCGACAACCTCAAGCTCTGGAAGGGCCTGTTCTACAGCCTGTACATGTGCGACCGACCGGTGCCGCAGCAGAACCTGTGCGCGGACCTGGCGGCGCTGCTGGACGTGCTGCCGGACGACGCCGTCGCGCCCTGGCTCGTCGGCTTCTGGGACGTCATGGGCCGCGAGTGGACGACGGGCATCGACGTGCTGCGCATGGAGAAATTCCTGCTGCTAGTCAGGCGCGTGCTCGGCCGCAGCCTGGTCTGGGCGCACGAGGTGCCCAAGGCCAAGGGCGCCAAGGGCAAGAAGGCCGCCGACGCGCGGCGCGCCGCCCTGCTCGAGCTCTTCCGCGAGTGGCCCTTTGAGTCCACGGGTGATCTGAAGAAGATGCCCGTCGGCCTGCGCCTGCACGTTCTGGATATCTGGGTCGACGAGGCCGAGAAGGCGGGCATGATCGGCGAGGACAGCACCGAGGCCGACGCGGAGTTCCTGAACGGCATCCGAGAGATCCTGCAGGCCATGATAGGGAAGACCGTCACTCCTGTGAAGCCCAGGGCCAAGGAGAGTTTGGCAGACGAGAGGCTGCCGTGGTATGAAAAGAAGGAAGGGACCGAAGCCGAGGACGAGGAGATGACGGAGGATGGGGACAGCGATAGAGACAGTTTTGGCGGATTCGACGACTAAGAAAGAGCATTGGCGTTTGAACCGCTGTTGGTGGCATATTCTGGTAACTAGAGAACGGAGTTCGGGCGTTTTAGGACAAAAGGTCTAGATACCCATGGTACGGGTCCATGAAATAATCGACTTACTGAACCTGAACATTATGATAGTACTCAATTAAGTGTGTATTCAATGGGTCAAGACTACCGACGTCTTCGTCTCATGCATGATTTATAGGGGTATCTTGCAGCTCAGTTCGATCACGACCTTCGCCTCTCAGCAGTTTTTCTTTCTTCCCTTGCTGGCAGTTTTGTAGGCCTTCTGAGCCTTTCTCTGTTCCTTTTCTTCTCGCTTCAGCTTCCTGGAACTTTTCCTGTTTGGCAAGGGCTTATTTCTGGCACAACGCCAGCACTATGGCGTGCCGTTGCTCTTACCCTCAACTACTCCGCTCCCCAGTTTGTCCCATCCCATTGGCCCCGGAATCTCATATCTACCTCTCTTCGACAACACCGTTCCCAAACCTTGATGTATCTCAACCTGGTAAGGCTCGAAAGGAACGGCTTCACCGTCGATGCTGAGGTAGCCCGTCTTCTGCTTTGGCGTGAGACGGTACGCCACAATCTTGCGGTACGAAATGAGTGGGTTGTTGAAGAAGTGCCCACTCTCGATGGAGGTCATCAAGTCAACATACTTCATTGCAGAAATGGTGCCGTCGTTGATAACAAGGTCCATCAATCCGTCATTTGGTAGAGCTGCAGCGAAGAAATTTGCATTCGGGGCCATGTAACCCATCTACAAATGTCAGTATCGGCCCATGCAAGACCAATTGTTTGTTTACTCACGTTGCCACAATAAAAGTTGCCCAAATCATCGAGGGTGGTTGTCTCCCAATCGGCAGGCAACTTGTCATTGACGGACCCATACTTCAGCGGTGGCAGTCCTTCGCCCGCTTCGTTTTCGCTGGACACGGAGTCGGCATTGGGCGAAGAGGAGCTAGCAGCATCCCCCTCTCGTCGGATGTGAAAATCTGCCGAGTTCGTTTCTTTCCTGTAATGTGCCTTGATCTCGTCCTTGTCTGAAATGACAGTCTTCACAGAGACCTCACATGGCCAGGTCCGCTTTGTGAAGATCCGCTGCACGACACCGATGTCGAATCTTGCTGCGCCCATCCAGCGGAGGTTCTCGGTGCCCAAGTCGCATTCAGCCACAATGCCGAAGGATTGACTGAGGAAACTCAACATCCGTTGATCGCCTTGAGTCACACTCATCAGATCCAAGGGTGTGCGTACGCCCTTGATAATGGCTAGAGCCGCAGGACCCGGCTTATAGGTTCCATTTATGTTGCAGCTTAGGCCGTTGCCGCTACCGCATGGTATGTGTGCGACAGCGAGTTGGCGCAAGGCGCGACGCCCATCCGGACGCTTGCCCAAGCCATTGAACACCTCATATGGCAGCCCATCGCCTGAGCACGGTATCACAACATCATAGGCGTCTAGATCCAGTTTTTCACAGATGGCAATGGCCTCACCGTGAAACTCGGTCCGGGAGACATCGAGTGTCATGCGGGCGGCTTCAAAGAGTGGCTTGACAGTATGCTCCCAGATCTTATCGGCGCCGCCGGGACCTGCAAGCGGGTTCACAAGGACCTTGGCGCGTTTCCTCCGCTGAGCTGTACCGTATGCTCGTTTCAAAAGTTCTTCTATCCATGCCGCAGCGTCTTCCAGTGTGACTCCATCAAGAGGGTATTTTAGTTTTCGCGGTCTGGCGTGGCTCTTGGAAACCGTGGCGTAGTCGATTAGCAGTGCGCTCTCGGTCACCTCGGCCCAGAGGACGTTGTAGAAAGGGATGGGAAGCTCGGACTTTGCGGCTCCAACAGGTACGCCGCAGAACTTGGACCGCTCTCGCTTCGCAATGGCCTTGTCTGCGTGAATGATTTCAATCAGCTTCAGATGTCCTCCAATGGGTGGTTTCTTCGCATGGGCAGGGCCTACCTTTCACGATCAGGGCATCGCCCGAGAAGCTCAGGGTGACGTCGTGCCCCAACTTCAAGGCCTCTTTGGCCGTCACAGCAGATGGTGACTCGGTCGCATCGTACGCGACAGAGATCATAGGTGTGGTGTCCGAAGGTCTTGGTTCAGAAGCCATGGCGACGTGTGGAGGAACCAGTGCCTAAAAGCGAGGATGGGGAGGGGGATGTGGACGCGCCTGAGACGGACCACGCACCGACAGGTTCGACCGGGTGCGATCGAAGAAGATGCGATCAGGCCCAGGGGGGTTTTGACTAGTTATACGAGCGAGCGGCTAGAAAGAGAGACGCCTCGTGCATCACCTGAAATGAGTCGGCGCTGGTTATTATTGCATGACCACAGCGAGGGTCTGTCACGAGCTATTGAGATGAAGATAAGCGCGGGTTGTCGGCGTTGTCGGCGTGTTCATGCTCGTCGATGGTAGTAAGCTACCTAGGTTAAGTTGGTTCACAAAAACGACGCGCCGCTACCACGGCCTGCACGGGTTCCGTGGCCGCCGGCCGATCGAATGCGGCCCCTGGCCTACCCCGGGTTTTAGTGCCATTCGCTTGTGATAGCGCCTTCTACCGGCGAGCCAAGGCTGTTGGACGTTCCATTCAGGTAAGCCACTATGCCCTGGGCCGGTCTGTGATTGGCCACAATGCCGATAGCAGGAGTCCTCGATTTTGCGGCCGGGGACGATAGGCAGCCCGCGGGCTCCTTTCATCATCTGTGGAGAGTGGATGGGTACGAAGCTGGAAAGTAGAAAATGGAGGCGCTTTTATTGCGGTCGGAGCAAGCCGCCTATTCCGTGCCATGCCTGTGTAAACAGACTGTTCATGCAACGATCTTCCAGATGATTTAACGCTAGGGTCGCAAGATGCAACTTTTAGTCTAGTCCGTAACTACCTATGTCAGCAGAACTGCACCTTTTCCGTGGGGCACTGATCTGTCGACGACGACGTACTCGAGTAAGGGAGGGAGAGAGACAAAGGCCCCAGACAACAGCCAAGTTCCCTGAGAACTTTACGATCGAGATCTACCGACTAATCCCCGGAAGTGTGGGGAGTAAACTTTCGGACCTTGCAGGTTACCCCATATCCCTTATCTTGGCAATATCTTGCACTTGTCGCATAGTGAACACCTCGTGTAGGTAAAGAGAAAAAAAAAAAAACTTAGAGGTAGCCACGCTTTCTGCTAGCTCGCCGTATTCATACAATACAATACAATACATAGCCTACCCTACATCGCGCTAGGTTACGAGGGACGGGGTGTGATTGTGGCGCCGATACATATGCAAAAGGTTCCAAGTGCCATTCCCACACCTCAGGTTCAGCTCCTTCACTGGCCGCAGTGCCTTCGCGCCTCTTCTCTTTTCACCACCCTTCGGGCTATCGAGTAATGCATCACTACGACCCCAAAGGATGAATATACGATCAAGAGGTTAAACAATTGGGAGCTCTCATATGTAGGCCTTTGATATCTCTATTCCCTGGAGGGTCAAGCCGGGAAAGCCGGAAATCACCTGGACTTGTGAACATTGTAAAGTTAGCGAGCTTTGATAGTGAGTGTTGGTGTCGTGCAGTTATTGGGTCGTTGCAAGCAGCTAGTTAGGGAGACAAGCCCGCCAGGCTTACTTCATTCCTTACTGCTCCCTTACCGCACAGGCTGTCAGATATTTGTTTTCTCCTACGCGTGGCTATCATTTTTCTTTCGAGAGCGTGATTGATGATTGGACATACATGTAGCCTCTGGACATGTATTTGTTTCTTCTTTTTCGATCCTTCCTCCGAGCTGAGCTCGATCACTCGATCTCTTCTCCCGGGCTCCTCGGGATCCAGAGAGTTTAGAGTCGCATGTGGCTCCATCCACGAAAAGACAAAACCTACAAGCCTCGCGTGCACATCTCGGTTGCATATTCCAAGTCGGTTCTGCAGAGATATACATTCTACCATGCCTTTCTAATGTTGCTTCTATCAAGGCATTTCTTGTCGCGTACCAATTCCTTGACAATATAGCTCCCCCCTTGTTGTTTCCCGTGGATCATCGCCTATCACATCCGAACACAGGTCTATTCGAATATTGTTCAGGTGCTTAAGTATTCTTGTTTCAACAAGTCTCTATGGCATTGCACTGCAAAGGCCTTGTCGCAGACAAATACCCAAATCTATACCAAAGAATCCCATATTTGGCTCGAGATTGAAACAAAGATTTGGAGAAGCATGACACAACAATTCCCTCAGGGGTATATAACATTATATATGACATCAGGCTGGCAACTGCACATTACTGGGCTCGCGTGGTTAGTATGACAATTGATTTCGACCCTATTTGAGGTCTTTCCATTGTTGATATATCGCACGAGATGAAAATGGCTGTTGTTCCCAACTTGCAGCTCTTATCAATATAGAACCGCAAGGAAGAGCAACATCCATCTTCGATTTCCTGGCCCAAAGAACCCCCCACAACATATATTCACCAAGAATATGCACCGAACCAGAATGAATTCCATCCCATGGAAACATGGTCCTGATAGGGATCATGATAAGTGAGATAAGCTGACAGTCAATCTCGGTCTCAGTGCCCCTCATATTCTGGAAAAGAGCCACCGTCCCATTATAGAAACCTATTGAAAACTGTGGGAAGAAGATCTGATGTTTCCAGCCAACCACTTTCGAAACCATGACCCAGCACCAGGCTGTGAGATACGACCAGAGCCAGAACTACAGACCAGCGGAATCCTCAACTTGGAAATACCCTAAGTATGAAGAATTTTTTTGGATGAGATCAACGATGATCTTTCACTCTCATAAAGTGATGTACGCGAGACTCAGATGCGCATACCATCATACGACAGAGAAACACAACAACTGATTCCAGTTCTAATATCCTCTCTGAATGAACTACCGAGTGTAAAGAAGGCGAGAGGATTGAGGGAAACATCAAGTTCCCTTCGATCAAGCCCGGGAGACTAAAAATGGCTCTTGCAGGAGTATAAGACTCTGGTTTGGGGGTCAAGATATGTGTTAACTTTCACTAGCAGTTGCTATAATAACGAAGATCACACATCTAACTACTTAGTGAATAGCCACGGGTTTCGAATTAGATCCCAAAATCACTTTCTCACATGCTACTCTGTTACTGTCCACTATGACTACATTGTTTCGCGTCTATTAGGCATCCTTGGTTACGTTTCATCAAAGCTGGTTTATCCTTTTCAAAAGTTATCCAGGCTTGTCCCTTATCCTTGTAACACCATGTCGGATTGTCTAGGCCACATATTCCGAGCCAGTCTTGGGCTGGAAGCTAGTGAAATCGGTTCTCAGACCCGCGATTGTATCGCTCTTACCGTATGGTGATACGCGACCATGACTCTAGCCAGCTCCATTAAGCTGATATGCCACTGTGTAACCATAGACAGTCCAACTTTCCGCATGATCATGTCAGAGGTGACTGATTGGTGGTTCAGCCAATTTCACGATGATCTGAATTAACATCCGCATTACTTACTGGCCAATAAATAGAGACTTCGTTAGCAAAATCATGGAATAGAAAGATGGCAAACAAATCGTAAAGCGACAGTTGTCTACCAGTCATCACCGACCCTAGAGAGGCTAGATGAATCTTCTTCAGGACAGTTAATGAGCAATTGGTGTTCGCAACTGGAGACCTCGTAAACTTGCTGCCAAGGAGGCTGTTCGGGCGCCAAGGCGGGCTGCAGCAACACTAATCAAGGGGGCTCGCGTTCAAACCACTCAGATCACGCTATTAAGTTCCCTGCCGATGACAGACCCTTCGCGGATCCACAACCTAACTTAGTTGATGCGGCCAAGCCGCACAGCCATATAAACAAGTATGTATTAGAACGAAAAACGATTACGTACCTATGCGAAGGAAAAAGCAGAGTGGCACTCGAACGCAAATTAGAGAAGGTAAAAATGATTGAAACGAGGCTCTGCTTCTAAAGCAGAAGAATCTACCAAACCAAGGGGGACATTTAGCGGTGCGGCTGATTGCTTGGCTGTCAGCAAGACATAAGCACATGGCAAGGTGTGCGCCGTAGATAGTTTCTTTTAGTGACGTGCTGGCTCCCAAGTCACCCCACAGAAACCAATCAGCTCTTTCTCCCAAGACTTAAGGAACTTTTACCTGCAGGAAGCTTCTTTGAAACTTGGCGATGGCAATTACTGGAGCAAGATGGCCCTCCAGGGGCTGCTGATTGTGGAAGATCGTCGTAATATCGCACAGGTTTGACGACGTATACGTGATGATGAACAATGTGGGGCATAATCTGCTAGAGCACAATACACTCGCTCATTGCTGATGGGTGATGTGTAGCATCTGCGTCCAGCAGCTTTGTACCGCTGGGGGGTTCTTGAACTGCCCTGGGACGAGCATAAGCCTTTTTCGTCCTTTGAAGGCGCTGCTTTATTGCAAGTGCCTCTTCCAGATATGCTGCGCCCTCAAAATCATTTTGATAGTCGATGAGTATGGCTTCAATCTCTGTAGAACGGTGAAAGTCGGTTATAGATGCCCATACCATCTTCAGGTAGTCAGGTACGAAGGTAGCTCCGTAGGGCCGAAGTTGGGAGTACTCATGAGCCACCCAGATAGACTCGTCAATGATATGGTGCGACTCTTCAAGAAGTATGGGGTTGCTGTCGAATATGCGGATGAAGTAGTTCAGAATTGACCCTAATCCAAGCATAATCGTGTAAGCAAATCGGTAGGATGCGCATACTTTGGTGTCCATTGGAGTGGCAGTTGGTGACAGTGCGCTCATTGTCGACAGCGCGAGGAGATGGCGAACTTGTGGCTTCTCTACTTGAAAGAGGCGATACACACATTCCAGTCCGGCAAGATACCGTTCTGGGTCACTTAAGTAGTGTGTCACCTCGGCCATAGTTCCAACTTCGAGGCAAAGGAAGGATCCTTGATGATATCTGACGGGCCGAGGGCTATCGACAGTCCGGCAGGCGTCCCAGAACCACTGGCCTAATTGGAAATTGGGGTTCAACCAGCTTGCATAGACCTGATATTTGATTAACATGAACTCAATGAAAGCGACATAAAATCAAGTTTAGAAAGATTTAGGTGGATCTTACAGCTAACTGGCAAAGACCGTAGACGTAGCTTGGTTCAATCTCTGATAATTTTCCTTGTGTGATGGCCTCTCGAAATAGATGTGACACAACTTGTCGGTGCGGCTCTGCGTTCTTGCGATCGACCCACGTCTGCAGAGGAACACCTAATATCAGCTTTCGTGTGATTAGTGTTAAGATGGCGGGTATTCTCACCTGGCAGGTCCATATAATTGCGGCGATCTGCATTTTCATACGTATTGACTGAGCTGGGTCGTTCAATGTTTCCCTCATAGACCTTAACGCCTGGCCATACTTGGTCAAGGCATCCACTTTGGAGTAGTTGTACAAGCGGACACGGTACAGGGCCAACAGAGCAGATATGCTGGTGTCCAGCGCTGGATTAGAACCAATCTGGGGAACGAGGTTTGGCATCATGAGGCCACCAAATGCGCGTAGATCGTATTTGATGTCCTCAATCTCGAGAATGGAGACCAGTGAAGACTCTAGCTTGGTCGTGTCGTTGGTCGGGCCTCTTGGAGGAGAGGGAACCGTACTCTTTCGTACATCCTTGCCCTCAAACGGTTTGAACTTCCATCGCTTCATACCACCACCGATGCATGGAATGTTAAGGCGTGTGCATCTCGCGCATTTCGGCTTCTCCTGGTCACACTGTCCTACAATTAGTATCATATGGCCTGATGGTATCCCATACCGATTGTTTGGCTTCTTAGTACCCGTTTCTTCTGTTTCCGGCAGGCTTCGCAGCCGAGACTGGATGGAGTTCCTGCCATAACTCGTGTAGCTACAAAAGCCTAATAAGATTATGTCGGCCGAGTATGGCGGGTTCCAGAAGGGAAGCGCGTGGTTATGCTGTTTTGAGCTGGTAGATGGAGCAGGAACCTGGAATGGACTCGGGCTTAGCAGAAAGTGGCGCAGCCACTAGGAACTTGGCAAGGCTGTCATTATGGCCCACTCGGCGCACGATTCTCCCAGATGGGGAACGTCCTAGCTATGCTCCCATGGATGTATGCACTAAAACCACCGATTATTTATAGTGGAAATAAACGTGGCGTTGGGCTTAGTGAGCTTCTGTCAGGCGCTATCTTGGCAGGCGGCAATTCTTGTGCTAGAAAGTAGTTAGCACCAGTAATACAGAGCGTAATCATGGCCCCAAGAGGATCGGAACCCGCCACAAAACTTGCCTTGGTGGAGTTAGCTGGTGGAGCAACCCCCAAATTTCGCTGGTTGTAAGACCAATTTGGGACGCATCCACCGCAACCAGACAGGCACATGGCTACAGCCTACTCCTGGCTATAGCCTGGTCTGGAAAAGGTCATGCTGTGCGCTTGATGGTCATGGCGGTCGTACATCATGTTTGCAAACAATATTAAAGCACGTCGATGGCCAGACCAGATTCTATGGTCTTCTCTATGCTCGTACATCGCCAAGTTTGTTACTCTGTATTCATATATCAAATCTATTCTCTTCAAAACCCTGCCAAAGATCACGACGTCATGTATAGCCTTACATGTTTCACGATTGCCGCAATCCTCTCTGCAGCTGGAGTCTCAGCTCGACACTCGACAAGCGAGTGTGCCAAAGGCTTGAAAATGTTTGTGTCTCGCGGGACTAACGAACCGATGGGCGCTGGTGAGACCGGGAAGGTGGTCAAAGTTATCTCGGAGCAGATTGATGGGTCCGACTATGAGGCGATTAGATACCCCGCCAGCTTCGAAAATCCTAACTACTTTCTATCTGTTGGAAATGGCACCAGGCTCCTCAAAGAAATCATCACAGAGTATGCGAGGGCGTGTCCTGACTCCAAGATGGCAGTCTTTGGCTACTCCCAGGTACGCGAAAGGTTGAAGCTGCACGAATTCAAACATGTGCTAATCAAGTATCAAAGGGTGCTCAAATAACTAGTAATAACTTTTGTGGACAGCCACCAATCTGGTCACCGTACTCGGGTATTGATGTGACGGATATCCATGGGCTCGTGGAGTTTGCAAAGCCTCTGCCCAAGGAGGTTACAAAGAATGGTCAGTTCTAATGGCAGATATTTTCACGCTCACTCTGTTTAATGACAACTAGTTGTGGCCGTTGTGCTCTTTGGTGACACAACTCACCGAAAGGACGCTTCATACAATCGCGGGAACTCTACGGGCAGTGGTATCTACTGGCGTGCAGATATTAGCGCCTGCGAAGGCCTCGGCAACCGCATTCGATCATACTGCGATGCCGGCGACCCGTTTTGCGACGTGAATATGGAGCCCAAGGGTAACCCACATTTGGAATACGTGTACCACTATGGCAACGAGGTCGTCGAATATGTAATTGAGCAGTACAAGAGCGGCTCGAGCAACAGCTCGGGCACCAATGTTGGTTCGCCGTCCTCGCCTACTCACGCACCCATCCAAATTAGTGGAGCGAACGGAATTCTGTCAGTACCCGTTTCGGCGATCGCCATTGTTCTGCTAGTATCAAGCATGATGTAATATCTAAACTTCCATACCTCTTCATGTCAGATAGAATTTAACCAGGCAGGAAAGAGCATTTTTGCCTTTGCGGTAGGAGAATCACACCGTATATAAACCCCAAGCTACGCCCCGATTCAGTAAGATTCATTCAAGTACAAACACAACTAGAAGAAACGGAAAGATATTGATTGCGACTGGTCATCTGCATTGTCATCTCTTTTGTGTGTGACAGTATTAGAGGTCGAAATGAGGAGATATGTGGATCAGTTGTGATGTGCAACATAGACATGGTTTTTCTTCAGGCGCTTAGATGAGCTTTAAATCACCGACATCTGTTACTTGTCCAAACACTACCTAGATGTTCGCTTACTTATTTGCTTAATAGAGACAACCCTTAGTCAAAACAAGAATGGTAAGATAAATTTGAGATTCTTGCTTTGATTACACAAGGCAAGGCCTCAGTTCTATAGTCGACGCTCTCGGCACGCACACTGTGTTCGAGATCTGCCAACGTATAACCCTTCTTGCCATTGTCCTTGTCCAATGAGCGAGGGGGATCAGGTCGGTGAGGACACTTCGGTGCCACACTTTCTAGCCTAGACTGGGCCTGATTGCGACTTGGTGTGCTCGGTACTGTTTGGGGTTCCCTAGTCACTAGCATCTTGTGCGATAATCGTCTCGGCGTTGCATGGACAGTGGGCAGGGTGGGGCCGAAAAGGTGTTCTGCTGGATTGAAATCGGAGAGAAGTCACGGCAGACTCCCGATGGCCCAACGGCCTTCTCTTGCCTGGTCAGTCTTGCCTTGTCAATTGCAGACCTCTTGGCTGCTCGTGTAATGTCCTCGCCAAGCATCGGCGCTGAATGAGGTTCTCTCCAGTGGCGTGATACCATGACCTCATCTAGCAATTGTCTGAGCGTACGCTTCCGATGTGGGGGCTAGCACCGCTGACTTGCATGGACTTGCATCTACTAAAGGGAGTCAACGGAAGTGGCGTGTGGGTGTTAGGATCCAACGAACTGCATGTTCTGGTACGTGCGAACTGTAGTTCATCGGCGTCCAGCATCAAGATGACCTATCATTCTCTGTCGATCTTGTTACATTGAGTGGGCTCGGACTACCTGTTCAAACTTTGTTCATCGACGTCAGTCATACTTGAGTACGCGAATGCATACACAGGATTAACACTACTCTATAGCTTTTCGATGCATCTGGATGATCACTTGTTAAGCCTATAATCAGCATTTGTGTCTCGCGGCCTCTGCACTAGTGGCAATTTTAACCTCAACTCAAAAAGCATCTCTGCGATCGCTCAGTCAACCTATGCCTCGCACCTCATGGATGATGCAAGGTTACCTAGGGCAAGAAAGCTGTAGGTCATGAGCCTTAAACGAAATAGGTGGACAACTTGCTCCGCTATTACGCATCCCATGCAGCCGCGACATCAATCAAGCGCGGAGCCAAGTGCGCAGCTGTTGACTACGAGGGTTCGGCCCATCGTTGTCTGTGCTCATGCACAAAACACGGCCGAGAGCGCGATCCGCTCGCTCGCTGCCAAGGTAGTACGAATGTCCAGACCACCTTACAAAGGAAGACGGTCGTCAATGGGCCACCATGAAGTACGTAGATACTACCCAAGAATGATCGACTTTGTTACGGGTTGTCCGTCCCACAACGCTGCAAGTAAACCAATCTAGTGTCAGTATCTAATACGTAGCCAGCAACTGTCGTCGGGCTGCTGATGGACGGGTCAACATGAGGCAGACGAGGCTTGTCCTAAGTCACAAAATCTTTATATATAAATGTGTATGGTAAGTGCTACCCAATGACTACCGACTTCTATTCAGCCAAACATGCAGAGGTTATTCAGGCGGAATTAGCAGTAAATGCTGATTGGTTCATCCCCGCAACATACTATGGTAGACCTCAACCTTTGTGGGTCGCTCGCTCAGACGCTTTGACATCTGGCCTTGACGAGGTGTGCTCTTCTCTCTTGCATGATGCAAGGTAAACCCTACTTCTGCTTGAAGGTCGCTACACCGGTGAGAGCTTTCGGGAGGGCTTGGCAAAAGCTCTGAAACCTAAAAAAAAAAAAATCATCCGGGCTCAAGTGGCTCACCTAGAAGCTGAATAAAATATGATTGGCCAGTGTGCAAGAACCTCACAGCTTTGCAGAACATATGCGAGAATAGTCATTGCGTCCTGCAAGAGAAGTGCCGTTTATGCAAGATAGTCGTCCTTACATAGTAAGCGTTGTGGGCTATCCGTGCGCGGTGTCAATTCAAGTCTGACTGACATTTACCGGCTCCTATGAGATGGCTTTGGTCAATATATCATGTTCTCGATACCGATGGAAGTGCGGATGGGCCCCGAAAGCTCGCCAAAGGCCTGGCCTTCGGGATCTCATTGCGCCTCCTACTGGCCCCAGGGTTTGGCGGGATATAGAATTATAAAAAGCCTTCCTCCATTGCTCCTAGATTTGTTGGCCCACATCTGTCTGACAACTCTCGAAGTTTCCTGGTCTCTCACGAGGAGCTCATCTACCGATATATCTCAGAACCTGGATTGCCAAGAAACTTTTCAATTCTGGCCCAGACCTGAGTGTCTACTGAGTCAGAATGCTAGACGCAGACCGAGCACAAGTAGACGGCCTTATTGCTGTCACGGCGGTATTAACGTCGATTTCGGGTACGCGCATCTTGTGCAACGGATCAACCTGTTTTTCCAGAATGACTTATTTATCCCAGTCACGCTTGTCCTTCTACGTTGTGCAGTACGGTTTTTCTTAATTCGAAACCCAGGATGGGACGATGGTATGATCATTGTGGCCACGGTAAGTTGAGGTGGCCACCTGATGGGTACTGCGACTCAAATTATGACAGCTCATCAGCATCGTTTATTTCATCATGCTCCTTATCTCAAAACAACACAAACTTGGATATGAGATGAAAATGTTAACGGTGGAGAACATGGTTGCGCTCCTAAAGGTAAATGCCTTTCAACGTCGGTTTCAGGGGACGTCTAACATAGACAGGCAACATATGCCGTAGAATTTGTTTACTACACCATCGTGTACACTATAAAGGCTTCGATCGTCTTCATGTACCTAAGATTCGGTAAGTATTACAAATAATTAGAACAAGAACCTTAACCTAACGCAACCTACAGCTGTCAGTAAGATATTCAGGCAACTCTGCTACGGAACTCTGGTTCTCCTGACAGTCTTCTACGTCGTCTGCGTCGCTGGAGTACTTGCTCAGTGTCGACCCATACACAAGGTCTGGGACATCACTGGTCTAGTTGCTGGAACTTGCATCAACACAACAGCATTCTTCTACTGTGAGCATAGAGACAAAAGAGACTTTGGACCGTGTTATCGAATCCCCAGCTAACACTGGGACCTTAGTCACTTCAGGCTTCAATATTATCACAGATGTTTGGATTATCCTACTTCCAATTCCCACGCTGCGAAGCATTCAAATCACTCATAGAGAGAAGGTGGTGCTCTACTTTGTGTTTGGTATTGGAGCATTCTCTACAGCACTGTCTTGTGTGCGACTGCAGTCGATCTACACTTACACCCTAGCAACAGACCCTTTCCACGATGGAGTTTGGGTACGTAATCCTCCTGAGATATACTTGTGTTTGAAGCACTAAAGCCGTCACAGGTCAACCTTTGGTCTATCATCGAAGTCAATAGCGCCATCGTATGCGCCACTATTCCAGCACTGAAGCCCCTTTTCAAACCCCGACGCCTCCTCGAATCAGTACGTGGTGGTAATAAGAGCAACATGGGATACGAACGTCATGGTAAAGAGCAGAGAGGCGGTGCTGTCTCTCGCAGTCCAGGTAGCAGTGAATCCGCGAGCGGCATCATAGCTAGCGAGGATCGCCATGTCAGCGAGAGCTCGATTGGCATGGAAGAACTTCCCGAGGCGTACCTTAGAGTCTGAATTGGGGAGAGCTGTGCAAAATTGCTAGTCCTGATGGGCGAAACACATAATTCCCATATATCATGTTCAAAATACCAATTCTTGTCACTCCTAGACAGCTGAAACAATTATGATGTGGTAATCAATTATCCCTTTGCGTGATGGCCACTATCCATGCACTGAGTGCTATACCAGGAGAATGTCTAGTGCGTGAGCATATGGCAAATCAAACCTATCTACGATCTTGATCCATGTGTGATACTGCTGGGATCATTATGCCAGGGCTTTGCTTCCAAAATTTTGTACCTCAGCCTGATTGTCGTACACAATCCACTTTGCTCAGTGTGAGCTCTCTCAGCCACGTCCACGACGCCAGCAAATGAAGTAGTTGCCTGTTACAATCTTGCTTGTACGGTAACAACAGGGGGGACGGTGTGGGGGGAATTGGCGAAGGTAGCCCTCAGTATCGGGAGAGACCGTGAATTTCCCCTCGCTTTCTGTATGTCGCTTTTCCTCTTCTTTGTCCGATTCCTCTCAGCTAGCCGCGTGCTCAGAACTCCCTGCTTGGCCACACTGGACAGCCATCGTGGTGACGAGCTGTCGGTGATATCTTTAGTCCATGTCCATTCCATCCAGCTCCTCAGCCTACACGTCACAGTGGAGGATATTGTCAAGGTTCTCCATGTCAACGTCCGAACCGTCAGAGTTTGAACCATTCATGCTGTGAGCCATGGAATCTGCCGCATTCAAGTTGTCGTCATCGTCGAACCCTCCGTAGTACGCGCAGTTGTGGTGAAATTCCTCGGCTGCAACCCAGTCATCACCAACGCTCTCGAGGAAGATGTCTATCTGCTTGGCCAGTGCGGAGTGCTCGCTTTTGTCGTAGGGATATTGGGGACGACGGTTCCAGGCAAGTCGGGCGTTGACGAAGGCGTGGATGAGTTGTGTGAAGACGTTCTGGCCGAGAGCCCTTGTCCACGTTGCCTGTCGCCTGAGGTTTTCTTCGAAGTTTGGCACGTCCCAATGATGAAGAAAGGCGCGGTATTCGGGGGCACAGCCAGCAGCAAACACGGCACAGAGCGCACCCTCTACTTTGTGCTTCGCTGCGGTGATTTCAGCTCTGGTAAGCTTACCCGTCTTGATGATTCCCTCTCCAATCAAGGCACGTAGGACACATGCGTCGTGCTCATTGCGTCCTAAGAGGCGTACTCGCTGGTGATCTTCGTAGATCAACCCACTTCTGGGGATGAAGTCAACAAGAAAGCGTTCGAATCGCATGGCTGTAATAAGGAAGGACAAGGATGATTTTTGGGTTGATTGCGATTAAGTAAGAGAAGAACCTGCCTAGGCGAACAAGTATTTTCTGAGTAGCAATCACAATAGTGTTGATTCCTTAGCTAGTTCGAGACGTGACGCGACCCGATGTGAATGAAGGATGCAGTCCACATATGTAATGGCAGTCTACATTTATATGTAATACTCCATCCACGCAAACGTGCGAGTATCAATACTCGCTCCATTGCTATTCTTAAAAAAAAAAAAAAAAAAAAAAAATTGTCAGTCTTCGCTTGGGAATTAGGAGAGCTAAAAAACATCAGGAACGAACAGAAATAAACAGATGAAGAAGAAGAAAACGCTCAAAAAAGAGCCAAGTATGTATTCCTAGGAACCCACAAACCACCAGCACTCGTAAGCAGACCATGCGAAGCTTCGTAAAAATTCATCTCTGAACTAAATTGGCACCGACGTGGTTTTCAGCCCTCGGAAGAGGGTGACGCAAATAAGAATCAGGATTTACGTGGGAGTTGAACCCATACGTGTTGCAATAAAGTGAGTTGCAAACCAACTTGACCAAGCAGCCCAATCACCTGCTGTTGCTGGTCCTTTGGCTATTTTGATTGATGAGGTGGTGCGGCTCCCCCTCCTTTGTTCTGTTGCCCTGGAGAGTGAACATGCTAGTCTGTAGTAGTGGTTGTCATAGTACCAAGAAGACGTGGCTGCACAGTGTCGACGAACTCGACCATCCTTCGGCGCTTCATTCTTGGAAGGCCCAGTCATCTCTTTCCAGGCCACTCCAGATTAGGGTCAGGGCCGAGAATTTGATGCTTTGGTAACACAGTTGGATCACTGTATTCATTTGCATCAGTCTATCAGGAAACTTCTAATTTCTTTACAGTTTGGCTGGTTGTGATTCCTTCTTCGCCAGAAGCCTCAGGTCTTTTCGCAGTATCTTTCCCGATGGACTCTTGGGAATTGCCTGTATAAAGACCACCCCACCTCTCAGCTGCTTGTATTTGGCAACTTGTTTGGCGACAAATCCTTTGATTTCGTCCGCAGATATCTGCTTAGGGTCTGCAACCACGTATGCGCTTAATCACGTTAGCACTACCTTGCGTCTTCATGGCCGAGAAACTTACCGCGGGAGTTCTGTACCATCCCCTGCTACGCCAATGACGGCGGCATCCAAAATCTTTGGATGGGAGAGTAAGATGGCTTCCAATTCAGCTGGAGCTACTTGCGTGCCCTTGTATTTGATAAGTTCCTGGGGAGAAGTTAGCTGCATGCACCAGTGAGCATCAGTATAGTACCTACCTTCTTTCTGTCCACGATGTAGAGCCAACCATCGCGGAAGACGCCGATATCGCCGGTGTGAAACCATCCATCCTTGAATGATTCTGCATCTGCCTTGGGATTCTTCCAGTAACCCTTGATGACCAAGGGACCACGGACCAGGATTTCACCCTCTTTGCCTTGCTCAACGGACTTTCCATCTTCGTCGATGAGCTTGGCGTAATGGCTGGGAACCAAGCTGCCTACGGTGCCTGGAGCTAGATCGGACCGGTCTATGGGAACGATGGTGATACTTCCGGTCGTTTCGCTGAGACCCCATGTTTGTCGTAACTTAGTACTCCCCTTCCCTAGCTTCTTGCTTGCTTCTACCTGCAGGTCTTCGCCCATTGGAGCAGCTCCTGCAATTGCATCGACCCATGTATCAAATTGATCCGTAACCAAGGGCGATTTTGAAATCAGGAGGTAAATAGGGGGCACACTGAACCCTGAAGTAGCCTTGTACTTCTTGAAATACTCGCAAAACTTTACGAAGTCAAACCTAGGCATCCAGTAGAGCGTCCCACCCATATACACCGAATTGATGAAGTAGCCTTGCACACCAGCGATATGTGCAACAGGCAAATGTGCCAGTCCGACATACCTGAAGTCCTTCGGTCTGTTAGCGGCGTTGAATTCTTTAATGGGCTCTAGAGCCAAGGTCCCTCCAGCAATCAAGTTGCGATGTGAAAGTTTCATCGCCTTCGGGAGACCGGTTGTACCGCTAGAGAAAAGCAGGCAGACAACGCTGTTTTCAAGTTCAACGGGGTTCGTGATTTTCCTCCATTCCATTTCCTGGTTCGAGATTGGGATCTTTGCCCCGGTGACGGCCTCGTACAGCTCGAGCTCTTTTTCTCCTTTATACGAGATGATTTTGCTTAGGGGAAAGTCGACCTTCTTTGCAGCGGCAATTGCAACACCCTGAGTATCTGGGTTACATAGAATAATTTTAGGTGTCGTCTGCTTTAGTTGGAAAGCAAGTTCATCAGGCGTGGCACCAGGACTAGTCGACGAGAAAATGCCCTCGGCGGCTACCGTGCCAAAGAACATGAGGGGAAGCAGATAGTGACCGGTAGAGATCGTGAAGACCACATCCTGACTTGCGCCCTCAGCTCCGATCCCAAATTGGTTACGGAGGACATTGGCAAGCCTCTTGAGTTCTTGACGCAGCCGTCCTTTGGTCAGATGGTTTGAGGGATCTGCAGCATCCGCGTGCAGTATAGTATCGTCAGGCTTGTAGGTTTGCCTGGATTCTATGAAAATGTTTCAGTTGGGTATCCGCAATGCACAGTGTACAGGAACTCACCGAACAGAAGCGTCAAGACGTCAAGGTCTGGGACCGGCATAGTTTTCGCGGGATGATACACGATTCCCTCGCTCGTCTGCTTCGGTATCGACGCCATATTGTCTGTTGTATAGGCTGAACGTCCAGATGTTGATGTACTAGCTTCCAGTGTAGGTTGAGTGAGTGCGGACAATGAATATGCGCAACTCGAAAACTCTTGCAAATGTTGTTGGCGACGCATCAGTACCAAGTTCCAATGGCCCGGGTTTAATCCTCCGCATCGACCTCCTTGCAGCCCTTGCCTTCTTTCGGCGCATTACAGGGCTATCATTCAACGTGGCCAATAACGATGGCAATTCACACTCCCCCGCATTCTCCAACTCGGGCTCCAAGGAAACCCCGTACCTCGGTACGCCGACAGCACACTACTTCCCTGTCTTTCCGGGGGCTGGCAGACTTAGTAAACATTAGGAGAACGAAAGGTTAGACGTCTGCGGGGGCCTATCGGATGACACAACAGTTCCGTCTAGGTCTATTTGTCCACGCCGCGGCTCAATCAGACACCATGGCAGTCGAAGTTGACCGATGTGTACCCGATCGGCAAGTTCACCAGCATTATAGTTGGGTAATCCATTCTTCGAACTCCTTTAACCTCTCCCAACCCCGCCATAGAAAGATTAGAATGGCTTTCCAAACCTGAACTCCGAGGGTATTGTTTTGATGTGGAGACTTGAGAGAACACACTAGATGGAGTTCCATATTATTATGTCGTCGCAGGCTAGTGGATACTGGCATCCCATCCTGAATAGTTACTGCTGTCTCCAACATCTTCATTGTCATCGTCGCAACTTGCAGTGGATTCAGTGCAGAAGTGTTGGTTCTTGTGTCGTGGTTGTTGTTACTGCGGCTACACACAAATTCGGACTGTCAAACGAGCTCACAAGCAAAAACAGTTGAGACTTCGTGACAGGGGATCAGAGGGAGAATCAGGTGCACATCCTTGTTCCTCTGAGAATCACAAATTATATAGTACATTACTCGCTGAATACTCTAACGAGTCGTCTTGGGATTCTGTGTCCTTGCATTGTGTTCGACCAACGTTGGATTAAGCTCATTTTCTGCGCAGCTGGCGGCAGCCGCCTCCGATCACTGGGTTTCGGTCGCAAACAAACTCTGGGCACGGGCTGCGGGGTGCAACACCGTCTCTCCATGTAGCAGTCCTGTACGCGTATCCGCTGGCAGATGCGCATGTCATGTGTGGAATACACGCTATCATCTCTTCTCGTGACGTGCAGGAGATCCCTCACAGCTTGAAGCAATCGCTATCCAATCGGGGCCCAGACTACCTCGGGCAGGCCACGCGAACAGTATCTGGCGAGAGTCAAATCGATGGCGACATCTCATTATTCTTCACCTCTACAGTGCTCGCACTTCGTGGCGACCACATAGCACAACAACCCATCGAGCACGCAGACACGGGCTCCATACTATGCTGGAATGGCGAAGCCTGGAAGCTCGCGGGTCAGCCCGTTAACGGAAATGACGGCGAGGCAATATTTGCGCAGCTGATGTCTGCTTCTCTCGCGGATACCCAGTTTCAAAAGAACCACGTTCTACAAGTCTTGCGTAGTATTCAAGGCCCCTTCGCTTTTCTTTTCTATGATGCTGTTGGCAAGTGCCTCTATTTCGGCCGCGATCGCCTAGGGCGTCGATCACTTCTCACCAAACGAGCCGCAGATGGTTCTACGGTTATATTCTCGAGCATCGCCGGGTCATCAGAGCCTGGATGGAAGGAGGTCGATGCAGATGGCATTTTTTCCGTTCATCTCACTGCCAGTGAAAACGGTAGTCTCAATGCTATGAGAGACGATTGGCTAGCGTCTGGAGAGACCGATCTGGTGAGTGCCAGACGACTTTCCGCTACACACAGAACTTATAATGCTCACACGGTCAGGTCTCCAGCATTGGCAGATTCAATATGTCACCACCAGAAGGAGGGGAGGCGATACTTGATTTCAATACGCCCTCCGTAAAGCTGGTCCAGGACTACTTGACAAGGGCTCTGGAACTTCGAGTCCTGAATGTGCCAGAACCGCCCAGGATTCCGGGCCCATTAGCTGACATCGACGTCCGGGTTGCAGTGCTCTTCTCGGGAGGTTTGGACTGCACTCTCATGGCCCGGCTAGCTCATGATGTCCTCCCAGCTTCTCAAGGCATCGATCTTATTAATGTGGCCTTTCAAAGTGCCCGTGATGCTGCCGGGCAGCCAGATGGATCTGACGGCAAGTCTTCCCAAGCCTATGAGGCATGTCCGGACCGAATCACTGGAAGGCAAGCGTTCGCAGAGCTGAAAACGGCTTGTCCCTCACGATGGTGGCGCTTCATTGCGGTAGGTTTCTTCAGAAGTGCCGAAAAGCCGTAGTTGGCACTCACTTACGCGTGTTTGCAGGTGAACATTCCTTTCGCTGAGACCATGGCTCACAGGTCTCGTGTCGTTTCACTGATGTATCCCCATAATACAGAGATGGACCTGTCTATTTCGCTAGCTTTGTACTTCGCAAGCCGGGGAATTGGCGACGGGTACGTCGCAGGTTCATCTGGAATTACACCCGCGCCAAGCGTCACAACCCCTGCCCGAGTTCTTCTATCAGGCCTCGGAGCTGATGAACTATTCGGAGGATATTCTCGTCACGAAGCCGCGTTTAAGAGGACAGGTTATGCTGGCCTGGCTGATGAGCTGAAGCTGGATGTTAGCAGGATCGGCCAGCGCAACTTAGGAAGAGACGACAGAATCCTGTCGCACTGGGGTAAAGAAGTTCGGTTTCCGTTTCTGGATGAGGATCTCATCAAATTTGCGATAGAATGTCCAGTTTGGCACAAGTGCGACTTCGCGTATCCATTTCATCCAGCAGTCATTGATCCTGCCAAGAGGCTTTTACGTCTCCTGGCAGACCAACTGAACCTTCCCTTAACAGCGCGGGAGAAGAAAAGGGCCGTAAGTGCCACTTTCATTCCTTCTTCAGCCTGCTAGACCCGTCACTGACACCTCTAGATTCAATTTGGTGCAAGAACAGCGAAGATTGAGCGGACGGTAGGGGGTTCCAAGACACGTGGTACAGATATAGTGACTTGATTTTGTGCGGACCTGAGCAAGTGCAAAGCAGTATGGCTATGATGATACACATCAGATACTTCCGAGCTTGGTTGCTTTGGCATCCACCCTAATTGCGTGTTTCTGCTTTGGTAGTAACCCTTTAGGGAAATGCACCACAGTACGCAACAAGCAATGACGTCGTAAAGGCAAGTCTGAGCCAAGATAGAAGGACTTTTGAATGATGTTGGAAAACGAGCGATCTCGATCCTCGACTTTCTCTCTCCAGCATATCCCAAGGATTCCTCATGCATTATATAGGCTCCGAATCTGATCATGTCTAGATTTGTAGTCATGTGCAAAGATGATAAATGAGGTTCAAGATGCTTCGAAGTGCAACGAATATCATGCCTGCTTCTTGATCAAGGCATGTCAGACAAGATGCAAGATGCTTTATTTATCCCATATTTCGTCAAGTTGGAACAAGCAGTGGCGTTGCGTTGTGTGCTGCTGAAGTCTTATCTCCAAGCTCGCCCACATGTCTGGACAAATTCCCGCCTTGAACTCACCATCTCCATGATGTTTGGCCTTGTGATTTGACCCTTAGGGAGACTATTGGGTCCAGGCCAGGGGACTCCACTTTGAAGAAGAACATGAACCATACTCACCATCCAGACCAGAAGTGTTCGTCGATGGCCCAGTAGTGCAACTACCTCAGATGTCCGAGGAGGGCGAGCCACATTCTGTATTTGAATGCACTAGGATCATACAACCGACTATGAGATAGGACGGTACAAAATGCGCGCAGTTCCGAACTTCCCGGTGTGTACGGTATACATATTGCCAGAGTAGTATCGCGCACGTTTTCGACAAAGCACGGGAGCCAACCGGGAAGTCGTCCTTCAACCTGCCCGGCTCACCAAAGTGTCGGTGCCGGAGGAGAAGCGAACCGGCGGCCTGCAACACGTCGAGATATGTGACGGAACACCTGCGCATGCCCGATTGCATGGGTCAGCAGGGCATCGCCAGCAAGGACAAGGCCAAGGGGTTCAAGGCGGCACGGGGTGAAGTCCAAGGTCTCATAGCCCGCGACATCACGCGGCCCTCTGGCTCGGTCTGGTCCTGGCGATATTTGCATTCCTTTCATCAGATGCTCACTCATCAAGCCCTCAGGGTACCTGAACGGATAGAGCGAGCGGACCGCGTCGGCGGCACGTCGTTTCGTCTCGCAGCATGCGAATGCCGGGTCTTCACGTGCCGGCACGCCGAGGCGCTCGACGTGGGCGTGTGGCCGCGCTTCGTGGACAACGTGCGGACGTGGACGGGGATACCGGCGGGCCCGCGCTGGGGGCTGGTCGAGGCTCGGCTCTTTTTGAATAGATGCAGAGCGATTTTGACAATACTAATAATTCCAACGTGAGTATATGGATCAGGGGGCTGGCATGACGATGGGGAAAGGTGCAATAGGGGCAGTCTTCGTGGTGGTTTAAGTTGCGAATGGCATGTCTCTGCATGGCGGCAAGGTCTCGAATCATCCCCGACCTGCTAAGATTTCCAGTCGAAAGATGAGTAGATCATTGACTAAGGAGAAACATCTACACATATCATCCAGTATGCTTCCTACTGTCCCAGAAGTGTCACATGTGTCTCTTCGAAGATACCAAAACTGCCATTTGGGACCTGTTCAAATATGGCTGGTAAAAAGTGGAAGCCAATGTTTATATAAGATAGTGATAGAGGCCCCGTGGGACCAACAAACGCCCCAAACGCCATCCGATGCCGGTATCTTTAATGCATCCAAACCCCGTAATATTCCAGATGCGCCCTTTGGGAGTCCAAGCATCTATCCCATATTTCATTCAAATAGCCAAGTTGAGTGGGGTTTGCCGTTCCCTGGTCGGCTTTAGGTTCCACGCAAAAAACGTTCTCGCCATGAATTCCGACACCCACGAAGCCTCGTCCTTCTCACCGACCTCCTTCAACCGGGCAATAGTATCGGTACCCAGACTCGCCATCCTCTTGACATAAACCTCTTGAGCTTTCCTTCGTTCTGCCGACTCCATGATTCGTCTATCGTGCAGGTATTTGACGGCTGATATATGATCAGGACTCGTAGGGTGGTGCAGTTCCAGATGCGCAATGTCCAGATGCCGCTTCCAGGGCCGACCAGCATCGACAAACATCTCATATAAAGGTGCAGATGGTGCACCGTGTTTCGATGCATTGACAGTAGAGGACCAGGACAGAGTGTGCCAGAAACCCTGTAGGCTATGTAATACGGCGGGATCCTCGGAGGGCAAGGTCCCATTTGCTCGAAGGAATGCCGAATAGCCCGAGTCCAGTGATCCTTGCGTCAGGTCCGTGGTCACCGTAACGTACTCTTGGGCCTTCTTAATAGAAGAGAGGAGTAGCGCAATGGATCTTTGGGTTTGGGCGTCTTTCGGCAGTTTCCCCAGCTGGGCCCCCAACCGAGCGAGCCAAGTCCAAGCAACTTCCTCCAGGTGTTCCACAAACATAAAGCGTGTCAAAATGGGTACGAGATTGACATCAGCAAGGAACTCCAGATTATTCTCGTGGCCTGAGGCTCGCAGCCACTGGACCACCCGAAGGCCAGCGCCTGACGCAGCCATAGAGGCTGGGATGTCTACGGCAGACAGACCGATCTCCTTGCTGATGGCAGCTAGATAGCCTGCTGCGCGCTTTGGGGTCATCATGCCCCGTGCTACGGCGGACTCGAAAACATTGTGGTGACTCTGCCAGGCCGCTGATGTCTGCGGGACTGGTGTCCTCGGCTCGGCGAAGAGAGGGTTCGATAAGATGGACTCGAGGTGGCGATCAGTCGGGCGGTGTTTCTGGGGGCCATTTTTGACGAGGGTGAACGCCGGATCGGGGGTTATGATACTGGCAGCAGGCTGGGCCACGTCGGTATGCTGCCACGGATGCTCCTTGTCGAGATTTCTACGAAAGGATGAAGTGATGGAGTTGAGTAGTTGTTGCGATTCCCTGCGGTTGAGAGGCAGAGGTTGATGTATCTGGGGCAATATGCTGTTCTTGAAGCCTTTCTTCAGAGACCCTAGGGGCGCAGTACGGGCGACCATGTTGGCGGTACTATGCTGGGGATCATCTGCTGGAGGTTGGCTGGCCGGGACGGATATGAAGACGGAGCTCAGCGGAGTCTAGGCCGGCGGTGACAGGCTATCCGAGTCGGCGCATAACAGCACCAGAGGCCCCCAATGGCGGGTCGACGCTTGCGCAAAAGGCGTGAATGGCTGTGCTCTCCGTACCAATGCTCACTCGGAAGGGGTGCCGCGGTGCCTGGACGGCAAGGGTGTCGGTCGTTCGACGACTGGATGATGTCCCCAGGTCTCGTTCGTGGGGTGGACGGTGACGGCGGGAATGACAGACGGGGAGGACCTCGGAGTGGTGGTGGGTTGATTAATCCGAGCCGGCACTGATCAACTGAACTTCTGGCCTAGCCACATGCGGCGCATCGGTGGGGTCGCGTTCCTGCTTCCATCGATGGATGCCCTCCCACGCTTTCACGGGACCTAGCCCACAGCCAAGCAGCCCCTGACCCTTGGCCCGCCTGCCCGCCCGCCTGCCCGCCTAACTACCCAGGTGAAGGAAAAACGGGGCCCAGAATGACGCTGCCCGTTGCCCGCTGCCGGGCGCGACAGGCTGACGAGCCGGCGGCCGACCCCAGGATTTCAGAAGCGCGAAGCTGGCTGGCAGCTGCGCGTGAACCTCTTTTGGAGAGCTTCCTGGCGTGCTCCACTTCAAGGTACCTGGCAACCTGGAACGTGGATCGCATCGTCTGCGGAGGCATCTTGTGAGGAGCAGATCTACCTCTCAACCTGCAGCCGCATCCGCAGTTCCAGGGCTACTTGGTGATTGTGATAGTAGCTATCTATAGAGAACCTCCCTCGTCCGCCAATGCCAACGCTCGGGTGCGCAATGGCCAAAGATAGAATAGAATGCAAACGTGACTGACAGAAGGAAGCTGTGCATGAGAACGTCAGATTGGACCTCAGTCCTGACTAGTGCGCTGGGGCCTTGTGGGATGTGATTGGACGGGATGGGCCCCCCAAAAAAATCAGCAGGCACCGCACTGTTCATGGCCAGGTCCAGTCAGCCCAGTGGCAGCGGACCAGGCTTTGACAGGGTGGCAGAGGGGGGGGGCGCACAGGCTACAGTACAGTACAGCTCTCGCACTAAGTTCCATTGTGTTAGGGAGGCACAGCACGCTGGGCGCTGGGCAACGGTACCTAACTTACAGTAAGTAGCTGGTTGAAATTCTCTGTCATGCAGGTCTGGCAGCAGTCGTCCTCGAGAAACTGCAAAAAGGACAGGCGAACTGAAAAGTGATTCACCTCGTCCAAATACACGCTCATAAAAACAGAGAGTGTGCCCAAATTGGTTTGGGGATTCGCTTGCTGCTGTTGTCGTTCCTATTGGTACTCACGCACGCACTGGACCTTGGACCTTGGACCTTGGACCTGGAACCCAGGACGCCTCTTTTTTTTGGTTGCCCATCGGTCCATCAGCCTCATCCCCAATTCGACCTGCAACTTCACACTCGTCGACCTGACTTTCTCTTACTCCTGCATCATCCATCCGCACCACCTCCCCCCAACTTAATCCATCCACGCCCTCGCACCACTCCCCCTGGTGAATATTCCATTCGGTCCCTGGCAGTGCCCGTTCCGCTGATTGTGATTTCCTCGAGCATTGCACTGCTGAGGGGATCTCGACTTTTCACCCTCTCACCCATCCTTCACACCCACACACACACACACCCACACAGACACATCTCAGCAATGTCTGAGGTACAGGCTCGATCCCAGGCCCCCGCCTCCCGCGGTAGGGGCGGTGGCCGCGGCGGACGAGGTGGTTTCGCATCGCGATCTGCCAATCCCAGACGCCCCAACGGCGACAAGGCCGCTGCATCAGATTTCGCCGACGAGGACGGCGACGTCAGCCAGCTCAGAAAGCAGTACGGCGACAAGGTCGAGACCCTCCAGAGCATCTTCTCCGACTGGTCTGACGCCGACATTGTCTACGCTCTGCAAGAGACCGACGGCGATGTAGAGGTTGCCGCTACCCGCATTTCTGAAGGTATGTGGGGGTCGCTCGCTCGCTCACTCACTCACCCTTTCACTCCATCCCCCAACGTCCCCATCATCGCGCACCTGAAGCTGACCTACCCTCCTCACTACCAGGCACCATCTCGCAATGGGGCGAGGTCTCGAAGCCCAAGAAGACGACCAAGCCGAAGGCTAAGGACTCGGCCCCGTCGACCGGCCTGACCGAATCATCTGGTAACAGCAGAACCGCCCGCGGTGGTCGCGAGGGCGCACGAGGTGGTCGTGGTGCTCGCGGCAGCGACCGCGCCCGTGGTGGCCGCGGCAGGGGCGCTGCCACCCAGCCCGCTACAAACGGTCACCGATCCAAGGAGAACCAGCAGCTCTCCGTCCCGACCGAAGAAGCTCCCGGCTGGGGCAACACCACGACTGACGACATCACCACGAACGAATGGCCCACCACCGAGGCCACCAAAGATACCACCGCCGCTGCCGCTCCCACCACATCTGCTCCTGCCCCTACTGCCGAGCCTGCTGCGCCAAAGGCCAAGACCTGGGCCAGCATGCTGCGTCAATCCACCGCCCCGAAGCCCGCCCCGAAGCCCCAAGAACCTGCTGTCCCCAAGCCTGCCGAAGCCCTGGAGCCCTTGCCTCCTGCCGAACCCGAGCCTGCTGCAGTTGAGGCTCCTGTCGAAGAGATCACCGAGAAGCCTGCCGAGGAATCTTTGCCCGAGCCTGTTGTCCCACAGGAGGCCCCCAAGGTTGTCGAGCCCGAGGTCGCATTGCCTCCCTCGGACGTCGACCTAACCAAGAGAAATCTTGACCAACTTCCCGACGAGTCGCACCCGCCCACCACCGCCACTGCCGCCAGCACCGCTGCCGACTCGTGGGATCCCCGACAGGCTGCTCAGCAGAGCGCCGCTGCAACTCCCCTCTCGGCCGCGCAGGCTCAGCACCAGGGTGCTCGTCCCACAACCGGTTTTGCTGCCACGGCGCTCAAGGCCACGGAGAGACCCGTTCGTGTGCCTAGTTACCAGCGACGACTTGAACAAGAGGAGGCCGTCCGCCTTCCTGGCAACCGTGAGGTTGACCGCGCCGCTGTGCAGTTTGGTGCTTTCAGTCTGAACGGCACCGAGGACGACATCGACGGCGACCGCGAGGAGGCCGAGACTAGGGCCCAACCTCCCTCCGACTCCCCCATCCAGCCTCGAGCTTCGCTCCCCCCCGTTGCTCAGGCTCCCCAGCAGGCGCCGGTGCCTGACGCGTTCCCTACTGCCAACGCGCAGAAGCCCGCGGCCGCCTTGCCTCAGCCTGCTGCAGCTGGTACGATCCCCTTCCACCTGTACGATGAGGCAAGACTTCGTGCTAACCAAGGTTCAGCCACCCCAGTCGCGCCGCCCACTGGCCCCGCTGCCGGAGCTGCCGCGCAACGTATGCCTCAGTATCCTCCTCAAGATGCTCGCCTTACTAATATGGGTCCAGAACCATTCAACCAGCAGTACGGTCGATTCGGTCAGGATCAGTCATCGTTCCCTCCCAAGCCCTACGACACTTTCGGCCAGCAACCCGCTGCCACCTCTGCCCCGGGCTTGGACAGCTTCCCGGCACCCGCAACCCAGGCTCCTGGCCAGCCCGGTGCTGCTGCGGGTACTGGCGCTGGCGCCTTTAGCTCTGCTCCTAACGACTACTCTTCATACTACACCGCCGACCAGCAGAGTCGCGGCAGCTACAACAACTACTACGGACAAGGCTATGGCCAACAGGGTGCCCAAGGCCACAACGAGGGCCCAAACGCTCATCGCGCTCCTTTCGGCGGCTACAACTCCTCCCAGAGCAACGACAACTTGAGCCAGTACCCCCAGAGCGCTACCCAGCAGTCTCGCTACGGCTCGAACGCTGCCGCCGACGCGCACAACAGCGGTCACAACACTCCTAACCCCACCGGCCCCAGCCAGCCACAGCAGTCTGCCCAAACCAGCGGACCCCAATCGAACCTGCACCAGCAGCAGCCTCCTAGTGGCGGGTTCCCTTACGGCCACCCCTACAACAACAGCCCTTTCTACTCTCAGTACATGAACTACTACGGCGGTTATGGCCAGGGTGGCTACGGCGGAGGCCCCTATGGCAAGGGCGGTGTTTACGGCCAGCCCCACCAGTATGGAATGTCCCACCAATCTCCCTACGAGCACAGCTCCTCCCCTGCCACCAGTGGCTTCGGCCAGTCCTCGCTGGCAGGCCGTGACAGCGGTCTTGGCTCCAGCATCGACAACTACGGCCGCGCCGGATCCGCCCAGTCCGGTGCCCAGTCGCTCGGCAACAGCGGTTTTGGAGGCGCGCACGACGCCTTCAACCGTGCCGGCAGCTCGTCGTACCAGTCCCAGGCCGGCCAAGGCTTTAGCGGCCCGAATGCGCCGGCTGGCTCATCCGCCGATGACCTCAAGCCCTATGGCGAAAGCAAGACAGCCGGCGGCCCTAGCCCGGCCCTCGGCGGTGGTGCTCGCCCCGGCTCGGCTACCAACAACACTCCTGGCCAAAGTGGACTCCCGCCGCCCCAGTCGGGTGCGCAGGGCATGGGTGGCTTTGGTAACTACCCCAGCCACCTCCAAGGCCATGGCCTCCACGGAAACCAGACTGGTGGCAGCGGTTTTGGCCAGGGTCACGGTAGCTATGGTCAGTACGGTGCTTATGGTGCTGGCCAATACGGCAACTACGGCCGACAAGGCGGCGGTTGGGGCAATAACTACTAAGCCAATGCTCCTTTCTTCACATCAAGTCCGAACCAACGTTAAGGGTTCTACTGCTTTGCGGATGAAGCAATCTTGGCTTGATGGAATTGATCAGTAGTAATGACTCAGAACCTAATTCCGATTTCGACATTGTTCACCAGGTCGTATGAGTACCTGGGTGTTGCCCTCGTTTGGCTTGGTTGTTGCATCGGGGAAAACTGGAACAGTCAAAAGTTTCTACTCTACTCTGGCTGGCTTGCCTGCTTGCGGAAATCCATGATTTTTCGGTACAGGGGGGACTTATGGCGTGTGTGCATTGTACGATTTGGACCACTCACTGCTCGGGCGAGAGCAAAAAAAACAGGAATAGGATGATACTGAAATCAAACGTTGAGTTTCCGTTTGTGTAATCATGACCAATACCCTCGCACCCCAGCAGCCTTTCGTGCTTTGACCTGATAATGCTGCATCTTCGTGACGTGAACTGGAGGGCAAATAGTCCCAGTATCGGTTGGTGACTTGCGCTGATCAAAATATGGCGCTTTGATGAGACAGGGGAGGCAGTCTTAACAGGACACTACCCAAGCACAGTATTATCTACGTGGAAGTAACCCATCAATACAACTTGCGAGACTAAACATGGTATCGTAAATGATGACCATACTGTTCGGTTCGGCAGAGAGCTGAAATAGAGAGATTCCCCATGTTTCGTATTTATCATGCCGCAGAAAGGAACCATTATTATCGCCACATGATAGACGAAAGTGAGTAACGTCGTCAAATACCGGCCATCAGGGAAGCCTCCTGAGAGATCGTCACATGGTATTAGCCGTTGGCTTTCACTGCAGCTTGACAATCCCGTCCAAGCGGGTTAGTCAAGGGCTCAATCTGAATCGTTGAGGCTCGCCTGCCTCCTAGGTCGGGTGTTAGCCAATCAACTTTTCCTTCACTGCAATCTTAGTTCGTTCGCGGAGGCCACTACAGGCATGCTAAACAGGCGGTACAAGTAGCATCATGCCCTGCACATAACGTTCATGGTCCATGACCTGTGTTGTAATGATTCTAAGCTTCATCGTCGAGTGGAAAATGCAAAGGTCCATTGCGTAGAGGGTGCGCGGCTCAGATAATAAAGCTGAATTGGCGTTACCTCACTCTTGATGGACCCTGTCAGCCGCCTCGGTTTTACGCGAATGACATGCAATGCAAATCTGTGCCAAGCCTGGCGTCCTGCAGCCCGACAGCCCACGTGCTATTGGCAGGCACAATTATGCATCAGAATATCAGGAGTCGGCCGGCAGCAAGGATGGTGGCTGATGCGTTGCTTGCATTTCGTACATCGAGTGACAATGTGATATTGATAGTTTAGTCAAGCGCATAAAGACGACATGTTATATCCGGAGAGTGTATGTTAGCCAAGATCATTGACCCCAGGCTTCAAGTAAAAGGACAGGCAATGGGCTGCATTCATAATTGCCAACCTACTGGGACCAAAGAGACACGGGTTTCCTGCTCGGATTTCTTCTCTGCCAGGATGATGCCATCTAGATAGGACCAGACAGGTTTATACTAAAGCCACTTATCTGTTACTAAGGGAGGACTACCAAGAGTGGGGAGTGCTATACATGGGGCATACCAATTGATCTCACCGCAAGATGCAACAAACCCCCACTTTTGGTCCGCCCTAATGGCAGTGTGGTGAACCTACATCAAGAAGCGTAGCTGCTCAGCCGTCAAGATGCAAATGAATGACAGAGACATCAACCTTATTAAATATTTGCCTTGTCTCAGGGAGAGATTCATGCCTAACCCAGAAATCGGAGTCTAACACGTACATGTTGATTGGGTCACACGCATGACGGTATTTGCAGTAGTAACATATGCTAAAGGACCAGGTAGCCCTTCTCGTTGTCCCCAACCTGACGCACTGCTTCCAGCTGTTGCTGCTGCTGTCCAATCAGTGGGGAATTGGCACCTCGGAACGGTGCCGCATGCGAATGGGAGGTCTGTATGCATGTTCATGTATACTGGGAACCGGACAACCCCACCTTTGGATAAGGGGGCACAAAGGATCCGATCAACTGTTTCGCGTCCAAAAGAGATCCGATTCGGCAGTATCTCATGCAGCAGGAGGGACATCGGACCGGCGCATACGAGAGTTTGCGAAGAACTCGCACCAGGCAAGGAGGGGAATTCCCCATCGTAGAAGCCAATAAATCCTTGCATCTACAACGCTTGTTCCACGAGGACGAGCTTGATCTCACGTACTTTCATGCACATATCAAGTTGATACATTGACACGATATCATGGAGCTCGCGCACTATCTCATACTACTGAGCATCCTTCTCCCTGCTTGGGCAATCACCTATTGGGTCGTGCCGTACTTCACCACATACAAGCACCTAAAACATCTACCTGGGCCTTTTGTATGCAAGTTTAGTAACATATGGTTGGCGCTCGGCGCCCGAAGAGGGAAGAAATATGCTTGGGTCGATGATGCACATCGCCAGTACGGAAAGGTGGTTCGAGTTGGCTTTAATCACGTTTCCATCGCGACGCCCGATGGCTTACACACCGTCTACGCCCATGGCAATGGTTTCTTAAAGGAGTAGGCTGTGGATCGTCTTAACGTCGCATCCAGAATACACTGACAAAGTAACCAGTCACTTCTACGAGGCATTCGTCTCAGGTGTCCCAGGAGTCTTTAACGTTCGACACCGCGGCGAACACACGCGCAAGAGGAAGATCATCGCACACGCCTTCTCGCCGGGCGCAGTCCACGACTTCGAGACACATATGAGCGCAAACCTACACCGATGGGTGGAGCAGCTAGACCGCATAGCCGCGTTCCCAGCCGCGGGCGGCTACTCCCGCATCAACATGATGCCATGGTGCACGTATCTAGCCTTCGATATCATCGGCGACCTAGCGTTTGGCGCTCCCTTCGGCATGGTGCAGCGTGGCCGTGATGAGTGCGAGTCCACGCGGCCCGGAGGCCCAATCGCCTACGTACCCGGGGCCCAGACGCTCAACCGGCGCGGCGAGGTGAGCTCGACGCTCGGTCTGCTTCCGGCCTTGCGCCCGTACGCCAAGTGGCTGCCCGATCCGTTCTTTAGCAAGGGGCTGCAGTCGGTGGCGGATCTGCACGGCATCGCTGTAGCAGCGGTTGATAAGCGCCTTGCGGCTGGAGAGAAGGGACAAGTTGGAGGGGGCCGACATGATATCCTGGAGATGCTATGCCGTAGCAAGGACTCGGACGGGCAACCCATGCCAAGGGACGAGCTGATCTCTGAAGCATTGACGCAGCTCATTGCAGGCAGCGACACCGTCTCTAATACATCTTGTGCCGTCATCTACTGGATCTTGCATGGCGAGCGCCAGAACCCCGGAAGCGTGGTGCCCCGACTGCAGGCGGAGCTTGACGCCGCAATCCCAGCCGGCTCGACCATTGCCTCACATGCGGATGTCAAGAACCTCCGCTTTCTCAGACAGTGCATAGACGAGGGGATGAGGCTGCACTCGACCTCGGCGATTGGGCTTCCGCGGATTGTGACAGCCCCGCAGGGTGTCTCGTATGAGAAGGAGCATTTCCCCGAGGGAACTGTGCTATCTGTTCCTAGCTTCACTATTCACCACGATGCGGACGTGTGGGGCAGCGATGTCGAAGAGTTCAACGCAGACCGGTGGTTGAACCTAAGCCAGCAACAAAAAGTCTGCTTTAACCCCTTCTCGTACGGGCCCAGGGCTTGCGTTGGGCAGAACGTAGCGATCATGGAGCTTGCGTTGATCGTGGGCACTGCGTTCCACCGGTATGATTTCACACTTTACCAGGACAAGCTGGAATCACACGAGGGCTTCTCCAAAAAGCCTGAGGAGTGCTGGATGGGTATTAAGAGACGGTAACCACGTATGCTCAAGGAAATGGTTCCAAAGTGCTTAGATAATATTTGTGATCGCTAGGTTAGTATGAATTAGGTTGCTGATGGAAATTTCGGGTGGTCGCTTACCGTCCTAGCTTTAAACTATGTCCCAGATGCGGCTATCGCAGTCCTCCACACGTGTTATGTGTTATCTGGCCCGTGGACAACACGGAGCCAAGGAGTCCAATCCTTCAGAGGCTTCAATGAAGCGAATGGTTCACGGTGACTTTTCCCCCCTTGTCGGGACCCCAGGAACATCCTGATACACTCGTTGATTGGTGTGATCCTGGAATATAGTGCTAGTATTGTCCTATGGGCTGCCGAGTATTGCTTATTCAGAACACATGTATACTTGGGAAGCTGGCCACCAAACCTAAGATAGTAGAGAATTGCACTGGCGTAGGCTGCAGTAAGTACTGATAAAGCTCTATTGCCTACTTGAACAAGGTATGGGGCTATACCTGCAATTCGTCTGCTACTTTACCATGGGATAAGGACGATGAGTGTATGCTGTGTCGGTCTTCTTCTTGCCGTTTAAGTGTACCATCAGTTCAAAGTGAGATTCAATTATTGACTACGCTACTCGACTTGAGAGAAGATTGTGGCGGAACTGGGCTATCTGCGTATGTGTCCGACCCCACAATGGTCGGTTGCCTTGAACAAAACGCAGGGGTCCTGAGATTGGTTCGCCCAGGAGCATGCAAAGCCCGATCACTATTTTGCTTAAGCGCGCAAGTGCGCGCAATGCCTCCTGCGAGCCTTGCGCATGCTAAAACGGGGTTGGGACTCATTTTCATCGAGTAACGACCGATCATCAAGCCCTCAAAACTTAATCATAAGGTAAGACGACGGCTCCTACAGATATTCAATGTCGACCTGCTCAACGTGATGGAATTGAGGCCAATTCCGAATCTCCATGATCGAGGTTCTTCCCATCACGAAATATTGTTTGGCAGCACTATATCACTTCCTCTCAACTCCGTTGATTCTGTCCAACATGGCCACCGAGATTGGCTACGCAGTCGTGCCCCCGAGCTGGCGTCTGTCTCGACAGACGAGACAGATCGTGTGTCTGACAAGGACACAAGCCAGCTAGAACACACAGCATATCGCTCAGCATTCGACCACTCGCAAGTTTCTGCATACAGGAGTCCCCCCCGAGCCTCTCAATCAAATAATCACTATGTTGTGATGAGCTCCGCGCAAGGGGTCGGTCCCCACAGCCCAAACAGCTATCAAAATGGCTACTCAAACCCATCGGTGCTACCGATGATACCGAAGAAGAAGGAAGCGCCTGATGTCATGATAGCTATGGACAATACACGGCCAACGTCACATACGCATAGAAGTGTGGATACGACCGGACAAGTACAACCGGCGGGCATGAAGCCTCGAGTGACAGCGACGTTGTGGGAAGATGAAGGCAGTCTGTGCTTCCAGGTTGAAGCCAGGGGCATCTGCGTAGCAAGAAGGGAAGACAATCATATGATCAATGGCACTAAGTTGCTCAACGTTGCCGGCATGACCCGAGGTAGGCGAGACGGTGTATTGAAATCAGAGAAGGTGAAACACGTCGTCAAAACTGGTCCGATGCACCTCAAGGGCGTTTGGGTTCCATTTGAGAAAGCTCTGGAGTTTGCCAACAAGGAAAGAATCACCGAGATGCTTTACCCCCTATTTGTGCACAACATTGGTGCTCTTCTATATCATCCAACAAACCAAACAAGGACGAATCAGGTGTGGGCTGCGGTCGAGCGACGCAAGGCAGAGCAGAATCGGTTGATTGATCATCTTGGACAACAGGACTCCTTATATGCCTGGTCGGAATCTAGTCGCCACCCCACCTTTCCAACACCACCAGCCAGCAACAGATCAAGCATGATATCGGGCGGTCATCAATGGAACCTGGGGGGATCGACTGAGGCGTATGGGGCCGCTGTTAATCTCTATAAAGAGGAGAGACCAGAAACACACACAGCGACCCCTCGGGGGTCATTGGGCAGCATACAACACTACCCACGGAACCTCGAAGTTACGCAGTCTGATGAACGGTCGTTGGGGTCCGCAAACGAGTCAGGTGTGGAAGTACCTCCGCCAGAATCTAGCAATCACGACCGTTTACGCTCCAAACATGGCAAAGTTGGGTCAACAATATCGCTGCAAGCACCCCCTATGTCTGATCATAATAAAGCAAGCTCACAGGCCATATCAAGCCCTGTCAAGTGGGACTTAGGTGATGGATACCGAGAAGAGGCTGAGCACACCGATTCGGTTCGCGAAGGGACTACAGAATCCGAGCCTTCCATAACGGCAATCCTGGATGTTGAAAGTAGCAATTCTCACCCCAAAGAGGAGGGACATGAAACTTATTTTGGTCGCAACTCTAAATCTGATGGAATGAACCTCTATAATTTTGAAGGAAGCCTTCCTGGAACCAGAGGAAAGAGAGAACGTCTCTGCGTACCGAATGCTAGCTTGTCCCCGAGCCAGACTTCGCCTCAAAGCGACAGCGAAAGTTCTTCAGACAGCGAGCCTACGCTGCTTACCAGACATGACCGCAAGCATTTACTTGTCGAACGGCTGATGAGATACTTTTTTGAGCTGTTCTCTTCTTGCCGGTCTCCAACTCTCATTACTACAACACCAGGCTCTGGTAGTGCAGGCCACACTGGTGTGACCAGGAACCCCGAAAGCTCGGAGAGCACAGCAGATGGCATTGCCAGTCGCAGCAAGGCCCCAGATCGCTCCCAAGAAGGAGCTGGAAAGCGGGCCTGTGACGACGATGATGACGATAGAGACGAAAGTCGGCCTGCTAAACGCCTACGAGTACTGGGTAGTAGACATACTGCACCCAAAAGACTGGCATGTCCATATTTCAAGAACGACCCTGAGCATTTCTTACTGGCGAGGTCGTGTTCAGGGCCAGGCTGGGATACCGTACACCGAATAAAGTAAGTCGAGATAATTACCAGCCACACAGTCCCAAGAGCTTGATGCTATATCGATTGCCATACCTAAAGAATTGCAACTAATCTGATGGTTAATATAGAGAACACCTCGATCGAAACCATGCCCTTCCTCCTAGCTGTGTCCGTTGCTACACAGCTTTCAAAACAGATGCAGATCGTGATGCCCATATGAGGTCAGAAGAACAATGCATGATCAAAGAGCGGCCAGCTCGTATGCACGGCTTCGACCCCTCTCAGAAGGACAAGCTGAAAAGTCGTCCTAAAGGTTATAAACAAATGAGCGAGGCACAGAAATGGTGCCACGTCTATAAGATTCTGTTCCCTGAAACGGAAGTAGCGGAAATCCCCAGCCCATGTAAGTCTTTGTTAGGTGGTCGAGGCTCACTGACGACTAACATATCGCAGACTACGAGTTCAGGAGTCTTCGAGATCCCGGTCATCCTGTTGATCCAATGGTTGGATATGAGAGTTTCCTGCGCCGTGAAATGCCCAACCGTGTCAGACATCAGCTAGAGCTTCGAATTGAAGATGCCTTGAACCCGATTGAGGAAACACTCCGGGGTCAGATTGTTGAAATAGTTCGCGATGTCCAGCTTGAGCTATTTCAGTCATTTAGGGCTTCGATCGGTAGGGCACCCTTAAGTGGTCGCCACGAACAAGAGGCTGCGGTTGTTGAAGCGAATACTCCCGCGGAGCAAATCCGAGATAGAGACGGTGGAAATCATGGTGCCCTCGAGACTACATCCAGACCGGCTGAGGGAGATATGCCACATCAGTTCTTTCCTGGGCAATCGGCTTGGGAGGAGCAGATGCAGGCTTATCAACCAGTGCCGCCCCTTGATATTCCTTCCATGGACTTTGATGGCGAGCTATTCGATTTTAGCTCCCTATTGAATCTACCCGCGCCCCAAGACTCGACCTACGGAACATTGTCCATGTCGCGGACAGAAACCGATAAAGATCATTTCTTTTAAAGTGGGTTTCTTTTTATTCAGCAAGTATTATACGTCTGTACTTTTTTATTGTTATAAGGTTGTCAGTTTCAAGTATAATGAACTTAAAGGAAGTATGGCTTCCACGTTTTACTCTATGGAATATCTGCGTAACGAATCATTCGCTGTATCGATATTGGTGTAGTTTTAAGGTTCGCTCATGCCAAGATAGAGGCTTGTTGTCACACCCTGGCCCAACTGTGGTATCGCCAAGGCGGCGTGCAGTTGTGTGACCCCGCTCCCTGCACACGCCTATCTTGTCACAGTCGCGAATAGCATATTGTTTTTCTTTTTTCTTTTTCTTTAGCTTCAGGGCTTATGATACGTGTAATACGGCAAGGACAAAGTTCAAATCATGCTCGCCGCGGCCATCTGTCAATCAATACTTTTGCTCCACGTACCCTGCAATAAACTTGCGAAACGTGTTTTGGGCGCACCAAATCCCGTGCTTTTGGTGGAGACAGACAGACAGGGGAAGCAATGGAAACCATCAAAAAGGGGTCGATATCACCAGCTGCTCTCGTTCTCTCACACGCTGGCCATTTACCATTGCAACACATTCGCAAGGGAGTGAGTCGCTGCGACCCCGCGATCATCTATACCGATGCTGTCTTCTGCCCATGACATATAATCAAGAGAGAGACTTGTCCCTGGACTTCTGATGCACGATATACCATCGACAGCCAACTTGACTCAGCAACTGTGACCCACCACAGATATGAGTGTCCGGCGGTGGTGGGACAACTTTCGCGAGCAGCACCCAGAGCTGTGCGAAAGGTGGGCGACACGATGGGCAATTGTCCGGCCTTACCTACCACCTGTCAACTTTATCACACTGCACTATGGCTACTTCATTGTGACAGCCATCATCGCGGCCCTCATCTTTTGGGGCTCCTCGAACCCTCGACACAGCATTGGCTGGTGGGATAGCTTGTTCATGGTCATGTCGGCGCTAACGGCTTCGGGGCTTAACACGGTCAACGTCAGCCAGCTCACCACGTTTCAGCAGGTCCAGCTGTGCGTGCTTATGATTATGGGCAGCCAGGTCAGCATCTCATGGTTCACTATTGCATTTCGCAAACACATTTTCGAGAAGCGATTTGAAGACATCGTCGACATGGAGCGTGCAAAGAGGAAAGCCGCGCCTTCGCAAACGGGCGCCGTTGTCGGCATGACAGGCGCCATGTTTGGCCTGCAGGTCATGTCGTCCTTTGGTAAAGCCCAGCATCAAAAGATAGGGCAGAGCAATAGACCGTGGTCTTCGAAGGGCAATAATCATGCAGATGCCCAAGCTGCAAGAGCGGAATCTTCCCCGGAGAAACCGGCAGTTCGGGATCCTCTGGCGCAGAGAAAGGCGCCGAATCAACATCACGTCGGATTTCTCGAGCCGATTCGCGAGAACAGGCCAGAAGATCAAGCCCAGTCCGCAACAACTGCACATTCCATCTACCAGACGCACTCGCACCAAAGCGGAGCAACTACGCAACGGAGGCCATGGACGGCTGAATCACGAACATCTGACGGCGGTTTCAACGTCCAGAAATTTTTCATGGAGCAAAAGGGCAACATTGGACGCAACGGGCAGTTCTTTAACCTGTCCGAGGACCAGCGCGAATACCTCGGTGGTGTCGAGTACAGGTCCCTAAAATTCCTTTCGCGCTTTGTTATCGTTTATTTAGTCCTATGGCAGCTCTTCGGCGGCATTGCCTTGGGCGCCTGGATGTCCGTCTACGCCGTCGACGAGTCAGCGTCCAATGCTCAGAACCCTTGGTGGGCGGGCATCTTCCTTGCTATCTCGGCATACAATAACGCCGGCTTCACTCTGCTCGACGCGGGCTTTTTACCTTTCCAGGGATCTTACTTCTTGCTCGTAATTGTCACCATCCTCTCGCTCGCTGGCCCTGCGGCGTTTCCCGTCTTCATGCGCCTACTGATCTGGATCATGTCGAAGCTGCTACAGCTCTTTTCCAGGGACAAAGAGGACTACACGGTCTGGAAAGAGGGGTTTGACTTCATTCTCAAGTTCCCGCGTCGCGTATACACGAACTTGTTCCCGGCGCGGGACACTTGGATATTTGTTGCCACGTTTGGGGGCTTCGTGTTGGCCGACTGGGTCTTGATTCTCATTCTCACCATTGGAAATCCCGCCATGGAGGCCATCCCGCTGGGACAGCGTATTTTTGATGCGCTGTTTGAAGGGTTCTGTAAGTCTCAAACTTATCCGACTGTTTAACAAATTCATTGGCATTTTCCTGACTTTGAATCTCCCTTCACAGCAATTCCTTCTGGTGGATACGCCATCGTCTCCCCATCAGCCATGTACTTTGACCTGCAGGTTCTCTGGCTCATTATCTTCTACACGGCTGCGTACCCGCACATCATCACCATGCGCAGAACAAACGTCTATGAAGAGCGATCCTTGGGCATCTACGAAGGAGATCAGACCGAGATCGAGCAACTTCACTCCGAGACAAGCAGCCTGTTTGACGTCGACGCCGATATCCACAGCCACGACCCACTCGCGGCTGGACTTCCATCCGCACGTGGCGCAAATGATATCGGCAACGGGAGAGACTGGAACGCAACCTCAGGCACGCCGTCTATGAGATCTGGCAAGGGTCTTTACGCCGTCACCCGTCGCAGCACAGCATTCGTCGGCCGACAACTGCAGCGCCGAATGACAGCCTTTGAAGGCGTCGGCGTCGCAGCAACATCATCATTCACGCCACCATCTGGTGCTAGCATAGGCCCCAAGCCGCTCCGTCGCGCTGTAACTATGGACTTCGCACGACCGCCATCAGCACACTCCCTGCATAACCACCCGCCGACCGGCCCGCCCAGTCTTATCTCCCAACAAGTCCGCGGCCAGCTCAGCCACGACGTATGGTGGGTCGCCCTGGCTTTGTTTCTTGTGACACTCATCGAAACGCGGCATTCCCTTGAAGATCCTGTGACTTTTAGCGTGTTCAATATGCTGTTCGAAATTGTCTCGGGTTACACGAATATCGGAATCAGCATTGGCCTGCCGAACCAGAGCTACAGTCTTACAGGGGGGATGTACACGGGGAGTAAGATCATTATGATTCTTGTCATGTTGAGAGGGAGGCATAGGGGTTTACCAGTGGCGCTAGATCGTGCAGTCAGGCTACCTGGGAAGAAGCTGGCAGAGTACGAGGAGGAAGATGCTGAGATTAGGAGTTTATCTGCTTTACCCCGTAACTCATAGAGTGAGTGATATGTAGTAATTTTGGCGTCATTCAAGCTATATTCTATGGTCTAGTATTCAAATCTACTTTCATCTGCGAGACATTGTCTGAAAGGTCCACTGGCATCTCTAGACAACTTTGTTGGTGGGTGCTCCCTCTAGCCAACTCGAAACGTTCTTCTTCAGGCTCTCATTGTAATTATCGGTGGTATCCTCAGCGCACCACGCAACATGAGGCGTGGTCACAAGATTCAGGTCAGCTGTGTCCAGTGCAAGGAGCGGGCTGGTCTCCGGACCTGCAGGTTCCTGCAGGAAGACATCTGTAGCGGCGCCGGCAATCTTCTTGGCCCTCAATGCCGCTACCAGAGCTTTCTCGTCGACCATGCCGCCTCGAGAGACGTTGACCAGGACCGAATAGTTCGGCATGGCATCCAGCTCCGGCTCTGAAATCATGTTCAAAGTCTCTGGTGTGCGAGGCAGACACATGACAATGACCGACGATTCACGGATAACTGTGTTGAAGTCGGTGCGGCCTTTGCCAGCAGGCGCCCCCTTTCGTGCTGATATCAACACTTTCATACCCAACGCTTTCGCCACGCTCTCGATCTTCTTTCCCACGGCGCCATATCCCATGATGCCCATAGTTTCGCTGCCACATGTCATTGGCGGCTTGCCATTTGGTCCATCCATGGTCTTTAACAATGTGCCGCGTTTTGGCCACTCCCCTGAACGTGCCAAAGAATGGGTCAAAGTGATGGATCGCCGGGCAGCAAAGTAAGAAGCAATGGCGTGTTCTGCCACTGCGGTCGCATTGCAATGTGGAGTGTTGGCCACATGAATACCGCGCTTTTTGCAAGCTTCCAAGTCGACGGAATCCGTCCCCGAGGCGACGACACCAATCATCTTCAGATTCGGCGATACGGCTTCGCTCAAGACGTCTGCCCGGATTGGGATGACAGTCATGACAAGAATATCGGCGTCACGAATGCGCTCTGGGATCTCGGAAACCTTTGTCCTGGCATATTCCTTGACTTCGAAAGTGTGCGATGCCGGAAAGCAGGCATCGAACTTGGGGAGCGGGCAAAAGAATGTCTCCAGAGCCACAATTCTGTGATGAGTACGGGCCATGGTGTGTTGCCCCCGTAAAACTGCGCGCGTGCAGCTTAAAAGTCGGGATCCGAAGCTTGGATTCCAAGAAAGCTGCCGAAGCATGCAGTGGTGAGTTATAAGGAAGAATTGTTCGTGTTGCTTTGCAAAATCAAGAGCCGGAAAACTGGGCGGCGTGCTCCTGTAAAGCCCCGAAGATCTACGCTGCCGACGCCCTCCGATGATGATTTGTTCTGCACTTACGAGCCCCGCAGCCGCACTAACCTAATGCCCTAGTCATCCCCCGAGTGCGCCCTACTTGTCAACCGCATCGAAGAGCCGATTCCTCAACCAAACACGTTTTGGCGACAAATTCTTGAAAGATGGCGCCATCAGAAAATTGAGCCTGCAGTTGGAACCCGTTCGGAACCCGATCAAAATCGATCTAACGACACCGAAGTGGCTCTGTCGCCCGTAAGACAACATGCCCTCTGCGGCGGTGCACTGACAAGCATGTGGAGCGGGCATGTTCCAAAGACCGGCTGGCTATTGCCTTCCTATTCTTCACTCAACCTGGAGTCTCCGAAGGAATTGCGTGACACGTCACATAGCATGCAATATCGTCGTGGGTTCAGTGTCTTCACCTGGCCCATACATGCCTGAGGTATCTGTGGTCCACTTCCGGCTCTTATACTGCAACGATATCTCATATAATATAGTATAATCTAAAAGTGTGTATAAGTAGAACGCGGCTATCATCACTGCAGGCGTAGCGCAGTTAGGCTCACACAAAAACCTACAGCATGCAAGCGGGACTTACACTAGAAAGCCGATAGATAGCAGGTCTAAGAGTAGAGGTAGTGGTGCACGTCCCGACTGGGAAAGGTCGAGAGGTATATGGAACTCAAACAACCAGTCAAGGTCGGTTGCTAACCATGAGTAAAGTGCTGCTTGCCGTTTTAGGGGCAATGGCGGCACATTGCTCAGCCCTATCGATCGATGCGGCCTGGTCTAGGACAGCCAGCGTCCAGTGCAGTCAACCAAGGATGGTTTGCGGGGAAAGGTGGGGAGGCACGTTGCAAACCGTTCCTTGGACGAACCACCGTTAGACGCCATTAATGTTCCGAGAGCCGTGGTGCTGGACGATGCCCGGTGACTGATGGCCCAAGTACAGCGATCCCTGCAGAGCAGAGTGGGAGAATTCTGTCGCAGGCCTTGATGACTGACAATTGAAATGAACCAATTCTTATTTCTATGGCACAGAGGTCTCCAGCTAAAGGCCTGGCTCGAGCTTCCACTGAACTACCAGCCAGTACAAGCAGCCTGACAGTTGGGGCTTTTCCTGACGACACCCCTGGAGCTATGGCCCTCCTGGCCCCGGCAAGCCGGCAAGGCAAGCTGGCAGGGATCATGGGCGGAACAAGCTGTTTCAAAACTAGCAATGACCTCATTGTACCACAGAAATCCCAAGACGCAACGCCCATCGACAGCGCATTGTGCCTGGCATTGGCTCCGTCAGTTTCTGTCACGGATATCCACCTGGGTTCTATGATTGGCAACACGGCTCGACGGCACACGCGATACCGGTTTTGCTCGCCATGCTGCATCATCCGCCGACTGGCGCCTGTTTTGTTGACAGCTCCCTAGACTACGTGCACAGCTTCAGGTCCGAATAATATGACATAACACCTTTAGCTGCCTGTCTTTCCCCTCACGCTGTTCACATTCGTTTCTCTGGTTTGCAACGATTCAGCTCATCTGCCTCGGTGTTGAGAACTCGCTTTGCCTGAGATGTCGGCGACGGATAATTTCGAGGAGGATGCCGCCCGAGGGAGGTATGACGGGCACCATTCGGGGAAGCACCCCATTCCGACCATACAGGGCTACAGAGAACACAAGCGGCAGCTCGAGGGCCAGTATGAGGAGACTGAAGATAATCAGCGCGGCCCAGAGGATGATTCAAAACCCAAGCGTGCCTTTGATTCCGTCAAGGCCATATACAAGGGTGAGGATGCTTCAAAGTCGACCCATGATCCGTATCCTTCCACCAACCGGAATTATGAAGTACCTCCTGGTGGCGCGGAGCAGGCAGAGCAGCACCCGGAACAGCATTCGGAGCAGACGGAATCCAAGCAGGACGACAGCTCAGTCTCTCGGCACAGCTCCAAGTCGAACAAGGATGACCAAAAGCAAGACAAGACTGCAACAGAGGAAGTGGCGAGTATGGTCGATCCTAGGGACAAGCGGAAGGCGATGAAGAAAAATAAGCGACACGGCGGAGGTCGTGAAGTCACTGACCCGGTAACGCATCTCCCTATCACCATCCACGATTTGACGGACAAGGATCTCAAGTCGGCGCCGGAAAATGTGCCGGAGCCTGGGACGGATCACACGACAGCCACCGGTCCGCAAGGCGCCTCGAAGTCGGAGGACGAGCTCGATGAGGAGCAGAGGCGTCTTCAGAGAGGCTACAATGGCGTTCAGCGCCTTTTCCCGCCTCCTGATTTCGAGGATATGAAGAAAGAGCTGGCTATTATTTATCAGCAAGCCATCTTCGGAGGCATAGCCATCATTGGCGTGGCAACTTCTGTCGTCTTTATCATCCCCGCATTTAACGGTCGCTTATATCCCCAGCTATCAACGGTGGTTGGCTTCGTTTCCTTCCTTATCGTGGCAGTAGCTACAGCCTGGGCCGTCAGCAGATGGGTCAACAAAAAAGCAAACGAGGTATTCGACGACGAGGTATGGGATGCAACCAGGCTCGAAGAAAACCGGGCCCTCGACTCGGACACTGAACTCCCAGAATCGGTCCAGTGGCTAAACCGCCTCTTTGCATCCATATGGCCGTTGGTCAATCCAGACCTGTTCTCCTCTTTGATCGACATGATTGAGGACGTAATGCAAGCATCGTTGCCAAAGGTCATCAAAATGGTCAGCGTTGATGACATGGGACAGGGCAACGAGTCGATCCGTATTTTGGGCGTCCGCTGGCTCCCAACAGGTGCTTCCAGCAGGAGCGTCGACTCTGATGGGCACCTGAAAGATCCCAACAAGGGCAAGCAAAGCGATCGTACAGATTCGCAAAATGAACAGGAGGATGATGATGATGCTGGCAAATCTGATTCCGATAAGGAGGAAGATGGTGGGCAGACCAAGGAGCAAGAACAAGAACAAGCTGCCATTCGAGAGGGTATGGAGGCCGAGGAGGGTGACTTCATCAACCTTGAACTTGCTCTCTCATATCGAAGCCGATCTTCAGGCAAGTCCATCAAGGAGAAGGCTAAGAACGCCCACTTGTATCTGAAGTTCTATCTCCCTGGAGGAGTGGCGATCCCTGTTTGGGTCGAGCTTCGTGGACTCATCGCAACTATGAGACTCAGACTACAGCTTACAGTGAGTTACACTCTAGTCACTCCCTTTTGGCAGTGTCACTAATTGAAAGTAGCCTGATCCGCCCTTCATCAGCCTCTGCACCTTGACGTTTCTTGGGCAGCCGAAGGCATCACTTGCCTGTGTTCCACTTTCCAAGCATAGTCTCAACCTGATGGATGTACCGTTGATTAGCAGCTTCGTCCAGTCTGCTATCGATGCCGCCTTGGCGGAATATGTGGCCCCGAAGAGTTTGACCTTGAACCTGAAGGACATGCTGGTTGGCGAAGATTTCAAGAAGGACACCCTCAGCCGCGGCGTTGTGTTCATCTTCATTAAGAAAGCACGCGGCTTCAAACAGGGTGACGGGGGTATTGGACCCATGCAGGGCTCAAGCGATTCCTATGTCACCGTTTCGTGGGGAAAATTCGGTAAGCCAGTGGCTTCGACCCGCATCATTGAGGGCGACCAAAGTCCCGATTGGCATGAGTATGCGACAATCTTGGTTTCTCCCGAGGAACTGAATGCCGAAGAGAAACTACGCCTCCAGCTTTGGGACTCTGACAAGTGGACTGCTGACGATGACCTCGGCCGCGTCGAACTGGATCTGAAGTCGCTCATCAAAAACCCGGATTCACACAACAAGCTACAAGACCGCGAAGACCGTTTCACTGGCCAGGATCCTGACGAGAAGATGGCCGGATCTCTTACCTGGAGCGTCGGGTACTTCTCAAAGCTTAGAATCCAACAACACCAGCTAGACCAGCAGACTGTGGATGAAAACATCCGAACCAAAGAAAAGCTTAGGGAGCATGTTTCAGAGGTAGCGGAGCACAAGTTGAGGGAAGCAGGCAAGGCTCCCGACGATGAAGAGTTGCACCAACAGAAGGCACAGGATTACCGAGAACTTGAGGACTCCATGATTATCTCCGCTCCCCCGAGTGAGGAGTATGTCTCAGGTGTGCTCAGTGTGCATATTCACAATGTCACAGGCCTAGAGGTACAGAAGCTGCAGAAGCAGGACAAGAAAGATGACGAGAAAGGGGGCCATGAGGACGAGACCGAACAGAATGACGACATGCCCGACAGCTATTGCACGATTATCCTTGATCACAAGAAGATATATCGAACTCGCACCAAGCCGAAGAACTCCAAGCCTTTTTACAATGCGGGGACTGAACGGTTCATCAGGGATTGGCGCAACACAGAGGTTATCGTGAGTGTTCGAGACGCCAGGGAAAGAGAAGACGACCCCCTGATCGGAATTGTGTATCTTCCACTTGCGAAGATATTCGAGAAGAAGAGCCAAGTCATGGACAACTTCCCTCTGGTGGGTGGTATTGGATACGGACGAGTCCGAATCAGCCTCGTATGGCGTAGCGTCGAAATCAAGATGCCACGTAATCTTCGGGGATGGGATTACGGAACAGTCGAGATTAGAGGCGCAATTAAGGCCAAAGCAGGGCTCGCGGATGAGCTCAAGAAGAACCGGCTCAAGGTCCGAACGAACCTAGGACGGATCAAGATGTACCGGGAGGACGAGTTGTGGAAGCTCAAAGGCAAGAGCGAGACAGAAAGCGCATTCATTGCTGTCCGCAAACGATATGCTTCTGCGCTGGTCATTGAATTTCGTCAGTCAACCATTGGGCCTGACAAAACCCCGGCCTTCGCTGTGCTTTGGCTTCAAGACCTTGTGGACGATGAAGACGAAGTCAGGACCCTGAAAGTCTGGAAAGGCTCGAAAGAAGCCCTTCAGAAAGCTGAGTCTTGCTATGGCTACGAGGGATCGGAAGAGAACGAACAGCCCCTGGGTGAGATCGAAATCTCACTCAAGTTCTGGCGGGGTCTTTCTGGATTTCACAAAGGGTATGCCGCAAAGGTCAAAAGTGCCGACATGCGCCAAGTTATGGAATGTCTCGATACGATTACGGATGAGAACTTGAAGGAAGACAGTGAGATGGAGGACTCTGACAGCGACTCGGATAGCCAAAACCACGACAGCCATGCTAAGAAGAAGCTCAAGGTTCACACCAACGATGACTCTTCTGCATCCTCGGATGACGATGAGAATGACGGATCGTCATCGAGCCTATCTCTGGCAAACATTAAAAAGGCGAAGAAGGTGTTTCGGAACCCTATCGAGGGCGGCATAGAAACGGCCACATCCGTGCTGGCGCCTGGCCACAATGATTCTGATGACGGGTCGCGGGGCGTCAAGGGTCAGCTCAGGGACTACAAGGATCATCACAAGCAGCTGCATCGAAAGCACCGTGGTATAATGCAGTGGCGCGCTGCACGGGAGGCAGACCACCTGGGAGGGAAGCTTGGAAGGCTCAAGGGGAATATTTCTCAGATTTTCAGTCATAGTGAAAAGGACACTGGTGTCGAGACGGAGGTCTAGTGCTAGGAGCTGGAATTTAGGTTCAGGCGCGTGGCGTGTCAATTGGATGGGATTGATACCAGTGTGTTTCAACGGCTTCTCTCAAAGCTTTTTATGTTCAGTCATGTATATATTGACTGGGTGCATGGATCATCGGCTCTGGGGCTGATTCTCATTCGGTCATTATCAATAACGTGTAAGCTACGCTGATACCCCTACCTAACTCGATGTATACTTCATCAAAGAATTCTCATGTGAGATATGAAGCATTGCAAGACACCAACGAGGTTTCCCCGAGAAGTCAACGCCGTAAACATAAGCAATCGGACCACGGGAGTCATCATATTATCAAAATTATGTATTTGTCGTTCCCAGAGGATCATCCTAGGTGTATCAGTCTACCTAATGAGTACCCCTAACGTAGCTCATCATTAGAAAGTAGAGGCGCTCGCTTGACCTGACACCCAGCCTTTTCTCCGACAGCAGTGCCACGTATCCGAGTTCCCCTCATGGTGTGTCAGTGAACCCTTCTGCTTCCTCTGGTTGACGCTTGCGTACACCGACCACCCATGTCTCTTGAGCACACCGAGCAGCCGCAGCACAATCAGCCGACACATCACTGCCTGGCTTCCATGAGCGAACCATGGATATCTCGCCACCTTGACTTCATGCGAGCCACTCCAGGGGCGAGGTACGTCAGTCTTAAGGGTCCCGTCGGTCTGAAAGTCGTTGATCGTGGCCTGCACAACGTCTTCTGGGGCGTCGATGAAGCGGAGGCAGTCACCGCTGGTAAAGCCGATGCACATCCAGTCGTGGGGCTCGGGCTGAGGTGACTGATGGTGGAAGATGAGTGTATCAACATCTAGTACCTTGGTGGTGACATTGGTGTTGAGTGACATGATCCATCCGCAATTGAATAATGCCTCCAAAATCCTGTTCATCAGCCGTCTCGATTCGATGGGGTGTATTGCATGCGAGTACCATGGTCGGCCGTAGAAGTGGAACTCGTGGGACCCGTGGTAGTCTCTCTCGCGGCGCAGGCCTTTGCTCCAGTGCTGTTTGATGACAACCCGGATCAGGTCATGGACGGCCGAGTCGAACCCCAGGAGGCGGAGCCTTGGGAATAGTCAATGAATACTATTACAAGCTGAAGCCTCCAGTGTATAGCAAATTAACGCATACCTGTCTCCCATGTGCATGGAAATGGAGGCGAACTCCAATGCCACTACCGGGGTTGCAGGTAGCGACGAAGGCGGCCGTGGAGGAATGATGGGAGGGACTTGCGCATCACCCTTCGAAAACGAAGCTACAGGCCCCGACATTGCTGTGAAGTCCGAACTTTGGAACAATTTTTTTGGGGAAGTGTGTATCCTCGGTGTCAAAATAAGGCGATACAGATATCCTCAGGGTAAAAATGCTACTGAAGCCTCCATCCGCAGGACCCCATTGTAGAGAGTGCACTCGTGATGCCTTGTTGACTGATGTTGACCAGTTACAAATTCGCATCGAACGGGATTGGCAACCTCCCTTGTCCATGGCAGAATGATGGGCAGCTGCTACTTGGAACAGTCGAGCTTGGACGGAAGTGGCATGGTTCCGCAACTGCTAGACTTCGGAGACTAGAGGTCACTCAGCTTGTAAACCAAGGAACTTGGGTGCTTACATCGTCGAGCACACGGCGTCAATAACCTGATTCGACGTGAGAACATCCGACATGAGTCTGGTGATCGTATCAGCTCGCTAAGATAATGTGTGTCACATTTTAGCGGTCATCTTTCTTCTAGGTCCAGCACCCTCAAGGTCAGTTCCCACAGCGTATCCTCCTTCTCGATGTTATCAGTAAAGTTTACCAACCCCTTGCAGCCCAGGAATAGTGCGCAGTAGATAGGGTTGAGCTCCCTGTTACGATTGCTCCCGGCAGGACAACACAGCATGAGGCTTAGCCAACTTAAGCATTTGAAGAGGATACTTATTTATCATTGGCCGCCTATTCACGAAAGTGTGGTCTCATTCCTACCCTGAACGCCATGCTTGGTCATGAGGTAGCTCCTCCTTACATACATTGATCGTGATATCCAGCGCTAGCAGCAAGCAATGACGCTCGTCATGGCCCTGGTAATACATGTAACGCGTTTCAGAGTCGTACTCCGATGCTTTGCTTCGCAAGTGCTTTTCGTTCACCCTTCTTTTCGGTCTAAAGCCTCTCATCGGCACTCATGCTCTCATCGCCCCAGACGGGTTCCCCAGTCTCAAGAGCACGCTGCCGCACGCTCCAAGCTTCTCGCCAAGCCCGGAACTTGTCTCTGAACTCGATGGGTTCTATCCATGTTCGAACGAGACCCCACTTCTTCAATCTTCTTCGATGTCTCTTTCTCTGCCAGACATCCATGTATAACTCGTCCTCCTGAGTGAAGTCGTGTCCAGTAGCCCAGTCGACTACTTCCGAGACGATATCGCCCAAATCTTCACCGACACGCCATGCCAGGGCGCGCCCCTTTCCGCCGGTAATCCATTCGTCCAACATGAAAGGCGCCGCATATGGATAGTAGGGCTCATTGGGTGACCAGTCGCAAGGTAGTTTCGGATCGGCACAGTCGTAAGGATCGACGTAGAGGCTGCAAAAGATGCATTCGACGGTGTACCAGATACTCAAAATCAGGGTAAGGAGGCCGAGGGGTGTAAATCTGAAAGGATGGCGGCGATAAAGCGGCGGAACATATATGTGTGTGGTCGAGTCACCGAGCTGTGGGTGGAAAAGCGGGATGGGTGAGCTGGATGACAGACCTAGGTCAGCCAAAACGGGTATCAAGGGGTCCTTCTTCTCAGAGTGGGCCACCTTGTCCTCGAGGCGCTCAATTCCTTGCTTCGCAGAACGAATACCCAGAAGTCCAGTTTTGAGAGTCTTGCTCATCCGGTCATATGCTTGGAGTTCCCGTTCATGGTCGGTGAGGCCCGGAACGTTCAGATCTTCTTCCAACTTAGTGACCGTGTCATCTACAATTTTCTCAAGCTCTTCGTGATCGATATCTTGGTCTAACAAAAAGCCATCAAAATCATCAAGGGTCGAGTCATCAATCTGATGTTGACGCAGTATAGCGCGGAGGTCATCCTTGACCGTCGGTATTTTGGCCGTGTTGACAAGTGGCCGGCGGCGTCTTGATACTGACCGAGTGCGGCGTGCTGCTGGGACCGACGATCTTCCACTAGCTTTGATCATCGTTTCCGAAGCATTGCTTCCTTCCCGCTTGACCTGAGGCACCTCTGAGCGTCCAGTCGATGCACCTGTCCACCTACGAAATCCCGATAGGACCCCTGAAGAGCTGGACGTTTGCTTATCAGGTTCTAGATCGACCCAGTCGCTGTCTCTCTCCGCCTTTACTGTCATGGGCGTCTCTACGTAAGCGCCAGTCACTCGGGGGGTAGGCTGGCTCAGAGGATCAACAATATTCCTTTGTGGTCTTGGCGTTTGCTCCTCGATAGGCTCTGATTTCTCTGACAAGCCTGGGGATGGGGCACGGGTCGAACCCTTCTCGGAGTAGTTGTCACCCAACGCAAAAAGTTTCATCTCAGCTTCAATGCGAGCGGTAGGGTCGGGCTCCGAACTTGCCAAACTACGGCGTTTTTCCTCAAGAGAGTCGCTAGATTGCTCCTTACGCAAATGAGCGAAGCCAACAGTCAGCCTGTCTCTAGAGCTCTTAGCTCCAAGGTCCCTGGGTCGCCTGTCCTGTCGGGTGAGAAGCGGACGACTGTTGTCTCTCTCTTCTGAGGTACGGGTTGAGCCCGCCTCAACCTTTGCTATGGGCCCTGAAAGTGTGGGTGAAGCATTCGGGCTGGGACTTGAGCTTGTTGCTCGGGCAAGACGGCGTAGTAAATCATACGAGTCATCCCCTGGAAGCCCCTTAGGCTGGTCTTGAGACGCTGTGTCTTTGCCTTTCTCTAACCCGTCAAGGGGCTCATGGTAGGAGTTTCGCAAACTTGATAGTGGTGTGCCGGAGCTGGGCCTGTCAATAAAAGGAGACACTGAGCCATGCGTCATCTTCTCAGCCTGGTCATTCGCCGGACTTGCAGATTTGCTCCGCGAACCTGGTTTGCTGCTGGTCCTGGCTTCTTCAGGCGACTGTGAGCGGGAGCGAGCCTCGGAATTCTGGGCTCGAATCTCATCCAAGCGACTCTGCGCAAGAGCCCTCGGTGACGTTGCTTCCATCTCACGCGCTCGGATTTCGTCCAACCGTGAGTTCCCCCGCTTTGCGATCGAGCTTGCTTCCTCATCTGAAATGATCGCGTTTGCTGCTTCGATCTCAAGCGCTTTGATCTGTTTCAGCCTGTCGTTGCTCCGACGTGATTCTGAAGTGGACGGGTCCCCAAACGCAGTGCTGCTGTTGGCCAGCTTGATCCGTGGACTATTGGACACCTGCAGGTCTCCAGCGGTGAAATCAGCATCTAGATGCCAATTGAAGCTCTTTTCGGGTGAAAAGGCGCTGGGCTTGGCGTCTGGGGAGCCTTTGAGGTCAACATCACCGTCAAATTCTACCGGTGGCAGTGGAGCAAACTCGACAGAGGGCAGAAGAGAATCCCTCCCGGCATTCTCCCAGTCCACCATGCCAGAAGCTGGCTGTTTCTGTTTTCCCGGGTCGAGGTTCGGCTGGCTTGTCCTACGATTCTCGGGGCTGCTCCCTAAGCTGCTGTTGCTCGCCTTCTCAGCCAAAGTATGAGCGGTCTCGGCCACCTTTGGTCCGACCCGACCCTTAGTCGTGAATGCACCAGCGCCGGAAGCGCCGGCATTGCCGAGCTGGTGGTTACGGTCAAATTTCTTCAGCTGCAGACCAAGATCCATACTCGGCCCCCCGGAGCCGAAGAACTGATTCGATCTCAGATCCTCCGACTCCCTACGACGGTAGGACCGAGGGGCCGGGCTTGGCGAGCCTAGCGCCAGGTGGTTTGCCTCAGCATTCGCCATGTTGAAGGCCTGTCGGAGATTGATCGTTCCATCTTCGTCGCTGCCGCTGCGCTCTCTAGCTTCTTGTTCCTCGGCGAGCTTGAAGGCAGCCTTTAAGCCGATGGGCTGGCGAACATTCCTCGAGGGGCCGCTAGGCGACTGCATCTGCGGTGTCCGTCGAGGGTTGGTGGTGGATAAATTCGGTGCGGTTGTCTTGGGGCGCGGTATCCTCGTGTCGCGCGGCGATCCCAGGTCTCCCAGACTGGCAATAGGGGCACTATTTCGGTGATCTCTGGCGGCCGGGTGCAGCGCGGGGCTGTAGGGCGATTGCGACTGCCTGCTGCTGGCTTCTGAGAAGGTGGGCGACGCGCGGATGTCCCTTGCACCGGCGTAGTTCTCTTTGGACTCGATGCGGCCCGAGCCTGTCCTCTTGTGGCCCAGGATGGAGGTGGTGGGCTTGTTGCTCCCTCGACCGTTCGGTCTTGCGGCGGTAAGAACGTCGGATGCTCTGCGTTGGTCGTGGCTCATCATCGCGTTCTGTGGGAAGAGGGTGTGTCGATCGGCGGTCGAAAGTCAGGCGGGATGCTGCATGGTCGCGCGCGAGGACGGATACATAGCTCGACAGGCGCAAAGCGACTCATGCCACGGACAATAGACGACAGGCGCTCAAGGACAATCAGTACAATGTGTGTGGTCGCGTATGGCAGGTCTTGCGGGTTGCGTGAGGGAAAGCACAGTGAGAGGCGGGCGAACGACAACAATCGATTTCCCAGGGTCCGATGGTACAACACGGCCAATCGCGACTTGCAGCTGGCGTACTGTGTAGGTACCGTGGTTAGCGATTGTTGTTTCCGCCGTGTGGGTGGAGCCAGGCCGGGCCTGAGGTCAACCGCGTCTGGGTCGGAGCCCCGGCTGTCACCCGTCCGCTAAACTGGGCCTAGCGCCAATGCTGCTTTGGCGTTGGCTCGTTGGCGCCTCAACTACGCGTCCATCACACATCCACCGTGGAGATGGTTAAGATGATGACAAAGTTCGCTATCAAATATCCAAGATCCAAGAATATCGACATTTCAAGGGAATACTATATCCCCTTGCCCAAAGCCGCTACCGATTCGTGTTCTCCCGTGGCCTCAGAGAAAGTAGCACGCTGCTGTCCAAGCACTAAGAGCACCTATGCCAGTGCACATTCGCTCTGCGCAGAAGCTGCCCACGAAGTCCAGGCTTATCGCGCACACAAACTCGGGTTTCTTGTCGTTGCACACGCTCAAGCAGTCGATCATCTTCTACACAACTTTGTATCGCCTGACGTTGAGGATGGGAGCTACCCAACCCTGCCGAGAGCCGCGCAAGTTCGCAAGCACACGAGGCAGCGATGGGGAGACCTCGTCGTAGTCTGGATCGTAATATTGACCTACTCCATGTCGAACACAGCTCCTCTTTCGTCCACAAGCCAGCGCAGGAGCTCGTCATGCCGTATAGCAAGTTCGATGATCCTGGAGCCGAAGGAACTGACCACGAAGAATCTACACTCAAGTGTTCGTATTGAGTTGGTCATGTAATTCTAGCAAGGCATAATGCTCGAGATAATCCACATGGTGCTCGATCGTTAAGGACAAATTCTCGGTGAGATTACTCTACCACGCAGGCGGATGTCTCAAGAAAGTGCCCTGTTCTGTCTGCAGCTAATTTATACATAAATGGTGGCGAAGCCTCTGCTTCTCATGCACACCCAATGGCTATGTTGTCCTTGCGGAACATAGAGTACTTTCTCATCATCAAGACCGACCCTGCTCCCAGCCTCGATGTCGTGTGTAAAAGAGATAAGAAAGGGGGAAACTCCTTCTCCGAATAGCATCTGGTGGCCAGCTATATTATCAACCCTGCCTGGAACCCAAACTCCTGGAGATAATCTGGCGCAACAATTCCGTTCTTATCGCTGCATGGGGTCACCGGCACAGTGGCCCGTAGTACCTTATCAGAATCAGTCACGGAAGTCGAAAGTCGGATGGATAACAGCCCATGCGCTGCCTCGCGCCTAGCTCAGTGGCATCACAACTGGACCACCTCGTTCAGGCTACGGAGGTCTCCTTCATCGGCCTTTGTCACATTGCACACAGAAGCAATTCATTGTTATTTATTTTTAACGACAGAAGAATGAGCTTGTTTATCGCTTCCGACGTGCTTTGTGGTGGTGTTTCCTTGATCATTGATTGTATTTCAAACAGCGATTCCTCTAACAACCATATAACCTGATGTATGGCTCTGGAGGTTGATGTAAACGTTGACCGTCAACATCAATTCATCATATACTTCAATTACTTTTACCTGGCAGGATGTGTTGTAACGTCCACGTCACCTTGATTTGTGGCTGTGATGCTAGGAAAGACTATACAGTTCCCTGTGGAATGGTTGAAAGGGGGTTACCTTGCAAAGGGTTGTCCCAGATTACGCAGAGGATACGTGCCTGGTGCAGTCACAGCAGTTTATGTTTATATCGCGCCGATAGGCGGCTGACACGCAATGATCGCTTTCTCGAGGAAGAACAGACTGAGACTTTGGAGACAAGTCGCAGCCATGGCAGGAATTAGCGAGGTCTCGCGACGGAAGGCTGCACTTATACAAAAATTGTTCAGATTCATTGAGCATTCAGACTACTCATATATACTTTTAATAAGTCACCGCGGATGGAATAGAGTACAAGTTCACAGAAGTCAATGGTCTCTTCATTTTGAGGATTGATTAGTTCAAATAGCCGAGATAACATTGGGCGCATCACATAGGATCACTCCATAGTTGTAAGTCCCCGAGTCACGTCTCCCACTGCAGCCACAGCTGTCAGTGTGGTCTCACTGCTCAGCCTTCAGATCTGTGGCACCGCTTGACACCACATGTTTCTGTATAGCGCCTTCTTCCGACACAGATTGCCCCTCAATTGCGGGCTCCGGATCCTCGTCAAGATATTGCAGAATATACGGGGCGCCGGGCGGTGGAGAGACAAGGCAAATCAGGTAATAGAGAACCCCCGAGCCGCAAAAGCCTACAATCCACGTTACCTGGAAAGTCCTTGTCCAGCCAATACCATAATCCTTGCCATTCATTGCAGCAACGAACCCAGCTGTTACGATATGTCAGTGAGGTGATTCAACAGGGGCCCAAAGCATACTTACGGAACGAGGCCCAGATTGTGAGACTCCAACTCGCGAAAGCTCGCCAGTTCAAGCCAGCTGTGTACCAATATATGTTATCATCCTTTCCTTTGAAGAGATCAGGAATCTTCCATTTCAACTTGCGAACGACCCAACTATATCGTATGTTAGACTTTACTCATGACCAAATCCAGCAGCATATGAGACCTACAAATCGACAGCGTTGATTCCAGCGAGTGGGGCCACAAACATTCCAAACGAGTTCAAGACGCTGATGAATAGACCGGGCTGGTTGACAAATCTCCAGGGCTGGATGAGATACCCGACTAGACACATGATCAAAGACCCTCGTGTGACGTCGATATATTTCGGTGCCATGGAGGCCAGGTCCATTCCACAGGCCACTGAGTTCTGAACTAGGTTGATGGTGATTTGGCTGGCAAAGAAGCCCATGCCTGCGAAAAATGTTCCGGCTCTGGTTGTAGCACTGTAGTCTTGAGTTTGGAGATAGCTCAACAAGGAGATCGGGTTCCAGACTACCGAAGTCGTGCCCTTCAGTGAGCCTGGGTACATGTTCGCTATGGCACTCGTAACCGCAATTCCCAGCGTCGCGCATACGATTCCGGCGATCGGCCCGGTGATGAGTTGGTTAGCGACGACCGCGCTCCGCGTCTTCGTGTATCGGGTCCAGTCGGCTTGTCTGATGCAGGCACCTGTCCAGGACCCAGTCACAGCACTGATGGCTTGCAGGATCCGGAAAGACCGCTCACTGCTAATGGTCAGCATGACACTTCGGGAATAACCTCTCGAACGTCGGAGGTGCTTGCCTCGATGTAATCGTCTTGGAGGGCCCCAGGAACGACGCCCCGTTGTTGTGGGACATGGCCCAGATGAACAAAGACACCATAGTGATTGTCACGTAAGCTTGTGATACCCAAACAACACGTGAGAGTTTCGAAGGGTGTATAAACATCATTGACGTGAAGATCACAATGTAAATGATGAAGCCGATCAATTGCTTTGTGGTAATAGCAGACGATACTGTTGGCAACAGAAAATCAGCTCAGTAAGACGATTATCATTCGTGCATCGCCATGACCCTTACCAGGAATTGTATTTTCCAGGTTCTGAAAGCTAGGGAATATCGAAGAGAGGACAATATTCGCTGCCAGTCCTCCCCAATAGCTCTGGATGCCAAAGAAGATGAAGTTGACAAAACACTTGTTGCATGTCAGTGTTACACTCTGAAAGAGGCGATGTCGTGTCAACTAACCTTGACCATGCTGGATTGAAATTGAATTAGTATTTTCCAATCACTGAAAGTGCATGGCGCAACCACTTACATCACAAAATACGATCCGTACATCCCAAAAGTCGAGCGACTGATCATTGGGAATCCAAGATGGTATCTGATCTAGTCTGCTGTGAGCACTTCAATATATGGAATTAGCATGAGGGGTACTTACCCCGGGTTCACCGCTGACGTACGCAACAAACGCAGCTAGAACGACGCCCACAGCGATGGCACCAATGGTCGCACCGGCATCAAGGCCATTTGCGAGGTTGCTAGAACCAAGCGACCAAGTGGTCGTGTTGAAACCAACGGCAAGCCTGAAACACCGTCAGCCATATGCTCATCGTATCTGTAAGACATTTCACAACGGACCAGTATCCAGCGTACGCCTTCCAATCATAGGTAATCTCGTGCTTCGGTACAGGAAGGACATCCGCATTAGCCCATCTACTATTCTGGCCTTCGTCGCTGACCACCAAAGACCTGAAGGTCCTCGGGAGTCTCAGTTTGACGCCCATCGTTGGCCTATTGAAGTGACCGCTGAGAAGGTGATGGTGAGGAGGGTGAGCGGTCGTGGCAGGTGCGCAAGCTTGAGCATGCAGATGCAAGGCTGTGAAGAACGAAGTCGGGGTTGCCAGGGGTCCTAATAGATGCACATCGGCAGGCCTGCATGCGCCTCAGGATCAAACCTCCCGGATCTTTGTACCTTGCCCGTGACTAGATCACTAGACCAGCATTGGCTTCAACTGAGCACAAGCCAATAGGGCCAATAGGTAAGTTGCATTATTGACAGGGGGTGGAAGTATCCAGTCAACACAACTATCATAGCCCAAAACGGTACGGATCACAGTTACGGGATATAAGTTCCTGTGCGTCTGAGTCCATATTCTTGGGTTAGTTACTGCTACTGTAGTCCAATGCCACTCCGCTCAAGATAAGCAGTGTCCGGACTTGGTCTAGATGACGACACGCGATCGGCAACATCCATCGGCTAGTCGGGAGCATGGGGCATGGCGAGTGGGGATTCAGGAGCTCCGACCCGGCGGGAGGCGCTGCTTTCCCGGTCCCACCATTCCGGATGGAACTTGGCAAAGTTATGGCCTTTCTTCACAACGATATACCTTGAGTCGAGTGCAGACTGCTTGGCTAATGTATTCATGGTAGCAATCAACGAGAAGACCAATGCGCCGCCTCGGATCGATCAATGTACCGAGCATGTCTGGCCTGTCTTTATCCCAACTGATGCAATCACAGTAGTGGACACAGCCAATTTCCACGCCCGTTGCAGACGATACACACATACGCGATACAAAAGCGAAAGAAAGGGAATTACAATCAAAAACTATGTAGCTTGGTCTCTGTATAGGGTTTTAAAAGGCTCGGTAACCAGAGCTCCTGCCTGGAACTTCATTTGCATATCTCTGTTGCATTGTGTTCTCCTTGAGTTGCTCCTGGAATTGCCGAGTCATATCACAAACCTCTTTCAGATGATCAGCCGTCAGTCTTCCGTCGGGGCGGCCAGGTGGATAGCGGTGTGGCGCTTTCTCCGGATGATCCATCTCGTGTCTGGCAGCGGCCAACGCAGCATATACGACATTCCTGATTTGCCGGCCATTAAGCCCGTAATGATGTCCGTACGAGCTGACAAAATGGTCTATTTCCGCCCTGTTCTTGATCAAGTCGTCTCCTAGTCGGTCCAGAAAGTATTTGAAGATGGACCTCATTTGTACGTCGGTGAGATCCTCATACCGTATCGCAAGGTGGATACGAGATATCACCGCCACGTCGATAGATTTGATGCGATTTGTTGTCAGGATGATTATGCCTTGATAATACTCCAAGACGCGCAAAAGGACAGATACCAAAGCATTTCGTGACGCATCAGACGTCGCACCGCGAGTCTCAAGGAAGACATCGGCCTCATCTACGAGAAGTACGGCCTCCCATTTTGTAGCCAAACTGAACAACCTGTTCAAGCTTCGTTCTGCTTTTGAGGCATCGAGACCAATTTCAGCCACGCTAACGACGACCAAAGGCTTCCCGGTGGCTTCCGCAATGGTTTCTGCTGTGAGCTAGACGAGGGTGTAAGTCCTATATTTTCCATCGACTGCCTAACCACTTACAGTTTTGCCAACACCTGGCGGCCCTGTTCCCAAATTTGTCAGCAGGTGAAAACATTGGAAGTTTGAGCGCTCGTACCATGGAGCAACAAGACCAGCCCTTTGCCTTTCCCGGCGACTACGTCTTCAACCTGCTTGTCAGACGTCCCTTTCGTCTGACCCTGTTGATGTGACCGCACAAGTGCCTGTATGAGATTTTTGTATTTCATGTCTAGCTGCAGGTCGTTCTCGAACTTCTCTTTCTGTTCACCAAGAGACTTTTCTGTGTATTCCAAGCTGAATTGGCCCCATATCTTCTCCCGTGTGGCATAACCAAGCAAGCGGGGTGGTAATAGGAGAAAATCCTCGTTTGAGGAGTCCAGTGGCCCTTCCTGAGGAAGGCTTCTCAACAGCTTTGAAAAGTCAGAAGCCTCTTCAGAAGACTTTTGCTGCACGTCAATATATATGAAGCTTGAGTCGGCGAGTTCTCCCAGCGCATGCACCCCGCTCGCTATTATCTACGTTAAGATATAACTGCGTTGGGGTACTGGAACTCAGGTTATTGAAAAGTACTGACCGTGTTGGAGAAATGCCTGAGCATCGGCAATGATTTCTCCATTGATCTAATGGTGGTTAGCTCTGTTTAGTGACACTAGTTTTGTATGCTTGCCGGTATGTGCCTAGGAGACGTTTTCTCGTCCTTGCCTCCTTTGTATTCGTCCGAATCGTCTTCCTGCAGAACTTCATTAATGTGAACTACTATCGGACGAGTCCACGTGACATACGACTTCAATAGATTCTTCTTGACCCAGAATTTGGCGCCGATCTGCGTAAGCCAAGCCGTTGTAACGAAACATTTGCCCAGCTCCTGGTTTACAGAGAGCGGTCGCGTTGATGAAAGTTCGTGACTCCTTGAGTATTGTGACCTTCAAGTCATCAACTCCGTCATGAAGTCCGAGTGGATAAGAAGGTAATTCGGTAATTGGTTTTGTTCCACGGAAATTCTCAAATTTGAACTTTAAGTGTTTAAGGTCAGCGACTTCCCAATAAACCTGGTTTGCTATGGCGGATGGTCTGCCTCGAACTTTGGTAGGGTATTTAGAGCTTCTGACATAGCGCTTCTGCTCTGCTCTTTGAATATACCGATGGGGAAGGTACAGGGATTGTCTCTCAACTATACATACCCTGTATTGGACTTTAATCATCTTCCTGCCGTCCCAGTCCCAGCACCAAGCCCACATGACGAGGTATTTGTAGGACTTGCTCAGGCTAAAAGGAATTGGGGAGTCGTTTACCCTCAATATCTGTGGTCGCTTCATATACGGGCGAGCTACTATTAGCTCGCCTGGAGCAAAGATTGTCCATAACGTCTCAAACGTTACCACCTTGGATGATATGTAGGACTCCCGGAGTTTGAAGTAGTTCTGCAATTCTGGAGCCGTCTCCACACGCTCTAGGAGATTTGCGAGATCTTCATGTGCCTGGTCGCGGGGAGTTTCTTTGGCTACTTCTTGAAGTTTTTCCCACTTATGGATCTAACAGAATCATCAGCATGACCCGGACCTCGAAGTTCAGAAAACAACGTACAATAGCAGCAAATGGCGATGGTATGTACACTTTGTCTCCGTCGAAATTGACGCCAGGATATTTGCCAATGTGCGTTTTCAACAGCTGGATAAACTTTTCATCCTCAATTTCAATCTCACTATACGCGCCTTTCTCTCCCGTATCCGGGTTATATACACGACGAAACGTGTATGCGGTATTTTTGGTCTCGGGTGTGATGAAGGTCTTCGCGCCGACCAAGGTATCTTTGAATGCACCTGCCTTCTTATCCCACATTCGTAGAATATTGCGGTAGCGAGGCGAGTCATCCTAACATAAGTGGTCATTAGGAGGTTCGGCGAAGACATAGGAGACAATTTTCTGGATGCCATCCCACCTCTGAGTCAGTCGCAGCATCTTTGGAGGCAGATTGGTTGACGGCGGCTTCAAGTTGAGCGATCCGCTTTTCCAGAAGTTCAATGTAAATCTGCTGCAGCGCGTCGACCTTTGGTGGGTTCTCCTTAAGCATATATGTCAGCAATATCAAAATAAGGGAACGCGGCTTATGCCTACCATAGTCGCCATACTGGATCTCTGCCTCCTAACTTACAATGATAGGTGTTGGTAAATGTGTCAAGGGACTCAATCGAAGTCCATAGGTCAGCAGTAGAAACGAGACAAAGGGAATTCGATTTCGTCCGGGGGAGGGGTTGTCTGTTGGTTCGGACCGCGTCAAACATGACTTATCACTCAAGCATTGATGCCTATATGAGACAGATTAAGCCACTGAACCAAACCCATGCAAGATGTTGCATACAGCGGATGCAACATACATGATACTGTGCTTGTGACTTGCTTGTGATTCGGCCATACAAACAACCCATGGCCGAGCTGCACCTCGCCACTTTAGGTGGCAATGGGGGCTGAAAAGTAGGGGAGGCCTTCAACCCGTGCTTAAACCCCGCAAATTGGTCGCGTTTCCGAGTACCACGAGATGTGGAATTTGTTTTTATCATGGACGTGGTAAATTTTGGGACTTGCGTTATTAAGAATGCACTACGATGACTTTGGAGCATGCTCGTTGGTTTAAAGATGGAGGGTGAGTGGCTCACTGTGGCATCGCACCGACGTTAAACTCCGATGCTGATTGTTCTAGATACGGACTTAAGGACCCCGTGCTTCTCGTTTCGGAGCATACGCGTTTTACGAGCCAAGTAGGAAACGGATTACCACGAAATATTTCAGGCAGCTTGGTGGCTTCGACGAAAGAAGAGCTGCGGCAGCAGTATGAACATTTCGCGCCACAAGAAGTCTCAACTAGCAGTACCACGGCAATCAATGAATTCAAGAACGTATCCGATTCAATAAGCACGTATCAAAACCGGCGTCAGATTGGCATGCGCGCAGTCGGCGCCGGTCTTCAGAGAGGCATGAATGACTTGTCCGTCGTTATCGCCAAGTTCTCGAGTATCGTGGATGCCGTGGCCGGCGCCGGGGGGCCGTACGGCCAAGTTGGATATCAAACCTTATCAATACTGCTTATCGTGAGTAACGACAATCTCGCTAACATGGCACAACATGGCACAGTAGCACACCTTACTGACGTCATACTTCTAGGTGTTCGTGAACAAGAGCAAGAACGATGACCGTCTTCTGAGCCATATTCAGCAGATCGGCAAGGCCTTACCGGACCTAGAAACATGGAAAGCATTGTATCCTACGGAAATTATGAAAAGCTTGATCGCTAGTGTTTACGATGGAGTGATTGAGTTTTCAAGAGAGGCAGTGAAGTATCTGTGCAGCTTTCGCAGTACGCACACCGCACTTGGCTCGGTATTCGTGTAATGAATGTTAACTAACCTCGTTTCCAGGGAGACTATGGACAGCGATTAATCCTCTAGCTGACCCAGCCCATGATGGCATTGCAGCTGAGATATACAAAACCCTGGGCGAAGTTAACGCCGAGGCCGTGCTCGGCCTTCACAAAAGAGCTTCGAGCATACGACAAACAGCAGAGAGGTCAGAGAAACATATCTTAAAGCTGAAGGAAGAGCTAGAGATCTCATCCGGAAATATGCAGAAGGTTCTGGCACAGAATGAAGAACTGAAAGCCCAACTACTTGAGCAGAGCCAAGTTCTGGATCTCGCTCGAAAGCAGGAGGATTCCAGCAGGTATCACGCATTTGAAGATGTCTTAGAAGTAAGTCTAACGTGAAGCTGCTACGAAACGCCACTGACTCCACTGTGTTCAGCAACGTCTATCCCGTGCTGAATCCAACGTTGCGACTACTAAAAAAACCCTGAAAGCTATCTATCCGGACGTCGTCAAAGTGGCGAATTGGATACCGCATACGACATATATCCAGATGGCTCACAATACACTGTTCCATCTTCCTGAATACGCCGAATGGAGGGATAAAGACTCCTGCGCACTTCTCTACATCAACGGAAGTACCGATCTTGGAGGCCAAAAGCTGCGCAGCATGCACTCTTGGCTTTCTCCAGCAGCGATACATGCCGCCGAAGATTTGCGTGACCGCGGCGAAAAGGTGGCCTTCTTCTCATGCTGTCCAACCCTAGATCCAGCTAGGGTACCTCCTCGGGATATATTTGGATCACTCATTCTTCAGGTGTTGAGTTGGAATACGGAGGTATTGCGGGATAAAAATGCCGAATTCCGCCGCTTAGCTTCTCACAAGACGATCGAACTTGATCAAGTCCAAACCCTTTCCTTGCTGCTGGGCACAGCAATCTCTGAAGTTGCCAGTAAGGAGAACGTATACATCATTCTGGATAGACCTGACTGTTGCCAAATGACGGAGAACTCGATAGATTCTGGGGGGCTCGTGATGCCAGTCGAGACTGTAATGAACGCTCTGGTCAAACTTCTGCTGGAGGCTCAGAAGACCGGTCTCCGAGTCAAGATACTAGCTGTTGTCGAGACTTCCCAAGGCAAAGGAAATTGGCGTTACGATTTTCTTCCCGGCTCAGGCGATGTGACAGAGCTCGTGCTCGATCCTGGACATTGGAGCCAGAGAAAGCTGACTTCTTCCGAGTTGGCCAAGTCAAGGCCGCCAATCTGGAAGGTCGATAGCGCAGTTACGTTATAAATCAATACGCCTTGATAGTGATTGAACAAAACGGTTCACTCATTTACCTGCCATGTAATTCATGAATAATGGGCATTTTTACCAGGTTAAGTGGGTAGGAAAGAGAGTTCTCTCCAGTGCGACTTTGCAAGACAAAGCAAGAGAGAGTGCGAACGGCTACTTTCCGGGAGTGCATTTCAATGTATCAATGTAACAATGTATCACTGCCCTCTCAAGGCAAAATGTGTAGTTTGTCGTAAGTCATGTTGTGTCTAATACGTATATAATTTCTCGAGCGGCTCCCACATTAGATGGCCAAACCCCTCTAATGTAATACGTACTAGCTCATCCCGTCTCCATCTCGTATATGCGGTATAACCGGCACGTCACGATGCTTGTCAACTGTTCTGAGTCCTGTCCGTACCTGCCACGCGCGTAACCTCTCTGCTTGCTTTTCCTCCAATACCTGGAGTCTGTCCTCAGCATCCATGCGGCCACTGTACTGCCACCCAGGTCGAATCTCCTGCAATTTTTGAGCTTCTGGTAGCACGCTTCGACTTCTCCATGTCGGTACTGAGTACCGTGCTGGCTTCTCCGTAGGTCTGGTGGCTGTTACAAACGATGGCGCGCTATATTCTGTCCCTGCTAAAGCGGTATCTTGTACAATATCTTTGGCCCATCCAATATCAGACCATGTGTCGCGTGGAGGCAGCGAAAAATTTGAACCCCGTGAGATTTTCTGTCTCTGCTCATTCATTCCTGTTCTGGTATTTGCGTACCGTTGCTCTGGTGTTGAGTCAGCTTCCTTCGATGGCTCCGCTAACCCAAGAGACTTTGCAGAGCTTTCACGGGATTCTACGTAGCCGAAAGTCGTCGAAGGCTGAGCAGGACGGCGAGCAGGAGCTTTTCCAGATCCTGCTATCAACGGTCCATGGTTGGTGATATTTAGTAATTCTCGTCGATTTTGACCCTCATCTTGCTCGTTACCGCTCTGGTCTTCATAGCCCGAGTTGAGAGGTACGCCCCCGTCGTCAGTGTCGGTCTCAATCTCCAGCGACGGGGATATGCCACTGCTCATCATGTATCTTTGATTATTGTATATTGCCGAGCCCGGAACAGGCAGACTTAACTCAACTCCTGGAGCTCTTCCCTCATTTTGCTCTGCCTTCCCGACATCCATAGAGGTAGGGGATGTCCATTCAAAGAGTAACTGCTCAATAACCTCTTCGTTTGGCAACTTCTGGTCTCTCACTCTTGGGTCATGAGCCTTGTTGTCGAAATAAGAAGGGTATGGAGTGAAGTCTTTTGTCTTGCTGTAGGGGCCGGCAATACCACCCATTTCTGCTGTTTGATGACTACCACGAGGACTCTGAGATCGAGTGACGAGTGTTTGCGTGGGCATTTCCTGCAAATTATCAGGGTTGCGTCTCTCGTATGACCGGCGACGAACATGGGAATGCGGGCGTGCCTGGACTTGTAGGTCATACCCAGGTCGTCGATAATATGGTACTCTACTTTCCAAGGCTGCATCATCGAATCTGGCGATGTGTTTACCACCAACTGGTCTCGCTGCTCTCGAGTACTGCCTAGTTTGATTGAAAGTCCTCCCAGAACGCGGTGTCTCCTCGAAGGTCCTGTCACCTGTATGGGAAAATGAGATTGGCTCTGGTTTAAGCTGACTTACATGGAGTGACTTACCCGATGACACGGGATAGTGTTTTCTACTGCTTCGTTCGGTACTGCCGCCTCGGTGCCGGTACCTCCTATTCCTAGCAAGTGACGATCGTCCATCATAATCATCAATACCGCTCCCATCCTCGCCAATCATTGATGCATTGCCAAGCCCATATGCGCTAGGTTTCCAGAAGTGTTTCCTTGATCTCCTTCCTCGTTTCCTTTCGCCAAAAGGGCTTTCCTGACTGGAGTCAGAGGAACCGTCTCGTGGAGCCTTCTTTGCACATTTGCTTCTAGAGCTCCTCACCTGCCCTGATACAGTTTTGGTACCTTCATCATCCAGAACAGTTGTGCTTGCAGGGTCCTTGTGTCCTGGAAGTGCTCCTCTGCAGGGGGCTCCAGCAGCCGGCCGGGGGTTATGCGGGCCGATAAATGGGCCTTGTTGCGAAGGTGCTGCCCGTTGTGCTATAGAAGCTGTCTGATAGTTGGTGTGGCACGGTGGAGGGCCGTCTATCTGCGGAACTATCTGGTGTTCCAATTTGTAAAGTGCGGCGACATTCATGTCAACGCGGGGAGCCCGGCTCAGATATACCAGCATGGCAATAACCTGCTTGGTACGCCTCCCTCTCCTGTCCTTAACAATCTCAATTTGGCGCAAGCTCCAATCATAATTAGGATTAGTCTCTCGACAGTTGGTAGTGCTGAGGAGATGGATAATTTGGGCTCGCTGATCTGGCTCAAGTGCTGCCTTTTTCTCTAGCACATCATCCGTCTGGCTGTCCAAAATTTGAATTCGCTTCTCTAGTTCCTCTTTGTTGAAGTACTCTTGAGAAACCATGCAACGTGTCCAATTTGTTGCCGAACTTTTCAAATACTGTTGACTGATATATGGATGAACTGTCCATACTTTCAGACTTGTAAACCGTTTCCGATACTCATCCTCAAGTAGCAGCATATGAGATACATCTTGAACTCTGTTTTCAATGTCTTGTACTGGCCTTGCCGCTTGAACAAATTGTGGTGGGAGCGTTACAGGATATGTTCCGTAATTTGGCGGGCATGGTTCAGGAGGTGGAGGCGGACCTGGCGGACCACGTTGGGTAGCACCAGAACCAAAGCCCGAGAATTCATCTTCCATATAGGGGTATACTGCTGGACCCCGAGGCCAGGGGTTTTCAGACAAAATCTCCCTGTCAATCCGGGCCCGATCTTCACTTCCAGGGAATTTGACATCGTCAGCGAGATAGTGCAATGAATCCGAGCTTCTTCTGGGTGTATCACCGATTTCGTGCTCAAAAAGGGCAATTCTTGCTGCTTTTTGCTTTCCCCAGAACTTCCAAGGTATTTCCTTTATGGTCTTCAGGCGAACAAGGTCGGGCTTCAGGGGTGATGATCCAGAGTCCAAAAACTCTTCGAGAATATTTCTGTCGTCGACGCTGAGAAATGCAAGTTTTCTGGTGAGACCTTTCTTCGATGGCCACCAATTCAGGCTCTTGAGAATCTTGTCTCTAATTCCCAACTCTACTGGCTGTGGCAGCACATGTGCCGACTCGCTATCAATCAGACATGCTGAAACTAGCCTTCTGGGCAAGCTGAGTTCATCCGATGCGCTTTTCGTGTTAAGCAAAGTATTGCTATTCACACTTGAAGTTGTGAAATCTGATGAGGTATAAGAACTGGGAGACTGCTTTCTTGGAGCACTTTGACGTTCCCTCTGAGTTGACTCTATGTTTCTTAAAGACGTTCGTTCATTTTCATCAATAAGAGTAGCGGGCTGGTCCGTGGGAGAGCAGTTAGTATTTTCAGGTGACTCTTGGTCTCTGCTTTTAGTTAACCTCGTTTTGATATTGGAGTTGTGCTGCTCGGGACGTTCTGATGTCTAACCCCGTCCTGTCATTATGCGAACGGTAGTAAGGGGCACGCGATAACTAACCTTCGAGCGCGCCGGCTCCAACATTGAGTCTATTTCATCAATATCTTTATGCATTTTCGTGTGATATGTATCTCGGCCCTGACTGATCCCGTGTATTATCGTGGTCTGTGGTGCTTTTGCGTGTGATCGACTCCAAGCCTCTATGCCTTCGACTTTGAAAGTAGATTCTGTCGGTGTACAGTTAGGCATACAACTAATGTCTCCCCTGTTTGCTCTTTTGCCGGATTTATTAGTTTCAGTAACCTGATCTGTGTGTTCTTTGTCAGTCGAAACCACATCGACAAAACGGACACGTTCTGAAGACCCCTGTGCCTTCTCCAGAGGACTAGTCCTGGAAGAGATGCCAGCTGTCCCTTTGGTCTGATCTATTAAATGACTACTATTGTTGCCAATATGATTGTCTTTTGAAACGTTATATACTAAATCTCGAGCATCGGGCTTCTCGACTTGATCGTGTGTCATCTCTGGAGTAAATGGCGATGGCACTAGTGGTCTTTCCTCCACCACCACTTTAATGTCGTGATCACACTGTTGGCCATCGGTGGTGGGCCTATTTTTACCTCGCTGTGATCTTTGTATCCTTTCTGTGAGAGGATCTGTGGTATGATTTTTACTCGTTGAATGGAACCCAATTGTGTCAGATGCAATTGCACGGAGTTCCTCGGGGGTAGTAAGTTTCGAGATGATCGTATATGTGCGCATCATGACCCAGAAATCCTCAATGTTACGGAGCCTATGTGACAAGGGGTTAGCACTTATCGAAAGGACTGAGAATTGTGAAACCTACGGCTTCGACCGTTGCTCTGCAAGTGTGATCACCTGGAACATTAATACTAGATTGACCTGGAAGCGTTGAAGCTGTTGGCTGTATGCGTCAAGTTTTGGTATAATGTACGGCCATCTAAGCCGCTTGGGGACTCTCAGCGTGATTCCTTTCAGTCTCAGTTCGATTTCTATTGGGATTGTGGAATTGTTCGCTGAAACTTGTTTGTTGTAATTGGCGAGCCGATCCATCAATTCTTTGTCTGTGGTCTTGGACGTATCGATGATTGCAGCTTCAATCCGCCAGAATACGATCAAGCACTTGTCGGCAGTTCGTTTGACGCTGAGCAACCACTTTGTTGAGTAAGTGAAAGTTTTTTTATAATGCTGGTGGGCGCGGATCTCGGTATTCAGGAAGTGGTTGACCTCTCCTAACGCCTCTACGGTTGACTCAAGAACGTCTAAAACCGCCTGGAGGCTCTCGGGGGCAGAACCGACCTGGTTACAGAAGTCGAAGAGTACCTTGGACAGCTGAATTCCGAAACTGGCGATTCCTACAATCGAGCCTGCAGCTCCTAAAGCGCTCACCGGATCCATATGCGTCTCAAGGCGATGGATCCAAACAATCTACCACCATGCCAACGTTGAACCCACACACTTGAGGCTTTTCAGGCTACATAGCAGCACAAGAATTCATAGAAATCTGGAGCGGGGTCGGCTTACGAACCGTAGGCTTTCATGGGGCTAGAATCCCCAACGCCACAAAACTTCATGTGCATTTAAGCAGGCTGCAAGGCTGAACTCATGTGTAACCTAAGCTTGAGTGCTACCGGAACATCCTGCTCACAATGTAGCGGAGTACAGGAAAGCAGGCTGAGCTGCAAAGGGTTTGATTGAGGATTGTATACTTTATAATCCGTAAGCGCCCTTAGTATGGAAGGGTGGTATAAAAAGGGGAGCGCAGAATCTGGCAAAAGCAATTGCAAGGTCGTGCCCGGGTTCGAACCGGGGACTCAGGAACTCTGAATACTCAGTAATCAAAATCCCACGTGCTAACCGCTACACTACACAACCGTGAGGAGACATCGTGATTCACCACTATGGATGTGATTGGTCAGCAAGAATTTTGTCTAATGCCCTCTATGGAGCTAACCTTTACTTGTGGAGTTGTGGTGGAGATATAGGCATCATCTTTGCCCTTCATTGACTAGTGACTCATAGATCCGGCGCATGTTCGCCCAAGGATGCCAAAAACAGACCCATCAACTCTATAACGCCCAAGTATATTCCCATACGCCGTAAGGGGTATCAAATCCCACCCAACCCGTTGACCAGTCATCTGCCCCTGACCTTTCGAATGACCACCTTGCTACCCTCCAACTCCCAGCCAACCCTTTCATTGCTGATGAGGTCCATCCAGTTGGAGTCGGCACATTGCTCTAGAAACTCAAGGTCCACGCTTAGGTAAGACCGCCCAAAGCACTTTAGCGCATGTCTTCGCATGGGTTCCTCGGCATACTCCAGCAACTTTGCCTTGTGCCCGTCCACACCCAAGCGCAGCCGCTTTAGAAGAACATAGTTGTCATGTGCCAGCGCATCGAGCACCCCATCAATCTTGGCATCCCTGAGCTTGTAGCGGTGGCGCACGGCATAGGCATCGGCTAGATCGTTGCGGCGGCAAGCGGTGTCAAGGACCAGGTAGCCAACAACCTCGCTCATCTCGACGCTGGTCATCGGTTGTCGAGGGTGTATCCGGCGCAGCAAGTGTAAGATGGATGGATGGTAGGTCTCCGGGTGCTTTACGAGCACAGCCAGGCGGATGCAGAAGAGGTAGGCTTGAATGGCGAAGTCGTCGGTGCGTTTAGAGGCGACGATACCTTCGCGGAGCTTTCTAAGCGCTGAAAGGACATCAGACAGCCCCTTACTATTGGTCGGTGTTGCGGGAGATGTCGTGGGCACACCAGCAGGTGCGCTGGCTGCGTGTATAGGGTGTGGTCGGGCACCAGGGTGCTGCGATGCGGTGATGGCATGTGACTGCGGTGCTGTGCTGTTATTCGGAGAGGAGCCCTGCTGAGATCCTACCTCGAGGGAGGCAAAGCGCCGCAGTAGCTCGTCGCGCTCTCCAGCATCGGAGCAGAAGGTCATGTAGCGCTCAACGATCTTGGTATAATACCGTTCCTGAGTTTTGTGATCAAGGAGTCTGTTGTCACCTTTCGAGGGTAGACCAAAGACTTCGAGGGGGTCAAGCTCGACGGGCTTCAGACGGCTCCAAGGCGCCGAGGGCGCCTTGTTTCCGCGAGAGCCTCCCCTTCCACCTCCACGTCCGCGCATTGCTACGACATGTCAGGGGGAAATGTATGGTGAGGATTGGAAAGAGCGCGGGCCTGAAGTCCAGCAGGCAGTGTTGTTGTTGTCAGGTCGTCGGTGGCATGGTGGGGTTGAAGCTCAACATTCAACCTTACGCACTGTTGCGCTATCTTATCGCTGCCAGTACCCACGGACCCCACCAGAGCACTGTCCTGTACTCACTCTACTTGATCTCTGTAAAGCTATGGCGTCTTATCACCGTGCTCTCACTGTAGATGGGTTGCTTTTAATTACAATGGGTCTGATGAAAGTATGGCTTTAAAACTCGATGGCATCTCACCTGAGATATGAGCCATGCAAGTATCTGCGAGCCCTCTGCAATCCGTTGTCGCATGTAGTGCTCTACACGCATCTAGGTAGATCCCTGGAACAACCAGTCCCCCACGGTCCAGGGATCTGGACTATCTGGCTTAGACGTCTTCAGTATCGGCCAAGAGGGATGAAAAGTTGGGGTCTGGTGTCTATAGACATCCCCCGACTATCCGCGGACCAAGCGTCGATGTCATTGCAATTGTCGAACAGGGCTCCGAGGCAACGAACTAGCAGCACTGGTCGGAAACCGTGTACCGTGGGGTACCTCGGCACCACCCTTGAATAGTCTGGGGTAGAGCTCCAACTCCCCCGCAGAACGCGGTGATAAAGCAGCAGTATTGTCGAGGAGGCGAAAGAAGATGACTGAGGGGAGAGCCGAAACTTCAACCGAAGAAGACTTTAGCTAGCAGACCCTGTTCGCCTTGCTTAATTGTTCGTTCTTTTCTCGTGTAAGTTTTGTTATCGAATAAGACACGAAAATCGGCTCGTCCAAGATGGCAGACCGAGTCAAGCAGATAGCAGCCCAGCTCAACTACCCGAAGGGCATGCTCGCCGGTCAGACGGCCATCATTACGGGCAGCGGGCAGGGTATCGGCGCTGAGGCTGCGCGGCTGTTCGCCAATGAAGGTGCCAAGGTCATTGTCTCGGACATCGATGGGAGTAAGTTCAACTGTTCTTTATGAAGTCCAGTCCCGCGTGACCAGCCGACTTACACGTACTCTACTCCGCCGACAGAAAAGGCCCAGTCCGTAGCCGACAGCATCGTGGCATCCGGCGGGTCGGCTATCGCCGTCGCGGGTGACATGCTCGATGACGCCTACCTCAAGACGCTGGTCAAAAAGGCGGCCGACTTTGGCGGCGGCAAGATCCACATCATCGTCAACAACGCCGGCTACACGTGGGACGGCGTGATCCACAAGATGACGGACAAGCAGTGGGACGCGATCCTGGCGCTGCACGGGACGGCGCCGTTCAAGCTGATCCGCGAGGCGTCGCCGTACTTCCGCGTCAAGGACGGCGAGCCGCGCTCCATCCTCAACATCAGCTCCACCAGCGGCATCCACGGCAACGCCGGCCAGGCCAACTACAGCCTGGCCAAGGCCGGCGTCGCCGGGCTGACCAAGACCATCGCCAAGGAGTGGGGGCCGAACTTTGGGGTGCGGGCCAACACGATCGCCTTTGGTCACATCCAGACGCGGCTCACGCAGGCCAAGGAGAAGGGCGCCTTCATCACGGGTCCGGGCGGGGAGAAGATTGCCCTGGGGATCCCCGAGGCGCAGACCAAGGCCGCCGGCCCGTTGATGCACGCCGACATTCCGCTGCGAAGGGCCGGAACCCCTTCGGAGGCGGCCAGTGCGATGCTGGCAGTGGTCAGCCCCTTGTTCTCCTACGTGTCGGGGCAGACAATCATGGTCACGGGCGGCAGAAACATGTAAAGTAGGGGAAATAGGATGCTCGGTGTGGTGTCGCGCCAACCAGAAAAGCAAGCCGTCTTTTGTGGGTTCTCTGACATGGAGTGAATCGTTGGTTGATTGCGGCCTTGCGGCCTGTATTATTAAAGTCCTTAATGGTAAAAACGCAAGCCGTCCCAACGCCTGACAGTTCTTGTGTTCCTGTGATGCACCTGGGTACCGTTCAGCTCTTTGGCTGCAGTAGATTCTTCCATATCACCCTCTTTCTCCGGTCGCCTTAGACCTTCAGCCACAAGTTTAAGACTCCCTTTGCGTACTCAACGATCTCGTCTCCACCGAGCTTGCTCTCACCATACACACGATCCACGAAGGAGATTGGCACCTCGGCCACGGTGCAGCCCATGGCCTTGGCGCGGACCATCATCTCCATCTGGAACGTGTAGCCCTTGCTCTCTGTGCTCTCGATGACCTTCTGCAGCACGGTCCTCTTGTATAATCTGAAGCTGCCGGTAAGGTCGCTGACGCCGGGACGAAGAACGGTATCGGCGAACAGGTTGGCTCCACGGCTGACGAACTTGCGCTTGAGATCCCAGCCGTACACCCCGCCGTCGCCAGCGTAGCGGGTGCCGGTGACGATGTCGTAGTTGCCCTTCTTTTGTAGCTCGATCATGCGGGGGATGAACTTGGGGTGGTGGCTGAAGTCGGCGTCCATGATGATAACGAAGTTACCGGTGACAAACTGCAGGCCGTGCACGTAAGCAGTGCCCAGACCGAGCTTGCCCGTTCGGGTCTTCAGGACGACGTGTGGCGAGTACGCTTTCACGAGCTGGTTGGCAACGACCTGGGTACCGTCGGGGGAGCCATCATCGACGATTATGAGCTCCCAGTCAAGTTTGCTAGAGCAGGAGTCAGCCTGATTGATTCGGAGCAATTACAAAGCGTCAAATCGGGCTTGGGATATCGGAGAAGCACGTACCTCTCAGTAAAGGTGCGGTTCAGCAACCAGGTGATGATCGGCAGGTTCTTGCGCTCGTTGAAGGTCGGCAGGATGACCGAGTACTTGTCTCCCTTGGTGGGCGCCATTGTATCGAGGATTAGGGAAAGGGAAGGCTCGCAAGGATGGAGTCGCAAACGGGTTTTTTGAGAATGGAAAAAGCCGCTGCTGGAATTGGCGCGCAGTCGCAAAGGAGTGGATGAAGTTGGTGGTAGGAGATGGGCTCGTCGCGTAGCTCGAGATTCTGGACACGGTTGACGAGGAACCCGCTGGCGGCTGGCCTAAGTTAGATGCAGCAAGGATTCACAGTGGCTCGTGGCCCCAAAGCTCGGGCCAGGACCTTAATTGGCGGGTGACTAAGCTTCCCCTGGACCCCTTATCCAACGCCCTAGCGTCTATATCACTTCGCCATAGATTAAGGCCCATCCCATGTTCTCCGGCGGCGACTAAGTGCATGTGAGGTTTTGAAAATTAGCAGAAGGTGGATTTTAGAACAGAAGCCCCCTGGTCTCGATCGGCTCTCGATCCTTTTGGGCCCTGTTTGGCTACAGCAACTCAATGCTCAATCTTGAGGCGAGGAGGTGTTGGGGTGCCGCATGCTTCCCGAACCTGCCTTAGAGGCTTTATCAAGGAAAAAGAAGCCAAAGAACATAACAGAGTGTAGCCATCGAAGAACCCCTAAGTACTTCGATAAGTGCGGGAAAATCGTATAGGTTTCTCAGCATTGGGGCGCAGTTCGAAGGTTCGAATTGCACCATGTCGTTACAACCCCAACCTGAGTAAGTGTCAGTCGCTGGGACTGAGGTGGTTCTCGTGGATTCACAAGCAAACTAATCACTCATATGAATGGATAGAAATGGAGCTGGCAGAACCAAGCCAAGATAACAATGTGCGCGCCAGTAGATGGGGGCACCAATCTTCTATGTGCAAACAGCCACTTATTGACAGAAGAAAACGCGGAGATACATCGTTCCTTGTATGCTCGCGTTGCTCCGCTCGAGCCTGATCAAAACAGCAACGTTGATGCTTGTGTACGAGCCCACGGCACTAAATATATGCCATCCTATCACCTACCTGGAGGATGACGAGGTTACGTTCCAGGGCATGCCAAACTTGGTTGTTGCAACGCGAAAGCCAGGCTTTCGGAAGGCGCAACGTACCTTCGAGTTGGCTCGAGAGCGGCAATTTCGCCGGTCAGCAGCAGCGTTCGGGGTTTATCGGCACGTGTCACGGATTAGGAGCTCTTAAAGTGCAGACGCTGAGTTTACTGTGGTTGGTCTGAGGAATAATGAGTGGTGGTAATAATATATGCAGTGGACCTGCCCCGTGCACTAAGGTATCTTCTCTGTACTTGAAACCGTGACGGAGATACTGAGTAACGATTTATGGTTTTCAGAATAAATATAGGGATTGTTTACTTATTAAAGTACAGATCCGTCTCTTTTAATTTTATAGTGCGACTTCTATTTATAGTGTGTGGGCACAGACCACCCTTACACACCTCGACCTGTCATGTGAGTCGCAGGAACCCCGCCAGTCAGCCCAATGCGCAGTACAGCCTGACGAGGTAGCCTCAAGCAAGATGTCCGAATCTTCCTCCTGGGTCTCATATTCAGCTTCAAAGGGCTGTACCCAGGCACGTTGAAAGGTCCCCGAGAACGTTCATCGTTAAGTAGCCAGCCACCTACCAGAGGTAGCACCATGTCATTCGGGTGGTCTGCTGGAGATATTGTGACCGCGATCAAGTCGGTACGTGAGGTCTATCAGGCGCTTGATAGCCTCGATGGCGCCCCCAAAGATTTCCAAGCTACCTATTATTTCCTCCGAGACCTCTCTCATACACTCCTTTCTTTACAGAACCTGGACAGCGTCCTGGGCAATCAGCCAGAACCAGAGTACTTCAAAGACATCAGAGACCAAGTCAACTTCATTAGAGGTCCTGTCGAAGAATTTCGGCTTGCGATATCCAAGTACAAGACCAGCCTTGGCTTCCAAGCCAAACATGGCCATCACCGAAGCATTATACCAAAACTCAGATGGCACTTTTCGATGTCGAAAGATGTGATGAAATTGAAACAGAGCATTGGCGATCGTTTGCCAGTCGTCAGCATGCTTCTACAACGTTTCACACTGTGAGAACGCATGCGCTGGCATAGATATATCTGTAGTATAATTGAGCTGATTTTATATTTTAAAGGGATACGGTTACAGCACTGCAGAGAACCCTCCCTGATACCTGGAGGAGGACTTTCGAGGACCCTGTTCGCCCGGAGCTTGTCAGTCTATTGCGCGAAGAAATCTCTGGCACGGCTGGCCTGTTCGACCTAGACAGGGAGAAATGGTCAGTACCGCTGCAGGACCTTAATGATCAAGTCAAAGGGGTGAAGAAGATTGCCGATGAGCTCAAGACAACTCAACTGGAGCTCAAGTCGGTTTTGGGGACCGGCGCTATTGATAACAGTCCAGTTTCTAGGAATGGGATTGATAGCACTGGAAATGAATGTCTTTTCCAAGCGAACGGCATTGCCAGGGCGCAGCACGACACAGAGACTTTGAGAGAAGTGTAGAGTTCCATCAAAAACCAAGGAAGAAAACCTGAGAGGCTGACTGGGTATTTATAGATACTATGCTGTTTGCCTCTACATCGGCCAGTGTCTAAGGAACTTCTTGTGAGTATATCCCATACCTAACGATTATTGAGTTAACGTAGTTTGTTAGCATCTTCCTGGCGCGGAGTATTCAACCGTCCAAGTGCCTGTCACCCGTTCTAATCGCCAAGTATAACATCACTTTTCTCGATGCCATGGGAAGTCCCCCAAAAGTATTGCCATACGAGTATTTCCAAAATTACAAGGTATTCAAAAAAGAAACGATTCTTCTACTTGTCCTGGTTTTAACATGGCAAAAATTTGTAGTTACTCCACACATTCATACGAGAGCAATTTCGGGGCATACCAATTGTCGACAGAGGCAGATACCTCATATCCAGCGTGGCGAATAACCGCTTTTTGGATCAGGGCAACTGGCGCCGCTACATTGCTCCTGGAAGTAAAATTGCAATGTCTGCACTGGTACGCGACCGTGCGGAGAAAAGTTTTCCGACAGAGACAGGCCGCGAGCATTGTCCTGAACCGGCGTGCCCTGGATTTCTGCCAAAGGTCACGTATGGCGCTTGGGTCACATGGTACGGCTGCTATTGGAATCCTCATACAGTTACTGACTTGACGGATAGCACTCTATGCGGAAAGCAGGTCTATGGCACCCAAATAGACTTTGAAGATGCCAAATATTCCCAGGCAGCATGGCGCCGGTCTATCGACGATATTGATCAAATAGTTGATCGTCGGCGCGGGGAAAGGAAAAGCTATGAGCGTCAACAAAAATCCCAGACAGACAGTAGTGATGCTGCAGATGAGTTCTCAGATGATATTGCAGATTCTGACGAAGAAGACACTTCGATTTTCACCAGATTGGTGCGAGAGACTCGCATTGACTCGTCATCCTCATTCTATTCACCTTTTGACATTGCTTACGTTAGAGACAAGTTTCCAAGTGCTTCCCAGAAGATCCATGAAAAATTGGGTAGGGAAAATACGTTGAGGCGTGGGCGAATGAAGAAATGGTTCGCGATACACCAGAATGCTTCCATGGCCTACAGACGTATGCAAGGCAAAGAGAATGACCAAGAGCGCTCAAATATTCCGAAGGTTGGGTCACCAGTCAGGACAGAAAAGAGCGATAAAGGAAATGCCACTTCCTATGCCACAGAAATCTTCAGAACTCGAGTGCCTCCTTTGAGCGCGAAGTATTATGGTGGCACGCCATTTGAGTGCCAAATTTGTTTCCAAGTGATCACAGTAAAATCCAGAGTTCATTGGAAGTAAGTCATCAGAGCCAAGAGTAGGTCCCCTGTAGTAGATCTCCTCTAACGAGTTGATACAGAAAGCACGTGTTTCAAGACCTTCGGCCATACGTGTGCCTCGTACCCAATTGTATCAACGGCCAAACATTCGCGTCTCGCTCTGACTTGAAGGGCCACTACAATCAGTCTCACGAGTACGCCCAAGACGGCGAATGTCCTCTTTGCCACGAGCAATACCATACGACGAAAATGGCGCATATGGCGCATATGGCTGTGCATATGGAGCATATTGCCTTATTCACGCTCCCTTCCGGCTTTCTTGGAACCTATGAAGATGACAATGGTATTTATGATGATGATTCCTAACGAAACACAAAACATTTCGGTGAAAGGCGATAGACGTGTTCGAATAACAGTTTAAGTGTGTGATAGGGGTGGCTAAACTCGGGAAAGTGACCTCTGAATGACAGTTCAGTCCGTTTTCATCAATTCTGATATGTATCCCTGTGTCATGGCACCACAAGCGAATCAAGGCTATGTTATAGATACTAATAGATTGCGAAATTCAAAGGTAGGGTGTAAAGGAGAGCTCTCCTTACAGTCGTCAGGTATGCAGTTTGGATTCTACTCAGACTGTTCTGCTCCATATGTCACGCCACTGTTGCCCCTAAATACTCCACATCGACCCTAGCCTGCTCTTGCTCTGTACACGGACGTATAGCTTTAGCATCGCCATTAGCCTCGTAGACGTTCGCATCGTTGTATTGACCGTCGTGCTTGATTCTAAAAATTGAACTTAATGATTGTTAGTATCAATGTCTCGCATGCATGCACGGTCCTCCCTTGTAAGCAGGCAATACCCTGCCAGTCACGGGCTAAATGTTCAGAAGCATCCAGAATCGCTCCGTTCAACCCCGTTATAGCGCACAGACCATATCATGTGAAGGACAGTAGTTGCTTCCGAGAGCCCCAATCATGTACTCTTGTGATACGGATCACATCATTGCCCGGATAGGACCTCGATTGTTTACAGCCATTTGAGCTGCTTCCATAAGATGTTCACTCCGCTGGCTAGCCCTGTTAGCCCAGTGAACAAGATCAGAATACCATATCCGCTCCCGTAGCCCGCAATAGCTTGTCCTTGCCACGGCATACCCCGAATAAGCGCATCACTCAAGGGCCCAGAGACAATGTTACCAACCCCCCGTCCAATGCAGAGATGACCTTGCACCATCACTGGATCTGCGTAGCCGTAGCCATCTTTCTCGCCGTTTTGAGAGATCTCTTTCATGACTCCCGGCCAAGTTGAAGCCCAAGACCCTGCAAATAGCCCGTACATGATGCAAAATACGTATAATGCAGGCAGAGACGTTGAGAACCCCCAAATTAGTAGGGCTGAGACAGCCGCTCCCACGGCCGAAATAGTCATACAGGAGGTTACATGGAGCCTGTCTGATAGTGATCCCATGATGACGAGCCCGACGGTAACGGCTATGTTAAATAGCATAAGCGTCAATGTTGACAAGAATGTCGAACTTTCTAAGACCGCATGAGCATACGTGGGCAAGTAGATTCCTGGGAGGAAGTAGCCAGTCGCCTGGATGAAATTGACTGCTTGATGCAACATGAACCGTTTGGACGTGACGAATCGCATGTCGAATGGCTTTTTGTGGATATTGGCCGAGTACGGCAATCTCGGCTTGATAAAGAAGGCCAAGGGAGCCGAACTGGTGAAGAGGATACCAGCCCAAATCCTCATAGCCGTCTGGAATCCGAATCTCGCGAGAAGAGCCTGGAGGACCAAAGGGAGAGCAACACCGCCGACTCCTGCAGCGCTCCACACGATGCCGTATGCCAGGCCTTTGCGTTGAGCGAACCACTCGTCGATGTACAACGTGCAAGGACAATAAGCAATACATCCACCAAGGCCGAAGAGGACTCCCTGTGCTCCAATGAGTTGGGGCACGCTAGTGCAAAGGGAGCTTAATGCCATGGACAAGGAAGCGGCGAAGAGTCCCGATAGTGTAGACCATCGGGCTGCGCGAGGGTACAGGCGACACAGGGTAAGAATAAAAGGCGTTCCAAGATACATTATACCCTAATGACCCCGTCAGGCTGCTGGATTTCCAAGACGAGGTTCTAGGGTGCCCTTACTGATGTGGTAGTTCCGATCACGGCAATGTTGCCTGACCCCGCAAACGGCTCATGGCTACTGTAATATTCCTGGAAAATACCAAACGAAAACCCGAAACCTGGTCACTCTCACTTCAGCTCGGAAGATTGGCTATGGGTATGTTTGGCATATGCTAACCGAATGTGAATGCCTCAACAACCCAACAAGCAGCGAGAAAAAGCCATGCCTGTTTTCCTGTATCGACAAGTGGCAAGGAGAACTCAGGGCGTGGTGCGTCTTGTCGTTGGTCAGCGTCCATCAACGTGCCTGTATTCAGATCACGCAGTTCACTCGATTCGGCCATGGTATGAGAAACGCTGAATGTCACCTATACGAAACAATCAGGTTGGAAGGCGAGACTCGGCTAAAGCATAACTATGTCAGGCTGCTTCGAGCGTTTATATATTGCTGTCAGCACTAACACTAATTGGGATGGTTGGTGGAACGGCGCCTGCAGATAGGTAGGCATACGTACCCGCCATCTACCTGGAGTTTACGATTCGAGCTTTGGAGGTAGCCGCGCCTCCGCTAGCGTGCCCATTGCGGCTTGGAGCCTACTGTTGTATCTCCACGACCCAGACTCTAGTGGCGGCCAGAATTAACTTTGAACTTGTCAACTCCTAACGAGCACCGGGAGTCGTTCCTTGACAGTGCCGCTCGGATAGTCTACTTTATGTACCAGAATCAAAAGGGTTTTCCGCCATGAAGTCCTCAAATGAGGGATGTCCAGTGTTGTTGGTGAAAAAGTTCGGCGGATGGGGAAGGTGGTTCGAATAAGAGCGTGACTATGTATGTCTATTCCAATGTGCCATCCCAAGTCCACTGGTCAAACAACGTAAGCGTAAATTGTCTGATATGTTCATTCATTCATAATCTGGGTGATATACACACGTAATTGTTCGACGCCAGGTCTTCTCGCATCCATTGGGTGCTTTGGCGCGTATGTGCTTTCATGAATGGCAAGCATACCTATCCCGGCCCTCTACAGCCACTCATCTTTTTTTTTATCCCCGTGGGGCGGGCTGAAGCCTCCTTACAGTCTATACTATGCAATTCCAGAATGAAAACTGTAAATGAGCCACATTACCGAACCGAAGGAAGACCATAATTTCGGACACAGCCCAAAGACTACTTGCGAAATTGGACCGTTTCTCTCACCGTCAACGCTCTTCAGGCTTGATTTATCTACAGACTATATTCGCGAACACTATCGCCTTGATGATCCTGTGGAACTACTTGATGGGCAGAAGAGTGGCTACTAGCTAGCCTTCCAGGGTGGGAGCCTCCTTGAGGAAAATACTGCAATATACTGTCTTAGTTCAGAATGATGTTAAGCACTAGGAAAAATCATCTGGCCACAGGATATTGCGCAGTTTGCCCTGTACCTGCCAGTTAGAACCGAGGTCACGCTTGCAACACTTCCATCCATTGTGAATCTGGCGGGATGTTGAACGGAAGTGTAGTGATATGAATGTGATTCACCTTGCCAATCAACATTAGTGAACTTCTTTATCCTAACCCCAAAGTTTGATGGGTAGTCGGCATTGGTGAAAGATGTCGCATTGCTCAAATTTGGTGCAGCACAACCTCGCTACGCCAAGTCTGACCGTGGGAAGCGCACATACTGTTAGAACTTAAGCAATCGAACGGGTCTTGAGGTCCATTTACCAAGAGGAAGGTGCTTCCGCGTTCGGCAGTTAGTTCCTGACTAATCAATGTCATCTCAACGCAATGCGCCCAGGAGTAGCCTCCAGGCAACACCGCTGGTGGTTACCTGTCCAGAGTCACTTTACATCCACCTCATTTTCTTTTGTTGGCTCATGGCGAGCAAGGAATAATAAACCGAGACTGCCACAGTGGACGAAGGCAAACGCGGTCTACAGCATCACACTGCCTTTTTCATTTCCTTTTTTTCTCCCGCTCCGGGAATCGACCTATTTATAGGTAATTGAGGATACATCCCCTCTTCTCACCTCAAATTGCTACTCCTCCCGTTCCCACACAACAGATCCCCTCAGGGTCCTCCGGAAACCGCACGCTGCCTTCGTCAGGTGCACGCCTAACATCGCGAGTCAGCACGATATAGCCATGGCGTCGCAAGACCCTGATACAAAGGAGACAACTCGATCCGGACAGTTGATCTCGTTTCAGCCCGCCAACTTTGCAACCCAGCCTTCGTTCCCCTTTTTCACCTTACCAACGGAAATTCGCATCCTGATCTACCAAGAGCTTCTATTGTCCCCTAGGCCGATCCATTCAAACACGAATGGATCCACGAGCTCAAGCGCTTTTCACGTTGCTATACTGCGTACCTGCCGACAAGTCTACACCGAGGCACGCCCCGTGCTCTACCACCAGAACACTGTACATATAGAGGTATTTGGCACAGGTCATCGCCGTCCTCAACCACTGGACAATTCAAGCGACGATAACCCGAGTGACGACATTGCAAGTGAGGACTACACAAGCGATGGCTTGAGTGAAGATTCTGAGATGTGCCACCTTGTTGTTTGTGGCTCAGGATTGTTTGGCGACAGGTATTCCTCCCAGTGGCTAGATCTCAACAACCAAAGACCTATCCGGCTGGATCTGGAACGTTTCAGGAAATTTCGCATCGATGTCCAGATGAAAAGGAGTTATGAAGCGAAATATGCTCGCTCATCTATCGTCAAAATCCTTAACATGCTTCGCCATGTTCCAGAAATGGACCAGTTGCATGTATCCCTGGATGACTCGGGACGTCAGTTAGAACACACATTGAAAAACCTCGGCCTGTTGCGGGGTGTGCGACAGGTCACTTGCGAAGGCGTTCCTCCTGAATACATGGCTTATCTTACCAGAAAGATGACAAGTTCAGCACCTGTCATCGACCTGCCACTAATGTATGAAGCCCTTGAAATGTACACTGAGTACTACCCCTACAATGATGGCATCTCGGATATATTGCACGAGGCGAAATATGCCATGGAAACTGGAGACACTGAGGGATTCATATACGGGCGCGAAAAGCTTGTTGAGACGATGGAGCTGAGCCACGCTCATTGGAAGTCGATGGTGTATGCTAACGACTTGGACGAGTGGCCTGAGGTAGGGTCGGACGATCCTAGGACGCCATAGGTTAGGGATGCTCACGACAATTGTCGAAAGAGGCCTCAGGCGACTCCCTTTGTGAAAGGGGATAAACAAATGAAACGGTGATCTTGCTATTTGTTGTATGTTGGAGGGAGTGTGCGCGCAACATGTGCTCGAGGTCAAGAAATCAAGTTGTTGAGTTATTGCAGTTGCTACTTACCTAGACATCACTTTCCCCGATGGTTTTCTTAAAAGCAGAATCCTATGCTTTCCGCCTCCCGAGGTCCATTTTGAGGGAAATCAAGCCTTTCAGTGACTTATAATGCGTGAAGATAATTGGTCGCGAAGCTCGTGACGTCAAAGCAGTCACCCCAGCTCTGGGTGCGGTTGTTACCTAACCTGTGATCTGCGAATGATTTCACTTGTACCTGGATTTCCAACATGGAGCCAGACAAGTGCCCCCATGTCTCAGCTGAACGAATCGTAATGAAATTTTGTAGACTATTGATATATGTACAATTCAAAAGCTATACCGGAAGCCTGCCGCCCTAACCTGGTGCAATTCCGGTGTTTTTTAACCCCAAGACCCAGAGCCGATGTATTGACAACGGTAAACAAATAGACTGATCAAAGGAGAGTCGAGAAAAAAAGAAACTTCCATCATACAGCAAGGATGATCAAATGGGATCAGCGTTTCCCTGGCTTCGAGTCTTCCTGGCGGTCCTTCCCACTGGAGCTGGAGCCTTCTTGTCTTTCTTGGGACGTCCGACCTTCTTGATGGCGTCCTTGACAGCAGAGCCGAAGGACTTGTGCTTCTTCTCGGCAGGACCTTCGGGTTCATGGGTCTCTGAGACATCCCCATTCGCAGTAGGTGCTTCAGCTGCTTTTCGTTTCGCGCCGGTTTGTGGCTCTGAGGGCAAAGGTTCAGCGGGCTCAGGCTTCGACACAGGGTTTGGCGCGTCTTGGGAGGCAGAAACGGCAGGCTGAGGCGCATCATTCATTTCAACATCCTTTGCTGGGGCTGGTTTGGCTGTCTCCGCTGTGCTGCTTTCTGGCTTGAGTGCCTCATTGGCCGTCGTCGGCTTAGCAGCAGGTAGCTCAGGGTCTTGAACCTCCTCCACCGAAACAGGCTTAGCTGACTTCTTCGGATCATCCCCAGGCACGGTAGAAGACGCTGTAATTGGTTCCGCGTTGATGGGGTTTGCGTTCAACGGGGCTGATACGTCCTCAGTAAGCTTTTCAGGCTGGGTTGCGAGCTTCTCAGCCTCTGACAGCTGCTGCTTGGTTGCCGAGGTGGCAGCTGGCTCTGAAACCGAAGGCTTAGATACAGCATCTGGTCCTGCTATGGTCATCTTAGCTTGCGATAAAATCGTGAAGGCAGCTTTAGGATCAGAATGAATAAAGCGAGCGGCACAATGATACAAAGAGTTGACATCGTAGCAGCTGAACAAACAGGGAGCACTGGCAATGTTTCCGAGTTTCAGATGACCAGGAGTTTGCGAGTGCTGCGAGTCCTGCAGTGGCAAGTTGCAGAGGCCTCTAACTTGCACTCCAGCTGACACGGCGCAGCTGGTTTTAAGAAGCTCGCTCTGCAGGTCCAGAGATGGTTGATCCGTGCTAGGGAACCTTCCACGACATTTGCTAGATCACACAGCTGACCTGTGATGAAAAGCGGTGACTGGCGCAAGCCAGCCATCGGTATACATGGACTATGCCAATAAGCTCTTACGCAGCGAAACGCTAGTTTCGGGTTTGCGCCAGTTGTGCTTGTGAGGGAGGAACTGATGAAGCTGGACTATACTAACCTGTCGTCACATTAGTAGAACCTGCCAAGGGTTCGGCCTCTTTTGCCGGCTCGGAGACCGAAGCCGGTGGCACGGGTTGCGCAGCAGGCAAATCGGTTTTGATAGGCCCAGACGCAGTTTGAGGTTGGTCCGGAGCCGTCGCGATACCCTTCACCTCTTGAGTTTCCGGCGGCGTAGGCGGCGCATTGCCCTTAAGGGCACCGGCCGGCGGAGTAACTGCAAGTCATTGTTGTCAGTGCATTGCTCTGGCGTGTGTGTGTGTGTGTACCCGTGGGGCGTCGCAACACGATCGCCGCACCCACATGACATGATGGTCAATGTTGAAGGTCTCGCTCGAGACCGGACGGCTCTCGCGATGACTCGACATTGGTTATTTGAGATCCAGGTCGTGTCGTACCTCTGTTGGCGCTTTCGCTTGCTAGGTCGGCCATTGCGATGACGTAACTGGTACACTGTGGGAGCTGTGCAGGCGTTCGCGAGGGGCACTACCGGGGGCCGGAACGGTGGATGGGCAGATGCGGATATCGATAGCTAGATGGATGGATGGCTGGCGATCGATGTGTTGAGAAGCAGTGCGCAATGGGACGAGGAAGAGGGAGAGGATGATAGTTGCAAGAATGAGTGAGAGTTGCCGCCGGTGGTTCTACATTGGAAATGGAAAGGGCAGGAGGTCCAGACTGCGACGGACGTGAGGTTGGTCAAGCTCGCAGCTTGCAGCTTACAGCAGAAGCTCAAACGAATCAGATCCACGGACGGGTCGGGAAAACAATGAAGAACTCTACCGTCTGCCCACTTGCGCAATCCCTAACACACAGAAACTGGGGAAACGGGGGCCAAGGAGGGTATTCTCCGTCCAGCCGTCCCTGTTTCGAGAGAGGGGAACCTCTTTGACGCAGGTGGCCGACTGCATGACAATCAGCGTCAGGAGCGGGCTTCCTCTCGATCAGCCAGCCTCTATTACTAACCGCCAAACCGCCTGCTCCAATCGGGAAACCAGGACAGGTCCGTAGGATCGAGGCCTGTCCTGTCGCCGCCGGTAGGCATCGAACAGCTTACTTGGCTCACTCTGTTCTTCCCTCGGACTCTACTATGTAGCTCAAGCAGTTCGCTCTGTCCCCATCACCACGACTGGACGTCCGGCGGTATGCGCGATGGCTTGCCTGCGATCTGGGCAGTCTGGCATGGCGAGCGGGCTGGCGGGTGGGCGCGAGGACATCAAAATGGTGCCAATCCAGTCCGATCCCGTCCAAGCCAGTCCACCAGGATGTGGGTTTCTGCCGGCACTCAAGCATCGCAGCGCACTGGTGCAGTCCCTTGTCCTGTTGGATGGATCGGGAGCGGATGGGGTTTGTGGGGAAATGCCAAGCTAGGGCCACAATGACGACAGCTGGCTAAAAACGCACGAGCCAAGATGGGCAGAGCCAATGCAGGTCCCATCTTGCCTGTTGTTTGGTCTGGCCCGCCCTCAGCAATCCCCGGGCCCGAGGTCGACTTGCGCTCTGGGGCGGCTGAGGAGCCATTTCCAGCCCAGCCACCAGAAGGAATTCAGCCTTTCGTAGAGCCACGGGCAGCAACCGGGTCAAATATGTAGGACTGGGCTGCCATGGGACCCAAGAAGCATCCAGTTCTTGGCATGATAGCCGATAAGGCAGACGAACGGCTGCACAGCCTCAGGCAGAGCGATAAGATGCCGATTCCCGAAAACCTCACGACGCCAAGCTCTGAGGCGACTTGGGGCTCGCCACGTGACTCGCAACGCCTCCCCAGCGCCGCCTGTGAGTGGCCAGCCGCAACCCGTAGGTAAGGCTCTGTACGTGAACCACATCTCGGCGACTAATGCCAATGCACCTCACCTTCGGGCCAAGAAGCACCATGGCCTGACCAAGAGGACTCGGCGCGAGTTACACCACTCTTCTATACACCACCATCACCGTGTTGGCCGTGTCCAGCGCCTTGGGCCGGGTTCTGCCAATGTTCTAGCGAGCTTCTGCCCAATCAGCTCTGGCCCTTCCACAGGCTTGCACCAAACCTTGCAGGCCGAGGGGCTTGTTTGTGGTCCAATGGCGCAGCATGATGGTATAGAGTTCTTGGACTTTCTTGGCGCCGGTATGTTAAGTGGGAGATTGTGCACCCTGGACATATTCTGTGGGCGCGATGTTGTGTTCGTCTCGTGCCTATAAAGGTAGGTACCTCGCCCGGGTCTTGTCGGTAGAAGAAGTTGTTGTAGAACCCAAATCAGTGTTTGAGCTTGATGCCGAGATACTACATCGCTCGATATACTCAAGCCCAACGACCAATCCGAATGTCTACATTGTGCAGGTAAACTTGATCACTGCCAGTGACCCGAAGAGCAGCTCCATCCGTGCCTTCGTGCCTCTAGTCGCTCTGATAAAATGGCTGGCGAATTCGATCGTCATCCCTATCTGCTGACTGTCCAAGATGTCGCCAAGAATCTCGGTACGGATCTGGATAGGGGCCTTACGGGCGCGCAAGTTGCGCAACTCCAAGAAAAGTATCCCCCCAACGAACTTGACATTGGCGGAGCTATCCCGTGGTATACCATCTTCCTGCGGCAGCTTTTCAATGCTATGATATTAGTGCGTTTCCCTTCAATCCCCTTCCAGGGCAAACTCCCGACTAACATTTCTTCAGGTGTTGTTCTTTGCCATGTCTTTGAGTTTTGGTATAAGCGATTGGGTCGAGGGCGGCGTGCTTGCAGCCGTCATCATTCTCAACGTATCGATAGGTTTCTTTCAGGAGTACGGTGCAGAGAAGAAGATGGATGCCCTTAGAGCTCTGTCCTCTCCGAGTGCCAATGTCCTCCGAGATGGCAAAACCCAGGTTATCTCCAAGTAAGTCCTGTCCTAGCCTGCGGCCTTTGCGTCGCTTTCTGATCTTCTACGAATGGCGACGCAGCGTTCTTGTTTTGTGCTGAAAGACCTTCAAGTTAACATGAAATCCCAGCTCTGAAGTCGTCCCAGGAGATGTTATCCTCCTCAAGATGGGAGACACCATTCCTGCAGATATGCGGCTATTTGAGGTTATGAACCTAACTTCTGACGAGCAATCATTGACCGGCGAGTCTGTTCCGGTCGAGAAAGTCGAGTCTCACTTGGACGATGAGGAACTCGGTATTGGTGATCGTATCAACATTGCGTACGGGACCACTGTCGTACGGAAAGGTCGTGGCCGTGGTGTTGTCATCGCTACTGGTATGCAGACCGAAGTTGGCAAGATTGCCGCTTCAACATCCAAGAAGAACAGGAAGGCCGGTCGCTCGATGAACTACAAAAAATACGGCAAACGGCAACCAGTAGTCGGGCTGGCAAAGCGTGCTTATGACTTTTTCGGCAAATTCTTGGGCCTCACCGAAGGTACTCCGTTGCAGATCAAGCTCTCGAAGCTAGCTTACATGCTCTTTGGTTGTGCTCTGCTGCTGGCTGTCATCGTGTTTGCGGTTAATCGATTTGATATACCAACCGAGGTCGTCATCTATGCCATCTCTACCGGCATTGCTATTATTCCCGAGTCTCTCGTGGCTGTATTGACCATCACTATGGTTGTAGCCACCACGGTCATGAGGAAGGCCAACGTCGTAGTCAGAGATCTATCTGCGCTTGAGGCCCTTGGTGGCGTGACCAACATTTGCTCTGACAAGACAGGTACACTCACTCAAGGCGCCATGATCGTAAAGAAGGCTTGGATTCCTGGCAAGACCATCTACACTGTCCACGACTCGAAGGACCCCAGCGACCCTACCGTTGGCCGCGTTACTTACGCTGATGCGGAAGAGGACGCAGCTGCTACCGAGCCAGAGAAGAGGGACTACGATCAAGAAAGAAGCGCCTCCGCGCTGAAGTTCGATGTCCCTGATGAGAAACTGAAGCCTAAGCAGAAGAAGCATGACGGGCCTGAAGCTGATATGACCCCCGAGCTCGAGGCGTTCCTGCTTTCTGCTGCTCTTTGCAACCTCGCTACTGTCCGCCAAGAGACCGAGGCCAACGCCGATGACCGCAAGTGGAAAACCACTGGCGAGCCGACGGAGATTGCTCTTCAAGTGTTTGCCCACCGGTTCAACAAGGGAAAGAAGACCATCGAAGGCCAAGGTTGGAAGCAAGTTGCGGAGTTTCCATTTGATAGCTCCATCAAGCGCATGTCTGTGATCTACGATGGAGCTGACAGCGAGAACAGCATGGTATTTACCAAAGGCGCTGTGGAACGGATTATTGACCTCTGTACTACTGTTGGAATTGGCGGACAAGCTGAGGAAATGACGGACTCATACAAGGAGCACATTCTGAAGCAGATGGACGACTTCGCCTCCCAAGGCCAACGAGTTCTTGCCATTGCCTCACGACCGTGGGACGGCAAGTACCAGGAGAAGTCATCCAAGGAGGGCGATGATGCGGATAATGCTCTTCGCCAGCGAGTCGAATCTGGACTCACTCTTCTCGGGCTTGCCGGTATCTACGACCCACCCCGTCGTGAAACAACACCTGCAATCGCCGAATGTTCCACAGCCGGTATCAAGGTCCACATGCTCACCGGCGACCATCCCGCAACCGCCACGGCTATTGCAAAGGAAGTCGGCATCATCCCGCACGACCTCAGCACCCTGCCAGCAGACCTCGCTGAGTCCCTGATCAAGAAGGCGTCCGATTTCGACAAGATGTCGGATGCCGAGATCGATGCCCTGCCCGAGCTGCCCCTAGTTCTTGCCCGCTGTGCCCCGGATACCAAGACGCGCATGATTGAGGCGCTCCGACGCCGAAACGCCTTCATGGCTATGACAGGGGATGGTGTCAATGACGCGCCGTCACTATCAAGGGCAGATGTCGGTATCGCCATGGGCTCCGGCTCGGACGTGGCAAAGTCGGCCGCCAAGATTGTGCTCACGGACGACAAGTTCAACTCGATCGTGGCCGCCATCCGTGAGGGCCGGCGCATGTTCGACAACATCCAGAAGTTCATCCTGCACCTGCTGACGTCCAACGTCGGCGAGGTTATCCTGCTAATCTGCGGCCTCGCTTTCCGCGACCAATCCGGCTACTCCGTGTTCCCCATCTCCCCCCTGCAGATCCTGTGGATCAACATGCTGACGTCGTCGTTCCCGGCGTTCGGACTCGGCCGCGAGCAGGCCTCACGCGCCGTCATGCGGAAGCCGCCGCACGACAAGCGCCGCGGCGTCTTCACCAACCAGATCCTCGTCGACATGCTGGTGTACGGCCTGCTGATGGGCGTGCTGACGCTGATGACGTTCGTCATCGTCGTGTACGGCGCCAACGGCGGCGCGCTCGGCGCCGACTGCAACAAGGCGTGGTCCGAGAGCTGCCGGCCCGTGTTTCGGGCGCGCGCGACCGTCTTCGCCGAGCTGACCTGGCTGATCCTGATCAGCGCGTGGGAGTTCAAGGACCTGCGGCGGTCCATGTTCGCGCTAAACCCGGACTCGACGGCGCGTTTCCCCTTCTTCCGCGACATCTACGAGAACCGGTTTCTGTTCTGGGCTGTGGTGATCGGCGGCCTCTCTGTCTTCCCCGTCGTGTACATCCCGACGCTCAACACGGCCGTCTTCAAGCACGTGGACATCTCGTGGGAGTGGGCCATCGTCGTCGCGGCCCTGGTCCTCTTCGTCGCCGGCGTCGAGCTGTGGAAGATGGCCAAGCGCACCTTCCGCCTGCTCGAGGACCGCGCCGTCGTCAAGGGCGCCTTCAGCCAAGGCAGCGTCGAGGAGGGCCGCCGCTTCGCGCACACCATGAGCTTCAGCAGTCTAAAGAGCTGGCGCAGTTTCGGTCGCAAGAACACAGGCGACTCGGGTATGCACTCTAGGTCTATGTCGAGGAGCAAGGAGTGAAGGTTAGATATTGCGAAGTGTGACATTAACGAGCTGAACGTGTGCTAGTTTTCATGGGGAAAAGGTAGATGTTTGCAAGGATACATCAAGTTCCTTCGATAGTAATTAATTGAATGAGACCGTGCTATGATCTTATATTCTATGACATTTGTGCAGCTCACAGTCGTAATGTGAAGTAGCCCTTGAATCAGGTGATCAACCACCAGATGGAAATGTGCTGCACATATTGTACCGATATTCGACTCAGGCGCTGGCCGTTACAAGTTGATCGCTGTTACGGCGAAGACCGCCTCCAATTCCTGTTTCGTCCTGTTCAACTAGAACCGTAGGCAGCTCTCGAATATCCACGTGCTCTGTGGTGCCCAGATCTACGACTCTGATCGCCTCGATCCCGATAATGCCCGACTTCAACGCCATGAAGCGCAACTCCGCGACATGGCAGGAGCCGGGCGCCAACGGGCCGACTCTGACGTCGGCACTGAGGCAGACCATCTCGGCGCTATCGACAATGCTGCTCCTCTGCATGGCGTGAACGACATTATCGTCCAGGACGGCGTCGGCTATGCTCCGGTCCCGCGGCGTCCTAGGCTGCGAAGCTCCATGGGCTGCGGCCCCTCCTGGATAAGAAACCGAAGGGGGTCTGTTGATTCTGCTCTCGTTTCTCCTGCGCTTGGGGATCGCCACCAAAGCCATTTTCCGCGGCGAGGTGGGCACGTTAGGCGCGGTGCGGTTGACCACAAATACCGTCCAGACGAAGACATCACCCGGATAGATCTTCTGTGCCGGGGGCGGGGCGGCAAAGGTCACGGTGATCCCAAGATCCGGGATAGGAACATCCATCTTGTTTCCTGCAGCCTCAAGAGCTGGCAAGGCATCTGGCCGAGAGACTGAAGGGGCGACCAGAGACGTCATGCTGTTTATAGACAGTTGGCTAGGCCTATGCGAGCGCTGAATAGGCTGCATTGCCGAGCCGAAGCCTGGGTTGACTGGGAGCGTGAAATCTACCGTTGTAGTCCAAGCCATCGTCATCTTCGGTGTGCATACTTTAGGCTGTTCCAAGGCGGTCATCTCAATCTTGATGCTGAGATCTCGCGTGGGGTTTCTAGAAATGGTGTCTGCGTCTTCGGGTGTAATCCGATACAGAAAAGTGATATGGTCGTGTGCGACACAGGACATGGGCAGTGCCATGCCGGGTTGGTTTGTCAAATCTTCCACGTTGCCTTCAATAACAGACAGGTCTATGGAGGTCAATGCTATTTCACACTCGAAGAACGGCGTGAAGTCGACCTCGAGCATGGCTATGATGGCGGGACTTGGCGGCGTCGTCGTGGGTCTTGCGAAGCGGATCCGTGAATGTACTGCTGGGAATATGCGTAATGACAACTGTTTCGGCGCCGCCTTGATCGGCTGTAGGAGATCTTTGGCTTGCTGTGTCAGGGGTGCGACCCGAGATACGCGCAACGCAGACAGTCGAGGCTGTATGCCGCTGAGGACGGGATCGCTGCCGAAGGACTCTAGAAGATTCAGGCCAGATGCTACTCCACTGGGGAGGTAGCCGTCCAGCAGGTGGCTCGAAAAGGAGGCTTCTGCAGGTTTCAAGCTTGCCGTTGCGGTAAACACAACCGAAGGCGCGTGTAACCTTATACGTGGCCGGGCCATCATGACCGGGAGCTTCCAAATGACTAGCATAGACCCTTCCCCGTCGCCGGAGCCGTCTTGAGTTCCATCATTGGGAGTGATAACCAACGGGGAACCTGTGTCTTGAACGGATTCTAGGTATATGGCCTCTGAGGCGGGTGGACTGTCGCGGTCAGGGGCACTGCTGTTGACGACTTTAGCCTCAACGGACAAGACCAGCCTTCTGAGGGAAAGCCGAAGGAGATTCTCGTCGACGGCGGGGGTCTTCAGGGCGAGGTAGACATCGACGGACTCATCTAGCATCTAGGATAAGTATGGTGAGAAGGTGGGTTCTTGGATCTCGGAGACTCGTCATACCAAAGAACAGCGACTCGCGGCCTTCTACGGCCTTCAGAGCGTCGCTTCCCTTCTGCGCTCCTTGGAGAGCAGCTTCCACATCGAAATCCGTGGCAAGGGGGATGAAGTAGGTCAGAGTCGAGCTGTCTATGAAGTCGACCCCTGTGCTGGTTGGGATGCCGGGGTTCGTTTGAGAACCCGCCATTGCGATGGCGGGAGTTGGAGCGAGGCGATAGATTGGGCGCAATATGATTAGGCAGCTGTTGGCAATTACATTATGGTTCGTTGGAATGCCGCAAATCGCAGTGAATGGAGGAAGCTCTGGTGTTCTAAACGAGCTGTTGCAAAAATGCCAACCTCGAGATGTTCCTGTGAGACGTTCAGGTGGTCCAGCGCCCGAGGGGCAGCGCAGCGCCGCCAAGCAGGTCTCCAGCTATGGGATCCAATTACCTAGAACCGCTAACGACCCCCAAAATTCTCGGGGGTTGCGCCTCAGCCATACAGGCAAACCCCCTGGCCCTGCACCAATCTACTCCCTGCAATGTGGCACAAGCTCCCCCCCAGGCCGTCACTCGACCCACAATGGAGCGCCAGCCGATCGTTCGTGGTAGTAGTGGCTCCTCAGCCTTCCGCTTTGTAACAATTTTCCATGCAACACCATAGTCGCTTGCCACGCGTTTCTCAACATAGCAACGCCGCCTCGACAGAACCCCAGTGCTGCCGACGTTCGTCAGGAACCAGCTCGTGATTCTGGGTGCCGTGTCGCATGAGGCTAGAGACCGCTCAGAACCCCCAGTGGAATCGACGCGACTTCTCTGCATACAACCGTTCGCTCGTCGCATCGCTCCCGTCAACCGCCGTGGGGAGCTTTCTCTCGCTCGGAGCCCATTCTCCCACGACTGCAGCAAAGCTGAACGTTTCGACGTCGATCCGCCCGGCAGGATGAACGGAGCCAATGGCCACTATGGCCAGCCAGCTCCGTGGCAGGAGCACAAGACTGCCGATGGTCGTTCTTACTACTACAATCCCATTACCAAGGTCACGCAATGGACCAAGCCCGAGGAGATGATGTCTTCGGCTGAGGTATGTGACCAACCCCTGCCCGCAACTGTTGCATGTCGCTGACCTTCGCTTCGCAGCGAGCCCTCGCCAACCAGCCCTGGAAGGAATACACCGCCGAGGGTGGGCGCAAGTACTGGTACAACACCGAGACGAAGCAGAGCTCTTGGGAGATGCCCGAAGCCTACAAACGAGCCCTCGGTCAAGACAGTGGCCCACCGACTCCCGCTGCCGCTGTGCCCAGCGGAGGGTATTCGACCCCCTCGTACGACCAACCGCGCGAACGCGAGGTCTTCCCCGAGTCTCGTCAACTGACCTGCGGCAACGACCCTCGCGTGCAGGCCTTTGTGCCCGCAAGCAGCGAGCCTGAATATGCAAATGCCGAAGAGGCCGAGGCCGCTTTCATGAAGCTGTTGCGTCGTAGCGGCGTACAGCCGGACTGGACTTGGGAACAGGCCATGCGTGCTACCATCAGGGACCCGCAGTACCGCGCCATCAAAGACCCCAAAGATCGAAAGGTTGCCTTTGAGCACTATTGCGAGGACATGATCATTCAGGACAAGGAGCGCGCGAAGGAGCGACTCGCCAAGCTGCGCGCCGACTTTGCCACCATGCTGAAGAGTCACCCTGAAATCAAGCACTACACTCGCTGGAAGACGGCGCGTCCCATCATCGAGGGCGAGACCATCTTCCGTTCCACCAACAACGATGAAGAGCGCCATCAGTTGTTTGAAGACTACATCCTGGAGTTGAAGAAGGCCCACGTCGAAAGCCAGGCCAGCCTCCGCAAGAGTGCCATGGACGGCCTCATCGACTTGCTGCCGAAGCTCAGCTTGGAGCCTTACACCCGATGGTCTGAAGCCCAGAGTACCATTAAGTCTACTGCACCCTTCCAGCAGGAGGCAAAGTACAAGACTCTTAGCGACTTCGATATCCTAACCGCATTCCAAAACCACGTCAAATTGTTGGAGCGCAACTTTAACGAGGCCCGCCAGAACCAGAAGAACAAGAGGCGCCGCGTTGAGCGAAAGCATCGTGATGAGTTTGTGGCTTTGCTTCAGGAGCTTCGCAAGGACGGGCAAATCAAGGCAGGCACCAAGTGGAAGGAGATTCACCCTTTGATCGAGAATGACGAGCGCTACAAGCAGGCTTGCGGCCAGTCGGGCTCGACTCCCATTGATCTCTTTTGGGACATTGTGGAAGAGGAGGAGCGTGCCCTTCGTGGCACCAGGAACGATGTTCTTGATGTTATGGATGTGAGTCTTCTGGTACAGTGGTTTTTCTCCTTCACGGCTAACCTTATCACAAGGATAATCGTTTTGAGTTCACCCCCAAAACAACCTTTGATGAGTTTCTGGCTGCCGTCAAGAATGATCGGCGGACTGCTAACATTGATCGTGACATTCTCACGCTAATTTTTGAACGGGTAAGAAACGCTGTGCCCCTAATCATGGTTTTTTTTTTTTTTTTTACTAATAACCGCAAAGCTCCGAGAAAAGAAGGCAAAACGATCCGATGACGATAAGCAATCTGAACGTCAGCAGCGACGCGCTTTTGACGACTTGCGTTCTTACATCAAGCATATGGATCCCCCCGTCCTGCCAGATGATACATGGGAAAAGGTACGGCCTCGAATTGTGCGAGCCCCTGAATTCCAAGCAGTTACCTCGGAGGACTCCCGGCGTGGCGCCTTCGAGAAGGTGCTCCGTCGTGTACAAGATCGGGCGGAGGAAGATAGGGACCGTCCTAAGCGTCGGGAGCGATCTCCCGATCGTGGTACGTACAGAGAGAAAGACAGAGGAGACAGATCTCACCGCAGCGACCGCACACGTCCGTCACGCCATAGTCGCAGTCCCGAACCAGATGCGTACGAAGCCGACCGTCGCAAGGCGATTGCAGAACGGGAGAAGAACTATCGTAAGTCAAGCATGGCTGAGAGCTTACTGTCTGACCGCCGCACTTCGGATTCTTACCACGACCGGGATGTGCGGGATCGGGGTGATCGGGATCGGGAACGTGACCGTGAACGCGAACGTGACCGTGATCGTGATAGAGAGCGCGAGCGCGAGCGCGACAGGGACCGCGATAGGGACAGAGATTATCGATCCCGACGCGACGATTATGCTCGCGAGCGACGTGATCGCGAGGAGGAACGCGAGCGATTATACCGTCGCCGTGTTGAGCGCGGACCTGTTGACGAACTGCCTTATGGCGACGAGCGACCCTCGTCTGCGCGCCGCCGTAGAGAGGATGACGATGACTACGACCGTCGAGACTCGAGAGACTCCAAGGTATGTACACTGTTCTTCTTGCTTGCGTAATCTGTCATTAACCTGTTGAATAGCGACTCAAACGAGAACGCACTCCTCGTGAGCGTTCACCACCACGTGAGGCTCGTCACAAAACACGAACGCCACCACCCACTGTCCCTCCTCCTAAGGAAGATCCTGGCGTACACTCCGGTAGTGAGGAGGGCGAGATCGAGGAAGACTAGAAACTTTCTCCGATTCATTCTCTTCCTAAGAAACCCGTTCTCGATTTGTGTATGTCAGACCGGATTGATTCATATGTGCCAGATCGGGATGGACCAGCACGACCTCGGAGAGAACACCGCCCGAGCCCGACAAATTACAAACTCGAGTCCGGATCCTCTACCGGGAGCACTCCGAGAAAGCTCAGACGATACTCTTGACGTACGTTCCTGATTTCCGACCGTTCTCTCTGTTGGACGTGATGACTTTGGTTCAAGCTACAGAGTACGGGTGGGAAAGCCCTTGTTTCATCGCCACCCAAGCCATGCCATTCTGACAAAGGACTCGCTTCGTTAACGTCGGTCATGCATCTCAGCGCATCCTCAGCTTCTAATCCATCTCACCTTTCAGGGTGGCAAGATCCACAACACAGCATGGGAACCAGCAACACTGGCATCGGTGTGTATCACTCCCCTCTCCCACGTACTTAGAAGTACATGCCTAGCTTTGCAGATAATAATTGAATCCCTTGCCTTCACTATAAGCTGTGTTCCCACGCATCCTGTTTACGTATTCCCCCTCACGCTACAGATACTATTTGTCGCCTGTAGCGGACCTAGAAGGATCCAGGTTTTTGTTCTTCTTGGGCGTGTCCCAATGCCGTTATCCCTTTCGGAATGTACCCCCGCAACATAGCCCAACGGGTGGCACCTTGCTATCGCCAACCTGTTCATATCTAGGGCCGTCTTCTGATGCAGCAGCCCCACGATTTTTCGAGCCCGTTGTACAGCTTGATGCCCATGTCGTTATGCCAACCCAGGTCGTAACCCTTTTGAAAGGCCCCTGGAAGTCGCCGAGTAGAAATGGCTTGTGTCTTACCTTCTTGCAAGTTCTGGGGCGGAGGCCAGCCACCGCCAAGCGGGCAGGTATCGTGGACCGTACGTTTGGGGAGCATTCCGAATATCCAAGTCATGAGGGGTTGGCGTGTGGTCCAATGTGACGATGACTTCGACCAATGCCTCTGCTTTTACAACTCCCCAGCTTTGGACGTGATAACGCAGCTTCCTGCCATATGAGGGCCTGCTCGCTGGCTCTGTACTTCGTATTTGTGTAGATTTACAACAAGGGGCATCGCCAGCCAGCGAACCACCAACACTCCCACGTGACTCGGGTGGCGTGGCAGCCGGCTTGGACGAGGCGTGTGTGTGCACATATCGCTTGCAGATGATCTGCTAGGGAGAAACCAGAGAAGAGTGCGGACTGGGTCGCAGAAGTATGACTGTTGGCTAGAAGCACAGAAACCAAGAGGTGCGGATACACTTTTTACTCGACGATTCTGAGCCTGGCGACTACTGCAGCGAGTTGGACGCTTACGAAGTTGAGGGATCACCAGGTGTCTGTTCCATAACTGCCAATGCAAAGCTCCAGAAACACGGGGTCGGTATATGGTGGCATGACAATTTGATTTCAACTAGTCCGAATAAATGACTCTATCGCGGCTCTCTGTTATATCTAGTATAGCACACTATACAGTAGGGCGGCAGTCACCCGCTTGACCCACTTCACCCTTGGCTTGCGAGGATGTCTACAGGACATGGACATGTCTGCAGTTCGTTGCCCTCTGTTGCAAGATTCGGGTTGTAGCAGGGGATAGACTGCCGCCGCCGTGTTAGTCATCGGGCTCGTCGGCCTCGCCACCACCATCCTCATCTAGTTCCGAAGACCCATGTACACCAGCGGCGCGGCGCTTCCCAATGTTTTGAACGCCCAGAACGCCGGTGCCTGAGGATGAAGGGGCATGCTCGTGACTATCGTAACTTTCATGATGACCACCATTTTGATTGTGGCCATTATCCCGTGGGAAGCCCTTTTCAAGAGCTGTCCTCTTCCAGGAAGAACTGTCGGGGTGTGAGCAGGGGTGAGTACGAATCATTAGGAGTAGTAGACTTACGTAGTTTCCATGCAGCTTCTGCTCCTGGTCAAGCTGGCTGTTAAGCTTGTTGATACGAGGGCGGTAGTTGGATGGATCACGTCGGAAGGTGACGTCAAGGTTCTTCAAGAAGGCGTTGCAACCAGTGAGGAGGGACTCGGGCTTGTTGGCGCGAGCGTTGATACCAGGCTGTCCGTCGAATACAATGACACGATCAGCAAGATATGTGGCCATGATGAAATCGTGCTCGACGATGAAAGCAGTCTTCTTGGCGTGCATGATGAAACGCTTGATGACACGAGCTGCAATGATACGCTGCTCAGAGTCCAGGTAGGCAGAGGGCTCGTCGATCAGGTAAATATCGGCGGGCAGACCGAGAGCAAGAACGATGGCAACACGCTGCAATTCACCGCCAGACAGGTTCTTGACTTCCTGATCAATGAAGTCGTCAAGCTTGAGAGGCTTGACAACATCAGTCTGGAACTGAGGTGAGAGGAAGGCAGGCCGGATCTTCTTGAAGAAAAGCTGACGAACGGTTCCCTCGAACTTGGGAGTAATGGTCTGAGGCTTCATGCTGATCTTCATCTCAGGCACCTTCTTGGTGCCATCGGGCTTGAGGGCACCAGCCAGCAGCTTACAGAAAGTAGTCTTTCCGGTTCCGTTCTCTCCCATCATGACAATAATCTCTGAGTCGGTGAAATCACCGGTGTCAATGGACAGCTTGAAGTTGCCGAGAGTCTTCTCCATCTTGGGGTAGTTGAACGCTCGGTCCTTGTTTGCCATGTAGTCCTCAGCACCCTCAGCGATGCGGAAAGTCAAGGATTCCTCACGGAAACGCAAGTTCTCGGTGGGAATGTGACCGTCGAGGAAGATGTTGATGCCTTCCCTGACAGAGTGCGGCAGGGTAACAACACCATATACGGCGGGCTTACCGTAGAGGACGCAGACATAATCGGAAAGGTAGTCAAGAACTGACAAATCGTGCTCGACAACGATGATGTAGTTGTTCGACTTGATCAGCGAACGGATGATTCGGGCGGCAGAGAGACGTTGCTTGACATCCAGGTAGGACGACGGCTCGTCGAACATGTAAACGTCGGCATCCTGGACACAGACAGTGCCGATGGCGAAACGCTGGAGCTCTCCACCAGACAGCTGGCCAACGTCACGCTCGAGAAGATGCTTCAGCTCAAGAACATCGAGCACCTGATCCAAGTTGTCGAGCGAGGCACGGCCCTCAAGCAGACCCTTGACCGACTTCTCGGGCCCACGGATAGCCCTGGGGATCTGGTCGACGTACTGGGGCTTGACAACAGCCTTGAGGTCGTCCTCCAGAATCTTGGTGAAGTAGTTCTGCAGCTCGGAACCTCTGAAGTACTTGATGACGTCTTCCCAGTCGGGAGGGTTGTCGTGGCGGCCGAGGTTGGGCTTGAGCTTGCCGCTGAGAATCTTGAGGGCGGTACTCTTTCCGATACCGTTGGTTCCAACCAGACCGAGCACGTTGCCGGGTCGGGGCATGGGCAGGCGGTGGAGCTTGAAGCTGTTGGCCGAGTATCGGTGGGTCACCTGGGACTCGAGGTTGGTCGGCAGGTTGATGATGGTGATGGCGCCGAAGGGGCATTTCTTGGGGCAAATACCGCAACCACTGGGAGGGGGTGACTGGTCAGCCTGGGAAGGGCGAGTTGAATTTTGGCGGTGGGCTATACTCACATGCAGAGGGACTCGGAGATGAAGGCCAGCTTGGAGTCTGGGGCGACCTCAATGCACAGCTTGCCGCTGCGGACGACGGGACACGAGCGCTTGCATTCTTGCTTGCATTTCTGGGCCTGGTGTCAGTGCCGATTTTCACGCGCACAGGAGGGAGGGTTTTTTCTGGGGTCAGACGACGACGTACGCGGGGTTTGCACTTGTCAGAGTTGACAATAGCGATACGGGTGAGCTTGTCCGCCATGGTCGCAGGTATTTTTCTGGCTCAAGCAGAGCGCAGAGGGGGAGAGGCAAAGAAGTTGGTTGGGGGTTGAGAGTTGAATGCTGCGGAGGGACAGAAAGCGACGATCTGGTCTTGATCGTGGGATCCTCTGCCTTCTCTCGAACACGGTCGGGTAGCAGAGGATTTGTGGCGGGGCATTGGCGGGGTCAGGTCTTTTTTTCTAGGGTATTATTTAGCTCACCTGTGATTGGGCCCCCAACCACGGATACCTCTCCCATCACTGTGCGATAGCCTGGCTGTACAGCTTTACAATAGTTGTCGCCAATGCTTTGCTTAGTGCTGCTGTATTGGGCCTCCTGGCCATGGTTGCTGAAACGGACAACAGACACAGGTCTGCTTTATGATATCATGGCCGAGAGAGGGCTGTGAATAGGCCGCTGAAGTTGGCTAAGTAAGTACTCACAAAGACACGAATGTCACTGCTTCGGTCCTTCACGAAACCAGGGTGCATGCAAGTCATGAGCTGAGTATTATGGTTGTCATTCTTTCCTATCCTCAGCTAGCAACCTGCCACCAAGGCCATATACCAGGTTCGGATTTGAATTGTAGTCGTGCAGCTTCTGTCAAACAGTGACGGTGGTAAGTGATAAAGTGGTTTTTTTTGTACCCATTGCTTTTGCATCGCTTTCACACAGCTTCAAGGCTTGGTATGCAGCTAAGGAGAGCTTGCTGGCAGCAAAAGTGATTATATTCTCGTCTGGTGCTTGGATCTACGGACGAAGCCTATCCCGACACCCTGGGGATCCGGAGATAATGTTCATCAAGGCTTATCTTGAAGCACCAGTCACTGTGAAGGATAGGATGAGCTTGAATAGGATAGCCCATACTTAGTAAAGGTATACTGCCAGACTGCTCCAACCACGCCTCCCTGGCATCGTCTTGGATCAGAGACACGTTTAGAGCAGAAGAAGCGCGTTTCTTGTCGCACGGTGCACTTCGCCATAGACAATGTGGCCTGTTGGTTCTACTGCCTCAACATTGGAACAAAGAGCAAGCAGCTGACTTGGGAGACAGTTGGTACTACGAGATCTACTTGGCACGTAATGTTGGCGCGGGGCACGGAACTGGATGCAACCTGAATAGTTGCAGAAACACCGAGGATCGAGCAGAGAAGGGTGTGTCCCGGTCTGTCCGGAAAATTGACTGTAGACGTGAGGGGCGCGTGGTAAACACATCAGCAGCCATTAGAGGAGAAAAGTATGTTTAGTTCCAAGGTCAGTCATCGTCAGTTTGCAAGTCGACAAGAATGCACTGGTCTGTGGTCTGGAGAACAATGCCCTGGGTGCAGGTTGTCACATGAGCAAGTAGTTGAATATAACGGGACAATCAAGAGAGCAGAGGTCAATCCAATGTGGTTGTATAAATTGACCGCTTTGCTTTCGGGGGGCATCACTTCGCTTTACCTGACCTTGACCTGCGTGTACTTTGACTTCATCCGACATCAGTTCCAGGCAGTCTGCAACATTTTTGAGTTGTTTGTCGGACTGGTTGAGCAGAGTCTACTCCAGAAAAGAGCCGCAGACAAAACCTTGGAGCGCACTGGGTGGAAACGATTCAGGTATTCACTGAAAAGCGACTCGCCAACTGCGCTGTGGTGCTGTACCACTGCACTGGGCTGCACTGCACTTTGACCTGCACTGCAACTGAGCCGCACTGGACTGGACGATCAACCGACTGGAGCCAGCCCACCTGCACTGACCCAAGTTGACTACCTGAAGCCGGGCGACCACCCCCACAGCCATTCACCCAACAGCACGCGACGGGAGGCGCTAGGGCCGATCGGGCTAGCGTCCTTCTTTTCCCTTCCCGGCCTGGGCCTGCCTTTCCCTCGACCGACCAGACACTTTCCTTTCGCTCAGTAAATCCGCATCTCTTCATCGATTTCCACAGGCCTCTAGCACCCACCTCCCACTGCAAGGCCGCACCCTCACCCACGCACCACCACTTCGCCCATCGAGCTGCCCGCTCGTCTCGTGTGCTGCCTGGGGGCTGCTGTTGATGACTTGTAAGTTGTTTTGCCCTTCCTGTGCACATTGCCCGGCCACACGCCAAAGACACGACCGCCGCCGCTCGCCAGCCCTGCGTGCTCGTCCCTGCAGAGCACCCCGTCCATCAGCTATACATCACCGCCGGCCCCGGTCGTGGGCTTCGTGACGCCGTCTGCTCCCTTCGGACGCGTCGATCCGACCACTTCCAGTGCCCGCCGAGTTGGTCCCCTGCTCAGAATTGCCGCATGAGCTCAGCTGCGTGTCGCCGGGAGACGCAGACTCTGCCATCGGCACCAGCCTCGTGCCCATCAGCTCAGGCCCCGAGATGCGCCAGATGGCCAATCTGCCTGGTTTCTCTCCTGATCTGGAAGTCGGCCGTGTCATTCGAATCGCCCTTTCTCGTTACTGCTACCTCTCTGCTCGCGGAGCCAACCCGTCCGTGGGATCCTCGCTAACGTCGCCGTCCGCAGCAGGCAGCTTCGCAGCTCTAGTGTCATACAGCCAGGAACATGTCGAGCTCACCCGAGCCCGGCGCCGTCAATGGCGGCTCGCCCGCGGCTGATGCCCATGACAACGTCGATGCCGTCCCCGACCGTACCCGCAGCGAGAGTGACCTGTCTGAGGTCCGCGATACCGTCGTCATTGCCCGTCCGCTGCCGCCAGCCTCGGCCGCCCATCGCGACCCTTCCGAGGACAATGTCGAGATGGAGGATCAGGAGGCCATTGAGTCTAGTGAATCAGACAACGACAATGCCTCCGAGGATGCCGACTTCGACATGGAGGAGAGTCCGGCTCCCTCGCAGAGTGATGGCGCACGCGACGAACGATCGACGTCCAACGACTCACAACGTGCCACCAAGCGCAAGGTCGCGGTCGTTGAGGAGGATGACTTTATAAAGGCAAACCCAGAGCTCTATGGCCTAAGAAGAAGTGTATGGTGAATTCCTCTTGCTCTCCAGACCCTTGCTGACACGCATTGATAGTCGCGTCCAACAAAACAACCCAAAGTTGTAAGTCATCGCCAATGCCTCGCCTCCATCATAGGCATGATGCTAACCGATGCCCTAGGTTGATTCCGATGAAGATGATTCCGATTCCGATGTTCCTGTCAATCGGCGTTCCAACAAGAGGCGACGCGTCGAGGAAATCTCTCAGCAGTGTAAGCATGCCTCCCATCCCCCAATCTCCATGGCGGCCTCCTTCCTACAGCACTTGGATGAGAGCTGACAACCCTATCAGCTTCCAAGCGAGGTACACCCAACCGACCCTCCCCTGCCGATGATTCGGATTCAGACAACTATGGCGGAGCCCGCGCCAAATCCTTCCAGAAGAAGGCACGCAAACAACAAGCCCTTGCCCCGGCGTCAACCATATACGCCGAGAAGCGATGGTCCAGTCGAAATGCGGCCAAGAAGGTACAGGCTGGCACTTATCAGGAGAGCGATGAGGACGATGAAGACTCGGAGCTCACGCCGGCTTACTGGGGCGGTGAGGACTTGGCCGACGACACGCCCTACATTGAGAAGGTTGTCGGCCATCGCGTCATCGACGACGGGGAATTGACCGTGGACGCCACCAGAGACGACTTCGAGTACAACATCAAATGGGAAGGCAAGTCGCATCTGCACAACACCTGGGACCCTATGGACACCTTGCGTGGTTACCGTGGCGTCCGGAAACTCGAGAACTACTACAGAAAGGTTGTCGAGTACGAGATTGACCTGAAGTTCGCTGGTGATGACATCCCTCCCGAAACTCGAGAACAATACCTGCTCGACAAAGAGCGCGAGCAAGATGCTCTGGCAGACTACACACACGTGGAGCGAGTCGTTGCCGTGCGCAGTGGAGACTCGGGCAAAGAGTACTTCATCAAATGGAAAGGACTCACGTACGAATGCTGCACTTGGGAGCTTGCCTCCACTATCCGCGACGACGCTCAAGACAAGATTGATCAATTCCTGGACCGCCAGTCCCGCTCGTGGACGTCCGACAAGTACGAGTCGAACCCCAACACGCGGACCAAATTCCTGAAGCTCGAAAAGCAGCCGGACTACATTCGAAACGGTGAGCTGAGGAATTTCCAACTTACTGGGTTGAACTTCCTCTGCCTGAATTGGTGTCGAGCGAACAATGTCATTCTCGCTGATGAGATGGGTCTGGGCAAGACGGTCCAGAGTGTATCATTTCTGAGCTGGCTGCGGAATGAGCGCCAGCAAGAAGGACCTTTCCTTGTCGTAGCACCGCTCAGTGTTATCCCCGCTTGGTGCGATACCTTCAACCTGTGGTCGCCGGATCTCAACTACGTCGTATATCTGGGAAACAGCGAGGCTCGCAGCACCATTCGCGAACATGAGCTGCTCGTCAATGGCAACCCGAAGAAGACCAAGTTCAATGTTCTTGTCACCTCCTATGAGTACATCTTGTCGGATGCTGACTTCCTCCGCACTCTCAAGTGGCAGGCACTTGCTGTCGACGAAGCTCATCGCTTGAAGAATAAAGAATCCAAGCTTTATGCTGAGCTGATGAGCTTCGGTGCCCCTGCAAAGATTCTGATTACGGGTACGCCCATCCAGAACAATCTGGCCGAGCTATCGGCTCTTCTTGACTTTTTGAATCCGGGCAAAGTCGTGATCGATGAGGATCTGGAGACGCTGCAAAGCGCCGATGCCCAGACTAAGCTGCAGGAACTGCATGCCTCTATTGCACCCTTCATCCTCCGTCGTACCAAGGAGACTGTTGAGTCCGATCTACCTCCCAAAACGGAAAAGATCATTCGTGTGGAACTATCTGATGTTCAACTTGAATACTACAAGAACATCTTGACTCGCAACTATGCTGCCCTTAACCAGGGCAACAACGGCCAGAAACAATCCCTTCTGAATATCGTCATGGAGCTGAAGAAGGTCAGCAATCACCCGTACATGTTTCCAGGAGCCGAGGACAGGGTCCTTGCCGGCAGCGAGCGCCGTGAGGATCAGATCAAGGGATTGATCACCAGTAGTGGAAAGATGATGTTGCTGGATCAACTCCTCACCAAGTTGAGAAAGGACAACCACCGTGTCTTGATTTTCAGTCAAATGGTGAAGATGCTTGACATCCTGGGTGACTACCTTCGTCTCCGTGGCTATCAATTCCAGCGTCTAGACGGAACCGTGGCTGCCGCGCCCCGTCGCCTTGCTATCAATCATTTCAACGCTGAGGATAGCCAGGATTTTTGCTTTCTCCTGTCTACCAGAGCTGGTGGCTTGGGAATCAACTTGATGACCGCCGATACCGTCATCATCTTCGACTCCGACTGGAATCCTCAGGCCGATCTACAGGCCATGGCTCGTGCCCATCGTATTGGTCAGAAGAGGCCTGTCATGGTGTACCGACTAGTGTCCAAGGAGACAATCGAGGAGGAAGTTCTTGAACGTGCTCGTAATAAGCTTCTCCTTGAATATCTTGCCATACAAGCTGGTGTAACAGACGATGGAAAGGCATTCAGAGAAGAGTTCAAGCAACGAGGCCTCAAATTGGACGAAGCCAAGTCAGCCGACGACATCCAATGGGTACTCAAGATGCGGTCACAGAAGATGTTTGAGCAGCAAGGCAACCAAGAGCGGTTGGAGCAGCTTGACATTGACTCGATCCTTGAGAACGCCGAAGTCACCAAGACTCAAGTCTCGGACAAGATGAACCTGAGTACAGGTGGCATTGACTGGGATAACTTCATGCAGTATACGGATGTCAAAGTCGACGATCTTGCTCTCGACTGGGATCAGATCATTCCGGCAGAGGAAATAGCGGCCATCAAGACTGAGGAGGAGAAGAAGAAGAACGAAGACTTCCTTCGCCAAGCCATGGAGGAGAATGCACCGAGGCGGGCGGCTCTCAAGGGCGCAAAGTCTAATGGTGACTCCGAACGAGCTGAGCGTGCGGCTAAGAAGCGCGAGCGCGAACAGCTCAAGCAGGAGCGCCTCGAGGAGCAACGAGCTCTGCGCTCTAACCCCCGCCGCCCTCTCAACGAGAAGGAAACACGAAATCTCATCAGAGCTTACATGCGCTATGGTTATTTTGACGATCGGCCAGACGAACTTCTTCGCGATGCTCGTCTCAGTGACCGCGATCGCGAGTTTATCCGCGGACTGTTACAAGATCTGCAACAAGGAGCTCAAGACGCCATAGATAGAAACAACGACGACCTCCGCACGCAGGAGCAACAGACTAGGAAGAAGTTGACCAAGAAGGATATCAAGGCCGTCATGTTCGACTTTGGTGAGGTCAAAAAGATCAATGCTGAGACTATCCTGGAGCGTCCGCCGCAATTGCAACTTCTTCGACGTGTCATCTCGGCACACGCAGACTTTCACGATTTTACGCTGCCTGAAGCCACCAAAGCGGCGCACTACAGCTGCGAGTGGGGCGCGAAGGAGGATGGCATGCTCCTTGCTGGCATCGATCGTTACGGGTTCGGGGCCTGGACAAACATCCGTGATGACCGAGAGATCGGCTTACAAGACAAGTTCTTCCTAGAGGAACATCGTGTTGAGAAGAAGGCGCAGAGAGAGCAACAAGGGGAAGAAAAGGCCGGTGCCAAGGCTCCTGGTGCAGTCCACCTTGTTCGTCGCTCTGAGTATCTTCTCTCTGTCCTCACGGCAGTGCACTCAGACGACGATGATGCCCGGAAGATTGTTGAGAACCACCACCGCAACAATAAGAAGGCAGCCCATGCCCAGGCAAATGGGTTGCGGCGCTCTGATAAGGCTAGTGCGTCTGCTTCTCCAGCACCTCATCGAAAGCATCACCGAGATCGCGACCATGACCGCTCCCACTCGCGAGGAGATCATCAGCGTTCTCGCAGCAATGCTGACGGAAATACTCCGCGACCAGACTCAAAGCGCAAGCACAGCGGTAGTGTAGATGATCGTAATCACAAGCTTCGCCGTGTTGACGATGATCAACGTCGGGTAGATGAAGCTCAACGTCTCGAACTGGAAGAAGAAGATGACAGAAAGAACGCACACATTATTGAAGCGCTCATGCACCCCATTTGGTCGCACGTCCAGAAGGTGGAAGGATGCACGAAGGCGAAAATCCCCGTTGCCAAAGCCAGAGCTAAGGTCTTGAAGGCAGAGATCACGGCGATTGGCAACTTCATCGAAGGCTTGCAAGTGAACACGGAGCTTGATATCAACGAAATCAAGCCAAAACTCTGGTAAGACATCACCGACCTTACTGCTTAGCACACGGCACACTAACGTATTCAACAGGAGATTCATTTCCAAGCGTATCCCAGCAAGTGACAAGCAACCTTCGGATAAAGACGGCAAAGACAAGCCTGGTGCTCCTGATCCTACGAGAATGACCGGTCCACGTCTCTCGGCACTCTATCAGCAACTTAAGCAGGCTGAGAAAAGTGGCGACGTCAAACCCAAACCTTCTAGCTCAACCGTCACCAATGGTTCTTCGCGTGGCGATTCTTCCAAGTCTAAGGACTAGTCGTCCCTTTTCTCGCTACCCTGATCATGACCAATCCCCGAGCTAGCTGATTTCATTGCATTGGAAGGCGTTTCGGTTCATGTTTCATTTAACATAGGTATCTCTACATTGTGACAGGTCATACCCCGCAAAAGCATCGTTGGTCACGGGACTACGGGTGTTACGGTTTACTGTTATACAAAGCGACTCTTTTCAGCATCTTTGGAGCGCTCGTGAAGTAGAATACAGGGGAGAGGGGCGTCGTGGTCTAGAGCGGCCGAATAGGCACAAGCTACCGTTGTGAAGTGGAGGAACAGACTTTGCTATAAAACGACAGTATCATGGAGCCGCGAGTCCTCGACGTTCGGCCATAGGGTTACGCATGGTAGACTCGCTGCGTAAAAGCTAAAACTGGCTGAGTACCAAGCCTTTTTTTCAAGATGGCGATGTCAGTACTATAGATACCAATATCTAACAAAACAAGCTATGAACAAGATTCGCCGCCTGGCATATGTCGTGAATTGTGAGTCGTGTGTTCCAAGTTGGCCCTGGTCAGTCCCCATAGCCTAAAGATCTTTCTGTGCTGTGGAAGGCAGCGCCCTCCGTCAAGTCCCGTCTGGCATGACACTACTCAACATTAATGTACTCAGAGCAAATGACATCGCCATTGAGGTCCATGACGTCGCCGATGGTGACGTTGGGGTATATCTCGGACATGTAGAGCCTGTGGTTGAGCGTGGTAATGTTCCCGTTGTCGCCGAAGTAGTCAGTGAACCTATAGATGGTGGGCATTAGTCCTTTCCTCAGGGATTCCGAATATGGAGAACCACAAGAAAAGCATACTCAGGACCAGTTCCTCCTTGTGGACCTCCCGGAAAACCGCCACCACCGCGGCCCCCTGGAATGTTCGGGCCGCCCATGTCAGTGTATCGGGTGGGCAGGTCGAGCTTCTGCCACTCCCACCATAGCTTGTCGAGCCAGGAGTGGTGCAAGTAGAAAACTGGGTCGCCAGGGGAGAGCGTCGCATCGCTCATCTACTCAAGAAGGAAGACTTAGCACAGGCCATACATTTGGGAACGCGGAACAAGACTCAAGACAGGGGTCTCGGAAACATACAATACCGCCAACACCACTATGCCCGCCGCTGTGCGGACCGCCGGACCAGCAGTTCCAGGCCTGTGTGTAGTTGGTAATCGTGTTGCACGCGTTGATGTTGGTCTGGCTGGTGGACGCCAGGCTGCGGTTGCTGAAGCGGCGCGTCAGGCAGCTCTCGTCGACCGTGCCCTCGCGCGTCCAGCGCAGCGTCAGGTTGGCAAAGGGGCCTGTCTCGACGCAGTTGTTGGCCCCAGTTCCATCGCCGCCAAAGTACTCCTCGCTCCAGAGCTCGGAGCCCTCCAGGTCGGCGATGTCTGCCAGCTCGTCCCAGTAGCTGTGGCGGCCTCCAAGTCAGTCACGCAAAATCCATCGGATGCTTGTTCAGGTTGTCTCCCTTCACAGTAGAGTATGGGGGGGGGGGGGGGGGGGGGGGAGGGGACCCGGTCCTTTGGGCGGTGAAACAAACAACTGTATTGATTGACCATGAATACGAACCACACGTCGCCATTGAAGTCACGATGGAGGCTGGGTCAGACTAGCTCGGATACGATGAACGGTATCAACCCCGTTCAATTGGCCCGTGTAATCATTGCTGCCTTGACGGAATGTTTCTCAATGTAGTAATCCGCAAGACAACCGATGAGGCCGCCCGGAGACGATTCTCATCGGTTGGCCGTGAAGGACTGCGGCATGTGATTACTTCCGTCTGAACCGAAGATTTGTAGGATAAAAGATATATACTATGCCAAAATTAAAACCAAAAAAAACCACCCAATCTCCGTCCTGATTTGTTCTAGCGTTCGTGTCTTGCAACACACTGGGGTGTCTGAAGAACAATGAGTGATTCGTTCGACAGAGCCTACACAGGAGACACAACCTGAAGGGATGAAACTGGTAAGCTGTTATGCAACCTCCACCATTTGCAAAATGCTTAAGATACACGAATGAGTGAAGACTATCAAATTCAGTATACCGCGTATTATCGCTACGAAATAAGGAAGAGAAAAAACTGCTCATTGACAGCTGCGCAACACGACTTGTGAACTAGCAACATCGACAGCCTAGCCAACATCTACTAACTCTATCTATTCGTGACCCGGTCAATTACACTTATCGTAGAAACCACCTTTTGATCCCCGAAGCCCAACTGTTGATATCATCAGAAAGCCCGAAACCTACATACTGGCAATGAACCCAACATCTCCAGCTGTGCCTACCATGGAACTAGCATTACACCGAGAGGTGTGCTACACCAAGGGTGTGGGAGTAACAGGACGACGGACATGCCGATGGAAGAAAATCTAGGCCAGGTAGAAGAACCGGTGCCCGAGAGTGTTGCATTTGGAAGGAATACCTACGTCTGCAGCTGCTCCATGCTTACGCCAAGACTCGTGGCGACTGCGAGGCTCCATATCTCTCACGGATGGACAGGGGAGGCTGTGGAGTACTTCACGTATGTATGACTTGCAGGAGATCTCGATTCAAATCCAAAGTTTAAAACATCGAGCTCAAACAATTTGGCGGAGTGCGTTCTGCATTATTGGTTCATGCTTAGAGGGGCACCACGTAGTGTCCGCCCCTCTTATCGGCCCATGGAATTCTTCGGAAAGCTGGGGTATTGGTGGTAACACAAAAGAACGCCATCCATACAGTCATCGCGAGGCTCTGAAAATCGGCTACGTGTCGTGATTCCAGTAGTCCCTGTTATTGATTAGGCAGAAATCACGCCGTTTTCGGTAGCGAGCCACGCGCATCGGACTCTCCATTGGCTTTTGGTAGCCTGATAAAGCGGGCGATTGTCCATGTGAAGCTGCCAACACTCTGTCCATTAAAGACCTGTCATATTTGATGAAGTGTCACATACTCAGCCTGATTTCGGGGGCGATGATACTCAGCCCTGTGCATCCCTGCGTGATCGGCTGGACGTGGTTAAAAATCAGGACTCGACCTTGGGTCTTGTAATACCATCTCCTTGAGCTCTAATAGGTCCTCCACCGAGTAGAACACCATCATCATACGCGCTACGAAGTATCGTGAGACTCGAAAGCCGAGGTAAGTTTTATGTAGTGTTGTGTTGTGCACCGAGTACTGAGCGATACTGCTAAATTCCAGTTATCGTTTCTTCCTCGTCTTCGATATTGTTGAAAAAGAAAAAAGAAACGTTTCGGCCAAAATTATGGACCCTACCTCAGACAATGTAAAGAACGCGGCTATACTGATTGGCATGCCCCTCAGAGCTTTCTGTCGGCAGCTCAGCCTTCCTGTACCAGTTGAGGATTCACCAGAAGATGTCAGTTTAAATTATGGATCAGATCAATGTTCAAAGATCCCGTCGGCATTTTCTTCCCTTGAATCAGAGATGGTGATTGATTTTGACGACATATACGAGCGAGGAGCCCGCATTCCACCAGGCACCCACCTTCAGATTGTTTCGGAGCCCAGCGATAATTATTCAAGCCCAGATCGGCTTTACCGCGATATGACATCGTTTCGATCTATCTTACGCACTGCTTCGACCTATAAACCTTACAAATCTCTGAGCATAGACACAAATTTGACAGCTCATGAAGACCATGACAGTTACGATAACAATGAGCTGCCGGCGTCACCACCTCAAGGGTTACAATCTCTTGATATGGATCACCGCACAATGATTCCGACCAGGAATTCCCATGACGTCGCTTCCTGTGACTTACCAATGCTGCGTTCGAACATCGGACGGAGTTCATTGCCGGGTGAGCCAACGTCCTACAATCTTCCAACGTACGGTCCTTGCAGCAAAGTTTGGGTCATCCCAAAGGTATGCGGCGTAGTGTACCCAGTCATGTGCCCGGTGATTTCTAATAAAGGTCATTAGAAAACTCGAGAAACTCGAGGTAGGCGAAAGCCACATGTAATTGCCACTATGCAGAACCAAGGTGGTGTTAAGCTGGGCGGTCGCCGCCGAGGGGCGTTTCGAACTGAAGAAATCCGCCGCCAGACTGCAGAGACTCGTAGGTTGCGAGGCTGTATCAGATGCCGGATGCTACAGAATCGAGTAAGACGCTGAATGCTTTTATCTGAGTTTACATCAGTCTGACCCCTTCGCAGTGTAATCCTGACCCTGAAAGCCCGACCGGAATTTGTCTGTGCTGTAAGAAGCTGCAGGACTCCGCACGACCCATTATGTGTAAACTTCCGTGTCTACGGTGGATTATTACAGACGCCTCTGTGCATCGAGAGCAGGAAAAACCCTTCCAACCGTTGTCAAATCGATGGCAGAGCATGGATATCATTGACATCAATACTTGGGCTTCGTCTGAGATCAGAACTATCACAGTCTCTCAGATATTTCTACAAGCGCCGTATCAGGTTCACGTCCGAGAATTTCAACCGAAAGCAGATGATGTGCTAGATAAAAGATGGTCCAGTGGGACAGAAGCTCGGAGGCATCGTGTTCCTCCATACGCGCTCGCAGATATGCGTGAGACAGCCAATACCCTTACACAATTCATTAATACCCATATCGAAGACTATATTGCTGCTGCTCTCAATGATTGCGATAATCTTCTGAAGAAAACGTATGATTTCGCGTTGAAATCAATGAACAATGGAAAGGTCCGATTCACTGATCGGTTTGTGTCTAGCTGCTAATCCTGGTCACAGACTCTGAAAGAACGAAATCTTTTACGTAATACCTTTCTTCTTTGGGTTGCCTGTCGCAAGACTAGTAATCCTGAGCATATATGTGGAAAGGACAAGTTGGGAGCAGAGGTTGTCCACGACCCCAATAGCAATTATCATTTGCGTGTGCCACTTCCCAGTATTATGGTGGCGCAAATGGAATGCATCATTTACTCGCTGGTGCTTCAACCCCTGTCCAGAACGATTACTAAGGAACTCAACGACCTTGTGCGGATGAACAAGCCAAAATATTGGTTGACGGTTTACCTTACAACTTTCCTTCTACTTCACAGCTGCTCAATGTTGACCAGGCGAGACTCTGAGACGGCGCAACAGTATCAAATCAAGGCAAGACTTTGACAAATAAAAACGTGTTTGCTCACTGCTAAACTTATGACAGCAAGAGTTCGCCAACATTGAAGGTATTCGAAAACACCAATTTGGTGCTCAGATTATCTTGGCTCATTTTCATTATCTCAACAAAGGAAATTTACCATTTGAATGGGGCGATGATGAAGTGAGCCAACGAAAACTGGCAAGAACAGCAGACTTGGCAGATGACCAGCTAAAATTTGTGCAAGAAACAGCGCAACTCATCAAAGATAAGCAAATAGGTTCGTACAGATAATTGACAAAGCCGGGTATCTGCTGATCACGTATCTTAGTTTCCAGGATAAATCTCGTACGGACGCAGAAAGATGTTGGAGATGATCTGTATTGGGTCTCACAATTATACGACGCCAATTGGCGACCGAGCCATACAGTGTAATAATCTATAGAAATAACAGAAACCATATAGTCAATAGAATGTGATAATGACTTTGAACTAGCCGCCCAGATTGAGCGAAATGAGTAAGCAGGGGTAAAGGGCAGAAGAACAACTATACTTGGCTGGACGCGTTACACTAAGAAGTGGTAGGCCAAGACGTAGCCTCCCTTTCAGCAAAGCACGCATGAACTGTCACCGTTGGTTGGCGTATTCTTGCACAGCCCCAAGCCGTTGGCTTCCTAGAGCATTATGCGGGGAGACAGGTAAGTAGAGGGAAAGTAGGGAGTGTTGGTTTTCAAGAAATCTGGTTGAAGTGCAGCAAAGTAGACCACATGCCTTTAAAGTCGTCGCTAGGACGTATTTGAAATTCTCCCATCCGCACCATTTGAACATCTCAAAAGTTTGAACCTTTATTTCGATATTTTGAAACTGTCCGATCAACGTCCACTATTGTTGCAAATGGCATCCAAATTGACTCTGGACGGCGGGATCGCCCTGGTAACTGGAATGAGCGAGCGATCGTGATTCTTATCTCTACCGGGCCTCTGCTAATTCTCTCATCAAGGCCGCAAGTGGCATCGGAAAAGAAACTGTCCTTGCTTTTGCAGAAGCCGGTGCCAGGGGAGTTGTACTCGCAGACGTCAAGATTGAAGGCATCGAAGCAGCCGCCGAGGAGAGCCGGAAGTGTGGTAAGCACGCGAACTACCGAGCACTTGCCATCAAAGTCGACATTACCGATCCCGAGAGTGTACAGCACCTCGTAGCCTCGACAGTGAGGGAGTTTGGACGCATCGACTATGCCGTCAACTGTGCTGGCGTAAGCTTTCTCAATACCCGGCGCGGTCACTGGAAGGGCGCTGACCGTTGTTGCCAATTAGATTGATTTGGAGACCTATCGTTCTTTCACGCCACCCTTGGATTAGATGTCTTCTCTGAGGTTATCGACACGAACATGGCGGGCGCGGTACGGTTTGTCCGAGCTGCTATGGCGGCAATGGCCCAGCAGGAACCGCTCACATTCACTGGTCGTCATGGGTTGCGTAGCCTTGGGAAAGGTTCCATTGACGTCCTGGGCTCCACAAGCTCGCTAGCTGGGATACCGGGGATGATCTCGTATACAACGTCAAAGCATGTCGTCATCGGTCTGGTAAAGTCTGCCGGTAAGAAGTTGCTTGTCTATAAGGTTTTGTGCTCGAGTGAATACTAATTATGCGGCTTAATAGCTGTCGATGCCTTGGCCCTGCAAAGCGCCATCCGCGTGAATGCCGTCTGTCCCTGCTGGGTCGACACGCCCATGGTTCAGCTTGGCATTGAAAAGAACCCAATGCTCAAGCCTGTCATTGACAATCTTACTCCACTAAAGCGGGCTGCCTCTGTTGACGAAGTGGCTGACTACATCATCTTTCTGTCCAGTCCATATACAAGCTTCATTAACGGCATCGCTTTGTCTATTGATGCTGGGCTCACCTTACCCACGCCTCCTTCGCTTCCGCTATCTTGAAGCATAGAAACATGTCCAAAATTATTTTATGGATTTATGTTAATTGAGTACTGCACTTTTTGGGATAAGCTACAATTGATCGTGGATCTACAACAGTAAACAGTCCGAAAAACTCCGATGAGATATTGCAAACTGCTATCACATATTTATTATTTATTATCCAGAATGGGATTTTCCTAAATGGAAGGAAAGTTGATACCGCGTCTGATAGGCTTTGATGCAAGTTACAGTTGGACAAAGCCTCCAAGTTCAATCACGGCTACCAGAAACAGTCCTGGCGCCAATCTTGTGAGCGTTTTCGTTCGCTATACAGAGAGTTTTATACCAGAAACCGGTGGCCGATCTCTGTTGAGGCAGTCTCACGTTGAGACACTCGCCAGCAAGGCTTGAAAACTCGATCAGGGGGCTTGTAGCATTAGGGGGCGAAGCTGACGCAGCATCGTTTCGCCCAGAGTCTGTTTTCGTCAACGTGATTCAACGCAGGTCTATCTTGGCGGCGAGAACTCGACGAATGATATGGCGCTCGCCTTCTCCGATATTTGACCCCCGGCATAAAGCGCAGAAGGCTTTGGAAGTCCCGGCAGAGGAATTGGAATGGTATTAGGTAGTCGCATAGTTGGCTCCAGCCCCTAGACTTGTAACGTAGTAAATGGACAGGCAGACGTTGAGTACATAGGTCTTACCTGCCAGTGAAAATCCTAAGCTCGGCATATCGAAGTGGTGGATAAGTGATACCCGCGAACGCTATTGCAACCCATGCGCCAATGTCACCTCCGCTGTCTCCAATCATCTGTGCGAGGGCTCCTTGGTACCAGACCTGACTCATTCCCAGAAGTGCACCTGCCCAACCTACGAGCCAGGACACCAGCGCGGCCAATCCGACTGGAAGTCTGTCTCTGTCTTCCCACGCAGTCCAGTCAAACTCCAAACCACAGAGAGAGTGGAACAACAGGTGCTCCTCAAGGACAATGGCCAGCCATGGGCAAACCCAGTAACTCATGATTGGAAGTAGGTTCTCAAATATGCCGTATAGGTTATCGCGACCAGAGACTGAGCATATGAGCTCTATTGAAACCAAAATCACACACCAGACCCACCGAGGAATGGCTTTGGCGTAGCGTCCCAAGACCTGGCAGGTATTCGCCCCCGCATATGTTGCTGGTGCATTGTTGGCTATACTCCCGAGAGCGAGGATTACCACGCACACGCCACCGAGTCCACCGAGTCCTCTGTAGCACTTGAGCAGAAGGGCGCCGGACGAAACGGAGTAAGCTTCGGCCCAGGAGGGCTTGGTCGGTACCCCCGTACCGATACCAACGCCGATAATGCCGGCAATGAGCGAAGATAGCCACAGGCCCGACCAGGTACTCAAGAAAACCATCGGCTTGGATATCCCAGGAGGATAGTACACGTACAAGTCGGCGGCAACGGCCGAGAAGCCCACGACCACCCCAAACTCTAGAGCGAAAAAGGAGCATCTGTTCGCTGCGATAGTAGCAGACGAGCCAACCGATGCCAATCCTGTGTTCCATCCGCCACCTGAGGAGCCAACAAGGATAAATAGGGCGCAGGCTTGCGGTATCCAAGCGTATCTGGTTTGGCCTTTTTCAGAACTGTGTACTATGGTAATAGAAGGAACTCCTCTGGAGCATACGCACCTCTCATAAGTGTGGACTATGCCAATTCCAAGAGTGGCAATGACGCCTATACCGAGAGCGCCGATAACACATCCCGGAACGACAGACAAGCCATTGCCGCTCACAGCCGAGAGCATCTGACCGGCCACAATGGCGCCAACGGTACCCCAGCCAATCTGCATAACGATATTCAAGAGGCATGTTAGTTTCGAGGGCCAGTAGCCCATGAAATGGCGGCTCAGTATCTATCATACCCATAAAGTCCTGCAGTCAGCAACCCTTCCGTACGGTACTGTGGATAGCCCGTATTTCGTACATACCATAGTCCTGTTCCCGCTCGCCGCTCCAAATGTAGCCATGTATGCTGGTCCACAAGCACTCAAGGCGTTGGCGAAGATGACGATGCAGACACTGTCGACCCAGCCCAGGCTGAAAATTAACGGGCCGAGAAGACCCGGAATAAGAGTGAGAACACACAAATTCGCTACGACCATCCGTGATCAGTATTTACTGAAAAGAACCCTTGTAGAGCAGCTGCTGTATCGTTTTCCCGACAAGGGATGTTCGAAAAACACATCTAGGGTATGTACGGGGCTGCTGTGGGATTTTTTGAAAATACATACTGCCAAACCACAACGTGAACATTCCCTTATAGTCCGACCGGCCTCTGAACAGATTCCTGTCCTCGGGCAGGACGCGGGCGATGCCACGAGCTTCCAGGCCTGAGAGCCCCTCGATCTTTACATTCCAGCGCGACAACATGTTCCTCAACACGGGCAAGGGTGGGGTCGATGGGCATATACCTATACCGCCTTCATCCACCGCGACCCCCTCGCGTTCGCCTGGTCCCTCCAACTCGATATCATGAGATTGTTTCTCGGCGGACTTCATTCTAGTGATGAGCAGATTCTGACACAGAATGGCTGTTTTGCTCGGGTAAGATGAGCGATGGCGAGAAGTGAGAAAACCCCCGAAGTATCAAAATGGCTTATCTCCCGATCGCGTCGAACAACCTACTCCAAGCTTACCATACATGCAGTGCAACACGCCTCGCATATATGCAGCGGGGTTGCATGGCTTTCTTTGTCCACCTATGTGACGGCGACCTGCTGATCTCATCAACATGACAAAGCACGAATACCACGAAACTCCCCTCGAGACTGAATTATACCAAGTAATAAATCTTCCGGGTTACGCAAGTCTCTCATACGTAATTCATCGTGAAAATGTCCACGCAGTACGACGCCATCCAAGCGCCCTACGATGAAATCAGAAAGGCCTCCATCTCCTTCATCGAGCAGGAAAATGTACACGAGGCTATCGCGCCCTGGATCCAGGGGGCACGCGTGCTAGACCTAGCCTGCGGCTCGGGCTTCTACACGCGCGAGTTCATCCCCTGGGGCGCGCGCAGCGTGCTGGGCGTCGACATCTCGTCGGCCATGCTGGCGGGGGCGCGGCGGGCGATGGACGAGGCCGGGCTGAACGCGTCCCAAGTGTCCTTCGAGCAGGCCGACTGCACGCGGCCGGCGGCGTACCGGGGCGGGCCGTTCGACGTCGTCTTTGGGGCGTGGCTGCTGAACTACGCGGGCGGGGCGGGGGCGCTGACGGACGCGTTCCGCAACGTCGCGGCCAACCTGGCGGAGGGCGGGCGCTTCGTCGGCGTGACGACGGCGCCGACGCACGACCCGGCCGCCTTCTACGCGGCCGAGAACGCCGCGCGCCCGCGCGGGTCCGGCCTGCTCATGGGGCGGCCCACGGGCCCCGTCGACGACGGCTTCGCCATCCACATGCACGGGGACACGGACCGGGGCGCGGTCGACTTCGACTTCTTCCACCTGCGGCAGGACGTCTACGAGGCGGCGGCCCTCGACGCCGGGTTGCGGGGTCCGCTGGAGTGGAGGGTAACGGCGGTGTCGGACGAGTTCCTCGAGTCACGGAGGGGCCATGATGATTTCGAGGAGGTCGAGAGTTACAAGGTGACGCCGAATTACGGGGTGCTTATCATAGCTAAATAGGGGTGCTATTGAATATGTTCAGTCGGTCTCCTCCTCCTACTTGCATGTTGCCATTTCTCTCGAAGCCAAGTCCCGTCTGAAGAGTATACTGTTTCACTGTTTCTGGCTAGAGCACGTTTGGTAGTATAGTCGAATCAAGCTCTTGGCGTTGACTAGTACTAGGGCGGGAACGTTCCGGTTTGGCTAGGAAAGATATCTTTCGTCATTGACACTGTACACTGCGACTCTACTGCCAATATATCAGGGAAGCGACTCATGCACAGCTGGGCACGTTTGTTCACCTCTAACCTGACCTGTGATCATGCCCAAACACCATGGTAGCTATGCGAAGCTGAAGGCGTCCATCCAGCCCACTGGTGCACTAGTCATGACGTATCAGGTAGTGCATTACACCGGCACGGCCCCCTCAGTCGATGGTGCTGTGATAAATCGTTCGCGAGCGCGACCAGTCGCACGGCATGTGTTTCACACTTGCAATTGATAAGTTACCAGCCAGCCACCTGCGACTTGTCGTTCGTCGATCAGGGGTCAGAGATTTGGCGACGCACGGCCAATGATTGTACTGGGGGCCGCACCATGATAAGGTTCGGCAATTCCTATATTTAGAAAAGTCTGGGTAGTCTTCGTCGACAGGCCCATATCGGATGAGGTTTGGCATTCTGCACGAATTGAGCCTATCGCATGGATTTGCGGCAGGGGCCATGTATTTTCAACAAGAGCTATCTTCGCTATGGCTGAGCCGCATTCAAGGACCGCGGGCCACATCCGTCTACCGGCTCAAGTCCAGCCGAGCCCACCGGACATACACAGAAATCTTGGATTACAAAACTGGGCTGCGAGTGGGAGAGATTCGTAGGTGAATACCGGATCTGCGGAAGGGAAAAGCTGATAAGTGTGACCCATTGAATTTGACCCGCACTCTCCGGGAAGTCTCCCTTCCATCGTTCTTGCGAAATCTTTCGAAAGCATGTGACAATTATGTCTGTTCGCCGGTATAGGAAGTGTGGTGCATGGGTTGTGGGATGCGGCTACAGAGCTGCAACAGGGGTCCGTCCGTGCTACTCTGAGACACGATTCGAACTGCTGCCCCAAAAATGGTTCCTCCATCCCGTGTCTTGCTGCACAATGCCGAATGACCCTTACAGGGCCACATAACCAGATGGCCTATCACGCGCCACATTCGAAAGACCTCACACTATCCCCTTCTGGGGTTCCAGGGGGTTCCAGAGCTACAGCCCGAGAATAAGTGGTACCATTCGACAGTGGCGTAGATCTGTAGTAGTAGGCTCCATCTTGGAAGCGGCGATTACCAGGAATGGTCCCTTTCTCGTTGTCCAGACTTCTGCTGTTGATAGCCGCAAGGAGCTACTGGCTGGAAACCTTTCCTGTCACCTCGGATGCAGACGCGAAAGACATGCATGGCTTTTACACGCCATGCGCCCTCTGTCCGATCCATGACATTCAACACTCATCTGGATCCAAAGAACATGCTGACTTGGAGCGCCAAAATCCGATAAGTTCGTCTGAAAAGGCTCGCCATGTCTGCGACAAGCTCCCAAGACACACCCTCCCGTACCTGAGTCCACCGTAGAGTTTGGCTTCTTGTAGAAAACCTTGGCGACGTCCTGCCCGTTGTGATGAGCGTGAAGATCCACCTTGACAGAATGAAATCGGCGGCTGGTCGCAGTTGACCTGACTTCTGATCCCAAGCGTTTTTCCTCGTGCGCACACACAAACACGCACGTAGAAGCAGGCAGGCAGCACCAGCTCTCTCCCGGCCCAAAGGCTCTCCCTATGCAGGTATAAATATATCAAACTCCGGGGCGAAGCTGCCCAAATGCCATCAACACGCTAGAGAACCGTGGGTATTCGTACACAAACATGAGTGCAAAAAGTCATCGTCGTCATATGATGCCGCCTGGTGGATCGTATGCACCTCCCCTGCCCGAGTTGAGACCGGCACTACCCGGCGTCTCGGCATCGACCTGGGCTGTATTCGTCTTTCGTAGCATAAACATGGGTTTCTTGCCCTCCTTGTCCAATTGCTTAAAGAGGATAAGCGGCTTTTCGTCCAAGCCTAGGCAGCGCTCCTGGTCGCCGTACACAATGTACAGGGCGTACTTGTCCCAGGGTTCGTTGATCTGGTACTTCTTGAGCGCTGCCGGGAGGACCTTGTAGCAGGGGTCGTCCATGCTGACCCTGAACGACTTGAAGATCTCGACGGATGCCGAGCTGGAGCCCGGCGTGTCGGGTGCTGGCGTCTGCATGCGGCGTGGGGGTGCGGGCTGCTTCGAGTTGTAGGCGTGGTCGTTTTCGGAGAAGGTCGTGCGAGTGGATGGTGTGGGCTGGTCGGAGCGGTATGATCGCGAGGCGAGAGTCGTGCTGCCCATGGTGGGCGGCGACGTCGGGGAGGGAATGTTGGGGGAGTAGCCCGGCGAGGTGGCCGAGGCCGAGCCGTTCATGGCGGCGAGATGTGACGAGGAGAGGACGGCCCTCTCGGCGGCACTGGCGGGGTCGAGGGTTTGCTCTACCGACGGCCTCTCGTGAGTGGTCTGCAGATGGCTAGGAGACATGTTTTTGGGAGTCGTACCCAGAACAATCTTCTTTGTGGAATATTGCCTCTTCAGGCCGCCGCCACCCGATTGGATGGAGGAAGGCGTAGGCGCGGGGGGCGAGATGGTGGAAGACTCGTAGCTGTAGCCCTGGTTGTCTCTGGCGGAGACGTTGGGCAGCGGTTGTTGGGCGTTCTTGGCGAGGCGGAGAGCGGGTAGCATGTCTTCGCGCAGGCGCCTGTAGTCTTCGGTCAGCCGCTGCAAGTCCTGCTCCACCAGGCTCATCCTCTCATCCCGCAGCCGCAGCTGCTCTACGAGATGCTTGATGTCCTTCAGAGTGGCGGTGGCATATTGGGCTTCGGCATCGGCAGCTGGATACAGGGGGGTCGCCAGTTAGTACGACGGGCCAAGAGATCAGAGAGGAGAGAGAGGAGAGAAGGGAAGGGGTGGTGCGGTGCATACACAGGGGTACGTAGTGGTCGCTTTCTATAGGGACGTCCTGGGCCTTCTTGACATCGTAGACGCTCTTCAGGATGGTCAGACGGTGGCCGACACTAGAAATGCCCATGGACTTCAAGTCATCGTGAAGCAGGGCGATCAGGGCCTCGCCGACGATCTCGTTCTCTGGCAGTATGGTCAGCGTGCAAGCCTGGGGGGCTGGGCTAGGCTGCCCTGGATCGGATCGACCAACCTATGAAGCGATCGGAGTACTGCTGCAGGCCAATGGTGGCGATGAAATCAGCGCATTCGTCGGCGGTCCATTCGGAGATGATGGTCTCGGGCAGCCTGTCAGCGCTGCTGCGATGGCCGTAGGTGGTCGGGGTGTGCTCGGTCGAGGAGCGGCCCTCGGAGTCGGTGGGAGAGATTTCGGAGTCGGTGGCCAGCACGGGGGAGCTGGTGTGCAGGCTTCTCTCGTACTCGTCGTCGGCGTCCGACTCGGCATAGGCGGTGCCAGAGTCGAAATTCATCATGTTGCCGTCGCGTGGCGTGGCGTAGCGCACGGTTGTCATGAAGCGGAGTGCGGTCGAGAAGGCAGCAGGACTGTGGATGGACGGACGGACGGACGAAATGCGTGGTCGTCGGGGTCGGGATCAGGCGTGGCGTTCTGTGTGTCGCCGTGTCGTGGACGTGTCGACGCTGGGTGCCTATCGCTGAACCGCGGGACTGGAGTCCGGGGGTGGATCAGCGACAGCGAGGTCGATTGGAGTCTGGGAGCGAGAGAAGGGGGAGGGGAGGGGGGTTGAAGCTCGAGATCGACGCGGGTTGGCGGGGCAGAGAGAGGATGGAGGAGGCTATCGCAGCACTCGAGCCGATCAGGTTGGCGATGCGATGCGGGCACGGGAAGCGAAGCTGAGCTGAGCTGAGGCCCGAGCAGAGCAAAGGCAGGCCAACGGGGCACAGGGAGCCACGGAGCGGGCCAAAGAGAGAGCAGCAGCAACTAGGCGCAGATCTGCAGTGGACACGCACGACACGATGTCGGACTTGGGCTGGGCCGTCTGCCTCGTCTTGTCTTGTCTTGTCGTCGCTCGCTCGCCCGTGTGTGATATCGATGCAGCAAGCAACCAACCAAGCGCTGGCTGCGACGTTTGTTCGTTCGCTCGTTCGTCCGTCTGGTGCTGGGCGAGGGCTGTGTACGTGTGTGTGAGAGGCCGTCTGGTGATGGGGGGAGGGGAGGGTTGTGGTCAGGGTTGGGGGTTGGACGTGAGCGAGTGCCCAGGTGGTACCCATGGACGTCGTCGATGCTGCGTAGCCGCTGACCCTCCTGCATAATTAGTACCTAGGTGCCTAGGTAACTCCGTAGGTGCTGTCCTGCCCGCCTCCCGCCTCCCGCCTCCCCAAACCTCCCCAAACCTGGAAGTTCCAATGCTGCTCTGCTGCCTTTCTTGCTCCCCACCACTGCCCATCCACTCACTGGGGGCCACCGCACTGCAGCACTGCAGCACTGCATTCACTGCAGCACCAGCGAACAATGGACCGCCCGCCGACGGCGCAGGGGCCACGCGGCGGCTCGCTCAGCGGCCTGGGGCGGATCTGCTGTGCGTTTTGGCCTGGGCTCCCATCCATCCTGAATTCAAGCAGACTGGCTGACTGGCTGACTGGCATTGCCAGGGGTTGCGTGCTACCTAACCTTGGGGCAGGTAGGCAAGGTACCTGCCCTGGCGACTGGCCCACTACTGGCAGACCCCTGCAACTTTGGCAACGCTGCACCGTGGCACCCGTACCTGAACCTGAACCTGAACCCGAACCTGGGACCGGAAGAAGACATCGCGAGTCTCCACCTCAGCCTGTCGTGTCGACCTCTCGCTCGCAGGCAAAGACACGACACGGCACGACACGACACGACACGACCAGACACGCACAGAGTCCCAGAGTCCCAGAGTCGCACATGTCTACCACAGCTGGTTCCTCGTGTCCTCATGCGGGCTGGATCGCCCCAAGTCTACCCGCTCCGGGGCTCCAAGTGCTGCTACCGTAGCTTAGCATTGATCTACCATTCTGTCTGATCCACTGTCTCCTTCTCCATTTGTCCATGATGCTATCTCTCAACGTTCGATCCCGTCTCTTCATTTTCCTTCTCGCCTTACCGGGCTCAACTTTTTCGAGCCGAGCTTAGGGACGGACCGGACTTGATCCATTAATCTCATCAGGAACGGGGGCTTTCCACCCCATCCTAGTATCTGTCTGCATAGCGCTTAAGTAGCTGACTGTCGTGCAAGCCCGCTCGGCGCCTCGACATGTTCTGTACCTGCGCCAGGAACAGTGTATCATCGCTGCGTCCCGATGCAACCCTGCTGCCGCTGGCTGACCAGTCTTTCCGTCTGTCATCACGATAGCCTCGCCCGTCGTGGTCGCTTAACGGCCCACCGCTACTGATCCTCATCAAAAGAATCTTGCGCTCATCTCGGTACCAAGGGCCCATGTGAGCCTCTGTGGTATCCGGAGCGGATGGCGTGGGCCTTCCACGGCTTCTCTCGCTGTTTCCATTGCCCGCCCCCCTTGTCACGGACTGGCTGGCAGGTCGTGGCTGGTGTCAATGGCTGTGGCTAGTGCAGATCCTCTGGTCTCTGTGGCCCCACTGGCCTGGTAGGGTGAGAGATGGCCCGTGCACTCGCAGGAGAAATACTATAGTACCATCCCTCTGTTAGTTGTAGAAGCGGAGTATTCAGGATTCTTGCAATACTACTACTATCTGTTACAGTTACAGGATTCGCAGCCAGGCCTTCAATCCCCCGTGATGCCAGTGGACACAATACCACGTTTCAAGTCTGCATAGTCAACGACCTTCAGTAAAAGCCACGGACCCGGACCTGTTGTAGCGCGGTGTCAGGAGACTCCACAGCTCGTTTCCAGCCGTCTGCCGCTCCAGACCTTTGCAGTAGAAGGCCAGGGCCGGGCTCGGATTCTGCCTCCGGATCTCCTCTACCATCTCGAAATGTTGCACCTCCCAGACCCGGACCGTCTCCCACATGATGCGTATGGCATTCTCCCTGTTCACGCCGTACATGTCCATGACGATAGGCACCGAGGAGCAGAGCGCCCCAAGTTCGAACCCGTTCTGGGCGGCAAGCTCCTCTTTCTCGAAGCTGCAGATGTCGTTGACGAACGTTATGTGTTTCATGGCGTTCTTCTCAATGTCCTTCACGAGTGCGAGCTCTTCTGCCGTCATGTACAGGCCCGCGCAGAAGCGCATGATTCCCGTCAGCAACCTTTTTTGAGATCCCATGAGTAATTATATGCATTGTGTGGTAGTGATGGACGACCTACCCTTTGCCAAGGTCGGCGTCGCGATAGTCAAAGTATTCGTTCAGGGTCATTGGCTTGATTCGGTTTCCGTCCACCTGCGCCCATAGGAAGTCTATGGTCGGTGCCAGGAGCTCGTCTGCCAGTTGCTTGTCGACGGCTCTCATTCCCTCGAAGAGATCGTACATGATCCACTGGCCCGGCACATCGCGGTCGGGAAGTATGCTTCCCCGGGCGCATTCAATGACCTTGGAATTGTAGGCAACTCCCTCTTGAACCGACATTGAGTCGAGAAGGTCATCAATCAGGAATCCAATGGTAAGGAGCCGGCAGCCCCAGTGCATTCTCTCATCCAGCGATAAGGGGCAATTAAGACACACGAACCAGGCGAAACCTTCATCGACAAAACGTCTCCGATGCTTCTCCGTCCTGAATGGCCAGTTCTGGAGGAAGAATTCATTGACCTGTTTCACGACTTCAACAGCATCGGGGTGTTTCTGAGCAGTCAGAATAGTAGGGCGCAGGTCTGCTGGATAGTGGGCAGAAGTCTTGGGTGCTGGAGGCGGCGTGTTAGAGCGGTCGCCCTTGCCTCTAAACGTCTGATATGAAGGTTCCTTGATATTGATTGGAGTAAATGGAGACAAGACAGACATGTTGGCCAGTTAAGATATTGTAGAGTGAGGGGATGAATAGATTTGGGGGTATGAGAGTTGTGTAGTTGCATCTAAGGAAGTACGGATGATTTCGAAACTGAATCCTCGGCGATCTTAGAGGGGAAATCGCTTGTTGTATATAATCATGATTCCTTCACATTCTACTATAGTCCATTTAGAAGAGTGGTGATGTCAGTTACGTATGACCTGAGCACTCCCATTGCCCACTTTCATCACGTAACGCCCAGACACCTGCCCCATACCGAGCATTGCGATTCCACACCTGGTGTTTGCGTATGTGTTAATAGCGCTAGTTGAATGGCAAACTTTGCCGATATCGATGTGTCATCTGCTGATAAGTAATCTCATATTCTTCTCGAAGCCTTGTAAGTGATAGACATGACAAAGCCAATACAGCCCTTGTCATCACCACAATACTCCAGGAAAAGAGATCGGCCATGCTTGATTAACCCCTCTCGCAAATGATCTACCAGCATTTATTACCTCGGTCAAATGACCAGGTAATGAGACAATGGGCTCATCGGCGCCCATAGCGGACTGGCCCAGACTCCGGCACATTTCTGACCTCGAGCTGGCGATAAGATACAACTTTCCATCTATTATGCATCGAGACCCTCCATCGGAATAGAGCCACCACATCCGCTGATGAAGTTATCGCGCTTGGCGAAAAGTCGCATCAGCAAGGGCGCTGCACTGCTCAACGAAGCCCTCACAGAATCACAGAAGGAGTGTGATAATGCAGTCATCATGCATTATACGTGACTGGTACATCCAAGCGCCAAATTCTTACTAGATCCCGACTGTCTTTTTGCTTTGCCGCATATACGTGTTGTTGTTTCGGCCCGCCAATACTCTCCGGCGGTTACAACCAGCCTAGTCCAAACGGTTAGCCCAATCAGACATGCGGAAGGACATAGGACTTGCATACATCGCTTCGAGCTTGTAGCCACCGGCAGCTGCCACTGAACCGCAACAATGGACTATTACGGAACTAAGTGTTTGCTACGAGTCGGAAATAAAAGCAAGTATAGCCGATTCAACTCCCAATCACCGGGCCGAAACCACCCATACCGTTCATCCTTGAGGCCGAGCCCTCTTATCGGAACCGACGCTTGCCCCGTTCTGCATACACCTACATCCATCACATCGAGCAGTTTGCTTATCTCGTTATGTATACGCCTCCACCAAGCACCATTTGTGATTACGTGAACGGTGGATTTGTGGGGAGTTTTAGACTACTTTTGCAAGCAAACATCATGATGTTTGCCTCACCGTCAGACATGGCGTATGTGCAGCGAATGAGGAACCCTGGAGGTGATTGCGCATTGGATCGTAGCGTTTCGATAGCCGGGGTACCAGAAAAAGCACTCGTGCGATAGAGGAGAGGCTACTTCTTACCTCCAAGTTCAAAAGCCTGGAAACATGGCTCTGCCTGTTCTTGTTCCGGTGCGGTGCGCTGAAATCCTCAGACCTCACGAGCCCGCTTCATACATTTCACATTCTGTACTGCGGCGAAGACACAGTCAAGACTTCTCTGCCAGAACTATAACGCGGCCATGGATACCGCCAACGTATCTACCGTTCAAACGACCTATGGCTCACACCTGTTGCATCTCGTGCACAGCTGGGACTTGGAACTTCCACCCCTGTCTGGCAGCACAATGTGGAAAGTATTCGCGGCATTTGTAAGTAGAAAGATTGGAGTTTACCATGTATGGCGGGTTGATTTGTACAGTTTGCTGCGTATGCGGTTGGCCATGTCATCTACAACTTATACTTCCACCCACTTCGTGACTACCCTGGGCCACTTCTGGCAAGATCGTCCTTGTTATGGAGATTCCTTCGCTCTATGGATGGTCGCTGGCACCGCCATATAGAGGAATGTCACAAAACCTATGGTACGTCGCGTCTGGTCAAATCGACGAAAGGGCATCCGGAATCTGACGATATATCAAGGCAATGTTGTTCGAGTGAGCCCGAGCGAACTGTCGTTCTGCACACCCTCTGCGTGGACAGACATATATGGATCAGGCGCCAAGGGTGCTGGTAAGGTGCTATTGAAGAATGAGTTCTACGACGTCTTCGGGTCCGGCTTCGAGGTCCAATCCTTGGGCACCGAGCGCGATCCAGTCCTGGCGCAGCAGAAACGTGCCCTGTTCGCCACTGCATTGTCGGTCAAGGGTCTGGCTCAACAAGAGCCTATCCTGCACGAGCACATCGATGCGTTCGTGAATAAACTTGGTAAACTAGGTGGTGGCGACGACGGCGCCGATATGACCAAGTGGTTCATATTCATAGGGTTTGATATCATGGGACACATGTCTTACGGAGATTCTTTTCGATGCGTCGAGAGGGGTGAGTTGTGTCTGATCATGATTGAAGCCAACGGCAGATACTAAATCAACCTCACAGAGGCGTCACACCCATGGCTTGATCTTATGCTTGGGTTGATGCACGCCGTTACAGTCATCGACAACCTCCGGCGTCTTCCATTGATGGTGACGTTCGCGAAATGGATACCAGCCAGATTCACAGATAGTTTCAAAGACCGCATGATTCACTTTGTCAAGATGAAGACTGCCGCGTGAGAATTCCCCACCATTCGAAACCGCCTACAAACTAACAAAAAGTAGTCGACTCGAGAAGGAAGTTGGACAGAATGACTTCCTCGAGGTCGTTTCCGGCAAAACCCGCAATGGAGAAATTACTGTTGCAGAAATGGAGGCGCATGTCTGGAATATGGCGTAAGTGGACCAAAATAGTCACCTGAATTTGACCAGGTCAATGTCACTAATGCTCTATATAGAATGGCTGGCGCTGAAACCAGCGGAAGCTCCATGACCGCTACGCTGTTTTTCATCCTCACGAGCCCAAAAGTGCATCAAAAGCTGAACCAGGAAGTGCGGTCCACGTACGATAGCTACGAAGACATCAACCTCGTATCGGCAACACAACTGCAGTATCTTATGGCTGTGTTGAAGGAAGGCTTGCGTATCTTTCCCGTGGCAGCTCAGGGTACCCCACGAACATCCCCCGGATGCACTATTGCTGGGCGCCATGTGCCCAAAGGGGTAAGTGGATGGCCTATTGGCATTGGAAGATTTGATACGTGTCTAACGTATCCACGTGCCAGACTGAACTCTACGTCTCTCCGTGGGCCATCACACATGACGAGCGCTTTTGGGACCAACCGTATGACTTCAGACCGGAGCGATGGATTGATCCTGATTGCAAAGATTTGAAGGCAGCTAGTCAACCATTTTCTCTTGGTCCTCGCGTTTGTCCAGGGAAGCTGTAAGTACCCTTTCCTCTCATATCCTTTGTCTCCCTCTTTTTACCTGGGCGTATCTACGCCTTCTCTTCATCAGAGTCCAAGGCGTAAGCATTTCAAGGAGGCTAAGTACGTTGCAGCTTTGCGAATGGACAAATGGCCCTCATGCTGGCAAAGATGGTATATGTGTATGACATGGAACTTGTGAATCGGGATCTAGATTGGATCAATACTTGTAAAATGCATTTCCTATGGTGGAAGCCAGAGTTAAAGGTAACATTCAGACCACGAAGCACTGTGGAATAAATGCGAAAGCCACGTACTTCTGATCATTGGCGGTCGTATGGCTCCCGCCGTCTTTGATCCCTCTACCTGGCAGCATATAGATCTTAGACTAAAGCAAGGCTATGAAACTCTACATGGGGATTGATTGTTGGAAACCCGACCCAACAGCACAAGAATTCAAACGTCAAACAGATCTGAGATGCTAAGACGCCCTGATCTGACCGTTTATAAGTCCAAGTAATGAACACCCCATCATCGTGCTTGCATGTTTGAAGCACCTCCCGCCCTTAACCATATCACGAAGCCCGTGTTTATTATACCAACAGAACGTTTCCGTCGAATGACTGTCTAAAAGTTAAACAACGGAGTCATGCGGGTTTCACATATGAGTAGCCAGTAATACCATGATCCATCACTCTAACGTCCGCTTCACCCAATCTAACTTGGCCGCGATAGCGCGGCGTCCCAACCAAGACTCGGGCGCCATCTCATCGAAGCCGTGGAATGCACCTGCCCAGATATGCAGATCAGCAGACACACCGGCAGCCCAGAGACGTGACGCGTACGCCACTACTTCATCACGGCAGAACTCAGCCGAGCCAGCCTCCAAGAAGGCCGGTGGCAAACCTGCGACGCTCGCGGTCCGAGCCGGCGCCCAGTATGGGCTCACGGCATCCCCTTTATTTCCTCCGAGGGCGATTTCCCACGCAACCGCGTTCTTGATCCCATCCCAGGGCTCCTGGCCGTTGAACTGGCCACAGCTGACTGTCTCGCAGCGGTCGTCCAGCGCTGGGCATGGCAACATCTGTCCGCGTATCGGCGGCTGCAGACCTTCATCACGGGCACGGAGCGCCAACCCCGCCGCGAGGGCGCTGCCCGCTGAATGTCCGGCAAGAAGGATCCGCGTGAGATCTATGCCCAGCCGCTCAGCCGAAGCACGCACCCACAGGAGGCCGGCGTAGCAATCATCGGCCGCTGCGGGCTGCGGGTGCTCGGGCCCCCTGCGATACTCGACACTCACGAGCACGGCTCCCGTGGCAACCGCCCAGTTCAGAGGCTGCGTGAGGCCGACAAGGCGGTGGAGGAAGACGAAACCGCCGCCGTGCATGTAAAAGATGCAAGGCCGTGGCCTGCCGCTGGGTGGGGTCGCCTTGGGAGTAAAAACCGACAGGGCGACTGGCGGGTCAGATGGCCCCAGACTAGGAGCTGTGTATTCATTGTGCGCAATGTTGCGGTCGCCTATGATGCCGACGACGCTGGTCGCCGGATCATCCAGGCTGCGGTCTGTACGTAGATGATGCTTAATGACGAACTCTGGCGTGATTGGACCGAACGGCTCAAAGGAGGCCTGAACAATTGCCAGTTCTGGGTCGTAGGATGGACGAGCAGGTGACATTTTGACCAATTGTCTTTAAACCAGCTTACGAACAATACAAATTGGTCTCTCTAGATTATATGAACAGGTTGGATCGTTCAAAGATGGGCAATGAATGTGGGATTGAAGAATACATCGTCAATCGCAATCGGGTGCTGTTGCATCAAAGGACTTTCTGAATCCAACCTCCGGGGCCGATCACCACGTCCGATATCTGCTGGCCAGACTCTTCGGCGAAAGTGGGTATACAATATAGGGGGGGTATAGAGTGTGGGAAATGTGAATTTCGGAACTACCCGTTTCAACCAGAGTACTGTATACTTAGCTACTGGGGTAAAGTTGTACCAGTCAGCAAATTCTCTACATCAAGTCTACCTCGCTCCGTGAAGCTAGCTAGACAGGGATCACTCACCCTGGTATTGGTCTTACAGTGTAGTCTGCACCCAAACGCACAGTATACTTATTGCCAAGGATTACGGTCTAGGCACTATACTTGTGGGGCCCAACCACAGATGTAATGCAAGGCTGAGGCACATCTACTACCAGTAGGTATCTTAGTAGTCCGCCCGGGGGGGAATGCCGAACGTCCTAGAAAGTCGATTGCTACAACCACCCGGGGCGCCGAACCATGTGGCCATCGGCAGGACTCCTACCAAATATCAAGCTACAACAAGAGCGGGCTATAAAATGGTTCCTCCTTCAATCTAGGGGGTGTTATCACGACTTGGATAAAATATTGATTGCTTGTTCCTTAAGTGCACACCTACGCATTAACTCTCTCTACTCAACGCTGATCTCCAAACAGTCTCTTTCTGCCTACCGAGATCAATACCAGAGACCATGACTCTGCCATCTATCCCCCGGCTTGATCCCGCTGCTTTCCGCTGGCAATCATCGCCAGATGATCCCCGCGCAGTGCAGCGTCTGGCACTTGGCACCGAAGCCTGGGTTGGCTTGCGTGAACCCAACTCGCGCGGACAATATGACAATTACCTTAACACCACGCTCCGTGTTGAGGCTCCTGGGCTGTCTCTAGCACACCTTGATAGAAATATTGTGTCCGCTCTTACACACATCCGATTTCATCACCCTGAGGTGGCCTGCACTGCCGTTTGGAACTCCGGGGACAATGGGCCGCCTCACATCAAGTATATTCCACCAACATCTGCCGCCGCTGCGAGTCAGTGGGCACGCGATGCTGTGACTGTCAGGATTACACCCCTGACCGGACTGCAAGTTGCGGCCGAAGTCGCTAGACTGCGTTATACGAGTACCGAACCGCGGTCGATCCCATCGCTCACTATTTCTGTGGTGGCGAGCGTCTCAGGTGAGGAGGAACCGTTAGAGAAAGGAACTCGTGTTGATATTCTCTGTCACTTCAATCACATCTTTTGGGACGGCATCAGCTCGCGTGTCCTCATGGGCGACTTGCTTCGCCGCCTTGGAGAACAATTAAACGCTGCCGATGATGAGCTGGCGGCGAGCCACTATGCCTGGGGTACGGAGACTGCCATGCTGAGCGAACCTGTTCTGGACGCTTGTAGAGTGGACGTCGGCACTCTCGGCGATAGCTTTGAGAAGACACGAGATGAATTCATCTTGAGTCTTATCAACAGTGGAGTAAGTGCGCTTACGTGGCACCCAAGCAATATACCGTTGTCCATTGACTAATTCCTAAAAGTCCAGCTGGGGCCTCCCTGTCACTAATACGGTAGGTGAACCGCGCACGATTTGGCACTCCTTTACACCTGAAGAGAGTCAAACAATGAAGGCGACGGTCAAGTCACGACTTGGACAAGGCTTCACTCTTACTCACCTGGGTCATGCGGCCATGGTTCTCGCCCTCTTGCAGGTGTGCCCTCTCCCACTGGACGTCCCTGAGTCTGTTGCGCTCGCCTCGCCGCTTCCGGTCAATGGTCGACGCTACCTGCGACAAGAGCACGCAGAAAGACGGTACGGATCGTGTCAAGCTGGGGCATTTGTTCAGTTTGCACCGTTACGTGCCTGGGCTATCGATAATGGCGATACAGAGGCTGTTAGGACTGCGCTTGAGAATCTCTGCCGACACACGAAGGATGGATACGACTATTGGCTCAAAAATGAATTCCAACTAGCTGTGGATCAGGCAAAGGGAAACTTCCTTGCAGCAGCACTTGCATCGTGAGAACTCCACGTCAAAGACACTGATTTAAGCTTCTTCTAACTAGGTTTCCTGTCCGCAGAGCGCCGCCATCATTCTCGCCTTCTAGCTTTCCGGTCTGTTATCTTCTAATATACCAAATCCAGTATCATCCTTTCAGTTGCATAGAAACTGACATTTATGTTGCAACAGGTCTTCGCAAGCGACGGTATTGTGGACCAGTATTTGCCTGGAGAGGTGACTGGCACATGTGGCATGAAGCTGTTTACCGTGGAAAGCTGCTTGTTTCATCTTGACACTTATCAATCAGACGTGTAAGTGAGCTCTATATCAAGGCGTGTTCACTTGAAGTCATCGCAGATTCGCTAATAAAAATTTCTCACTTAGTCTCATACGAATGGAGAGCTTCAAAGGTGTCACGAGTCTATCAATCTGCTTCAATGATGGCCGTTTGAACGTTACTTTGGCAAAGGAATTTCTCAAGTCTGTTGCTGATTTCATGTTGAAATTTGGCTAAAGACTGAATTCAACTTGTCATTAATAGATTGGTAAAAGAAAAGTGAGAGTTTAAAGTATCCAATACCGTATTAGCATCCGATATATAGTCCCGCTTGAATATGATCTGCGCATTCGGCTCTAAATACTAACTAGAGATGCGACAAGAAGGCAGAGCCGAACGAAGTGGCTACAGTGTCTTCGATGGTTTTCGATATTACTTTCACTCAAAAATCTCTAGTGATTAAATGAGGGCCTAAAAAGCCTAATGTAAAACGCAATTCGATGAGCGCCGAGAGATTGCCCCCCGGACTTCCGGCACATGGCAGAATTGAGCACAGCAAGACTGAAAAAGTAATACTTTCATTAGAATTTAGAGAATTAATTTAAATATTTACTGTAAAGAAAATCTATATAAAAACTTAACACCATGGAAAAACGAAAAGTCATCTATCCATTCTCGACGTAGGCTTCCACCTTCTCTCTTATGCTCTCTACGACAGCCTCCAGCTCCCCAATGAATTCCTCCAGTCCTTCTAAGCTGAAATTCACCGTATTGGCACTATACCATAGGTTCCAGAACCCATTCTCGGGATCTGGTCTAGCAATAAGCCAAACTTCCTCAGAGTGCTCCCAAACTTTGTCAGGCCCAAACCAACCCAATTCCTGGCAACATTCCCCGTTGCCCATCAGATCGACTGTAAATGGCTCCGGGTTCTGGAATTGAACAATAAATGTAGAACGGCGCTCTTCAGGTGGCCACGTGAACTCAGGCACACAGGACGCTAGCACTGATGAAGTGGTGCTCGTTTCAAAGCGAAGCACATCCAGTTGAGCATCTCGTGTGGCTTCCAAAGTGTGTGCAAAGCTTCGATTGGCGTCGAGACGCACACGAAGGGGCACTTGGTTAACAGTAGGTCCAACCACGTTGGCGAGGACCGGAGGAAGCATGGAGCGTCCTGAAACAGTCATGGTGGTCACAATGTCGTGCGTGTTCCTCAACTTGGCCAAGGCTTGTACACATGCCGCAACATACATATTGGCAGACGTGAAACCATCTGCTGCAGGCGGAGCCTTGATGGCCTTTTTGATGGACACAATGTCACTCGCTCGACCCGTGGACGGGAGAGCAAGAGGCTTTGAGTCTTGCAAAACTTCCTGCCAGTGAGCCAACATTTCACTCTCAGTATCCCTTACGCACTGGATAAACCCAGAAAAGCGGGCCATAGGTGGCAACACCTTGCCCTGAAGGCTTGCGGCGAAGCAGTCCAGAATAGGCGTGAGACTGGTACGATCAAAGTGTGCGTGTGACAATCGAAGGCCCCAGCGCGTAGAATGCCCCTGCCCGTGCAGCAGGTAGAAACGGGTATAGAGAGACCCGGGTGCCATGGCTGGCTGGAGGGCGGCATTGAATATTGTCGTCATGAATCCTTCCATATCTTGAGAGGATGGAACCTGATGTCTCTCAATCGGGGCGGCTGAGTTTCGAGGGATCACCTGCAACATTCTTTCCTTCGGTGTTACGAACACTGCAGCGAGAATACTGAGATGGTTCCAGACCGTTTGGCAACACTCCTCTAATGTTTTCAAGGACACATGCTCAGGGACATCGACATGGACCATGAAGCATCCCTGAGCTGGGTCACGCATAGCAGCATCAGCACAAAGGGCTTGAGTAGCTGTCGTCGGCATGACGTCTTGGATATTTTCCAGTGAGAACTCCAAAGCTGGTGCAATTGTGTGCTCTAGGAAATCTCCAAGCGATTGACCCTCCAGATCATCATCAGACAGTAGGGTGAATGGCTGGGGTTCGCGGTACATGGACTTCGTCCCCTTCTGTGGCTTGACCTTCGTTGCCATGTCGCAAAGGCGCGGGGCCCGGAAAATGTCGGACACAGTCAGAATCATGTCGTATTCGTGCGCCAGGGCAACCATACGCATAGCTTGAATAGAATCGCCTCCAATCACGAAGAAGTTGCTGTCTGCACCGATCTTGGAGATTTCCACTTGGTTAAGCACCCGCGACCAGAGCTCGCGCAGCCGCAGCTCCTCAGGGGTCGAAGGCTCCCGCGCCGAGATTCCGGAGTGGGCCTCATGCAGTGCAACTAGCTGATCGCGTGTCATCGCAACTCCCATTTCTCGGAGACGCTTTCGATCTGTCTTGCCAGTCATTGTGAGCGGGATTTTCTGAAGCGGTATGTATGCCGTGGGAACAAGATGGGCAGGCAGTACGGTGGCCAGCTCCTTGGCGGGTGTCCCGACTACCAGAGAGGCCAGGATATCGTCCAAAGGCACTTTGCCTGGAGAGGAGAAAGAAACAAATGCGACAAGTGTCGGATCTTGATTTTCTGGTCGAATGACTTCAGCGACCAAAGTAACATTCTCGTGCTGGCCCACCATGACGCGATGAAGGTGGTGCTCAATGTCTTCCAGTTCAACTCGCTGGCCTCTAATTTTGACCTGAGTATCCTTGCGCCCAACAAAAACTAGAGCACCATCGTCAAGCTGCCGAACAAGATCTCCTGTTCTATACAAGCGACCGTGACGTCCTGCAACACCACCGCCGCCCCTGAGCAGCCACGGCGGGTCATGAACGAAAGCTGCTGCCGTCTTCTCCTTTTCGTTCAAATACCCAGCACCAACAACGGGACCTTCAAGCCAGAGCTCTCCGGTAACACCTGGTGGCATAAGGCGATTTGTTTCCGGATCCACGACCCAGGTAAGGGCGCCAAGGCCGCAGCCGATGCCGACATTGGGTTGGTCGCCTGACTCCCCACGCAGAGCCGTTGAGATGGGTGTACACTCCGCCGGGCCATACGCCTGCTTTATGACTCCCGGTGTCCATATCTCAACGTCCTCCTTCCGAATGGGTTCACCGAGCGAAATCAAGTTCGTCACCGCGGGCAGCGAGGCCGGATTGAGAAGGCGATGAGTCGTGGCGTTGAGGTTCAACATATTGGCACCCATGTGGTTGATCGAGGCAGCCAAGTCGTTCTTTCGGTCCTCGTCAGATGGGATGCAGATACACCCGCCGGCCTCCAGAGTATGCAGCATATTGAACCATGCACCATCGAAGGAGTATGATGCGAAGTCATAGACCCGCGACGTCTTCTGGTAGCCGAAGAAAGTGCTTTGGTAGTGCAAGGCACTTGCATAGTTAGAATGAGTGACTTGGGCACCTTTGGGAAGACCTGTGCTACCTGAGGTGAAAACAAGGTACAGGAGACTCGAAGACGGAACCTTCGGCAAAGGGGCAGCGAAATTGGTCGAATCCAACTCTGCGAGTCCCTGGCGGTCCAGTACAACAATCTTCAAGTCCTCAGAGTCACAGAGACGAGATGGCTCTTCCCTCCGAAGAGAGGATGCGACCATGACACGCGGGGCCACTTGCTGGACGATAGTCTTCAACCGCTGCTCGGGCTGTCCACCATCCAGCAAAACTGAGCATCCGCCAGCCTTCATGACAGCCATTACTGCCACAGGAGTCCACACGGATTTCTCAAAGCATAGAGGCACAATCATGTTCGGAACGACGCCAAGTTGGATGAGGTGACGTGCCAAGGTCGATGACATGGTGTCCAACTGTGCATGAGTCAAGTCTCCATCCCAAGCATGAACAGCCAATGCCTCAGGTTGGCTACGAGCCCTGGCAATGATCATATCGTGCACACAAGTGTCTAGAGTCTGCGGCACCTGGCCATTCCAGCGCCAAATATCTGTCATGTCCTGAGCGGATGCCACCTCAAGATCACTGACCTTTGCCGTAAGGTTGGTAGCGTCGCAGAGCTGGAGCAACATGTGCTCGAACTGTCCCAATATTCTGGCTACACGGTCTTTCCTCAGCACTGCTGAGTCAAACACGGCGTGAATGTGGACCCCGTCGGCCTCAAGATAGCAGTAGAGCGTCAGGGCGTACGACTTAGTTTCATGGACAAAGCCAGAAACGTGAGAGAGCAACCCCTGTTTGCGCAATGACAGATTTTGGCCCGCAGGTTGTATCAACAGCAGCGTCTGCGCATGGCAGGCATCGCGTGCAGCACTCGATACACGTCTGATGTTCTGTACACCGAACTGCTCTACGTGAAACATGTCCACCATCTGTTGCTGGACCTTTTGCATTATTTCTTGGACGGTTTCGCCGTTCTGCAACATCACACGAACGGGTACAGTGGCAATGGTGGGTGCTGCCATGCGCTCCACTCCTTGGACGTCAGCTTGCCTCCCTGTCAAGGTGGCACCAAACACAATATCTCTAGATCCAGATAGCTGAGACTGGAGAATTGACCATGCTGTGCGGACAGCAGTGGCGGCTGTAGAGTCACTCTTGGGCCAGGAGAGATGTATATGACGTTCAGCAATACTATCGGCAAGAGGCACCCTCGACGGATCTGGTAGTGTCGGAAAGGCCACGGCACCGTCTTGGCCATCAAAATGATTCTGCCAGAATTTTTCGGCCGCTTTTATGTCTTGCTTCAAAATGTGTTTGATGAAACCTTGGAAAGGAGGGAAAGACGGAGAGCGCGCGTTCGAATACATATCCTCAATCGCGTCCAATACAAGCGGTGCTGACCAGCCATCGTAGAGCGCATGATGAATTGTCCATACAAAGTACGTTGCTGCATCTAGAGAACTCTTGGCAAGCGCAAAGAAAGATAATGGCCCTCCGAGGCTTTGGCTTGGAGTTTGGCTGTCGATGGAAGATGCCGAGTCCATATTCAGCACAGAACCCCATTGCAGAGGTTCATCAATCACGACCTGTACAAGGCCTTGATCAGGTAGACTGACAAATCGCGTGCGGAGAGATGGTGTCTTCGCCACGATTTCCTCGCATGCTTTCCTGAAACGTTCCAGATCCGTATTCGCGTCAAGGCGGAAAATGCTGCGGGCAACGTAGTCCCCAGCTCGCTGTGCGGTCATGGCAAGCAGGCCCTCTTGCAGCGGTGAGCATGGAAATATATCCTCTATCTGATTTGGTTCAACACTGGTAAGTTTGGCAGCATATTGAAGCGCGCCTTTGTGATCGGTTCCAGGGTTCAACAGGGATAGAGGAAGAATAGTCCCATCGACTGTCTGAGGCGAGGAACTGATTTTGAGGAGGCCGGCCTGTTCTCGCAGTCGAGGATTTTGGAAGATGTGTTGGACTGTCATTTCAAGACCTTGCATACGTGCGAGCCTAACAAGCCTCATGGCTTCGAGAGAGCTACCCCCGACTTGGAAGAAGTTTGCTTCAACGCCGAGCTGACTGGAATCAAGTCCCAAAACCTCACACCATAGTTCTTGAAGCTTGACTTCCATGGTCGTTTTGACAGACTCCGTGCTCAAGCAGAAAAGTGAGGAGGAAGGGCCCAGCATGCTCAGCACTTCAAGTGGAAGTGCATCAGCCAGACACTGCAGACGCCGGACATCGGTTTTCCACGACGCATTTTTCGGCATGCGAAGGAGTGGAATGTATTGAGATGGCATCATGTGAGGAGGTAAAGCCTCGGAAAGCTGGGCGTGGGCGTTTTTGATAGTAGACTGCCATGATTCCGTGGCTAGAACGTGAAGCGCTATCAAGTCTTCTTCTTCTTCTTCCTGATTGTATGGGGCCGTGCCGATCTCAGGCCCCATCTGGATGAAAGCTGCGAGACTCTTAGTCGTGCCAAGGGCACGTGGAGCAATCACAGCTGGCACAACGACAGCGGGCTTGGGGAAGGCCATTGTAAGATGATGCTGCACCTCCCCAAGTTCGAGCCGTTGTCCCCTCAACTTGATCTGCGAATCCTTGCGACTAATGAAATGGATGACCCCGCCAGTATCGTATCGGACCAAGTCACCCGTTTTATAGAAGCGCCGTGGCTCGCCTTGGCTGCTGTCTTGGGGATTGCACCATTCAGGAGCATTGACGAAACTCTCGCTTGTCAGCTCTGGTTTATCCAGGTACCCTCGACCAACATTTGGCCCTTCGATCAGTAACTCTCCCTCCTGGCCGATGGCCATGAGGGCATGGTGGTTGTGCGGGTCCACAATCCACAGTCGCGTGCCGAACCCTCTGCCGAGTACACCAGTATCAGTGCCCTCCACATACTCATAACTAGCAGACGTAACAGCGCACTCCGCAGGTCCGTAACTGATTATAGTTCTCGAGTGCTCTGACCACCGGCGCAGTAAATCTTTGGAAGCGACTTCACCGCCCAGAATTACAGTGTGAAGGCTTGGCACGTCCGCAGGGCTCATCATCCCAGCCAGGGACGGAGTTATCTTGGCGGACTGAACCTGAAAGCGCTCAATGAACCCAGCAAGGTCATTCATGCGCTCATCCTCCGATGGCATACACACAGTGCCTCCATGAAACAGCGTACAGAATATGTCCGAGTTTGCCATGTCAAAGGTGAAGGCGGCGAACTGCAATACACGCAGTCCTTGGCATATTCCAAAGGTTCGGCTATGCTCATACGCCGTAGCACACATATTTCTGTGTTCTAGGACGATTCCCTTAGGCATTCCTGTGCTACCTGAGGTGAAGACTACCATGCAGGCATTTCCTGGCTGAGCCTGATTGTGGCCAGTAGAGGGCATTCCGTGCAGTTTCAAAAGTTCCCGTTCATCGACAGGAATCACATTCTCCACGAGATTCTCAAAACGATGAGCATCCTCGGGTGTGGTTAGAATGGTTGCAGCTTTGGCCTGTCGAAGTATCTGTTGCAACCGTCCGTCAGGGTACTTTGGGTCGAGAACAGTATAGGCGCCCCCGGCTCGAAGTACAGCGAGCATGGCAACAACGGCGTAGGCGGACTTAGGGAAGCACACGGGAACAATGTCCTCAGGTCCTACACCACATTTCTGTGATAAATTTGCGGCTAGGCTGGCCGTCGCGGTCTCCAACTCGCCATAAGTGAAGGACCGGTCTGTGGACAAAATGGCCGGAGCGTTAGGATGGAGCGCAGCTTGCTTCTCAAAATGCCAGTGAAGGCATTCATCGGGGGAAGCATACTCTGTGCTATTCCAAGCAAGTATCTTCTTCAAGTCATCCTCGCTGCATGTCTCTGTCACTGTTGTGACAGTAGTCGCCTTGGCTGTTTTGATTGTAGTGGGGATGTCACCGTGCGACACCGGCCACAGGCGCGTCGAAACCCCATCCGAGTTGATGACCATGACTATTCTGTAGCTTGCTTCGGCTTCAAATGGTATAAATCTCTTCTAAGAATGGAGATTGGACGTTGGAAGTGAGAGGAACGATGGGCTGTTGTGGGATAGCCTACGCCGGGGCAATGTGAGTGATGGGGTATGATGAATGAAGACAATCTCGGCCTCGAAAGTCCCCTGTGTCTACTCTGAATTCAACGGTTGCTCTGAGGGAAAATAGAAAGAGGATATTTCGAAGACTTTATGTCCTACTGTCTAAGCACACGCATCCTATGTGTGGCATGTAAACTCCTTCTTCCTGGCCGTATTACTCTCGTGACTAGGCTGATGTAGCGATGCTCTAGACCCTTGATTCATGTTGCATAGGAATTCATATTGTCTCATAGCTGCCCCAGCCTCAACAGTTCAACCCATGAATCGGAGCACATACAGAGAAGTCAAAGTGGATATTGGCAGTTGTACGCCTGCTGTCACGGGGGGAGTGTCTCGAAATACTGCACTGTGCTCGCTGCAGGAACCAGGGATGATGACCTGACATTTGGTACACAGTATGTGGGATAGTAAAGGTCCTTGCAGGTACTTCGGCGCTAGTCGCTCCTGACCGGACCCGTATTTTGTATCTGCAGGAGCCTATCTAGGACGGGTACCCATCTAGAACCATGCTGTGCCTCAGCCTTGCATATCTCTGTTTTTCGGCGTGGCGAAATTCACAACTCGGCGCAAGGCGTTTCACTGCGATAATGCATTTGACTAGCGCTTACTTTTGAGTTACATTTTGCGAACCAAACAGAATAAGAGAAACCTGGTTGTAAATGTGGGGTCCGCGGCTTCGGCCTAATTACTGGTTAACTCCATCCCAGGTATAGGCCTAATTACAAGCCGTGAATAATGCACGTTACTCCTTGGGCATCTACAAGGTACTTTCTATGTACTTTGAAAGACTTGAGTCCTTCCTTAACCTGAGATACCGGAAGTAGCACATTCAATCACTCCATGATACGATATACTGCAAGTCAGTGGATCCAAGTCTAATGTTCATGCTGACTCTTGAGTCTCGGCCCAACCCTGTTGTCTGACCGCCGTTTCCTTCTTGCGGTACTATTGCGGCGAGACATTCTGATATATCATACAATGGGTCACGTAAACACCCATGATAGTCAGGCGTGGACGCATCGTGCTGAGTGGACGGGGCTCAGTTGGATCAAAGGTCAGTCTGGACCTCGTAAAATTTGTAGACCGAGCTGCAGGGGGCACTGAAATGGTTTCTGTTCCGAAGTAAGTCAGATAGGTCTTATTTGCAGCTGAATGCACAGTTAAAGGGTCACATAAGCATTGGTGTCATGTGTTCATGATCAGGCCGTCAAATACAGACATAACTTGGTGTACACTTTCAATTCGATACCCTTAGTTCTTCTCACCTCACTCTGACAATTTCAAAATCATTTTTACCAAATTCCCAGGTACATCTTACACAATGATGGAAGACGCACTCCTTGCAGGCCTACAACGGTTTTTATCGCCCGAAGGCCTAGGTGTCATCATTGCTTTGTCTTTAAGTGCCATAGTTGGAAGGCTTGCAGTCCTATCTCGAAACCGTAGCAACGACATATCCAAGCTTCCACTGGTCAATGGGAAGAAGCCGTGGCAGTGGACAGCCCGAGAGCAGCGAGAGAAATTTTGCCTGCACGCTAAGGAAATCATTGACGATGCTCTTGCAAATGTAATTTTAATTCTTTGCACGCCATAGTCTTTGTCGATCCGAAATAACTTACAATCCATTCTTTAGGTCGGCGACAAATTTCTTCTGCAGACAGAAAACGGAGTCGAGCTTCTTCTCTCTGCAGATTACGCCAATCAGATCAAAGACGATGAGGCACTTGACTTTGGGAAACATGTGGAAAAGGCAAGTATTAGTATGACCCAGATATCGCTCACTGAAGCTAATAATCGGGTAGGACATGCACTCTTATCTCGATGGTTTTGCTCCCTTTCGCCAAGGGCAGTCTCCCGACAGGATCTTTCATGACGCCATAAAGATCAATTTGACTCAGGACATTGCTAAATTGAATCTCCCCCTCTCAGAGGAAGCATCTCACGCACTGCAGAAACACTGGACCGATAATACAGGTTTGTGCTCCTGAAATCCAGGTAATTGCAAATGATTGCTGACAGTATCGCAAGAATGGCACGAGATTCCTCTCAAGCTTCTTGCTTTCAAGATTGTCTCTCAGCTGTCCTCCCGCGTTTTTCTTGGTGAAGAGCTCTGTCGTAACGATGACTGGCTGCAAGTGACTGTAGACTACACGAGAGACTCTATGCAGGCTGCCCAAGACCTCCGCCTCTGGCCGAGATTCCTCAGAGTCTTCGCCTACTGGTATCTTCCCCGCTGCCGGGCTATCAGAGATGAACTGAAGACATCGCGCACTATCGTTGAGCCTGTACTTGAGAAGCGACGACTCCAGATACAGGAGCGGAAGAAGCAAGGGCTGGATCCAATACGCCATCTTGATGCTATGCAGTGGATGGAAGACTCATCGAACGGTCGCCCGTATGATCCCTCTGCTGCCCAGATCATGATGGCAATCGCTGCCAACTTTTCGGGATCTGACTCCTTGAGCACGCTCATGATTTTCCTTTGCCAGGAGCCCCAGCTGGTTGAAGATATGCGCAAGGAAATTATCTCCGTTATGACTGAGAGCAAGTGGAACAAGTCAACTCTCTACAAGCTGCGACTCATGGACAGCGTGCTCAAGGAGAGTCAGCGCATGAAGCCTGCCGCTGTTGGTAAGTTCTTAAATCCCCTTCTTAGCACTACATATAGACCCCAATGGCAGAAAGTCTAACCAATCCAAAGCTGTTATGCGACGACTCGCGCTCAAAGACACAAAACTTCACGATGGAACCAAGATTCCCAGGGGCACCAAACTTATGGTTTCAACAGCGAGGTCATGGGACCCGGAGAAATATCCAAATCCTGAAAGGTTCGACGGGTATCGTTTCTTGCGCATGCGTGAGGAGCAGGGACTAGAAACCGCCCAATTCGTGTCCACGACCCCTGATGCGCTGGGCTTTGGCATGGGGAAGCATGCCTGCCCCGGACGCTTCTTTGCATCCAACGAGCTCAAAATCGCCCTCAGTCATATCATCCTGAAGTATGACTTCAAGCTGGCGCCGGGTGCCCCTACGAAGCCAGAATTTCAGGCGCTATTCTGGTCGGCCAACGATAACGCAAGAATTGTCATACGACGCCGCAAGGAGGAGATTCAGCTGTAATTAGTCTATACGTAGCTACGATCAGTTTACTATTCATTGAAAACATATCATTTCCTTAGATTTACAGTCTTTTTCAAGTGGTAGGGTAGTCGCCCGACAGGACATGTTTCAATTTTGGTATGTCACCAAGTTCGGTTATGAATATACAGCGTTTGAACCCAAGCGTTTGGGTAGAACAGTCTTCCCTCTTGTCTTTGCGGAGACATTGAGAGGGCGTGAAGATTTTCTCTATCTCCGCGGTGGCAATACTTACCGCAACCATAGATTCCTGACCCAAGAAGCGACACATATCTTGTGACCAATGGTTTACGATTGAAAGCACACACGTGATGAATGGTTGACAACCCGTACTATACAGCGATTGACAGGAAGCCGTTACTGGTCTCGCTACCCTGTGAACGAATCCTAGTTGGCCAGAGAGGTTCATCAAGACGTGGGGGCGGTACACGTGCATAGCAATGCCAAAAGCGGAAGGTGCTGTAAGATTACAACTTTCCGGTGGGTCCGCCCCTGGTATACTGTGCTTGAAGGAGAATAGCACTCCAAAGGGTCAAAGCTTATCCTTTTGCTCTCTATACTTCGGTACCATTCGCTCCCTGGTTAAACAGAGTGGCAAATCTGACGATTAAGCGAATTCCGAGGGTGGGGTTATGTTTTCCAGGTCGTGGCGCTTGCCGTTGCAGAAATCATCCCTGGCCCTGTCTCGCTGAGCCTCAGCGTTGCATGAGGCGGCGCCGGGAATAATAGTTGTTTCAAGTACGGCACGTGCCGAACGGGGCTATGGAATATCCTGCTCAAGGCCGTTGGCACCATTCAAGGCTCCACTTTGTTTAATATATCGAGTACATATTCATTCTCTCAAAGTCCTGTCAGATTTTAGCACACATGAATGCAACCAGAACCCCAGTTACGCACATCCTACTTAGGATATTCTCTGATCTGCAATATTCGCCGAGGGCCCAGATGCCGATATGCAGGGACCTTTGCGGATGAGAAGGGTCCAGATGCCAAGATGCAGGGACTTGTGTGAGGCTGACAGTGCCAAAAGATTATATTTGCGAACTTTGTGCGAATGCGGCACGTGACTCCGCCAACCTGCATGCATTGTATAGCTAAGAGACCGGCTGACTTGACTTACCCAGCTCGATGGGGGTTGGCTCTCGGTCGATAGGATTCCCTCCATGTTCTCCGTATTAGCATGCATCCACTGGTGTATTGTTGTCCCTTTCATTCCGGTGCTCCTGCGGACCCGGACCAGGAAACGGATAGGCACACATCAACCGCGATGATATTCCCGTACCTCATCGATCTTTCCAAGTGACATAAAAAAAAAGTACCTTGCATGTGGCGAGATTGAGCCCTGTTTGGGTGCCTTAATGAGGCAGACGGTCCGCTACATGGATATCTGAAGCTGCACGCTCCACAACTGATGCCCTTTGAAAGTGCCCTACACCATTTATAGTGAGACTCCAGGGGTCTCGAGACAACAGGCGTAATCAGTATTCTCGTGGGTAACCTTAGGTACACAATTTCATCAGGTCACTTGGACAATCTGGACCTCGATCCAATCCTTCGCGCAGTCTAGACCGACGATGTTGCTGATGATAGGGAAATTGGAGCGTAACACAATTACAAATCATGCCGAGCAGAGTTTGAAGAGCACATGACTGGAACTCGGGACTTCAGAGACCAGAGTATCAAGAGGATCTTGGAACTGAAAAGGTCTCGAAGTTTTCTTTGCTTCCCATCTCGTCCGTCGATTTCCCATCCAATTATCCGTTCTTGTTCTTCTACCTCTGCCGCCTTCAAACTTGTAATCTGTGACAGTTATCACATAAATTGCACTAAGATAAAATGGAGGCTGGAGATTTTCCCACTGATTGCTACCTTGATGCTGTCGTGCGTTTCCTCCGAATTATTAAGTACAATGACGACAATTACACACACGAAGAGCGAGTGCGCAACCTGCACTATGCGTACACTAAAGCGGCAATGCACTTTTCTCAGCCGAAGCAACAGGCACTAATCAAGGCCAGCCCCAGGCGCCTGCAAGCATCACTGCAAACTATCGTTGCTATGGTGGTGTATGCTTGGGTTCGTGTAGACCCCGAGGTCATGGCAGATCTGAGCATTCATTATACGTACATGTTGGTTCTTGATGATAGCCAAGATGATCCGGATGCCACCATGAAATCATTTTACGAAGACCTGCTGGCCGGCCGGCCCCAACAGCACCCTTGGTGGCAAATGGTCAATGAACAATTTCCCACCGTGTTGAGTCATTATGGTCCTTATTGCGGCCTCAATCTGGTCCGGAGCACAACGGATTGTGAGTCTGACCAAAGGCTGCAATTCATGGCCATTAAACTAACGATCAACAGTTTTCCAAGGTTGCTGGATTGAGCAGCATAACTTTCAGGGATTCCCAGGCTCATCCGACTTCCCTGGCTTTTTGCGCCGCATGAATGGGCTCGGCCACTGCGTTGGCGGATCCATCTTCCCGAAAGCGCAGTTCGACGAGGGTGCGCTTTTCACTGAGATCACGTCAGTAATTGCCCAAATGGAGAACTGGATGGTGTGGGTCAACGACTTGCTATCATTCTACAAAGGTACGTGATCTCAGCGAGGGCCAAAGGCCGGTGGGTCCATCGAGTATAAGAAGATGCCAAGACTCATAACTCCCACTTACCCCATACCATTCCCACAGAGAAGATCATAATAGCTGATAGAACATTAGAATTTGACGAACCTCGAGACCAAACCTCGCTTGTAAACAACTATGCAAAGTGTGATCGCCTTTCCCTTGCGGAAGCGCTGGACAAGCTGACGCGCGACACGATCCGCTCTTCAGAGCAGATAGTGGAGGTCTTTGCGGACAAAGATCCGAGCATTGCTGATACCCTGAGAACATTCTGTCAGGGTTACGTAACGTGGCACCTGAGCGACCCGCGGTATCGTCTCCGTGAGCTCGTCACCAATGCCGCTGGCGGTGACAGCCTGGTGGCACAGGAGTTCCGCGCTCACCAAGCCGCTGCCGATCTCGTTGGTGCAGTTGATCCTAAAGAGTGGGCTTACCCCCGCATAGCAGATATGGTGGAGAACGCCCAGGAGGTTAAGGATGTGCAGACTACTGAGCCATTTGTCCGCAAGGCTTTCCTGAACGCTCTTCCTGTAGGTACCATTGCACAGTGGGGAAAGAAGGTTTGGGCGCAGGAATATGTGTAGCTTCATGGTTTTTGTTTCCAGCTTTTTTCTCATGATGGTTCGGGCAGTTTGATTTATATTGAAGACCTAAGATAGAGCTTAAATCCAGTGGGTTCCATTGCATGACACGAAATATGAGATTCGTATGTTTTGCACGAGGCGTTGAATGAGACATGCTTCCGGCGACGGAAAACCGATCCTCCCACCCAATTTCATATATAAGAGATGCCAACAATCTTATAAATCAGCTTGGTCTTGATAATGATGAGATGTTGGCTGTCCATGACATAATGTTCACTAACGAGGAAATAATAATTAAACGCTTAATGAGAAGCCCTAGAGTATTTTAAAGGCTGTAGCTGATGACGCTGTGATGTGTAAAATTTCTTCATGACCCACTAAACACATGGCATAAATAAGTTTCAACAATTGAATGTATATAAAACCTATCAACAACTCGTCCTTAACCTTATGCCTTCAAGAGTCTGGCTGACTAAAACGAACCTCCAAAATTCAAGACGACTGCCCGGAGGGCGTGGGGCGCTGGGGGTTCTGCAAGGCTCGTTTTAGGCCGCGATACTTCGAGTCGCCTCCACGGGCTGCATGATATGTGAAAATATTGGGTTTAAGTTATTTATATTTGTTATAAAACCAGCATCCTACTCGCATCTGTACCATTTGCTATTCCAGCTCTCCTTTTTGGCATTTTCCCCCCCACTTCCCCCTTATTCGAGATGTTATCGCTTTTCAATAGTGAACATGGGCTTAGGAGAGTAGCTTGCGCGTCACCATGACCTCCACCTCCCCCTGGCCAGGTCCCTTGCCTTTCACGATTTTGGGCTGCCCGATAATCAGAACATTATGAACCTGAACATCCTCAACTGTGGTATTGATGAGATCCATGTCAAAGTTGCGAAGAACCCGTGCTAGTGTCAGATATAGCTCGGCGTGGGCCAACCTAGAGTTGAAAGTATGAGACATTGGACCTGAAAATGCAAGTGAAACTCAACAGCTGGTTAATTTGTAACACTTACCCGATTCCAAGGCATTGTCGAGAACCTTTGGTAAAGCTAGTTAGGTATCTCTCAAGAGGGAATCCTTGCTTGGCCGCTTCCACCCAGCGGTCAGGGTTGAAAGTGAACGGGTCCTCAAAGATCTTTGGATTAGTGTGTACAAAGTACGTCGACTGACTCACAGGCGTCTGTAGATAGAAGTTGTCAGTTTTTTCTTTCGGGCTGATATAGGTTGATACATTGTACTCACTCCAGGAGGAATAGCATAATCCTTGTATTGAAGCGTCTCATGTGTGAACACACGGGGTAGGCGCGTAATAGGCCCATAAGATAGGCGTATAGATTCTTTGACTACACCAGTCTGCGCATTTCATTCGGTTAGTAAAGACATAAGCCCAACGTACTGTAGTCGTGAGACTAAGCTCACCAAGTAGGGCAGCGGCTCGAGCTGGGGCATAGTAAGCTTCTCATCAGGGATATGAGCGAGCTGAGCCAACTCAGCACGAACTTTATCTATAATCGATTTGTTGTCAAGAAGATAGAACATGCCAGTGGCCAGGGCACGCGAAGAAGTTTCGGTGCCGGCGAAGATAATTACTTGGCCCTCATCCACCAGGCGCTTCAAACTGCGTTCTTCAGCCGGAATGCGCGGATCACCTAAGGCCTCAATCATGACAGATTTCGAGGAACCTGGGTTTTCATCCTTGTTTACTAACATCTTTTTGATGTTCTTCTTGATGTCTTCCTGCAGAAGCAACAAGTCGGCAACAGGCGGCAGGATTAGGCGGATTATCGGAATCGGCAGCTTTTTCAGGTACTTGATGACCCATGGAACGAAGCGAGTAAAGTGGAAGATCTCCGAAACACCCTTGAAAGCTTCGCGGACGTCAAATACAAGGTCGGGGCTGCTCAAGTAGTCATAGTGGTAGCCAAAGAAGCGTTTGGTGATGATGTCGGCAGTCATGGCTGCAAAGGCCCTGTCCAAGGAGATCATCTTGCCTTCCTTGCGTGCTCCGTCAAGTCTACTTAGCATGGCGCTTATACGCTCGTGAATCTCGGGCTCCATGGCTAGGATGGACCGCTTGGCGAAATATGGGTTCATATAGCCACGTCGAGATCGATGCTGCGCGTGGCTTACCGTGGCAGCCACGGAAGCTGGCACACCGAATCCAGCCACGGTAGATGAGTCTTTGTTGATACGATGAACTCCCCCAGCGTATACATTTTGGTAGTACTCAGGATCATCAATATGAACTTCGTTTGGGTTGATGCGAATAATAGGGCCTAATGGGCTTATAAGTGGGTGTTGACAATCGTTGAGGAACAACATACCATATTTCTCATGCATTTTGCGGATTTCCCAAAGATAATTTCCGCTCTTCACAGCGTCGTGCCAGAAGTCAGAGAAAGGCGTCATTGCCGCCATCCATGGTCCAGGAATCTTGCGCAGGGGATGGAAATAAACATTATAGACGCATCGCAGCACGAGATAAGCACCCCAAAGCACAAGAAGGTTCCGTGCCAGCTGGCCACGCTTTGTATATTCCAAAGTGCCCAATGATGCTGCAAAGTGGCTTGATTTAGGAGCGTCGGCAACAGGCGGCGGCGTTGTGTCATTAGACACAAAATCGAGGATTGACAAATCCATGGTGAAGGAAGGATACTGATGTTGCTGGAAAAGCTCGACCGTCTTTCTGCAAATAAGGTGACGAAAAGTCAACAGGTGAGAAAATGGAGAATGTAAAGAATAAAACGATAAATACTTGTAGCTACTTGTCAGCTTTTATATAGACACCGTCTGCGACCATAAGCCAAGCCTTTTCCACTCATCCTTCCAGCATTCCGTTCTACACCCCTAGTGGCGGCCACTGTGATGGATGGTCAGTCACAATAGCACGTGGGCAGGGCACATTATTGAAACCGCAGTCTCCACTCATATTAGGCAATGTATTTCCGGCAATTACTCCGCGGCCTCAAACATAATGCCACTTGGAGTGAAGCAGTATGCAATGCCGAGATAGTGAACAGACCCAAGCGTAAAGTTACCGCTACGTTACATCCATGAAATATCATAGATGAGTCCCGGGGTAAACGTGATGGATCGGGCCATTTCCAATGAACACCCGTTTGCTACCTAGTCCGCAGGGGTAGATGACACTGCAGCATAATACGACAACTTGACTAGTGCGCTCGACTATACCTTGGTCGCCAACAGACGAATCGGGGCATTTCCGGTACACTTATATCCAGTCGCTTAGACAAAGGCTGGCACTTGCTATCGAGGTGCTCTATACAGTAACTCATAGGTACACCCAGTGGCGTCTCGCGTAATGCACCGAGGAGAGGTACTTTGCAACACCTATTGACTAAGGACCTCACTCCGGGACAATTATTTCCTCCGTTGGCATCATGGCAGAGGTCCAGACCTCTTGCGATCAAAGAGTATCAAATCTAGAACCGTGAAGACTACGCGTAGATTGCCCGATAGAATGTAGTTGGTGTAATGATGACCGGAAAGTCCCCTGCCGGGGGTTTGTTATGGATTTTCTCCAGGTACAGGGGCGTGTCCGACTATAGCGCGTCAATAACATGTTGTCCTGCATGTCCGGCCTCGAACGCTGGGGTAGGGGGTGTACTCCAAGAATGGATGACCTGATATTGTGTAGGTCTGAGTAAAAGAAAACTGAATAGTTCAATGTATCAGTTTCCAAGGCCCCTGCTCCACATCGCAAAGTTCTTTGCATATGATGTGAGAAGAAGAAGTGGATCAAGTACCCTGGCTTCTGCTTTGACATGTATCTGCCATGTATTGACTGTGATCTTACGCTTGCGCCTTAAATCAAGGGCATAATACTCAAATAGACAGCACTGTACATTGCATTGTATATCCACAAAGCCAACGGTGGCATTACATTATAACCGCTAGTGCTGAGCGGCAGAGTTACTTGCAAGCCTTTTCGGATGTTATTGCCGCCCGCATGCGGCATGCAATGCCTCTTGGCAAGGCAGTAAGCTTTGCCAAGCAAGGCTATAGCCAATTGGCACTGTTGGGCAATGCTTATCTCTCTTACATGGTGTTGAGTCGTGGCAGCTGAGCTCTGAAACCAGCTGATACTCATACATGGCCCTGTATAGCAAGATCTAGACCTCGCAGGCTATAAACCCTGCTAATGTCCGAAGGTTACAAACCACAAAGTATCGAGTACCTTCACATACACGTATGTACCTAGGTACAGGACAAACACCTGATTAGAGACATGCAGGTTGTCAGCCCGAACTAAATCCCCTGCACGTTGCGCAGCTTTGGCCCTTTTGGACCCTGAATGTTGCAGAATGCGCTCCGCCAGCGATTCCAGAGCGGTCGCCGGCCTGCAGCACTGTGGCGTGCAAATCCGGATTGAACCGTGTCCTGCTTGATTGGGTGGATTGCCTGGGGTCCCCTGGCTGTTCGCTAATGCACGTGGCGGGGACTAGAGTCGAGACCCGGGCCTATCTCGTGTCACTTTATTCCCGCGTATCTGGTCCCTGCAGATTGGGCTTTCCAAGAATGAACTCTCCAGGGTCAGGAATTCGCCATGCCCTATCGCAAGCAAGAGGTACGGTCAATCCCTTGTTTCAATGGCAACAGTGCTCACCATGGCCGGAATTACTGTGTACTCCGGCATCGAGACCGGCGCTAAGCGGGTGCTTCCCGAGACCAGGGCCCTGCATCGCAGTAGGAAAACCGAACTCTGCGGACGATAAAATGATAACCACGCCGCAACCCTGCATTTCCTAGGAATCTAGACTTCGCGTTGAGTCGCAAACGTCTCACCTTCCACTTCTGCGATGCCGCTTACTAGATCACCATGGCCTATATTCCTCGTTGCTTCAAAGACCTGTCAATCGCTGCTGTGTTAGGGGGGAGTAGAAGCATCCAGCTCACCTCTGCGCACGCATTACATTCTATGGCGTCCAACATGGCGGACCTTGACCCGAAGCCACCCCTAACCTCAACACCCGAAGCCACCATCACTTCCGCCAACAGCATCTCAGATAGGTCTGGGCCTAGCCCGAAGAATAACGGCGCAGGAGATGACGATGGTGACGGCAAGACCAAGTCTGTTGCCGGCAAGGAGAAGCAGTCGGGTTCCCTCCACTTCTTCTACCGCGTGCATTGGTCATACTCGACCTCGCTGGATCATACTCTCCGGCTGATTGGTTTTGTCTGCGCCGTCGCATCAGGAGTCGTGCCACCGCTGATGACCGTGGTTTTCGGCTCCTCAGTGAACCAATTCAGTTCCTACGAGAATGGAAGCATATCCGGCGATGACCTGTATCGGAATATGTCCCAGAACGCGCTGTGGCTGCTCTACCTGTTCATTGGCCGCTTTTTCCTGGTCTACATACACTCCACATGTTTTGGGTTGGTCGGTATCCGCGTTACAAGGTCCTTCCGTCTTGACTTTATCCGATCCATGATCCGGCAGGACGTATCCTTCGTCGACTTATGCGCAGCTGGCACCGTGGCCTCCACCATTTCGAATAGCGCCGACATGGTCGAGAACGGCAGCACAGAGAAGGTTGGCAGTTTGATTCAAAACATGGCCATGTTTGTGGCTGCGTTCGTGGTTGCTTTTACGCAGCAGTGGAAGTTGACACTTGTCACGGCCACGACACTACCTGTCCTCTTCACGGGATTCAAGATCACATTTGGCCTTGGTAAGGCAAAACAAGTCCCTCCTCCTAACGTCGCTAACATCCAATGTTCTATCAGATGCCAAGATTGAGGCCAAAATACTTGAGATATACAACCGCGCCGGCGGCTTGGTAGAAGAGGCCTTGGGCACGGTCCGTATTGTCACGGCCTTCAATGCCAGCGGGAAGCTCAGCCGCAAATATGACAACTACCTAGAAGCGGCACAGAAGCTCGGCTTCCGCAAGGGTCCCATCATTGGCGTCCAGTGGAGCGTCGAGTTTTTCACTATTTATGCTGCATACGCGCTGGCCTGGTATTACGGCATTAAGCTGCTCAACAGCGGTGAGATCGCCGGCGGTGGACAAATCATCTCGGTGCTGCTCGCCGTCCTCTTGGGTACGAACGCTGCGTCCAATGTGGCTCCTGGGTTCGGAGACTTTGCCAAGGCTTCAGCTGCCGCAAAGGGAATGTTCGAGATGATTGACCGCAAGTCCGAAATAGATCCATTGGCTGACAAAGGCGAGCGACCAGCTCAGAGTGACGGTTCGGTTGAGCTACGCCATGCCAGCTTTGCTTATCCGTCGCGGCCGTCAGTCCAGGTCCTGCACGACGTGAGTCTGAAGTTTGAGGCAGGCAAAGTCACGGCGCTGGTTGGTGCGTCCGGATCTGGGAAGAGTACTATTGTTGGTTTAATTGAGAGATGGTATAACCCGGTGAGCGGCTCCGTTCATGTGGGCGGCCATGCCGTTGCGGAGCTGAATGTCCGTTGGCTGCGTCGGCGCATTGGACTTGTCCAGCAGGAGCCTGTGCTCTTCAGCGATACCATTTACAATAACGTTGTGCACGGGCTCTACGGCACGGCCATGAACGACCTCCCGGAGCCGGAGAAGCGAGAACTAGTCAGACAGGCGTGCATACAAGCGTTTGCCGACGAGTTCATCCAGGGACTGCCAGACAAGTATGACACCAAGGTTGGTGATCGTGGCGCTTTACTGAGCGGTGGCCAAAAACAACGCATCGCCATTGCACGGAGTGTGATCTCCAACCCAGAGGTCCTCTTGCTCGACGAAGCTACCTCAGCTTTAGATCCCACAGCGGAAGGAAAGGTGCAAGCTTCTCTGGACAATGTCTCCAAGTCTCGCACCACGATCCTGATTGCGCATAAGCTTTCAACTGTTCAAAAGGCCGACAAAATCGTGGTGCTCAGTCAAGGGGAAGTTGTGGAGCAGGGTACACACCAGCAGTTGCTTAATCTCCGCGGCGCCTACTATCAGCTCGTCAATGCCCAAGCATTGCATACGGGTCAGGAAGTTTTGGGACAAGGGCTTAATATGGCCAATCCTCCCATCCAACATCTGCAGAGACCTAAAATATCGGAGGGCACCGAAGAAAAGGCTTTGGCCTTGTCCAAGTCTTCAACTGCGCACAGTGTTCGGAGCCCCAACCAAGCTGCAGACGCCGAAGAGGCTGAAGATGAGGATGGCGATATCGCCCGGAAGCTTTCTATCAGCCGGTGCATCGCCATCATCTTTAAGGAACAGCGCCACATTTGGCCAATATTGCTGTTCGGTATCATCTCCTCGGCCGCTGGTGGTGGTCTATTCCCGGCACAGGCCGTTCTCTTCGGCTCGAGCATTCCGACTCTACAGCTGCCTCGCGGCGACCAGCTAGTGGAACGTGGCAACTTTTGGGCATTGATGTATTTTGTGTTCAGCTTGGGCGTTTTCGTCAGTTATGTTGGAGTTGGCTTCTTCTGGACTGTGGCATCCTTTCACGCTACACGCTTTTATCGCCGCGAATACTTCGACGCCATGCTACGCCAAGATGTCTCCTTCTTCGACAGCAGGGGCCATGGCGCCGCCGAGATGACCAGTCGACTCTCGCTACACCCCCAGAGGCTCCAAAATTTATTGTCGACCAACCTTGCTCTAATCATCGTGATTTTTGTTGACATTGTTTCATGCTTTATCCTAGCAGTTGCCATGGGATGGCGACTGGGCTTGGTTGTCATTGCTGGAGGCATGCCTCCTCTTTTCGGTGCAGGCTTCTTCCGTCTCAGACTCGAGATGGCAAACGAGGACCGTCTAACCCATATGTATCTGGAATGTGCGCGTTTTGCTTCTGAGGCTGTGGGAGCCATTCGCACCGTATCCAGTCTCACATTGGAAGACAAGGTGCTGGATGGCTTCCGACAAAGGCTTGCCGAGTGCTCGAGCCGAGAGCTCCGTAGTAAGATGCTTACAATGCTTGTTCATTCCTTCGCCGAGAGTATCAACCTTGCCGTGACGGGTTTGGCTTTCTGGTATGGTGGCAAGCTGCTGTCTGAGGGTAGCTATGATATGCAAACGTTTTTCATTGTCTTCATGGCAGTGTTGATGGGTTCGCAGTCGGGCGGAGTTCTTTTTGGTTTCTCTTCAAGTAAGTAAATTGGCTAAAACACAGATTCACAAAACCTCGGAGACTAACCGCTGCTACAGACGTTTCGCGAGCACATTCAGCAGCCAACCATATCCTGGATCTGCGTCAAGCACAGCCCCCAATCAATAACTCCACCGGCACCAAGCAGTTGCCGCTTAGTGGGGAGAAATCTGCTGCCATCGAATTTCGGGACGTGGCCTTCGCTTATCCAGGTCGGCCCAATCACCCGGTCTTGAACGGCCTCAACCTCAAGATTGAAAAGGGTCAATCTGTGGGGATTGTGGGCGCTTCGGGCTGTGGTAAGAGTACCATGATTGCCCTGCTAGAGAGATTCTATGACATTAGCTCCGGACAACTCCTTGTCGAGGGACAATCACTGCAGGGCTTGGATGTGCACTCCCACCGCTCTCGCATAGGTCTCGTTTCGCAGGATACGATGTTGTTCCAGGGAACCATCCGTGAGAACATCCTACTGGGTGTACCAGACGAAGAGGCCGCCACGTCTGACGCGGACGACCGCGTTGAGAGGGCGTGCAAATCAGCCAACATGCATGACTTTATTAGCAGCTTGCCGGACGGGTATGCAACTGACATTGGGAACCGCGGAGTGGCACTGAGTGGAGGACAGCGCCAGCGCCTCGCTATTGCGCGGGCACTTATCCGCGAGCCCGACTTGTTGCTATTTGACGAGGCCACTAGCGCGCTAGACACTGCCAACGAAGCGCTGGTACAGGCTGCGATCGAAGCAGTGGCGCGCGAGAAGCCGGGCCGCACTACAGTTGCTGTTGCCCACAGGCTTTCAACCATTCGACGATGCGACCGCATCTTTGTGCTGTACCAGGGACAAGTGGCTGAGGAGGGTACCCACGATGAGCTAGTTCAGAAAAGAGGACAGTACTATGAAATGGTACTAGCTCAGTCTTTAGACCAAGAGGTCGTAGAGGCGTAAAGGACTAGACCTAGACGATAGAATGGGGCGTAGAGTATGCTTGATTGTCACACCCGACTGATATAACGCACGAAAGGCTACTTTAGTTTCATATACAAAAGTTAGGACATGTTATGTAATTCCATTCCGTGTCCTCGTATCCTGGCATTACACTTCTGTCACAAGTAGTGGTATTGTAAGGCTTTACGGATAGACTATGTAGTGACCCACTTTATTCTTAAACTTACATGAAAGCGGAAGTTCAATGTCAAAAGTCGCGACAGCCAGTGGTCCGGCAAATCTTCGGTTATCAGAAACCGTGCCGTGTTGCTGTGCCGTGTCACGACATGATATGTTGACAGATTCGCGCGTTCTCTTCTTCAAATAACGCTGACAATTTCTGTGCAAGGATCTCTCGCGAGTTAGTACTATGGCGAAACGGAAACAGCCTGTTCAGGAGGACCCGGTCATCCACGACCTTAGCGACTTTGTGGAATTCAACATCACCAAGGTACTGTACGACGGAACCAAGAGAAAACGAGCAACTTTGTATCTAGTCAAGGTTCGGGCAGCAGCGACATCTCATCGAGGCCGCAAAGCAACCCGGAAATCAGCGGCACCGTCTGCTAGGGAGAGCGGGCTGTACGTGCTCAAAATTGTAAAGACTCAATCCTTAAACTAGGCCATCCTCCTAGATTGACACTAGCAACTAACAGAGTGCTCCACCAGTTTCCCGAGTCTGTTGCCAATCAAGATGACTACAAGAGAGAGCTCGCAACAAATGTTGTGCTTGGTCGCAGCTTTGCTCTGCCCGATGCCCAGAGTGCTTGTGACACCATGACAGTTGCATCTGGAGACTTTCCCGCAAGCCGATGGCCACGCTGCTTTGGTACTTTGCGAACAAGAAAAGACCCGACCCCTGGAACATGGATCCGCCGTGATGCGAATTCGGATCATAACTCTGCACTTCTTTTCGAGTACATCCCTGATCTCGAACTGCTCACCCGTGAGCTGGTGACAGAGGAGCTTTCTCAAGAGTACAAACAGGTCCTTGCAGACCTCCATGCCTTGCAAATTCTTCATCGGGACCAGATTCTCTACGCCGCATGGCCAGAAATTGTTTTCAATAACCTATTCCTTCGACCGAACAAGATAACTGGCAAAAAAGGTAGGTACTTCGTGCTTCCCAGCGACTATGATCGACTACTTATATCTGACCTTTGTCCACGTAGAAATTATGATACTTGATTTTGATAAGTCTCTAGTACTTGGTAATAGTGCTCGGGACAAGATGCTTTTACGAAATGAGGCACAGGAAATGGCGGAAGCCCTTGATACAGCACTATCCAAGAAGGATATGCTGCAATCATTGCCGAAGGAAGTAAAAAGGCTACTGAAATAAGAAGCTGTAGTTGGTAGAGTGTCGGATAAAATACAGCCGGACTTTGGGAGGGGGAATATAACAACCCTAGTACAACGTTTGCCAGAAGTATCGCTGAGTTCAAAAGCTAAACCCGTAAATTTGACTCAAATTGTTGAGTGTTACTTTTTGGATATAAAATCCTTTATGAAATCATGAATATCTCTTGCACCGCGAGATGGGAGTCGCTGCAGGTATCGCGAAGAGCTCGCTTCGGGGCTAGCAGCAATCTCAATGACCCTCCTTGAGAGGTATTCGATATCAGGAACATTCTTCGCTACACCAAGCCACTTGCGATGATCGTTCGGAATTCTCTCCAGAGCCCTTTCCCAAAGATGTCGCCATATGTCGAGAGTCTGTAGCAGCTTGTCTGACTGCTGTTTTAGAAACATAGCGACATGTAAGTTGAATATGATGTGTTGGAAGGCTGCAAGAACCTTCAGTCAGCGCACTGTGGATCTGATCCAGTAGAGGCACCAGGAAAAGGTGGTCGAGACTCACCACACAGCATCATATGTAGGTGAAATAGGGGCAAGTTCTCCCATTCGATATCTGCCCGCCAGTTCTCCTCAAGCAGCTTTGAAATGAGTTCTTTCAGACAGTATGAGGTCTTTTGAGGAGAGAGTTTCGTTAATTCGAAAGTTAACACAGAATCAGTATCCCATAATGTGGGATCGCAAGGGAGATCTCCGGACATTTCTAGCATTGAGAAAATCGGCGGGTTGTTGCAAGATAAGGTCGCCAAACAGTCAGCACAAAAGGCCCAAGAGACAAGTCGAATGATGTGCTCCCGACGTAAAAAGAGCTCCCAGTCTTCAGAGGGATGATGCCGGCAACCAATGAAATGTAGTCTTCTCATAGCAGAGATCAGCGTTGGTAATCGCTCCGTTACGGCCAATTGCTGCATATCTAAGTCGCTCGCTAAAAGCGTGTCCAGAGCATACATGAGTAGAGCAGCCTGGCAAAGCTCGACTGCCTCTGAAAGGTCGCGCCCTGATGGCAGATTGTCGACGAAGATCTTCAATTCATGGAAGATATAGGAGTCCGCGAGATGGTAGAAGTTCCTGGCATCAGTGATGTTCTCGGAGCCGTGTCCTGGACGGTATGAATAAGTGGCCCCTGTAAGCGAAATGACCATCATCAGAGGCAGAGAGGCTTGTTCAAGGGCAAATGTAGGCCAGTGTACAACTGGGTATTGGTAGTGACGCTTGCGACAAAATATCATGGCAAATTCTTTGACGTTAGAGACACTAAAGAAGCGACGAAAAGCGATCGCGTCGAACGAATTCCGATAGCGATCGATAGAGTTGGCATGAGCGGCGACGTGCAATTCCAAGAGATCGAGCCTTGCTGAGAGTGAGCCCGCTTGGGACTGAGGGGACAAGAAGGCGCCAAGAAGGCTTTGTTCTTCAGTGTTATACAGCCCGCCTAACTCCATGGAAACAAGAAGTTCTTGGGGTTCAGATGGCAGTAATAGCGTAGGGTCGATGTAATCGAATGTTTGATGACTCAGGACTTGAGCTTGTGGTGGTGTCAAGCAGGTAGGCCCTACGAGGGCAGCTTCGGGTTCCTCGCCCACCGCCTTTTCCATGACGAAGTCTTGCTTGTCGTCGGTAAAATTGAGTAGAAATGACAAGGGAACACGGCCATGACTATTGCCTGGTGTGTCATGCAGCTCCTCGTGGATAGGTTGCCGATGAGTGGCATCAGTACAGCACCGACTGAAAGTACAACGTAACTTCCGAGAGACGCAGCGCTCGCAGGGGGTTTGGCTCTCGGCGTTACAGTGCACCTTAACCCGCGAGCACTGGTCACAAGACTTTGCCTTACGCCCACGCCTCCCAGCTTGCAATGTACGACCCTCTCTTTGAGGGCAGCATTTTGCGTGTCGCCTGGCGCCGTCGACCCGAGAAAAGACTGCCGAACAAAATGGACACTCACGACCGGTAGAAGGCGGCGTGGAGCGGCCATCGATCTCGGCGAGAGGCAGCTGGCACACGGAACATGACATGTCGTCTCATATTATTTACGTTTCTCAAGCTTGTCGCAAACGAAGTGGGAAAGCGCCGGGCATGCCGGTACCATGGGACGAGTCGATGCTGAGGGAGGAGTGTTTTGTCCGAGGGTAGAATCTGGGCGCCATGCTGAAGTTGGCTAAGGCCGATTGTAGCTACAGTTTTCTGGGTGAATAATTACTGTATGCTAGTGCGTATTTGGCACGCCATTGCACAGTGTTCCAACCTGAATCAAGCTAATAATGCGGGTTCATCTTCAACTAGAGTGGGTCCATATTGTGTGAATATCCCGACAAGGCGCTAGGCCTATAATGCACTCTGTACATCAAGCATGTCCGCGGTGCCCATTCTTTCGAGGGAGAATGAACCTTCGCGCACTTATATTCAGGATCAACAGAAGCCTTGGGAACCGTATGCACGATGAAGCCCCCACGAATGCCAAAGCGTAGGTCACCCTTCGCCAACGCGGAGACTAAATGTCAATTGACTAACACACCCATCAACACGCAGTCCGCCTCTCGATATTATACAGCAAGCAATCTCCTGCAGGCCAACATCCGGCAGTTCCGCACACACGGAGTATCGCGTATTCGACACAATTTCAGCAGCAGGAAAGAGGTCACGCCGCGCCCAGGTCTCCACGTCCTTCTGCTTTGGCTCTGGCCACGGAATCGAAGCCTACAAGTTTGATCGACTATGCCCTGTGAGACAATGCATATGCTGTTTTCAAGCCAGTCCAATGTTTCCTCAAGCTAACTTATATGTCTATAACCAAGGACGACTTTGGATCAGCTAGTGGCTTGGGCACGTAATGGATCCATGTGGCCACTTACTTTCGGCCTTGCTTGTTGCGGCATTGAGATGATGCACGTGTCGATGCCACGGTACGACCAGGACCGTTTGGGTATTATATTTCGAGCTTCTCCACGACAGGCGGATGTCATGATCGTCGCAGGGACTGTTACCAACAAGATGGCGCCTGCACTTCGGCAATGTTACGATCAGATGCCAGATCCCAAATGGGTCATAAGCATGGGAAGCTGTGCGAACGGTGGCGGCTATTACCACTATAGCTACAGTGTTGTCCGTGGTGTCGACCGCATCGTGCCGGTAGATATTTACGTGCCGGGCTGTCCACCAACAGCTGAGGCTTTGCTCTATGGGGTGTTCCAACTACAAAGAAAGATAAGAAGCACCAGAGTTACAAGGATGTGGTACCGCAAATAGAAAGCGGCTGCACATTGAAGAAGTTTGTGTGCTACTACAACCGTCTTTTCAAAAGTTATTCTCATTTTTGGACCATGTTCGTGATGTGGGCTCTCTTTGAAACCTTCCTTATATCACAGGGCGGCGACTTCCTCTGAAAGTGGCTTGAGCTTCCATATTGTTGTTGCTGAGGTAGCTATGATGCCTTTTCTTGGAAGTTACAAATGGCCGTCCCATGGCATCAATCAAGCCAATATCGATATTTCCATGGCGCCGTCCAACATGTCAAGACTTCTTAACATTTTACCGATCCGTCCGTGCCATTAGAAACCTGGGGCTGTAACAACATTTCCTTTTGCACATGCTTCCGAAACGGGGTTATGCAGCCGTCGAAATATTCTGTAAGATAATGATCTTTCTCAAAGCATCGAGTGCCAGAGCAGAAACAGGAGGCACAGATATGATGTTGTCCGCCGAGACAAACTTCACAGTGAAAGAAGTTACTCAGATTCTTCCAGCCGCATTGATTGCAGCTGACCTCTGAGTCATACACTTCGAAACAATGCTCCAGTCGGACTAGTCGCTTTTTAGAAAATGAATGTCGTTCACGATGGTAGTTGTGCCCTGGCTTGTCATTGCCTTCGGCGGGAAACATCCCCAGAAGCTTCCACGCAGGAGGTCTTTCTCTCGGTTCTTTAGTACGACAGGCTTTTATTATGTTTTGAAGATATTGAGGGACTTTAGCTCCCGGGGAAGGGAGATCGATTAGAGCGCCTTGATGCCCCTCATCATCAAGACCGTCGTCTTTGACTTTAGTGAAAATAGAGTCGTTTGCACATGTTTGACAGGCCGCGATGCGCCATAATATCAGTCCCAACTGGTATAAGTCAGTATGCGGGAGTGCCACGATGTGACCTTTACTCGATATTGAGTGCTGATACTCAGGAGGCACCAAGGCCATCTGATCCTCGTCGTAGCTGAAGTTTCCTGAAAGAGGCCGTACACGACAACACTGTCATTGCCATCAAGCCCAATACCATGCATTTGAACACGCCCCACAGCATGGAGACAACGGTAAATAGAACAGCTCCATTTCACTCGCGCTCCCAAGATCCATGGTTCTGTTCAATAAAAACACCAATCTCCTAATACGGTGGCATCTACTGCTAGTCGCCCTCGATGTTTTCATCGAAGATCGATTTGCCGTACCCTATTGGCTGGATTCGCGAGTATACCTAGGTACTATCAGTGATGCGCTGATCAGTCCGCCAAGCCTGTGAGACTGGTGGCGTCTTTGTGGGGCGGTTCCTGGCTGCTATTTTTAGCCTTACCGCGCTCATAGCCTGACATCCTTTGGGGCCAGGCCAGGGAGCCGATATTATTCCTCTAGGCGGAAGTCTCTTGTGACGTCAAACATCGAGCTGAGATGAGAGCCCTGCCCTCTGATCCGCCACGCAGTTGCCTTGGATAGGCAGGCTACGTTCACGAGATACATAAAGCACATGGTGGCCATTTCAGCGCGTAGTATTTATCAACTGTTTCGCGGCGCGTTCCAGCATTTTCCTACTACCAAACAGCGGTGAAAATGACTGGCGATTCAAAGGACAGCCTCATCTCAGCATTATGCGGCCCTGAAATCTGGCAGTGGGATTCAAACGGGTCTTGCTCGATCAGTTTTAAGAAAGATGGAACTGGCCTCGTAAGTATATCCTCTTTCGGAACAAGATGTCGCTAATGTCGTTATAATGAAGCTTCGGGCTGGGGCAGAATTGTCCATCTTTATCGCCGCCGAGTTTGCCTGGGAGCTCAAGAGTTCAGGGAATACAGAGGATAACCCAAGCTTTGACATCCAAATCACACTCACGACACGGGTCCATCCTTATTTACGAGAGAGTCGTCAGCACTACACCTTGCTCAACGAGCAGGCTCTGACAAGCGCCGCATTCCAGCCAAAGACCTACACCATTCGTCTAGAAGAGGGTAGATTTGATGAGCCTGCTACCCCCTGGGTGAACTCTCCGCCTTTCTTACATCGACCTCCTAAATTCGCGCTCCGTTTGTCATTTGATAAGTCACCGTTCCCGCCATTGGAGGAGTGGAGGGAAGAGGCCAAATTCGCTGCTGAGCAGTGTCGGTTTTGGGAGTATAAAGAATTCGCAGATAAGGAGGTGCCAAGGGATGGCGTACTTACAGCACTTTTACACAAAGTGTCAGGATGAGGAAATCTGACCGTAGCAAGCTGAATCGATGCTTAGAAGTCATACCTGCGTGCAGGAACCATATAGCATGCTGTCATAACTCATAAATTGGCGTGAAGAACTCAACGTGCCTATCTAAGCAAGGCCGTATTCCTTGATCAACTTCTCCGCACAAGTGACACCGGTAACATAAGCAACGGACTGCACGTGGCAGCTCGCCAAGACAGGGACCACACTCATGTCTGCGACCCGCAGACCCTCAATACCCACCAGACGGAAGTCGCTGTCTACGGCCGCGTCCTTGTCTCCCTTCTTACCCATCTTGACAGTTCCAGTCATGTGCCAGCTGCTGGAGATGGTGTTCTTCCAGTAATCCAGCAATTCTTCGTCGGAGTCGCCTGCGGGCCCAACGATTTGCGATACGTTATCCTTGGTGTATCCGTCTGACTTTGCAATTCGGAAGGCATCCCGCAGTGATTCGACAGCAACCCGGCGGTCGTAGGGTGTTCCTAAGAACTTAGGGTCGAATTTCAAAGGTGTTTTGGGGTCGGATGACTGGAGCGTCACAGTACCACGAGCCTGGGCGTTGTAGTAGAACACCAGCATGCAAGAGTAGTTGAGGTTCTCCTTTGCGAAACCGGGGATGAACCAGTGGATGGGGAAATGAGTGATGATCTCGTAGTGTGGGACAGTGGGGGCATCGATGTGGCGTTTGTCCGCCTCCGGCAGCTCTTGGAATTCCTTGGTACTGGTCAACGACGGAATCTTGAACCAGCCGATGCCAAGCTCGCAGGCAAATTTTGACCAGGGACCCGTGCCGTCGAACTTCCATTGCTCTAGTGCATCAGCCATTGCTTTCTCGTCGCCGTAAAATGGAGCGCGAGCTGTGCTTCCCTCGGTACGGGTCCATGCCAATGGACAAAACATGTGGTCACGAAGCCCTTGGCCAATGGCGGGCACATCGAGCGCTACGGGCAAGTCGAACTCCTTGAGGTGGTCCGCAGGACCAACACCCGAGTGCATGAGGATCTGGGGGTTGTTGAGTGATCCGGCAGAGAGGATCACTTCTTTAGTGGCATAATCTTTGCAACTGTTAGCTTGCAGTATTGCGGAATTCATCAGCTGGAAGAGGCATTACACTTCTGGGTATCTGTCTCCACACCGACGCATTTCTTTCCTTCAAGGATCACTCGAAGCACCGGTGAGTTCGAGAGAACCGTCAAGTTCTCTGGCAAAGGTTCGAGCAGATCGCTCGCGGTAGAACGAGTTCCACGGTGACTTGAGTTGATTAGAACCGACATTCCTAGAGGGTTACCTGAGTTATGGTCTGGATTCAATGGGAACCCGGCCTGCTCAAAGACATCGAGCATGGGAGGCAGATCTGACTCGAACTCGGCAGCATATCCGACACGAAGGGGCCCGGTAGAACCATGATCAGCAGGTTTCGGCGCAGCATATTTCTTGCTGACTGTTGACGGCAGTTCTCCATGGAAATTCTCCAGAGCCTTATATCGCTGCTGAATCTTTGGCCAACTGAAAAAGTCGTCGCCAACCAGGCGAGCCCACTCCTCATAGTCGTCCCGGGCTCCAATACTGTATACACCAAAGTTGATAGCACTGGACCCGCCGAGGCCCTTTCCTCGAGAATAGTCACACTCGCGACCGTTGCAGTTCTCCTGAGGCGTTGTTTGGTAACCCCAGTTCATATCTTTGTTCTGGAAGGTGGTCCAGCGTTGCCCATCAACGCGGAGTGACTTATCCTCATTCTTGCCTCCGGCCTCGAGCAGAAGTACCCTTGGCTTCTTGGAAGCACGTGCTAGTCCAGCTGCCACAGCACTTCCGGAAGGGCCACCTTGTCATTGTCAGTTGTGATCCGACAGGCATCGAAGTAGAATAACCAGTAGTTAAAAGACTAGGGTCAGGGGGGTGGGTTCTGGGTAACGTAACATACTGCCCACGATGATAAAGTCATAGCTTGATGCCATTTTATTAACCGCACTTCAGCTGTGTAGCTCCGAATACAAATAATGAGAAGCAATATCGATCAGTTATCGCACGTAGTTGTTGAGAAGGTGAGGTTCTGGCTAGCGAGGGGTAGAGAGCAATGAATGTAAATCCCTCCAAACACCAACACGAATACAAATGCAACTCAGAACGCTGATTCTCCACCACGCAGCTCCACTGAGCTACGACCAATGGCCAGGGATTTACCACTGGCTTGTTCATGCAGCCCGGAATGGGAGATCAGGGTGGTCGTGGGGTCGTGTTAAGCGAAAATGCCCGCAGGAACTGGATTGAAACTTCAAGGGTCCGATTACCTAACCGAGACAAGAACTGCTTGGCAGGGCGCCATCGTGCTATAATAGGCCGACCAAGTGCGGCAAAGCGTCCGCGCCGCGGGCCTTTGTTACTAGTTTCCAAGTAGGGGCCCCAGTCCTTTTGCTGCCCTACAGATATCAATTTCATGGGTAATAATCCCTAGCAACCTAGCGTTGTGCAAGACTTTAAGGACGACGTACGCACCATCCTGTATAGACATGGGCGATGTCACATGGCACAATTATTATGCATCACGAACCACGCCACGAGCGGTACAGGGTTTTGATCGGATTCGAGCGGAAAGCACCACAGATCATTCCGCGATGTGGTGGTATCGCGGTATTGTGCCGCGAATAGGAGATACGACACTGAGTGGACGGCCGCGTCCTGCATATCTCACATCTCACAACTCGCCATTCTCTAAGCACACGCTATGCCTTGAATTGCTCTGTGGATCGTCCGATATGAACAAGCCACAAATTATTGCGTCCTACTTTAGCAACCCATCAGACTCTCGTCGATGGCTCTTCATAGTTGCTAGCCGTTGGGCCGCTGAGCCGTTCCGAAGCAGACTGGTGGCCCATCAATTTAGGGGGTTGCAGATGGACAGGCTTGCCCTTGCCAACCAACCGCAGTCCAACAGCGGTGCGGCAGCCAGGCAAGCTACGGGCCATTAGCTGAGGCACGGCTCGCCGGGTGGTGGAGCCTCATTGATGGGTCCTGAACACACTCTCGGCAGCCCCACGAGCATCACTTACGCGGCGATCGACCAGCTCCACAGTGTTAGATCAAGAGGGGCGACAAGGGCGGGAATAATCGCCGGAGAGATTCGACCAGCCTATCCTTGCTGATGTCGTGAAAGGGTTTCATTAATTCATTGAGAACTCTCAGGGAGTCTGGAAATGAAGATCGAGAACGGCCCAGAACAGTTTCCGTTGTTGCAGCCTCCTGGGCTGCCATTTGGGCACGTCAGTGGTGCCCGTTGACAGACCAGCATGACTCAGGCGCCCTCTTCAACTATCCTCTTCTTTGCTAATCGACCCCGCCGATCTTTGCGCCTAGAGACTATCCAGTATAGCGGGTCGGCACCGGCAATGACCTCCACCTGGGACTGCTCTTGTCTTCCGGCAGTTTGGCAAATAATGATACCGCTTGGCATGGCACCTCAATTTGTCAACACCGTAGCCATAGTCTGATTGACGTGGCTGCGTGGGCATCAAGGGTGTCTGCAAAGGCCAAATGCGTATCGGGCACGTCGATATCACATGCGCATTGCCCCACGCATTCCTTCGCTTCGACACAGAGCACCGTGTGGTCCCTGACGAGATTGACGTGCTCTGGCACTACCAAGACAGGCAAAAGTCTGGTCAAGTAATTTGCGCAAAAATGACTGGATGGACAGTGCCAATAATGGTCCAGGGACGAAGCTCGAATGGCCCGAATGGTGAGGATGTCAGATGCTGTAAAACTGACCTTTTTTCTCGGTCTCTTCTACCGAAACAGTGGTGGGTCACGGGCACAACGTCTACCCACTGTACGGATACGTAGTGTCATGCTACAGCAAGGGGAGCACATTCATACACAATTATGACATGCAAACCCCCTGGGTACCGGGCCTTCTAGAAAATGACCCCTTGCAATATGATGATTCAGGTCCGACAGCAGCAAGGGGTGGAATGGAACGGCAAGGTCGATCTCTTCACCTTGAGCTTACCTAGCGTTGACCTTGTCCTTATGCAGTAGCCATCAAGCCGATTGGGACTTGATGTTCCAATTACCAAATGAATAACATACCATCAATTGTTCTCGACGTTCTTTCATTTATCCACAGCGTTAGCTTGCTCTTTTCTCGTTTCGTTTTTCGTTCCCTTCCACGTCTTTTCCATCGTACGCCTATCCTGTTGGAGACCGCGACCAGGTCAACAAAGCCACAATGGCGATTGAGGAACAGTTCGCCTTGATGGCGCTAGGCCTTATTGTCATTGCTATACGCATGCAAGTGCGATGGAAGCAAGTTGGGATTGGCAATTGGCAACTGGATGACTATCTGATGCCCGTCGCCGGTGTATGTCACAACACCATTTACTGTTTGGGGGAACGCCCTGATCGGTCGATCAATCTGAATGGGTTACTAATATCACGATTATCTACGCAGTTAGTGTTTGTCCTAGAAACGGTCGCCGCGTTCCTGGTCGGCGCGATGTTCGACGGCTTGACAAACAGTTACATGACCGACGAAGAGCGCGCCTCACTCGACCCGAGCTCACGAGAGTTCTACAATCGACAGTGGGGGTCCAAGATCCAAGTCATTGGCTGGTCTTTCTATGCTTTCATTTTGTGGAGTCTCAAAGTCTGCATCGCAGTTTTCTATAGCCGCCTTACACAGGGGCTGGCGCATCTTAGACTACGAGTTCGTATCGCCTATGTCCTTCTAGGCGTAACCTACGCCACTGTCTTCTTATCTCTTTTACTATCATGTCAGCCAATGTCCAGGTTTTGGCAGATCAACCCGGATCCAGGCAGTAGGTCATCTACTTTACAAGTTTCACGCCGTCACCACGCATGTGCTAACCAAGTAGATCTCTGTCAACCAACCAACTCGAAACTCTATGTATTAATTATTCTCATCCCGAATATCATTACGGATTTGTACCTCTTGTCTATTCCTCTGCCAGTATGTTATCTTTACCTCTGGTACCGAACTATTCTTGTAGCTAAAACGCCTCACAGCTGCTATGGTCAGTGAAGATTGGGACAAGGAGGAAGATCACATTGATGGCTCTATTCAGTGGCGCCATTTTCGTGATTATGGCAGGAACGATTCGTGCAGTTGTTATCCTGACGGTAATTTCACATATCTCCTAACGCTGCCGTATAGCATTAACTTAATTTTTCACAGGCTGGGCCCAATGGAGCAGTGTCGGGCAGTCAGTGGGCTTGTCGCGAAACCTTCGTCGCCATTATTGTTGCCAACCTTCCTATCATCCAGCCTTTAATCCGCAAGGCTGCAGAAAAGATTGGGTTGAGCGCCCTCTTCAGCCGTACGACGACAAATGGGCGCAGCAAGAGCCACCAGTTGGAGGACCGAAATCCCTCTGATGCCTTCTCTAAGAACCGCAAAAAACCTACCGGACATCCACTGTCTGTGCCTCACGGCAGCGGTTGGGCCAGCGACGAGCATATCTTGGTCAGTGATCAAAATAGGAGAGGCTCGAAAGAGAATGGAATTATGGTTGCACAAGAAATCACAGTACAAGAAGAGCGTGCATCGATGGCAGTGCCCAAAGGGGCTCCGAACCCTGGAATCCACAATGACTGGGACTACCCAGGTGCGACTGGCGGTGCGGGTGGCAAGAAATGAGGGCGTTACCCAAAAGCGGCGGGCAATGATGTGCTGCTTGCTGGGAGAAGTATTGAGGCTTTCATATCTGGTAGCCAGTACTAGTATCTACTAATAGTATCGTTTGTCACCATCTGACTTCACTGCGATAACATTGGTAGTGGTTTAAATGCTCGATCCGTGGTCTTGAGCGCTCATTTGGGGTCTTCATACCATCCGGCATAGAACCTGAAGCCGAACCCTAGCCGCACAAGGTCTATTACTAGCATGTCGACGAATGGCTGGCCATGTTTGTCCTTTCTCGAGAAGGTGTCGTACCACTTACAAAGGGCACATTGTGGCTCGCCAAGTCATCTAAAAAGTGAATACCTTCAGATGAACATGAAGAATTGACTTGAGACACTGGTCCCCTTGGCTCCTGTCGTGCCACCATGTCTAAGCATTTGTTGACCTAACCCCAAGTGAGGAGGGCCAAAAGTCTTTGCAGAATTCAATCTTAAAACTTGTATGAGACGTAGACCATCAGATACTGTCCAATCAATGGAGTTCCGGTACTCCGAAATGTCGTATGATACGGTTCCACTACTATGTACTATGGTAGTAAGGGGAACATACCTTATACAGTAGATTTCATCAGGGGTGTATCGTCCCGACTTGTTTTAGCACGAATTCAAGGGGGGACCCTGGCACTTTAGACCCTAGATCCCGGTATTATTCAGCAGAGCTGCAGGGTCACCATGTTTTTGTTCCTATCTCTTCCGCTAGTCTTTGGTGCAATTGCCCAGAAATTTGGTGTTTCTGAATTTCCATCCGTTGACCCGAAGCATCACCCCAAGTGCTGTGCCACGATCTAAGAAAATAGAGGAAAGACAAGAAGACACGGTATCATCTCAGGTGAATGAAGGACTCTTTTTTAGTGGCGCTAGGTCTTATTAGGATAAGTTTGCGACAGCTCGCCTCTTTTTGATCCCATTTGACAAGCAAACAAGGTATGAAGCTACTTGTAACCACGGCCGAGTGCTCACGCCTTCACAGCGACGGCCACCTTCTGCTCCTCAACACTACTGCTATCCGGCGTTGGTCTTGCCTCCGCAACGCCTACCTCTGGCTCCCAGCGGCCGTACAAAGCAACTACAGTGGGAGGTATTGTGGCAAACCACAGCACCAACCCTAGGATCATCTGGTTCAAGTTCGACCAGTGCGTTGCTCCAACTACATACGCTATCGTACTGCCAATAGATTCCCATGAGCGTAGAATACCTGTCGTACGCGCCACATCCCCGTGTCGGTACTCCTCCGAAGCCACGCCTTTGCCGACTTCACCCATCAACCAGTAAAGGTATGTTTGCAGCGCCTCGTAAAAAAAGCGGAAGAACAGGTAAACTGCAAAGGCAGAGTCGCCGAATGAACTGCCGCCGATATCGAAAGCTGTCGACTCCTGGTGAGAAAGCTGCACCTCCACGATCGCATTCCAGATCCAGCAAGCGCTAATAAACATCGCAATCCCGATGTATACGGCGCGAGACTTTGCTCTCTGAGAAACGCGTGGCAAATCCAGCAAATAGCCCGTTATCAGGTTAGCACCGAAACCCACTACGGCTGTCAGGAACGAGGCAAGTGCACGAGAGCGGACTGTAAAGTATGCTGTGGGATAGATCAGCGATGCTTCGATATTTGCTTGTCATGTATATGAGTATTGCGCAAGAAAGCACTCACTTGTCAAGTAGTTGCTCTGGTAAGTTACACCGAACTGGCCCGCAAGAAAAACCGGCACCAGAAGCAGGAGGTATGAGCTTTTCAGCTGTCTCCAAATGGCACGTGTTTCAACAGAAAGACTTGTCTGCCTCATGTACGCAATTTTCGTCCCATCGCTCCTGACAACTTTTTGAGGCTGCGATAATAGGAGCGCAATGGGCGCTCCAAGAGCAGAGATGGCGATGAGTCCGAGGTACGTGTTGTAGCTCACTTTGCCGGTTGATCGAGTGTTTACATTGATTGCCAGTGAAATGGAACCGCCAATCAAGGGTCCAAACTGCCTGATTCCCATCCAAATGGCGATGTACCTGTATCGATATCATGTCAATATCCGCACAGGGGATTAGGATCGAACGAAGATGAAACTCACTTCCCCCTCTTGGCCTCTTCTGGGTACCCAACGGCAATGGCTGCCTCACTAGCCCATAGAAGAGATGCTCCTATACCACAAAGCCCAGCGCCAAGAAGCATGAACCACTCATTCCCGTAACGGTTGTTGCAATAGAGCCCCGCCGCATAAGGGGTGTAGAATGCTGCTCCAAGGACTAGTGCCCACTTTGGCGTAATCTTATTGGATACACCGCCTGCTATTGCACATCCAACAGACATGAGACCGTAGGTGAGCGCATTGGCCGCATTATTGAGGAATGGCTAGCGGCAATTGTCAACGAATCAGCCATAAGGTAACAGAATCGGCCAGACATCATACACTAGCTTGACCTCCAGCTCCCAGGTTGTTGAGAGCAGTCCATATACCTGGCTCACAAAGACTGACGAGGCCAACTATTATGACCTGGAAAAGACACGAGCGATAAAACTGAGCAAGGCGTTGTATTGCCATAGCGAAGGATCTCAAACCTAACTCGAAACTTGGGTTCTTGTTAACTGCACCCCCAAAAGCGCGCATCAGACCAACTTCAGACCAGTCACTTCGGACGCCGGTACAATATATATAATCACTGACTCTATGCTCTCTCCCTGAAATAGCACGCCATAGCTCGTTATTGAACTGGACCTTGGAGTCCCATTACCATGCAGCGCAGATCACTGCCTAAAGACTACTTCGCGTGTCAATGCTGCACCGACAAAAAAAATACAGCCATGTTGCGAAAGATATGGCTGCCTATTCAGGTTTTCCAAAACTGACCGGCCCCCAAAGGAACAAGACCTACCCCGTAGTGGTGGTCGAGCCCTTAATCGTAACAGGCCGAGCGCGATATGTTGTACTATTTACGACTCTCTCTAATGAGTCGACAAGACCTTCGGCAAACGGCTGAAAGGATGCCGTAATCAAGGAATGATTGTGATGTCTGCCATCCTTGTGGGGAATGGCGTGCTACCACTAGAAAACTTTCTACAACACCGTACTCCACTATTGGCGATAACCTCTACAATAAAAATCACTTAATACATAGTGTGTCTTTTTTATGTATGGAGTCTTTGCTGGTAAATAGATTCACGTTCTGCCAAGAAGACCGGCAGAAACGTGGTGTGCTCAATATGTACCCGAATGCCCAATTACTTGTCATTCTCATTCCCTAGCTTCTTCTCGTGAGCTACGTCCTGCTCGAAATCCTCTGCATGCGTCATGAAAACATCATCATTGATGTTGCGATGTCTCCACCAAAAGATGATGGTTTGAACGAACAGAGCAATAGCTGGGGCAGCCCAGGCCCAAACTAGAGTAGGATCGTCGATAGCTGGAATCAAAATCTCGCCCAGAGCGCTGCTCAAAGCTGTCATGAACAAGAAGAGTGCTACGACGGTACTCCTCATATGTTCAGGAGCGCGTGCGTAAGCAAGCTCGTATGCGGTCACGTTAACAAAAATCTCAGACATCGCGCCGAGTGCCACATTAGGTATTTGCCACCAAATGGAGAGAGGCGACACGTCGTCGCAAGTGCTGGCTTCATAGCCACTGTTTGGTAATTCATGTCAGCGTTCTGGATGTCAGATCAAGTGACTCATCAAGTGGAAGCATACCATGGGCTTGTCTCGTAAACACGGTATTGAACGATGGCACCAATTACGGATGATATGGTGGCAAGCATGAAACCGAAAGTCATTCGGCTAATGCGACCAAACTTGATGTTTCTTCGCTTCAAGAAAGGGTAAACAATATGAGCCATGAACGGAGCGAAGAAAATGATGACCAATGGGTTGAAGTGACTTAGTAAGTCATTGGGGGCACCATTAGAAGTCATAGCCGCACCCTGGTTGCTCTGGACGCTTCCGACACCTCCATCATTCAGATTCCACACAGGAATGTAAAGGAAGATCTGGACGGCTTGCCAGGTGCGTCGTACGTCATCAACGTTTTTCTCCGAGTAATCGGCAAGGACGTCACCTTCGGCCAATGTAGACGGTCTCACATTGTGCCACAAATTCTGCGAGAAAATATTCCCCTTGCTCGCCTTCAAAGCACTGACAGTGATCTTGATAAATCGAGTCAAATCGGAACCTTGAGGCGGCGTTCGGATGGTGCGCTTATACGTGAAAGCTAGCATTATTGGCAGAAGGAAGTAGACAACCCCTGGCACCAGGTAAGCCAACCAGAAGCTGTGGTACTTTTCGATGTAAACCACAGCGATCGAAAAAAAGGCACCGACGTTGACAAAGGCGTAGAAGATGAGCATGATATGGTTGATAGTCGTCTCTGGGTCGACAAGCACCTTCTCTCCTGACTTCAGTACCTTCGTGTACTCTCGCTGGTATTTGTATTGATCGATGACTGTCGGCGCGACGTTTGGTTTGAAAATTCCGGCTCCAATGGCTAGGAGAGCGAAGCTGATGAGAAAGACTGCAACTCCTCGTCCCGCTTGCAGAAGACCGGGGGCAGCGCCTCCAATCATAATGACATGTGCAACACCCCCAATAATGACACCCCAAACTATGGCTTTGTAACGGCCAATCTTGACATCTGCGATCCAAGCGCCGAAGATGGGGATAACATAGGCGAGGAATGTAAACATGAGTCCCAAGGCCGAAGCAGTCTGAAGACCAAGGTTCAATGCACCGGCGTGGGAATTCGGTTTGTTGGGATTGATAGCACCAGTACCAGGACCGCCCTCGGGCAATGGGAATTGCATGTAGTTGTTGAACGCGGCCTTGACACCATAGTAGGATGCTCGCTCGGCCATTTCCACAATGCAGAGTGACCAAGATATCAGAGGGATTGAGTCGTGGACTTTACGGAGCGTTGTGCGCTCTTCTTCGGTGGGCGCCGGATACGCATCGTCAACGATCCGACCAGTCTCGGTTGCTGAATTCAGTTGCGACTCGACGTTTCCATCGTCAGAACCTTGACTCGCAGACTCGGTAGCAACGATTCCGGCATGCTGCGTCTTATCCGAGCTGAAGCCTTGAGGAGCATCGGGTTCGACGATTTTCTGGACGGTCAGACCAACGACATTCTCGGCTATAGAGAAGTTAAATTAGAAATATGCGTGTCGGTACTATATGTCGGATAGAGGAGACTAACCCATGGCTATGTTAGCTTCTCAAGCTATCCGCCGTGGTTTCGTAGACAAGGAAACAGAGTTGACAAGCACGCCAATCTGTCTGGGCAAATACTGGGCAAATACTGGGCGAAAGCTAGGCAAAAGCTAGCTCTCAAGATAGCAGGATTATCGCCTTTCATATATGCCGCCAAGACCAATTGCGAGTTTTGATAAGGTTGTTGCGCCATCGTTAGCTTGGCAATCCCTGCTACCGCCTCGATTTCTTTCTCGTCATGATTAACTAGGATCGGAAACTTGTAGATACGAGCGCGGACTAATTGGCCGATTGGATAACGCCAAACCGGGCATTGAGCCTGGTGCTGGGTTTCTGTCTAATTGTTCGCTGTTGTGTCGATACCGAAGTTTTCGGAGGGCTCCGGAGGAGGTATTGCGTTGAATGTGGGGGTGCGCTAGACTCCCTATCTCCCTATCTCTTCATATGAATCTAGCCCCGAACCCCTGGCCAAGCATGCCACAAAGCTTTTGCATTAATCAGTTAGGCGGTATAGTTATATGCTCAGTAATATCTGGTTGGGTTTGTACGTGTGTTCTCGTAGTAGACAGGATTGAAGTGTGGGTTTGACGGTATGGGTTCTACACTAGGAACTCAAATTTGATCCTTGGCCAGTACAAACACCGTGGTGCATTCCTAAGCCGTAAACCGCCAGACGATTTTGGAATCCGGGCATGAGCTCAACCTTTGTTCGCTTGCACGGAGTCGTCGTGTGTACTCCACTCTACATATGGCTCTCAATACTTCCAATGTTGCAGGTGTGGGGTGTCGTACCATAGTACTGCTCCACTGGCCGCCAAGGGACTAGAGACGGAGATGTGTCTAAGTACAGGATGTGCTCTCCGACAGCCACAAAACTACGGACTATGTAATATGGTGTCTCATCTGTATCCAAATGTCTAGAGTTCTGTCGTGATTAAATGAATTGTTACATTACTTTCAAAGGGAAAATATTTTCGAGGTCGGTCATGTCTTTGAATGGGATTTTCTTCCTACGCAGGCATCCACGAGCCTTACCTATTGCTGTTCTCAGTAGCAAGGCCTTGTAGGTTTGAATATGACTGATATGGAGCTTTACGAAATTGATGACTCTTTCGTCACTAGAAACATGCCACGACGTTGTAATAATCAACGTAGTGTTACGAGTAGTCATGAATGCGACATAAATAAAGCGAATTATATGAGCCAAATGTAGATACATATGGAATGAGATAATGTAGAGATGCTATGGACATAAGTATCTGGCATAGTGCCTACATATTGCTCGGGCTGAGGATGCCCCTTAGTACTTGTCGATTCTGTAGAGGCTCTCCCCTCTCAGCGCATCGTTTACAAGAGGATCTTCTGAGACCAAGAACGGCCCCAAATTGATTGCCGGGCATTATCCAATGAGTAATGTTCTGTCAGACCATAGTGGAGTCCATAGGCTTGTCATAGAGAAAGTTTTAAACTGAGCAACAACCTGACTGAGCAATCGTGTGTCTGGCGTGAAAGTTGAAATAGCATCGAATGGCCAAGTTTTACGCACACGTCATTCGTGTCTGCCAGGACCTCAGGTGAATCTAATATTCGTCTGAACAACTGAAAACTATTGGTTGTGCGTCGTTGAAGCGTATATGTTCATCCAACGGAAAGTGTGGCACAATCACGACTACTAACAACAATCGAGTAAGCGTGCCTACTGCCAGTCAGTATCAAGCTCACCAGCCAACAAAGGCAGCGAAAGGCAATAATAAATTTAACAACAAGACTTCTAGAACACGAAGAGGTGCATTTGCCAAAGAAATTACCGGTCGCTAACTTACACTACCCCTACTTATCGTGATCCATGCGCCCGGAGGTGATCGTGAGCATGCCTTCCGTGAAATCTCCACTTTTCTCGGGCCCCACCCACTACATGTCCGATGTATCCCGGATCACATTGGGCCGGCAGCTTCCGGGCCAACAACAATGAAACCATTTTTTGATCATACATTAACATCAAAACGGCGGGGCCACAGCTTACGGCGGCGGGATTCTTCCCAAGGCGCAAATTGCCAGCAGAATCCTAGATGCCTTGCTTCTTTCAATACATAAGGACCAGTACTCACCACCGCAAATCAACTTTCCTCACACATCACAACTCCGAAGTGCTTCACGCATCTGCTCAGCTCTCGCTGCACCGGGTTTTTCTGGCCATCATCTCCGAGTCGCTTCCATAGCTTTGCTCAAGGTAAGCAAAATACTCGATCGGATTCATCGATATGCCCACGGGCTGAAATCTTCTGGTCCCCCATCGTTCCCATCATCGTCAGCACTCCCACCTCTCGTCGCAACCCACCATCAAGACCTGGCACCACAACTCATCAACTTTTTATCGCCACTAGCCGTCATATCTGTTCTCGGGTATGACCTATGATTTAGGCTGTCGCTTCGAGATTTTCAATGTGGTGGGGCAGGAAATCGTGCATCTTGCCTGGATCCTCCACCCTGAGGCATCATTATTGACTCTTTGGAAACGCAAACCGCAATCCCTTTTCTACCCCACCACAAGCTTGCGGCGCCCCATCAGAAATCCGCGTCACGGCAACACGACTGGCACGTGTTCATTCACCCAGCTCTTTTATACCTCTTATTTCTTCACTCATTGCTAACCTTTGTCGTCACTGTTCAATGGATCAAGACACTTCTCCTCCCCGTCGCAGCGAAGCGACCACCACCTCTGCGCCCATGACTGAGGTAACCATCCCCCACCCCGTTTTCCTTGCCCGGTCTCTCTGCCAGCCCGTCACTTCCGGACAGACGCCATCCCAAACAGCACAAGACTCGTTGGGGGTTCCTCCACGGCCAGCAGTGTGCCGAGGCATGTGTGTTTGCCATCCCAAACCTCCCTCCTTTGGGTAGGGGCACTCACCCTTCGGTACGCCCTGCCGTGGACCAGGAAAGGAGTATGTGCTGGGCGTGCTGTCGCAGCTGCTGTTCATCCCAGGTCATCCTTCGGGGTTCAGCCTGGCTAGAGAGATTCCTTCCTGCGGTCTCTCTAGGTGCGTATTGAAAGCGCAGTGGGGATCCTTACTGTAAGTCCGGCCTTCGGGTGCGGTCGGTGAGGCGCGACTTGATCGAATAATTTGCCGCTGCGTGGAGCATTGCTTTGCGGGGTACTGTTGTGGGATGGACACAGTGATGCTGGGGGGACCGTGGCGTATGAGGATCTCGGGACTTGCTTACTCGGTACTTTTGTCCATTCCGTTTTACTGACGGGGTCGCAGGCAGAGAACGCTTCTGCGAGGAGGCTCGCGAGCATCCAGCAGACCCAGGCCGTCGCTACGATGCAAAACATTGCAGAAGCTATGGAGAACACTCTGAACATGTCTTCTGCCATGGGTATGAGCACACTTGATGAGGTTCACGACAGTCTGGAGGAGATTGCTGATTCTCTCGAGAACATGCGACACTCGACCAAGGAGCTCAATGCTGCTGCCCAGTCCATCGTTGGGATGGCCAGTATTGTCGACCATCTTCATGAAGTGGTTCACACCATGAAGGCACAGAGCAGCCGCGATCTCAAAAAGATCAAAGAGTTTCAGAAACTCCAGAAGCTGGTAATATGCCTCTTTCTTCTTCCATTGTAATAAATTCAAGCTAACACCCAATCCGCAGTATCACGAGCAGTTTCACTTCCAGACTCAGGCCTTCTCCGCTGCCCTTGTGGTCGCATCGATAATTATTATTGCCTTTTTTAGCTACGTTTTTCTTATGCGCGTATGACAGTGCGTATATGAAAGAAACCATTAGAAACCGCTTGTCGGTCAATCATCCGCATTATATCCGAGAGATAACGTTAAGGTGTATTTGAGGAGCCAAGAGACATGGTATGATATTTTCGACATGACCAATGTGTTGTGTACAACGCATGTGGCGTAATGCATGGCGTTTGGAGATACCCACTGGCAGTTAGTGTTTTATACTGCTTTATACTCATGTAGTCGTTATGCAAGGTGAATTAAGGGACTTTTAACGCAAATGTCTCTGTGTTGACGTGTTAGAAGTCCACGGGGGACATGGATCAGGCTATAATGTGATCAATTGATCTACCGGGGACGTATAACTCAGAAGCATCAAGTCCAGCATTGCAGCAACTCCATCCCCATATTGCCAGCCCATCCCAGCCATTGACTGGGCCCCTTAGGGCTCTAACACACCCCGAGTACCTGATGCCAAGTCACAGCTTCCTTTTGATGAAATTATACACGAATCTCACCGTTGATGGCCCAGGGCCAGTCAGTAGGAGACACAGCAGTCAGTACGGCTGTGACGGTCGAGTCCGAAACAGTAGTCGTAGCAGTCTCTCGCAGAGGCCAGTCGGTAGCCTTCGGGGCCTCGGTGAACGTAGCGGTGACGGTTGAGGTCCTAGGCCAGGCGGCTGAGTTCTCCGCAGCCAAGGTAGCTGTGACGGTTGCAGGCCACGGCCAGCGCTGGATCAGCGAGGCAGTGTCGACGGCTACGTCAGCAGTCAGGGTCGCGGTGACGGTGGAAGAGTCGAGCGTGGTGGTGGCAACTTCGGTCAAAGTGAGCTCGGTTCCGGTAACAGTGGCCATGTCCACATCGGTGGTGATGGTGGACGTCCAAGGCCAAGCAACAGAGTCCTCGGCCTGAAGCGTGGCGATGACCCGCAGCCAGGGCCATCTCTTGTCGATATCCTGAGCCTTGTCGAGCTGGGCATCGGCAGTCAAGGTGGCGGTGACAGTGGACGACGCGAGCGTAGTAGTCGCGACCTGAGACAAGGTGACGTCGGTCCCGGTGACCGTGGCCATGTCGACGTCGGTGGTGATGGTTGACGGCCAGGGCCAGTCGGCGGTGTTCTTGGCCTGCAGAGTTGCCACGACTCTCTTCCAGGGCCATCGCTTCTCGATAGAGCCCTGCTGAACAATGGGTTGTTAGATTTCGATGGGATTGGAACTGGAACCTCGGCGAGCTTCTGCTGGAATAACAGTGAAAGATGATCACATACCTCGTCGCGTTTATCGTCGACAGCGGAATCCAAGGGCAAGCCCTGAGCGAGCCGGAAGCTGGCAATGGCAACAGCAGCGACGGCAGCCGGAACACCTGCGGACATACCTACTGCACCAGTGACACCAATGACGATAGTGGTGACGAACGAAGTAAGCTTCATGATTAATGGGGGAAAATGAGTGCTTGAGTGAGATGTACGGAAGGATTTGTGCTTGAGGCAACGAATGTCAAAGACGTCGAGAAGTGTTGACTTGGTTTATCACAGCAAAGCAGTGAGATGTCAATGATATCGCTTCTCGAAGATTGGTGAGGCTTGGTCGGTTTGAGAATGTGGTGAGGTGCGAAGAACAGAAGCAAGGGAGGAGGAGAAACTAAGAATGGGTGCAGGCAAGGGACCTTTTGTACTCCCCCAACGACAGGAAGAGTCTATGATCTTGACTGATTTGCTACTGCAAGGAAGGAAGCGTTAGGATCTGGACTCTACCGAATCACTTTGGCTGGCTATGGTTGTTTGCGTGTTTGGTTGCCCTGGCAGTTCTAGACTTCGCCTCTTGCGAAGATCGGATGAGTATACTGGGGCCCGGGGCAACTGCTCGCGGAGAGCAATGTATGAACTCGGAGGTGTAACGCGGTCTAGAACTTCTAATGGACTCAGATCAGTTATCACACGAAGCCACGAGCGTAATCAAACACGTACACATTTCCCATAGATTTCACTTGAAAACCATCCGGCCGAGCTACGTCCATGAAACATAACGTAAAAGGGGGGCTGGTGACAGGATGGCCGGACAACTATGTCTGCCTGAGGTCGGTGACGGCGCAGGGTCCTTGTGTATCAGCATAACAAGGCATTCTTCCACGAAGGTGCACCGGCGCACCCATCACCAGTCGCGGGGGTATGTCAACGAGCGCAGCCAATGGTACAGTGGTGCGCGAAGCCGTCTCTGATTCGTCAGAGGTTGTCCCTCCGTGAGTCCAATTCTCGGAGCATATTATTGTATTTCTTTTCTCCGGGGTTCCCTCTCGTCTTTCCATTCAACCTAGAGGGCAACCCTGGGGCGCTTATATATGAAGGAAACATCGGGAGCCAGACGGCCAACTTTACTGGTAACAAGAGTCCGCAGGCGGGATTTCGTGTTCAAAGCTCCTCGATGCACAGAAATTTAGTTCGTGGGATCATAATTGCGTATTTTAGTTACATTGTTATCTACAGGTCTCTTGGTAATACGAAAGTACCCATTAACACTATCTCGAACTGGTCCAGTACTGTCTAAATGTCAACAGTGATGATCTAGATGCCCGTCCACTTCCCAAACTTCTTGAAGTCCGCATATGTCGTCCTGAAGATGGCCCGGCCCGAAGCATCCATACTCTCGTTCATGATCCTCAAGCAGGTCTCAGGGGTAACGCTAAGGATGGAATAGAAGCCCGTCTGCAGCTCCTTCCGGACATCCCTGGGTATATCGCCCTCCAGCTGCATCTTGATGTACAGCATGAGTACGCGGAACATGTACTGGCCCGCCGACCGTTTCACGACATCGGTGGCGGAGTCAAGGCTGCTATTCTTTCTGCGGGCGACGGACGCCGCGCTGGGTTCGCAGATGAGCGTCAAGAGGCGCGTAAACTTGACCGCATGGCGCGCCGTGAGACGGGTTTCTAGCCATGGGGGTTGGGTGAAGCTTGCGATTTGCTTCGACTGTGGGGCCGAAGGGTTCGCCAGGAGCACGCGGAGAAGAGCCTGGAGCGTTGTCACGAGAAGATGGTGGTGGCCCTCAAGACGCAAGCGGTGCCGTCTGATGATGATTGCCGTCAAACGGTAGAGAGTCGCAAAGATCTCGCCAGCGGCATTTGAGTCCTTGATCTCGGGACCTGATGCGGAACACACGGAAGCAATGGCGTCAAGGGTCGCCTCGATGTTTACTTGCGTCATAGAGTTTGCGTGCTTGTCGAGGAGCAGCTCGACTACTTGTGCAATGTTCTTAAACTGTTCCAACGACGATGATTTGGACAGCGTGTGGATCAGGATGACTTGCAGTCTTGCAAGGTCAAAGTTCTCGCTTCCTGCGATGCTGACTGATAGAGGTCCCGTCACTGGATTTTTCCTTAGTAAACATCGTTCAAGAACAACCAGATAAGTAATCATACCTTGAATCGTATCAATGAGCCGAGATATGATCATATACGGGACACTAGGATTTTGCCAAGCAGAAGAACTGCTCACAAGGTGGGCAAGGACATCCAATCTCGATGCTGCGTCTGACTCTCTGGTCACCGCATCAACGAGGTCGTTAACCCACTGATCCTCCGGGCTTATCTGGCAGGGCCGGCTGGCCTGGGTCATCAAAATAGAGGAGTCTGGCGTCTTCTGATTTTGGGCCAAAAAGATCTGTAGTTTCCAGCCAGTGGCTATGCCTCTTGATGCGAGCGTCTCGCCCGCATTTTCCAGTCTAGTGACTGTCTTGGAGGACAGCTTGATCGGACGAGAAGCTAGGTCTTGCTTGATGGAGTCGGTAGTTCGGAGGACTAGGTCAAGCAGTAGCAACTCATCTTGGCCTTCATCAACCTTTGCAGGTTTCTTCAGTTTTGAGGCCAGCTGGGATAGACTGTGCTCCACCAATTCGCGAAGTCTTTTGAGGACAGATCGTCGGTCAAGGATGTCCTTGACAGACTCAGCTGTGGAGGATTTATCGAGAGCGACTACAATGTTTTTCAGGAGAATCAGATGAACCTCTGGGTCCTCAATCTGTTCAACGTCTAAATCTTTCACGTAGAGCTGCATCTGTCTGAGGTATTCTGGCGAAGCTTCGGGATTGGCGATTATTTGGCTTGTGTATGTTAGCGGAGAAGTGGCATGCTCAAATTGGACTAGGGTTTTACCTGATCATTAGTCTAGCCACTTCGTCCACGTAGGGGACGGTACCAGCAGACAAGTATGCCGAGATGTTTCGAAGATCCTCGAATGCAATACCCTTCATGTGGATTTAGCATCACTGTCTACTAGGTTGGAGGCTTGAAGACTTACAGTATAAAACGTGGGCTGCGACATAACTTGCACCAAAAGACGCAAGATGAGTTTGGCGTATGTGACGTCTGAAGCGGCGTTCTCGTCAATGTGAGACTTGTTCTCCTTCCACGACGTCATAATCTGTTTTCTCCGTTCTTTCGTCAACGTCTCTTTTGGGAAAGTAAGTAGAGCAGAGATCTTCGGGACAGCGGTTGATTTCGTCCACCCACGTCCTGGGTTAGAGTTTTCGAGGCTGTCGATGATGGGGCTTATCATCTGCTCAACCATGTAAATCGAATCTTCCACGCCTGGTAAAGTTGGGGCATCTTCCAGGAGTGGCTGCATTTGTTTTTCGTCATCGTTGGCGGCTATCCTTGATCCTAGGCGACTGAACAAAGTGCCTATGAAATCTGAGGCCCATTCCGTACCATTGCCATCGGTTGCCTGGCTTAGCTGGGGAAGCCATGTGAGAGCAAGATTTAGGAAGGGCGACAATACTGCAGTATCGCGGCTCGATTCTGACTCTGCCACAAGTCTTTGCAGGAACGATCGTGCAAGAGTTAGGATATCTGCCAACTCAGGACCGTGTGGCAAGTTTACCAGACACATGTTTGAGCAGTATGTAAACGCCTCATAAGTAGCGCGGTCCGAGAGAGCGCCCTCGGAAAGGACCTTGGACAAGTCTGCCTTTGTTTTCTTCCAAATCCGGTGGACTTCGCCAGAGGGGACCCAACGCGTGGTTGTGCCAGTTATCCGCCATCGGAGGGATTGGATCTCAGGCGAACACTGGGATTGAGATTTGTCTTGGAAACTGATGTCAAACAGCCTGGAGCCAAGGGCCGAGATATAAGCCTCGTCGTGGACGCCCTGGCAGATTGCGTCAAGGATAACCAGGTAGCTACCACTGGCTTGATCCTGACCCTCGAGCCAATCAACCAGGCTCGACAATTGCTTCGTGGATAGCGATTCTTGAAGCAGTTTTCCACATTGTTGTCGTACGCTCAAGTCGACCCATACAGACTGGTTCGAAGAGAGCTTGGTAGACTTGTCGAGAAGCTGGGATAGTTGAGCATGCCACCTCTGAACAAAGGCAGTCAAATCACGAGCCCTCGCAAAGGCTTCCGCCATAGGATTCACGACTCTGTGTACTAGGAGGCTGTGGTTGGGATCGTCGCTAGACACCGAGCTTGTCCGGGTGAATAGTGTGTTCAGAAGCTCGTCGTTGAGGAGGAACACATCGGGGTCGCACTTGACGATGTCGGCGACCAATAACCAGTTGGTGGCGGCGTCTTCGAGTCCATAGCTGGTACAAACACGACGAAGCGTGTCAGAATCAGGCGGGCAATTGTAGACTATAGCATCGTCAAGCATCGGTAGTACCACAATTTTCGCCGCCTTATGTTCAACAGCGAACTCCAGTAATGACTTGAAAACGCTTTGGGTCCACGACAGATGCGCGCTCTTGGACTCGGGATCTTCAGAGTTGCGCCCAGCCATCAGCGACAGCTTCCACAGGATCTGGATGCAAGAAGAGACACGCTGAACGGTTGCAGCATTGGCAACGTCAAATATCCCAAGCCCACCGCCGTTAACAAAGACTGTTCGTGTTGGGTTGATGAGATTTTTCATCAGCATTCGCTCGACCTGTTTGATCCACAGCTGTCTCACAAGCTGGCTCCCCTGGTTTGAGTCAAGATTGCGGAGCTTCTCAAGAACGACGCAGCATGGGAAGTATAAGCGACTTGCAAACTCGTTGGGGTCTTCGCTGCTTCCGAGGTGGAACTCCCAGAGGGTAGTCAAGCTCCAGATCCACTGCTGTTGCTGGCCACTGAGACCCCCTTGGACAGTGTCTAAGGAGCGAGCGCAAATCCAAAGAAGCGGCGCAACCAGTTCCTGCGCCTCTGAGGCGGGGACGCGGAACAGAGACCTAACATGCTCTGCACCGATGGTGATGTGCTCAACCTTCTGCGCCGCAGCATCTTCGAGGCGGAATAGGAGCTGATTGAGAGCGCCAAACAGCTCGGTCGCAGATCCGACGAGGGCTTCGGGAGATCTCAGGTACTCGATGTCGAATCTAGGTTGCTCGTCCCTCTTGCGCTTGCGCTTGGCCGGGGCATCTCCGTTCACCAGCTCTTTCTGCTGCGGTCTGGAAACGTCCTTGACACTCTGCTTCAACACGGGGAGAAGGCGGCGCTCGATGAAGATCTTGGAGAGGGAGAACAGCGGGATCCTCTCGAACAAGCAGCCGAGGGTGGTCCACGCCAGGGGGTATCGTCGGAGTTGCTCGGCGGACTCGGCAGCGCCGTCCATGTGTTTGAGGAGCCATCGCAAGATGGTTTCTTCGGCGGCGGAGGACTTGCCTCCCTTCGCGGCGGCGAGAAGCTGCCATATGTCGTTGATCTTTTCGTCGAACTGGCGGGTGGTGTCTTGCTCGAGGGACCTTGCAGCCTTGATGAGGGCAAGCTGCCTCACCTGCACGGGGAGTTAGTTCTTCCACCACCAAGAGGTGCCAGTCAAACTCACGTGAAAGTCACCGTTCGCCATTTGAGCTTCGTGGGCCAAAACCGCATGACGCAGCTCTCGCAATTGCACCTGTAAGTCGGTCTCTTGACGCTGCTTTTCTGGGCCAAGCTCCCCGCGGCGCCGGTCGAGAGCCGCCCAAAATTTCCAAAATTCTGCCATCCCCGTCGAGCCCGGCTAGACTGTTTCCAGCGGCAGTGCTGCCACCCCTTGTCACCGCCTTCGGGTTCCAGCGTCAACAGCGACGTCAACCCAGTGCACTCGGACCAAGGAAAGCTCCGTCAAGTCCCGGCCGCCTTGCACGATTTTGGCGCCAGTGCACATGTGCCTATGAGCGTGTGAGAGCCTTCCAAGGTTGAGAGCTGCTAACAGTCCAGCTCCCGACCTCAAACCTTGAATCCAACGACACCAATCAGCCTGCCCAACCACCATCAACGGCACCAATTGCTATCCCGTGAGCACCTCTGCGAGCTGCCGCGACTGCCACCCCAAGCTGATCGTTCCTTGAAATCTAGTCTGCCCAAGATGTCCAGCCCATCGGTCCCCGCGCCCACAAGCCCCGTTTCGCGGCCTGTGAGCGAGGCACTTTTGAACGAAAAGGTACCCATTGAACCACCCGCTTGCCCTGCCCATTGAGCGCGTCCCCGTTCCTGCCTGCGACAGGCCACTACCGAATCCGTCGATGAACACTCGGGAGTCCTAGCTTCTACTGACAGAACAATCGCCGCGTCTAGTGGGACCGCTGCCTGTCCAACATGCTCATCAAGTCCTCCCTCGGCCTCGGCTTCGGCGTCGTCTTCTCAGTCCTCCTCTTCAAGCGCCGCGCATGGCCCGCCTGGGTCGGCGTCGGCTTCGGTGCCGGCAGGGCGTACGAGGAGTGCAACTGGAGCTTGAAGCAGGCCTCGAGAGACCTCAAGCGCTCGGCATAGAGACCCTCAAAACGATGCACCGACCGACAGCAAACAACAGCAGTGTCGCGCAGCACTTGTGGAATTAGGATTGCGGCATCACGGTGGAGGACGCACGAACAAAATAATATGGGGACGCTGCCGCCACTGTACCACTATACCAATAGACGTCTTTTCTCCTTGGTTCCAACACCATTTGCCCACTTGCCCATACAGGCCGTGACTGTGATGGGGCCGACTGGAAGAGAACCCCCACCAGTTTGACGGATATCCATAACTGCGAGAAACCATGACTTGTCCCTGCCATGGAGTGTGAGATGTTAAGATTTCCGATGGCGTGGCTGCAGTCGAAGTTACCAAGGTCTTGTGGATATATTGGAATTGCCTAGGCCCCCTGCTTCAATATCGATGTGCATAATCCTACTGACACATGTAACCAACAAGATCCTTCTATAGAATTCTCGTCTCCAATTGTATCTTTGAACATATCACAGGCCTTGTTTAGTCCATGTTCTGGTCGTGAACCTTCGTCTTCTCCAGTCACCAGACTGTGGTACTGCAATCCCGCTGGCTATGACCTCTTCCGCTTCCACGTGCCACGGTGTTTTCTCTTCATGCCAAAGTGATGCCCGTGGCCTGCCAACCGCTCTTTGCCTGTCCTCATTTCCACGATGCGCTCTTGATATGTTACTGTCGGCACAACGCACTTCACCTGCCATTTCGCCGAAACTCTTCCTCCTTGTAATACACGGCACCTTACTGTCAGAGGAGCCAAAGTCAGATATGGCACTACCTCTTCTTCTCAAGACCAAGGATTCCCCATTGGTAGAATGATCTCCTTCCACGATGGCCCTCGTACGGGCTCCAGCCAGGTGTCCACCATCATATTCATCGCTGTATTCGTTGTCATCTCTGCCGACAAACTCACTCTGTTGGTCCTGCCTCTTTTGCTTTGGCGTTGACTCTTTCCTTCGCAAGACCGCACCCAACAGAGCCAGGATGCATAGAGTCGCGACGACCGCAGCGCCGGCTGTGCCACCAAGAAAACTGAAAGGACATATTGGAACGTGCGATTTCCCCAACCCCGGCTTGACGCCTCCAGCTAGTTCGCGAGACGGCCCCAGTGAACCAGCGGGAAATGCGAAACTATATATGCGACCCGGTTTGTGAACGGATCTGTAATGTACCGAGCCCTGCGGATATGAGCCGGTATGGTCTTGGTATCCTGTTTCTGCGTCAAGGTCTCTTGCTTCATCGGTAGGCTGTCTACCGAGGTCGGCGGCATATATGCAGTGATGATGGCGCTGCAGCCGCCGGGCGTGCAGGGTCGTCGGCGCCGGACGGGTGGCGTGGTGTGGGAGACGGGGCGCCGAGAGCTGGAGCGGCGACTGCGTGCCGAAGACCTGGGCGGTTCGTGCTTGGGATAATTTTGCAGGTGCCATATGTGTCATTAGGTTCCTTTGCGCTTAAAATGTATCTAGGTACTTTCTGGTTTGATATGATATGGACTTGTAGTCCTGCCGATGTAGGAAATGTACGATTTGGTGGCCTGACTTATACGCTTGAGAGAAGCAGAGCATCAGCGTATGGGAATGGGTGACGATTATTTGGTTTATGCGACTTCCAAGGTTGTTGTGACTAGGAGCACAGTTGTAATATGCAAGATGTTTCTTGCGAGTCTGATTATCAAACATCCTCAGTGACAGGTCACCTAATGACTATTGAATACATCTCGAGCCCTGTTGATTCGCTCCCAAGTTGATGCCAACGCAACTCGATCGTCGTGTCGGGTGGTGACTTATATTACGCCACACAAGGTACGATAGAAGCAACGATATCTCAGGCCTTCAGTCTTTTCACATGTTTATCCATCGGACCTTGCTTCGCAGCACCTCTCTTGCCAGCTCCTTTCCGCGCCTCCTGCTCAGCGTCATCTGCAAACTCGCCATCATCATCGTGATCACTCCCCTCAAACTGCTCCATCTCCGCTTCACCCGCGTCCTCAAACAACTTCCTCCACGTGCCATCCTTGACCTGCTGATCGTTTCCATGCAAACCGATCGAGTAGGCCGTCTTGATGGCCGCAATACAGACGCCTCTCCTCTCGCCGAAGTCCAGCATCGGCTCCGGATACGTGCCCTTCCTCCGCTCCCCCAGCCCATCGCCCTCGACCTGGACGCCGGCCTTGTCCAGCGCAGCCCGGGGCGCCTTCCACGGCTCGTAGATGTACTTCTGGTCGAGGTCCTTGAGCTCGGGGACGTAGTGCCGGATGAGCGCGCCCTGCTTGTCCCACTTCTGGCCGAACGCGACGGGGCTGTAGCAGCGATAGTACTGGGCGAAGAAGGCGGTGCAGCTGAGCCACTGCCAGTTGCCGGCGTTGCAGGCGGGCTCGTGGTCGAGCAGCAGCTCCTCGAAGACGTCGGCGCCGCGCTCCCAGTGCACGTAGCAGCCGCCGCGCGTCAGGAAGCACGCGACGGCGTGCCGGCCCAGGTGGTGGATCCAGCCCTCGGCCCGCAGCTGCCGCATCAGCGCGTCGATCCACGGGAACCCCGTCACCCCGTGCTTCCACCGCTGGAACCACTGGTCCGCCTGGGGCGTGTCGACGTGGTACGCCCCGCTGGCGGCGTTGGTGCCCGTCTCCGTGCCCGCCTCGGCCTTGGACGGCAGGTGCCACGGCACGAAGCGCACGTACGGGTTGTTGAGAGTCTGAACGAAGGGCGAGCCGATGGCCGCCTGCGCTGCAAAGTACATGTCGCGGAATAGGAGCTGGCCCGTCAGGCTCTCCGGCGGCGAAGAGGCACCCTTGTACTTGTCGACGAGGTCTTGCACACGCCAGTAGAACAGGCGGACTGACAGCGAGCCAAAGTGCAGATGGGGAGATAGCAATGTTGTAGACTGCGGTCTGAAGGCTGCCGGGCTGGTCTTTGGTTTTTGGAATGTAGCAGCGTACTCTTCATCGGCAATGATGTGTTCGAGGGCCTTAAGAGCGCGCGTCTCACCGCCACGATGAGGTGTAGTCGCTGCTGGAAACCCAAGTTCTTCCAGTGTCTCGATGGCGAAGTCGCCCTTGGGCCCAGCTAGACTCGTGTATGCCTGGTCTTTCCCATCACGCAGAGGAGCATTGACGTCTGGCTTGGGGTCGGGGGACTCAAGGCCGAAGTCGAGCGGCATGTCCCCGGGATCGGGAAGATGTTTCGGCGCCGGAAGGGGCCTCGGGATCTTGCCTACCTTCTTTCCGGCCGCCTGAAGCTGGGTGATAGACATGGTTGGCTTTCCGCCATTCTGAGCAACCAAGTCGTCGGAATCCCACAGCGTTCTACCGTAGGGACTGATGACTTTCACACCAGCTTTCTTGGCCAAGTCGACGACGACTTTGTCCCTCTCCCGACCGTAAGAGTCTGTATCCTTCTCAAAGACCAGATGTGTCACTTTCCACGCTTTGAAAAGCTTGGGCATCACCGTCTGTGGCGCCTCGCGTACCACAAAGAGCTTTGACTTTGGATTGAGTTTGGTGATTGACTCTGAGAGATCATTCTGACAATCAAACCTGAGATGTCTGTTAATATGTGGGAGTCTCGGAGCATCTAGCGAGTTTGCTCACAAGTACTGCCATCTATTTACACCTCCCTTGGCCCTATACACATAGTGAGGATCCCACGTAAATATAGGCCACAACACGTCCGGGTTTAGGTCCAATGCGGCCTTCAATGCAGGTGAGTCGTGCAAGCGAAGATCTGTGCGGAACCAGTATATCACCCTGGGGTTGCCCATCGTGGATTTCAAAGTCGCATGTATTCGCTATTCACGTGGGGGCGACGACAGTCATTGGTGTTTTTTTGAGGCTGACGAGGCTGTTGCGTATTTTGGCAGAGCTTGGGCTAGCCGGTCCCCAATAAAGTCCATGATGTCAACATTCCAGCCACACTACCACAAGTATTGGCGGCAGTTGAGCGCAGCATTAGAACCAGGAGCCTCACCCAGAAAGAAATGAGGCTCAAGCGTAGCATGCTGCATGTGGCACCGCAGTGCCAGTTAGCATCTCGGTGAGCCAACTTGTGAGCGTTTGCAAGCCTCCAAGGAGCAGGTCAACTGTTGAGACAAATCCGGGTGCATGAACTCTATGCATCCCGACGACCAACCTACTCGAGCATAGCAAGCAACAACTGCAGTGAACCACCGATTCTACTTCCAATGCGTGGATATGAATGAGATTCTGCTATTGCTGCCAACTGTGGGCTTCCACGCAGGAATTACCATCCTCGGGTGGTGGGGCACTGGCCCAAAGTACGTCGAGTCCCAGTACCTACTTGTAGGGGATCTTGTGTCGTACCGTCATGGGAGGATCTACCACTTCAATGCAAGCGAAGCATATCCTGGTAGCTGTTATTGACGGTGAATAGTAAGCATTTTTCGGCGATAATGCACAATTGCTCAGGTGCTCCTCCTCTTCGCAGAGGATCTTGGACATCCACACACTGGCGAATCTTGGAACTTTGACCGTGGCACCGGGACCGGCCGTGCTCCCCGGATAACGTCCACAGGCTAGCGCAGGAACGATGGCGGAAAGGTACTTACACCCTTGCAACTGCAGCGCAGCAAGGCAAAATCCAGTATGAAACGGACGGTTGAACTTTGGCCAGCGAAGCGGAAAGGAAGCATGAATGTAGGAACAGGATCGTTGCTATAACAGCGTGGACAATGCTGCTACTGTGTACAAGGAACTCGTACAGGTCCCAGTTTTGATTTCGCCGACGCGTTTCTACCAAGCGGAACAAAACCCCTTGCAGACGGCCGGTAGGGCCAGTGAGAAGGGCGGGCCGGGGTACTCAGTATTAATTACGTCGTCAATGCGACAGCTTTGTTTCTCGGGCCTGGCGAGAGATGCTGATTGGCTGTTTATTTCGAGGACATCGGGCATCAGGGCGATTACGGCAGATAATTCTCTGGCGCATAGCCGTCGGGATATAAACAGAATAGGAGGCACATTTTTTCCACTGAGGATGAACCCTAGAGATAGGAGCTTGATGCATACGGCAGAGTTTAGTCGGCGGCGGTCATGCACCTAGCTCTGCAGCTCTGGTGATCTATTCCTGGCCGGGAACAGCGTCGAGTCGCGTGTGCTGCTCCCAGCAAAAAGGCTCAGGGTTAGTGGGCGTCCTAGTTGTCGGCCAGGCGCTGCAAAAGGTGTCCGTCTGGCTGTCAGACTTATTATGATACCGGCCACCGGATGGTAGGCACCTAGAGTACCACACTAGCCAGATCGACAATGCGCCGTCGGACACACAACTGTGCAGCTGGCCAGCTCATGTACACAACAATAGAGCCACTGCAGTGCGCGTCCACCCTGTCTCCTGCTGGGTCGAAACGGTAGCTGGGAAATGGGAAGGCTCCGCTTCAACGACAACGGCAGAACGGTCGTTGCTGCACGCAATCGAAAGTGGACTGGGCAGATGAGAACAGCTCTCATGGTTGATGGCGATCCGGAGCTGCACAGGGGGGGCCTTGGGGAGGGGCCCCATTGATATTTTTCTTAGCCTCCCACCTGGCCACTTTAAATGAGCACACTGGGCCGGCGCTGGGCCGTGCCTCCTGCCACTGGGGCGGCGGCCCACTGTTGGTCTCCGCCCCTCCAGCCCGTCCAACAACAATCCTGGTCGCTGTTGTTTCATGGCACTCCTTTTGATGAATTTCCGCCGTCCGCATCTCAGACCCCCCGGTCTGGCAGATGAGGAACAAGAGCAGATCAGCGAGAGCGAGCGCAACGGTCCCGGGATTTTTTTTTCTTCTGTTCTTATCAAGCACGGCCATCGAGCTGACGTGAACGTCCGGTGAATTAATTCTCTTACCCTGCCGGCCGCGCGAATCGTCGTGTCTCTGCGGCATTCACTTCAATCTTTTTTTCTTCTTGTCTCGGACTACGTACTGCTGTGTACCGCGTAGATACATAATAGGGCTACTAGGCTCTAGGCTCTGGGCTCTAGGCTCTAGGCTCTACTGTGATAGGCTCTAGCCAGTTTCGATCCCTACCCCAAAGTGGAAATCTGGGAATTTCCCACCCGGGACACCCAACCCCTTGCGACGGTCGGCACCACCACATACCCAAAGCCGCCAGCCAAACATCTTTCGTCAGCTCATCCAACTCCCATCCTGCCCGCCAGCCTGCCAGGATACCCGTCGTCGCAATCGACCGACTGCGCATGCGCGAGGACGAGACCGCCAGCACACTGTGAGGCACATCGGCACAGGGGGGGAGACAGGACGGCCACGAGAGAAGACAACCGCCAAAGACACAGAAAAAGGTCCAGTGATGACGATCATCGCCTGATGATACGACCACGACTCGTCCAACTACGCCCAGCCCGGACCCCATCGAAACGGCCACTGCCAGTTGGCTCTTAGGGACGCACGCCCATTGTTACATCTTGATGACCAGCCTGCCGGACAGCAGAGCAAGCCGCCCAACATGACGAGACCGCAAATCATCCGCGCCGGTATGTTTTTCTGACACAGAGATCGCCTTCTGTGCCCCTGCCCTGCCTTGTCTTCCTGCCGCTGCCGCTGCCACTGCCACATCCTTCCCCGGATTTGTCCAAACCGCCATCCCTTCGTGGCCTCGCTTGCTTGCGCTCGCTTGTTGCCGGAACACGACAGCTAATCATTGCTCTTCTGTTCTAGACTCCATTGATCTCCAGGATCACGACACCCCCTCCGCCAAAGACCACCGCCACCCCGCGACCAAGCCCGCCGCCAACGGTACTTCGCTCGGCACCCACCAAGCCGAGACTCTGCGCGAGGTCGCAGCCGAGACGAAGGAGGACAGGAGGGTCTCATGGAACGGCGGCGACATTGATATCCATCAGCACATCGACGACAACAAAATGCAACAGCAGGATGCCCTCGCCGTCGCCCAGAACGGAGGCAGCCTTGCCTCTGTGGACGGCGACATGGATGTCGACGAGGACGCCGACCTGGACGACGACGACGACGATGACATGATGGACAAGATTTCCAGTTCTCCTTCCATTGAAGATGGTGAGAATGCCCCCCAGCTCCCGCCTTCCTGGCCCGCGCGTGTCGATTCCCTGCGCGCCCGTCATTCGCCCATGAGCTCTCCGGTATCCAGCGAGCCGAGATCTTCTTCGCCGTACCTCGAAGCAGCCCAATACATACCCCTTCCCTTGCGTCTCCCCCGGAGTAGGCAGTCAAGCAAGGCTTCTGCCAGACCAGTGTCATATTCGCATCATTGTCATCTTGCTGGTGAGTATACGGAACGAGACACCGACGACAGCACCGACGACATTTTCTACGATCCCGCGCCCTAGGATGACGTAGCGAGCGGAGAAATAGAGGACGGAGACACAGCATACGGCGGACCGGATGACGCAGCAAATGGGCGTGGGGGTATAGGAACATTCATCCGCCCGGACGGCGACACGGCAATTGATGCCCCTTCCACGAGGCGCCCGTCAAGTCCTGAATCGATCGGACCCATTCTCGCCGAATTTGACGAAATCGACGAGTCCATCTCGCCATACGACTTTCTCATCCCCTATGATGCTTCCGAAGATGATGACGATGAATTTTCCTTGCCTGACGACTCTGCATATATTGACTCCGGCTGGGGTGGCGAGTGCTTACAAGTTGCAGAGGACATCGATTTCGAGTTCGTGTACGCCCTCCACACCTTCGTCGCCACTGTCGAGGGACAAGCAAACGCCACGAAAGGTGATACCATGGTTCTTCTCGATGACAGCAACAGCTACTGGTGGCTTGTACGAGTCGTCAAAGACAGCAGCATCGGTAAGTTTTATTTGCGATTGTAAGTGGGCTTATGGAACTGATCCGGCAACCTAGGGTACTTACCAGCAGAGCATATCGAAACACCAACCGAGAGACTGGCACGTCTCAACAAGCACAGGAACATTGATCTCTCGGCGACTATGTTGGGTGATACCGCTGAAAAGACCAAGACCTCCATCAAGACCGCCATGCGGAGGCGAAAGAAGACCGTTACTTTCACAGCCCCGACCTATGTGGAGGCTTCTGACATCGACTACTCGACTGAGGAGGAGGATGGCGAAGGAGAAGCCCCTGCGGCTCAGCAGGCGGCTCAGCAAGCGGCTCAACAGCAATCGCAGCCAGTGGAAGAGGCCTTAGAAGACGAGTCTGCCAAGGTTGAACCCCTCAAGCCGCGCTCGAAACCAGCGAAGGCCGAGACAGTCCAGCCGGAGGAGCAGACGGACGAACCAGTCACCAACGGAGGGGAGAGTCGGACTAGTGATGAGATCTTCGATGGGCGATCCGAGAGCAGAACCAGAACCACCAAGAACGGCACAGTCAGGAACACAGACTCTTTCTTCAAGGATGAGACTGTCGAGACAAAGAAGATCACGCTCACCCCGAACCTTCTGCGGGATGACGACTCGCGGGACTCCAACTCACTGGACTCTCAAAGTTTGCGGCAACGCCCTAGCTTTGAGAAGGAGCTGGTCTCGGACAAGCAAAAGAAGAGGGAGAAGGACAGGAAAGATAAAGACAAGAAGCCCAGCGCCATTCGAAGTTTCTTCTCGCGGAAAGATAAGAAGAAATCCGGCGATGATGACGACGAATCCTTTGGTAAAAGATCCATGGACGCCGGCGCCGAGGCCCATGAGGAGGAGCCGCAGGCCAACGACATCGACTCGTCGCCTGACAAGGCCACAGGTCCCCAGCGTAACCCCAGCAAGCTCCAGAAGCAGATGCCTAGGACCGAGCCGTCTCCGACAAGGAAGAACAGCAACGCCAAAGACTCACAACCTTCTGGCTTGGACCTTGCACAGTTCCTGAATGAGGAATCGAGGTCAAAGGATGCTCCCGCTCCGGCTTCCCTTAGAATGGTTGAGCCAGATCCTCTCGATGTCTCGGACAAGACAGGACCCAAAGAAGAGAAATCCAAGATCTCCAAGATACTCCATCCCAATGAAGGCAAGCCGCCAAAGGTCAGCAAAGCCAAATCGCGCATCGAGCTGGACGATTTCGACACGACGGATGAGGAAGACGAGGAGATACTAGAGCCTACCAAGTCTGTTCCGGAGCCACCTACAAGGTCTGCGCCCACCCCTGAAGGTCAGAGGCAAGCGGCTGCCGCTGAAGAGAAACAATTACGGCCAACTCTGCCCGGCTCATATCCGGACAGCTATCTCAGCACAGCTACCCTGCAGGCTCCATCGCAGCCTCAAGAGACAGCAAACACGCAGATCACTCCTGAACGTGCGTCAGACTCACCTGTCCAAGTATCACCGGTCACCTCCTCAAATCCTCCTGCATTGATGGGCGACACGTCTAGCCAGGAAGACCGATCATCCCCTATTTCATCACCGTCACCAGAACTTGTCGATGGCAGTGGGCGTGGTCACCAGAACCAAGACTCAATGACCTCTACGTCGGCCTCGGGCACCGTCTCGTGGAATGATGCCAACCTACGGGCTTTCTTCGATTCGGGTTCAGAGATTCGCGACCTTCTCACGGTTGTGTACGACAAGACCGACGTTACGCCGGCGGGTCCAGACCACCCCGTTGCTGGAACACTGTTCAAGGAACAGAACGCCAAATTGGCGGAGATTACGACTGTAAGTTTTAATGCGAACAGAATGACAAGTGACAATGAGGCGAGTTACTAACTTGGTGCTAGCAACTCGACAACATGCTAGGCGACTGGCTGGCTCGGAAGCAGCGCCTTCGAGGCACAGTCTAGCCCACGATTCGACTGGGCGGCGATTCGTCCAGTCTTGTACAACGGAGGTGCTACAGACACTCCATCTTTTCTTCACCTCCTTCCAACATTTCTTGGCTGGCGTACAGGAGCACTATGGATATTGGGGGCAGGGGCCCGGCTGGGACGCGAGACACCACAAATATACCACGGACATTTGACTCCGGCTTTTTTTGTTTTTCAAAATCTTACTTTTGCTTCTTTTTTTTTCTTGGTTTAGACTACGAGTCAACGACTGTAACTTCTGGCATGGCACGAACGATGAATGGATTGGAGTCAAAGTTTCCCCCTCTTTTCTTTCTTTTTTCTATACCGCCTTGCCCTCCATCACGACTTGTACGGGGGAGAGGTGATGAGTCCGCCCCGTGGAAAAGGCAAGCACACGAGATGAAAGGAGAAACTGTCAAGTAGAGATCCAAATGCCAGGAGCTATGGGCTTAGATGACCGGGCGACGATGAAGGGGGATGTCCCTCTTGTGTGTAGTGAGTGGCCTCGTATATAGCACGTAAGCTGCACATACTGTTGTTGCCCGCCTCTTGAGTCTTTTAGTTGTGACTGTGGATCGCCAAGATAGAACTTCATGTCTAGCCAGCTAGCTTGAAATTCTTACAACGCAGCCGGAGAATCCAAAGGGACTTTGCGTTGTGAACCGGAGTAGTGCTTCAGGGCAAAAGAACCCCGGAGCGTCCCCAACAGCCAGAGCAGACTGTTTTTCGGCACTAGCGACAGATACAATGTGCTTCGTTTAACTGGGACTCGGCTGATCGGAGGAATAATAACTCACGTAAGATATATATAAATGCGGCTGTCAGTCGCATTATCAGCCCGGGGCCTGTTATCATTGGGCGATACCAAGAGAAGAACACCTAGCCAGGCGACAATGCCATTGTACGTGTGGGTGGCCAGGCTTTGATGCAATGGCTCGGAATGGGCAGTTTGTCTGATTCGCTGATCTTTACTTAAGAAGCCCCATGGTACTTTTGGACCTTGCAGTATTTCCGAGCGCAAGCCGAGGACCTGCATAGTCCCTGTGCTGCCGCTCCTGAGTACGGAGACTTCAGATGCATAAATTCAACCATTTCCCATACTTCAAGTAAACCCAAGCTAGAACTGGTAATTACGTATATCGCATAGCCGGCTGAGTCTAATACTCATGGACAGTGTGGGACCCATACGATGTCATCATCTGGTCATTGAAGCATGCCGCACGTCCAGGGAAGCAACAGCCACGTTGGTCAACCAGTCATTGACTGCTCAGAAGCTCACTCTGGTGCACCCGATAACTTGAATTAGAGCAACGATGCAGGCATGTCCAGGAAGAAAAAAAGTCAACCACCATTCAGGCGAACAAGAGGATGGTGACCAAGAGGAGGAAAGCCCGCGTGAAACCCGTCTTTCGAAGGGCACGGAGATAGTACAATTACGGATGGCATGCCCATACTTCAAGTACGACGTCAGAAAGTACGGAGATTGGCAGAACTGTCCTGGACCTGGGTGGAAGACTGTCCACCGTATAAAGTAAGACAACTACAGGCAGCGGTGAGTTATAGTGATAGCTGACAATAAAACCCCCAGCGAACATCTCTATCGACGCCACAGGTGTCCCAAGTACGTCTGCATGCGCTGTGGACGATCTTTTGGAAACGAGAAAGATCTCGAGGACCACCATCAAGAGGATGTACCCTGTAGCCGCCAGGATTTGGAGCCGGTCGATGGTTTCAACGATGCTCAAGAAGCTCTGCTTCGACTGAGGAACAAACATTATACGGGATTGCCGGAATATCAGAAATGGAAGGAAGTATACAAAATACGGTTCCCCCATGTAGAAGGAAAGAACATTCCAAACCCATGTAAGAGCCAGACTGGTACTCTCGATCCAAACGGTAGAAATAATTAATGATCGAACGATGCAGTCTACGAGTTCGATAAAATCGACCAGGCCCAGGCCCAACCCAAACTTTCAGTGGAGCGAGAAGCATTTTTACTCCGCGAACTACCTGTGCGCATCAAATGGACTTTAGCAAAAGAGCTAGGATTGAATTTGACTGCAGAAAACCAATTCCTCAACAAGACAACCACTACTTTAACCACTATTGTGCTGGTGACTTTAAACGACTCGTCACAGAGCTCGTTTTTACCTAATGCTCAATGCACGGATACTTCTAGCGCCGTCGGAGGTCATTGTCAGGATATGTCTCTGGAGAATCATCGCGCACAAGACATTGGAGACAACGTCGCAAACGAGTCCTTGTGGTACTGGCCAACGTTTGATTCCGATATATCCTATTTGGTATCTACACCACAAACACTTACTTGAATCAAGGGCAGCTAATGGGACGGTTTCAAGGCTACGGTTTGGAGAACAGGTTTATTCAGATTTTGGATACGGGTTGCGTGAACAAGGAAGAGTATAACATAACCCCAGGAACACCAAAATGAGGCTTCAAGGGCAGTTTTAGACGACGTGGAAACCATTTTGGGCAGTGTAGAGAACATGATAATGACTTTACGATTTGAACACGGAGAGAGCCGCTCCGAAAATATGTCCGCTGTGGTTGCTTTCGCGCATCACCTATGGTTCAGCGTCAATGGAGCAACCCGACCCGTGGAACGCCACTTTTCTACTTAGTATAGGACCAATAGAGTATCACAATACTCATCCCTTGTTCCTTTCAATGCCTCGAATTCTTTCAATTCCCGAATCGAGATAATAACAGGGCTGAGCTGTCTATCTGAACCAAGGTTCAACCAGCTTGTCACAATCAAGGCTCATTGGTTCGTTCTGTGAAGCCGAAGCGGTAGCCGCTGGTTCCGTGTTGCCCTGAGACAATACAGGTTGTAACCTCGTGAAAGCGAACTTCGCCATAGCCGCCGTGCTCATGTGCATGAATCCGTTACCTTCTTTCTGGTACAGTTGGCTCTGTCGGAAAAACACACGGGCAAGGTGTCCCTCGACGGCCTGGGTCATTGACTGGGCTTGGAAATATTCCAACGTTGATTGGAGGAGCTTGTGCGCATCTTTGAAGTCCCCAGCAACAGCGTGTGCCTCAGCTAAGTGGATGTTGGCGGATGCCGTCCATTCGCTCTCCTGATTAGACGAAGATTCAAAGAAACTTTTGCGGCTCTCCTTTAGCTTTTGTCGCGAGCGGTCTACTTCGCCAAGGCTCAATAATGCAGTGCCCTGGCTGAGCAGTAATCTACCGTACCTAACTCATTTATTAAAATCATGGAGGATTACGAACATTTGTTCAGGAATACTTACCCCAGAGTGGGAACGTTCTCGTAGGTCGGCAAGTTCGTAATGAAGTCTTCTGCATTGGTTGCAATGTCCAATGCTATCTTATACTGATTCATCAGCCGAAAGGCGATACTCAGTGTTGCTGATGCTAGAGCATAGCCTTCCATTTCCTCGGGCGAAATTCCCTCTTTGGATCGAAATATATCGCGCGACAGTACCAGAGAGCCTATCGCCTCGGTTGTCGAACCTTCCACGAGTTGTGCTTTTCCGCCTTCCAGAAAGGTCCACGCCTCAGAGACTCTGTTCGAAGTCCCATGTGATTTGCCATCACCGTCACTGTTATCCTCTGGTTTGTCTGCTCTCCTTCTGGTAGAGTCCGTTTCATCATCTCCTAGAACAGTAGCCTTTTCAGGAGGAACGCTGTTTCCTGTAGTTAAACGCACAATCGTCTTTGAAATACTGGAGTTCGAGTTTTCCCGGATTTGATATGTTATGGTTGGTCCGCCTTCGGCCCGGTTCACACGACCTGAAGTTTCTGGCATGCAGTCTCTGAAAATGGAGCGGATGGAGTGTCCAAAGCTATCACCGGCGAGCTTCTTTGCATGAGGCAGGATGCTTTCTTCCGGGTAGAGGAAGACACCAGTATCTCGAAACAAGTCATCAGACCCTAGCTGAATGTCGGATGGCACGTATGCAATGAAAGAGCAGTTTGAGAAGTAGTCCACAAAACGCGATAATTCTCCTGATATCTCTTTCGGGTTGTCCTGCATCACGCAAAGCCGCTCCGTCCACACGTAGGAAATCCCACGTTCTCGTGCTAGTTGGATGGCATGGCGGAGATCTGCTGATAGAATAGAGGCATCGATTCCTGCTTTGTATTGTTCAAGAGTCTCGGAGGTGAGGCTTCTAATCCGTGCTCTCCTTGTATGGGATCCCCACCAACCGCAAGCGACGTATTTCCCACGGCTACCTTGAGTTTCTCTGAGTCGAACGGTAGAATCAGGGCTGCTTGAGATTTCTAGGCATCTTCGAGGCAAAATAGGTTCGGCTCCTTCATTCTGTGCCGCCGAGGGATTTCTGCACAGTAGAGTCGCTAATGTCCCGATGTCCCGATCTTCGTCTTCGTTACCTCGACGGGCGTTGTACCTAGGCACCACTATTAGCCACTTTCCTTACTTGGGTATAGGTTACCTACCAAGTATGGTTCATGAGAAGTTGTTTGAAATCCAAGTTAGGCTCAGGCACAGCTTTATCTTTCCGGTTTACGCCTTTCTCGACGTAGCAGGCAGCCAGGTGATGCGCGTGATTGTGTAAAGGCTGAAATTCGTCCCAGAACCCGTTCATGATATTCGTCACTTTTTTCCTCGACGGCCACTGCTGTACTAAGCAGTGAGAAACCGTTTGAAAGGAATGATTCCACTCCTGACTGTTTAGACCATTCCGAACGTGAGACTGTGTTGATCGATGCATTCGGAACGTGGCCTTCTTCTCATCAATTTCCAGCAGAGACAGCCTCCACAAATGTGTTGACGCATCGTTTATTGTCTGTTCTAACTTCTTGTCGCTTTCACCGGAAGAAAGATTCACAGGCTGGGTGTACCTTACTAGGCGCTTTGGTATTCTCTCTGGGTCGAAAAAACAGAGCACACTCAAAGCTCGTGATTTCTGTGCATCGAGGCTAGCTATCCTAGCAGTAAGAAAAACCGTCAAGGGCAAATGTTCTATAATAGTTGTGGCTTGCGAAACGAGAAGCCGATTAATATCCTCGAAAGGTACTTTGTTCCGACGGCTCCAGTTTGCTAACTTTCGTAGAAGAGTTGGATGACCCGCACACCACCGAGCGGCATGAGAGATGGCCTCCGAATGCTTCGCCGCTTCCTCAGCACGGACTGTACAAAGCATCAAGGTCGCACTCTCTGACATGGACATTGGAGGTACTTCTATGGTTTGTGATCCGTGGATTCTCACAAGCGCTGGCGCAGTCAATACGCTTGTGGCAATAATCAGACCCTTCTGGCTCCTCGGAATATAGGGTGCAATAATATCGCTCCCGGTCACATTATCGATAATGAGAAGCCATTGTGTCTGCGACGTCTCCAGCCAACTGATCACTTCGCGTCTACTGACTTCGTGGTTTTGACAGGTCCTTCCGTTCACAAGCCCGAGTGCCACGGCGAAGTCATGACAATAGGTGCCTAGTGTTGCCTTGGAGGTGGCATTCAACCATATGACGTGTGTGAAGCCGTCCATACGCTGGTAAGCAAATTCGACCGCAATGCTAGTCTTGCCTATCCCTGAAGGTCCTTGCAACCAGACAATTTTCGGCTTGTTTGTATGGAGCTCTTGAGAAGGTGCATTAGTAGCCAATCCGGAAGATATTGCCAGCAGTTGTTCAAGAATGGTGATCCTTCCAGTAAACAGTCTGTCTCTTCCCGGAATGGAAGTTGAGAAGTGCAATTTGCGGCCTCCGGGATTTGTTGAGCTATAATTTGGTGTTGGATTGGTTGCGGACTCTGTTGTGCAGTGGTCAGTGAGATTATTTATGAACTGCTGTGTATGGTAGGAGATATTGGCGCTGCCGACGGTTGCAGTGTCTTCGGCCTCTGGACGCAATTCGTCGTCTCCTACAGACTCGAATCTAGAGTTTTGGCCTTCTGAGCTACAGCTGTCAAACCGGTCAAGAAACTCCGAGGCTTGATTTGACTTGACTTGTTCTCCCTGATACTGGCCAACGCCTGTTTCCGAGTCCTGACCTTTTGTCCCGGCCTCATCCAAAACATGGCCTGGAAAGAGGGTTTCGGGCTGTACTGATGCAGTCGTGTTGTCCATGTTTTCTGGTGCACTAATTGACAGGATTGAGCTTGAGTTAAGGCGTAGCAGGTTTCCATAATCAGGGCTTTCGGGATGGAATCCACATAACGTGCCATCGCCTAAGCCCTTTTCAAGAAGCTCTCCTTCACTTGCGGCTGTCCACATGCGAACATGGATGGTTTCAGGGCAAACGCACCCATCGTGAATTGCCTTCTTGAAGTTGAAAATTTTTGGTCGGGGCTTCGAGGTGCCTGATACCTCCACCATGTTGGAGAGAAATGATGAATCCTCAAATCGGTCAGCAATACGTTGCAGACAACCGACTGTGTGACCGTTGGCCAGTTTCTTCGGCAGGGTTTTCTTTGCAGATACACATTCAGAGATGGAATTGATCCATTTATCACGCTTCTTCGGATCAAGCTTCGGTTCGCCAACCATTATCACCGTCTCGACCATATCAAGTAGTGCTCTCGGGTCTGTCCTATGTGATCGGTCAAACGCTTCGATCAATGCCTTTGAGAGTCAGCGTAACGCGATGGTCCCAGCGGAATCAATGCACATACCTTTTTTAAGATATAGCAGCCAAGTTTATGACCAACGAGAACAAATGTGCTGTCTTCTGGCTGTCTGGGTCGTTAGAGAAGTTCGAGTTCCAATAGCGCAGTTGAACTTACAAACTCCGGTTTTCGCTGCATCGCAAGCAGCTGTTGCAGCAAGTCGCAGCCATTGGATGAGTACTTGTCCCAAGACTCAAGCTTGTCTAACTGGATATCATTGTCGTAAACCCAACTCTGTGCGCGGCTGCGACACTTGGTGATCAACGTGGCAAGCCAGCCGCCGAAGTGTGGACAGGTCTTATCGCTCAGAGAGACGCCCGCAACACCGGGCACCACGATAAAACTGATACGTTAGTGAACGTTCCAGCCGTTTGAAATGACATACTTGACAAGAGGCTTTGTTCTGTCGTTGCCGCCGCAACCCGGGATGATGGCAAGCGGAGGCATAGTGTCGGTACTCCGCCAGCCATGAGTGAGTTGCGACTGGGGGGCACTGACAACGAAATATATTTGGCGTCGACGCTGGGCTGCGGAGAACCACAGCCGCAGCACATGCGCGGCACCAAGGCCAACCCACAGTTGCCACGCCATACATTGTGAGCCATTTCGGCCAATAAGCATGGGTGCGGCGCAGATTGCTGTGCAAAAGGAACCCCAAGAGCCGGGCTGTGCCAAGCCTTTGCGTGCTGCATCGCATACTAGGTGCAGGAGGCGGCGAAGGCTGTGGAGGCTGTGTCCACCGCCCGGCGGTAGGGGCTGGCCAGAATATCGCGCGCAAATGGTTCAGACGGCCATTCAAGACTCAAACAAGCCCGAAGGCTATCTGCGCCAAATATGAACTTCGTCTCCTTTGGGGATTTTGACTAAGGTGATATTATCATGAGTTTGGTACTCCATGCGCCCGCGCCAAAGGAGGCGGATGTTACTGAGAAAACGTCAAGTCCCGACGGACTTAGCCATGCGAAGAATTATGCGTTCGCGCTGGGAAATCGCGTGAAATCCTTTGAATCAGAGCCACTCCATTCAAATGCATACTTGACATATCTAGCTAGATACCTCAGGGCCCCCTTCGATAAGCAACATAATCGACAACAAATGTTGCAGCGGCAGAATGTCCCGCAGTGGCCGTTCATTGTGCATTACGAGCTCCAGCATGGTCGACGCCCGGTCCCGAAACCATATATCGACCCGGAAACATTTGCCACGCTTACTTCTACCGGAAACGAAGTTACCTTCCTCACCGGACGACCTTCTGCGGAGTGGTTGAATTGTGTTGGGGCCAAATACCAGCTGGACCACCGTTTCTTCCACCAACATCTCGGCACTATTCTATCTGGCAAGAAATACTTCTACTCTGTTCCCGGTCTACCCTCTCGATCTCTTCAAAGCCTTCGCCTGAGGGTTCCTACAATTCTATTCATCGGTGCCCAAGGAAGAAATGTGGATATCAAAGGCTTGGAAACTGCCCGCGATGACTGCAATAATCAACTGCGAAAAACATTTCGATCCATTCAAGACAGCGCTGTGTCCGAAGCTGGCACATCAATTATTAGGAACATTGATGTTTACGACGGGAGCCATCTTGTCATCCAACAGGAAGTGACGATATATGTCGTTTCGCGAGGAGAACAGTGGACAGGCAAGTCAAGAGGTTCACAGTTCACAAGTACCCCTCTAACCTACAATCTAAGTCCTGATTTGGAATGACGCTGGGCATGAGCCTCACTATGGTCATATTCCGGTGCCAGCCACCGATCATTTCGCTCCAGTCGCAGCCGAACTGGAGTTCTGCCCCGTTTTCTTTGAGAATAACCTGGCCGAGACGCAGAGCATGGCCGAGGATCAAAGCTGGATGCCACGTTGTCAACAACCAACCATACTCTTGAACAGCTACTATGGTGCAACAATCAACTGGGAAAGAACTGGTAGCCATGGGCCCCTATACGCTTTGCAGGAGCTGTTAGACTTTAATGCAGCCGCTATATCGCAGTATATCAATATGGTTGAACAGGTCCTTGCTGATATCGGAAGGCCATACGAGTTTCCGTCCTACGAACACACGAAACTGGAAGCGATTCTGCATTATGATTACATCAAGGCCAAACTTGGCCGAATGTCGGAGAGCTTGACGGAAGCTCTAGCGTTTCAACGGAACCCTCCTACAAACTGGAACTGCCCGATGTCAGCTTCTCAACAACCTGATATTCCCTTAACATCAACATCGGCAAAGTCTGTCGAAGATTTCACATATCTTCTAAATCGCACCAAATCTCTAATTGCCATCTGCGACGACGGAAAAGCCACGCTTATGAGTAATGCTTCCGTCCAAGATGCCAAGCGGTCGGCCGCAGAAACACAGCTGGTCACACAGTTAACGAAAGCAACTAACAGGCTAACGTTTATTTTCCTTCCCATCTCGTTCGTGACATCAATGTTTGGGATGAACTTTCAAGAGTTCGGCCAAGGCGATATGCCGTTGTGGATTTGGGCTGTAATCACAGTTCCGCTACTCGCAATCTGCATTCTCCTCGTGGAAAGGGGCAACTGGTTGTCATCTCGCTTTAAGAAATTACTTCCGAACAGTAGTAGTCATCGAAGTTAATGTGAATCTTCCATGCAAAACTTCTCTACTGGGTATGGAGTCAGCAAGAGCTGAGGCTATGGGTGCCGAAGAAGCGAGATATGCCAGGTGTAAGGTCCACAAATAGATTATAGTCACCGATTGTCATTGTCCTTCGATATTTTCGGGTACGTTTGGCAAGCCTGGCATGGACAGATGGCTCTTCTGCGGCATGAACCATCGTGGGTGATCGGCGTCCGAGGTCGAGCTTGGTATATCGGCCGCTGAGAATTTGCACATTTGCTTTACGTTTTTGTGCTCTACGGGCAGAGAAGAGTTGTCATCTATGTCAGACCAGGAACTGGTGGGTCTCCACCTTGAACTTCTCTTTGGTAGAGTCACAGCCACCCTACGACGACAACAACCACTCCGCGAAGCTTTGGGCAACATTCTTTCGCGATCAAGTCTTGCACCAACGATGGCCTCCTCACTAGGTTCCTCCAGCTCGTCTCTCAGAGACTTCATGAGCGTGGCTCGATCGATGAGGCAACAAGGGGTCGAGGTACCTTCGAGAGCAGTTCGAGGGTCATACAACTCAGGATCGTCGCTTCGTATGAGTCAGCTGAGCGATACGAGTCTATTGAGTGATCTTTTGGAAGGACCAGCATCCACGAAGAAGACGAAACAGAGCCTGCCTATATGACATAAGGCAAGCAATATGTGCTTTGGCTAGACTTACATATATTGTTTCCACGGACAGCGCTCGTTTGCGCACTTCCAGAAATTAATCCAAGCTTCCACCCAAGACACTGAATCACTGGAGACGTTACAATATGTTGAACGAAAGGAAGTATAACTACGAAGTAAGCCAGAAGATCACAGACCAGGGTGGAACCAGGTATCAACACAAGCACACCCTTTTACAACCTCACGAGCTCGCAGTTAAGATAAGCTGCAGAAGTCGTATGTAAATTCCTCGAAACGCAAGAAGCTGTAAACGATTTGGATGATTCAGCCGGCAAATGTGAGCCGCGTTAGATATTTTGCTTGGATTTAAGTGAACGTTCGTAGTCTGAATCCTCTTCTAGTCAATAAGACACAGTCGCGTATCTGACACGAGCGTTTCAGCGTTTCCAAACACGTTGGGTCGTATCACGAAGGATATATGGAACTGATGTCTTGAAGTTCTACACCCCAGTACCGTTACCAAATGCGTCGAATGGCGGCCTTCTGTATGTGTACCGAGAGACTATCTCAGCCAAGTGCAATACGGCAAAGAGAAATTCCCCGCGAGAGAAAACAATTTCTAGACACTGTACATCGACAATATCTGGCCTTATGCCTCAAAGACCAGAATTACCAGCATGTCCTACGAGGATTTCTTATTTCAAGTGACGTGAACGCTGCCATATGGAACGAGCGACAAGAGAGGTTTTCGGCCCTGTCGCAACGGCCGCCGTACACCGTCGCCGTCTCCCATTCGCCTTCATCAGTCTCTCCCTTTTGTGACTCGAGGTCAATTAATGTAGCGTCGTCATAATCAAGCCTATGGCAAAGCTTTTTGTAGAGCGTCCAAATAGCGATACCGAGCAGCACCGCTGGCCACATAAGCAGCTCAAGTAAGGCGAAACCGCCGCGGAAGCTCTCGGACTCAACGCGCCAAGTGAACCAGTCCCGGAGTTCGTCCCATTTGTGTGTAGGTGTTAAGGCGAAATATGCGATCGAGAAACCTATGATGGCGTACACCGGAGCGCCAATCATAATGTTGAGCGTCAGCCAAGCGCCTGAGTCTAGCTCAGGAAAGTGTAGCTGCGAGTAGAGCATGATATCTTTCGTCACCGGTTTCAGGCTTTCTGTGATGGTGCCTTACGTTCGATCAACGGTAGCTGTTGAGGAAGACGTTTCGTTTCATAGTCAAGTGACGATAACAATACTTCAAGCGCCGCTGAAACTCATGTAATAGCAGCAAGCTTTTCTCCGATAGGAACGCCTTTATGGTTGGAAAGTCAACAAAGGTTATCATTCATCTGTGTCCTCTTCTTATCATACCCCATTTTCCAGCCAGACCGAGGAATGCCGTAAATTCTTCGCTAATGGCGAGCTTAAGCTTGTTGGCTGGCCATGTATGTATTTGAACTCTAACTGTTGTATTCAAACTCTAAAAGTTGGCTACACACGTAAAACCCTTTGCGCTGGAAACAGCACAATCGAAGTCCCACTATTAAGGCTCAATAATTAGCGTGGATTGTTGAATGAGCAGGGCGCTGGGACCATTGTGCAGAGAGTATCACCAGCATAAGATTTGCTTTGGCTGGGGTTTGATCGTTTAGTGCTGTTCCCGCAATGATAGAAAAGTAGCGGCCATGGCTTGCGTTTTTCTGTATTAATTTTAAACCCCATCTCCACAGTCAAAACCCTTTCCATTATAGACGCATTTCCCGCCTCGTTGCTAAACCCACTTCGCGCGAAACGCATTATAGAGTAGGAAACCTTCACTCGTCAGCCAGACCCACTACATCCAAACCCACCTGGCGCACCCGCCTCTTTGGCATTCTCGCCAGTGCAGTGCTTCTGCCAAATCCCCGTCCGGAAACTGGCCGACCACTCTCTACCATCGTCGCCGAGTCCATACTCAAAACTCCAGGTCTGCGGAAGTAATGCGCAGTCCTTCATCTGGTCCTGCAGTGCATTGCCCCAGTCGGCACCCAGCCATCCACTTCCCCACACCCAACATTGGTTGAACAAGGCCTTGTACGTGCAGTCGCAGCCACCCGTTTTCCCATTCTTGGCTGGCTGGCGCAGAGAATTCGGGGTAATGCGGTACGTTACATCCCCGACTGAGAAGAACCCGCCGCCTTTGAAGTTCTCAGGGTTGTTGCCTGAGCCGTCGCCATCACAGCCGTCAGTGATCTCGTGTAAGAGGTACTTGACGCAGGCGTCCTGGTTGGGCGCAAAACTCATGCCGGGGGCCCATTCGATCGCCATTGTGACGGCATCGCTGGTGCCCTGATTGTATTGCCGCGTAATGGCTCCCGAATCCTTGTCTAAGATCCTCTGTTTAACTGCGGTAGGGCAAAAGTCCTGCTCGATGATGCGCTGCAGTTCCTGTCTGCCAACATACTTTTTGCGGTCGAGACCAGCACACTCTTTGTGCAACGGCGGAGGACTGTTGTCAGAGGAACCTCCAGAGCCACTGCCAGAGCCTGGGACCGGTGGATTATGTGCCTCGTCCACACCGTTCCAAATGGCACTTTTGTCCACGCGTGCCCAACCGAACCTGTCGGAGGCAATATACTCTCTGAGGCTTCTCACCAAGTTGTGGTCGGATGTATCAAACGGTACATTTTCGTATGATAGCAGATTGGCTATTTCGCCGGCCACAAGCGGTGTGGCAAACGATGTACCCGAGTCTGTCACGGGATTGTTTCCATCTTTCGCCATGCAAGTTATATCTTTACCAGGAGCATGGATAATCACTTGTGAGCCTCTCTTCGAGAAGGGTGAAACTTTGCCATCGAAGTCAACGGAACCCGCGACAATCAAGGGAATATCATCGCCCGCCCAGACAGATGGAATCTCATTTACGCTTTCCTCTGCACCTGCTTTTCCGTTGCCTGCCGGAACGACCATGGGGATATTGGCATCAAATAGGCTCTTGAGAAGCTTTTTTGTTTCCTTCTGGGCTATGCTACCGGGGTTGTCACCTCCGGCGGTAAATGAAAAGGTTACTACGCTCTTCTTCTTTCGCTCGGGCTTTTTTGCAACGTCCTCTATGATAGCGTCAAGGCAGTGATTCAGCTCAGAGATACTTGATAGTCCGAACTGGACAACAACGAGTTTCGCCTTTTTCGAAGACCCGTATTTGGCACCGACAGCCTTGCCAGCTGTGCAAGTGCTATGCGAGCTGTCACCAGCGTCCTCTGAGGGCTTTCTACCAAACATTTGTGCTTTATATGTTTGTAGGTGGTCTTGTTTGGGAACCACATTTGGAAATTCCTAAGTATTGCATCATTAGTAGGTCTTCAATTGACATTTCATCTATCGAAGGGGGGAGTTGGTGTACTGTCGTGGACTGGCTTTCGCTTCGAGTAAAACAGAGGCTGTAACATACCAACTTTTGTTTCTCGAATGAGACTCCATTTTCAATATGGTAGACGAAGCTGCTTTCTCCCTGATGGTTTTCGTATACGTAATGATTAAGTTTGCTTAGGTCTGGCACAGTCCTTTCGAAAATTGGAACTATTAGCAAGAGTCGTTAAGATACCTTGGTACCTCCTCTCAAGCTTTGATCATAGGTGACAAAGTATTGACTGACTAAGAATGACTACTTACGTTGGCTGACTGACAAACTTAAGCTCACTCACGACGTTCGATTGGGTTGCATATTGAAGTTCCCGTTTTGCATGTTTTCTACCTCGTAGAGGAGCAACAGAAGAGACAATTGGCGGCTGAACCCTCGCAGGATTAAGTGGTGTATCAACTTCAATAACATTAATCTGCAGAGGTATTGTAAGTGATTTATCTCTGAGCTTGAAAGGCTCTCCCCTGCAACACAGGAAGGACAAATCGGCAGGGCAACGCGGCACGACATGCCGTTTTCAGCAGTGTGGTGATGAGAATCACTCCATGTAAAAGAGGGGGGCGTTCTGGGAGACTGATTGCGAAAATGCACTTACACCTGGGCCCTTTTCAGCTGCATCTCGCTGAGCGCTGGTCATTTGTACAGTCCAATATGCTACCTCATCTTTCCATATGAATGCTTGTGGAGGCTCATCGGTTTTGAGGAGATCTTGCAAGAACTTCTGAGTTATATTGCATTGGTCGCGGTCTTTTCCGTCTCTGGGGGCTACTATGTAGCTTCCGACTGATTCGTCCCTTTCGGCCAGCCATTCAACCGCAGGCTCATAACGCTTCTTGGGAGGGTCAAAGCGATCCACGTGGCCAATACCGGTATGAGACTTCAGCGTTTCAACTTCTTCAGGTGACGCCTCAACGGTCCATGAAATCAGATTTGACCCAGAGACATCTGTCCACGGCAAGAGGTCATCCGAACCAACGGTTTTCTTGATGAAATCCTCGGTTGCCGAGACTTCGATGCCTTGCTTTGGGAACACGGTGTAAAAGGCTTTCCCGGTAGCAGGTTGTCTATCAGCACGGAGAACGTTAGCTGCGATAGTCCAGCCGCTAAAAGTCAAAAGGGCGACCATGATTGCTGGTAGACGAATCATCTTGAACATGGGAATATGTAGGGATGTACAGCCGCGATGATGATGTTAAATGTCAAATGGAGTGAGATGAATGTTTCTCGTGGCTGGACGAACAGGCAAGAGTGATATATTTATGTTTATTCGAGTGATACTGGAAACTGTTGCTCACCTGTGTTCTATGTGTGCATCCATTACGAAGAACTTGGTACAATATTCCTAGAATAGAATTTTGTTGGTTGAGAGACTAGGTTATATCAGCAACAGCTACACAATCGTGACGGGACACTGCTCGTCCAAGAGGCGCAATGATCTGAGAAGGTTGAAGAAGCGGCCGTTGTTCTACTGGAAATAAGCTGTTGAAGACCTGACCGATACCTAATATTGCCCAGCGGCTGTTGGCTGATCTGAAACGATGGTTGCTACGTCATTTTTAGGGTGGGGGCAGGGGGCGGTGTCTTCGCGGCTCCAACTCGTTGTCAGCTTGCATATCATGCAAGGAGGTTGGATGTCAATGTATTGAGATTTATCTCGATGAAGGATTGTTCTGCTGCCCATGGCCACTTCATATCAGGCCACTCGAGCATATATGCACGTAAAAGCAGAAAGGCGTTACCATGCCCGATAAAGGCACAGAGAGGACAGACTCCTGCATAAGAATGCACTACGTCAACGAAGAAGGTGACCCGTCAAGATCAATAATGGCTAAGGTCCCGTGTTTTCTCGCTTAATATAATTAGAGAAATGGCATCTTATGCTCTGGCTTACGCCTGCATAGGACAAAGAGTATCAATCCTGAAGGAGCATTGTTGGTCGCAAACTTAAACTCCTTCGATTCCATACAGCAGTCAGAGCTTTGACAATCCTAAGGTGACCATGCGGCCGGTCCCCTTCTCATGAACTGCGCTGCACCCTTCGCCGCGGCCGTAGTAGTGTCGTTGGTCAGAAAATGCGGGGCAGTGCCAAGATATTCTTCCATTGTAGACCGCAAGAAATCGATGAAGTCGCCACCGTCAAGGTCACCTGTGACCAAAACCTTGCCGGGCTTTGGAAAAAGCGGAAATTGAGTGTTGATACTGAGGATCGTATCTTTTACGTCAGTCCAGTAGTCTTCTCGATTTGGATAGCTCTTGATGGAGTCACTTCCGAGCGTAAAATTTTCAACCCTTCTGTAATCTGGCTCCCATGCCCAGAGTGCTTGCGAAATTACAGTTAGAGACACCGTCAAAGCGGTTCGACTATAGTGCACTGCAAGGATAGTCTCGCTTGGCATTTGTTTCCCTTCGTCCGCGCATGCGTCGTCGTCCTGCCAGTGCTTGCAGAGGCCAAAGCCGTGCCCAGCGTAGGCTGCTGCCGTTTCCCAAACAAATGGATCATGAAGGCCTTTGGGAATTACATACTTGATGCCAGAATAAGCAGCCGCATCTTGAATATCGTCTTGGTACAGTGCAACTAAATGCGACGCTGCAAAGACGGCCTCTTGAATTTCGATACCCAACGTAGATTCTATCTCGGACGAGAGGCGCTGAATAACTTGGGCTAGAATAAGAACTTCATACGAAGCAGGGAGTTGCGCTGCCTTGAGAGCTTCGCGCACCGCTTTTCTGGGTTGGTCTGCCCAGAACTGCCCATCATCATCGTACGGAGGTCTTACGAGCGAACAGTTAGTTAGTGTGGCATAATTTAGAGTTAAGAGCACATACGCAATATGCCGCGAAGTTTCCAAGGACAGTCTTGTCATTACCCGCTCATACTCAGCCCCTCCATGGAATACCCGAGCGACTGTCGCTATTTGGCCATCAAACCTGTCGATGATTGCAGCAGCTGCTCCGAAGGAACTTTGCAAGCTGAAGCCAATACTGTAATTGTAGCCATGCACTTCGTTCACTGTGGCAAAGAGCGGCTTCTGTCCAATAGGCGGGTTCAGAGACGAAGCTGAAGTGGCCGGGTAGAGATGAAACAGCGAGATTCCAACAATCATAGCTCGCCACCCAAGGAGGCCACAAACAAACATCTTGACTCGTACCAATTTCACCGAGTATGGCAGCACTGACCTGGAATGGAATAATCGATGAGAACCAAATTGGAAAGAAGATATCTTAAGACTTGCCGTGGCTGAGAAGACTGCATGCGCGAAAAAGAGCTAAGGTATGGACTTCTTCCACTTGATCACGAGCCAAGGAGCATAATTTAGGATTCATAACGGGGGTTCGGTGCACAGCACCAACAACACAAGGCAGGTGGGTCAGTTACCAGAAATAGATCGACGTGATGTCGGCCAAGACCTCTACCGTGCCCCTTACCCTAGGTAGCCAGAGGAATGGGAGACGAATTATTGACGCCAACCAACAGACCCCAAGCCGGCTTATAGGGATGCACGCACCTTCTAGCGACTAACAATTGCGAAGTGAATTATCCATGTTGGTCTGTGATCGGCTCTGGCAATTTCTTCTGATGATTTGCACAGCCGCAAGGATGCAAGTACTAGGTCTGCCTCGGTTCGTGATGGCTGCTTATCTGAATCCTGAGAGTTTGGCTCTCATGTGCAGTTGGCGCAGGGATATACCACTTCATATCATATGTTGAACTTTGGTTTGTATCTATTGTTGTAACCAACTGTTGGAACTAGGATCGAGGTCGTGATACATTGGGCTTGCAAGTAGCCCCCTACTGCGTTGACAATATTGTTGCGTTGTGGCTTAAGCGCGGATTCTGCGTGGATCATGTGGTAGGTCTTATGGCCTCGATATGTAGCCATATATATAGAGTCGAAGTTTTGCACCTCACGGCGCCTTATACCAGAAGATATTGTCAAAGTAGAAGGTCTCTCATATTAGATCGTTAGTTTTTGAGTTCACGCAATTGGGAATCCTCTACAGCAACCCCAGAATGGCCATCTTGATATTTCTTAGGACCATCCGTGGTCTCTTCATCGTAACCAGTTTATTTACATGCATACATTTCGCTGGTTCCGTACCACAGCAAATGGACTTTGTAACCACACAAATTCAGCAAATATCAGAAGATATGTTTGAATGGGCAGTCATAGGAGACTCTTGGGCATCCGGTGTTGCTTACAATTCCAGTAACATATATGGCCCACTTGACAGAGAGGAATGCTATCGCACTAAGGAAGCCTGGGGTGCTCAAATGAACAACGACGACTCTTGGGTCGATAGGAAATACCGAGCTTTTGGCTTCGCAGCCTGCGGCGGTACTTTGATGAACGACCTCAAACGTCAGATGCAACAAAGAGCAGGGCGACCTCAAGTTGTTTGGGGTATGTTTGGTGGAAACAATGCCCATTTTGGCGCCATCGCTCGAGCATGTATATATCAACCGTACTCACCAGAACATCCTTTCGGCTGGGGGCCGCCATGGGACGAGGACCCGGACGATAAGGGTCTCTGCAAACAGAACATCAAAGCCGCAGACGATTACATTCACAATGGTAGATTTCGAAAAGAGCTAGTAGGCGCCTTGAACGACATATTTTCGGTTTCACAGACCGAAGACCATAAGAAAAGTCAATTCGATCTGTATCTTAGCTCCTATGTTCAGTTCTTTGACGCTACAACCGACGAGTGCGACCAGTGGAGTTTTGCACACGACCGAGTTAGCAGCGGCCATCCGAAGGTCGTGAAAGGCCTACGAGATATCATCAACAAGCGGGTGCTCGATGTCAATAACTTGCAGGCTGACGTGGTCAACAACTATAAAATCCCGGAGCCTAAGTTACCCAACTACAACATCCACAATGTACAGCCTGATTCCCTCTTTAAAGGCCACCGCTTCTGTGAAAAAGGTTGGTCCTACGAGGACCAGTTCTATCACAAGGATCTGTGGTTCTGGAATCTCCAATACTATGACGAGCAGGCCGAAAAAGAGATTATCGGTGTCGCTAAAACCGACGACAAAGGTGTTCAATATATGACCTACCCGGATGGTATCAGTGGACCAGAGAACGTCACAGTCCTTGCCGCCGAGGAGGCTGAGCCCCAGCAGTACGGGTTTGGGTGGACCGCTCGTCCATTCCATCCCAAGTATGACGGCCACAAGGCCATGAAAGAATTCTTCATCCGGAAAATGAAAGATGACAAGATCCCTGGTGTGAAGACGGAGGCCACATCACAACCTAAACCATCAATCCAGCAGAAGAAGGAATGCTATGGGCTAGGAAACAAGAAGTACATTGGACGTGATGTGGGAAAAGACATCATCGAGACGGAACTATGCCCCAAGGCGGCTGGTGACGGATCTGTCGAAGAATCCTACAACAAGGGGACTATGGAGGAGGTAACCCTCAGTGTCAAGGGTCCGAGCGGCTTCAAGCCAAGTAAAGAGGATTGTATCAAGGGCTTTCGCGACGAAATCTTGGATGGATGCGACGGCAATGATCCTAAAAATCCCGAAAACTACAAAGGCGGGGGTAAAGTAACCATGGGTGATGTAACGTACGAGATGATCCCAAGAGCATTGCGTCAGCCTGCGGACAAGAGCAAGAAGGGGTTTTGCGATTCCACTTACAAGTATCTCTTCAACGAGTATTGGATGTGGGGCAACGGGTCAGTTGAGTTCCTCTACCCTTTTTTTCCTCCTAAATCCCCAGTTTCAGCATGCACTGTAGCCCCCACCCACAATAGCTCCTACTTATTCCAACTCGTTCCATAAAATATACTTGTTAATCGTATGAACAGGTTTGCTAGTAGTGATTACGGTAAGACCCTTAAAAGCCAGGTGGCTGATTGCGCTCTTTTACCAAACACTTGGACCTTTGAGTACGGTCTAGGCGATGACGGGCGTGAATGGACAGCGCGGTTCAGGACTGGTATCTTCCAAAAAGGATGTGTGGGGAATGCCGGCAAGGAAGCCGGCGGGCCTTCGGATTTCAATTGTAATGGTTCAGGATGATGCCATGCAGAGGCAGTGGCGAACGAACGAAATTTTGGGTTGACTAACTACGTGGAGTTGTACTTGGATGGACGGATCAAATATTCAGACCTAGACTACCGATATTTCGGCAGTCTGGCTGTTTGGAAAGTACGCCTCAATTTGAGGTTTGCAAAAATAAGAATCTGTGTCGAGGGCCAATCCTCCCAGTCTGTCTTTATTTTGGTGACCTTGATCCCTCTTGAAGCAGAAATTATGTGTGTGCCGGTACGTATCCCATCCGGGACGACTCCTTATTTGAACATATCACCATACAGGTGTCATATATCTACTCTTTCGAGCGCGTTAGGCAGATGTCTGGTCTTGTTGGTTTGGCTCTGCGTTGTTTATAGTGGTTCGTGCGATTGCCTGGGATGCTTGGGACGCGGCAGCACTTGATGTGAATTTGATTTAGAATCCATGGCATGGTTGGCGGATGTTCTGCCATCACAATTACGAGAGCTGGAATCAAGTATGGAAAATTCAGGAGTAGTCTATAGGTTTAGGATGGCAATCAATATGTCATTTATATATAGTTCAGGTACACAATTACTCCGTTTCATAGCGGGCGCAATTGTATTGCGCGGGAAAGGGTCAACTGAAGCAAGGTCAGGGATACCGGGGCTGTGGCCAGACTTAGGAGCCATTAGACTGATCGCAATCACCAAGGAAGTAAGTAGTCACGTCTCTGATATGTATCAACGGTGTTCGATTGTATTTACCAGCTATTGACACGAGCTCAAACGTTACGGCGCATGCCTCATTTACTTAGTGCTAGTTCCAATCTGTACTAATAAAGAAGCCAGGAAATTTTCACACGTATATATTGCTCCATGTACTATTGGTAACTGGCGAGGACGGTGATAGTGCAAGGTAACCTAGGGGTCTTTCCTCTAATGTTTGACTAACGGTCCGACCTCTCCTGACGTCTTCGTTTCCCAGGCGTTCACACAAGCAACGCCATCATATTGTTCAATGTTCTGGTAATGTCTAGCTCCTAACCGCTGCAGAATCGCACATTTCTCATCCATAGTCCTAGCAAGATAAACCTGTGCTGCCTCCGTAGGTACGAGGTTCTTCGGCTCGAGCATTTTGTAGAGAGGCGTATCATACTCGGCGATCCAACAACCACCTCCACAGTCACTGGGCCAACCGACGCTGACCCAACGTCGCTCCGCCAAGGTCAAATCTGCCTCAAGTCCTGCCTCGAGTGCTTCAAGCTCGGGTTCCTCATCGTCGAAGACATTGGCCACAAAGCCATATCGATCGAGACTGTCAAACCATCTTGCGCCGAGGCGCAACAATTGCTGGCAGAACGTGTCTTCACTTTCCTGGTCCTCGTCCCGAAATGCCGGCGGGTTCACTGCGTCAAGGCCTAGGAAGGAGAAGTCTAAGGCAGTAACGTTGTGGAGGACGATCAGTCCACCACGTGATGGCCAAGCCCTTAGAGAGGTTATGCCGTCACCGAGAACAGTACGATCATTGGTTGGCTGAGGGCGACCACTCGCAGGTTGTCCTAAGTGGTGGCGCTTGTAATTAGGATCCTGGAATTTCTTTGGGGTGCGCATTGTGACATTCGATGGAATATGAACAACAGGTCATTTTAGGTCCCGGAAGAAAATAGGTTAAGGAAATAAGGATGGAAGGACACAAGCTCGATCAGGTGATCTATGAGTGGGGCGACGTCATTGTTGCATTTTGTTGGCAATGTATCAATCCCAGCATGCAGCTGGCCGGCACCCATCCTTCAACTGGGAGGACCATGATTACGTGGCTATTAAGTTCTTAATTCCAGGAGGGCAGACAGCCATTCAAAAACGGCACAGCTGCAACCCCAAGACGCTGTGTTGGGTATCACAGCGACCACAAAAGATCATATCCAGAGCTTTTGTGGCGACAAGACTTCCTGGCACACCGTTATTGTGCCACCTGTTTCATTTGGGACGGGTTCTACGAATGACGGCAGAGGCAAGGCCATTGGCGTGACGGCGAACTACACTCTACCCGGCACCTCATATCTGATGTGGTTAGAATTGGAGTTCGCCAATGGCATTTGCATTGGATACTCCCAGTTTACGGTAGGCACCAACGACCAGGAGAAGCTCAGTCACTGCACGGAACGCTTTGGTAGGATTCTTAACGACTGCCAAACGGGAACCACGGCTGCGAAGACAGGCGGCCAATTACAGGACGTTTACATTGTCTACACCATCATACGTCACAACGGCAATATAAACCCTTATAACGCCTTCTTTAAGTATGGTAGGGAGTAGGGTTGTGATTTAATTATTAAATTAAAACTAATAAACTAACTAAATTAATTAAACCCTATTTATTAACTAACTAAATTAATTAATTTAATAGTAAAAACTAATTAAATTAAATTAAAAATCCACTTTTTATTACGAATATAGCCTTACGAACCCCGACCCCGGAAAGGAAGAATTAAAACCTATTAAGTAATTAACACGTAACCGCTAAAACAAAAAAACCACAAGACCAAAAGGACAAAGAAGATCACGTGATATAAATCACGGTTTTAGCGGGTGAGCTAGGATAAAGGATCACGACGAGCCACGGGTGAGTTTAAAAGAAGGATCACCCTTAAATTAAAGTGATTTAAAATAAAGGATTATTATAATTATAATAATCTAATTAATATTAATAAAAAAATAAATAAATATATAACGGAAGGGATTTCTTAATTATATAAATAATTATTATTTTAATAATTAATTTAAATATCTATTTTATTTATAAATAAGGCTTATTAAATTTTAACGATTATATTTATAACTTTATTTATAAACCTTTATTTTATTTTATTTAATTATATCGGTTATCGATTATAATTACCGGAGATTAACGTTTTTTATTAATATAAACCCACGTATTTATATTTCTTTACAATTTATTTTAAAAAGTATATTCGTTATATTTTTAATTAATTAAATTAATTAAACAAAGGGTGAAAACTAATTAAATTAAATTAAATTTTAATTTAATTAATAATTAAAAAAATTAATAATTAAATTTAAAAATAAATTTAATATAAATAATAATCTCTTTATTATTATAATTTTTTAATAATTTTATATAATTTATATCTATTTTTAAATATTTTTTAATTATTTTTAATTATTTTTAATTAATTTTTTTAAAAAAAATATTAAAAAAATTCTCGTAAATAGAGTATATTATATAAAATTATAAAATAAATGTTAAAATTAATAGAATAAAAAGCGTTTTAAAAAGATTTATACCATTTATTTTTAATTATTTTATATAATTTAAAATTTAAATAAAAAAAGATAAAAAAATAAAAAAAAAATTATAAAAATTTAATTTTCCTTCCTTTCTTTATTATAAACTCTTTCGTTTTATAAATTTTCGATAAACTTTTATTTTTAATTCTTTAATAAAACTATTTATTTTATTATTTTAGGATTTAATCGATTTTTATTTTTAAAAATAATATAATTCGAAATAAAAAAAAACTTGTTTTATAACCGTAAAAATAACCGGTATTTTTAAATATTAACGAATTATAATATTTAAAATTAAGTATTTATAAGTATTATTTTTTTTAATACGTTAACGGGTATAATTATATATAAATTAAATTAATAAAGATTTTTTTATATATTTTAATATGATTTTAAAACGTACCTTTCGTAAAATTATATCCTTATTAATATATTTTTCTAATTCGTTCCGGGTAATTTTTATTAATTTATTTAAATATAAATCCGTTTTAAAATCGAATTTATTATTTAAATTAATAGTTATATTACCGGAAATAAAGTTATCTTTTTTATTAAAAATATAATTTAATTCACTTTTTTTTTCGTTTTTAATTTTATAATAATAATTAATATTATAATAAATATTTAAATATTAAATATTAATAAAATTTATATCCGATATTCGTATTAAAATAACCGTAATATATTAATATAAATTGTATTATAAAAATATAATAAACCGGATTTTTAAAAATGTTTTAATTTAAAACGTAAATTTAAAATAATATTTAAAATAAAGGGTTTATAATCGTTTAAATTAAGATTATTTAATTTTTATAAAAAATATCCGTTTAACTTTTTAATATTATTTTTAATAATAATAATTAAAATAATTAAAATAGATTTTTAAATAAATAAATATTAATATAATATAATATAAAAAGATTTAAAAATATTTATTAATTTTAAAAATGTCTTTATCTTTTAATTAAATATTAACTTTTTTAATTATTTATATATTTAAAAAATATATAATAAAATTAATAATAAAGTAATATAAATTTCTTTTTATAATTTAACCGAAAAATTAATAAATATTTCGAAAATAATATTTAATTTAATAATTAAAAACTAATCGGTTTCGTTAAAAAAGATTTTTTTATATTTATTATTTTTAATATTTCGGAAAATATAATATAAAGGTTTTTTTAATATTAAAACTATATTAACTATTTTATAAATAAAATTTTATTAAATAACCGAATTTATTAAATAATTAATAATTATTATAATATTTAATATAAAAAAGTATAATTATTAAATAAATATTACGAATATAACCTTACGAACCCCGACCCCGGGAAGGAATAATTAAAACCCACTAAACGGTTAATACGTAACCGTTAAAATAAAAAGACTACGGGATTAATAAGGTAAAAAAGGTTACGTAATATGGATCACGGTTTTAATAAGTAAATTAGGATAAAAGATCACAACGAGTCACGAATAAACCTAAAAAAAGGATCACTTTTAAATTAAAATAATCCGGGATAAAAATTATTATAATTATAATAATCTAATTAATATTAATAAAAAAATAAATAAATATATAATAAAAAGGATTTCTTAATTATATAAATAATTATTATTTTAATAATCAATTTAAATATTTATTTTATTTATAAATAAAACTTATTAAACCTTAACGATTATATTTATAATTTCGTTTATAACCCTTTATTTTATTTTATTTAATATATAAATTATAATTTATAACCGCCCTTAAAATTAACGTCCTTTATTAATATAAATTTACGTATTTATATCTTTTTACGGTTTATTTTAAAAAGTATATTCGTTATATTTTAATTATTTTTATTTAAATATGTTATTTTCGAATTAATTAAGTAATATCTTTATTAAATAAAATGGTACTATCCACTTTTAACGGAAATTCTATAAATAACCTTATAAAAAGACCCGACGTTTTTAAAATAATACGGTAATTATAAAAAGCCCTCGATATTATTAAAAGCGATAATAAATAATTTATTACGTAACTCGTTATTATTAATAATACGTAACGAGGAGGCGGTAACGGAGGTTATAAATTTGCGCCTTTTTAATTTTATAACGGGAAAGACGGAGGTATTTAAAAATTCTTTATTTAAATATAAACTTATTTACGTTTTTATAACGGGATTATTATTACCGAACCTAATAAAATCTTATATATCACCGGATTTTTTAAAAAAGACGCTCTCAATTAATTCGAATTAATTATAAGGGATTATTTTAATAATAACGAGGATTAATAAAAAGACGATATATAAAAGGTATTTAACAATTACGGCGAATTTAAAAAACGCTTATAAATAACTTTTAATAACCCAGACGAAATCCGTATTATTAAACGAAAATTTATATAATTTAAATAACGTAAATCGGTTATTAAATACGTATTTAAATTTAAATAAATCGTATTTAAAACCGAATAAAGCGACGACGATGTATTTATAACGCTTTTTTATATAAAACTACGAAAAAACGTAAAAAACGAAGTTTTAAAAGAAAATAAACCCGACGAATTTAATAATTACGTCGAAAGAATCGTTAAAATCGATAACCGTTTATATAAAAAAAGACTCGAAAAACGAGGATTTAAAAACGAATTATATATTTTATATATTAAAATAAATACCGGGAAACCGCGATAAAACTATTATTAAAATAACGATAACCGATACCCTTTACGTAATTAAAAATGGTAAAATAAAACCTTTTATAAATATTATAACGGATTAATAAACCTCGACGCGATTAAATACGATAAAAGTCGTAAAAATAAAAATATAATAAATATTATATATTATAATTATAATAAAAAAGGGTATTACGTTAATAAATACCGATAAAAATATAAATTTTAACCCGTACCGGAAAGTAACCGGTAAATTAACGTTTTTTACCGAAAAAAAATAATTATAATACTTTCCTAAAAATTAATAAATTTATCGCGATAATATAACGAAAACTATTCGGATTTTATATAATCGATATTAATAACGACGACGAAAAAAATTACTTTATTATATAAACCGAAAAAGAGGTATAATAAAACGTTATTAATAATATAAACCTAATTAAAAAATTCGAATATAAATTCCGGAACGCGAACGTCGAAAATATTTTTTAACGATTTAAACGAAAAGTCAATTTTTAATAAAAAAAAGCTATAATAATAACCGGATCGTAACCGTTATCCGTTAACGAGTTACGTAACCTATTTAATAAATTCTATTACGATATTATAATTAATTTAA